CTTTTTATTTTAGGATGGGCTTATGCTTGATCATCCCGAGCGATCATCGCCTCCACGCCCGTGCTTGGTTCCCTCTGATCTAAGGTTAGGATAATTATGGGTATTTTTGGAACCTTTGGAATTTACTCGGATTTAAATCACAGTCAATATTTTTTTTGTCTATTATTTTTATTATATTTTTTATTTTAATCTGATTTATTATTATTTTCCCATTTGATTTTAATTTGGGAAGTCTGATAATCCGCCGGGAGATCTGTAGGAACAGCCTTGTTAGTGCTAATCCTCGTGCCTCTATATCAGTCCACTCTTCCTCCGCTCTTCTTCATCCTCTTCTGCAGTTTCAGTTTCAAACAATCCTCGTCAGCCTTTCTTCCGACTCTTCAACGCTCTTCTTCAATTACATCACCTCAGCCTCGACTCTCCAATTCTATATATCTTGCCTTCCTTCCCCCGCTCCTCGACTTCCCTCCATTCCTTTCCACCACAGGATGGCCACAGGATCCTCACTGGAACGCAAGAACATTTCCAACAACACCTCTCGATCTTCCAACCACATTATCTCTGTCCTCAACAGTCCTGCCACTTCGGCCTCGCCTTCTCCTGAACCTCATCTGGTCTCATCATCCACCATGGTGGGCCGCAAGAACACTATGCGCCGCAGCCCTCAGGCGGACGTGACGCTGCCCGTTACATACACCCCCACCACCCACCGCATTAGCAAGGCCAAGAAGGGCAAGCGTGTACATGCTTGCGAATATCCCGGTTGCAACAAGGTATGCGCTCGTTGATCCAATTATGTGCGCATCAAAAGCTGACCCTTAGTTCGCAATCCAGGTCTTCACCCGCGCCGAGCACCGGAGACGTCACGAATTGAACCACAACCCAGAGGCTTCTTACCGGTGTACGCACCATGGCTGCAAGAAGGCCTTCCACCGCCCAGATCTGCTTGCGCGCCACATGGAGAGACAGTGAGTTGATATCCACCCAACTGCGCAAAGAAGTGAAAAGACTAACAAATTATTGCGCGACAGTGAACTCGAGTCGCAGTCAGAACAGACCCAATGGACTCCCCAAACCTCAACTCCCCTTGTGAACGACTCTGCCTCTGTCCCCCGATGCATGCCCATGGATAGCGGAAGTATGATGGCTGCTGTCTCGCAACAGTCGCACTCCATGTCTATCGGTTCGATCGTGGCTCCCGGCATTCACCCGGACCTGGCCAACGACTGCTCGCTGATGTGGAATGGCATGGACCTGCCTCTGCAGCCGCGCCCAGCACCCAACCTGTTCCAGAACCAGCTCCCCGAGTCCGCCGACGACAGCCCCTTCTACTCCTCACCTGCAGAGACCTGCCCTTCACCTCTATCAGACGTGGCCTTTTCCATGCCTCCTCACTCGAGCTCCATCTCTTCCATCTCTTCAGTCGGCACCTCCGTCCTTGATCAGTACCCCAAGGGTATGTTGAAGACGGACGTGACCTCCTCCCCACTGCAGATGCACTCGCCTCTGCGATGGGACGGCTCCGACGCGGGCATGCCGCCTTCTCACCTCGTGCCGATCTCGCTGGAGGAGAACCTAATTCAGCCGCCAGTCCAGTGCCACTACCCTTCTCCTTCCTGGTCTAGCGCCGACTGCCTGCCATACGACGAGCAAGTGCACTCATTGACCCACTTCCAGCCGATGAACTGGAAGCAGTGGACAATGTGAAAGAACCACGCCTCATTGGATCTTGAATCGAGATGTCCTCCACGAAAAAACAGCGGGCCACGCTCTATCGCACGACTGATGACTCCTCCCTTCCTGGTTGCTAGCTGCTAGTTGCGTCGAGTTCGATGGGTCGCATAAGGCACCATCAAAATGATTCTTATCCTCTGGTTCACCCCCCACCGGAGGCGCCGCGACCCGCTACTGCCCCTCCCTAATTATCCCGCAAACAAGAAAAAAAAGAAAAAAAAAAGGCCAACCCAGCCTGGGCTCGCTAAAAGCGCCAAAAAACAAAGAAAATGGTCGCAAGCGATGTGCAGATGCCCGGGTTTCAACCCACAATCTTTTACCCTCCACCCCGTCTTCCCTCGACAAAATATTGGGAGTGTCGGGGCACAGAGGGCACACAACTCCCTCCCCCCGGAAGGGCCTCCAGGCCATTCCCAGGTCGGGGCACACCGGCCCCAAGCGTCTCCAGGCACGACCGCGGAGCGACTCCCAGTAGTGGAGAAGCTCCGCTTCGGGCAAGCGGCTCCACTCAAGAGCCCTTGTACCAAAGAAACAGCAAGCAAAACAAAGGGAGATTGGGAGAGCAGCCTGCGAAAAGAAACTCTTTTCTTTCATCCACGTTTCTGTTTGCGTTGTTTCAAATCTTTGGGATAGAATCTTCCTGGAGTTTATGAGTTTCCGGTGTTTTTCTTGTTTGGTTTGATGATTTGATGTTGAACATGTGTTTTTCCTGTTTTGACACGTTTTTCATCTGTTTTTTCTTTCTTTCTTTCTTTTGTGTTGTATACCCATATGTACCTCCCCCTCTCATGCCATGTGTTACTTGGTGTCTCCGATGTATACGAATACCCTCCTCCAGTTGACTGTACATACTTTTTCCGCTTGACTCTGCACATACTTCAAGACAAATGAACATACAAATACAGAACACACCTGAACTTCCTATCTTCCTTCTACTGTGGTAGTATTCAGTAGTATACCATCACCAAACCCAAACACAAATACTTCCTCTAAGCGACCTCCTCTAGGCTTCTCCGACGGAGGCTCTCCGGAAGCGCCGACCCACAGAGCCGCATAGCGTCAACCCTGTACCACCCCGACCAGCAATTACTTGCCTCGAACGGGTAGGGAACATCAAAGCAAAAGCCTTTCAAGTCAAGAATACCTTTCACCCAGGCTGAACCTAACAAAGGACAATCAACCCTCGTATCTCAACCTCTTCCATCGGTCCATCTGATAGGTGGTATCTACACCACTACGAGCTGTGGTTCGGCAGATCGCCCCATGCCACCACCGGTCGGTCGGCGGGCGCGCCACGATTCCAAATCGTGGAGAGTTCAAGTGTGAACCTAATTTAACCCACCGAATTTAGTTACAGTACTAGTACTACTGTACCTGGGTTCAAATTTCCGTCGCCATTGAACTGAACTGAAAAGTGCAATGAAGGCAGGAGGGTGCCGTTCTTGCCGTTAATGCCCTCGTCATCGGTCCTCGGCGTCACGGCGTCTGGGATAAGGGGGGAAATTCAAAGTTTGTGAACCCTGTCAGTGATGCGGTCGCGCCAAGCAAGTCTTAGGTCACTTTGGGGAACTGCGGAACTCCTGGGTTAATCTAATAGACTTCGACTTTGGCCTAACTAACTCACTCTGGACAGCGGTTAACTGCTCGGCTTTAGGAAAGAGGTATCGTTGTGCCTGGATTAGGTAGTGATTTAATTAAGTAGAGATGTAGCTTGTGATAGTCTTGAGGTAGCATTGGGAATGATTACTACAGTCCTATAACTAATAACTAACTACTGTTAACTACTATAGCACTAAGTGTAGACGAACTGCTAGATGCTAGACTATTCCTGAAATAACTACTGTACCAGCCAACTTGTCCCAAGGCTCATGACGGGACCGGCAACAAGCGACGGCGACACCGATAAAAGTCTCCGTAAGGCCTACCCAGAATATGGCCTATCCTGATAGTCTTGATAATCAAAATCCTTCAATCCCCTGGAAACGATTCCCGATCTACCGATCACCCAATGACCTCGTCGAAGGATTCGTGAAGGATGGCGTCCCGGGTACAGTATGGAGTTGCAACGCTGTGACTCAACCCCTTAAACCTACAGCAAACCCCGCCATGATCCATCTAGAACATCCTCGCTAATTAAGATTAGACCCGATGAGCAGTGAGCAGTTTGATGAGCTCTGTACTAACTACTCCCATGATCCATCCATCCTTTGTAAGCCGCCAAATTACTTAACCCCGATCGGCCGAAGAACGAGGCGTCCGCCGAAATAACAATAATGATTGCTCCCTCCCGTCCTCCTTTCATTTCTTCATTTACCGAACGAAGCTCGGGGCGATGTCGGGCGATCTCCGCTCCGGGGTCTGGTCCTGGCTTTGAACGGTGATTTTATTGGATCATTGTCTTGATTACGACTGGTTAGAAGATTGAATGGGGTGATACAGTAGGCGTGGAGTAGGAGGATTTGGATCGCGTCTAGTGAAGTTCCCATTGATTATTAATGTCATTCAATTTCATGAATCGCATAAACGGCAAAACCGGCGTGATTGTTTTTGCCCCACGAGGATCAAGTCGCGAGTCATGTAGCTTCATTATTGTTATGACTAGCTAGTCACTGCGCATAGCTGCGTAACCATGTGCCCCGTTATCACATACAGCAGTGTGAAGTATAGAATAATTAGTATTCAAGCAGATAAGATCATCATCATAGTAGGACGATATGTGCATTCCATCTGCAAGAATTAGGGGCAGACTCGACTCAGCTCCCCAATACCTTAACTCCGAGCTCCTAACTCCAAAGGCAATTACTTCGATTCAAACCCCGGGTTCAATCTGATCTAACAGCTCTCTCCTGACTCGGCCTCGTACGGATACACTTGCCTACCCCCTTGTTAACCCCCCGTTGCCACCACCCTGCATCATCGCCTTGGTATCCGCGTTGGGTAAACGGTGCAGGCGGGTGTTGTGTCATCGTACCCACGCCTGGTGCTCGTTGCCCATTGCCCGCGCATTTGCCCACTTTAGCCCTTCCTTACTTACAGTACTTCCCAAATATTCTTTCCAGGTCATCCGCGTCGCTCAACGCTTCATCCGGGAGTCCTTCGCGAACATGCATATTATTATTCCAGTCACAGTCGCAGTAACAGTAACAAGTTAAGGGTTAGAACCCCACAGGGTCAATTAGGCAGCTCACAACTTCTGCCTACTCCATGCATACTCAACCCTGGTTCAACCCTGCAAATGAGTAACTGCAAGTGCGTGCTTAGGCGACCTAACCCCGTGTCTGGCTCACGTCCTCGAAACAGGCTCGGGTATCGACCGCTGTGATAGGTGCTGCGCGGCGGTGGAGGGCCGGACCGCGTGAAATCGGCGCATCGCGCATCGATCGGCCATGTTTCTGGTCGGTGTCACGGCGTCTGACTGGTCTCGTTTCTTGTTCCCCGTGGGCTGCCGTGTCGATCAGGGGTGGGTCTTGTTCGAGGCTCTTTTGGGGTGATGGGTGGGGGAGAATGTTATACTTTGTCTTTTTGGGAATGCTGCCTAATTATTGTTAATAATGGGGCTCGATTTGGATAGGGAATTGATCCAAATTTTTGCTTTTGATTCAAAGGTTTTTTTTTACTTTTCTGGTGGGGTTTTTCTTGGGTTGCACCGTTGCAGGAGGCGTTTAGGTTTGGTGTTGGTGTGGGCGTTGCGGGCGGCTGGTGGGCTTGCGGGGTGTAGGTTGGTGCCTGGAGTTCACCCATTTTGGAGAGTCGGGGAACCGACATTGGTTTTTCGTGTGGTTCTCTGTATGCTATTTTTTAGATCAAACAGAAAATATTGGAATACATGGTTTTGATTTCACTCGGTGGAGGCTAAGACAAGAGAGGAAAGTATGAGTAAAAGCTTGTTCATCGGTCCCTACGTTTTTTGGAACTGATCTATTTTGAACAGGGAGCGATCATAGGTAGCAAATGCTATGGAGCTCAATACTTATCAAGATAGTATAACTAGAAAATCTGATAATGATTGGTACTAGTCTTTCCCAGCAAGGGGGTGGAGCAGATCCTTCGTCAAAAGACAAAAACATGATAATTCCTCGCGGCTCGGATTACAATTTCAGTGGCTTAATGTCGTCTTCCATGTCAGATACCTCGTATCAAAAGCTTGTGGTCATTAATTGATATTTGCTTAAATGCTTGATAATCAACTAACTACCCGCCCTGAGGTATAGAAAGACCATTCAAGGAACGAAAATGGTTTGCATACACGGACCGGTCTTTGCAGCCGCATCAAAAGCAGCCTCAAACTGCTCCAGTGGAAACAAAGTAGCCGTCTGGATACCTCCAGCCTGACCAAGTTTCAGATACCCAGCCTCAGCTAGCTGGATGATGTATCTCATATCCTCCTTCGTGTACATCCATTTGGCCTTGACAGAAATATCATTCTGCAGCATACTCATGAGAGGCAGAGTCAACTCCATGAAAGCCCCCATAAGACTGACTCGACCTCCACGTCCCAATGCCTGAATGCAACTTGTAAAGTGGGTGCTCTTGGCTGCCTCTCCCGGCGATATATCGAAGAAAACGTTGGCGGGTCCAAATTTGGTCAACTCTTGAACATCATGAGCCACGTCACCGGTGTTCTGGACTGTCCTGACTCTTCCTTCCGGGCTGAGTAGTTTGATCTTTTCCAATGCTTCAAGGTTTCGTCCAACGGCGATAACTTGTGCTCCCATTGCCAGTGCAGCAACGACAGCCGCACTGCCAAAGGCCCCAGTCGCTGGCGCAATAATGACTTTTTCGCCAGCCCTGACACCCACGTCTCGAAGACCACCCATGGGAATAGAGATCGTATGAAGGAACATCAAGTCGGCCGTGCTATAGCCAAAGCCACCATCAGCAGGATTGCCGAGGAGTCTTCGCTCATCCAACGGGAAACAATTCTCTAACGGCACTTTGCAGTACTCAGCATATGTGCTATTGCGCCACTCATTCTCCATAAGTTTGTTACTGCCAGCATCGAACCCGGAATATAGACCGTGAAGAATCAAAGAGTTTGGATTGTCGCGGCCGTGAATGAAACAGTCGAAAAAGACCAGCTGGCCCACTTCCAGCGTCGTGGCGTCTGGACCGACTGCGGCAACTCGAGCGATGGCGGAGGAACCAGGTACGAAGGGAGTCGGGTATGGATAGGGAATTTGGCCACTGAAGACTTTCCCGCCAAATGTTAAGACGGAGGCTCCTAGAATCTGGATGATAGCACTGCCTGGTCCGGCTTGTGGTGTGGGCTGCTCGACCACGGTAATATCGTATGGGTCTCTTGTCGAGTTCAATAAGAGCACCCGATGCGTTGCGGGAACAGCTGGTGTTGAATCTGGAGTCATGTTTGTTGGAATTGAGTTTCAGCGGTTAGAAAGATTCTTTCCGATATTGAGCTCGTTGACCTGGTCCAATTCATCGGGCAAACACCTCATATTTATATGCTGTCTTGCCGTATTCGCTTCTCGTATTGATAAGTTGTTAACCTATCACACTTGATGGTTTATTCAACCTAAAGCACCAAAGCTCGTATAGAGAAAATTAGAGTCGGCATCCCTGAGAGCGGAGATATCATTATCACCGGACTCGCTCCCTTAAAGCCTCTACGAGGGACTCACCCGACTTAATCCCGAATCAAGACCAAAACGATAGAGAAAATATGTTCATCGCGGCTTTTGGCTTTATTACCGGACGGATTTATTGCTTTAAGGACCTCACGATCATTGAGAGGTACTGCATAAGTGGCGATTGTCTTGCGTATATTTTCGGAGACAGCATCGCGGCGAGATAAGAAAATGGTGACTCGACCCCGCTAAAAAATGGGCCAAAGCGCGTTATATATGCAAAAAATCAAATCCGTAGACAGAAGTTCGTGAAGGGCGTGCCATGATTCTGGGTGAATGTAACAGCCAATCTTTAGTGGCAAGGTTTGTGCTAATCCCCATTACTTCTGACAATCGCTTTTTAAGATGTCCCAAAAATGCTCAATTTTCCGTACATCCTCCTCCCTAACTCTGATGCACAGTGTTCTTAGACACTTGGCTTCATCATTCTCACTACAGGTTGTTTCTGGTGGGTGCTACTGCTAGCGGAGAGTCAAATAGTGATCAATACGAATGATAGACTTTGTGGCTGTAATCGCAGTAAGATTTTACCAAGCCTCCTGACAGCTTATCTTGGTGGCAATGACGACACGCTGGAAGAGCTGCTGCTCCAGTCTTTCCATCATGCATGTAGGTGAGCTGCGAGAATTCCTTTCGAGGAGGCAGATGTGGACCTTCAAAATAATACTCAGGATAAGAGTGAGCAGAACAACAATACCTTAGGTGAGATTTCTAATCTCAGTAAAAAAGTCGAGTGGAGGTAGTGATAATGCTGAAATAGTTTACGGCGCGCATTGGAATACCTTCAGGGTATCCCATTCTCAGCGAGTTTTTGCATCTTTATCGCCAGCTACTCGCAGCCACCGCTTGCTGTACTTCGTATTGGAAGACGGCCACGTAGTCTACACTAACAAGGGTCCTCTTTCTTGGCGACTAGCGGGTAATAAACCTAGCGACGACGACAATGCGGGCATTGGTTAAAGGGCCTACAAAAAACGCCCTTGGACTTCGCTTCCATTGGGAGCTCGTATACACTTGGTCTTACGCGCCAAAGTGATTGATTGACCTTCTTACACACCTCTGTCGCCTACCCCAATATTACCCTACTACTTAACATAAGCCATGTTCGCTCTTAGCCCACCATTGGGAGGTACTATATCAGAGTACTATAAATGTATCTTGATAGATGTCTAGTTGACCCGGGGCATTGTTAATTGGAGCTTGACATTCCGAACGGCCGTTACGCTTGTATGTTAAAACGCAAAGTGAGAAAATTATGTAGAACAAGATTGTATGGCGATTCAAGTATACAATCTCGTTCAACGGAAGACCACTGAGAATATTCTGTCCTAAACACTGATCTTGCATCAAGAAGGGAGATTATCAGGAGATAGCCGTCGGGGCTACATTATTGCACAGCTGAAAACTTCAGATTCGCTCGAACCTTTGAGCATAAGATTTAAGTTGCAACCTATAGCGATCGTAATGACTCGTATTCACTGCTAGTCTTGACACCTTGATGAAGACAAACAGGCTAAACCCCAGAAACGCAATAGTATTGTCCACTATGGGGTCACATGACTATAAATCAACCATAACAATATGAAATGTCACATGATATATCACGTGTAATGCAGGAGGTGGGATTGGTAAGGAGACATCATCATCGAACTGTGCTCTTAGCTGTGCCTGTTTCTTTCTCTCCAGCTGCTAATTCTCAAGCCGATTCCATGATTGGGGATCTGGAAAATCCCGCGTCAGCACCGGAACACCAAGTGGGACTGCGACGTCGCCAGAGACGAGTTCAAGTAGCCAGAGCGTGTGATGCTTGTCGACTTCGCCGCACCAAATGCGACAATGGTGTGCCATGTTCAAAGTGCATAGCACGTGGAAACCACTGTAGTAATAGTGGTGCACTTAAGGCCTCAACTCTCACCGAAGCGTCTGAGGAAATTGCCTGCCTTAAGCGGAAAGTTCAGGAATTAGAAACAGAGCTCAAGCGGCAGGCATCCGACCATCACAACCTACCAAGTCCTATAGGATCATCACCGTCACTGCATTCGGATCGTTTATCTACAAGGGCGGACCCTGGCCCTGGTCTAAAAAGATACCGTGATGGTATACAATTTCGACCCACGCGCTCCTCTAACGAGACATGGTTTGGGCCATCATCGCTTTACTCTTTTATTCAGCGTCTTGGCGAGTTTCTCAATCTCAAACTACAAAAGGAGCATTCTGTCCACCGTTTGCATCCTGTATCAGCCAGCGACCACAAACTATTGGACGTGCCAGAAGCAGGCCTAGTTGGAACCCAAGACCGTCCACTGTCACGCCCAACAGAGGACGTCTTTAGTGCGGGGATTTACCTGAGTCTCATACAAGAAGAATATTTTATCAACCTTTACTGGCAAACCTACCATACATCGCTTTTTCCGATCGTGGATGAGACACAGTTCAAGAATCATTATCAGTCTCTCTTGGTGAATGGCGGCCAGAACCGCAAACCCTCGGCCCTCGTCGACATTATAATTGCCATGTGCATGCAATATGCAACCTCTACGATGCCTGCAGAGACTCAGGGAATGCTCGCCGAGGGCAAAGATGCACTAGTTGCCGGTCGGTGGCACTATTGGCGTGGGCAAAAGTTACTCCAATATGAGCTTGACAGCCCATCGTTATCAACACTACAATGCCATCTGCTTTGTGCAGTCTACACATGTGGCGGGTCTTTCCACAATTTGATGATCAGTACCGTGGGACTAGCTGTAAGCACTGCTTATATGCTTGGTCTGCATCTGGATCCCCCACCGACCATGCCCGAGAAGGACCGCGAGATGCGCAGGCGGCTGTGGTGGGCAGTCTATCTCATGGACAGCAAATCAGGAATGAAGCTTGGTCGTCCTTTTATGCTGTCAAGCTCCTACTTTATGCCGTCTCTACCTAGTGACACTCTTGAGGCCGCTGCGAGCTCAGGATCTATGTTTACGCCTATCGGACAGAATGCCACATGGCTGAGCTATAATCTACACACGGTTCAGCTTTACATGAAAGTTCGAACAGCTTATACGGCATTTTATGACCACGAGAGTCATCTGCAAGAACGTCAGGCTTTATGGCCTAATCATCAAGCCCAAAACTCCGGTGCGGAGGTTCTGAATGCATACGCCCAGAGCATTCACCAATGGGTTGATGGTATTCCAGAATCTCTGAAATTGAAGCGTCAAAACAATGGTCAATCCTCATCTACGGATTTTTCCTCCATTGTACTTGAGCCATTCACCCCACCTTGGCTGCAGCGACAACGTTTACTCCTCGAACACACATATCATCACCTCTGCGTAAATTTGTATCGACCATTTATATCCTTCACCTTGAAACCTCTTTCCGACTCAATATCGGAAGAACTCGCCATGAGATGCGCTTCTCATGCAATAATGTTGACGATGATCACGCATCAAGCGCTCACAGAATCAACGCTTTTTGACGGGTGGCACGAGGCCTTCTTCTGCCAATGGAATGCAGTCATGACTCTTGTTGGGTTTGTGATGTTGTTTCCGTCTTCGACATTATCCTATCAGGCCAAGCATGCAATTGAATTGGCTATCTTGGTTTTCGATAATTTCGGTGCGAAGTTTTCTGTCGCGGCAAATGCAGCGAAAATCGTTCGTGATTTATCCGTCAAAATTGAGGTTCTCACGAGGTCCAGCGATCTTGAGTTCAACACTGCGACCATCTCCCAAGACTTTGAAGTTGGCTCCTTATCCTCGGTTTCTGTCGACCAGGCTCTGCCATCACAGGATCTTTTCGATGCACCGGACTTCAACCTGTTTGACATGGCCGTTGACATTGATTTCTGGAATAGTGCTGACACGCTATGGCCCGACCTTGAGAATTTATCACAATTTCAAGCGGAAATATGAGCGACGAATGGCCTATTTTGGAAATATGAATGCTACAAATGAGAAAATTGATCTAAACTTCATCTCGCAATAAGTTGAAGTCTAAATGAAACCTCCTTTCATAGCGTCCATTGGGTAGTTCTCTTTCGGAGCAGGTCTACTAGCCTTATTCCAGCTATCTCCCAAGCTGGCTAGCTTGTTCTATCTGGTTTGTGTAATGGTCACTGCTGGCCTCTAGCCTTACCTGTGCCTGCTCTTTGATAGGAAAAACTTCGCATCTATTGACGAATGGAGTGCACTGTACAGGATCTCTCGGGCTTTGCTTCGTACTTGCCTCCAAGTATATCCGACAATGTATTTTGCATATTGGCCTATATTGCTATAAGTTGATCATATTAAACGATCATGGAATCACCTGCTGTATGTTGTTTATTATTATCAAGATTTGGTGGTCTACCCGGCGGAAGTTCCCCGGAGATACGGAGTCATCTGGAGAGCCGCCAAGTACACTTTACATGATAAGCTTGGGAGCAAAAGGTCTTGGTAGATGAAGAGATACGTATTTGCGCGAATATAATTGGATACTAGTTGCATATACTACGACAGTCAGATGGAGATTTTATAGATTGAATCGCAGATAAATGAGTCCACGTAATTTGTCCTGCAGTCATACCGGAGCTGCGGAGTTGCGGAATGACGGAGTCGCGGAGTTACGGAGTTGAAAGTGACACCCCGACTGTAGATAAGAATGACTATAAATGCCCTTCTCATCTGCACCTTTTCAAAATAACATTCACACCTCATCAAAGTATATTCATACTATAAGAAACATCCACTACTCCAACTTCTTTCCAAATTCAAAATGTCTCCTGCTCGCAAGGCGCTCATTAGCATTACTTCGGCCCAGGCCACACTCTTCCAAGGAAAAGAGACAACCGGACTCTTCATCAGCGAAGCTCTTCACCCATTCAAGGTCCTGACTGCTGCGGGCTTTGAAGTTGATCTCGCCTCTGAGACTGGAAAATACACCCCTGACTGGCTCTCCCAACAGCCCGACTTTCTCAACGGCGATGATCTCAAGATCTGGAACGACCCCAACAGCGACTTCCGCCGCAAGCTAGACAATCTACACAAGGCTGCCGACCTGGATAAATCCCAGTATGGCTTATTCTATGCCTCTGCTGGCCACGCCGCTCTGATCGACTATCCCACCGCATCCTCCTTGCAAAAAATCGCTGAGGAAGTCTGGGCGAACGGCGGTGTTGTTGCCTCGGTGTGTCATGGACCTGCTATCTTTGCCAACATCCTCGATAAGGCAACTGGAGAGCCTATTATCAAGGGAAGAAAGATGACTGGGTTCACCAGTGAGGCCGAAGACACTATGGGAATAATGGCCGAGCTTCGGGGATGGAATTCGGAGATGGTCGAAGAGGTTGCCGAACGCCTTGGCGCTACTTGTGAGTTTTACTTGAACTGAAGAGGCTTTCATGTAATAAGAGCTAATTCAAATTACAGATGAGCGCTCCGCTGGAATTTGGGATGACTTCCACGTCGTTGATGGCCGTCTAGTGACAGGCCAGAATCCTGCTAGCGCAACGTCGACTGCTAAGGCTGCCGTTGCGGTTTTTGAGACATTGTGATTGCATATTTGTCAAGTCTCTCTCTGGAATGGATCATGGAATTGTACTAGCTGTCTGATAGGTGGTCAGAGCTCTCACTTAACTTTTGTGGAGTATATTTTTTGAATGGTACATTCAGAGTGAGATCATTTCAGCCAGTAAATCAGAAGTATCTCAAATCTTGAGTCCGGCATTGGCAACCCATATTTGTGCTAGTCATTTCTATTGAAAGTAAAAAGTCTGAATTTTTGAGAAACATTTGATACCTAGCCCTCTGACGATTGTTCTCCGCTCCGTTTCGCACGAAGTGCACATTTCTTTGTTAAAGACCTTCCATATGGTGCCTAAGGTGTGCTCGGCCTGAACTCGTAGCATAGGTCATCATGCTCGGTCTGGGGAAGGTGTAATCAACGCCAACGTCTAGTCTAGAAAAGTATTCAAGATCACTGATGTATGAACTCGAGCCTGCAACATCCATGAAGCCTTGAGGACAGCAAATGCAAGTGAGTCAATGGGTGGCCTGCCTCCCTGACTTTCTGGACAATTTTGGTGTCTAGACCACTAGCAACTGCTCCAATCCAAAGTGCACCCAAATTTAGCCGACGAATGACACCAATCAGAGTAAGTAATTCTTGGTCGTCATCATTCATAACAGATGTGCCACCTAAGGCCTCCTCAAGAACCGGATATAGCCATGGACTCGCCAAGTTGCACGGAACGTCGATTCCCAGAATGATCCACACGAAGTTGACATCATTACTTCCGGACTATCATTCAAGGGATCCATTCATATTGCGTGTATAAAATGATGGGTGTGTGTAAAATCTGTAATCTATGTTGGGTGGGGTGGGTCATCAAACAAGATGGTGGATATCTGGGGGCCCCGGATTTTAAGCTTCATCAACGCCGACACTATCATCTGAATAGCCTCAAAACAAGGAGAGACACCATCCAGTTCATGAAAATAATATTCAGGGAAATCCAAAAAAACCCCGAAGGGCCCCAAACCCCGCGACTTGTCTCTTTCCTCTTGGGAGGGATCACGCCCACCTTACCACCTGTGTAAGTAGGATCTCCACGGCCAGGTAAAGTGCGCCGGGGGTTCGAACCGACATCCTGCAATTAGGGTATCCCGATAGAGCGTGTCTAAAGGCCCCCATGCGGGAGCTTAACCGCTAGGGCACGGGTGGTTCTGGGTGATTGCTTAGTCCTTTCATCCCCCTAAATCTTGTCCCGAAGGCGCTTTCAGGCAGGTACTTGCCTTTTCTGGAAATCGAGGCAAGAGCGATGGGTAGTTGACTTCCCAGTTTACGTAAGTGCGCAAACTCAGATAGAGCATTGAGGGCCCTGTACGAGGACAAGGGGGTTTGCGCGGAATTCGACGGGCCAAGCGTTTGTTTGATAGCAAAGGGTGCTTCACACCTGCGAGACACCATGGGGCAAAAACGACCTCACGAGTAGTGTGCTTCACAAGGCCTTTCCATCCTTCGTATTTAGATAGTATAGAGGAACACCAACGAGCCACGTCCGCCTCTACCTGCCCGACATCTACAATGTGAGTCTCGGGTGAATGGCACAGGCCATCAGCTAAGCAATCAGCTTGAAATCTAGTGTACCGTATAGAAGCACCTCCTTCTTGCAATTCAACGAGGCTTACGGAGAATACATAACACCAGCCAATCATAAGTATGCCCCGATAGTTAGGACCGGTGGTGTTCTCCTCGGTGGTACCGATCCAGTGGCTGAATATGTTTCCACCAAAATCGTACGGGATAGCAGTACTGATGCCAATCTGCAGCAAGGCAGGACTTGTTGTTTCTTCTTTGACCATCTCGCAGCCCACGTCGCCCGCCAGTTTCCAAGTAGAGGAGACTTGCATGCAGAGAGCAAGATTTTGTGACACTCCCAAGGGGCGAACAATTGTGGTTTGGGGGCAACCTTGGAGTGCCGGAACTTTATGAAGGGCATTTAGAGGACTTGTCTATTTAGTAGCTAAGCTGTGCCTTCGATGGGCATCGGTTAGGGATGCGACGCGATACCAGTAATCCCGGCTCTTTTGAAGGGTCTCATCTTCTGGCTCGTTCTGGGGCTGAAGAACATTGCTTTTGTCGACGTTACCAGGCGAACTAGCCTTGATTGTTAGGGCGAAGGGAAGAGAAAACCAACCGAGGAAAGCCTTAGACACGTGCTCATTTCTGAGGATGACGTTGGGTAAACCGGGTAGGGTTTGCAAAACCGCCCCGGGGGTGTATGAGAGTATGGTGGGTGGAAGCCGAGTTGTGGACAGGAAGGAATATGAAGAGCAACGATCCCCCAAAGGAAAGGCGACGCTGAAACAGCTATGGCTATTAGCACAGCCACATCTATTAAATACCTGCAGGTGGTGAAATGGCCGCTTTACGGGGACTCGATATTGAAGGTTCTTACGGTGCCGTATTGACCATGCCCGATCACAAACGCCAATGATAAACACCGCTAACAATGGCTAAATTTGGCAATCAAGTTTTCATACACTTATATACCAATCAAAGAATGCTCGACGGTATATATCCTTTTTCCTTTTTAAGCTACTTTCTGGATAAGCGCTTTATCTGCATGGCCCCCGGGGCCGCTCGATGCAGTGTTACTCCAATCAAACAATGGAAACAAGCGCCAACAGGGAAAAGCCTCACCAACAATTAGCTCCGTTAGTTATATCTCGATTAGGGAAATTGTCGACAGCCTCACTTGGACCCCAAGGCTTAAATACAGAAATCTCAAGCTTCTCACCTTTCCCTCCTTTCTTGAATTGCAACATTTCACGCCTTATCGCCAAGCGTAACTACCAGCATTACATCAAAGATGGCGCCCGTGAGCTTGCTGATTGCAAGCCTCAATTTCACACAGGCTGAGATTCTCAAAGCTGGACTCATTCAATTTGCCGTCGACCGTTCTCCGATCCTTTCCCTTTCTGAATTCTTTACCAAAGTCTTGCCTGAATTCTTTACTAAAGTCTTGCATGAATGGCTAGCAAAAGTCTTGGAATGGCTTACCCATCCTGGTGAGTAAACTTAGCTCCATGCTCCATCTTCATGATATTAATGACCATCAAAGAAACCCTTCTCATCATAACTGTGTGGTGGATCACCTTTGTGGTGGTGTTGATTATCGTATCCTGCATTGGGCTTAACCCAGTGGGAGTTGCTGCAGGTCTGGCATATCCCCTTACTAGAAGAATCGTCACTGGGCCCTACAAGCTAACTCGCTCAACAGGCTCTGCAGCGGCTTATTTTCAGTCTTGGATGTATGGTGGGTTTACGCCTGCAGGTGGTATTTTCGCCACTTTGACAAGTATGGCGATGCTCGGCACATTGATGCCTTTACAGGTGATATTTTCTTCTACTGTTGCAACCATAGCTGCCGTGATCGTCTGGAAAAACGGATATAGATGGTGACAAGATAATGGTTAATGTGAATGATCTATGTTTGAAGGAGTCTCCTACCTAGGGTCCAATGCTAGGAGGCCATCGCCGCAATTAATGTCGCCCGTATCCGGCATTATTAAGATAGCGTGTTCAGGAAGCTCTATGCATACTAATCTATGTATATTTTACTTTCCTGCAGCCATTTCATTGGCCGCTTAATGTACACTCTTCTTCTTTGTCTAAATGATGGCACTAATGTTTCTCAAACAACGAAAGGTTTATGGTGGCTCCTCAAAGTTATGATGCATCCTCAAGACATTTTATATCATGTTCCATGAATTGGATCGCTCACCTTGAAATAGCAAATCCATAGAAGAGATAGGGAGAATCTGGTTGTCTTGGACATTTTCATACATGCTCAACGTATCAGAACCTTAAAAAGAGGGAATCTTATCGCGCAAAACCGGGTAGGAGGGGAAAAGAGGGGAAAATGGGGAATGTCATCATCGCTGCTGAGACCTTGCACTTCCAACCTCCTCTTCTCCTCAGCCTCTACTTTGTGCATTTTAACCCCCTCACATCCTCCACCAGAGGGATCTGGCCCATTAGTTAGCCACCTTGTTTTAAAGGCGCAATCATCGCCCCGAAGAACGGAGCGTGAAATCCCTCAATCGCACATCATCCGACTCGGAACACGACTGCCGCCCTCCATCAGAACCACACTTCCTCCGTGCCAATACCCACCGGGGCCTATAAAACCCTCTCCCCCAGAAAGAGGGTCAAAGATCTTTCATCTTATCTGATGTGCTGATTCATCTGATCCCCGCGACAAGCCTCTGATGGCAGTAACAGCATGGTGGTGTTTGTCGACCTAGATCACGATGACTCCTTCTCCGAGCATCATCATCATGGATCGGCGCTCTCTTTGGGGAAGCCCTTCCCGCCCAAACTGACGGTCGCACCCATTGTAACCGCCGAGTCGTCTGAACTTTTACCGTCGCCTACTTCGTCTGAGGACGACCGCGAGCTAGATTCAGCGATTTCCCAACCAAATCATGCGCCGGATGTCGAGAATCCTAATCTGAATTCCTTCTCGGCCGCATTGAGTTGCTACCCGTATGTGGATCCCTAGCGCGACCGCTCTTCCCCACGCAACCAGTCACTAACACCAACGCCCTTCTGGACGCTCTTTAGCATCGTCAAGGAAATCGCTCGCGCCGTTGACCTGAATACCCTCGACGCTCTATCTCGAACATGTCGCCAATTCCACGCCAATCTGGCACAGTTTCGGCACCAGCTCGTGCGGGAGACTTTGCGCTGCGAGAATGAGTATATCGAGACTGTGGCGGAGATGCTAGACAGGAGTGCTATTATCCCGAACAGTGTCAAATCGGTGCTACAGCTGCTAAGCCAGAGCAGTGGCGAGTCAGGGCGTATGACACGCGGGAAGGTGGGTAGATGCGCACGAGACATGGTCGGCGAGTGTCGACGCTGCAGCAAGGTCGTGTGCAGGGTATGCTTCTCCCAGAAGAAAAACATACATTTTACCTGGAGTTGGACATGACTGACTCGCGACAGAATTGCACGATCAAACCTCCCTCCCAGACCGCTATGAAGGGTCGCATCCGTCGTCTTTGTCGGCCCTGCGGCAAAGCACCACTTTCCTGCCACCTCTCCAATACACCCCACAACATGGACTCCCTTGATACCTGCAACCAAGCCACCGTGGCGGACGAAATCGCACGCAGCGCCGGAATATGCAATTGCAACGATGCTTTATGGCTATGCCAACAATGCGGGCAGACCCTACGCAGCAACGACACCACATACCGCCGTGTCTGGGCCTGGCGCACCCGATACAGCACGTACCTCGGTGGCGGGCTCGGCACTGGCATTGGCGAGGGCTCCCAGGGCGTGAAATGCGGCCGTGGCGAAGCTTGTCTCGCCGCGAAAGAGATCGAGCTAGAGGTTGACTGCGAAGCGGACGAAGGGCCGAGTGATACTAGTAGTCCCGGCCACAGCCCTCCCAGCCACCCATCATATCACCACGAGCTGGTCTCGACAGATAGTCATGATGACGAAGAACCGGGGTATTTCCGACAGGAAGTCATTGGCTTGGGTGGGCTGATGAAACACAAGGCTAAGAAACGGGTTATGGTGGGTGCTTGTGTCGTTGAGTATGAACACGAGCGGGAGACGGGGAGGTATCTTATGCGCGAGGAGAGTGGTCTGCATCGGGCGTGGTGTGGATGGTGCTCGAGGGTAATTCCGGCGTATAATGAGAAAGTGCTCGGGTAATGGTAATGAGCTGGGCATATAGCTTGCATGGGCATCATTATGGTTCATTGCATTACGGCATACTCTACACATGATGACGACGAGTGTATATACGGGCATTACAGTTGCACAACGTAGTTAACGAATGAATGTGCATTGTCGAGAGAGTCTATCACCTGCTGAACTCAAGTTTTAGTGGAAACAGAAGTATAATGATCGATATTTGTCAGTAGAAGCTGACCAATTTGATTTGATAGGTAGTAAGACATGAAAGCAAGAAATAGTGGCTATATTTAACAGTCTGGATGATAGAGACGACAAGAAAAGACAGTACTCCGGGAATGCTCGCTCCTCCATGCAACCATAACATCATACATCTCTGATAACACATCTCAAAAAAAATTCATCACAAATCATCATCGAGTATCCAATCTCACAAAAAAATCAAACTTGTATGGTACGAGAATCGTCTCAATTGGTTTAATGAGCAGCAATAGCTCTGAAGAAACCCTTGAGCTTAGATTGCTCCCGAGGGGGAGACTCTTCGCGCTTGTGCCGGCGATGGGCACGAACCTCCTTGTCTTTGCCGTCCTTATCTTTGCTGCTCTGGTGGGTGCGACGCGAACCCTCGGGTTTCTTCTCACGTTCTCGGGGCTTGCTGACTTCGGCTTCAACGGAGCTGCGGCGTCGACTCCTCCTCTCCTGACGAGCAGGATCGTCTTCGCGTCGGGAGTGAGTTTTCTCAGTCCGTCCACTGGGCCGCTTCTCCTCCTTTGAAGATCGCTCTTGATTGCCACTGCTGTGGCTGTGACTCGTAGAGGACCGGCGGGGCTTTTCAGGAGCGTCGGTAGCAGACTTGGAAGTGCCGTTGGGTCGCACGATGAGCCCGTTGGTGTTGGTGGGTGGGGCATTGCTCATGTATCTTAGGAACGCCCGAGGCTTGGGCGCAGAGGTCGATGCTTGCTTCGAGGACGAGGAAGTCTTGACAGACTTGCTTTGCTCTGCTTCGGATGAGCGACGCTTGGGTTTGGATTTGGGCTCTGCCTCCACAGTGACAACAGGTGGTTCTTTTTCTATTGGAATCTCCACCTTCTCCTTTGAGGAAGAACTCCTGGACTTCACAGAGCCTTCCGATGGGGAACCATCACTGCGCTCCTTGTCTTCGGCAATAGCTTGTTGCTTTCGCTGGTTGTTTGCTTCAGCCCTCTTCTTCTCCTCGTGCAGCTTCCGGGCTTCTTCGAGAGCCTTTGCCCAGCGATTGGTGAATAGTCCGCGCTCACTCTTCTGGCGCTTGAGTTGCTCCTTCTTCTGCCCTTCGGAGGACGTTTTGGAGTTTCGCCGCTCGCGTTCATTCACGGGGCGCTTCTTGCGTCGACGGGAGTTGTGCCGGGCTGCTGAGTCTCCCACTGGCAGTTCTGATGCTTCTGCGAATGGGACATCTTCGGCTTCCTCTGGCACAACCTCCGCAGGGGCGTCATCTTCTGCGGCGACTTCATCCGCAGGAGCAGCTGGTTCAGCCGGCGCCTCTCTTGGTTCCTCGGGGGGCTCCTCAACAGGTGGTTCGGCCACTGGCTCAGCGGGCGCAAGTTCTGGTGCAGAATCAGGTTCAGCAGGAGTTTCTTCTACTGGCATCTCTTTTGACTGTTCTGCCTCTGCTGCAGGCTGCTCGACAGGCTCCTCAGCTGGCGTCTCTGGAGGGATTGGCTCGGCAGGAGCTTCTACAACAGCAGCGGGGGGCTCCGTGGACGCAGGTTCCTCGGGTGCAGGCTCAGCAGGAGCAGATTCTTCGGGGGCAGGCTGTTCGAGAGTAGGTTCAGGCTCAGCAGGGGCAGGCTCTTCGGGGGCAGGCTCCTCCTTCGGCGCTTCTATAGCTTCTGGAACAACCTCCTCAGGGGCAGCAGGCTCGACGACAGGAGCTTCTTCGACAGGTGCTGGTTCAGCTGGAGCCTCCTCTACGGGAGCGGGCTCAGGGATGACCTCTTCTTGCGACGCTTCTGTCGGTGCGGCAGCAGCCTCAGGTTCATCCGCAGCAGGTTCGACATGTTCTTCGACCGGGGCTTCGGAAACGGCTTCGGCCGGTGCAGACTCTGGTTGAGGGGCTGAGGGCTCTTCTGCTAGGGACTCCGGTATATCTGCGGCTGGTTCCTCGGGGGCAGGCTGTTCAGCGACAACTTCCTCTGTGGGTGCCTCGGAAATCGGTTCTTCAGCTGGAGAAGCTTCAGTAGCAGTCTCCTCGGGAAGGGGATCTTCCTTAGGGGGATCCTCGGGCGTCGGGTCATCTGCGGGCGGCTCTTCGACAGCTAGCTCCTTGGTTGATTCCTCAGTAGGGGCCGCTTCGGCAGCAGGCTCTTCTTGAGGTTCAGAAGCAGGCTCTTCAGCCACAGGTTGCTCAACCACAGCTTCATCAGCAGTAGGAGGCTCTTCAGGTGATTCTTCCGCCTTGGCAGATTCGGCGGGCTCCTCTACAGCGGCAGGCGCCTCTTCGGCAGCGGGTGTCTCTTCAACAACAGACTCCTTCGTGGCAGGCTCCTCGGCGGCAGCAGGCGGTTCCTTGGCGGCAGGCGCCTCTTCAGCAACTGACTCCTCCTGAGCAGCGGGCGTCTCTTCAACCGCAGGAGATTCTTCTTCCAGTACAGTCTCGACAGGAGCTTCCTCGGGTTGTTTTTCAGCGACAGGTTCGTCAGCGGCTTCTGAAGCTGGGGTTTCAACGGCTTCTGCGGGAGCAGCACCGTCGGCTGGCTGATCTGCAGGCTCAGAGGCCGGGGCTTCAGTCACAGGTGCTTCCTCTGAGGCTGGTTCCGGTGCTGATTCTTTAACAGGTGGCTCGGCAGCTGCGTCGTCGGGAGGAGATTCTTCCTTCGGTGCTTCTGTGGGTGCTTCTGCGGGTGCTTCTGCGGGTGCTTCTGCGGGTGCTTCTGCTGTCGGTTCGGGCTCAGTCTCAGGCTCAGGCTCAGACTTGGCTTCTGCTTCTGGTTCCGTGGCGGCAGGTTTCTCGGCGGTTTCTTCCTTTGCTGGTTCGGTAGGCGGGTCGGCAGCAGTAGCGTCTAGCGTGTCGTCCTGTGAGGCCTCGGGCGCAGCAGGCTCTTCCGTAGGCGTAGTCTCCGGTTCTACTGCGGGTTCAGTGCTTTCAGGCTCTGCCGGTACAGTGGTCTCGGTTGATTCCACCGCAGCATCCTCTGGCTTCACTTCAGCATCGGCAGGCTTCTCGTCGAGTTCAGCTGCTAGTTCGGGCGCCGGTTCAGCGGGCTCCTCCACGCTTGGAGGATCATCGGAAGCAGGCTTATCGGCCTCAGGTTCGGGTTCAGGCTCAGCTGCGGGCTCGGGGGTCAGTTCTGAAGCAGGTTCAGGTTCAGGTTCCGGCTCTGTATCAGTTCCTTTACTAGCTTTGCCCTTCTTGGCATTCTTCTTCTCCTTCTTCTTGGCGTTCTTTTTGGCCGCCTTGGAGGTGAAAGCAGCGGGTTCCTCCACCGGCTCTCCAGGAGTGCTCGACTCGGCAGGAGGTTCTTCGTCGGCTTTCGCCTCGGGTTCTGGCGTTTCGGCTGGAGCGGCTTTCTCAGCTTCAGACTCGGCTTCGGGGGCTGGAGGGGCTTCTGTTGCAGCTGGCTCCTCGGCCTGGGCAGGGCTGTCTCCTGAATCTTCGGCTTTGTCGGTGGGTTCCGCGGGAGTTTCTTCCGCAGCAGCAGGAGCTTCTTCTGCGGCAGTAGGCGTATGTTCCTGTGATGCAGGTTCTTCAGCCTTGCTTTCATCTGAAGCGGCTTCGGGTGCAGCCTCTCCAGCTGGAGCAGGTTCGGCTAGAGCGTCTCCCGCTGGGGGATCGTCGGCTGGAGCATCCGTCTTCTCGTCGTCTGCTTGAGACAGAGCTTCCTCGGCGTCTTCAGCGGCTTGCTTTGCCGCTTCTTCTTTCTCCGATTCTACTCCATCATGTCCAGCCTCAGGGTCAACGTCTGGAAAATCTTCGTCTATAAAGATGTTAATTCGACAAAGTGCATGAATACGATGGTATTAGACTTACCATTGCCTCCATTTTCATCGCTGGGCTTTGCTGCACTATCTGTCTCTGCCAGGGCTGCGCTTTCATCGACCTTTTCGGGTTCTGCACCCTCTGCAGGGGGCTCCGAAGCGGCTGCATCTGGGGCGGCTTCGCCCTCTGCGCTTGGAGCAGCTTCATCGGTGCCAGCTGCGTCCTCAGTTTCCACTTTTGCATCTTCGCCTGATGCATTCGCGGCTTCAGCAGGTTGTTCATCTGCCGGGGGCGTAATCGCCTCGGAGGATTCTGTAGAGTGTAAGTGAGTAAATGTATGTTACACAGCACAAGCGATGTTTCCCTCGACAATGTTTATATACATATCAAAGTCAATGCACATACCTGCAGGCTCTGGTGTCGCTGGGCTTTCATCTGGAGAGCTCGTGGGTTCCTCTGTCTTAGCCTCAGCAGCTGGAGCTGGTTCTTTCGCTGGTTCGGTAGCACTGGGCTTTTTGTTGTCCTGGACCTTGCCCCCCGTCAGACCATTTGCTTTCGAACCGACGGGATAATAAGAGAATTCCAACGTGTTCCGATCGAAAGTTTGGTATTGCTTTTGAAAGGAGTAATACGAATATTTAGGGAGCTCTGCGTACTGGAATTTTTGGGAGCTCATCTTCGCAGCCTACGGCCGCCGACTCCAGGGCAGGCTCGTCTGGAAGGTCTGTTGTCTCAGGGTTGGAGTTTGTTGCACCGACGGGAAGGCGGTTATTGTTGTTGTTCTTATTCTTCTTCTTTTTTCCTTTGCCGGCCATGTCCTCGGATCAATGACGTATCATATATCGAGGACGGATGTGGACGATGCTGACTGGCGCGTGATGCACCGGAGAACGGAACAATAGTAGAGTGACAAGCCGCTGTTAGGCTTCTGATGCAGGGTAAAGGGGTCGGAATGGAGCCACAGGGGGAAAAAGAAGTGACAAAAGATGGAGAGATCAAAGACCACGAGACTGGGCAGGGTACGAAGTATTAGAAGATGGAATGGGAAAGAAGCATATGCTTGTTTCTCCGGAGACGAAGGGATTGTATTGGATGGCTATTGCAAGGCAACGTATAATAGTTCGTCCGCTATCCGGGGAGGTTAGGATCGCAATCCGCTACATTGCGGTATTGGGCCCTGAACGTCATTAGTGAATGGCCTAACGATAATGTTTGCCATTGGACCACGTCGCTTCGGTCTCCATGCAGTGGTGGCCAGTATTGGGTGGATGGGTGAGTACTGGTACTCGAATTAGGGCCGGGTGAGGGCAGCACAATCTCCACTCGGAAGAGTTGCTGCAGGAGCAAGTATCCCATGGCGGAATGGGATTGGGGATTGAGAAGCAAGACTGTCCAGATAGGAAAGGTATTCCTGCAGCTTCATGGAGCAAGATGGGTATGTTTAGTGGGGTGGGGTGCCACCATACAATTGGGTTTAAATTTTTATCTGTTGTCTTTGCTCTGGCCGTAGGGTACACACCTAACTCAGCGTGGGGTTGAGAAGATCATTGAACGCGAGTGGGTCAATAGACAATTCGAATGACCTTTGTGAAGCCAATTCAAAAAAGAACTGCTGTACTCCCATCATGGAAGAGTAGAGAATAGAGCTGTTAAGGTGCCCGCCGAGTAACGAAAAAGTGATGCGGTCGAGAGATCCATTTGTGCCCAACCAGCCACCGGTTACGGCGGCAAATAGGATGCAGGCCTGGCGCCAGTGGGGGGAGCGAGGGTCCCCCTCCTAAGAAACGCGGTGTTGGATCAATTGGAACTTCCCAATGGAATTCTTGGCCCAATGAGTCAAATGTGTCAAACAGGAGGGCCTCTAATGATTTGGATGGAGTCGCTGGAGAGCAATTGACTCCACTATCTGACACCGACACTTCATAAGGCCGATCTCCCTCTTCCCGCGAACGTGAAAGGACATTGATGCTTCACGATGGTGCTGTCCACGGTAAGGGCGTAGTCAGAATGGAGATCCGGTCCTCCATTGCGCAGGATTGATGATGCATCAGTCTCATGCAGAAGGAGGGGAAGTGGTGGAACGTGGACTTGAGCGACTTCGGGACCTTTCCAGGGCCGGGCGGGATCAGGTGACGACTCGTTGTCGTGCGATCTTCCAGCCAGTGCCAACTCACCACGTCCCACCCCGTCGGAATTTCGATAATCTGATCGCAAAGCCAACTTTGAAACTTGGTGACGGTGATCGCCATTCCCCCCTTATCTTGGCCTTGCCCGAGTCCGAAAAGAGGTGCATGCATACCTTAAACTACTAGTGTCTCCTACCCGTCGACGACTTCCCATGGTTCTCGCGACGGCGCGACCCGAGGGCGTCCCGGACGCCCTGTTTCTGATGTGCTATGTTCCTCAAGCTTCGTTTCTGCTCCAAAATTGGAACAAATGACTGCCCAACACCCTGCAGCGGGCCGAACATCCATGCCACGCTTACCTCCTGTTGGCGAATCGCGGCCCAAGGCTTGGAAGATGATCAATGACACGCAGCAACTACCAAAGAAAAAGGGATCCTGAATGAAACATCATCCAGTACCACTCATGGCAAAGATGGTACCATTACTGGGAGACCTTGGTAAAGCTTTGATGGACTAATGTATGTGATTCGGAGCTTGACTGTTCAATCACGAAGCCAGAGAGGGTAAAATCCTCCGTCTTCGAACTAAGGGAGATCCGTATTTGCAAAGGGCAAGGGTGAAAGGGAAGAGGCGATAGAATTACTGGTTGATGTGGCCGTGCTCTGTGAATTGTGAAGCGAATCTCAATGGCCGTGGAAGTCTTCATTTTCTCCGCTCAAAGGACTATTTAAGTGATGTTCCAACACACAATGACAGCCTTCGGTTTCTTGACATGCTTATACCTAAGCGCTACGCCAAACCCGACTATGAGCTTATATTTCGGGTGTCTCAGTTTAGGTGTTTTCCATGATGCCAGGGTTTTCAGTTCCTGGTACAGCTGCACGAAGCATTCGAGATATTCCTGTCGTCGCTTACGAATGACATCGAATTCATTGCTGCGCGCAAAAAAGACGCTTGGCGATGGCACAAGTCTCTGCCTGCTATTCGTTGTACTTCAAATCGTGCTGATGGCATTGAACCTGTATACATAGTGAGAAAAGCTTCAGCTTCATCTTTTCAAGGGTCCAGTCCTCCTCCAAACTCCGCCCCATGCAATCAATTATCATTTCACCAACTCTCCTACATCTAATCCATCGCGATGGAATGGAAATTTGGGGAATGTGGTGGCCTATTAAAGCCGCACTCAAGTGTGTGCCATCCAGCCGAGCCGAAAAATAATTTTTTGTCAAAGTCTAGGCCTCGAGAGTCTTCAATTAGGCCAGACAAGGAAGTTGAGACTAGATAAAAACCGCGCTTTCGCTAGGCTCAAGATGAAAGAAGCCGAAGCTAGAAAGCATGACGCTCGATAACCTTGCAAGAACACGACGTGCTTCCTGAGGTGAAACATCTTCTCTTTCGATTAATGAGATTTGATCCGGCACAGAGTGCGTTATGGGCCAAGCAAATTCAGTGGGATGCTGTGGAATCTCGTCTTTAGTGAATTCTGATTTGATCCACTTATTTCCAAATCCACGGGCTCTTTCAGAGATTTGGAATTGCTAGAGATGAGCGTAGATACGACAGCTCAACAGAAAGAGCATCGATCAATCCATACCTAGTCTCAGTGAGTGAATTGGCTCTATTCATTCATACCAGTACCTCGATACTTAAGCTCGTTTGTTACGATCTTACAACAAACATTGAACATACTGTCAATTCATCACGACGAATTCAACCGTCGCCTGCAAATTCAAGCTCCATACACCGCCGACTAGCATCACAGGCGGGAAAGTGCCAGACATGAATTGCCTCCATTCCTCGCCAGCATTGAAGATCTTATTGACATGCCAATCGATTCTTGGGCCTACAGTTTCTCTGTCTGAACACTGACTGGACAACTGATGAAGAAAATTTGGACTCATATATAAGAGTCAACATAATCAACGATGGAAACATTATCAATTCCCGGAAAATGTACTCAACATGGTCGATGGCTGCCATATCTCCAGCCTATAAAACGCAGATTCCGCAGTCTTCATCCTGACGACGTCAATTCCCGGCCCTTTACAATCCCCAACGAAGCCACTTGCTGCGCTCTTTCCTAATTTTCCGTTACCATAGGGGCAAATCGGTTCATTGTACATCACTATGGGCAACAATGGATATCTTGAGAGCACCGGGACGTTGGCATAGTGACCCGAGGCACTTACTATAAAAAAAACGCGACCCAGCAGGATACATATATCTGCGTCAATTGCGGTCGTTTGAGTCCAACGCGAAGCGAAAAGTTAAAGATGTCAATGTATAACTATGCAGAACTTAGCATTCTTTAGAAAATTCATTGTTGCCGGTAGTTTTTGGCTATCACGCGGGTGCTTTCCTTTTGGCCTGGAGTGGCAATGAAAACAACTAAAGAATAATATGTCACAGCCCCAGCACTTTAATTACTTCCTTTCAACTTCCGCCTGAGACTCACACCTTCAAACTTCACTCGTTCCGATCATCATAATGTCTGATTGTAGGGCCTTGCCACTTATGCCGACCTCGAACAATCCAGTCTCCACAGGCAAACAACATAACAAATCCAAGTACAGGCCCGGCATAGTTCATATTCTCAGCAGTGACCGGCAGCGTCGCGGGGAAGGGAAGGAAGATAGAGAAATAGGTCGCGAAGAGTATAGCAAGAAGATTCATAGGGAGGCCGAATTTCCCTAGGCTAAAAGTTCCTCGTGGGATATCATGTGGCGCCGCGAAGCGCTTCCAGACAAGAAGGACAAGGGGGATAAGGTAGGAAATATAGAGACCGAGCGTGCTAAGCGAGAGAATAGCGTTGAATGCAGCCGTAGATCCGATCTGGATAAACGAGAGGGCGAAGATGCATGATGCAACTAGGAACAAAGCACGGAGGGGGATCTTGTAGGTTGAATCGACGACGGCAAAGAAGTCCGAGAAGGGCAGTCCATTATCACGAGCGAAGGCCCAGGTAAGACGCGTGACGGATGCAAGGCCATTGAAGAGGGCGATCCAGCCCGGTAGCATACCCATTGCCATGAGAACGTAGGTAGCTGCCTTAGATCCGGTTGCTTGATAGGCGATTGTGATAATAGGGTAGCCTGTGGGGCTAGTAAGAGCTTCGGTGTAGTCGCCCATACAGTAGAGGATAGCAATGAGATAGGAGAATGCCATCACTCCGTTGATTAGGGTGCCGTAGATCATGGAGCGGGGGACAACGACCTTGGCGTTTTTGACTTCCTCGGCCATATGGATTACGCCGTCGACGCCTGTTGGTGGTGTTAGTTTATGGATACCCTGATGGTAGAGGAATCGTGTGACGGGGAGGGATATTGTGATAGAAGAGGAACAATAGAGGAATCGTCCGAGGGTAGAGTAGATGAAAAACCCATCTAATAGAGGAGGGACCAACATACCAGCCAGGGGAGTAATAACACCAAGGAGACCAATAGAGAACACAACTCCTGAATTTTGCCATCCACTCAAGCCCTCAACAAAGGTATCCCATACAAAGAAGTTAGGGTTCCGAGGGGCGAGAATGACGAAGACTGCAATAGTGACTGGTAGGAAAACAACATGCATGATACCCGCAGCAACTTCGATGCCTCCTAGGACACGACGCGCAAAGATATTGATGATGATCGGGATAATTGCTACTGCCCACATGAGCAGCGTACCGCGCCATCTAACAAGCTCATAGGTAGGGTCTGCCAGCACAATCATGCCCTGAATTTGGGTTCCGATGAAGTATGGCGCGATACAAACGAGGGCAGACCAAGAGAAGACAGTGATCCAGCCTTGTATGTTTAGCATGCGACTATAAACGGGGGAAATGAATTGACGAATGGAAATGGAAGGCTTCGCGCTCACCCTGGAAGAAACTGATGAATCGACGGCCACGCGGCGCGAGGAAGTAGCTCCAGTGATATTGAGCACCTGCAGTTGGGTGTCTGTCAAGCCCGAGGTCAGCAAAATCAACACCTCGGTTTATCATAAAAACTTACAAAGATGCAAGCTCGGCCAAGGAGCACGCGATGGCCATATTCCCCACAGTGCTTATGATCATTCCATAAACAATCGCTGCAGGACCGCCATTATACAGCCCCGAGAGCAAACTACCACCAGCAGATTCCCATGTAGCAAGCAGACAAGCCGAAAAGGCAACCGATGAGAAGAAGTTGAGATATCTCTGTTACACGATTAGACTCGGCGCAGGTCAATCGAACGATACACTTACCTCCAATTGTTGTTTCTGGCGAAATGTGTGGCTCTCATAGCCACCATTGCCACTTCTAGCTGGCCCTGATCGCACAGCGCTCCCAGATTTCAGTTCCATATCTTCCTGCATATTGAAACACTGTCGAAGAAAGAAAATTTGGAGAAAAAGTGTCGACAGGAAATAGACCACTCAGCATGAACACCGCAAGAAGTACTTGGGACTACTTTTGCCTCCTCATTTCCGGGGATAGGGGTTTGACAGGGATCTTGATTGTCCGTTCAAAGCGAAACGAATGGTAGACATCTCGGATGCAAGTTTCTGTGCCGTGTTGAGACGGTCTTGTTCGCTTCGGTGCAAACCCTTGTCGTTGGCATTTCTAGTAACAAGACCGGTTCTATTTAGTGCCGGATCTGGAAGCTCCGGGGATCAGTGGACTGGGGCTAACATACACAGTCATGGCACGGCCCGGCCTCCGCACTAGATCGTTGGCTGGTAGCATTGCCTAGATTGCCTAGAACTACTAAAGAAGCCGGTCTTTTCCTGTAGTGGCTAGTCGACGTGGCCTTTCGCATCCATCGTATTTTCAACCCATATTAACAATGCTATTATGCATCGGAAGATCTCGGACCCACCCGAGTGGTCTCACCCTATTGGTGTGCTCTATTTAACCGACATACAGTACCTTTGTACATACCAGGATCTATATCCTTGCACTGCATGAGATGCAATGTTGCCACGCCAAGGTAACAGCCACCTCGTGCGGTCCCCTACAAAGGAGTAGGGGTTTGGGTTGAAGAAAGAACAAGGATTGTAAATTATCAAACAGAAAGAAACTTTAGTATCAGGGATATGAGAAAGCAGGTTATTATGTACTGACACCCATCATCTCTGCAAGTTCTTCAAACTTGCAAGGCGATATGGTGCGATGGCCGACCAAACGAACGCCTTCCAGGCCCTGTCAAGCAATAATCGCGGCACTCTCATCACCTTAACGTCGGTGTCGCTTCTGATTGTGGCCATCATCTTTGTGCTCGCCAAGTTTGGTTCAGCGATTTACTTCAAGCAGCGACGAACAGCTGTTAATACTCCTATCTGGGCCGCTTTGGTCCTGGCAATCATTCAAGTCGTCGTCTTACAAAAGGCTGTTGACCATGGACTGGGACAGCACCAAGACCGGCTGAGCCAAGATCAGACCTGGAGCAAGTTCGCCTTCGCCGCTCACATTCTGCTCGTCGTGGTCTTATCGCTTTCGAAGATGTCGACTCTCCTACTAGTTTGGAAGTTGTCGCCGAGTAAAACCCTGCGCCGCACCTGTACTGTCACCGCTGGTATAGTTGTTGGGTGGTCGATCTGCGCAGTATTTGGTATAGCTTTCCAATGCGAATCGCCCGATCGGTGGCTATACTCCCCCGAGCGATGCGCTGGAGAGGTTAGTATATACGAGAGAATCAGCCCACAATTGACTAAATACCTGATCTAATATCAAATAGGGAGCCATATTCTACCCAATTGCAGTGTTCAACGTCCTCACGGAGATCATTATTGTTGTCCTACCGTTTATAATGATGCGCAATGTCCAGATGGTTTGGATTAAGCGGGTGAAGATCCTATGCTCCTTCTCTTCGCGTCTAAGGTATCATCTAAGCATCAGTTCTAGGAATTTTCCACTAACTCGCCGAGCAAATCACTTACTAACCAATCCATCACAGTATCGTCGGCCTCGGAATCGCTCATCTAGCCCTCCTACCTCCATTCGTCCACTCATCCGACATCTCCTGTGCGTGACGCCCCCGTTGCTCCACATCTTCCTCTAAAACCTCATCAAATTAAGCTGACAAAACATATATAGGGGATATAGTCAACTGGGAAATAATTGGCCAAGCAATGATGCTCACAACCGTGATAATCGCCTGCGTCCCAACCCTCTACCACATCTTCGCCGGCCTACACTCCGGCCTAACAACAACGCAAATCCCCGACGGAATCGGGCTCGAACTCCCGCAGACCAAGGCCAGCGGATATATCAATCAATCGTCTTCAGCAGCGAGCCAGTCGCATTCGCGTGGACGGTCCAGGAAGGGTGGACGGTCAATGTTTGATGGGTGGGGAGGTGAGAACCGGGTCATCACTGAGGTTTCGTCGGGTCGGGACCCGAATCAGAATGATGAGGGTAGAAGACAGTCTGGCTCAAGTGAGGGAACGGAGAGTACGCGGCATTTGACGCAGGATCTTCACGGGAAGCCTGGAGCTGTGCTGAGGACGGTGGATGTTACGGTTGAGGTTGAGGAGCATGATCATTGGAATAGGCTTTGAGAGGTATAAGAGGTACTGAGCACTACTCGAAGTACCTCTCTACATAGAAAGTGCGAGATAAGCAAGTTTGAAAAAAGGTTCTCATTTCATTTCTGACTGATTCAGTGCTCTTGTGCATGAATTAGTTGGAATGCCAAGAGAAGGCCAGATGGGATCATCACTTCATCTAATTCTGTCATAATGATAATTCGATAATGGGTATCATCCACAACCCTGAATGAGGGCCTCGACGTATGTCCACGAAAGTGCGTACAGAACAGAGCCCAACACCAAAAAGCAAGAAAGAAAGCGCGCTACAAAAGACCCTCGTTCACCCATCAAGAGCAAGAAAATGAGGACTGAAACAAGGGTATAAATATGACGTATAGTCCTAAGTGCGTGCGGTGAGAAATTCGACGCCGAAGGATGGTATCAAATGATCGGTTTTTGGAAGTTTCCTCCGACAAAGAATTAAAAAAAAACGCCTAATATGGAAGGAATGCAAAGTCCAAGTGCAAGCGAGACTTCACCGCATGCGTTCGTCCATGGTTTTTCTCCAGCGAGGACCGAACACCCTCATCAAGAAAATGACCGAGCTGCTTGCGAAGCTGACCAGTCCAAGAATGGTGAATAACCACCCGTTGCCAATGCCATTAATAATGGGCGCTGTAACGAGTGAGCCAACGCAGGAGAATATGTTTCGCATGAAATTGTTGAGGGCCACGCCTTCTGAGGATTTCTTGGGCATGAACTCTGTCAACATGGTGGTCACCATACTGAAAATGAGCATCGAGCCAATGCCGAAGAAGAAGTTTGCAATCATCTGGGATGATGAACTAATTAGCAATTGTGCCATATCTCGGCTCATACGAGGTACGTAAACTTACCGGAACCAGCCAGAACACTCCTTTGTCAACTGTCCAACCGTACCAGATAAGAGCTGCTGGGTAGAGGAACGCTCCTAGCCAGGCATTCTCACGCATGCGATCCTCAGGATGGTAGATCGGTCTGCCCTTTTCATCATACCGATTTGCCTTCTTCGCTTCGCGTTGCATGATGCTGTCCATCCATCGACCACCGAATAGACTCGCCACCACGTACCCCACCGAGTTGGGAATGTAAAGCAAGCCAATAATAATTGTACTAAAATTATATGGTGGCTTACCGAATGAGTGTTCAACACTGACATTCAACACATAGAGCGAACCAAAGGCAATGCTTGCATAGTACACGCTCAACAACACGGGGATATACTGCAAGTAAAGGACGATCTTCAAAGGATCGATGAAGACAATCTTCAGCATCTTGAGCCATCTCGTCGTGACGCCAACAACCTGTCGCGAGGATACTCGGCTTAGCGGGCGACTGACGGGTGCCATATCATTCTCGGCCACATCTGGTAGAACGGGTTTCCGCACGGCGAGCGTTTCTGGCAGGGCGAGGAAGATGAAGATGACAGTGAGCGCACCGTATCCAGCGAGGAACCACATTGTACTTCTCCAACCCCAACGTTCAGCAAGAAGACCGCCAACAATAGGTGCAAACAAGGGTCCACATAAGGGGCCTAGATAAAAGATTCCCATGGCACGACCTCGTTCGCGGGAGTCCCACAAATCCGCAATGGTTCCTGCACCAACTGCTTGAACGGAAGCGGATGCACCGCCGCTCAGCATTCGCATCACGATCAGCATGGCAATGGAGCTCGAGACCGCGCAGAGGCAATTGAAGACCACAAAAAGAACGAAAGAAGCCAGGTAGATTGTCCGTCGGCCAAGACGTTCGCTGAACGAGGACCACCAAAGTGGAAAAATAGACATACTCAACATGTACAAGGCGATCGATAGATTAGTGATAGTAGCCGTGGTGTGTAACTCCCGGGCTACTTGAGAGAGTGAAGCTGATGAAGGCATGGAGTTAGATCCAGTACACTTGCAGGTGTCATGACGGGGGCAAATCACTTACGAAAGAAGATAGACGAGCCCATCGGGGCTGTAGCTCCAGCCACCGCAACAATAAATGTGATGAACCATTTCATTCTTCGCGGATATGTTTTGGGATCTTCGACCTCTGCCACCAGGGTCATCTGGCCGAACAGGCCACGGCGCTTCGATCGCGGCACTTTCACGGCCGGGCCCAGTTCGGTGGATTGTCGAGCCAGCGGGATTGGCATGTCTGGAATACTTTTCTCCTCGTCTGCGGCAGCAATGCTGGAGGCGTGCGATCGCGATTTAGCATCGTCCATTTCGAGAGAATGGTCATGGCTGGAGTTGGATGGTGAAATCGCCGGCATGATGGGGTCACCTTTCTCGATCGCTGTGGACATATTGAAATTGAACAGCGCCGATATAGCGAGATGACGATCAAGATCGATGCAAGTCAAGGGAATGGGCAGGCTTTAATCGTAGCCGATCATTGACGCCCGGAACGGAGACCGTCGGCGTAGAGCATACAACGGGAGATCGCTGTCCCTGAAGATCAAAAGGATATGAAACACAGACTCTTGCGATCAGCAGCGAGAGGGTGGTATCGCTTTGCCAAGGCTGGCGCATAAAGGTATGAATATCGAATCAGAGATAATGAGGATATCTCTTGTGCTAGGATAGACAATGATCTCTCTGTGGACGATCGTCAACAGACTGCAGAAGACGAAACAAAAGGAAACGGGGTTTTGACAGCCTACCAGTAGCCAAAAAGGGCAGGCGTGGTCACTGAAGACTTGGTCGAGACTACTTTGTTGCAGGATCTACTCCCAGACTCGGGCAGTAGCCACGGACAACTGACTCACGCAGATCGGGACGAGCAGGACTGACTTGGCAGGATTTTTGAACGCCTCCAATACGAAAGGGCGTTCAATACGAAAGGCGGTTTTGCGAAGCTATATTGCAAGCCTGAAAAGCGGGTTTGAAAAATTGGCGATCTCTCGTTGCACTGGCCGAGTCAACCAGGTGTGTCTTTCACTGCATTCGGAAAGCCGACGACCACCGATGATCCCCGAGTGCACCCCATGTTTTGTTTATGAGAGTCCAGCATGGATATTAATCCGATCCCAGAGAGGGGTCGCCAGTCCCAAAAAAAAAACCTGTATCCAATTATTCGCCTCTCAGGAGTTTATCGTGGGGCGAGGGGGCCAGTCATCGTGCAGTGCTGGTGTGCCGGTCTTCCGTCGGCAAACGTTTGAGCGGTTGATCCCGCTAGATATTTAATCCCCGAGAAGCACGACGATGTGACAGTTGGACGGCATCTCGATAGAGCAAAAGGAAACAGACAAGTGGTATTTCTTGATTAGCATGTTCCGAAACATGCCAATCCCAAGCATGTCGATCATGGTGAAGATTCCATGTTTGGTGTCTTCGGTGCCCCGATAGACTCGGCTTGGCTTTCTTTAGCCGTGATCGAATCCACCATGACGGCGCCTGCACGGACTATGACGACTTCCATGGAGTCGAAGTCGTCTCCTTGTGTGATCTTTGCAACGATTCAAGAGACATGATGAGCAGCCTGCTCAGTGCTCAAGATCTTCATCAAGATGAAGTCCAAGCTCCTCTCTCACCGCAACATCGTCCACGTCCAGCTGCAAGGAGGTGCTGAATAAGCGAACAGCCTTCAGCTTCTTGGGGTAATAAACATGGCACTTTCAATGAACACTTTTCAACCTCTTCCGGATTCTTCTTGCTTCTTGGATCTTCAAATAATCTATTCTCTTTGAACTTGAACTTGAAGACTTATAAATAGTCATCTCCAGACCGGCCAAGACGAGATCCACCCAAAGGAATCCACATCCGATTGACTATCTAAACATCAACACACGTCCAACTTTCCCCGCACTCCATCACCACCCACCCACAAGTTCCGACCATGTCGACTCCAACCAAGGCCGACCCCAAGGACATCCAAGCTCACCTGGCCAACTACCAGGGCGACAAGTACGTCGACGGCTGGGCCTCCCTCTGGGACAAAGGTGACGACCTACCCTGGGACCGGGGCTTCCCCAACCCCGCATTAGAAGACGCCCTGGTTCAGCGCATCGGCACCATTGGCGGTCCCCTCGCGCAGGATGCTCAGGGCAAGTCATACAGACGGAAAGCCCTGGTACCCGGCTGTGGTCGTGGTGTGGATGTTCTCTTGCTGGCGAGCTTTGGGTATGATGCGTATGGCCTCGAGTACAGTGCCACCGCAGTTGAGATGTGCAAGAAGGAAGAGAAAGAGAATCATAGCTGGTATCGTGTGCGAGACCAGAGTGTTGGTAAGGGGAATGTTACTTTCGTCCAGGGAGATTTCTTCGATGATGCCTGTTTGAAGACGATTGGCGTGCCTCGGAATGGATTTGATGTTATTTATGATTACACGGTATGTTTACTCGTTCCCTATCATTGCTGTCTATTCCTCTTGAACTGTACCTGCATGCTACGTTGAACCCTGGAAAATGGTCACTCTCAATGACTTTGAAAATGCGAGGCTCTATTTTCAATTTACACTAGATCTTTTTGCCATTCCACTCTAACAATTCTCTAGTTCTTCTGTGCTTTGAGCCCAGATCTCCGCCCTAAATGGGCACTCCGACACACCGAGCTCCTAGCTCCCTCGCCAGGAGGAAACCTGATCTGTCTGGAATTCCCCCGTCACAAGGATCCCTTGGCCCCCGGTCCTCCGTATGCTTCGCCCTCCGAGGCGTATATGGAGCATCTGAGCCACCCCGGTGAAAAGATCTCATACAACGCCAAGGGCCTTGTTAATGCGGATCCGCTGCGGGAGCCCAGCAAGGCTGGTCTCGAGAGGGTCGCTCACTGGCAGCCCGAGCGCACGCACACTGTGGGCCAGGGCGAGAACGGGGTGATTCATGACAGAGTCTCTATTTGGCGTCGACGTGAATAGATCCGTCTTGGGTAATCTCACAACGTGGAATGAGGAGGAAGATGTGAAGGAAAATATTGATGATTTTGTAGGCCGCCCATGAATGTAACAGGCCGGCCTAGGACGCTAAATTGGCAGTCAAAAGAGCAACCCCGCGTGGCAAGGGCTGCTTTTTAAAGAACTTTCCCAGACACATACTCAGTCTTTCTTGAACAGAGCGTTGTAGTGCTCGCCCAATCCGTAGGTGTGCCGGTAATATGCCAGCCAGACCACACGTCTCCGTTGTTCCTCCTCGTTAAAGCTGTCCATATCTCCACACTCAATCTTCTCTAACCGCCCATCCTTCTGCACCACGTTAATATCCACCCCGTAAGCTCGAGCAATAGCCTGCAGCTCCAGCTGCCCACCCCACTCAGCAGTGAGCTTAATCTTCCGAGTATAAACATCGACCGGCTCCTCCATAAACGCCTCAAAGTCCTCCTTATGCTCCCTAATAAAGTCCGCCGCCACTGCGCGGACAGCCCTGTATCCATCATGTTGTGGCGAGGCAACGGTGTCGATTCGCGTTTGGGTAGACGGTTGGAGCACGATTCGGCTTGGGTCCGGCCGCAAACCGACTCCGCAGTCGTCGAGCTGCTTCGCGATTGCGGAGTAGAGACAGTGTCCATCGGGCGTAACTTCGACCTCCCTCAGGTTTAGTTTCTTGAATACCGCGTCCATGACTTCTTGTTCGTTTCCTCTGTAATTTGTTTGGTTGGCTGCTTCTTCAGCGGCAGCTGCGGACTGGGCGGCTTGTTCGGCGGCACGGCGGGCAAGGCGAGCTTTTTGACGGTTGGGTTTCTTGGTTCTCTTGGTAGGTTCCTCGGAGGGCTCTGTTGAAGTGATTTCCGGAGCTTGGGTTGTTGAAGTAGTCTTGTCGTCGTCTGATTTGTCTTCGGTTGGGGTCCCATCTTCCAGGTTGAGATCTTCAAGAGCTTCCTCGACTGGCTCAGTAGAATCGCCATTCAGCTCTGCAATTTCCGCCCGCTGGCGCTCGGTGAGCTCTCGCTGCATCCGCTCGCAATCATCATTGACGCCTTTGCGGGTCTTCTTGGTGGCGGACTTTTTTTTCTGAGTGATGCGCCCTTGAAGGTCTTTTTGCTCTTTGCGGTGCGTGGCCAAAAGTTCCTCCATAATGAAAGGAAGGAAAGAATGAAACAATCCAAAACAAGAATCGAAAGCCGTAAATGCAACCGCCAATGTCGACGTAAACAATCAGAGATACAATCAGCCTTGGAAATGCAGACCCCGCGAAACCCTGACAAAGCTGCCCTAAGTTCCGGCCTAATAAGGCTTAGCGCGGTATATTCCGGATCAACCTGAAGGCCGATGAGCCGAGGCTCGCCGCGTCGGTCTCTCGGGTATGGAGCATAATCAGGGAGCTACCCCGAAGCCTACGAGGGGGAGAATAAAGTATGGGTCCTCGCCTGGATTCTGGACTTTAAAGTGAACATCAAATTTACAGTCATGGATTCCGAAAGTCTTTTCAACGTTAAGGTGAGAAAAATACACGCTATCGTTAGCGCTACCCGGTTGCTAACGAGTACCTTAGGGCAAAGTGGTGCTGGTCACCGGTGGCGCCAAGGGCATTGGTCGCATGATCTCCGAGGGATATGTGACGAACGGTGCCACAGTCTATATCTCATCGCGCGATGCTAAGGCCTGCGACCAGGCTGTCAAGGAGCTCAATGCACTTGGCAAGGGCAAGGCCCACGCCATTCCCGCCGATTTCTACAAGTATGAGGATGTGAAGAAGTTGGCCGAGGAGCTGGGCAAGCGCGAGAACAGTCAGTCACAACGATTACTTTGGATATTTGAGAAAGGGTCATCATGCTAACATGTCTCCGTTCTATCTTCTAGAGCTCCACGTCCTGGTTAACAACTCTGGCTCGAACTGGGGTGCCCCCTACGACGAGTATCCCACCGAGGCCTTCACCCGAGTGCTCACCCTCAACCTGCACCGTGTCTTCGATCTCACCCAGCTCGTCACTCCCCTCCTTGAGAAGGCATCCGCCCCGAATGACCCGGCCCGCATCATCAACATTGGCAGCATTGACGGTCTCCGTGTTCCCTCGCTCGAGACCTTTGCCTACAGCTCTAGCAAGGCTGGTCTGCACCACCTTAGCCGAGTGCTGGCAAACCACCTCGGCCGACGCAACATCACGTAAGGAACTCTACATTCATCCCTCTTTGTGTTTCGACATATAGCCCTCCAGAAACTGACGCTATTGCTCTACATAGTTCCAACACTCTGGCCTGTGGCCCGTTCGAGAGCAAGATGATGGCTGCCACCCTTAAATCCTTCGGCGATGCCATCAAGGCTGGTGTCCCTCTGGGCCGTATCGGTACTCCCCAGGATGTCGCTGGTACTTGCTTGTTCCTGAGCAGCCGAGCGGGCGCCTTTATTAACGGTGCCACCATCTCGGTCGATGGTGGTAGCTCCATTTCTGCCAAGATCTAAACGGGATAAGCTAGTGCGCCAAGGAGCCAAATATTTTCTGTCAGATATTTGTTGCTGTAGGTATTGAATACGATAGAGCAGGAAGCCAGTTATTGTACAAGAGTTGCTATAGTTCGGATCCCGGTTGCGGACTCCGGGACGAGTCTCCCGTATAGTAGATGAAGCTACCAAGATCTCTTGCATACCAGGCGAAGGCTGGTGGCCACAATCAGTCAATCGGTCCAAAACTCCGTTATTTCCTATTTTAAGACTGGAATGAAGTTGTCTGGTGTGGGGACTACAGTAAGAAGAAACTATAAGCAGCGCATCTGGCGGGAGGCGTCGATTATCGCGGCCAACAAAGAAGTGTGTGTCCACTGTTCCTGTCCCCGCTGTTATCACCATCTCTTATCGGAGGCAACGCGGAGTGGAGCGGCGACATCATCATCGCTCGCATGAGATCATTGCTGTAATCAAGATCATCCATCCCACCATAATCCATCTCACACAATAATTGTTTATTCAAAACCCCTCCAAGACATTGCAATACTCTTAGACGGTTTGTCCAACTGTCTTAGACTGACTCATTGTACAAACAAAGTTTTTTCCCACTTATCTCTCGACCGATACCATCCAAATCGTCCACTCGGAGTCGAGCCCACACACAGCCATCCTCTTTACCTTTTCAAAGAATATTGGAACACACACTTCGCTGCTACTGTTGTTGCTACTCCCGCCACTCCTGTTGTTGTTGTTGCTGCTGCTATTACGAGAGACAGGCCGACTCCCCGAAAAGTCGGTGTACAGCCACAAGCCCTCCCTTGCGTTACGCACGATCGGAGTCTAGTTGTGCTCTCCGACCTTCCTCTCCCTCCGCCCCCGCGACATACCATGACCTCGTCAAATGGGAACCACAAACGGGTGCCATCCCTTGATCCCTTTTCGCACCCTGATGTCTACTACGGCGATGAAGATTCCCTTGCAAGGATCAGAGATCGCAGACGCGCGTTTTCGACGGTAAGCAGCCACAGCGCCTGTGCGGCGACCCCGCGGATCGACGACCCCTGCTCACTCTTATCGTGCGTCTAGAGCGTGAAGGACTACAACCGTGGAGATATCTCTGAGTTACTGGGTACATTGCCATCGAGACGAGGTAGTCACGGTATGCACATCACCTATCAGGACCTCAACGATACCAGGAGGCAGCTAGCTGACCGGCCGATCAGATGAGTCTTCGGGACAACCTCGCAAGTTCCTCATCAATGTGGATGAGACGCTCGATGCCCTGCTGAAGCAGGAGGATACCGATAAGAACATGCAGATCACAATCGAAGATCTTGGACCTAAGGTGCGCTACTTGCCGATCGTCATTGATCTGGGTTGGCTGCTGATCAACATAGACACTCTCTGTCGGAACTGCAGGATCGTCGGGACACAACCGCGTCGACGTACGCGGTACCTACATGCTTTCCAACCTCCTGCAGGAGCTTACCATTGCCAAAGACTACGGTCGCAAGCACATTGTTCTTGATGAGGAACGTTTGAGCGAGAACCCAGTTGCCCGCCTCTCGCGACTCATCAAGAACTCCTTCTGGAAGGCACTGACAAGACGTATCGATGGGTCCAACATTGAGGTCGCGGGCAAGGATCCCAAGGACTGGACTGATGACCCGCGACCCCGTATCTATATCCCCCCTGGTGCTCCCGAACAATTCGAATACTACTCCAAGATTGCCGCGGAGCATCCAGAGCTTCGCCTTGATGTGGTGATGCTTGATGCCGACATTACTTCTGACTATGTCATGAAGCTCAAGCAGAAGCCTGGATTGCTGGCCTTGGCAATGACCAAGAAGCACAACGACGAAACTGGGGAGGATGAATACACTGGTGTCCCATTCGTGGTTCCGGGAGGTCGTTTCAATGAGCTCTACGGATGGGATAGCTACATGGAGTCCTTGGGTCTCCTCGTGAGCGATCGCGTTGATCTTGCCAAGGGCATGGTCATCAACTTCTGCTTTGAAATAAAGCACTACGGCAAGATTCTCAACGCGAATCGCTCCTACTACCTGACCCGCTCGCAGCCTCCATTCTTGACCGATATGGCTCTGCGGGTGTATGAGCGCATCAAGAACGATCCTGATTCGAGAGAGTTCTTGCGGAACGCCGTTCTTGCCGCTATCAAGGAATATTACAGTGTCTGGGCCGCTGAGCCGCGCCTTGACCCTGTAACTGGTCTCTCGAGATATCGCCCCGAGGGCTGGGGTGTACCGCCAGAGACGGAGCCTACTCACTTCATCCATTTGCTGATGCCGTATGCCGAGAAGCACGGTATGAGCTTCGAGGACTTTGTTGAGGCGTACAACTCGCGCGCTGTGGTCGAGCCTGAACTCGACGAATACTTCCTGCATGATCGTGCTGTCCGCGAGTCCGGCCACGATACCAGCTATCGTCTGGAGCGGGTATGCGGCAACCTGGCCACCGTTGACCTCAACTCCCTGCTGTACAAATACGAGGTCGACATTGCACGCATCATCCGTATTCACTTCAAGGACAAGCTCGAAATCCCCATCGAGTTCCGCACGCCCTCCACCAAAGACATCACGACCGAGTCTTCGTCGACCTGGGATCGCCGTGCCCGCAAGCGCAAGCAGCGCATGGATCAGCTTCTCTGGGACGCCGACAAGGGCATGTTCTTCGACTACGACACCGTCAAGCAGCAGCGCACCGACTACGAGACTGCAACCACATTCTGGGCACTGTGGGCTGGATTGGCCACGCCCGCGCAAGCTGCGACAATGGTGGCCAAGGCCCTACCTCGGCTTGAAGCTTACGGCGGTCTAGTCTCCGGTACGGAAGAGTCGCGTGGCCCGGTAGGCTTGGAGCGCCCGAACCGGCAGTGGGACTTCCCCTACGGCTGGGCGCCGCAGCAGATGCTCGCGTGGACGGGTTTCCTACGATACGGTTACCAGGAGGAAGCAGAGCGGTTGGCGTACAAGTGGTTGTACATGATCACCAAGGCCTTTGTCGACTTCAATGGTGTAGTTGTTGAGAAATATGATGTGACCCGCCCGATTGACCCGCACCGGGTCGATGCCGAGTACGGCAATCAGGGAACCGATTTCAAGGGGGCGCCACGTGAAGGGTAAGTTTTGCTCGGCTCCTTTTTCCCAGACTTTTTCTGGAACTCCTGCTAATGCGTGGTATTTATAGGTTCGGCTGGGTTAATGCCAGCTATGTGTATGGCCTTGAGATTCTCAATGCGCATATGAGGCGCTCGTTGGGTGCTATCACCCCGTACGAGACGTACAAGAAGGCTGTTGATGCATCGGATGCATTTTAAGTGGCCTTGAAATGCCATTGTAATTTTTGGCCTTTGGTTCAGGACTGCATTTGGTCTTGGACTGGACGTGGTGGTTTCAGTAGAGGTCAGCAGAACGGAAAAAGCATGCATTTAGAAAGTGAGTATTGAAACTTTTGGAGAGGCTTTATATGTCTTCTATTGGAGCAAGGCGAGGTGTCATGTCAGATAAGCCCAGTGTTATACCATGTGTTGGTATAGGTACGCTGTGTTGAAATGGCTTCACAGCTGGTGAGTGGTTTGCGACTACTATTGCAATGAAATAGCATCGCAGATATCAGTACTTGGTTATTACATTACATGTTTAGCTCTGACGCAATGCAATTTGACTTCCATCAACAAAGAAAAAGCCTCAACATTTCCCAAACAGGTCATCATCATGCGTAAACCCCGCAAGTTACCATCCAGTCAGAAGGGAGTAAAGGCAAAGTCAAGTTCCTAACGCCTGAATGGAGTCAAGAAACACGGCAGCAGCGAAAATAACCCGGCTCCCTTTCGGCAAGGCCCCTAACCCGGTCAACCTCCGAACTATAGGTTTTAGGGATCCCGAATTGTAGACGCTAGTATCGGGCTCCCCGCAGGAGATGTACTACAATACTAGTAACTGTTGTCTGTATGTACCCTAAGAACTACTAGCCAGGTTAGTGCCTGCAGGTTCGACAATTCTACGGGAGGGGCAAAGTGTCAGGGCGACCCTGGATTTCCCGAGGTTAATTCTCGTTGGCGGCGAGGGCGGTATTAGGTATGTATCTGGTGATACGGCGTCTGTAACAGCGATTGTTTCTTTGAGAAGATCCAATCTGGCTGTTCATTGATGCGATCGTATTGACTTGGTTGATTGACTGGGATGATATAGAGAAGTGGATGTTGGGTTTGTAGTTCCCTTTTATATCACTCCATCGTTGAAGTACAAATAACCTTAAGATATCTCGGCGTCGAGGTCCTATGGGAATCGCCGAGGAGGGAATCTTGAGGGGGGGAATAGCGACTAATACCGATCTGTCTACGGAGTATTGAGATTCCAGTACGACCACAGATATCTGGAGCTTGTAATACACGCTGCGTAGTCAGCGTGAAAATGAGCCGAGGTCCAACGAAGAGGGCTTAGTTTGAGTCATTTCGAGGATCATTCAGGTGGATCACCTTAAAATTGTATTGGTTTTGATACATTGAAATTGGTGTGTGGCGGTGTTTGCGGTTCCGGTTTGTGTTCGTGCGATGTTCGAGTCGAGTGATGAGGGAAATATAGTCGAAAAACTGAGGCGGGACCTATGAACGTTGGAGGTAGATAGCTGAGTCGATACATGCTCCGAAACTATCGTGGTGATATATAGTAGATCAGAGACAATAGAGGCATAATGAAGGTACAAGAAGGGATTCATCTTCAGCTCTCATAAGCCTAGAGAATTCATGGAAACGTCTTGCTTCAAAATGAAGATGCTCAGATGTTCACAGATGTTCGGTGGAGATGCACCGAATACCGGGGCATGACAGAACGGTATCAATGACTCAGGCAGACATAGCGTTTTCGACATTTCAACATTCTGGACTTCTACACCGATCACAGTGAAATGTCTAGAAAAAAAGATTATAAGCCGATGACGGACATTCCTGGGAGTTGATCACACGACAGTCAACTCCTTCATTGATCTATCCTGCGGGTTCAACCAGGCTCTTATCATGAAACTCCGACTGCAACCGCACGTGAAAGTTGCGACACGTATTGTCAGGTATCGCAAGCATGTGTCCAACGACGTCATTTACATTTTCGCCATCCCGGGTTCCTCACGTTCTTCTATGCGCCTACCAATTTGATAATTGCATTTCAAATGAGTAGGAAATGAATCCCGATAGTAGTCTTTAGAGATACCGATTCAAATCAGACTCTTAAAATGTGAGTCACCACGAAAAAAAGCCTACAATACAACATCGTGGCGGATATTCTCCCGCCTGCGGGTGCTCCAGAGCGCCGAGCACAGCTCGTCCATTAGACCGAGGATCTCCAGAGTTTGGATCCTCTTTTCCGAACCACCGCACCCGCCTTCCGCGTTTCGGAGCGACGCCCGTGAATACTGAATTTCTACTGGGTCATTTGATGGAGCTGACTGTACTCTTTCAATGGCATTGCCTAGGCTTCCAGGGTTTCGACCACTGCCTGTCCACCCGGTGAGCCGAGCGTTTACCGACCTGATTGACCTGCTGGTGACGCGACGCATTCGCAAAAGTAAATAAGTACCCCGGGTTTCCTGCTGGCTTGTGATTGAGCTCTTTTTTTTACTCCTACTCTTTGAACTCGTGATTGTGCTTCTTTTTTGGCGACAACTCTCCCCTCCTCGTCGCGCATTGTCTAGACCTTTGTTGGCTCGACTATAATACATATTCATATTCACACCTTTTTGGCAGCGTCGTCGCCCTCCCCCTTTCTGTATTCTATATACTATACCCCCTTCTCTTAAATTGCAACATGGGTCTCCACGAGGATGAGGACCGCAAGTATGCGGAGGATGTCCAGGCTGTCCAGAACTGGTGGAAGGACTCTCGGTGGCGCTTCACCAAGCGTCCCTTCACTGCCGAGCAGATTGTTGCTAAGCGTGGCAATCTGACCATCAACTACCCCTCTGGTGTGCAGGCAAAGAAGCTCTGGGGAATTCTGGAGCAAAACTGGCAGGTATGGATTGAATTGCGGCAGCAGAAATTGACGGGACGAATTGCTAACACGGGGTTACCATGAATAGAACAAGGAGGCTAGCTACACCTATGGCTGCCTCGAGCCCACAATGATCACCCAGATGTGCAAGTTTTTGGATACAATCTACGTCTCTGGCTGGCAGAGCTCGTCCACGGCCTCGTCCACTGATGAGCCCTCTCCCGATCTTGCGGACTACCCTATGGTGGGTACAACAGAATTGAACGATGCCGAGGTAAAGAAGTATACAGCTAACAATAATTTTCATAGGACACCGTCCCTCGCAAGGTGAACCAGCTGTTCATGGCTCAGCTCTTCCACGATCGAAAACAGCGCGAGGAGCGCATTACTACCCCCAAGGACCAACGCTCCAAGGTCGCCAATGTCGACTATCTCCGTCCCATCATTGCTGATGCCGACACCGGTCACGGTGGTCTGACTGCCGTCATGAAGTTGACCAAGCTGTTCGTCGAGCGTGGCGCGGCTGGTATTCACATCGAGGACCAGGCTCCCGGTACCAAGAAGTGCGGCCACATGGCCGGTAAGGTTCTGGTCCCTATCAGCGAGCACATCAACCGCCTGGTTGCCATCCGTGCCCAGGCCGATATCATGGGCACTGATCTCCTTGCCATTGCCCGTACCGACTCCGAAGCCGCCACTCTCATCACCTCCTCCATCGATCACCGTGACCACGCCTTCATCGTCGGCTCTACCAACCCTAACCTCGAGGCCCTGAATGACCTGATGTTCGCTGGCGAACAGGCCGGCAAGAACGGTCCCCAGCTGCAGGCCATTGAGGACCAGTGGACTGCTCAGGCTGGTCTCAAGCTCTTCAACGATGCCGTCATTGACACTATCAATGCTGGCTCCCACTCCGATAAGAAGGGTCTGATCGAGCAGTACCTCAAGGCTGCTAAGGGCAAGGGCAACAACGAGGCTCGCGCTATTGCCAAGGGTATCACCGGTGTTGACATTTACTGGAACTGGGATGCTCCCCGTACCCGTGAGGGTTACTACCGCTACCAGGGTGGCACTCAGTGCGCTGTTAACCGTGCCATCGCCTACGCTCCTTTCGCTGATCTGATCTGGATGGAGAGCAAGCTGCCCGACTACAAGCAGGCCAAGGAGTTTGCTGATGGTGTTCACGCCGTCTGGCCCGAGCAGAAGTGAGTCATACATTCCCCTGTCCCTCTTTATATATTTCACCTCATACTAACCTATCTCTCTTCTCTATAGGCTCGCTTACAACCTGTCCCCCTCATTCAACTGGAAGAAGGCCATGCCCCGCGACGAGCAGGAGACCTACATCAAGCGCCTCGGCCAACTGGGTTACTGCTGGCAGTTCATCACCCTGGCCGGTCTGCACACCACCGCGCTCATCTCCCACCAATTCGCCAAGGCCTATGCCCAGAACGGCATGCGCGCCTACGGCGAGCTGGTCCAAGAGCCCGAGATGGAGCAGGGCGTCGACGTCGTCACCCACCAGAAGTGGAGTGGTGCCAACTATGTCGATAACCTGCTCAAGATGGTCTCTGGTGGTGTGAGCAGCACTGCTGCTATGGGCAAGGGTGTGACTGAGGACCAGTTCAAGAACTAAGCGGAGTTCCATATACTCAACTCCGTTATGATCGTATAGAGATGATGAGCCGTTGTATATCTGTTGGGATTTCATTGCGGCGTTTCCTTTTTTTTTTCCAATTTCCTTTGCAGTTCTCTTTTCTTTTCATCTTCTGTCATGTGTGATATAGTCTTGACTTGACCTGATTCCCATCGGCATCCCCTTGGAGATGAGCCGAGTGTCATGTTTTTCTTTGCATAGTTTGAAAATCGAAGCATGAATAATTTTGATCAAACCTCTTTTGAGTTCATCACACTGTAGACAGAAAGTGTCTTAAGCAATAGATGATGAAGCCGACTCAGAATGTTGCCCATGGTGCATTCTCCGTCCAGCGGTCATATTGCCCCTCAAGTCCCGATGCGAGGCGCCTCGAACTAGGCAGTTACGCCAGCACCTAGAACAGCACTTCGTACTTTAAGGTTCAGGACTTGTGTTGCTTTTGCGAACTTGTCGGAAGTCGGGACTCGGAGGTCAACTCATCATTGCGTTTGGCCACACAGCCGCAACCAATCAGAGGCCATACAGGGGCGGCGCCAGTCCTAGTGGGTAAGCGGGGCCGTGTGTGAAGCCGCGGTTGAATGGCGTTGAAGGACCCTGTGGAGTTGGCAACGGTCGGGCTGGGCCATCGAAGTTGGCCTTGGGAGCTGAAACAAAGAAGAGAAGCAAGATGATATGTGTGATCAAACTGGTCTCAATCAACCTTCTGATTCAAGATGTTGAGCTTAGGCAAGGATAATGCTGTTAACCCTATGGAGCAAGAGGGGGTTGAAGAACAAACTAAAAAAAGGAGTCGGAGATCGACACTCTGTACAGCAAATAAGCCGAGCGGAGTGCATGTGCCATGCGGAGAACTCCTCCCTCTTTAAAAAGCGCCCCCTCCGGCCATAGAGCTTCCTTCCCGCGCGCCTCGACACTTATCACTCTCCTGATTTTGTCGAGTTCTTTTTGTTATCGTCCATTAATTTTATATTCAATATGGGTGTCCAGCTTCCCGACCTGCAGTTTACGTCGCTCGAGGTCATCCCCGAGCGCATCTCCACCGTCCGCAAGTCTTTCTTGGAGAACAAGACCCGCGATGTCGAGTTCCGTCTCGTGCAGCTTCGCAAGCTCTACTGGGCGTGAGTACTAGCCCCATAACCGATGGAAATGCTTTGAATTGTTGGAGAGGTGATAGATTGACCTTTTGTGCAGCATCAAGGACCATGAGGAGGAGATCGTCGAGGCTTGTGCCCAGGACTTGAACAAGCCACGCTTCGAGGCCGAGGTCGCGGAGAGCGGTTGGTTGCTCAACGATATCGTCTTCACCACACGCAACCTCCACAAGTGGGTGAAGGATGAGAAGGCTCCCGATATCGAGCTTTCCTTCAAGTTCATGAGCCCCAAGATCCGAAAGGATCCCCTGGGCAGCGTGTTGGTCATCGGGTAAGGACTTGATTTTCCGGACAAACACTCCGATGGTGCAACAGAAGACTAATCGCATCTCTACTTTTTTCCGATTCGATATAGTGCCTTCAACTTCCCCTTCCAGCTCACTATGGGCCCCGTCATCGGTGCCATCGCCGCCGGTAATACCGTCGTCATCAAGCCCTCCGAGAACGCTCCCCGCAGCGCCGCCGTTATGCAAAAGATCTGCGAGGCCTCGCTCGACCCCTCCTGCTACTCCGTCGTTCAAGGTGGTGTCCCCGAGACACAGGCTCTGCTCGCTGAGCGCTGGGATAAGATTTTCTTCACTGGTGGTGCCAACGTTGGTCGTATCATCGCCAAGGCCGCCGCTCCTCACTTGACCCCCGTTGTCCTCGAGCTAGGCGGTATCAACCCGGCCATCGTCACTAAGAATGCCGACCCGCGCCTGGTTGCGCGCCGCATGCTATGGGGCAAGATCTTGAACGCTGGCCAGGTTTGCACGTCGCAGAACTATCTGCTTGTTGATAAGGAAATTGTGCCCAGAGTTATCGAGGAGTTCAAGAAGGCCTATGCAGAGTTCTACCCCAAGGGTGCTAAGAACTCGCCCGATTACTCGCGCATTATCAATGAGGCTCACTTCCAGCGCCTGAAGTCTATGCTCGATAACACTAAGGGCAAGATCTTGCTTGGTGGTACCATGGATGAGAAGGAGCTCTTCATCGAGCCTACCGTTATCCAGGTTGACTCTGTTGAGGATTCGCTGTGCACACAGGAGAGCTTCGGTCCTTTCATTCCAATCTTGCCCGTTGAGAACTTGGACGAAGCTATCAACCTCGCCAACGGCGTTCAGAGCACCCCGCTGGGCCTGTACCCCTTCGGCTCCAAGGCCGAAATTGCTAAGAGTAAGACCGATCTCTCTCACATTCAAACAACCCTGGTACTAACAATCACCTCAAGTTATTAACTCTACCCGCTCCGGTGGTGTCTCCGTCAATGACGCCGCTCTGCACATCCCCACCCTGCCCTTCGGCGGTGTCGGCGAGAGTGGCTACGGTGCCTACCGTGGCCGCTCCAGCTTCGATGTCTGGGTTCACCGCCGCCCCATCACCACCAGCCCTGGCTGGCTCGAGTCTATCCTCTCCATCCGCTACCCACCGTACGCCGGTAAGCTGAGCAAGTTCAAGGCCGCCAGCACTCTGGTGCCGGACTTTGACCGCAGCGGCCAGAAGGTGACGCTTGGCTGGTTGCGCTTCATCCTGACGCTGGGTGGCGGAAGTGCGAAGGCTGGAGCTGGCCGTGCTGTTGTTGCTGCTGCTCGTGAGTAGATACCCATTTCCTCCATCTTTTGATTTTCTATCTGCTTCTTTTTTTCGGCTCCGATTTCGGTTTCACGATCTACACGATCTATTCCCCCTTTGGCTTTCTTTTTTTGCCATGTCATTCGACATCTTTCCTATGTCTTTTCTCATATTTCTTTTCGTTTCTGCCTTGTCACGACGGAAGGAGACGACATATCGTGATTAGGGCTCATACCATGGCATGTACTCATCGACATGTCGACGCCCTGATCAGCCATTTGAGACTCTTTGATACCCCCCGTATACCCCCTTGAAATTTCGGTCTGATCTTTTTTCCCATCTTGCTCTGGCTATCGAATCTAGCCACTTCACCTTCTTCCCCTTCGCATACCTCTCCCATCCTCCTGTTCTTTCCTCTCCAATTCCCCTCCCCTCCCAACCGGATACCTAGAGGAAAAACCGCGTACCCTTAAGTGTCATAATCTTAATTGAATCTACCTCTCTTCTTGGTTCTGTCTGGTTACCGCAAGCGCTGTACCCCCAAAAAGCCCTGTTCTGAAGAAAAAGCAAAAACCTTGTCTAACGTGCTCTGTAGTTGCCTACTTCGTGCTCCAAGTCCTCGAAAAACGATCGTCGAAATTGTGATCTTCCACTGGTGGAGAAATGGACCAATGGGAGACTTTGGAGATCCCCATTAGGTTGGGATTTTAGCTTTTGGATGGGTTCTTTGTTTTTTGTGTAACTAGTATAGTAACTATCTGTATGCAGCAAGATGTTCGGACTACCGGGTCATGTGAAATTGAACTGTCGTGTCACTGGTAGCGGCGTGATACAATTTCCATCTTTCCAATGCTTATATTTGCAGCGTACAGTAGTATGTTGAATCAAAGATCTTAATTACCAAATCTATCACTTCATTGCCCTCATCAATTCATCATTACAGTATTTCTATCCTCATCTCCTCAAATCGCCACATTAGCACATGTAAACGCCGGCGTCGTCGCCCCCGAATAATCAGCAATAATCGCCTCGACTGCAGCATACAACCCAGGACCCAGGATAAACAGTCCAACAATCATGATAAAAACATAAACAAGCGTCATAGTCGTCCTCTTTACCCCAGCGAACAATTGTCCCCGGTTAAGCTGCCAATAAGCCACAGCGAAGAAAATGAAACCAAAGAACGAATCAAAGGCCGCACTAAGCAGCGAGAGGAAATCACCCATGCTGGGAACGACTTCGGAAAAGACGAATGCAATTAACCAAATACCAACCATAATCAGACCCCAGACGCCCCATCCAATAACGGTATTGCTGTGGGCGTGTCGGGATTTACCAAGGACTTGATTATAGATGAATTTTGCCGTGACGTTGGCGTAGATAACGCCGATGATGAGCGTGGGCACGATGACGAATCCAAAGGAGGCCTTTTTGTACGCTGTCACGCCGAGACTGCCGAATGCAGGCGCTGTGGAGTACTGGCCCAGATAGCGGAAGCCGATGGCTGGGGGCACGATGAAGAGGATGGCGGAGATACCGGCGAGAACGGCGAGGGCTTTGGGGAAGTCCTGCGGGCGTTCCATTTCGGCGATGAATGTTGGGAAGAGGATTTGTGGGACCCAGAGGAAGGTGATGTTTAGTACGGCGTTCATGCAGGCCACCCAGGTCGTGCCGGGGAGGGGGAAGGCGTAGGTTTTGACGGGTCCGTCGGTGGGATAGTCGCCATTGTACCCGTATCCCGGGGCCTTCTCGATGCCGACGAAGACGAGGAATAGAAGGATGGCGATACCCATGCATGCAGCTATATCATTGGGGTGTTAGTGGGGTGCAATTTTAAAGTTTCCTCTGTAGGGAAGCACGCAGTACTAACAAGAAAACATCGACATGAAGCTAACATGGCGGAGAGTTCGTGGCGCAGACATTATAATGCCCATGATAGTCGCAATGACAGAGAACACAGCTGTGCATAGCGAGTGGCCCGATAGAGTGTTCAGGACCTTGGCTCCGGTGAGAACGTGGAAGCCAATCAGCAAGATGTTGTTGGCAAGAAGCAAAGAGAAGACATAGGCGCCTTTGCTTTGGCCGAACACATAGTATCCAAAATCACCTAAATTTCAAACATCAATCAGTATAAGTCGAAAAGGGTACACAACCAATATAATCCAGCCCTCGGACACTCCACATTCACTCACAGATATCCTTAATTTGCGGGTGTTTCATGATATACTTGTGCATGGTGATAGAAGTAATCCAGAATATGACACCGGCGAGAACCATGGTGATGATACCGGGAACCCATCCGAGGACTCTGGAGGTGCAAGCAAAGGTTAGCCTCGACAACGCTATATTCATCGCGATGCCATCAACTCACGAGAGAGACCAGGTTTGCGCCATGATAGCCAAGCAGACCTGGTCACCAGCCAAGAGAACGGCGGTTTTCTGCCAGGACATGGTTCGGAGCTTAATTTCATGTTGGTGATCTAGATCAACGCCGTTAGGACAAAGCAGGTCCAGAAATCAGCCTTCCTCGGAGATTTGTCGCCTACCTTCCGCCACCAAGGCTGTGATTGTATCGATGGAGCTCGACTCATCGACCTCAGCGCCCAGAACATGGCCGGGCTGTTGCTTCTCGTCAATCTCTTTGATCTTGGACATGATAAATGACAGAGGGGAGGGTGGATGACAAAAAATAAGAAAAAGCGCAGAGTAGAACCTAGGCAAACAGTAGAAAGAAAAAAAATCCAGAGAGAACCAAAAAGGTCTCGATCTACAGACCCTGCAGCAATTTAAAGCAAGCTGACCCCAGTCCACGCAAAAAGAAAAATAAGAAAAAAAAATTACACGTGGATGACAAGGTCGTGATTACCTCGCGCCATAATTGCCTTTCTTTGGCGACGAGTCACTCTATACCAAACTGATCTCTAGCGTCAGTTCCTCTCTACGCAACTAACCTATGAGAGAAGAGCTGGTAGTGCCGGTAGGGTACCTATTCGTGTCCCACGGATCCATCCCGAGCACCAGAGGCCTGGAAATTCCAGCGAAACACGAATAGGATCTAATTTCCATAGAAATTACCATAGAAAAGAAAAAAAGCAGGGGTCGTTGCGGTCTCGCAATGGCGTGATAATTAAGCAAATCGCGAATCGACGATTAACCGGACTAGTTGGGTTTAGTTTGTTGAGCGGGACATGTGGGCTTATCGGCCTGGCCGGCCTGGTCTCATTCGAGGATGCGGATTGCTGTCTGACTGGTAGCGTCCCAGGGGATTGTGATTGGTGTGTCTGCAGTGAGATCGGAGAACTGTGCAGATGGATTTTGTGCAACTATGGCCGAGGGGAAAGTGTCAAGCTGATTTAGGAGATTGGTCGAGCTCGGGATTGGGGTTGGGCTGGGCGGCATTTGGGGAAGGGAGGGGGTTAGGTGAGGAGTCATAAGTAAGCTGGAGAAGCATATGGATGATCGAGATCGAACTTAATCTTCAAGGGTGAAACTTAAGAGGTGTGTTATGGCGACAGGTGGGAGAAGTATATTTTGGTAGACAGTGCATCCCTTGGGACATCCACTGTGAAGGTATTCTAACACTATCTATCTCCTCTATACCACTAGTAGGACGGAAATATATAGTGCATCTCAACAACCAAAACGTGACCATGTCTACGCAACAAATATTAACCCTCACAACCCAACCTCTAACATTGAAAAGTAAATCCTACATCCCATAGATCACCATGCCGCCCTCAGCCGCTCGCGAAATATCATTTGCTATCACAAGATATGTACCTAGGAGGCCTCACCCCGACGTCCCTGGATAGACCCTATCAATTTTAGCTCTCATCCAAGCTTTCCCCACGAAGGGACCAAACTTGGCGGCTGATTGGGCGGACTTACGTCGCTCTTATATACATTGTCGGGTAGTTTGGGTAAGTTGGGGATGGACCAGGGGCTGGCAGGGGTCTACAAGGGTAAATTGGAAGTGATAAGGTTACGGTGTGGGTGTTTTTTCCGATTTGCTTTTGGGGCTGGGATGCCTAGAGCTGGATCTATGTGTGTCTGAATTGTATGTTTCATTCGTTATTCGTGTCATCACGTCACAACTCCTAAATTTCACATTTGGATTTTTATCGAAATCGAGAATTATTGTCAACAACGCCGCTCCACACCGCGTTTGCTGACGCAGATATATTTCACCCCCTTGTATGGCTTGACACTCTCTCCTAGACCGCGGCTGCGGCGCTGATCAATATTCAGACTCTCAACCTTGATACCCGAGGGCAGCCAACCGCGGACGGAGAAGGATACTGAGGCTGAGTTCGGCATTAGGCTGGCATTGATTTGGGCCTTGGTTCTGCGCGGGGCGGGGCGGGAGGTAGAAGAAGAGGAAGGTGTGAAGAAGGCAGGGAGTTGAGAGGAGGAATGGGCGAAGGATGGCGGTTGTGGTGTTTGAGGTTTGGAATGATCGGGAGAAGGTGTTTTGACTTTGACTCGTTCTTCCGATACGCCTTCAGCGGGGATTTCGCCGGATTCTTCAGCCGCCCGAGACTTTTTGCTGGACTTCTTCTTTTTCTTCTTTCGTTTGGAAGGGTCTCGGCTCTTTCGGGTGCTGCTTGTAGTTGGGTCATAAGAAGCCGGAGCCTCGTAGTAACCCTGGAGGAGGTTTGTATCGGCATCTTCATCTTCCAGACTATCGTCTAGATCCTCATCAGGGGATGGGTAGCCGGACACGGTGCAGCGAAGGGTTGCGGTGCCGGATATCGTCCCAGCATCCTTGCCTGTAGGAACTCGCCATTCAATAAGACCAGTGGCATGTGTGAACTGCGCATCACCACGACTGGCCTGCAGATCCGTGATGTGCCGCACAGATTTGGAAATAGGGACGGTCACAACCACTTCCTCTAGTACCGGCCCAGAGGAATTACCACTACCACCGCCAAGGAAAGAGGGCGTGGAGGTCCCAGATCCGCCCCGCGATGCGGTTGGTCGCGAAGAAGAGGTCTGTCCCGGGAAATTGGTGTTCAGAGTCAACCGAACCTCAAAGTCGGCACCCGAAGGACCCAGTGACTTTCGGATATCCACAATAGCTGGGAGGAATAGTTTCTCCATGTGACTAGGCGGTTGATCAAGACTCGGGTCTATGGGGAGGAGATCGACTTCATAGCCTGCTAGAATGAATCGTCCATCTGGAGGCACAAAGCTGAGCTCACCCGGTCGATCCCGCCAACGAGCAAGACGAACACAGGGGTGGAAAACAGGAAGCTCAATCTTGCGCGCCAGAGATTGTTGGCCGCCCGGCGCTGATAATGATAGAAGGAGATCTGGAACACCGGATATCTTCGCGGTAAAGGCGATGGTCCCCGAAACCAAGGCAGAAAGTAACCTGCCTGAGGGGGCCATTGTGACGGATAGAGATTCGATAATGTCGACATATAGCTCATTCGAGGTGTGTCGAACCCCGGAGCGCCGCCAGGGAATTGCGGGGCCTTGGGATGCGCTGGCCGCGGCCAGTGATTGCTTCAGAGGGTTGGTTGTTCCAAGCGTAGGGGTCGAGGTACTAGATGGATCGAAGACTATTAGCAAGGCATCTCAGACAGCATGCATCAACGGGGTCCGGTTCTTACCCAGGTACGCTGATACCTCCGAGGAGCTTCCCCATCCACCCCGGTACCTCCACAACCTCTTGCAACACATTGGGTTCCGTGTTACACACGACTCCGCCATCACATATCTCATGAAGCAACTGCGCCACAACCTCATAATTCGCTTGTATCTTGGTAGAAAGCAACGGGGCGCCGACAAACTCCTCGAGTACATCGACCACGCGATGCAGGAACTCTAGGACCAACAGCGGCTCCGTATCTACCTCAGACACAGCCAGAAACAGGAGATTGGACTGTACAGTTGAGAACACTGTCACCGGAGGTGTGGTTCCGGGGAGGTATATCAAGGACGGTCGCGGGGCAGCATGAGCGAGGTAGAGGGGCAGGATGGCCGCGGCCGATGGCGGGCGGGATCGGTAAACATGCTCGACGAGAGGGGCGCTAGAAGATGAATGTTAGCGTGATTCTCTAACTGGCGAGTCAAATAGCATACTTGTGCTCGTCAAATATGTAGACGGCATCGATCTCGCCGCTCATGGTGACAGTTGTCTGGAGACAAGATGCCTTGGCTCCATATAGCTCGATATGAAGCTCTGCATTCTGCCGCCGAGTCCCGCCTTATGATTACTTTTTGGAGGCGCGTGAGCGATTCCCTCGATAAACTCACTGCCAGATCGAACAAACCAGAGTCTTAGGGTTGAATCGGTCATTTTGTTCTTGAAGCTCCCTGGAGTATCTATTCACACATCCTAAATGTCGTCACCTTCAGAAAACCGCTCCGCCAAACAGGCAATTGCCGATGACAAGTGGGACGACTGTCTGTCCTGCAGAATCACTGGTACGTTTGAATAGCCCCTCAAGATTGCTGAAGACACCGAATCGGGTTACTGATTTTATATCTATAGGTTCCGCTGCATTCGTCGGTCTTGGTGTCTACAGCTACTACACCGGCATGAGCAACCTCCGCAAGCGAGAGCAGGCCATCATGCAAGGCCCAACCAAGTATAAGATGGGATCGCGAAGACTCGGCATTGCCACTATTTCGGCCAGTCTAATTGGTCTGGGAGTCTGGCGGGCCTTTAATTGAGTACATTACCAAATACGGCAATATGGAGCTACACATCTGTGCTAGAAAGTGCTAGAAGCATCGGGTATGCCTGTCATCTGCGGATACTTGTACGATATTTGGAGTTATTTGTATGATATTGATTTGTTGAACCATCACGATTAATGATAGCTGCCACACCGGGTATCACGGTAACACAATTCCTCTATATGCTGTATGGCAGGTATAAGGAAAAGAAAGGGGAAGGGAAGACATGATGTGAAAGGGAGAAAAGGTGAAGAGGAATAGAAAAAGAAACCCAGAAGATATAACCAGAAAAAAAAATGCAGCGAAGCCATATGTATGCAAGAATTCACCTTCCCCAATATGCACCCAAAAAAACACCCCAAGTATCCACCCAGCTGCTGCGTGACAATCAGAAGGAAATGTTCGTCATTTCGTCGAGTTCGTAGAGTCTAGGTAAATGTGGTCCCTAGGTAAACCGGCCGCGTTTCCCTCCTCCAAATGAGTTGTCCCTTCCATTTGGCAGGTTGGATAGGTCAAAGAAATCGGGGAAGTTGAATTTCCTCTTTGATCCTAGACTAGCCGGGGTCTCTCGTGGGGGAGGTCGCGTGGTGGGACAGGAGTGGTTGAGGTTGTGGTTATGGTTGTGGCGATGGGATTGGCGAGGGGTTCGAGGCATGAGGGAGATGTTGACCGGGGCACCCTCCTGTGATAGCGAGGTAGAGTTGTCCGATGATTGCATATCCATGTCGAGCTCCTGGCACTGGGGGAAGGTCGGACCGGCAGTGAACGTAAACACCGTCGGCGATGCAACATTTGCATCTTGGGGTTGCGGAGCGGGGATGGTAGTCTCCGGCCGAGGCACAGCGGCCGGGGTGGCGGGTTGCTGGCGGGATGTAGGTTCAGCAACTGGTGCTTCCTTGCGTGTAATGGTAGGCGTGGCGCTTCGATCAAGCTTCTCCGAGTCCACTCGGTCATCCTCATCGCTCGTCTGAGATGCTGTTCCATCACACTTCTCGGTTGCCCATTGTCGGACCTTCCACCCCTCACCATCACCAAGGCCTAGATTCTCACGGTCCAAGAAATGAAGGAGGTCCTCAATAGCTTCCTGATAGCCTGCCGACCTCGCCTGGGCCTGTTCACAAACAGCATTCTTGTATAGATTGGTGACCGAGAGAGCTGCCGCTTTGAAAGACTGGAGCAGTTGCTCGGATGGCTGCGGGCGTGGTGTTGATTTCGGCAAGGAAGTGTTGAGGGATCTCATAGAGTCCATGGTGGGTATAGGTTGGTGCAAAGCACGATGGTTGGCGTGAGTAGAGAAAGAGGCAAAGGATGTTGTCACAGTGTGGTCAGATGTAGCGGGCCGTACTGCAGCAGTGATGTTGCCACAAATCGGTCGAACAAAGGAAAAATCGGGGTATATGAATGAAAGGAGTGCGGTCCAAAGTTGGAAGGACTCTGGGAAGGGACTGGATCGAATCCCCAGCTCCTATAGTGGTAGAGTGTCGTTCACAGACCAGAGGGGGGGGGGCTAATTAGCAAGTACCCGTTGCTACAGATGATCTTCTGCGCTTTTTGCACTGACCGGGTAACGTGACCCCACCTTGCGGGGAAATCTATTTTCCGAAGTGCTGGTCAATGTGATGAGTCAGCTCTGCACAGGCTGCCTGGGCCAATCAGCGCGTGTCCACTCGCCGCGCTCTCCAGTATTCTTCGGCGCGCCTGGCGTTTCTCTTGCGCTTCCATCTATCTGGATTCTCACCTGCACCTGAGCCAGGTTTCCAATTCATTCCGATTTGTCCTTGCAGTTCAAATTTCTGGAACTGGAGCATCTTCCCTTCGCATCTGTTTCGGCTACTGGTAGCTGTGGTATTTCTATCGAAGTGCGCGACTGGATATCAACTGAAGACGTGATTGTGCCTTTATTGCACTGACATTTGCGCTCTGCGCGCCGAAAGCAACGATGGCACCAGCTGCGACCGACTCGCCATCTCAGGCCGACACACCAATGACGGATGCATATGACGATGCCATTCCATCGATTCCAGTCGATAGTGCAGACGCGCCCCAGGTATGAGATGCTCCTTGAAGTTTCCGATATGGTGGCGGGAGTCAATTCACTCTAGCCCCAATCTGCTTCGCCATGTATTTCGTCGAGCTTTTACTAATTTTGACTCGTCTCTAGAGCTACCAAGATACCCCCGACTACACGGTAATAATGGACTGGACAAATACATTGAGATCGAAATCAGTGACTGATGTCGATTTCATACAGGATTCCGACACCAACCCCAACACAACTGCTAGCAGCGTCGCCGGCGACCTTCTAACAGATGGACGTCGTCGCAGGTCTGAGGCCACTCAGCTGAGGAAAAGCATCCTGGGCAAGAAGCACGGTCGTTTGGACGAGTCCAAGGTAAGCATTACTATACCAAAATCGCTACGTCCTTTGTTCTGTTCAATCAACTAATCATGACCTCTGCGTGCAGGAAGATGATTCGATTCGCCGATTCCGTTACCTCCTTGGCCTCACCGACCTGTTCCGCCACTTCATCCAAACCAACCCCAACCCTCGTATCAAGGAGATTATGGCCGAGATTGATCGTCAGAATGAGGAGCAGGCTGGCAAAGCTCGCAGGGGCTCTTCGCGCTCTGGTGGCGCGAGCGGTGATCGACGCCGTCGCACCGAACAGGAGGAGGATGCTGAACTCCTGCTGGATGAGAAGCGGGGCGGAGAGACTACCACCGTGTTCCGCGAGTCGCCCGCATTCGTTCATGGCCAACTTCGCGACTACCAGATTGCTGGTTTGAACTGGCTCGTCTCTCTCCATGAGAACGGTATCTCCGGTATCCTGGCCGATGAGATGGGTCTTGGAAAGACACTACAGACAATCTCGTTCCTGGGCTACCTTCGCTTCATCTGTGATATCAGCGGACCTCACTTGGTTGCTGTGCCCAAGTCGACACTCGACAACTGGAAGCGTGAATTTGCCAGGTGGATTCCCGACGTTGATGTCCTTGTTCTCCAGGGTGACAAAGAGGAGCGACAGCGCTTGATCAACGAACGATTGGCAGACGAGAATTTCGATGTCTGCATTACCAGCTACGAGATGATTCTCCGAGAGAAATCTGCCTTGAAAAAGCTCCCCTGGGAGTACATCATTATCGACGAGGCTCACCGTATTAAGAATGAGGAATCCTCCTTATCCCAGATCATCCGCCTCTTCAACTCCCGCAATCGACTCTTGATCACCGGAACCCCGCTACAGAACAATCTGCACGAGCTATGGGCCTTGCTCAATTTCTTGCTTCCAGATGTCTTTGGAGATTCGGAGGCATTCGATCAGTGGTTCTCTGGTCAAGACTCCGATCAAGACACCGTGGTGCAACAACTACACCGTGTCCTCCGCCCCTTCTTGCTTCGACGTGTAAAGAGTGATGTCGAGAAGAGTTTGTTGCCGAAGCAGGAGATGAACTTGTACGTTCCCATGGCCGAAATGCAGCGTAAATGGTACCAGAAGATTCTCGAAAAGGATATCGATGCGGTCAACGGAGCTGGTGGCAAGCGCGAGTCAAAGACTCGTCTGTTGAACATTGTCATGCAGTTGCGCAAGTGTTGCAATCATCCTTACCTGTTTGAAGGCGCAGAGCCCGGCCCACCATACACGACTGATGAGCATCTCGTGTTCAATTCCGGCAAAATGTCCATCCTTGACAAGCTTTTGAAACGCATGAAGGCAGATGGCAGCCGTGTACTTATCTTCTCGCAGATGAGCCGTGTTCTTGATATTTTGGAGGATTACTGCGTGTTCCGAGAGTACAAATATTGCCGCATTGACGGTAGCACGGCCCATGAGGACCGCATTGCAGCCATCGACGACTACAATAAGCCAGGGTCGGAGAAGTTCATTTTCCTTTTGACCACCCGCGCGGGTGGTTTGGGTATCAACTTGACTACCGCCGATATCGTGGTGCTCTTCGATAGCGACTGGAACCCCCAGGCTGATCTGCAGGCCATGGACCGTGCTCACCGTATCGGTCAGACTAAGCAGGTGAAGGTCTTCCGGTTTGTTACCGAGAACGCGATCGAGGAAAAGGTCTTGGAGCGGGCGGCCCAGAAACTCCGGTTGGACCAGCTGGTCATCCAGCAAGGCCGGGCCCAGCAGGGCTCTAACAAGGCTGCTTCCAAGGATGAGCTGCTGGGTATGATTCAGCACGGTGCCGCCAATGTCTTCAGCAACAAGGACGCTGGTGAAGATAGCTCGAAGGACCTCACGGAAGATGACTTCGACGCTATCCTCCAAAAGGGTCAAGAAAGGACGGCCAAGTTGAACAAGAAGTACGAGGCATTGGGTATTGATGACTTGCAGAAGTTCAGCTCTGAGAGCGCGTACGAGTGGAATGGCAAGGATTTCACAGACCGCAAGAAGGACATCGGCATGACCTGGATCAATCCTGCCAAGCGTGAGCGTAAGGAGCAGTTCTACTCCATCGACAAGTACTACCGTCAGGCTTTGGCCACCGGTGGTCGTACTGCCGACACTAAGCCGAAGGTACCTCGCCCGCCAAAGCAGATTACAATTCATGACTGGCAGTTCTTCCCCCTGAGTTGCAGGAGCTACAGGCGCAGGAGACTGCCTGGCATCAGAAACAGATCGGCCACAAGGCTGAGCTGCCCGAGGGTCCGGAGGAAACCCTGAGCGAGCGCGAGGCTGATCGAGAGCTCGCCCAATACACGATTGACAATGCCCAGCCCTTGACAGAGGATGAGCAAACCAAGAAGACCGCCATGACCGAGGAAGGCTTCTCAACCTGGAACCGCCGTGACTTCCAACAGTTTGTCAACGGATCAGCCAAGTTTGGGCGCACCGATTACGAAGGCATTGCCACCGAAATTGACAGCAAGGAGCCGGATGAGATTGAGGAATACGCTGCGGTCTTCTGGGAACGCTATTCCGAGATTGAGGATTACCCCAAGTACCTACGGGTGATTGAGCAGGGAGAGGAGAAGCTGCGGAAAATGAACCACCAGCGCAAGATGTTGCGCAAGAAGATGGAGATGTACCGCGTGCCTCTGCAGCAGCTCAAGATCAACTACACCGTGTCTACGACCAACAAGAAGGTTTATACCGAGGAAGAGGACCGCTTCCTACTGGTTATGCTAGACAAGTACGGTGTCGAGGGTGATGGCTTGTTCGAGAAGATCCGGGACGAGGTTCGCGAGTCTCCTCTGTTCCGCTTCGACTGGTTCTTCCTCAGCCGTACCCCCGTCGAGATCAGCCGCCGCTGCACAACATTGCTCAACACCGTGGCCAAGGAGTTCGAGCCCGACACCAAAGACGCCAAGGACACCAAAGCCAATGGCGAGGGCAAGGGCCGCGGTCGCGCCCGTGACGAAGAAGAAGAAATTGATGACGCGGCACCTGCAAAGAAGAAGGCTAAGAATGGCGCCACAGTAAGTACCCGCATCTTGGCGATGGCCTCTCATCACCTTATCTAACCAACTCTTCTCCTAGACTAAGCAAGCGAAGGCCGCCAAGGGCAGCAAGAATGCTTCCACAACAAACTCACGGGCGGGTAGCGTTGCCAACGCACCCAAGACTAAGACCCGGAAGCGATGAAGTGACTGCCCATTTATTTTGCATTTTCCCCGGTTGTGTTGCTGTTCGGAGGGGAGGATGGTCTGTGTTTGGATTCCAAGGATCGGCGTTCAGATGATTTACTGTCATGCCAAATTAAAGATAGTCGAAAGTAATCCAAGGCTTATCTTGTATTTCTGCAACCCCTCTTCCTTATGTCCCTGCAGCTAGAGACGACGCCCCCGCTCGCCTGATACACTTCTGCCGATCCAAGACCAAGAAATGCTACATCGATCGTCACTTGGCACTAAATTCCACGCTAACAAAGCCCTCTCACCTGCTATGACGAAAGGTAACATACAGAATAGGCAGGACGCAACAGCAACAACAGATTCATTGGCAACTGACCCCTCTCCAGGCAGTCCCGCCCAGGATAAAACGACGATGGATCCACGATTCCAGCCAGCCCGTCATAGTGGGCTCACGCCATATCTAGATCCATACTAAGTATAAATAGTCCGTACAACTGGTCCCAGCCATGTCTATCATCAAATTCTTCAAGTCCAAACTATATCGCAAACCTCCCACTATGACTACTACCAAGATCAAACTCATCCCCAACCCGCACTACCAGAAGTCGGGAACAAAGTCGTACGTGCACTTGATGCGAAAGTATGGCTTCCATCCCACCAAAGAAGGCCCCTTCATTATCGGTACGGTTATGCAGCAGACGGGCCGCCAGTACACGGATAAACCTATCGGGGGCCGGGTTCATGCTCGTCAAGTCCTGCAGAAGAGGAGCGTCGATGCCAATGAGGTTGGACAGGTTGGTGCCGACGATGTACAGAACGATTCCATGTATCTGGCGCAGATCGGTATTGGTACCCCTGCGCAGAATCTGAATCTTGATTTCGACACCGGCTCTGCCGATCTTTGGGTAAGAGATGCGCTGTCATGGATTTTTATCCATCGCTAAGAGCCTTGGAAACTAATGGGAGGTATAGGTCTGGTCAACAAAGTTGCCATCTGCTACACTGTCCGCGAACAAGAATCACACAGTTTTTGACCCCAGCAAATCGACCTCATTCAAGAACAAAGACGGTTCTACATGGAAGATTTCCTATGGCGATGGATCTTCCGCCTCCGGCACAGTTGGCAACGACGATGTCAACATCGGCGGCGTCGTAATCAAAGGTCAGGCCATCGAACTGGCGGATACTCTCTCAGCACAATTTGCCAGTGGCGCTGGTGACGGTCTACTTGGCTTAGCATTCGGCAACATCAACACCGTGCAGCCGACCGCCGTAAAGACACCCGTCGAGAACATGATTTCGCAAGCGGATATCCCCAAGACTGCAGAGCTATTCACGGCAAAGTTAGGATCCTGGCGTGATGCAGACGAGCCTGACAAGGGCGAGTCATTCTACACCTTTGGATTCATTGATCAGGAGACTGTGAAAGCCTCCGGCGAAGATATTTACTACACACCCATTGACAAGAGCCAGGGATTCTGGATGTTTGACTCGACGTCGGCAACGGTGAATGGCAAATCGATTGCTCGTGCCGGTAACAAGGCTATTGCGGACACGGGTACCACTCTGGCTCTCATCGATGATAGCACATGCAAGGCAATCTACGATGCGATTGAAGGAGCTTACTATGATAACGACAGTCAGGGCTATATCTACCCGACCAATACTGCTTTGGATAAGTTACCAGTTGTGTCATTTGCAGTGGGCGATAAGCAATTTGTCGTTCAAAAGGAAGACTTGGGCTTTGCGGAGGCTAAATCGGGATATGTCTATGGTGGCATTCAGAGTCGAGGTTCGATGGATATGGATATCCTGGGTGATACCTTCTTGAAGGGAATCTATGCAGTGAGTACTTCTTCCTCCGCTGCTGACTGGTGGACATGAACTAACCATGTTAGATATTTGACGTTGGCAACACGCGATTTGGTGCTGTGCAGCGAAAGGAACTTCACCAGAACCTGTCCGCGCCTCCTCAGTAGATCGAGATATGCTTTGAGATTGTCATTGCCTCCTAGAGTGCTCTTCTGAATGATATCGACACAGCCATTGGCACAGCTAAATACATGTTCCATCTCATATTCAATACTACATAAAGATAGATAATCCAGTTGAGGTACTTCATCAAGACATGTCAATGACCACTTTCTGCGGCTTCCCATACCCTGCAGCAATGGCATCGTCTATCTTCACAATCTCGAATTGAGCTTCATTCCCCGAATTTAGTAGACCATCTTCAATCCAGCCGTTCACTGAACGTAGATATTCCGCCGTCTGTTCAAGTGTACGAGCAACAGAATTGCACCCCACAAGTGAAATCTCCTTACGGTATGCCTTCAAGACATCAAAGGCCAATTGAGTGCTACCTGCTCGAGGACCGGTGATCCATGCATATCGTCCCCGAACCGCCAATTGTTCCACTAGCACAGCCATCAATGCCAAGTCCCCCACCGTGTCGATCACCACGTCGACACCCATCCCATCCGTTAGAGTCGAGATAGTTTCTTCGATGGAGGCGTCGGGTCCCAAGGAAACATCAGGGTTTCCACGACGCGCCGCTGTCAAAACCTTCCTGCATCCCATTGCTTTGGCGATCTGCACAACGGCAGATCCCACGGCACCGCTCGCACCAAGTACGAGAACGACATCGTCTGTCTTCGCCTGTGCGCGCTGTAAGCAGATCATTGCAGTCGTGAATGGGACGCCAATGGTTGCAGCTTGGATGGGTGATAGCTGGGTCGGCTTCTCGACAAGCGCATTTTCCGGGATCAAGCAGTACTGAGCGTGTGTACCGTCCGTGTCGAATCCGAGACTTGACCCGCTGGTTCCGTAGACGTCTTTGCCGATCCATGACTTGGACTCGGCGTTTTCGCTCAAGATATCGATTACCGTTCCGGAGTAGTCACGTCCCAGGACACGTGGGTACGTGGTAGATGGGAAACTGCCTTGGGCATTGAGTTTGTCGGAGGGCTGGATGGAGGCATAGTGAATTCGGACGAGGGCGTAGCCTTGTTTCAGTTGAGGGATGGGCAATTCTGCAATCTCCAGTTCCGGGGGGACGGTTGATGAAGTACGTGTCAGTTGGAGAGCTTTCATGGTGTTCATACTGTTTAAGTAAGGACCCGAAGTCGGGATAATGTTGAATCGGTGCGGAATATGGATGAGTTGACTGCCATGACGGTGAATACCCACGACGTTTTATATCACGTCGTGGGATTTGAATTTCCGTCTATGTCACAGGTGTTTTTAAGGGCTTATTCATCGTGAGTTGTTAGTTTGCAAATAATCGACTAAGCTCATACTAAGTGCGGTGTTAGGTTTCGATGACGCATACGCCAGCCAATCAGCGCGATTAGTTGGAGGATGACAAAGTTGTATGCATGCTTATGCAAAAATCACAAATTCGGCTCGCAGATCACCAGGATGGGGTTCAACCGGGGCAATCGACTGCTAACTATATTGTTTGGCACCTAAAATACGAATATTTTGTCCCAATTATTCCTAACCACGTTCGCCTCCGTCGGCAGAACATAGCCAGAAATTCGATTAGGTGCTTGGTTGCCTTACGGCAGGATGGTCTAGTGTTGGTATCTTGGTGTTCTACCGTTACTATTCTTGAGAACCTGGAGGGAGACAATGGCTTGCTGGCAACAGACAAATGGACTGGCGGTTCTGTGTCTGGGGCGTACGCTGCTGTGGTGCATGGCTTGCTCTTTAGTCGAGTTTCTGCGAGAACCATCAAGATCATCACAAACTTGGCAATCACAACTGGCCAAGCACTTTTGGGACCAATACCCATCGGCCAAACCAACTGGGCCAGTGCTTTTTTGATCATGCTAGTCACGCCATGGGGGATATAAGCAAGCTTACATTTCCACGACATCCCAACCGCTAATCTCAAGCCAGGGATATGTCCTTTCCATCCGGAGTTCTGATCCTGAGTGACGAGATATCCCAGAGGGATCAAGGTACCGTTAGTTCACTTGTGAATACGGTCGTGAATTTTTCAATCTCGATGGGCCTCGGGTTCGCGGGCATAGTTGAAAGACAAGTCCTCGAGAGCAATAGTGGAGCAGCATATGGGTAGTGGGCTTGCAGGTCTCGGCACGATGATCGCAACTTGTTTCATGTCTGTGACCTGGTAGGCGTCTAGAAATGGACCTAGGCAAGCTTGACGCGATTGAAAACAGCGATTGAAAACCTAAGCGCAGTCTTGTGCTGTATCATAATGGCAGCTGAAATTCCATGGCCCATAGAGAGTCAAGATCGAATGGGAATTGATGGTCTAGAGTGGGGCTCAGTGAGAGATCTTGGGGTAGTGGATGTTCCTTTTGAGCGCCAGTGGAGTTTGGCGAAGGTCCCACTACGCGCTCTAAGGCTTCAACGCCTTTTCTTTTATTGTCCAACGCCGCTCTAGCAAGCTGTCGTGCGGTAGACAAAGCCTCTCTGGCTAAATGGGTGTCTAATGAATCCACAACGAACTCCAAGGTGTCCATCGCTTTCACAAGCATGTCACAACTGGAAGAAGTGTCCATTGCAAGAAGCGCACAGGCGAATTGGAAAACGGTCCCGATGATATTCCACCATACCCGGCCTTGACTTACTAGCCTTCGGGCAGCGGGTAGTGCTGCCGCGCCGACGGTAATAACACGGTCGTTGGGTATCTGTTGAGGCTTCGAATCCGTGACTCGAAGTCGTCGATATATGCCCAGGGCTAGATCTGCCCTAAGGAGTAGCAGAAAATCATGGCTGACAGAAATGTTGACAACTTTTTCGAGAGCGGAAAGTATTTCCTCTGTCGTATCTGCTGAGTCGCGTGTTGCATGAGTTACAGGAAGAACTGCTGCAACAAGACTGCACATTTGAGGAGTCAAATCGCCTTCGTGAGTGCTCTGTAGATTGCTCTCGAGAGTCTGGCGATTGACAGTCATGATAGACCTGCCATACTCGAAAGCAATGACAATATGAAGACAAGTGGCTACTTGAGCGGTTCGGATGATCGTATTGGAGACCTCCGGCCTTGGAGCAAGATTTCCCGTTGTCTGCAACATGAAGTCTGACGTGTGGTGCAAGCCAGTCGCTTCAATAAGATGCATGATCGTGCAAGTTGTCAGCCAAGTGACATGGGGTCGCCCAGTGCAGCGGACATATATGGCGCGCAGAATCCACGCCGCAATCTGCTCTAGAGACGGAAAGCGACTGATTGAACAATCCTCAAGTATTTCCTTGGCGTGTAGTACCAGCCAAATTTCCATATCTTGGTTTAGATTCCCATTCAACAGGGAAGCCAAAGCCAGAACTCCGCTGGCGATAGCCTCGAAAGCCATGTCTTGTGGCTGACCGTGCCAGTGTTTCTCGCAGCGTGCGTAGAATTTATCCATATCCAGAAAACCGAATATCGGATGTATGGTGGCAGTATATACTTCAATGAGACCCCTGGTCGTATCCCAGGGAAATTTCTCGGAAATTTGATGTGTGACCGCACAGGGCGGCTCTTTGCGAATGCCTGAGTGATATGCAAATGAATGCAGACGCGGAAGCTTTGTCGCCTGAACCTCCAATCCTACATAGAGGGGAAAGGCAATTGAGGAGTATCTGCCCACATATCGAGCTTTTGATGGCTCGAGAATACCAGGAGTAGACGAGTCCGTATTCTGTCTCAAGGTGGACTGTGGGGACGCCAACCGTGCCAGTTTCTCTGGTAGCCGTGACGAGGACTCCTCGGAGGGTATAGGTCGCTTTGTGGGTGATTTTGAAGCTCCGCTTTCATATTCACATTCATAGCCATACCCTTGGCACATGTTGCAAGGAAATTTGCCATCACATTTCCTCTTGCGTCGTCGGCAAGGGAGGCATGCTTGTCTGGAGCGTTGTCGGACTGTTCCGAGTGCAGGCGAGGAGGCACTCAAACTAGGTTGTCGTGAATATTGATTCTGCATTATGGAAATTTGGCCAAGGCCATCTCGTTATTCATTGGAAAGATGCAATAGCGGGCATGTCAACACTCGACGGACATTTGACGCGTGATGCGCGCCGCGTAACTTTGGGGATGGATTGTTGCCTTAGGTGTCATCGTGTTTGCCTTACAGCCTGAAGAAGCCGTGAGAACTTCCAACTTCCAACTTCCAACTTCCAAAGTACACTGGAGGGACTGCCAACTGACTCATGCCAATCACCACCATCACCAGGCAAGATGTGTCGCTGACTCATTGGCATAAACGACCTTGGCGGTGCTCGAAACACGGAAAAACATGAATGTGTCAATCATCTGAGGGGTAAAAGAGCCCGAAGTGGACCACAAAATTGCCCCCGGACAATCCAGAGAGACGTACTCAGGTCAGCCAATCAGAGCGGTCCAAATCATGACTTTGGCGCCTCCACCTTCGGAGATGTGGATGAGTATTTCCCTACTCCGTATTCCGGATCCCTAAAGCTGGGGTAAACTACTCTTGACCCCTGCCTTCTCAAAGATGACTACATGGTAGAGCAATCTGATGCCGTTGATGATATAGGGAAGCCATGAATGGCTCGAATTTCTGTTCGGCACCGCTTCCCAAGCGGAAGCGCTTGTCATATGCTTGTAACTACTGCCGAGCCAAGAAGACGCGATGTGACGAGCAATTTCCAAGCTGCCGAAACTGTCAACTAGCCGGCGTATCATGCATTACAGTCAACAAGAGGCGACCGAATGCACCGGTCCAAAATCGTCGCAAAGATTTACCCTCCACAGAGCGACCACTTGAGACGGAGGCACCGAGAATTACGGCACTGGCATCTCCAGAAACGAGTGGTGTCAGTCCCTCATCTCTCAGAGACCAGGAGTTTTCGATTGCCCCAGCGCTTTCGAGGACCCCTTCTCCTGGTCCCGTTTCGAAAGACGGACAAGACTGGTCTACTCCCAGCTGGGACACGGAGCATCTCCCAGTAATGCCCTCGCGTGTCGGATCCAGCGTCGTCCATAATTCAACGCAATGGCTCGATCTAGCGCTATCTCGGCTTCAAATTCCTCTCACTTCATCCGTCCGTGTGGACCTGAGGCCGTGTCTATCCAGCCCAAGTACCATTTGCGAATACCCGATTCCTTCCGTGGAGCCGGGTCTGCCGCCTTTTGACGAGTTTCATAGACTTGTCGAGCTCTTTTCAAGGTTCATCACCCGGTATATCCATTTCTGGATCGTCAATTTATCATTGCACTTGTGAATGGGACCTCCGATAAAAACCCGCGTGACAATAGGGCTCGCACATGTGGCAAAGTTCCTCGGCTGATGCTACTATATCTGATCACTATTTTGGGGTCTATGGCGAAGCCACAAGCCTCTCATCAATCTCTCAGCGCATCTTTGGCTTATTGTCATACGCTTGTCGGACACCTCCTTCTGCAGCCAGCCCTGGAGTCGGTGCAGGCACTACTCCTATTTTCAATCACCCATCGTCTCCGAGATCAGCTTTCTCAAGCATGGGATGTGCTCACGCTGGCTAATTCTATGTCGCAGACATTGAGGCTTGGCGATCTTAGTGTACATTCACAAGCGATTCAACAAGTCGTGTAAGACAGGGACAGGGATATCTCGCGCACGTGGTGGGCTCTGTACGTATTTGAGAAATTCCTTGCTTTTGATTCTGGTCGGAAGTCCTCCATAGAAGATCCAAAATTGGGGTCGTTGGGGCGCCAGGACTCGGCGAGGCTGCCGGAGCCGGCAGAAATTCCAAATCTCCAAAGTTACCAATACTGCATGACTCACTTGGCCAACGTACTGCGCGAAATGCAACATCGATCGTGGCATACATGGCGGAAGGAAAGCCTTGAGAAAACAACCGATGAAAAAAATCGCGCGAGCAAAATTCGTGCAGCGGGCGAAATGGACACATTGCTGTGCAAGTGGCGCGCAAGTTCGCCCCCTGAACATCAGTGAGTCACCGGTGATAATACTTTGTCCTACTAAGGATGATGCTTCCGAAGTGGGTCATTCTCCACATCCGAAAAAGGAGATTCACTAATTATCTTGCGGGGAAGCAAAATGGATCCGGGTGTGCTGGGATGGCAACACGGCGTAGTTTGGCAAGATATCACGATCACCAGGATAGCCTTGGGTATCTTCGCAGATGTATGTCCCTTCAAGATAGTTCTGAAGTCTTCACATTCCAAATCTTGACGCACGCTCCCTACAGGCAAATGGACCGATGTTGTGCGACCCGGGAATAGTTTAGGTTCAACTAACCGACAACGGCGATAACTTTTCTCGTCGTGCCATTAACAAAATCCTAATTTTTATAGATTTGATCGCAATCTGGTGCCGAGTACGAATAGCTCATAGGTCTTAGGAATCCTGAGGATCGTGTTCAAAACTGGCCTGGCTCTCGCCTTCCATGTGGGTCTTTGTGTTCAAATCAGATCATAGGTCCGCCCATTTCAGCACCGGCTTGATAACCTTCCCTGCGTACAGATCTTCCAATGCTTGTTCAAGACAGTCTGCATCATAGACCTTTGCCAACTTGTCAACTGGGAACTTGCCCTCTTTGTACCAGCTGATCAATTGAGGCAATAGCTAATAGAAAAGGCAACGCGGGAAATATTAGCCTAGACAAAAATCACAAGGTGCATAATGAATGACTCACCGTAGCCGGGTTAGAAGACCCCTCGATAGCACCGACGACACGTTTGCAATTGATCATGAACTCAAGGGGATCGATACTCAGCGATGCCCCAGCTGGAGCAACTCCCACAATGGCCAACGTGCCTTCGTGGCCCAGTGCCTTGATCGACGACTGCAGTAGAGAAACCACTCCCGTGGTATCAATGATTTGATCTACCCCATCTGGGAACAGCTCATGTAAGCCCTGGGCAAGATCGGGGACCAGCTTTGTATTCAATGTGTGTGAGGCCCCCAGGGAAGTAGCTAGCTCCAGTTTCGCATCGACAATGTCCACCGCGATGACGGTCTCGACTCCCTGTGCTCGTGCAGCCATCAAAGCCGCCAAGCCCACTGCTCCCATGCCCAATACAGCAAGCCGACTAGCTGACTTGAGCTTCAAAACGTTCAACACTGTGCCCGCACCCGTGAGATATCCACATCCAAGTGGGGCCAGCGAGGCCATATCTGCATCTGTGACGCCAGAATCTGCGGGGCTCTTCACAATTGAGGTCTCCGGAACGATTGCAAGTTTGCTCATTGAGGATTGTCCAAAGAATTGTCCCCGGATGGCCTTTCCGTCAACAGATGAAATGGGTGAATCGGCAGCGGATATACCACGGACGCCACCGAAGTTGATTTCAGTAAAGCGACTACAGAATCCATGCCGTCCTTCCTGGCATGGTGCGCAGTTGTGGCAGGTGGTGAAGCTCAGGAATACCTGATCGCCTTCGCTCAGACTCTTATCCTTGACTCCGCTACCGACGCGGCGCACGATTCCCGCACCCTCATGGCCGAGCACAGCTGGATAGTCGCCCACGGGAATGGCTCCGTTTTGGACGACAATGTCCTATCGTCAAAACATCAGAACTTGGAGCAAAACTACTTAACGGTACCATTCGTTGGTCGCGGTTGGAAATGGAAGAGATGGATGTGAGTTCTTACCGTATGGCATAGCCCAGTATATTTCATCTCGACCAAGACTTCATTTTCCCGCACTTCGTCCAGAACAACATCTTGCAAGACAAATGGAGACTTCGGTGAGTCAACTACAAATGCCTTGGTGGGAATCTTTTTCTGTGGGATCATCGTGCAGTCGGTGTTTGATGTCTGGTGTTATGGGCTGTTGCTGTGACTAGTAAAGCGAGTTATGTACAGCTGTGTACGAGGAGGCAAGGTTACGAACCACGGTGCATCGGAACAGTGATTGCGTACACCTTTGTAAGCCCGAGGCAAATCCCGAATGCGAGATATAGAGATCGCCTGAAACCAGGAACCTTTGAGAGCGCCTTTCGCGGGTCTTTTCCCCGCAAAGCCGATCAATTGGTGGGGTTTCCCCACATCAACGCGACTTCGGGATGGAAATCCGGCAACGCTGCCAGCCTCTCATAGTTATGCGGAGCCGCCAAAGCAGTGCTGTCGTGTACGAAGATCCTGGTCTCATTCTGAGACGATCTTTTGAGCATGAAAAGTGACTTTCACAGCCGGGTCTGATTGCCATGCTACTGTGATGAAACCCAAAGTTCCACGCTTGATGTCACTGGACTCGATAGATCGTGATAGTACATTTTTTGGAATAGAAATTATCTACAATATTATACAATGAGGTATCTTCTGTACATGCTGGAGATAAATAATATCGTACAACAGGCTTTACCACACTCGGTCTTTGCTCTTCTTGATTGGTTCGGACAACGCAAGAGGGGTTCGCAAGAACATCTCCATCAATAGTGCCGCGGCAACACTCACGTTCAAACTGTCAATGCGAGCCGGGTCGGACTCCACGCCTAAGTGAGCACTGTGACGGGCACCTGGAATGCTAACGATAGAATCGGCGTGTGACTTGATGTGAGAATTCAACCCTGTTGCCTCGCTTCCCATCATAATCACACTGGGGGAGTGCATTGTAGGAAGTACTGTTTCACCTTCGGCCATCCCCCGATCAAGATAAGTCGCACCTGGACCAGGAGCGTCGGCGGCATAAAACCGCCATCCATTCTCCTTGGAACGTTTGATGAAGTCCACCTCGTTTTGAGCGTGCAGCAAGGTCATGTTCTCCGCCGCGCCAGCAGAAGCCTTGATCGTCACGGGAGACAGAGGCGCGGACTGGCGACCAGCGAAGATAATGGCATCAATGCCAAGATAATAAGCAGACCGGATGATCGCACCAATGTTGCCAGAATCCACCACCCCATCCAACAGCAAAGCCACGGGGTATCGATGATTTTGTAGGCCCGAGGAAGGATCGGTAGAATGCAGAATCGGGATATTGTCGCTCGTACCATTGACTGCAGCTTCCTCCCGCGACTGAGGTGCCAATTCTACCCGAAAGTGGCTCTCTGATTTCGTGGGAACAGCATGCAAGCCGCGCACGGGGAGTTTGGGCAGAGGCGAAGCCTCAAGGACACATCCATTGTGGGGACGGCCGGCAGACATCTTGTCTAAAAGCCTGTCCCAACCAGCAAAGGCCAATTTGATCTCAATATTCTTCGAGAGAGCTAGCTTCCGAAGAGCGATCTTGGATGGCCCCAGGTCTTCCCCAGCTCGTTGATAGAGGTATAGTTTGTATAGTTTTCGTCTACCGCATCGTAAAGCCGCTTCCACGGCGCTGGCACCGTAGATAAACTCAGATGCTGGGCTGGAGTAAGGGATCGATTCGGGGACTTTGACGTTCTCCTTGACTCGTTCCGGCATGCTGTCTGTCACACGATGGGCGCGAGACTTCGTCTTTGGTGAATCAATCTCTCCTGAAGACACCGATGTTGAATTCGTCCTCGGGGTTCGTTCTCTGGGTCTGAATTGCCCGCGATCTTGGAGGTCTCGCGGCATTCCTCGAAACTTTCCACTTCGAACGAACTCGTCCCTGTCAAAGTCAATCCTGGATGGCCTTCTGCTATCCTTGGCTTCACGCCCGCTTGAAGATATCCGGGAATCTTCCCGACGAGACCTGCTTCGGCCACCATCAGCACCAGACGCTCTCTCGAACGAGCCAACATATTGAGACCTGCGGATCCCACGGCCGATAGCTGAATTCAACGAAGCATAGCGCACAGATCTGACTGCAAAGGGCACTCTAAAGACCGAAAATTGCGCACCAAGGCTCGTCTTTGGGAAATATGAAAGCATCATCATCCAGATGCGTGGCAGATGGTTTTCGAGCACGGCCAAACCTATTTGATAAATTAGACCGGATTAATGTTGATCCGATCCGTTATCGATAAGGATCAATTCACTAAACGCGTCCCTTCAAGCATTCGCGTCTCTTCCCTTCGACCTTTCTTCACTTTCGAACTCGCTTCGCCTACTTCTTTGGTTCTGCTACAGTCTTCGCAGATTGATCAGAATCAACTTCGTTCCATCTCACAAAAACCCTCACCACCTCTCACACACTTCTTCACCATGCTCTCAACTTGGTGATCACTTCCACTACGTTCGGTGACTGTGTGTGCGGTGCATTGCCTGAGCGCTCTGGCTCATCGCACACCACAGAACCTCTCATCAACATGTCTCACCAAGAAGACATGAATTCCCCAGGGTCCGATGATCCAGACGCCATGGTTGCGCAGCTGGAGACTTCGACACCTGGCCCAGCAGCAACAGCCGATGAGCCCGGATCTCAGCAGCCAATGGAAGAGGTTCGACCGAGTCAAAAGGCTGGATCTATGAACTTTTCGAGCATTGAGATCCGGGTTCCCATAGTCGACAATCCCAGTGACTACGAATATCTCCCCGGTCACTTCAAGGTCCGACGTATCATGTGGATAGACTCGAGCAACCCCGAGAAGCCGTTGTACACCGTTCGGCTTGCCAGTGGGGAACGCTCAACTGTGAGAGCACCCTCCTTACATCGAATCATGGATATATATTTCTAACATTGATCATTCTTATCACAGATGTCGCGCGATACATTCATGAGCCTTGACAATAGCGCCCAAGCTCTGGATGATTACGTTCCGGAGTCGGAATCGGATGATGAGCTCATGACAGTGGGATACGGATCCATATCAAGCAATTACTTTGGTGGGGATGGGGCAGGATATGGAAAGCGGGCTCGCGCCTCGAGACAAACTACCCGGCCGCGCCGTCAAGCATCCTCTGCACGTGGCAGTTACGCCGCGTTCTATGAAATCCCAGAGTCCTCCAGCTCCGACGAAGATCTGGATGAGTTAAGCGACGAGCTCAATGGACGTTACCCCAGAAGACGCCGTCGATCGACGAGGACAAGCAGAAAGGTGATCGTATCTTCCGACGAGGATGACGATTCTTCTGACTTGGAAGCGCCAACTCGTGTTTCTACTCGCACCCGAAAGAGCACTCGCCAAAACTTGCGAGAGCGACTGGAAGACGACTTATCGGAAGCTGAAAGCGAGGCACCCAAACGGCAAAAGTACTCTGGGGCCCGAGAAGCGTTTCCTGAGCTTCCGCGGGATGATGAATTCCGACTGCGACACTTTGCATGCTGCTCTACCTGCAACTACTTTGAAGATGATGAAGTCAGAGGACCCCTCATCTTCTGTCAGGGGTGCAGCTCGTCGTATCATCAGCAATGCCTTGGTCCGCGTAGCAGCCGTGAACACCTTGTCACCAAGATTGGTGAGGACTACTTCATTCTGCAGTGTCGCCGGTGTCTTGGGGTCGCACATAGTAAACATGACGTTTCCCCTCATCTGGGCCGCTGTGCCGTTTGCAAGGAAGATGGTTCAATGTCACAGCCACTGAGACAGCGTCTCACTTCCAAAGAGGAGCAACAGCAACGTGTGGCGAATGGCGGTACCGACCCTGTTACCCATGTTGACATGGCTCGCGTCAACAACATTGATGATGTCCTCTTCCGGTGCGCAAAGTGCCAGCGAGCTTTCCATTTCGAACATCTTTCTCTAGACTCGTCCCAAGATCTCTCGGAGGTGATATCCCACTACACGACTCATTGGCAATGCAAAGACTGCTCCGACTGCCCTGGTGATATTGAAGCTCTAGTTGCATGGCGTCTCGTAACCCCACCCGCCAAGGGCTCGAGACTTCCTCTGGCCGAGCTTATTCCAGAGGTCGAAAAGGAATACCTTGTCAAGTGGAAGCTGAAGTCGTATTTCCGCACTACCTGGATGCCTGGAGACTGGGTTTGGGGGGTCAGCAACGCCGCGATGCGTCGGGCATTCTTCAATTCTCACAAAGCACGAAAGCCTATTTGGACAACCAAAGAGGCGATTCCAGAAGAGAATCTTCGCGTTGACATCGTCTTTGACGTGACCTTTCCCGACGGTACTGACCTTGATGATCAAACCAACCCTGAGTTTGTCAAAGAGGCATTCGTCAAATACAAGGGCTTGAATTACGAGGACTCTGTTTGGGAAACGCCCCCAGACCGAAAGGACACTGATCGATGGGAGGACTTCAAGCTTGCTTTCAATGACTGGCTGCATCGTGACAGTATCGATCCGCCGAATCGACATGCCCTCAAGAGCCATCTCGCCAATATCAGGCGTTTGAACTTCGAACAAGATCTGGTTCTGAACACCCAACCTGAGCTGATCATTGGTGGCCAACTCATGGACTACCAGCTTGACGGTGTGAATTGGCTCTACTACATGTTCATGAAACAGCAAAACGCCATTCTTGCCGACGACATGGGTCTTGGCAAGACAGTGCAGGTGATCTCTCTGTTTGCAACCTTGATCGAGAAACACTCATGTTGGCCATTCCTTGTCGTTGCCCCTAACTCTACGGTCCCCAACTGGCGGCGTGAAATCAAGATGTGGGCACCCGGAATTCGAGTCGTCACGTACTTTGGCTCGGCGTTCGCACGTCAGATGGCGAACGACTATGAGATGTTCCCACAAGGTGGCAAAACACTTCAATGTCATGTGGTGATTGCCTCGTATGAGAGCATGGTTGATGAGGAGGCCAAGCGAGTCTTGAACAAGATCCATTGGGCCGGACTGGTCGTTGATGAGGGACAGCGCCTCAAGAATGACAAGTCGCAGCTTTATGAACGGCTTTGTCGCATGAAGTTTGACTTCAAAGCGCTTCTTACTGGCACGCCCCTGCAGAACAACATCCGAGAGTTGTTCAACCTGATTCAATTCCTCGACCCGAACAAGGATGCCAACAAATTGGAGGAAAAATATGGCGATCTAACGGCGGAGAACATTCGATCTCTCCATGAGATGATCCGTCCGTTTTTCCTTCGTCGTACGAAAGCCGAAGTTCTGCCTTTCCTCCCCCTATGGTGCAGATCATCATCCCAGTATCGATGTCGGTTGTACAAAAGAAATTGTACAAATCGATCCTGGAAAAGAACCCACAGTTGATTCAGGCAATTTGCAAGAAGCAGACCGACCAACTCAAGAAGGCTGAAAAGCACAACTTGAACAATATCCTGGTACAGCTTCGGAAGTGTCTTTGCCATCCTTTCATCTACAACAGGGCCATTGAGGAACAGACGAATGACCACATCCTGGCTTTCCAGCGCTTGGTCGAGGCTTCGGGGAAGCTCAAGTTGTTGAATATCATGCTACCAAAACTGCAAGAGCGTGGAAATAGGGTCCTGATCTTCAGTCAGTTCCTGGAGAATCTCGACATCGTCGAAGATTTCCTCACTGGCCTTGGCCTCACCTACTGTCGACTGGATGGAAAGTTGACTGCCCGGCAGAAGCAGCAGCAGATTGATGCATTCAATGAGCCTGACTCACCATTCTTTGCTTTTTTGCTATCGACTCGATCGGGTGGCGTGGGCATCAACCTTGCCACTGCCGATACCGTCATCATCATGGATCCCGACTTCAATCCGAAGCAAGACATGCAAGCCCTTTCCCGTGCTCATCGAATCGGCCAGAAGAACACCGTTTTGGTCTTCCACTTGACCACTCGGGCAACAGTGGAAGAGAAGATCATGCAAAAGGGCAAGAACAAGCTGGCTCTCGATCACGTACTGATTGAGCGCATGGAAGCTAGCGAGGAGGAGGAAGACCTAGAGTCCATCCTCAAACATGGTGCCTCAGATTTGTTCAGTGACGACAATTCGCGGGACATTCATTACGATGGGGAGTCCATCGACAAGCTTCTCGACCGCAGCCAGGTAGAAAAGGCGGAGCAGATCGCTTCAGATACCCCAAGTTCTTCTACAGAGCAGCCACAATTCAACTTCGCCCGTGTGTGGCAGAAAGACCGTGGTACACTCGAGGAAGTCGCTGTGGACGAGGAGAGCCCCGATGACACCACTGCCTGGGCAGAAATCCTTCTTCGGCGGGAGCGCGAAGCCCAAGAAGAGGAGTTCAAGAAAGCGGAGGGACTTGGACGTGGCAAGCGTAAGCGAGCCACAGTTAACTACCAAACTATTCGCGAGGACGATGATGCCCTGGAGCCCCACCCGGCCATGCCCTCTCCTGTCAAAAATCGCAAGATAGGCGACAGTGATGTCGAATTTCAAGCGCAAGAGGAAGCCGAAGAAAGTGACTTTGCAGAGGATACAGAGGCTGCTAAGAACATGGCCGATAGTCAAGAGACGTCGCCTCCCAAGCAGCTGAAGACTGCTCTTTTCCACCGTGTCCAGTCCCCGCCACCTGAACCAACAATGGGCTTGGATGGCACTTCGGATCTCCCTCCACGATGTATTGCGTGCAACCAGTACCACTTACTTGGCCGTTGCCGCCTGAAGCAAGCCGGCGTTGAACACTGCCCGTTGTGCGGCCTTGCGCACTTTGGTGGAAGACGTGCTTGTGCGCACTTCCACTCTGAAACCCAAGTTCGTCGCATGCTGGCGGCCTTGCGACAGAGCACGGAAGACCGAGAGATTGTCTCTGTTGCCAAGAAATACGTCAAGGGAGTCCTTCGTCACCTCCAGGCTGCCCGCAAGAAAGCCATGATGCCAGATCTCATTCCGGCAGCGACATCCCAAACCTCGACTGGCGACTCGACGCCTGCCAATGTCACCATCCCCCAGCCTGGGTCTTATCAAAGCCCATATGCCCCTACAACCACCCCTGCACAAGCCCGTGAGACAACCGGACCTTTGATGACTGTGGACCGTCAAGCATCTTCCTAGTCGTTGACTACGGCATTTGGGCAGCACCGGGTGCCATTGCACACTTGCGGACTCGGTATTCTCTTGTTTTTCGTGTTCTGGAGATGCACATTCTTTTCGTTTCTTTTCTCCCCGGGACTGTCTCGTACAGACCAAAAGGTGGAAAGCCACACCAGGGTTTCTTCATTTCCTTTCTTAATCCTTCCTAATGAGCGATGATCGAAGATACCCCCTCCGTTGTTAGATTAGAACTGCTTAGCAATTCAGCATGCTTTAGCATATGTACAATATCAATTCTCTTTCGTATTCAGATTTTTAATTTCTATCAATGCTTGCACCGTCTTCCAGGGAGTCTTCAAGTGTACAATAGCAAGACAGTGCGTTCCAGGTCATCGAGATGGAACCCCATCGTGCCCTACTGTTGTAAGATATGATTCAAGTCACTCGCCGAGGCATAGCATTGCATTGTCGCGGAAGGGCTATGGTTCTGGTGGTATCATTTTGGGTCTGCCGTATCCTGCACGGTGTCAACGGCCAGAATAACCTCGTTGGTCATCGTCGGTGTCTGTGGTTCTCCGGTCTGAGGGGAAGCAGACATGTCAGCAATTTCATATTCGGATCAACGAACGATGATGAATCAGGGGCTCTTAAACGTTACTGAAGGCTGGAAAGATGCAAAACATTAATATTGCTGAAGTAGTCGTCCAAGGTAGATAACAGTTTTGTTTATATTGAGCCAAGAGAACGACCTGCAGGTCACAATAGCTTTGAAAGAGTGCCTGCAATCTGGACAATGGGTTGAAAGAACATAACTGGAAGAAAGCCCCCATTGTTGCACCAAAACGTGTAGAGGACACTATTTCCATCTGGGCCAGGGACTTGCTGCAGCCAACCGATGCAGGGCTGTTTCTGTACCAGCTTCTGATTCGCCCAATTGAGCCATTGAGAACGTGAGGCTTGATATCAAGGCAGCGCAGCCCCCAAGGCAGCGCACCTCCAGGTTGAGTCACGCCCTTAGCCTCTTCTGGTTAGTTCTGGCCATGTTGGATGTTTGCTGTTTGCCCTTCCCCACAAATAGGCAGCGCTCGCCGTTCCTGATTCGGCAATTCACAAATAAGCTTATTTGGACAGCCCCATACATTGTACGATTTTATGCGGTTTTGTGTGGTTTTATATCGTTTTATATCATTCTATCACAAAGGCTCATTATATTATTTGTAGTGTATTGTCTCGTATATAGCCAAGTAATACCCATTCGACCCATTGTGTGTGTATTGTATGCAGTATCAAAGGTGGGATGAGGTAGCAACTCATTGATTTGTTTGGAAGATTCCGGATAGCAAATGGGTTGTCTGCCTTCAGGATCTCCGAGGCAGCGCTCGCGATTGTTTGCCTTCCCCTTTCCGTCTTCCCAATTTGCTTTCCTCCGGATCCTTCGACTATTTCTGCCGCTTCTCCTCTTCTTCTTCTTCTTCTTCTTCTTCTTCTTCTTCTTCTTCTTCTTCTCCTTCTCTCCTCTCCTCTCTTCCCTTCTCAACCCTCTTCCGACTTCCTTCTCCCCCAACCTTCGTCACCTTCACCAACCCCCCTTGTACCATACAACTTCCCAAGCCTCAAGCTTCCCTTCAACAAGACCACCTGAGTAGCATCCATCATGAGCTCTCAGGCTCGTCCCTTGTTTTTCTGCAGCCGCTCCAACGGGTCGCTGACCCCTCTCATCGCACTTGATGACCTTCCTGCCGGTGTCTCTGTTCATGGTGTTTCCCGCACTCTCACTCCCGGTGAAACCCAGGGCATGATCAGCTGTGGTGCTTCCGAGCCTCGCTCTGAGCCATGGACCCTTGAGGGTGTTGCTCCGGTCGGCCATGGTGCCATCGCCAACGATGAGGACTTTACTCGGCTGGAAGCCGTCCTGCTCAAGGTTATGGCTGATGAAACCCTTCCCACTCACCTGCGTATGGCTATCAACGGATTCCTATATCATCACCATGGTGCTTCCGTTCCCACTGCGGCTCCCCTCACTGAGGCTGTGACTGGTCGTCAGTCAACCGCACCTGTTTACCACGGTAACACTCGCGGCAGCGGTGGCCACAAGCAGGTACGTGACTGACATCGCGCTTCTCTCACATTGACCATCTCACTGACTGAATTTCTCACAGGGCTTCAACGCTAAGAAGGAGTTCTGCTCTTACTGGATCCGTCACGGTGAATGCGACTACCAGCAGCAGGGTATGTTGTGCCATGATCCTGCTCTCGCTTCATCAGACTAACCCCCGCGGTTTGTAGGTTGCCTGTACAAGCACGAGATGCCAAGTGACATCACCCTGTTGGAGAAGCTTGGTCTTCGTGACATTCCTCGCTGGTACCGCGAGAAGTTCAACGTGCCTAGTCTGCTGCAGGCCAACTATGGCAACAATCACCGCGGACAGCCCCAGCAAGCTGCCGTCGATCAGCCCGCCCAGAGGGCCATCCAGCACCATCCTGCCGCTATCAACGCGAGCACCACCGGTACCTCTGTCTCTGTCAATGGCACCACTAACGCCGCTGACAATGCGAGCACCGCTGGCCCCTCTGGCCACGCCAAGGGCATCAATAACACCGCTAACAACGCAAGCACCACTGGCCACTCTGCCCACGCCCACCCCAATGGAAATGTCACCCATAATACCGGTAACAACAACAATGGCAACCACCCCGGCCACGGTCACCCTCACCCTCGTGGTGGTCGTTACAAGTCTCCCCGTGGTGGTGGTTTTACCGCCGCCGGTAAGGGCGGTGGTAACTTGAACTGGGGCAAGAATGGTCGCAATGGTGTGATTCCTCCCCCCGCCAACATCGTCAAGGCGACTCACGGTGATGATACTCCGAGCACCGAGTCTCGCCCTACCAGCAGCGGCTCTTCGTTCAGCATCAGCTCACGCCCCGGGATGGACCTTTTGGCCAGCCCCTTGGTTAATCCCATGACCAATATGACTCTCACCGGTCAGCCAACCCTGGACAAGGAGACTATGGCCCGTAAGACTTCTATGACTGCTCGCCTTCGCCAGCTGACCCCTGAAGCCTCGTACGCGAGCCCCGTCCCCAAGGAGGAACCCGAGCAGAACTTCTTCCGCACCAAGACCCGTCGTGTCTTCAGTTTCGGCGCTGATGGCGACAAGATCGCTGCCGCCAAGTCCAAGGGTGCTGCTCCTTTTGATCCATTCGCCAGTCTTACCAAGGATGAGACTACTGAGAAGACCACTGCCCCAGCCTTGACTCCTATGATCCGCAAGCTCGTTGCTACCTCTCAGCCCATCGATCCCAACGAGCCCCTGATCAACTGGGGCCCCATTGGCGCCCCCGTTCAGCGCCCTGCCCCCGCTGTCAACACCACTTACGCAATGGCTCTCATCAACGGCCAGGTTCATACCGGTGCCAAGGGTCAGTCTGCTTATCCCTATATGGGCCAGCACTAGATATGCACAAATCGGTTTTTGAGTCTCTGCACATTCTTCTGCCATCTATGACCTTACTGCATGTGACCATATGAAAGAGATCTAACCTTGATCTTTTGTGATGTGACCGAATACGATGATACATTTATGCGACTATTTTGTTCAACCCGGGCATTTCCATGATTTCCTCCCCGCGATTTGCCGACAACGCCAGAAAGGGTTCTCTGTGTGATATGATATACCCAATGTCAACTGGCAACTTGAACATGAACATGGCAACCGATTCCTCTCCCGACACCTGTCTTCCCTTGTGGCGGCACTTGAGGATCAAAAAAAGACAACCATGGAGCAAGATACTTGATCGGTGGTTACGAATGACGATCAATCCGACGAACATGAACGACATGTGGAACGAGGGCGTTCGTTGGGAGTTACTCGGTTGTGTGTTTGGTTTTTGCCCCCTGCGTTGTGATTTCTTCGTTTACCTTCTGTGTTGGCCTTCGTTGTTGTTCCTAATTCTCGACATGATGGCGGTCGACTTGTGTACCCTTCGGGATGTCCAGGGCGCTCTATTCATGCTGAGTCCAAACGACAACGTGCTGGAAGTTAGTTAGTGGGAGGAGCTGGTTGGTTCATACCTTAGGACACCCCCCTTGTGGGTGACCCCCGATTCCCTTTCCTTTCCGAAAGCGGCCATTTGAAGAAGAATTGAAAATATTTTTAAATTTATCCGTTTTCCATTCCAAGTGGTCCGTATCTTGTAGATGTAGGTTGATTTAAGGTTAGCATGCTGTGGCATGGCGTGGTCCCGTGACATTCTGTGAGATGATTGGCTACGTCCAAATGCAAAGGTACCGCACGAAGCCCTCGTAGAGTGCGACTCCCTACGAAAATTACAAAGATTATCATGTTCGATCATTCTCAATAAATTTGGCAGCGAGGCGCCGGTACATTGAAACAATAAATGAAGAAGTGGCTATAGTACATTGAGAAAAACAAATAGGGCCGATTAGACCTCCTAGGATATGCGCCCGCGCCTCGCAAATGTCTGATCGCAGTTTTGTCTTACACCCCAAAGAGACCATGCAAAGCATAACTATACATCGCCAATCAACGTCCTTTACCGACGAACCGGCCTCTTCGATGGACGTGCTCCAACCTTGACAGCAACCTTCTCCCGCTCTTCCGCAGCGCGAGCCTTCAGAGCCGGGTTCAGCTCGGGGAGGGCCAGCACAGCTTCGGACACAATCTGGTTGCCGTCCACGATAGCTTCCCGTGAAGACTGAGCTGTCAAACGCTCCTTGCGGCGCGCAGCCAATTGTTGCCGGCGCTCTTTGGTCATGTTCCAGGACTCGGGGAATTGAGGGCGGAACTTGGGCTTGTGGTGGCGCAGGTCGAGAGGGATATCCGCGAAAGAGTCGCCCTTCTTGGCTTCTTGGATCAGCGAGTTGACAACGTCAGCCAGGTACCGCTTGTTCTGTGCGCGGGATCCGAATTGCTCGGCGGACATCTTGACAACGTCGGTCTGGGGGTTGTACCGGGGGCCAACCAACTTCAGGAATGTCTGGCGCTGGGCCTCCGTGAGGTACTTGGGAGTCAGATCGCGGGATGCAAGCTCCACAACAACCTTGGGTTCAGCCGGGTGCTGCTCGCCCATGTATATAGTGTAGCGGAAGCGGAGGATGTGCGTCTCCGGGGGTAGCGTAAAGGGTTTGGCGAGCTCTGGAAAGGGAATCGCTATCAGCAGGGCTGGTTCAAGAAGCCGAAACGAAATGTAGGGATTCCTTACTGCTCAGCATTGGCATGTCCCAGGCCGCAATGCGGGCGTACTCTCTCATCTCGCGGTGCAACTCCATCTCGGCATGGGCCATTGAAGTAATCTCGTCGTCTTGAATATCTTCGTCACCGTCCTCCACCTGGGCCATCTCGTCTCCGTCATCCTCAGCCCAGAAACCCCGGACCTTAGATCGGATGTCCTCAAAACGAATGTCCTCTTGTTTGTCGATCTGGTCAACGCTCTTCTGGATCTCCGCGAAAGCCGCGGCGCGCTTCTCGAGATCATTGAAATCGGCCACAATCCGTTGGTTCTCGGCATCGAAAGCTGCCCGTTCCTCTGGCGATAGCATGTCATACATAGATCTCTCCCCCTTGGTCAGGAGGTCGGGCGAATATTCAGGGACAGGCGGGTAGTCCTCCGCTTTGAGTTCCTTCGGGGGTGGAGGGAGGACCGGGTCCTCGGTCACGAATCGGAATGGCGAGACGGAAAATGAACGTGTAGGAATGAATCCTGGCCCCCGTTGAGCCAGGACTCGAGCTGAGCGATTCAATGACCGAGCAACACAAGCCATTGTTGCGGGCGTGGATCTGCGCGGATACGTTGGCGGAAGTACCTTTTTTCGATGTTTTCCAATGTCAAGTCCGCTCCACGCTAGTCCCCTTTGAGCCACACACGTGACTTACGCCATCAACAGCAGCGACAGCGACGTGAAAGATGATCCAACCTTCATACACTTCCTCCGCGTCTTGTATCATTTTTCCAACACATATTCATATCCTGCACCATGGTTGTCAAGCTCTGTCTCGTCACTGTGGGAGCTACGGCACCGTTCGAGAAGCTCGTCCAGGCCGTCCTCCATGAGTCGTTCTTGGCGGAGCTGGAGAAGCACAAGTTCACCCGTCTCTTGATCCAGCATGGCAAAGGTGGCCAGCAAGTCTTTGACGCCTACCGTGCCGAGTATGAGAGCGGCAATATTGACCACGGTATTGAAATCGGTGGCTTTGATCTTCGCCCCAACATGATCCCATATCTCCGCATGGTCCGAGACGACCCCGGCGACTTCCAGGAGCTTGGAATGGTGATCAGCCATGCCGGTGAGTTGCTGACCCTGCTCTGTGACATGATTTCTGGGTTCTCATTATTTAACAGGTACCGGCTCAATCTTGGACGCTCTTCGTGCGGGCGTGCCACTCGTGGTTGTTCCCAACCCTGATCTAGCCGACAACCACCAACAGGAGCTGGCCGATCAACTTGCCGGCCTGGGATATGCCATCATTGGCAAACTTGAGTGAGTGATCTCTCATATCTCTCATCTGTGAATTCGTTATGGTATCTGACATTCGAGTTAGTGATATCCCCAGCACTGTTGGCCAAGCTGTCAAGCAGGGTGAGCGGGCGCCCTTCTTCCGCCACGGCCAGAAGGGTCGCGAGATCCCGATGGGGGATGAACTGTCGTGGGTGGACTGAACTTTTTGTTCTGTCCTTTGTTGAGTCTTTGGAATGTTGAATGTTGGTTTCACCACATTCATCTAGTGATAAGGTATGATGCTCTCTGCTCCAGAGTGATGATGAGATGTGACCTAGCAGTGATAGTTACTGACACTTTACTCATGAAGAGCGGTCTTTTTCTTCGATCAATATCTTTCGGTATTCGAAGTTTCCTTTGCCCCTGCAAAGTAGTGGAAAGACATAAGGCACCATCGTGTCTACTACACCACACCCAGGTTGAAGTAGCATGTACTGCCCTGTGTTTGCTCCCGATCTCCCTTCTAGGCCTTTCACCCTTTTTACCTTGATGCCACATTGTGATCAGTTTAGATACGGCTAGAACTCACTTTGCTGCCCTGTTACAGACGGCAGGCCGGGGTATAAGCTTGTTTGGTCGCTACGTCACCTTATATACTGATGGAAATTGGGTCGACCGAGGCTTCCTAGAGAATGTATGTACATAAGGCGTATTAAGGATACAACAAGATAGATCCTATTCGCTGGCTAATAACAATCAATGCGAGCCCTCCTGAAATCGAGACGGCTTTATTATTTTTTTTTTTCAGCTTTTCAGACGCTACTAGTTTACTACCTAAGTACAACCCAATATATATTACAGCCACAATGTTGGCTGCCCGAAGTTGGAGCTCAAGTACAGAACAAGAACCTTATTGTTAGATACACAGATATTCTTGGTACGAACATCTATTTTAGCATAGAAAATTATATCATCTTGTATAACAAATCATGGTAGATTTCATCGTACCAGATGCGATAGATCAACCTTCAAGATGGACTAGTCAAAGATGGACGGGACCTCATCGGGAACCATCATTGGCCCAAGCTTCTTGTTGACAACTCCCGACGCGAAGCCGCAGAAACTCTCTCCATTCCTGACGCTCTCACCACGGTTGTACATTTTCTCCAGCATTGAGTCTGTACATGCTTCTCTGTCTCCGACCATACCTCCTGATACCCTGAGTCGTCGATCCCAGGCCGTGGGGCCGTCTCAACTACTTGCGCCTCGACCTCCCGACCTCCCGACCCCCCGATCTCCCTCTTTCACATCCTCTCCCCGCAATGGCTGAGGCTACTCTTCACAACGTGCCGATTGTCATTGACAATGGCAGCGGTACCATTCGAGCTGGATTCGCAGGCGAAGAAATCCCGTCATGTTACTTCCCGTCGTTTGTCGGTCGCCCAAAACACCCACGGGTCATGGCCGGTGGTCTGGAAGGCGATTCATTCATCGGCCAGCGCGCGCAGGACCTCCGCGGTCTACTAAAGATCCGGTATCCGCTTGAGCATGGAATCGTTACAAATTGGGAGGATATGGAGTCGATTTGGCACTACGTCTACGAGAACGAGCTCAAGACCCTCCCCGAAGAGCACCCCGTGCTGCTCACCGAACCGCCGTTGAACCCTCGCGCCAACCGCGATATGGCCGCCCAGCTCATGTTTGAGGCTTTCAATGTACCGGCTCTGTACATGTCGATCCAGGCTGTGCTGTCTTTGTACGCATCTGGGCGCACGACGGGTGTGGTCTTGGATTCCGGAGATGGTGTCTCCCACGCGGTGCCGGTATTCGAAGGTTTCGCTATCCCCAACAGTATTCGGAGAATCGACGTGGCCGGTCGCGATGTTACAGAACAGATGCAATTGCTTTTGCGGAAAGCTGGTCATGTTCTGCACACCAGTGCTGAGAAGGAGGTCGTCCGGATGATCAAGGAGAAGGTCTGCTACGTGTCGCTGGACCCCAAGCGCGAAGAGAAGGAGTGGATGAACAGCTATCACAAGTCGGATGCCAAGGCAATCGACTATACGCTACCTGACGGGCACAAGATCAAGGTGAGTCTTGCCAGTGCAACACAGTCGACGCTTGAGAATACCCCTTTACTGACCCCCGTCTTTCTTTCTTTTGCAGATTGGTCAAGAACGTTATCGCGCCCCTGAAATCCTCTTCGACCCTGAACTGATCGGCCTCGAATACCCCGGTGTCCACCAGATCGTTCAAGATGCCATTACTCGTACCGACCTGGACCTGCGCAAATCCTTATACCTCAATATTGTCCTCTCTGGTGGCTCGACGCTGTGCAAGAACTTCCCCGATCGCCTCATGCGTGAAATCAAACGACTTGCCGTCGAGGACATGAAGATTCGAATCTCTGCACCCGCTGAGCGCAAATACACAACGTGGATCGGTGGTAGCATTCTTGCTGGTCTGAGCACCTTCAGAAAGGTATGGGGAAGTTTGGAAAAAGTGGTCTGAGAACTGGATAACTAACCTCATTGTTTACAGATGTGGGTGAGCGCGGACGAGTGGCATGAGGACCCTGAGATCATCTTCAAGCGATTCGCATAATTAGCCTACCTTTCGATTACGGCCGAACGGGGACAAAACCCGTTCATTTGCCCTTGTTCCTGGTGCACTCCCTGCCCTCGGTGCCACCTGAGATGACCACAACGCCATTGCAGATGTGGAAACCGTCGAAATTCCTCATCCTCCATCTACCTTTCAGTAAGTATGGGGAAGAAAATTCTCAGAATAAACCAACGACTGTCTAGCAATGCTTTCATTCCTGGAATGGGCAGCGCAGCGTGGAAACCCGAGTGATCAGTGTTCACTTCGTCCCTTATTGAGTCCGAGTCGTGCGTGCGACTTTTGATACCCCTTGCCCCATCATCACATCTCTCCAATCTCCTTGGCCCATATCTTGTTTATGTGATATGCCATTTTGGCTCCCATGTTGGCGAGCCTGCCGATCTGTGCAAATACAATTGTGTTCTTCTTGTGTCTATTTGGAGTTTAGTGTTTTGAAGGAGTGGGTTGTATACGGTGGGCTCTACCTACTTTTGAAAATGAGGTATTTCTCAATGAACCTTGGATCCATACATATGTTCCAGCTTGCCGTGGTATTCATGATTCTCGTTCTTTTTTGGCGACCCGATTCTTCGTATTGATGCGCCGTCAGCTCGACTCTGCAGCTTTAGCTTGTTACCCTGCACCAATGAGGATCTCCTATCCGCTTGGATCGAGGAATCTATTCCACCGTTCATGCAAGTCCTGCAGCGCTAAACTTGGGCTGACATAGCCTAGGTCCCTGCAGTTCCTCGCGATTATGTATACCAAAGTAGACTCTAGAAAGTGAACAGAGAACTCAACCTAGAATTATAGAAGAATAGAAGAATGTTCCACGGATGAACTAAGCCATAGGGCAGTCAAGCCACATACCTGGAGCCATTCATAGAAGGTCGTGCGAGATTTTGACCAAGCGCCTCTTATACCCCCAGATTGAGGGCTGAGTGGGGCCTGTTTCTGACTCGAGCTGCCCAACTTGGCATCAAACCCAATCGATTATCAAGTCAGATCTCGGCAACTTTTCCTTCTTTAATACCGCCCTTGTGTGACGATCTCTATGCGCTGTGCAGAGAATGAAACTGAAAAAAATTTAGTCGGTTAAACTTGACCTCTAGATGAGCCACCCAAGAAAGTCTATGGCAGAAACACGATCACAGCATCAGGCAGCTCGCTCCTATCCAGTCTCTATCAAGATCGATTCAGTCAGCCACTACACACGATCCTGATGCTGCATGAGTATGCATATCGTACAGATATTATTCTAATGGGCCAGATTGTTTGGCGATGGTTCTCGTAGTATGTTTCATGTGGGGTTATCCCTGGTAATTGGATGAGTTGGTGGATCTCTCTAACCGGCAATTATGCCGACGAGTAATAGGTTCAGCATATTCAGCTGAGGAGAATTCTTTGCTTTTTCTTATGACATGGGTTCTTATTCTTTGTGGGATATTCTGCGTTTTCTGTCTCCATGTCACAATTTACTCTAACATCAACTATGGGCTTCTGGGGGACGTCTGTCTCTCAAGACCTCCCTCCCACACAACATCAACCCAGTATTCAACGATTCCTTGATACGTATGGATTAGAATACACGCCAGACGGACAGTACATCCGCTGGTCGAATTCGAATAAAAAGCATCCTCGGAATTGGCCGGCGGCACGGAAAATCTACGATACTGGATTGATTATCTTCTTGGATCTTTTTGCGTATGGATCCTGAGAGCGAGTCTATAAGATTCGTTTCAAAAATACATTCTTTTTGAAAGACCACTAAACTGACAAGCAATCCACGCATAGGACATGTGTTAGCACAGCCGGAGTAAGCTAAGTTGACTTCCATCCACTCGGTATCAATTTTGACACGAATTGCAGAGCGCGGCGGCGGACCATGCTCGCAATGAATTCGGACTCAATAAGACACTAGCTGTCTTCCTCTTTGTCTCACTGTCAGTATCTTTCCTACCTCCAAACATCTCCATACTAACCTCAAGCTGATATCACCAGGTCCCTAATCGGCCAGATGAGCGGCGGGATTATCTTCCCAGCTTGGTCAGAAGCATTCGGACGTAAGAAGCTTTACATCGTTAGCACCGGGTTATACGGCATCTTTTGCCTCATCTCAGGAATGTCACCCTCCCTTGCCGGTGTCGCAATAGGTCGCTTCTTCTCCGGCTTTCTATCAGCTATACCAGCGGTCGTTGTGGCTGGTAGTATTGAAGATATGTACAATGCCAAAGATCGAGTATGGCTCATCTTCATGTGGGCCGTTGTTGCAAATATGGGCCTTGCACTTGGACCCATCATGAGTATCTATATCATATCCGGCTTGGATTGGTACGAAGTTTCCTTTCGTCATCTGCTGATCGAAACTAACTATCCCAGGCGATGGGTATTCCGTATCTCCGCGGTTGTAACGGTTATCATTACAATACTCCTCTTCGGCATTCGCGAATCTCGCCCATCTCTAGTCTTGGAAAGAGAGGTTGCAAAGATACGCAGAGAAAGCGGCATTGCAAACCTCAAAGCGCTGAATCCAGACCACACCCCCGATCTCAAGACCTTCATCCGCATTGGTCTCTTCCGCCCTATTCACCTCTTTTTCACAGAACCTATCGTCTTCCTGGTCGCCACAATGAGCGCGGTAGCATTCGCATTGATATATCTATTCACGGAAGCCTTACCACCAATCTACATGTCAATGGGTTTCTCAACAACATCCTCCTACCTCCCCTTTTTCGCAATCTGCATCGGTCTCCTGTTCGGCCTACTCACCCGTATACAAGATCATCGCATCATCCTGCGATACCAAGAACAAGGCATCCCCCTCGAACCCGAACACAAACTTCTCGGCTTCTCAATCGGCGCACCGATCCTCGCCGTAGGGCTATGGTGGTTCTCATGGACGATTCCACCCGCAGTACACGTTCACTGGCTCGTATCCACAGCCGCGCTCATTCTCATCGGGTACGCCGTCAACGAATTCGATTCCGTTTTGGCGGGGTATCTGGCCGATAGTTATTTGGGGTACGCGGCTAGTGGGTTTGCGGCGGTTCAACTCCTTCGATCCTCGATGTCGGCTGCGTTTCCGTTGTTCGCGACGGATATGTATGATGCGTTGGGGGCGAATGTGGCTTCGTCTATTTTGGCTGCGCTTGCAACTGTTTTTTGTATTCTGCCGCCTTTGTTCAGTAGATATGGAAGGCGGATTCGAGGGCTGAGCAAGTTTGCTAAGCATAGCTTGCAGGTGTACCAGGAAAATGGGGTCGATAAACATGGGTTTTGACGGGCATCATGTCGTGGCTATGACTGTATATTAACATTGAGGTCATTACGAAGTGCCAGACTGTGGAGTGGTATCTTGCCACTACCGAGCGATTGGGTACCCAGGAGACCTTCATCTGTTGGGTGATCTCGTCAATATCGGTGTTTACAACACCAAGTACCGGCACATACATGGGGATATCTCAACCTGGCTTCAAGCGTATGTTGCACTTCAAGTGAACAATTTTGTTCACTCCAATTGGGCTTCCCTGATCTCATCCACTTGTCGGCGTTATAAAGACAAGAAACCTGGGGGTGGCACTTTCAAAGTCGAATGACAGCGCGACTTTTCTACATCTTAGAGAAAACATAGATCTACAGAGCACAAAATTTTTGCACAAAGCCAATAGAATCGTTGAATTTCGGACACATAAAAAGGAGTCATTTAAGAAAATAAATCTTCTATGAGGCGAGAGGATCTACAGTCGATACAGATGGTAGTTATAATTAGATGCAGTTCTGCCTGAACCATAAGGCACAAATGTCTCGTTGGAGCAGGGTCACGTGGTATTGTATGATTCACCAATTCGCCGCATCAGCAGATTCGGTTTAAGACTGGCATGAGAATTTGAACGATGGATATGCGAACTTGGTCATCAAAAATGAGCTCGATTCTTGTGGAAGCTAAGGTGGCAGACTGTCGAGACCAAGATGGCAAAGACGTGTGAGGAACTATAGAAAGACCTAGCAAACTGAAAGTATACAGGTGATGGTTGACGGATCAACGGCATCTCCCAATCATATGATATGGCATGGCCACCACAAAACAGATCGATCTACGATACGGAGTACAAACAAAACAAGAAACTATTCCAGCCCAGGCACATCCGAGTAGCCGTGATTACTTGCGCAATAAAACCAGACTACATCATACCTACTAATCAATATAAGCGCATCTAAAATTAAGCTAACGGAGCATTACCTCTAGAGGCATCGGTCAAAGACTCAAGCGTGAAAATTTTCAAGTCCACGCATGATGCGAACCGTGAGTCAAGAGGCGAAACAAAACGGTTGTTCACGCCTATCCCCGGCTGTGACGCTGACGCCTGCTTACTTGGTACTGTACCAGTGCCACCACAGCCGGGCCGACCGACCGCCAATGTCAATGTCGCCATCGGGGATCCACCAAAGGTTCGAACAAAGCAACATTAACATTATTCCCAAGCACGAACCTACTATGAAAAGTACTACGTAGCATGTAGAATTTACTAGAACAAAGGATGAAGGAATAAAGTTTCGAGTCAAAGAATGTTAGCCTCATGCGGCTTGGAGAAATTCATTGTTGAGCTCAGAAGCTAGGAAGTAGTAGCCATGGCGCGATAGTGGGGGAATAATGTTAAACACAAGAAGATACATAGGATGCAGTCGCTTGGAGACAAAAAGGTAAAAGAAAAGCACAGAGTACTAAAAAGGGGGAATACAGTGGACTCCGGTGGACCAATGCGAGATGCGAGAATGAGGTTTAACTACAGAAGATATGCCCTCAAATGGCGCAATCCGGCAAGAAAAAAGTGCCCGAAAACCTAGCGTATGCAAGGAAGGATGCAATTAAGCAAGTTCTCTCTACCAGCTGGCAGTGGACAAAGCCCGGGGAATTAGGAGGAAGAAGAAAAAACGCCGATCTCATGGTGGTTCAGAGTAATGGTTTGGAGAGGAGTCTTTCGCAAAAGACTTGCAGAACAGGACAAAGAAAACCCTCCCTCGGGAGGGAGTGCACTGTAAGAAAGAACAGAATGCGTCGCAGGAACTGGGGTATCGGGCGACGAGGTAATGGCAAAAGTAGACGTTGAGTTTGTTGAAAGAAATCCGTCGGGTTCGTCTTTGTTAGAAGACCATCCATGTCGTCCCCGAAGAGTTCTTTGACAGTGTTTGATCCGCGTGATTAGGAGAAAGGCGATAGTAAAGAAAGGCCGAAGAGGCGAGAAAACAAAAACTTTTTTTGGTGTTGGTCGTGAATATCGTGTTATCGTCAAATTGATTCAAGGCGCAGCCCCATCTCATCTATGCGGTACCCTTGAGCTTGCCCCAGCCCTTCTCGAGGCCACGGCGAGCCATGTCGCGGGCCCGATCAGCCACAGAGCCAGTGCTGCTGGCAGTGTTGGTGCTGGTGGAAGAGTACTTGCGGCTGAGGCTGCAATTTGAGGCGTCGTCACGGTAGATCATGTTGCCAGCGCCGCCACGACCAACATGGTAGACGGGAGCGGCACGGCGGAGGTCGCGCTCGAGTTCCTCATCGAAGCTGAAGATGGCGCGCTCGCTGCTGCTGTGGACGTTGCCGGCACCACCCCGGCCGGAAGTGAAAGTCGTCTGAGTGTGCGAGTCGAGGCGAGTCAACGAGGCCGGGCCGGTGGCCGTTCGCGAGTCGGTGGTCTTGGTGTTCTTGAGGCTGATAACATTGCCACTGCCTCCACGGCCAGTGTAGACGGCCGGACGAGTGGTGTGAGGCACCGAGGGGTGCGGCTCGATGACGCGGTAACTTGATGTCCTTGCGGAAGGCATAGTGATGGTTGTGTGATTTGTTGAGTGTTTTGAAAATTTCTGGAAGTATGTAGATTCAAGCTGCAGGGCAACTATAAAGAGGTCAAGACCATATGCAGGAAGCAAGATTGGAATTGCAGAGCAAGTTGGGAGTGAAGCGAGAAAAAATTTGCAAGTTTCGAAATATGGAGACCATCGTGGATCATGGCGGGGAGGCTACAATTTTATAGATGGAGAGGGCCATGGAGTCATTCAGGTGTCGCAGGCCATTGTGAGTAGTGGCCAGGCACGACATCCACGGGTCACACGCTGCTTGCCGGTGGGGCTCAGAAGTCTGTGGGGATTTTTGAATTTTCATTTTTTCCATTTTTTTATTTTTATGTCATTTTTCTCCAAATTATTAATGAATTTTTCTCCTGGCGTCATGCCGAATCAAAAATGGCGAGAGAAAGTGGCCACTTTGGGAAACACGGGCCAATGACTCAGCTAGCCTGGGTGCCTCAGCAACAGGGCATCCATCGAATCTCGCAGAAAATTCACGATGCCAAGTGGCCGTGTGGTGACTTCATTGTCTCTAATTGGTTCTTTCATCTCGCTCTCGTTCTCCTTTCCACCCCACTTCTGTCCACTCTTCGATCCACTTCTCCTCGCTGCTTTAACCGCCCAACCCAACAACACTCACCAACAGGTCCAACACCGTCATGGCCCTGTGGTCATCTGACTCCGCTCTCCTCCCCAATAAAGCTCCATCTTCACGTAACAGAAATGGTCCCGCCCGCCAATCATCATGCACGGCGTCTAAAAACAGGGATGCCCGGCGGGTTCGTGGCCGCTAACGAGGTTTTCATTACCCCCAAGAAACCCGCAAAAAACCTCGCACGTCGTGTCCAGACTCGATGAACACGTTGGCCGTATTACACCATTTACTGACCATTGACTGTCCACCGTTCACCGTTCACCGCATCCCTCGCGCCCTCGTGGCTCAGCTTGAAGGTCTCTGGCGCTCTTTCATGTCAGGTGTTGCCCAGCAAATAGTGACAACAATTATGCCCCATGCCTTCAATTCTGTCGCCATATACAACAGCCCTGAGGACCCCGTGTGACCTCCAAAATGACTAAAATGACTGGTTGAGAAATGCCACCGGCCATATTGCATCATCCCGGGCCGGCCGTCACGGTTACTACCAGTTACTACATACAATACTAGGTTTCGCGGAGATGCTCAACCGCCTTGTCTTGCGACATATGAGGAGATAATTGAGAACATACTTGGTCTCGCTGTCGTGCTACAACACAAGCAACGAGTCATTTCCATTTGGTCCGCATGGTTTCTCACGTTGGACCCGTGAGCACGCCAGCAATCCATCATATTTCCGTCTACTACATACTACTGTGCCCTGCCTCTGCTCTGTGTATTGTATACTTCGTACTAGCTCATATACCAAAGTGGACCGATTACTTTCAGGGGGCCCGCCGATCCAAAAGCACGATGACCCCATCGCACTGAAATCAGCCCTGAACACCCACAATGCGGGATATTTTCTCCCTCGCACCACTCGGTCGATCGGGTCTAAGGCCTACAGGATTACTACTGCAGTTCACGACGGTACCTGAGCGGCCAAGGGACCAGGAGATCACCCGCCTTGAAAAATTCACGCACATCCCCCTCCTTCTTCCTCCCCCTTGTCAACCATCGTGACTTGGCACACTCAATACTTCATTCCCTAGCCCTATGCCGAGATCAATGCCCAGAACGCCGAGCCATTCTCCTATTGCCTCCTTTTTTAAAATATTTGCAAATACCGGCATGGTTTGCGCCCAACTGCCAGGAGATCACAGATCACACTACATACCCTGTACATACAGCAGTCATTGCTAGGATACTGTAGTATGTTTGGCTCTCGGCAAACGCCATACAATCCACCCCTGTCCAAACGAGCACCCAAAAAAAAACTCTGGATCGAGTAACCCAAAAGAGGAATGGCGTTCCCCAGAATCAAAGACCGCGCAAGTGGGGAGCCCATGACGAAACGCGCCCGTAAAAAAGCACGCATGAGAAAATTCTGCGTGCTCATGGGACTTGGACCTGCTGAATGGCCGACGGATCCGAGTCCGGTGGTTTAATCCAATCATCATCCACCGGCCAGGTTTGATGGTCATTTTCCCCAGATTTTCCTTTCTTTTTCCCCAGACTTAGTCTCCCGACTGGACTTGCTTCGTTTGTCAGGTCGAGACATGCTTACTTTGGATAGACAAACCCAACCAAATAATCCAATCTGAACACATACAGACATACTCGGTACTTGTATCCAATATAATTCCCAGTCCTGCGGATCAATTCTCCCTTCTCACTCAATATTGATCGCACATCATCCCTAAACAAGTCCGCCTGCAGGCCCCGTGATGATGCCACCTAAAGACCGGTTTTTAGAGGGGGCGGCGGCGTGTTGCAATGGCCACCTCCCTAAACCAGCACCACCAAAACTACAGTACCAGTTGGACTTGACTTACCTCAGTGGTCCCCGCGCGCGGGACACCGTCTCCAATTTCGGCGCCCTCAGCCGAGGAAACACCAAGTCCGCCAGCCGCCCTGTTCTTGAACTATGGTTTGGAAAATGCCAAAGAATGACTGAAATGGACTGAATGACCCTGTTTCGAGTCATGTGGCCTGTTTGTTTCTAGGTGTTGAATGCGAACGGCATTTCTATTCACTGTAAGGTTTTTGACTCATTAAGATCTCTTAGATCCCCAGATCCCCAGGTTCAGGATCAAGGTCTGTTGCCCCTTCTTTTGTTAGATCTGACGCAAGACTAACACAGGGGAAGAAGGTTAGACATTTAATTTTCCCAACGTTATTTTAGATTTGGATTTAGAATCTGGTGGAATTATGGAATTAGAGTCTACCCCAACAACCTCTTCTATAGTAACACACCCCGCCGTACATTAGTCCAGTATACTGTTAACTATGGACCTGCTATACTCCTCACACAATACAAGTGCGGCATTAAACCACAATCCACACGGTACTCCTAAGCAAAGTATACCTATCTCGTAATGCCATCCTCTCCAACTCTCACGAATCACATTAAAAAACTCACATCACCGCAGTAGTTACTTGGGGTTGTTAGTACATAGTTAAATAAGTATGTACATCCCCTGCCCTCTCTAGCATCCCCTCCCTCATCCACCTATGTAAAAACAAACACCTCATACCAATACTGAGTGGATCCCCATTCCAACGTCCACTGTCTAGGAACCAAGGCCAACACACCTCCCACATTTATTATCTAATAGCAAAGGCACCATGACACATCAGAATCCATCCAGCTGGTCCAGACCACCGGTCGACCAGCCGATGATCGTTGGACCGGCTACCTGCCGGCTATGTAGGTGGACTGGATCGCCGATGACGCAGGTTATTAGTAAGTACATAGAGTATGTACTCCGTACTCCTGGAGGTGTTGGAGGGGATAGGACAGGGATGAGTGTGCGGCTGATGTACATCACGATCGTTGTATGTACTTGATCTTAGACTCGGTACTTTCTTGTCTTAGGCTTTGTGATATCATTACGTGGTTTTGGAGTGTCGATGGAGATGTTCTGCTAATTGACTTAGTAACGTAGCTGGGTTGGGCTGTTGGGATATAGGTACGAAGTACTTGTGTACGTACCTGTGTGCAGCTGTTAGTATACTTGTCTTCTTGACTCTTCTCTATTGCCCTGCAGGTTCTGTCAACAGTACAACGTTACTCATGGCTCGAGGTCGGTGCTAAGCTCTGCGGATTTCCAATCTGTCGGTTTCTGTGCAAGGGTCGTGGTTATTGTTAGGATTGGGGCTGGAAAGTACTTTGAGGTATTTTTGAGGGCAGTCCGTCGGGCTCGCGGAGTTGATTCAATATGTCGATTTCTTGCTCATGAGGTAATATTAGACCGAGCATGGCATTGGGTACTTGCCAAACATTCGAGCCTTGATGCACCTAGTCGCTGCCATTAGTGTGATCCAGGTCAAAATGTTAAGACCTATTTGTGGCATCTATCATAATGCTTAACTCAATCCTGTCCTACTCAGACCCTCTCTTTCTGTTGCGACTCCTTTGTGATTGATGAAACAAGGCCATTTGGGAGATCGGGGTCCTGACTGATCCTGGTTTCGTTGCCTTGATACTAAAGGAAGCCCCATTTTGATTGCCTGAACTTGCTGTTTCAGCCTGGGGATGGAAAAGTACAGAGATTACCACGGGGTCTAATCCTAGTTGTCCCACTGAGGGATTTATCGCAACCGCTAGATGAAAAATCATGATGGGCTTGAGATACATGTTAAGATGAAGGATAAGCATAATTATAGCTGGTCGTTGGACTAAATCGCACGAATTGGTAACGGGGTTATCGGGAAAACAGCATCAAAGGAGGCCTCTTCTGGATAATCGTCATTATTCAGGCGATTTACTTGATATCTCCAAGGGATATTGCAAATCTATTATTGTTCAGACTACTTTGAGCCTGGTTGTCCAGGATCTCGCATGAGGCCGAGACCTGCCTGAAATGATTGCTCTAATTCTGAAAGAACATGGACATTCCTGAATCGCCGTAACGCCGGGTAAAACTATCATATCATTGCTTGTGATCTCCGAGTATTTCACAGACGGACTATGACCAGCAATATGAAAACGCATAACATGGACATAATACCATTCAAGCTCCTCACTAATTAATCCATATCCTCCATCTCAACCAACTCATTCATAGCGGTTTCTAAGTGCAGCTTTTGCTCCATCAGAAAACGACGCATCTCTTGAACATTAAACTTCCGCTTTGCCTGTTCTCTTTTCTCTCCTCCTTCAATTTGGCACGAAAGCGCTCCTCCAAAAGCTCCAGTCGGTACTCAGTAAACCCATGATAAAGTTTAGACCAATTGCTTATGGCTCGACAAGTCGTGAGAACACTCTCTTCTCTTATCATTGGGAATTTTGGTCTGAACGGAGTGATCATGGTGGTTCGCTCGCGACCGCCGAGGGCTTTCAGCGCTTGGTGCGCGAATATATCGACCCTGGAGAATGATTGCAGTTCCCTGAGCACCAGTCAGGCATTATATAATGGACGAAAGAACGCTTTGTTTCGGGTATTTACCTACCATAGTTGGTCCGCGGATCTTCTTGATCTCCCCAGATGGTGTTCTCATTGCAGTTTCCCCGCCAGTCATCCCCTCACAATCCGATATCATCGTCACGCACACGATGGGGAAACTATCGTAGTGCCATGCGAAAGCGGTTGAATCGTTGTCCTTGGTATCTTGTTTTTCCTGATCCTCTACCGAGATATTGACACTGCCTATCTCATAGTCGAAACACCAGGTAAGATCGATACCTGCGACATGAGAAACATAGACAAGTAGCTCTGGAAAGGATCATGCATCGTAGGAAAATGGAGTACAACTAGGAGTGTCTTAGCATTGAGTTCGTAGTATAGTTGTGCCACGTGGTAAAATCTCACTCTCGACCCATACCCCTTATCATATTCTTAGTGAAAGACGAGGTATACTGACAATCCTGAAGGACTGGCTCACTGAAAACTTCGGCTCGAATCTGCTTGATTGCCTCGGCTGTGAAGAGAGGGAAAGGCTTCGATGCAGCAATTGATGATATCCCATGCCCTTCAAGGCCAATCTCCTTCATCGTATAAACTGTCTCGGGGGGTTGAAAGCACAGGCGCTTGTTGGGGTTAAATTCTTCCTTGTGAGCGACCCGGACACTATCAACCAATGATTGCGGTATCTTGTGAGTTGGGCGTGTGGCTTTCTTGGTGGTGGGTCCAACTACAGTTGGTGGTGTTTTGAGGTTAGTGACATATTGGTCAATTTCAAGTTTGAGAGGCTAAGATGATTTCTGACGAGTCGTTGGAAAGCTCAGATGAAACATGAATTCGATCTAAAGAGGTTGTATTTATATCTCCGCCGGTGTCTACTTACCCCTGCCAGCCAATACTACGTCCATGATAAGAAAGGGCTGGTTGAGTCTACTACCCCGGCTTTCTCTCCTTGGCATCAGCCATGTCCAGACTACTCGTCCAAATATAGAGAGGAAAAGCGAGTATATGCACATTCTGACATATCAGGAGAATGTTTCTCTCTCCTTGCTCGCCTTTCAAACATGCTGCGTTGATAGACTCTCGCCGTCTTCCATTTCCCTTTTGAGCGACGAAGTCCGTCGGTTCGGTGTTGCACTACCTATTTCCGTGCTTACGAGGCGAGATCTGGAGTCAGTTTATGCTGATGCTGCTATCTTGACTTCTTGGAGATAGAAAAGTTTTCCCTTCTTCGTTGGTAGGTGGAAAGGTCAACTGATTCAAGTCCAGGCAGACCGGGCCTAATGTACAAAAATAGCTATTTGAGGGAATTGGGACTCTCTATCATTAGTGTCCATTCCAGACATTAGAATCGTATTAAAAGATAAAAGTGTTTTCTCAAAGATGGCTGAACAAAGCCGATACTAGTCTAAGATAACTAACTATGCCAGTAAGGTCCCGACCAAGGGTGCCATCGAAGCATCATGCTATTTGATGGATGTAGACCCCCCAGTATATCCCACAATACGTTGCCAAGATTCCAAAAGCTTTATCTGCTCCAGTCGGGCTGTAAAGAATGCCCATGATCAGTTGTAAGTGGGAGGTATGGAGTGAGATTTAGTTACACTTCATCTTCTGACCATTGGAGGTCGAGAGTGGGATATATTTTCGGAGGGCTGGACTCCAGACATGACAGAGTTAGCTGTGCGGGTTAATTAATAGGACGAGATGCGCAGCACTTGAGAACTTGAAATGCAAATCTGTAAAAGCAATAAAAACGGACGAAAGAAAGCAGTCCTTACACTACCTTCTACATTGCTAACTTGCAAATCTGCTGCCCTGTTACTAACTTTCCGAGCGGCGCGATAAGCCACATTCTGCCTCTTCTCACCGCCCTGGAGACTCTCGCCGTTGAAGCTTGGAGACGACCAAGCAGTTCAATTACCTCGATTCTTCCTCACTCACGACGTCTGGACTATCGCAGGGATATTTCCACATCTTTTTTCATCCAAATATCTAGCCTACACCGAAACTCGTGACGAAACCCTCCACCCAGCGACCAATACCCCGAACGGCAATTTTCGTCCCTCTCCCGACTGCAGCTGAGGCCTTGCAGAAGCTGGCAAGATGCCGAAATATAAGTACCCTCTGCCTCTTCACGATCCTGATCTAAATGCTGACTCTATGTGAACTCTTTTGTAGGTTTCACTCCAAGCCCCGACCTCCACGGCTTCTCGTGTGCATGACTCGCGATTTCGACCCGAACGCGGCAATGCGATAGAACGCCTTTGATATCGATCACCACGGTCTAGACCCTCAGATTACTGACCAGCTGGCTGACCTTTGGACATCACATTAGGCGATTACTGCGATGTCTACCTCACGCACGACTCAATGAGCGTGCGCAAGGCGCATAACTCCGGCCGCAACCACCTCCGCAACGTGGTGGAATACTATCAGCGTATGTCGCTCGAACGGAACCACACCCTAATGCCCAACCAGATCTGGCCGAACACAGCTAACAACCCACCCAGAGATCGGTCAAGAGAAGGCCCAATCAGTCATCGACTCCATCACTTCCTCCTACGCCGCAGAGGGCAAGGCCGTCCCCAATCCCGCCATGGTCCCTCCCGGCGCATTCCCGCCTCCATTCGGCTTCCCAGGTACTTCACACCTCGATACCTACACAACTCACAAAGAACATAAATCACTAACACTAAATGTCCACCCAGGAGGTCCAGGCCAAGTCCCCCCTCTCCCATTCGGTATCCCACCCCCCGGAGCCCCAGGCGCCCCAGGAATGCCGCCTCGTACGTACCCACCCCCAAAGACCACCACTCCAGCGCCCACATCCACCTCCTCCTCCATACTCCTATTACCCTGATTCACCACCAGCTAACCCATCCACCCCCTGGCCAGTCCTCCCCGGCGGCCGCGGCATGCCATTCCCCCCATTCCCGCCCAACGCCTCCGGCACCCCTCCCCAAGGCGGTTTCCCTCCACCACTGCCAAACATGCCCAACATGCCCCCCGGCGCGGGCAACCTGCCTCCACCCCCGCCAGGCGGATTCCCGAATTTCCCTATCCCCCCGCCCGGTGCTGCGGGTGGATTCCCACCGCCGATGCCGATGCACCATGGTGCGTCGGATTCGCATTCGCAGATTCCGAGTGGACCGCGAGGATCGGACGCTTATCCACCTCCTCCCGGTGGAGGACCGCCTCCTGGTCGGGGAGATCGGTGGTGAGCTTATTCTAAGTATTCTAAGGTGTTATGCTGCTTCTCTTTTCATCTTTCTTTTTTCTATCGGTTCAATACCTGGTCTCAAGTCATGATCTCGTTGTGTTTGAGGGAAGACGCTGTGATGTTCCCTGCCATACGGGGGGTGGAGGTGGTTGCAGAGAAGCGAATGCGCCTCTCTCAGCTCGCAGGGGTCTTCCTTCGCTGGTTCTGTACAATAGCGTCTTCTGATTTTTAATCTGAAGTCCAGATCTTGAGATGACTGTTATGGGGAGTACTGTTTCCCAACAGCCCTCTCGGTCATGGACATGAAATGCTTCAACGAATAAAACACGGCGTTTAGGGCACATGGTTGATGTATGACATATTCCACCGTAAAACTGATAACCTACAAATATAAAGTAAAGTACAGCATATCAGACGAAACGACAGCTTTAGATTGCGCGAGATACGAGATAAATAAATCTCGTCTTTTAGACACTAGGACTATTTGTTTCATCGGAGTACATAGCGTACATATCACGCACAACCCCCCAAAGAGGTCGGGAATCAGAGAACGAAAGAGAAAGGAAGGGAGGAGAGGGAAGAAAAAAATGTATATTCCGAAGCCCGCGAGAAACCCAAGGCCAGATCTCCATAACCAAGATGCATCAGAACGCCAGGTTAAGCAAAAGAAAAACAAGGGACGAAAAGGGAAAGAAGAAGAGAGTACACGTCGGCCTTGTGGCGAGGATTGTATCCGCACGTCAATGTGGGAGAGGCAGAGTCGGGTAGTTTTGAGACAGAAGAAACAAAAGTGTGGTAGGGAGGGGAAAGCGGGTGAAGTAGGTAAAAGGAAAAAAGGCGATACACTGCCCTTAGGCAATGGATCAGAAGAAATGGAGGAAAAGGAGAAGTGGTGTAGTCGAGAAAAGTGCAAGCCACGAATGAGCAACAACATAAAGTGCAGTTAGACAGAGATTCAAAAATTCAAACAGATACCAGACCCAAAAAAGGATGGCGGATGGTAAAGGATCATAGACCATCGCTGTCCCACGCTAAAAATCACATATCTTCATCTCAGGTGGAAAATAAAAAGCAGGAAACCAATGCAGGCGAGTCACACGCCCATCTAATGGTCGTAGCCAGCACCCCTTTGCCAGGGACTGGCGTTGTTTTGCGCCCTATAGTTGGTTGCTAGCGCGGAGGCACCGACTGGAGCGTTGTCGTAGTTCCGCGGCGCGGGTGATGCTGACCGACCAAACTGGTCGTAGCCAGGGGGTGGCCCCCGGCTGCCTGAGTGAGTCGAGGCATTGCTCGGGAAGAGCGGTACTGATGGATCAACAGGTGAGTGAGGAGGCTGGTGACGGTTCAGATTTTGAGCGCTGTTGGCAGCATCGAGGTTGTTGTGGTGGTGACCAGTGACACCGGTGCCGCTGGAGATGGAGGCGGTATCGTCATCGAAGGGGTTTTGTTGATAACCGTTGCCGTTCTTGACATCACCACGAGCGGTGGCACCAAGAGCGTCCAGCTCGGTGGTCAGTTGGGTCTGGGACTTGATGAAAGACCCACGGTCATCCCGCATAGGCTGGTAGCGGGTATCGGGGTTCTTGGACACGACGGCGTAGACCGAGGCGATCAAGACGAGGACGAGCAGAACCAGAGCGAAAGCAGCGTTGTAGACGAAGAAAACGACTCCCATGACACCGATCATCATGCCGGGAGGGTTGAACACATCCGAGAAGACCAGCAGGAAGATGGCATTGAGGAAGTTGACACTGGCGATCGAGATGTTATAGATGTTGGTCTTCTTGTCCATCCATGGGCGCATCACGCAGACAGCGACCAGCATGGCAGCCTCGAGGATCACCAATGCAACGGTCTGAACAACTGGGGCAGGCTGGCTGAGACCAATAAACATGCCCTTGACCAAGATGTAGGCCAGGTACGGGACGACAAAGTAGTATGCCGTTGCGCGGTACTGCACATACAAGAAGCCCCACTTGTTCAGGGCCGCAGGATCGGAGTACAGGATATAGGCTGGGTTCTTGTGCATAGTGACAGAGCGCTTGGCCAGACGAATGACCTTCTGAGCAGCCCAGCCAAGGGCAACAAGCAAAGATAGGATCATAACCACAGCAAGGACCACCTCGGCGGCCGAGTCGCGCTGAGTGAACTCCCACAGGCAGAGAACGGTCATTTGCGGGAAACCGATCAGAGTGAGACGGAAGAGAATACCGCGAGTGACAACCTTCCAGCCGTTACGGAAGTCCTGGAACTTGTCACTCTTCATCTTGCCATGCTTGACAAGCAACTCGCAAATACCTTTGAAGGATGTAACGATAATGACCACCAAGCAGACGAAAACGACAAAGAAGATCAGACCAGTCAGGAAGATGTTGGTCTCTTCAATATTAGCGCGGAATCCAACACGTTCAATACCCCGCACCACAATCAGCTTTTGGCTCGAGCTGTCACGTTTCGAGATGATACTGGTAGCTCGCTTGATCAAGTTGATTGCAGGCTCGATGAAATCACGCTTGCGACGCTTAAGGACCTCGACGGAAGTATCACCCAGCTGTGAAAGAACAGTCGAGGGAGTACCGCCGGTTGCACGCTGATACCAGGTGCAAATTGTCTGCAAGAAACTGACGTGGATAATACCCATGCTCCACTGGAAGTTTTGGGTCCACGATTCCACAATTGGAGGCATGTGAACCGAGATCATACCAATCATGGCTTGGCCCTGCATGAAGCCAAAAAGAGAAAGCGCGTTCGCGGCAACGTGGGCGGCCGTGTTGGAATGACCTAGACCGGAAGTAATGGCAGACGCTGCCAGACCCAGACCGGAGATGATCGCAGTCACCCAAGCAACACCTAATTGATAGACACTTTTGTTGTTGGAAAGCGAAGCCTCGACACAGGCAATCTTCTCACCGGTGTCCTTCTTCTTGATCACAATCCGCACATTGGCATCGAGATCGGGGACGGTATAGGCAATGCCTTTAATTCTCAGCGATTAGCACACATTCTTCCTGGACTAAATTATATCATGCGACTCACCTGGAACATTGGAAGAAGTGCCTTCCGGAAGCGAGAGGGAAACTGGACCCAAATCAATGGGACCAGAGGCCATCGGACACATGCCCATGCCCTCAATCGAGCAGGGGTCAATCGTGCTCGAGTAAGCCTTGTATCCATATGCCGTCAAGCTCAAGTCAGCCACGACCTTGCCGGAGATATAGGAGTAACCATCGAATCCGATAGTGAGCGAGTTGTTTCCGGGATAGAAGACGACGTTGAAATATGTCGCAGTGAAATTACTACTTTCCATGCACACATTCAACGCATTGGATTCGAGAAGCTTGACAGCGGACGCCAGCGGCGCCAAAAAGGCGACGAAAAACGTGAGAAATGCTAACGACCTCATGCTGGCGAGTAGGCGATCAAGGTCGATGGAGGTAAGAAGGTCGGATGGAAGCGATCAGCCGACCGAGAAAAAAGAGTCGGAACAGGGACAGAGTATGACGGCGAGTGTCAGAGCGGTACTCCAGAGTACCACGTTGCCAGCCGCCGGATGCGGAAAGTCTGTCAGCGGCCGAGAAGGAGAGAGAGAATACGGCGGACACAGTGGGACCGGCGATAAATTCCAGATGACGCCGGATGTTGCGGCGATCAATGCTTTTGTGCGAGTTGTTGCAGTGGTGGTGGATTCGAGGGAGGCTGGTCACTGCAGCGTCATTGGAGTCTGTCGCGGGAGCGGGTCAAGTCAATCAGGGTGACCGGGGATTATTGTTGTTTGTAGCGAGTCGGGAGTCGTCAAGAATGTCTTGCGAATGGAAGAATATGAAAGAAAGTCGGTGGACAAGAGTCCCAAAGAAACAGGCGACGCAGCAAATTCCTGCCAGAGTCGAGAAGCTGAAGTCGTCGGAGTTGAAAGAGAAGCGGGCGGATGGTCAAACGGGAGGCGGGAGTACGTTAGGTTGGTACTAGTTCGAACCTAAAAAGGGGTGGATAGAGCGAGCGGACTGGCGACACACACAGTATGGCCGAGAAGAGCGGGGGAAGGAGGTTTGTAGTTGTTGAAGAGGTTGATTTCCCTTGGAGGAAAGGAACTTGAAGGAGAAGGGGAAGACGAGGGTTCGAAGGGGAGCCAGAAATGGGGGGGAAGAAGGGCGCTAGCGTTTTGCCTCTTTGGAGAGCAGTTCCAGTTTGTCCATCTGCCAGTCAGAAGAGAAGTGAAGGTGTCTCAGGGACAGGGCGGGTCCCAGGTGCAAAGTGGGAATTCTGAATGGGAATGTGGTAACTGGGTACGGTATTTTTGGAACCTTTTGAAGACTTTGGGCATTGACCGAGTCAGGACTTGGGGTTAAGGACAGGTATGGTATGATACTGTCATAGCATTACAGGACCTCCGCTTGGCACGCCTGGGCGGCGGCACACGGACCAATCAGCGATGATTACCATCATCTGATCAGTGTCATTCTATTTCGAGGGGGGCTGACTAACTAAGTTACCATACGGATGCTAAGGCCCAAGGGGAAAAAACATAAAAAAACATGCCTGTGATCGATGATGTCTACGGCGTCTGATTTCATGGAGATCGACAAGACCACACGACTGGCTTTGTATTGTTTGTAAACATCTATACAATTACGATATCAACGACTACACTAAGCCTCTCTATCATACCCTGATCACTGCCAGGGCCCTTAGCTTCGCCCAGTCTGTATCGTTCCTGAACACGCGTCCTCGGGAAAGGTTCTGGGCCCCCCGAAAGCGGTTGATGGATCGTGGCGGGCTTAAGCGGGTCTGCAGAGTGCGGATTGCCTCATCCCTCGTACCAAAGGAACTGTCGCCCCCAGATGTGGAGTGACCTGAAGCAGCGCTCACTGACTGGTTCCTGTTGTCCAGGGGAAAGAGGAAGTGGATAGTCTCTTTGCACATCGTAACCTTAGAGAGGACCTGTACCGTTCCCGGGTTCAAGGGCACAAGGGTTTGAAGGGTTCTCTAGGGTTGGCAAGATACAAAGGATTCAAGGTCGGTCTTGTCTAGTAGCGAGAGGCCTATGGTATGCTAACTAGCAATTAGCGGGCGCCAATTCTTTCATAAAATTGTACATACAATACCTGTTATTTTGTCTGCCTACAATGCCCAGCCTATCCCTCCTCTTTTGAAATGAAGAGAGTTATATGTACCCCTGAACCGAACAAGGGGGCCAAAATGGTCTATCAAGCGCCTAGAAGGGTACTCCGTACATTTTACTGTATAACTAAGTATGAGAACTCCGGCTCAGAATTGTACACCTTATGTCCTTCCTTGAGCTTATTCTTGTACAAGCCACTTAAGTCGAGTATACTCCGTACTTTACTCGGTATCATATCTCATGACCTACTGTAGATATGACCGATGACCCATCCATCAACCAGTCAAAGGTATCCAAGCGGCGGGGGCATGGCCGGTCATGCTCATCCGACCAAAAACTAAAAATTTGAATGCTTTTCAGCACAAAAACGTCTCGAGAGTCAGAACTCGAGTGGTGCACATAGCTGATCGACGAAGGGGTAAGATCCAATCTTCCTGGGGCTTTGGCGTTGCACAGCCTCCCTCAAGCACCCACCCAATACCCTAATTCCAGGCCTCAATTATTACTGCATGCTACTCCTACATACTCTAGGCTTCATCTTTCAGCATAAAATTCAATATGATTTTATATTCCTCGAAGTTTCAATACAAATGTGGGTCCCGCTCGTTAGATACACACTGACACAGACTTTGATGCCGCGTGAACTACATCTGATGCCATGTTTCAGATGTCGCTGTCTGTATCGATTCTTGGCGGGAGGCTGAATGATCTCTAGTCCACGTGTGCATTGATGTCTTATGTCTTATACATACAGACATGCTTTGTCTTTATATGTGTGGCATACTGTAACTATACTCCCAAGAATTTATACAAAGAATGATTTATACTGTACTACCTCCCGAGTCTTTTGTCCATCCCTGATCACCGTGCGGAGCACTGATCAATACGTAGATCACCACCCTTGAGTGCGCGTCATGACGTGAACTATCCCGTCCATTCTCCCGTCTCTGTAGAACGTCATCTCCTAGAATGCGATCGCCCTCGAGGATCAACTTTGAAGCTTTTCGCGAATTCTGAATCATGTTGCCTAAGCTGTCACCGCCCAAGAGCCATGGACGGCGGTAGGGGCTATTTTTGGATCAGGGTTTTGGGGAGGGTTGCGTGGCTTGTGACTGGTTCCTGGGTCCAGCTTTAATTTCACGCTCTTTGAACCCCTCTTTTGATTCGTCCCTGAGTCGCTGGGCTTGAAATCTCTGTTTTTTGTTCAAATACTCTTTGGTTGTCGTTGGACTTCGTATGAAAATGCGATTATCTGGCAGGCGCTGCAGCCCTATATCTCATCTAGCCTTTACTTAGAATACGAATAAACCTGTTGCGATTCGATATGGGGTCATATAACCCTGTTTACAGCCTTTCTTGTCTCAGGTCTATCGCCATGACAGGTGGGATAGTTTTCAAGACTGGAACATTAATCACAATAATAGACCATGCAAAGCCAGTGCTTGTCGGTCGCGTATTCGTAATCGTTTTAGCCTAGTTTGTATGCTGGACCTTGCACATCCTACCAGCACTGTACACGGACATTGTACTAATGTTCGCCCAAATTAAATGCCAAGATCTTGATACCCAGGCAGCATTTGTACTACAGTGCACAGCTCTTGGTTTGTAGCTCGGCAGCACTTTGCATGTTTCATCTGAGAGCTCTTGCGACCTGTCTGAGGTGAAAGGGGCTGTGAACAGGGTTCAAGAAATTAAATGTGAAGTTGTGATATATCTTATTCTCCACAGTGAGCAAGTACTCAAAGAGCGGAGGCATGGATTTTTAGGATTTGACATTCACTGATAGTGATGCGACCTCCATAGGTGTTCTCCTTGGCTTGGATCTGGTCTGTGAAAGGACATGTTTATGCCTTAATACCTTGGTGCCTGAGTGCCTGACTGCCTTCATATCAGGGCAGCAATGAAACACGCTATCAACACGTGATGTGGAGATTCTGCCCAGCCTCACCGGCCAGAAAAAAAAAGTAGCAACCCGATTTTCCGTAGCGATAGGATATCCCCTCGGAGATCAAAACATAACCTACGATCGATCCCAAATTAGCAGAAAACCTCGTGAGCCGATTTAATATCTTCCACTTGATATTCACAGTTTTTCCTGTGCAACAAGCGGCAAGATGCCAGGCCCCGTGGACTCCGCAAAGTCCATCACCAAGAAGCGCAAGAGAAAGCATGGCGCTCGTGCCGGAGCCGACGATGAGGAGGTTCCCAAGCCAGTCGAGGCTCAGTCAAGCCCTGCTGTGAAATCGAAGAAGGCCGCCGCCCCTGCCAAGCCTGCCACGGATAAGTCGACCAAGAAGCGCAAAGTTAGCCATTCACCAAGTGACGACGAGGAAAGCGCCAGCGAGGCCGAGGATGCCGAGGACGTCGAAGACAATGAGGACGAGGAGGATGTTAACGATGACGACAAGGACGACGTGGAGGAGGCCAATGGCAAGGGTGAAGATCTCCCTGTCATGGACCAAGTCCGTCTGCCGCAGATCGAGGGCGAGCTGCAAAAGTTCAGCGAGTTGAACCTTTCCGAGAAGACCATGAAGGGAATTCAAGATATGGGCTTCGAGACAATGACCGAGATTCAACAGCGCACCATCCCACCCTTGTTGGCTGGTCGTGATGTTCTGGGTGCTGCGAAGACTGGCTCTGGAAAGACTCTGTCCTTCTTGATCCCCGCGGTGGAGATGCTCAGCGCTTTGCGCTTCAAGCCCCGAAACGGTACCGGTGTTCTCGTCGTCTCTCCCACCCGTGAGCTGGCTCTGCAGATCTTCGGTGTTGCTCGTGAGCTGATGGCGCACCACTCTCAAACCTACGGTATCGTTATCGGTGGTGCCAACCGCCGCGCCGAGGCCGAGAAGCTGGTCAAGGGTGTCAACCTGCTGATCGCTACCCCCGGTCGTCTGCTCGACCACCTTCAAAACACCCAGGGCTTTGTTTTCAAGAACCTGAAGACCCTGGTCATTGACGAGGCGGATCGTATTCTCGAAGTTGGTTTCGAGGACGAGATGCGCCAGATTGTGAAGATCCTGCCCACCGAGGAGCGCCAGACCATGCTGTTCTCTGCCACGCAAACTACCAAGGTCGAGGATTTGGCCCGGATTTCATTGCGCCCCGGTCCCCTGTACATCAACGTCGACCACCGCAAGGAGCACTCTACCGTCGAGGGTCTGGAGCAGGGCTACGTGCTCTGTGAAGCCGACAAGCGTTTCCTGCTTCTGTTCTCATTCCTCAAGCGCAACCTCAAGAAGAAGATCATTGTATTCTTCTCCAGCTGTAACTGCGTCAAGTACCACGCCGAGCTTCTCAACTATATCGATCTTCCCGTGCTGGAGCTGCACGGCAAGCAAAAGCAGCAAAAACGTACCAACACTTTCTTTGAGTTCTGTAACGCCAAGCAGGGTACTCTGATCTGTACCGATGTTGCTGCTCGTGGCCTTGATGTTTGTCCTCCCGTTGCTCAATCGCCTTGTATGATATCAAACTGACCGCCTCCTTCTATAGATCCCCGCTGTCGACTGGATCATCCAGTTCGATCCCCCAGATGACCCACGTGACTACATTCACCGCGTCGGTCGAACCGCCCGTGGTGCCAACGGCAAGGGCCGCAGTCTGATGTTCCTGCAGCCTTCTGAGGTTGGCTTCCTGAAGCACCTCAAGGAGGCCCGTGTGCCCGTCGTTGAGTTTGAGTTCCCCAGCTCGAAGATCGTCAACGTCCAGTCTCAGCTGGAGAAGCTCATTGGCCAGAACTACTATCTCAACAAGGTAAGTCTCCGTTACAAAACAGCTCCCTCTATCTCAAATCATACCAGATACTTACTCTTTCTCCCAGTCCGCCAAGGAAGGTTACCGCTCATACCTCCAAGCCTACGCCTCGCACTCCCTCCGCTCCGTCTTCGACGTGCACAAGCTGGACCTGGTCAAGGTGGCCAAGGGCTTCGGTTTCTCAGCCCCGCCCCGGGTCGACATCTCGCTGGGCGCCAGTCTGAGCCGGGACAAGAAGCAAGAGCAGCAGGGCCGCCGGACATACGGCAGCCAGCCCAAGGGTGGTAAAGGCTTGAAATACAAGCGGAAGCACGATGACTAGATAGACTACTCCGAGGTAATTTGGAAGTATGTGAGGTGTTGGTGTCATTTCTTGTTTGCCATTTTATTAATGGCTCATTTGATATGTGTGAGTTGGATCCACAAAAGTGTCTCGTCCCTGCATCTTCATCTTGGGGATTACGGCGTTGATTAGTGTAGATATATTTATTTTATTCATTTTCATTTTCATTCTATATGGACTCCCGTTTTCGCCCTATTTGATTGTCATCTTCTTCGTATTCTTCATTATGTACGACCCCTATGTACATGTAGGATGATAGCCCAGGAATGCTTCGGATGTCGACCACTGCCATGTGGAAAGCAAGAGGCGTCTGTCTCCCACGTGGGGAGTGGCATGCAACTGGATCTTTAGTACCACGAGAACATAATCGAGAGAATCCTGCCTGTTCGTCTATTCAAGAGCAGCTTCTGGTCAACCATATTGAACGGAATGGGGATCATTGGAGGAGGAATCACCAAACATCAATGAATAAGCCAACGCTACCCCGGAATCCATCCTGACTGGAATTTTTCAGTTGCTTTCATATCGGCGACGAGTACGGAAGTTGTCATATCGAATTTACATAGTAGTCAACCTATGGATTGCCATATTTTGTGACATGCTTGCCTGTTGCAGCCATCAGAGTCTATAAATGTGTACGTAATGTACAAGCAGAAGCAGGCCCGATGAAAATTCCCAGTGACTTGCATGGCCCCAACAGGAATCGTTGCAGCAGTCTCTTTGCCTTGCATAGTAAGCAGGTTATTCCGCTAACTCGTTAGTTCCCTGGATTAGACATGAGCATTCAAAAGTAATTACTCCGTAGAATAGTAAGAAAGATGTACAATTGAATATATCCGCCCGACACGTTATCGGCCAAGTCTGTCAATCGCGGGGCTGGACAATGACAGCCTCTCGTATGGTTGCTCACTGGCTACAACATCGGCCAGGATCTTTGATGTGATGAGATGGATGAGTTGGCAGTTGTTGGGGCCAATCACGGGGTCCTCCGCAGCCCTCCCCCAGCCCTGTCAGTCTGCCTAGAGCCCGTTTAGTCTGTGGAGGGGGACTGGTTGGCTGGCTGGAGGGTAGTTCGGAGTACGTTGCTTCGTACTTTGTTTCTTATAAGCCTCGTCGGACGATTGACTGGTGAGTTCTGTCAGTTATTGTCTTGCTGGTCAGGCACTACTAAGAATCTGGTCAGTTTGGAGGAGGATAAAGGGTCCCGTCGTCAGGGCGACGACTTTGCCCACTTTTGCCCACTTTTCGCCGCGGTTGAACCGGTTCAGCAACTGGGCCAACGGATTTGCGGCGATTGCCAGCGGCCGCCCCACGGAGGGCCGCAGGTTTTTGTTGGTCCGTGTTGTGGTGCTGGGTGTGACAGGCGGAACGAACAGGTCAAGTCATGGGTCGGCCGTGCGTGGTGGTTGTATTGCCGGGGTGATGGGGAGATGGGGAGATGGGGGGAGGTGGAGAGATGATGGAGAAGGGTGGAGTGGAAGAGGGAGATAATGTGAGGGACGGAGGATCAATTAGTTAGGATAGTATGAAAGATATGGCATTGAATATAGTAGTAGAGCAGTGAAAGTAAACAAGATAAGTTCTATGTAACTGTACATAGTGTCAAGAACCAAGGAACCACCGCGGTCCGCCCGATGGGATCCGCAGCCTAAACCCACGGCTCCGTTTGTTTATTCCATCAACACAGTGTGGACAGAGTAAGTTTGTTTAATGATCACGTAGAGTTTCCTACTGATCTAGACTATCAATTTTTGATTTTGTATACCACTATCTTGGGAAGATCTGGGATGAACTTGTGGAGGTCCCAGCCATTCTCTTTTTTCTTTTTTTGCGCGGGAGGCTGGGCCACTGTTCACCACCCAATTTGGGTCGCTGCCGGACGTACGACATCCTCACTGCTAGGTACTTACCCTGCTGGCCATCCTTCGGCTGATGGACTCTGCAATTAATTCTTCTTCTCTCTCCATTTCTCCATTATCTCTCCCTTTCTTACTCAACCTTGTCTTTCCTCTCCACACTCTCATCCCCCTGTCTCTGGGTCTATCCCTCGCATAATCGCATACTCACATCTCGTCTCTTTCTCTCCCGGGCCCTTTTCATGTGAGGAGATCGGCCGAAACGAAGCTCGTTCGAACATCAGCCCGCATAGCAACCACCTCACACCGTTGCTGTTTCTCTCCCTCTCATCCTCCTTCTTTGCTCCCACGCGGTGGTGACTTGCGCTGGTACGCTTCTTAATACTCCTAATATTCGAGACATTCTTGTCTCTACTACCCCTCCCTCCTTGCCCACGTCGTTCTCCATCTCCCCGATCCTCGACATTCCTACCATAAGCCTCCCCCACCGCCACCATCACTACCACAATTCGTGGCACCCCCCAATCCGATAGCACGGAACACCACCAAGTGACCACAATCCCCCCTTTTTGCAACAGTCTACCGAGATCCATTCTTCTCGATAGGAGCATGCGATTGTCGGGCTGAGGAACCGGGAGCAAAAAAACAAACGGGCGCATCTAGAGAGAAATAGAACCAAAACAGCTGCCCCCGGACACCCCTCCTCCTCCCAGCCTGCCCTCCTTCAACCATGGGGGTCGACACCCGCAGACCTATTCTCCCCGCTCCTACAGAATCCCTTGTCGACACCACGGGCGGCAGTACTACGGGCACAGATCTGGCAACTGACATTTCTCGCCGCACAGACAAGACGTCGTACTCAATCCCAGACGACGGTAGCCCCATCACTGTCTCCACCCGGCCTCATCGGGACCGGGACGACAAACTGTCGCGCTCACATCGTGACTCGCAAACCTCCCTGCTGATCGAGTACTTCGAAGGCGGGAAGGAATCCGGTGGTGTGGTCTCCAGGCCCAGCGTGCGAGTTCGAGTTACTCCCTCCGGGGCCCGAAAGTCCAAGAATAAGGACCGGATCCAGATCACCGAGTCCAGCAGTCGCAAGCCTTCATACACCCGGCGCATTTCATTTACCTCCCCCAGTTCCAAGCCCAAGCAGCTGGCCGAGTCCGGCTTGGATGAGCAGAGTCTGAGCGAAAGCAACTCGGCTGACGAGGAAGGTCAACATTCGTCGCAACGCCCGCCCGTGGAGATTGAATTTGTGAATCGCGATCACGGGAGTGAGCTCTCCACTGTCTCGCGCGATACTCGATTCGTGCTTCCTGCATCGGACATCTCGTCTATGCCCGCCGACAGTATGCTCGACGCTACTTCCTCGGCCGGTCCCCGGCGCAAGCGCAGCCAAAGTATGGAGCGCGGTGCCAGTCGCGATGACAAGGATCTCCTCAAGACACCATCTCGACAGCGCAGTCGCAGCCTTAGCAAGGAGCGCTTTGCCCATCGAGTCGCTGAGAAATTGAGCGGATCACCGCAAGAAGTGTCCAGCGGCAAACACAAACATAAACATCGGAGCAAGAGCTCCCGCAACAAGGACTATTTGGAGGCCGAGCCCAAACCATCCCGTCGGAAGTATCATGAGGACGACATTATCCCCAGCCCTGAATCCAGCTTGCTGAGCACCTCGGCTGTCTCTTCCAATCGCAAGTCTGGTGATCAATATTCCATTCGATCCGGCGCCTCCAAATCCTCGATCAACAACCCAAAACTGTTGGAGACGGTAGAAGATGCCATTCGAAGGTTGATTCTGCCTGAGCTGAAAGAGCTTAAGAAAGACCAGAAGGTCATGAAGAATACGAACAGATTTGAGCGAGAGCGCGACATGATGACAAATTACTCATCTACCAGCTCCCGAGATGAGCTGGGTCGACGATTGTCCAAGCATTCAAGTGCACCTGACATTATCAAGCCAAGAGTTGTTCTGAACAAGGACAGCAAGGATGAGGGCATCTTGTTAGCTGAATCAGGGCCACGATCGAGGGACATTCCCAAAACACGCAAATCCAGCAAGAGCAGCGAGACCTCTGACAATGCCTGGGTGAAATGGGGTCGACCAGAGCTCACTGAGCAGGACAAGCTGCGACGGCAAAAGAGTAAGGGTCTTCGAGATGCCCAGGCAGCCGGACGTGTGGGCTCGGCTCTGACCGCGGTGTCTCTCAAACATCACGACTCCCAGTCCAGTCTTGGCCAAACCGAGCAAACCGAGCGAAGAGACAGTGGTTCTCGAAAGAGCGTTGAGAACTTTGGCGTCACTGAGACTGAACTGGTTTTCAACAAGCACAATGTCCCGCGAATGCCGATGCACAGCGAGATTGATTCTGAGCTGACCAGAGCCTCCTTGCTCTCTGAACGTACCGAGAGCCCCGGCCCGAACCAAAACATCCTGCATGGTGAGGTGCTTCGCGGGTCTCCACGACAACTTGCTTCTCCGTCCTTGCGAACACCCACGAGAACTCCCTTGGATGCAGGACATGAGCTGAGGATGCGCCATGGAAACCAGTCACAGCGCGATCTCTCTGTCCACAGTGCCTCCGATCGCGACCTGCGTGGTAAAAGTCAGTCGCCTGGCACGGACTATGGGGAAGGGGCTATTGCTGCTGCCGCCGCCGCCAACCTGCTTGATGCTGCCCACCCCATTCACGAGGATCGTTATGAGACTGGCCGAGCTTTGAGTCCTATTCAAAGCGTGGCGAGCGATCAAACTGAAACTTACGGCCAGTATAAGAATCAGCGTCTTTCCGGAGTCCAACAACATGAGATGGAACCCCGTCTTTCAATCGATTCTCTGTCTTCTGCGCCAAGCACCGACCTAGCCCGATCTACTCGAAATGGCGTCAGCCCCCACAGCCAACAGGGTGAATACAAGCATGACGATGAGGTCCCAGAGCTTGGGTATGAGCACTCCCGGCATGCTTCAGAGGAAGATCTGTATGGAAATGATGAGGAATCTCGACGTTCCCTGGGATATGCTGACAGCGAAGTCGATTTCATGGACCGGGTGAAGGAGGGTCAGCATGTTGCGGAGGGTGCCGCTGCAAACCCCCAGTTCGTCCACCCACTTGGTGTCGAGTCTGCTGTCGCTTCCTTGATGGACCCTTCTGTCCTCGAGTCTCAATCGTCAGGGCATTCTGGCAATCGCTCTCAGACCGAATTCGAGCGTGCGGGTAGCCGAAGTCCCGAGAAGCGCGGTAGCCCCCTGAAGCAAGTCCAAGAGGCTCCCAGTCTCGATGAGACCTCTTTCCCTCGACGCATGGGCGTCACATCGCCGCCTCAGAGTGTCACTCAGTCTATTGAAGATCTGGAGGAAGCGGGGATCGCCGCTGCCGCTGCCCGTGGCCTTGACAGTTCTCTCGCCGATGCAGAGGAGCGCAGTCAAGAGTCCGAGTCGGAGATAAACACCAACCCATCCATCATTCAAGGTCCCATTGGTGGCGTCGCTCCAGTAGACCAGGATCACTGGGCTGCTGCACCTGTCTCTTATTACGATTCCCCCGCTGCTCAAGCTGGTGCAAACGCCCAGGGTGCCCAGCGCAGTCTCGACGCCGAGTACTATGAGACTGCCCGGAATATCTTTGGTGGTGATGATTACATGATTGACCAGCATGATGGTCAGCTGTTTGGTACACCTCCTGGTGCCAAGGATGAAGGCTACGTCTCAGCTGCGAACCCCATGTCCCCAAGCATTGGCACGCCCAAGCAAGGTACCCGCGGCCTGGGTGCCGATGCGGCTGGAGTTGGTGCTTTTGATAGCCCTGCTCAAGCGGATGATCCGTTTGATTCGAATCATCAGCGCCATTTCAGTGGTTACTCTCATGGAGTTGCATCGCCGCTTTATGACAGTGCTACTGGACGTGGAATTGAGAGGATCCAGTCCAAGGATATTGTCGCTCTAATGGATCATGTAAGTTGATTCGTTCACACCTCGCCCAGACCAAACGTTTACTAACCTTATTTCAGCTTACTGTTCGCGATGCTCAACGCAACGCTAGAGATACCGAGATTCTGGTCACTTTGGTCCGAAGCGCTGCTGAAATGCGCACCTCGTTTGAAGAGATGAAGAAATTCATTGCTCAGCAGGATGAGATGCTTCAGGATTCGAGTGGCAAGCAGCACAACCAAACTCTCAGGGCTCTTGGTGGGCCTCGACCTCTACCTCCGAGTGGCGCTCGAAGCCGTCAATTCAACATGGAGGATGAAGAGGATCTCCAGGCCAAGCGGAAGAACATCTTCAAGCGTGCTCTGAAGGGCCTGAGTCTGAAGTCTGGGAATGACCTTACCAAGATTGAGGGTATGCTGGAGCAGTTGCTTGACGAGGTTGAGGCCCTGCGCGAAGGTCAAGGTTTCACTACTTCTCGTAATGGTCCTAGGGGCGTTGACCCTAACGATCATGACGCGAGTGGTCAGAACGGTGCTCCCTTGGGCAGCCGCTCTCCTTACATGGGTAGTCCTCGACCTGCCACTGCGGAACGCCGTGTCGACACCGTCCCTGAAGAGGATGACGATGATTTGGAGATCGACGAGGGTGACCCCTATGTGACTGCCCATCTCCCTGTTCAAGAGCCTGCCCGCCACGAGCGAGCCGGGTCCATGCCTCTTGCTACGCCTCCTCGCAAGCCTGTGGCCACGGGAGCCCGTAGCACCGAGACGACCCCCAAGAACTCCGCCGACAAGGCCCGCAAGCACAAGTCCAGCAGCTCATCAATCTTCCCCAAGTTCTCCCGTTGGTCCAAGACGACTGCCTCGTCTATGGGTGACAATATCCGCAACAGCATCCAGCCCAACCGCAAGGAACGCCCTTACTCTGAAGTGTCCCGCTCTGGCTCAGACCTCGCCCAGGATACATACAAGACGGGTGACTACTACGACCCCGAGGGTGACGACCGTATTCGGTCTACCTATACCATTGATCAGACGCAAGAGGAAAACCGTCCCCCATCTCCTCTGGTTCCCTCCCAGGTCTCCGAAGCGCCCAAGTACCGCGCCCACCGCGGCAGTCTGGATCTGCAGCACCCTCAGCCTCGCCAGGGTCCCACCGGCCGGTATCAGAACCAGCTCGAGAACCAGGCGCAGTCATACACTACTCCCACCTCACCCAACTCTGAACAATGGGGTTCCAATCCCAGCCTTCCACCCATGAACCCCAACCAAAATCGCTACAGTGTGGGCAGCCGTCTATCCCCCATCTCCGACGCAGGATATTCAGAGACAAGCACCCGCACACCAGGTCCTCCTCGCCCTCCCAAGGTCAAGGACAATGGACCTCTCGTCCCCGAGCGTCCACCCAAGGTCCCCGAAGAAGAAGACCAGACACAAGCGCAGACACAAAACTACAGCGGCGATCGCGTTGCTTCAAGGGTACGTTTCGCTTTCGAGCAAGCCGCTCTCCGATTCACTACCCCACCCCAACAAGCAAACATTTCTAACCCCATCCCTCTACAGAGCTCTGCCATCCGCTCCCCACCTACCCGCAAACCCACGGGTCCCCGACCTCTCACGTCCGGCGGCGGTGCCTACAGCCCTAGTAACATCAAGCGCAAGCAATACCGCGGCAGTCCGATGCAGATCGACTATGACGATGATTATTGAGACGTTATGACCTGACCGCATTGTGATACCCCGGGGGGCTTGTATTTGTGTCTTGTCTAGCGAGTTTTGTTTTACCCCCTTACAACATTTCCTTTTTCATGTTTTTCAGTATTCTTTTGTTCTCATGTGATGACTGCTGTTTTCTTTGTTCGGCATCATCGATCACGCCCTTTACGACAGTGACGAAATCGCGTTTTGGATTCGAGGGTTGGATCTTGAATCAATTACCCTCATCATCGCTTATCCCATCTTGTCTATCTGTATCTGGGACACCAAACATCCCCATCCCTATTCCATTCCATCTATGAGCCATGGTGATCTAAAATCTTTCCTCTATTTCTGATCATGAGCATGAGCGTGAGCATTCCATTTCATGTTTCCTGTCTTGTCTTCCTCGCCTCCTGTTAATAGTCATCAGATGGATGGGGCAATCTAGCCAGCATGTTTTGATTTTCTTGACTCTCCCGGATTCCGATTGCGATTCATCTTATCATTTGTGACTCTTTTCATCCTTTTGCGTATTGCATTGCCGAATCCAGGGCTGGTCGCTGGGTCTTGGTTGTAGATAGTGGATATAGTCCTTCGTTGGTGCAATTTACAAGATGCTCAGGTCTAACTGTTCGGTTAGACCAAGGACGAGATTTTTCAGGTTGCAGGCTTTCTCCTTTTCTTAGAAGGTGATGCCGTGTAGATTCAAATGATCTATTCATTCACTAGCGTTCCATATCCCGAGAAGGTAAGGGGATATGGACTTGAGGAGGATTATGTTCTTACAGCAACTGGCCACTCGAGGATGGAACATTGCTTTCGCACTATCTCCCCACCATTTCCATGCAGTGCTATATGTCTTGTTCACGGACCAATCTTGAAGTGAAGCTGTCGCTTGTGTTACATATCAGAGTAGAAGCAATGGAGACGATAAAAATTGAATATTGAACTCTCAACGACAAAAATGTCAAACCTACTCGCAACCATAATTCCCATCGCTCCATACCAATCCGACTCCAGAAAAGAAGAGAAGAAAAAAAGACAAGCAAAAAGACAAGCAAAAAATGCTCTCTGCCCTAATAATCCGAAAAGGGCCGCACATGAGTCGTCCCCTTCTCACGAAACGACGATAACTCCGTAACCAAGGAAGTGTATTCGCTGACCGGAAACTTGGGCGGATAAGTCTGTGTCGAGTGGGTTTTGGTGGTACGATTGCTCTCAAGACTCAGATCAGTCAAGTTGTTGTCCGTGTAGTGTGATGACGAGTACCGTAGTGACGAGTACTGTAATGAAGATGGTGGGATGACAGCGAGCGAAGTTTTGGGCTCATCAGTTGAGACCGTGGGGGAGTTGATGATGGTGTTGATGCTGGGGGTGGGCTGAATTTTTTCAACAGAGTTGAGTTCAACAACCTCCTCAATGGGAATGCCGTGGACTAGCTGGACGATTCGTCGCTGCTCTTCCTGCTGAAGCTGTGGCTGCACTGGGGTGGGCGGCGGGGCGATGAGACCATGGTGATTTCCATTACCGGCCAGAGCGATGTTTGGGCAACTGGTTGATGGAAGAGTAGTGTTGCTCATGCCGTCATAGTACGAGAAACCGGGATAATTGTGCGCTCCATGATTGGTTGACACAGAAGCAATTTGCACAGCATCGGTAGCCGGTCTCTGATTCTCGTGGTGCAAGCTGGGCGAAAGACTTCTTCCAACTGCACCGGGATGATAAACCTGGGGCAATTCGGCGAGCTCCACGACACGTGGGAGTGCACTGCGTACACGATAAAAGCCCAGGTGCGAGGCACAGTGGGCAGTGGTAGACCGGTGTGAGAAAGCATCCTCATGCAGGAAGGCGCTACTCGGGACTGGTGAACGATAGATTGGTGGTGGAAGGATCTCAACGATGATGTCAATGACCCGGGTTTCAGTACGCTTGATAGCGTTTTTGAAGGGTCGAGGACCATATTTTAAGGGCCTGAATGGGTTCAGAATGAAAGAGATGGCGTAGAGGAATTGAAGGTAGAAAAGGAAGAAGACGAGGGAGATGGAGGTTCTGAAGGAGATGGGGAGAATGTGGCGAGCGAGAGGAGTATGAGTGGAATAAGTCAATGCCATTTTGATGACTCAATATCAGATGAATGCAGTCTGAAGGTGGTGGGAATGCCGTTGAGTGGAAGTGTTGTAGATAGGAAGATAGGTGGTGAAGGTGAAGGTGAAGTTGAAGGGGAGGATAGGAAAAGTGCAAGAGGGTGGGAAAGTGCAAGAGGAAGGAAGGTGCGAATGCCAAACCTCCGAGTCTGTTTTGAACCAATTTGGATGCTGTTTGCACCCATTGATTTTCATGACAATCCAGAGTATAGATCCCCCTATGTATTTCATAGATCCATAGATCTCAAAAGTGGGCCCTCCACTCCAGCCAACTCCAATCTTCTTTCCCGCCTGAACTCCGCTGCAACCTCCTCCACTCACTGCCATCTCCATCACAGTTTCCCCCAGACTTGAATCCATGACGAGTCGCCTCGCATCCCTCCGCATTGCCAAACCTGCCATTATGTCTGCCATCGTCGGGGATTGTGCTCATCTTCGCCCGCGGCGATTTGCCCCGCTTGATGCCGAAAAGGCGTCTGACGCCCCAGTGCTGAAGGGGATTGTCTTTGATGTGGACGGGACTTTGTGGTAAGTATACATTCAAAATGATTGTGATCTAGCTATCGGGGTAGTCCAAAGTGACATTTGTTCTCTTGATTGGCTGTGTGCATATTTTTGCATGGTTCGATGCAGCATGCAACCATTTATCCGAGGAAAGCCATCACTACTTCGGAGAATGTAGCGTTGGCTTCAAATGCATTATAAAAGAGATCAAATTAACCATTGACACTAGTCTACCACAACACCACATGTTCACCGAAATGAGGTGAGTCATGTTCTCTATCAGCGGAGCTTGAGATATGCCACTGCTCCCCCGGAGGCTCTTCCGTGAAAAATAATATCCTCTAACCATCAGCTCCAGAGACGCCCTCGGCATCGACAAATCAATCGACATCCTGCATCACATCCGCGATCTTCCCACACCGGAAGACCGCGCCGCGGCCGTCGCCAAGGTCCAAGCCGTTGAAAGACGCGCCATGCTCGAGCAACAGCCTCAACCAGGCCTCGCCAAGCTAATGGATTACCTGAAATCCCGCGGACTGCGACGAGCACTCTGTACGCGTAATTTCGAGTAAGTCAGATCAATGCCTTCCAAATATCAACACCCTAGTATCGTACTTCTCACAGAGGAACCGCAGAGCCCCAGTCCACTATCTCATCCAGAATCACCTCCCCAGCCACATCTTCCTACCCATCATCACTCGCGATACACCCAACCTGCTTCCGAAGCCCGATCCAGCGGGTATTTTGCACATTGCCCGTGAATGGGGGTTGACTAATCGCGCGGAGAATTTGATCATGGTACGTTGATTCGTCTGATACCCGCAGATTTTTACCCTTTCTATTTTCTTACCATGCTGTATACAGGTTGGAGATAGCATTGACGATATGACATCCGGACATGCGGCCGGGGCGGCAACGGTGTTGCTGGTGAATGAGCGGAATAGTCATCTGCGCGAGCATGCGCATACGGATCTTTGCATTACTCGGTTGGACGAGTTGATTGATATTCTGGAGGGGGGATTCCTTGGTAGGGAGGGGCAGGATGTACATGAGCCATGAGTAGTATCAGATGGGATTGGTATGCATTGAGCTGGGTTATACACAACATACCCGGGTCATGAATATGATATGCATAGACGTTCATTTCATTTGGGAATGCTGTATAGACGTGGTGGTCATATACAAAAAAGGTCTAATTGATTCTGTATAACTGATGTACAAGTCCCCACAAACCAAAGGTCAATCAAACATACACTGGGCGTTACTTTCATAAGTGATCTATCACGGTCGCCCTCCACGGGGCTTCCCACCGCGCCCACGGCCACGACCGCGATTCCCACCACCACCTCCCCCTCCACCTCGAGGAGGCGGGCCCTTAGGACGGGAGAATGGCGGTGGCTTGTTTCGAGGCTGATCTGAGCCAACACCGCTACCAAACTTGATGGACCCGCGACCTCGGCCACGAGCCGGAGGGGGACCCTTTCGGGCACCCTTGCGGGGCATCCCGTCTTCTTCGCTATTTGATGGCGGCGTGCGAGCACCATTACCACCACCGCGACGTCCCTTGCCACGTTGATAGCTCGGCGGAGGGGGACCTTTTCGCGACGGTGCTGCTAGGTTCAGATTGGTGATGCTGGCAGGATCGATATCCTTGAGGGTGAAGCATGCAGTTTTTTGTTGGAGGTCTGGAGGGAGATGGGGGCAGTCTCCGATCAGATGGTTCCCACTTGTGCAGTGGGCGCAGGAGATGGAGACCGAAATAGTTTGGGAAACGGGTTCCCGCGATGGGAGACTATGTGGGTGGTCACAGTCGGACTCCATATGTGTCGAAGAGCCGCAGTAATCACAGGGGACTTCGGCGGCGGAACTTTTGAGGGCAGAGGGGCAGTCGCCTTGGACATGGCCTCGTTCACGGCAGCGCTGGCATCTTCGCCAGGAGGGGCATTGTGTGCTTATGTGGGTGTTCCATGATCCACAATGGACACACTGTATAGATGTCACGTTAAAGATAGTTTCATTATCAAGTTTGAACGATACGTACCTCCTTGGTAGGACACACTTCGGCCATGTGGCCCTGACGAAGACACTCGATGCAGCCAACCGGAAGTTGGAGATCGATGGCATTGACGTCTCGATCCCAGTATACAAATTTAGCCTGGACATCCATATCATCCTGCTGCAAGTCCAGTAGGCAAACAGGCGCAGTGGGATACTTTTGAGAGAATCGCTTGAAGGCCTCCTCCTTGGACTCGGTTTGTACTGAGTCACCAGTGTTCCCGTTTGACTGTCCATTGACAGGGCCGTTGGTAGGACTCTTTCCCATCAACAGAGACTCTGGGTCATAGTCGTCCATCCCATCTCCCTTGGTGCCAATATTGAGCATGAGCGAATCGTCGGCTTCGGAGTCCAGCTCTGAATCGTCCGAATCACTCCCGGTGTTCACCTCGCCTTCCTCCGAGCCTTCATCATCATCAGATGACGCAGAGGCACTGCGGCTGCGCCAGTATGTACCGTTGACGGCTTTGAATTGCTTTGCAGAAGTTCCATTTACCGTGCTGACTGCGGTACTTCCGTTGGTCTGCGGCTGCGCCTGTGGCTGCGGCTCCGGTTGAGCCTGGGGTATAGATGGAGACGGCACTTGCGAGCCCGCCTTGCGCTTCCCAAGAGTCGTCCTCACAGCCGTCTTCTTCCCTTGGTTCCAACTGATCGCCGGCGCAGTGCTGCCCGCATGGGGATTGACGGGTGGAGGCACATCTTGCGCATCAGACTTGTCCGAGGCACTATCTGAGTCCGAGCCAGAACTAGAAGTATCATCAGGGTCGACCTCTAATGAAACAGCGCTAAAGGACGCGCCCTTGGGGACGAAGTCGCTGAGATCGCTGGCTGTGCGGGATCTGTTGCGGCGCCGCTTTTTCGTGGGACGCGAGTCGTCGCCGGACTGGGCTCGGGAGGAAGGAGTATTTTTGCGGGCGTGCGGGGCGCCAAACGAGGCCGTTCGCGAGTCGGCCTCGTCTCCTGAATCTGACATGGCCTGTGGCTTTAATAGGAGGGCTGATGGTCGGGAGAAGTTGGTTATCGGAGATTAAACTGCAGGGCAGACAAATTTTACGGTTGGCGGGAAGTGCCAGGGGTGCAGGAATGGTGGGTTTGTTTTTCTTAATGGGAGGCAACATGGACTAGAGAGCGCAATAGAGAGAGTAGTATCATGGCAGGGGTCGTATTCTAAATGCTGTAGATTATCTGGCACGGTTTGAATTGCTTCATGCAGACTAGCCGTATGTTCTTCGATGAAGCTGTCTCCACGCTGATGCATAGGAGAAGTATCAGAGAACTCCGTCCCCTCCATGTTTTCTATTTTTGTCGGCGCTCAAGTCTAGACACAGATGTCTCCTGAATCTAATAATGTCTCCTATCCATAGACAACGGGCCCATCGGAGTATTGAGTCTTTGTTAGGAGTAGTTAGTTAGTTAGTTCATTTATAGTTAGCCAGTTCGTCGAAGGAGTTCGTCTGTGCAGCTCGGAGCTGTTGAAGTCTGCACGTGCCGAGCCCAAGTGCCATTTCCCGATTTCTGATTCTTTTTCTCTTTTCAAGTTACATGGTTGTACTGAATTACTGAGAGCCCGATCGAAATCCGAGCCATTCATCGACTGACGAGTGTTGGTGTCAGTTCAACAAGATAAGATCCCCAGGCAGACAAAAAACGAGCCAACCCCGTGACCCCCGAAAGCCGATCCGCCCGACTCCAGTTCTGGACTTCTGGGCCGTGTGAGCCACCTTCATATCCCCACGCTCCTTTTCCCTTCTTCCCCCCTCAACCATCCAACTCGAGCTTTTTCTCTCCTTTGCTCGAGCATTCACGCTGGCGTCCAATACTTCCAAGTCGTCCCTGCTGGTCCCTCGTGCCATCTCTTTTTCGCCCGAGATGGACGGACCACAGCGGTTATCTCCCAACACCCAGAAGCAGGGCCGCCGTAGGCGGTCCAGCAGCATCATCTACCAGGAACCTGCCGAATCTATGGAACATATCAGTGACCAGGCGGCCTTGCCCAATCTCAATGCTAACTGGGTCAATGCGAAGGGTGAGTCGAGCTTGCATGAATCTCTTTTGACCTTCCAAAGTGTCCCGACCGAACCGGTGCGGACACGGTGGACGGGAATCTCCCCACGGGAAGACGGAACGACCACCTATATCACAGAGCTATGCTGACTAGGAATGTTGTCGCGTGAAACAGGTGCCTGGACCATCCACTTTGTCCTCATTGCCGCGCTGAAGATCTTGTTCGATATTATCCCCGGTGTCTCGCAGGAGACCTCATGGACCCTCACGAACATCAGCTATATGTTTGGCTCGTTCCTCATGTTCCATTGGGTGCGGGGCATCCCGTTCGAGTTCAACGCTGGTGCCTATGATAATCTCAACATGTGGGAGCAAATTGACAACGGCGACCAGTATACTCCCGCCAAGAAGTTCTTGCTCTGCGTGCCTATCGTGCTGTTCCTCCTCAGCACTCACTATACCCACTATGACCTGACCTACTTCACCATCAACTGCCTGGCCACACTGGGAGTTGTGATTCCTAAACTGCCTTTTGTATGTGGTCCCCCATTTCTTCTAGACTTATCAAATTGGATCTGACTAACATGTTCCATTTCCAGTCGCATCGGCTGCGGATAGGTCTCTTCTCCGACATACCCGACGACTCATAGTATTTACTTTCATTTCTCTTTTTCATTCCGCTTCTTTTGCTACATCGGCGTCTTCTGGCCTTCGAGCTCGCTTCCCGTGTTCCATTTTCCTCTTCGAAACCACCGAAAACCCCACCGAACCTCCCGATTCCTCATAAAGAAGTCCTTGCATTGCGTTTGATCCGCGGAGTTGTGAATCTGTCGTTGGCTGTCGCAAATCTGTCCGTTTCCTTATTCTCTTTCTTGACAAATATGAAGACCGCAGCAAAGCCATGAGCTGTGGAAACAAGAAGACAGAGTGGGACACTTAGTTCCTACCTGTTCTTTTGGTTGGGTAGTCTAGATTTTTCTCAGCTTTTTAAAGCCCTGCATATCTTATACCACACCCATCTTTGATGCTCTCTTGTTTTTGTCAATTTGTAAACTTAATCATTCTGTTGTTGCAAATATCTGAGTTTCTAGCCTCGGGCAAAGATGCAAACCTGCAGACTGCTCCAGTACCTAATGCAAGTCATTTGTTTAGTCGTTTGTCTTGGCTGGGCCCATGCGGGGCCATGATCTGCTGTAGGTATTAGCATCGTATGTAGATACATACTCATTATTGACAGACAGAATATCTTCTGCGAGCATAGGAATACTCTTGAATGGGGAAACAGCCCCACTAACATACATATCGACAAAGAGAACCTTTAAACTTTAAGCATGGACACAAAGAACTCTTATATCGGATTTTAGTGGGCCCCAAGATCGGCTTCGTCACACATACAAACAACCTGGGAACAACAAGGAAAGACCGTTTGGGACTAAGAAACACCCTTTATAACTCCAACTTTCCAGAATCAACCAACTTCTCCTACTTTTCTCCCCTCTCATCTAGTATTGACTATTCACATTCAATCTACAGTTCGAGGCCTGAGCCCTCGAACTACCCAACTTACCTAATCACTTATCGATAAGCACGCGTCCAAAAAGACGCGATCGGGATATCCAAGATGTCGACGTTTCATCACGACCAGACCATGGCGCCCCTGGGCGATTTCCCACAGCGGACGCCCCAGCTGTTGTCCTTTGAGCTGGTGCAACATGTCGGTTACTGGCTGGAGGAAAAGCTCTGTTCGTACCTCGACCCCGGCCCTGTCTTTCCATCCAGTCGCGCATTTGAGAGGAACCCCACCCAGCTAACCCGCCAACAGACAGATTAGCATTGAATCTCTTGTTCAACACCCTCGCCTCGGGGACCTATGCTTCAAACAAAGTCCTCACCCCTCTGCCACAGCATCTTGCCCTTGCAGCAACGTTCCTTGTTCACCCTTCAACGACCACCCGCGCCCAGTCTGTCCACGAAAAAGATGCCCCGGATGTTGCGCTGCGCCTGCTGCGGCTGTACTGCGCCCAGGTCAACCCCATAGAAGCAAAGCTCAACACGGCGTTTAGTTTTGCACGTTCCAAGATTTCGCGGTCGGGACGAAGATATCATGAAGAACATGAACCGGATAGTGATCTCCGCCATGACGAGACGAAACCGTTGAATCTTGAATTGGGCAAGACAGAGTCTTTGTGGTCTCGCGCAGAGGACTTTTGGCACGCTGTTGGATGGTCATTCAATTGTTCTGTGCTTTATCCGGAACGGTGGGATCGTTGGCAGATTTGGTTGCAGTTCATGTGCGAAGTGCTCGTGGATGACTGGTTACAGCGAGAGAAGGAATACCTTGCGCTGCAGGAACAAAGAAGGGAAAAATCCCAAAGTACCGGGCAAGAGGGGAAATCCGAAACAACGGACAACGTGATACAAAATCGGGACGAGGACCTGGATATCCTCCGGCAGAGTCTGATTTTCCAGTATATCTCTGCTGGCGCGAGGAATGCAAACACTCGTCGAATTATCAGATCTATCTTCGCGGACGGGAGTACCGCATCGGTGAATGAGTTCCGAGAGGTCTTCGAGAAGGAACTCGTCCCTTTAGACCCCGCGAAAGACGCTGCTAAGGCGAAGAAGCGAGACCGTGAGGTTAATATCGAAAAAGAACAATACGGCGACTACTTGAATGATGACTCGGATGATGATCCTACTTCCGGTATCAGTTCACAGTCCTGTGCCTCTACGCCTCTGGAAGATGTGACAAATATTCGACGCTCGAAGCGCACCAGGCGAGGCACCCGGAACGCTTTAGATCCAACTGCCGCAGAGCCAGCCGCAGAAGCTTCCGATGCAAGTCAAGGACACCTCACACCTCACGGTAGCCGTGTATCCCAACTGGGCGGCCTTGAGTCTCTCGCATTACGCAAGAAGCTGCTCGGCATCTTATCCAGAGTATCCGACTACCTGCCCCACAACTTCATCGAACTCGACAATCTCTATCAATCCTTTGTCGAGCATATCCGCCACCAACCCCCCCCGATCTTCCAAGCCTTTGTCAATCCACTTGTGCTCCCCGAACTCGATGATGAAGCACAGACCACCCTTTGCGAGTTCCTGCTATTCAATATGATCGAAAGCGCTGCCCGCACATCACAAGAGGATCGACTCACCGTTGCAAAGCTGGAAAAATGCTTTCTTCCATATGCCACCGCTACTTCCAGCGTCGTTGACAATGCCAAGTTCTCTATCATTCTTGAGTCATTGGTTACTCTGCTCGCAGGCCGAGGTTGGATCAAACAAACACCATCTTTGAGGGCGGCGGTTGAAAAGGGGATTAAGCGTCGAGCGCAGCGGGCACAGGGAGAGGCACATCGGGGCCATGCTAATCAGAAAAGGGAGGAACTTGAGTGGTGCTGGCTGCTGGAAAGTGGGGAAAGACTGTTATTCTTGATCGATCTTCTCCCGGTGAAATAGTTCCGAGCTCAAGAGGAGGCATTTAGTAGAGATCACGATACTTACGATGGCAATGACCTAAATGATGCATTTGAGCATCAATCTACAATATAATCATTATTTCTTCATTATATTCCAAGTCCTTCCTCCGTAGAGCGGACTTGCTCTGATGGGTTTTCAATAAAAAGCGAAGAAATATACGATTCAAGCAGCATCCCAGCAATCTCCCCGTTCCCCTTCGACAGCGCTTCCCTCATCCCCCCTTCAAAAACCCTCGCTCCATGATCAAGAAGCAACTGCACAACTCGCCTATGCCCATAGCGAATAGCCCTGCAAAGTGCACTACCAGATCGACTATTGTAATAGACGTCAGGTGTGACGCCGGCCGCTAACAAAAGACATACAATCTCCTCATGCCCTCCACCAGCTGCTTCCCAGAGTGCCCTGGTTCCATAAGAATGGACGTGAATACCATGCTCCAAAAGAATCTGCACAATCCCTAAATGACCTCCATAAGCCGCCGCCTCGAGTGAATTCCGCGATGCAAGACCAATATTGCTTAATCCAGTGTTGACATTCACGCCAAGATCCAAGAGGATTTTTACCACTTCTTCGTGGCCATTATAACATGCATCTGCCAAAGCAGTACCATGGAATTCGCTCTCTCCATTGATATCTGCTCCCTCGTCCAGGAGTAGTTGAACTAGCTCTGCGTGTCCGTTTCGAGCGGCAGTTGTCAGTGATCGATCACATTCACACCCCCTTCGCAGAATGAAGCCATGGTCGAATAGTATTCGCGTAGCTCCGATGTCTCCCCGTTGAACGGCTTTGTATACCGGACATATCCTTCTCCACTGCCAACCATGCCAGCTATCAGGATTTCCACGAGAGAATGTCTCCTGATCAGTATCTCCCACCTTGTCGAGTACCTCTCCAACCAAAGCGATGATACCGAGGTGCGCAACGACATCGATATCACTCCACGCCCACCCTCCGATTCCGCTGTACAGATAGATCCAATTATTTCTCTCCGGGCCATCCGCAATACAAAGTACCCTGACAGCATCAAGGCTTTTCGCTGCGGCAGATTGGGATTGGCGGCTATAATGAGTTGGCCAGTATTGCGCCGCGTATCGCAGGAATGGAGACTTGCGTTGCTCGCGTCGCATGTTTCTTTGTATTTTTGGCTTTTTGTATTTGTGTTCGTTGTAGTGCACGTATGATTTCATTTTGAGGGTTAGGAGGAATGAGAGACTTGCTCGAGTGAGGAGTTCATGTCCGGTGGTCATGTTGATACTGCCTTGCCAAGCGGTTGATGGTCTTGACAGTAGTGGGGTTTGAGTATCGGCTTTCTGGAGAAGAAATTCGCCGGCTGATTTGTGTATCAGATTCCCGGTTGACCTGGTTCTTAGCAGGACTCCATCCAGAAGTCCCGTAACCAAGACCTTTTGTTCAGGGTGCCGTTTAGCCATTTGCCCGTAAGATAGGCGATGTGGTGTGGATATAGCTGCAGTTAGATCAGAGTCGGCAAGCTCGATGACCAACAATAGCTCACTGTATGATAGAGGTCGCTGTGTAGCTAGGAGAATGTGTAGCATCTTTTTGACTAGCGGTGTGCCCCATCTAGCGCTCGTCATATCCAATGCTTTTTCATAAACACCTTGCACATCCATAGGGAAGTCATTCAGCAAGACATCAATATCTGAATATGGTAGAGAGTCACCTCTCTCTTCTTTGAACGTATTCATAATCAGGCTTATCGCCGCCCGCAGCCACCGCCAGGTCTTCTTTTCATTGCCTTGTAGAACCTGCTTCACACGCGTTCGTTGTTTGGTTGGGATATCATCGAGAATGACTTTGATAAATGACTCCATGTCCGAGTGGATCAGAGAAACTCATCCGAATCGACCAACGTTGTCAGCCCAGCACCAGCTACATTGGTACCTTCTAGTTGGCGACTTGTGACGAAGAAATTCACGACTGAATGTGAGATTCCCCAGATGAATTCCAAAATAACCAGGAAGTGAACTTCTCACTTTGTTGTAGTAGGTCCCAATAACCGATGAGAGTAAACCCATCCATTGATCAAATCAGCCAACAATACAATATGGACGAAACCTGTGCGGGGGTAGAGGTGGAGCGGGGCATCCTAGTGACCAGTCCAATGAGATCTCTTTCCAACCATGAGGCTCATCTGTCGTGGAACAGTTCAAGTGATTCAACTTTGAATAGGATCTGTTATAAGAAGGATGATTCGATTCTTAGACCCCTAGAGTAATCAAATTACGACGCTAATGATCTTCGAGAGATATTCACTTATGTATTCAAAATTGTATAGTCACGATGTACATCGCCAGCTTTCGTTCTAGATACATATTACGAAACTGATGGATTTGATCTTTCAAAGACCAGGCAAGGAACTCAATCCATCAATTGAAATTCAGTCGCGATGCATTATAGGATACCACTTGCTAGACACTTTCAATACTCGGCAGCCATCCAACACACCTAGAGAGCGAAGAGTACAGCAGCTACAGCAGCTCCACCCAGTGCCAGGCTTTCGGCTGTTGCAACAGGCCCCGCCATATTAGTCGAATTCTCTCCAGATTTGGTAGTCTTGGCGCTCGTAGTTTCGCTTCCGCTTCCAGTTGTAGTCGCATCGCTATTGGAAGGCTTCGAAGTTCCCGTAATAGATGCCGAAGCCGCGGAAACAAGGCTCGAATAATCAGCGGTATTAAAGGCGATCCTAGTTTGGCAAGATTTGCCTCCATCCTGGGTGATCGAGGAGAGAACACGCATAGTCTGAGTGCAGAACGGGAAGCAGTCCGAGTTCACGCCAGGAACAAAACTGTCGACAGCCGTGAAGTCGTGGACACAGCAGTAGGGCTCATTAGATTCGAGGTCCAAACTGCTCTAGCAACATCTTTGGGTATCCTTGTACTGGATATTACTCCAATCACTCGGGCATTGGCTGCCGGTGATATCACCAGTCTGAAAATTTAGTCGGCATAGGGCAAGAAATGAGGAAACAAAACACATACAATGGTTGCTGCCGAGGCCATGGAAGAAAGAGTCACACTGGCAAGAATAGCGATAGATGGAGCACTGTGCATGTTGCTGGATGATAGTGATGAATAGTGTTGTGGAACGTGAAAGAGAGAGACATTTACAAAGGAATTTACAGCCCTTTTATATCTAGCCTATGGCTACTATAGGCATCGATCCAGACAAAGCAAGGACATCGAGAACCAGAGCAGCTCCTTGTTTCGATTGGCTGAAAATATGAGCTGGATTGTGGCAAGAATTCAAACTTGAAGTAGACCAAATGATCTCCGCGCCTCTATCCAATAGAAAAAAATTAGGAATTGATTGAAGCCAACCGATTCAGACTCTCCTGCAAGTGAATACAGAAAACATCTCCGTTCTCATGCCGCGGGAACTGGTGAATGGATCTTCGAGACTGAACAGTATCATGATTGGAGCCAGTCTGACACGATCGGTAATCTTTGGATCAGAGGAATCCCTGGCTGTGGCAAGTCTGTTGTCGCTGCTAACCTAACGAGCCGGCTCCAACGACTTGATGACCCCCCGGTACCTGTCTTGTTCTTCTTTTTCAGAGAAATCATTCAAACCAATCGAACGCCACAGTCGCTTGTGCAGGACTATTGTCATAAACTGATTGATCACTCGCGTTTGTTGCAATCAAATTTGAAAAAATTGAGGGAGGACTTCCCAGACGAGGTTCCTTTTGACAAAATATGGGAAGCATTATCAAGTGTACTGCAGACGATGGAGAAGATCTACTGTGTGGTCGATGCATTGGATGAGATGGAACGTGGACACGATCAATGGCTTGAAAATTTCCTCGATTTGGGTCGCTAATTTCCTAAATCGATCAAAACTATTATCACCAGCCGGCAGGTTCCTCACGTGGAGAAGCATATGTTCAAGTCTCACCTTGTCGACTTACGTCTTGACCGTCGACGAGTGGATCGTGATATCTCGACTTATGTCTCGAAGCGTTTGGAAGACTCCCATTTGGGCCTTCCTCAAAATGACATTGAGACTATCAGGGAGGCAGTTTGCGAGAGAGGAAATGGCCTCTTCCTATATGCAAGACTCATGCTTGATGAGTTGCTGCGGAGCCCTGACGACCTCAAATCGCGTGTGCATAACCTTCCTCACGGATTAGGCGACATGTATAGCGACATCCTACGCGAACATGCTGCACGCTCCGGAATATCGAGCGATTTACAGAAACTGATTCTGGAAATGGATTAGTCATTTAGCAAGAACACTACGACTTCTAGAGCTCGCAGCAATGATTGAAGCTTCGCCAGAATGCAAGTACTTCGGTCCAGATATCAAATTTACAATTCAAGCTTCTTGTGGACCTCTTCTCGAAATGTGCGAGGACGGGGTGATTCAGATCATCCACCACTCGCTCACAGAGTTCATTCTCAATTTCAATGTGGAGCACATTGGAATGAACCAAAAAAGCAGAGATTTTGCAATAGTTGACTCTCAGGCCGTTCACAGGAAGATTGCACGCACTTGCATCAATTACCTCACCAGTGGCTGCTTCAAGACGTGGCAATTCGCCGAATTTCGAGATCACGAGCCAGAAGAGCGCCAATCACTCTTCTTACAATTTTACTTCCTTCGATATGCTATTTTAGAGTGGCCATTCCATGTGGCCAAGGCAGGAGATGACAGAGAACTCTTGGACAAGCTTGGTGAATTCTGTCGGGATGGAAATCATCACTACGAAGCGTGGAATGACATTTGGCGCGCCTGCCAAGGTGAAGACGTGCCCCGACACTGCTCGGCTCTCCATGTTTCAGCATATACTGGACTATATACTTTGACTCAGTACCTCCTCTCTCAAGGATCAGACCCAGACTCGAAAGACGAGGATGGCCGCACACCCATTGTGTATGCTATCATGAAGGGTCGCCACGAGATCGTGAGCCTTCTGTTGCGGAATAACGCCAGTCACGATGTCAAAGTCGAAACGTACCTACACCCCACGAAAATTAATTCTTTGATTCACTATGCGTGTAAGCTGAAACATGTCCAAGCTCTATGCGCGCTTCTTGACGGGGGTATGAGTCCAGTGGTGAAAGACGACGGTCTTAGTACGAGCGGCAAATACTACTAAGTTCTTGGAAAAGATACGTGGTACAGCGGGTGGCCGCAAGCGTCGGTTCTAGGGCTCGCATGTCAACATGGACTTGTTGAGGTCGTCCGTGAGTTGATGAAGCGCATGGATCCAGTCGATCGTTGTTCAGACAATCTCCACTTGGCTGCCAGGACAGGGAACGCCGAAACACTTGCAGCTTTGCTGGAAAATGAACATGTTCGATTATGCATCAATGATCGCGACTCTGATGGCAACACACCACTTTATCTAGCTGCTCGCAAACGCAGTGCTCCGGCAATTCGAGTCTTACTCGATCATGGTGCTGATATCACAGTTCGATCTTTGAACAGCAATAGGCCTCCGGAGCCTCCCACAGGCAAAGGCCCACGGATCAACCTCAATATTTCTCCAAGCTACACACCTTTGCACGGTTGGTGCATCGGGTTTGCACAACCAACAGATGACTTCCAATTTATTGAGCAGCAAGATATTATTCCTGCCTCAGAGCTGCTACTAGGCAGGTTGTGATATCAACGCAAGGGACTACAGAGGACGTACAGCACTGTTTGCATGGCCTGAACTGCCTTGGGGAGACATGCGTCCCCACGAATATATTAGTATTCTCCTTGATCGGGGGCTGATCCCACTATGATCGATGATGCCGGCCAAACACCTCTTTACGGTGCACAATCATGGGAAGATGTAGTCAGAGTGCTGGTCAATGCTGGTCTTGACATCAATGTCCAACGAAAGAAGGATGGATTGGCAGCCCTAATGTGCATAGCTCTTGAGCAAAATCATGCCGACCCAGCCGTGTTCCACGAACTGAACGCTGATTTCGACCGGCAAGATTGGAATGGAAATACAGCTTTGCACCACTACTTCAGAAGGAATCCAGCTGGAACAGACTGCCACTTTGAAACCTGGCTATCTCTGTCAAATTTACAGGTACAGAATAACCTGGGAAGAACGCCATTTCATGAGTTCATGTATCGCCAGGGCAGAAACATGGATACGAAGAACAACGGGCTCCAACCCTTGTTGGAAATGGTCAAACATGGTGCCTCACTGGAAAGCAAGGACGGCCTTGACGCACGGCCCTGCTTATTGCATTGGTGAATACAACATCCTGTTCCTTGGAGCTAGTCGAAGAGTTGCTCAAGCTTGGAGCAAATGCGCAAGCAACTGGCTATCGAGGAAAATCTGGTGAGTAACATCTTTCTCTACTTCTTCCTCTACTTCTTCCTCTACTTCTTCCTCTACTTCTTCCTCTACTTCTTCCTCTACTTCTTCCTCTAATTCTTTCCCTGCTTCTTTCCCTGCATTTTTCTCCATATCGATCTTCTCGGCTATAGGCTTCACAAGTTTACTAACAAGAATTCAGCTCTGCATTATGCCTTTAAATCATTTCACAAGCACAGGTACCACTCGGAGGACTGCACTATCGATGTTCCTCGATGCCTCGTCAAAGCCGGTGCCAATGTACAAGCAGTCGATCACGAAGGAAACACCGTAGTTCACGACCTGATCGGCCAGGAGCTATCCAAGGAGGATTGTTGGAGTTGCATCGAAAAGCGCGTCCGCGAGGCTATCGAGCTTGGCGTACCTTATCAACAGGCCAACTACAAAGGCAGAACTGCTTTGCACGTTGCAGCGGCCATAGAAAATGACCCCGGGTACGATGGATCGGCGATGGCCATGACCCGGTTGGAGTTCCTTCTTCAGCCAACCATGCCCTTCGATGCGAATGATAAAAACCATGATGGAGTCACTCCACTGCATGTCGCCGCTTCTTTGTCCGATACCAACTCTTTGATTTTGATTGAGCATGGTGCGGATATCAAGGCCAAGGACCGTGATGGTCGCAGTCCCCTTCATTTTGCTGCCACGGCAGGACAAAGCAACGTCGTTGGCCTGCTGACGGAGATCTACCGTGAGCGGTCCATCAATATTGACCATCAATGTTCCGAGAGAAGATCTGCTTTGCATCAAGCCGCGCTATCGGGCAGTTCAGAGGCCTTACGTCTTCTTCTCAAGGCTGGAGCGAATCCAGTTTTGGCAGATGAGCGTGGACGAACACCTTTGCGCGCTGCTGCTGAATTTGATTCAAAACGCATGCTCAAATAATGAGGACCGTCACTGAGAATGCCATTGTTTAGCCAGCCAAATCACAATATGGCAGGGATAAGCCAAAAGATGCTTTCTCTCGTATGGACCTTACAGTATCGGATGAAGACGACGCTAAATGCATTCAAGAGGTCATTCAATTACTTCTATCTGCCGGCGCAGATCCTGACCAAAAGGATATGAATGGTCATCGACCATTGGACGTGGCCGTTATGCTTGGCTGTTCATCAGCTGTTGACGAGTTGATACACTCCGTGAATGATTCCGGATCGCAGTCTTTGGATCCCGTCGGCGAGTTAATATTGGCCGTCAGTGAATCTAAAGTACGATAGCTTGTGTATTCAATCCAAGTGCTGGAAAATTCCATTCGATTCTTCGAGCGTGTCTTCTCAATAGGCAACGAACGTTTGGCCGAGGCGTTCGTTCGGGATCACCCGTTGAAATCCGTCGACAGAAACAGATCTCCTTTGTGCCTCCTCGCCCGCTGGGGCTTCACATCGATGATGAAGAGACTATTATGCTACGTGGATAATCTCGATACTTTGATCCCTTTCCTCCTGGAAAACGCCGGGAAGCGGACTCTTTCCAACCTCGGGATGATCGACCTTCTGGTCAAATCCTTGCCGAAAAACAACAAGGAAGCTCTCAGTACACTACTGTACACATTCTCAAGCGGCAGAAGATGGTGGTATTCTCATGCTTTGTCTCTTCTCCTAGACGCTGGTGCTGATCCGAATGTGAACCTACAATATCAGCTAACTCCACTCATCATCTCTATCGCCTGATCACGGAACGGGCCAGGGAAACTACCGCTACAAGTGGAGAAACGAGACCCTCAATCTCCTTCTCAAGAATGGTGCAGATCCTAACGGTGTTCCGAAAAGCGGATGGTGGACACCCTTGGCCTCTGCCATCCGTGGCTGCTGCAGCGTGAAAACAATGCAGCTGCTCCTCAGCCATGGCGCTGAAGTCAATCCAAAGGACGAAAGTTTGATAATCACCGCAATTGATTCAAGGAACTACAATGCTATCAAGGTACTTTTGGCGGCTGGACCGAGTTCAAACGGGAATGAAGACCAAATGCCTCTCATAAACGCAGCAAAAGACAGCAGACACAACTGACTACCCAGCAGGGATAATCCAGACGATACAGCGATGTACCTACTCCTTCAGTATGGTGCAGATCCTCTTTCTTTGACAAAAGATGGATCCTCGACTGTGTTCCACGAAGTCTGTCGGGAAGGATATTTTATTCGGCCCATTTTGGAAATGGGTATAGATCTCAATATCGCTGATGGTGAAGAATGCACTCCTCTTATAAAGGCCTGCCAGGTCCGTGGCCCAGCAAAGATTTCCCCATATGATATTCGCCCAGGGGCACTCGAGTTGATCGAAGCTGGTGCTGATGTCCACGCCGTTGATCACACTGGTTCTTCCGCCTTCCACTACGCTACAAGTTGGGGCAAGCTCAGTGTTGTTCAAGACCTACCTTCTGAACAAGTCAGCTGCTCTATCTGCACGTAATAACCAGGGATATACGCCTCTGACTTCTGCTCTGAAGAGCTATTCAACAGCCGGCTGGCAATGTAAAGGTGAAGTCTGTACGACAATCAATATCCTTCTAGATGTGGGTGCAGATCCATTGAGCACTCTCCCAGACGGACGCACCGCCCTGCATTGCATTGCCTGGATGCTCATGAACAGCAGCAACGTAGACCCGGGAGGACCAAATCGAGGGAGACAAAGGTGAAGACCACTTCACCTCTGCAACGCAGCTGTACCAACGGTTCATCAATGCAGGACGCGACCGTGAGGCGGGAGACAATGACGGCAACACGCCGATATTCTATTATGCGAGCGCTCCGAAACCTAGTATACTTCGTGAGCACTGGGATCATCCACGACCGTCGAACCCGGAAGACTATAAGAAGATGTTCTCAGAGCACGACGTCCACAAGATCAACCATAAAGGGGACTCTTTGTTGCATGCTATTGCATAAAGGCAGAAGTGGCCCTGTGATGCGGATGAGTGTGAGACGGTGTTTTCGGCGCTTGTGGACTTGGGATTGAATCCTTTGAAAGAGAATAACAGTGGTCAGACGGCTCTGGATATTGCTGCTGCCCATGAAAAGCCGAAGATTCTGGCTTTGTTTGCTCGAGATTATTAATTGAGATAAGATTGTAGGTTTCTTGTCCGATTAACCTTTCGCAAGTGGCGTTTCCTATACCTTTTACATTCTATATTATGTACCCATAAACCCGAAATAAGTATATCCCGTCTGCTTTCGAATGTACCCCGACATCTCTTTCTACATTTCTTTCTACGGCGTAGTTGAAGCCTAATATTTCAGTTGGCTTGGGGTGCAATGTAGCTTAGCAAGTGTTCTGCCGTTCAAATTGAATAAAAACGCCACTTGCCAAAGGTGGCCACTACGGGCCACCGAAGATGCGGTTTTGGAATAATCGATGTTCAAGTATACTTGTGCTATCTACAGAGAATTGCTTCAAAAGCCACCAACAGCAAACCACAGGATAACCACCATAGAATAAAAGGTGCGGCTTCAAGACAAACCGCAAGACAGAAAATCCACCAATCCACCGAGTCGCCGGCGCAAAAAAGAACAAGAGAAAATTTCTGCAAGTCAAGTAATAGAAGATAGAAAGATAAGAGAAACAAAGGGGTAAGAGATAACTGGTCTACTAGGTTGAATAGAGGAAACAAATACCTGCTTATGGCGGAGGTCGAGGTCCAATGATCTGTCGTCTGGCACCTCCAATCCCTAGGCCTGTGCCGCCGCGATTCTGGTTATCGCCACCCATGTAGCCATATTGGTGCACATCCCAGCTTTGACCTGGACCAGAACCCGAGTTGGGATCGCGCGCAGCAGCTTCGGTTTGCTTCTGGTTCTCTTCCCACTCGCGCTGGCGCTCACGTTCGCGCTCCATTTCACGCTCCAGAAGTGACTTGGAAGCCCATCCACCAGCACGAGTCTTCTCCTGAGATTCAACGCGGCGCTTGTTCTCTGCGTCAACTTCAGACGTAGTGCTGTAGTCTTGTGGCCGGTGAGTAGATGGGGCAGCGGCTTGTGGCGCTGGGTTCGACGACAGGAAGCGGTCAACACGATTCTCGCGACCGCGGTTGGCTGTATATGCTACCGGGTCTGGCAAGGGCCGTGGAGCTGCAGGAAGCTCACGAGGTGGAACTGCTGGTTTAGGCGATGCAACAGGTTCTGGGAGTGGACGAGGGGGTGGAGGAGGCACCTGCTCCTCTTCTGCTGTCTCGGGTTCTTCAGGAGCTACCGGCATTTCCTGGTTCTTTATCCATTCTCCACGAAGCATTCGTCGTTCCTGTTCCAGCGAGGAGAGATCGTAGCTCGGCTTCGGGCCAACTGGAGCCGGGAGTTGACGGTTTTGGCTGCGAGGCTGAGGCTCACCACTGCTCTGAGGCTGCACGCTTTGTCGTTCGCTCTGATATTGTTGTTCTCGCTCTTTGGCCAGTGCCAATTCACGCTCGAGCTCTTTGATGCGGCGGCTTTCTGGAGTCTCCTCGGGTATTCCGGCCGCGCTGCTGCCACTGACACTGCGAGACTGACCGGCCTGGTATTGGCTAAGGAATTGGCCGTTCAGACGGGTATCATTGGCACCCCGTCGACGCTGTCGCTCTTGCTCGAGACGCTCTTCGGCTGCTTTTTCTTCTGCAACGCGACGCTGCTCCTCTTCCTCCCACTGGCGCTTTTCCTCGTCCCAACGCTTCTTCTCATTTTCCATCTCCTGGCGCTCCTTCTCCCTTAGACGAGCCGTCTCTTCTTCCCAACGACGTTGTTCCTCCGCCTTAGCCCGAGCCTCTTCTTCGTCCTGCTCTCGCTGGCGAATCCGTTCAGCCTCCTCTCTCTCTGCGTTCTCTTGGCGAATTCTCTCTTCCTCCTCCCGCCTACGCTTCTCCTTCTCTGCCAGACTAGGCACAGCTGGACCTGGTGTAGTGATTTGTCGTCGAGCACCGAATGCAATGCCCTGATTGCCTTGACTGGCACCACCCATGTAGCCGTATTGATGAATGTTCCACGCCGGTGAAGTAGCTCCCTCGTCGCCTCTCTTGCTCCAGGAGCTATACGACCCCGAGGCTTTCGAAGGACTCCCAGGTCGAGGGTTTGCATCACTAGCGTTACTCATTGCCCGGCCATTTCGGGTAAATGAGCCACCGCCCGATGAGCCGCCGGTTGCATTGGGGCTGATCACGCCACGCTTGCTCTGGGGGCCAACTGTGCGAGGGAACTTGCTAGGCTGGAGGGCGTTCGCTCGGCGGCTAAATGCCGCTATGCACTGGAGGACTTGGGCGGGATCCTTGGATTCGTAGAGATCGACTGTAAGGAAGACATCGTGCGGAGGTAGGCTCAGAGGTGCCAGTTGGCATGCGCGGAGGAAATGCGAAATATTCTCCATCTGTACGAATGGCATCGATGACGACTTATACTTCACGCCTGGTGACACAGCCAGATTGACCAGCCTTGTAAGAAAGGGGGTGTCAGTCAGGGTTACAATTCTGGGGATCTATATCATAACTCGTATATTCCGCGACTTTGACTTACTTGCAAAGGGCCACACCATCCTTCAATCCTTCCAGCAGATCGCTGGATGGGAGTTTCTCCCGTAATACCTCCTCGATCCAGTCACGCACCTCCGTGGCTGCCTGCGGGGTATAGCGGGACAGTCGCAGGTTGCGCAAGTCTTTGTCTAGTGAAGTCACAGAAGCCATGGCTAGTTTTGAATCATCGGACTGCGAACAGATCTCGTTGTGCTGGAAATCAGTGGACAGGTGTTGTCCTGGTCTGACTGTGTATCCCTATACGCGAGTGTGCCTGATCGGCCGCAAGGGTGGGGAGTTGCGTTGGGTAGGAGAAGTGAAAAGAGCTGCGACGCAATTCAAGAAGTTCTAGCGCGGGAGATATCAAGCCTCAAATTTAGAAAATCCGTCTGAATGAAGTTGCCCTTGGAGGGGAGAAAAGAGAAAGAGTTAAGGAGGCGCAGGTGGAATGGAATGCTCGGGGCTGTTTATTTCGGCTCCGTCGATGACGTTCCTGGCGGTTCTGGTGGTTCTTTTTACCCGCGAACCACTTTTTCTCCACGCCTCCTTCTCCTCATTCTTTGTCGCAACAAACACCATGGTGAACAGTCTCTGGTTCAAGTGGAAGAGCCTTCGGCTACCCTGGCGACGCTCTGTCCTTGTCGGTATGTGTTACTGTCATTCAACTTCCTCGTGCTGAACGCGCATTGCTCATGGAAAGTCGCCGATCTTGCTGACCATTCCCCTACTAGGCCAGGACCTCGCTGGAAACACCTTCTGGGAATTCAAGGACGTTGTGAACGCCAATCGATTCCGCCGCATTGTGAAATTCGACCCCAAAACACATTATGGAGATGTCCAGGTCTCGCGTTAGTTTTGTCGCATCCGAGGAGGTCCGGGGGTGTTTTGCCACACCGAGCTTCACGCCTTTAGCGGAAGATATATGGCTGACTCTTTCTGACTCGATAGCGCAATGGCATCAATGGCTTCGATATGTCCGAGAACATCCGCCGAGTCTTGAGGAACAACAGCAGGACTTGATCCGCCAGGCGCAGATCAAGCAACTCGCCCGACTCGCCGATGAACGCTGGGCCAGCAAGCCGTCCTTCCTTGACAAGCCAAAGACCCAACAACCGCCTACACCCACAGAAACTAGCGGTTCTGCGGCCAATCCAGCCACCGAATCTTCTCAAAATGCCTCGGCGTCCGCTCCATCAACATCTACCCCCAAACCTGCGCCCGCTAAGCCTGAGCCCGTGAAAGAAGACCCGTGGGCGAAAGCCAACCCCGGTAATCCAGGAGACACTTGGCAGCCCGAGTCGTGGACTCCTTCATCGAAACGGTGAAATATCATCCACAAGATCGATCGAGTACCAAGGTAGGTGAGAAGAATGGACTCTCGGCAACGAATTTCGACGACATTTCCCGCATACACGCTGGATCGATTCGGGGTATCTCTGAAGAAACTCGGAGTGTCGAAAGGGGCATCTCTCCCGATATCGAAACCTATTCTTGGAATGGAAAAAATTGGGGATTGCATTATTCGAAGATTTGCTGCAGGCCATGCGCAGTCATTGAAACCTCCGTAGATGAACGTTCTTCATCGCGAAACACTGCCACCAGCAGCGATCTTGATTTCTCCCTATCGAAGACGTCCAGTCATACTGGTACCGGAGACTGGAAATTCCTCTGTTCAATGCAGCCATATGAATCCCAAGTTGATGGGTGTCTATCATCACGCTGCAGCATCAAGATCACCGTCTTCTTCTCCACTCGTCTCTCTCTGGCTACATAATGATTTGGAATATCAATATCCAAGCCTTTGTACATTAATTTAACTTCTTCCATGTCTTATACACAAACTCTATTCTCAACCTCCATTTTCATAATTGTAACTGTAATCGTTCGCCCCCAGGCACACATAACCAAACGAGCTAAAAGATTAGACAGGATAGAGGTTAGAACTCATCTTCTCTCATGCCTGGGACTGAAATGAGTAGCGTATATAACGTTAGGATGGGCCAGTCCTAACAGTACCCCAATCGACTTCTACCATCCTAATTTCTCAGTGTACTATCGTCGACAAAAACTACGAATTCTACAAAGGGGAGATACCATTTTTTTGGGGCCCGAAGGCACTTTTTTTTGTATTTTGTAGTCATGAACGCATCAAAAAAATCTCAAAAGCAAATGCAAAAGCAAAAAAAGCAAATGTTCAAAGCCAATCGCACCGTCCCCTTTTTTCAAGTTTTCCACCTTTTCCATATGTTTTTAGTTCTTTGGTTTTCTCAAAGTTGCCAATCTCCATCTCAAGAGACCATCACATCATCTTTTCTGTGTGTGTGTTCCCGAGGGTATGGCAATTAATAAACATCAAAGTCCACCTTAAGCATTCTGATATTCGCGAGGCATGTTGAGCTTCAAGCAGAATAAGAATATGCAAGGTAAACCGATGATAAAGTGCAAACAGAAGATCAAGCCTCTGTGAAACTGGACAATCTGGAAAGTCGAAAGCGTGCTTCAAATGTAGACCATAGTCTCCCGAAGCCGCTCTGCCAAAACAGTAACCCCATCAGCAGGAGCAGGAGGGTTATAGTTACGATGCCGGATCTGCTGGTCGTAGTAGTAAGCGCGAACGTACTTGCGAGCACGATCGGCAAACCGGTCCGCCAGGAAAGCAGGAGTGCTGTAGCTGATCGAGCGAGTGCAGCGACCCATCATGTAGCAGATGTTGTGGGTCAGCTGTTGAATGGCATCCGCTGGATTTTCACGGTTCACCTTCGAGTTTGTAAAGATCTCGTCGTGAATGACCACATAGTGGGCTGAACGAGCCGAACCCTGGATTGGAGTCTGCGCCTGAAGGAAGAACTCCCAGTAGAAAGGGCGGGTAATGACACGATCAACCACGGTGCCATTCTTGCAGTTGTTATTATTATCGCAATCATTTTTGCTGGTCGGGAAGAAACGTGTGTGGTGACGCTTGCCACCCACCAGGACCGTGATGTTGGTGCTGCAACGGCACGACTCGCAGGCTTTCTTGACCTGGGGCAGCTCGTCGCTCAGTACCATATCATACTGGCCTTCGCTAACGCCGTCTCGGAAGATCACAAGATTCTCGGGGAACTTTCCGTTGTCCTTCTTCCAGCGCTGGAGACGTGCCTTCATCATCTCGACCAAGTGTTCAACGTTCTCCTTTCGGCGCGTTTGAATCTTGACCTGACCAGGCCACTGCCCCATTGACTTATCGGTGCTGGCGACAATGGAAGCAATGCTTGGAAACTTGTCAGGATCAGTAGGTGAGGGGTGGGTCACATCAAGGCCAACAACCATAGTATTGCCTGCCGCAATCAGTGCAGAAGACGAAGGATCGAGCGACTGGTTAACACCTCCCAAGCGAAGATTGATCTTCATGGCATTATTGGCGAAGTACTGGAAATTTGCGGGATCTCGTTGGGGGGTGATCTTGTCCACAGAACAGCAGTGGATCACAACCCCATCCACGGTATCTGCACGCCATTTGAGATGGTCGAAAACTCGATCCGCGCCGACGGGCATGATAATGACCACGAAGTCAAATTGCTGTCCTTTGATACTGGAGATCAATGCGTCGAGTTGATCAAGCTGTTCTTTGAGATTATCCTGAAGATTGACGGTCTTAATTCCCCCGACGAGGCCCTTCACACTCATGCCCAACTTTGCCATCTCCGTCTCGAAAGCCTTGAGCGCCGATACCGATGAAGCTCCAGGGTCCCTGCTTCTCGGGGTCTTGATCAAGACACCGGCCCACTTCTTGGTTTGATAAGGACTCTTGGTAAATTGCACTTGTGACAAATTCCATACACCCGGTTTCGATTGCGGCTTTTTGCCATTTCGGTACACCACGACCGGAGGATTCAGAATTCGAGCAGGCACGGCAACCATTTCATCCTGGACTCTCATTCCGAGTTTCTTCGTGGCGTTGTTCTGCACTCCAGTGATATCGAGGCCGTGCTCCTTGATCGACTTGTAATTTTGTGGAGGCTGCCGGCAGCTGAACCCGATGATATTCTGGCGCTGAGTCAAGTTCAATTCGCCGCGGAAGACCGACCCAGGGGGATCGTCAAGACATCCATAGGAAGATAGACAGGTCTAGCGTTGTTGCCGACGTTCAACAATGGCAAGCCCGGCTTCAATTTCATCTTGTACTCTACCGAGCCTTGTTAGCACATTCATATTTCGAAATGAGAGAGGGAAACGGTTTGAAAGCTGTATACATACCATCCTGGAAGTACTCCGCGACGGTCACATGTTTATTCTTCCCTCGATGGAAGAACCTGACGCTGTACGCATCAGCTCCAAATGCCCGTCTTCTGGTTTCCGGTGTGCTTCCATTTTGCGCAATCTCCTTAAAGAGGGGCGGATTCGGCTCGTTCTTTCCATCTTCCGGGTCCGCAAGGCTCCAGATGGTCTTGACGCGAGGGACAGCGTTTTTTTCGCCATTTTCGCCGGGATCCTTGAGGTGACTGCACTGGACTCGAAGCATCCTGACGTATCTGCTGAAGAGCTGACGGTCCGTACGATAATTCGGCGGAACCACATTCCACAGATCTTCCAACTTGCCGGGCTTGTAAAATGCGCTGTGGTTGACACTCAGGTTGAGAAATAAACTGCTAGCTCCAGGACGCACACTAGCATAGTAACCACGAAGGCACTGTAGAGTATCATCGAGCTTTGCCCACTGCTTCCGATCGTCACTGACCCAAAAAAACTTGTTGTTGTTACCCTTGCCAAGAGTGATAACATCCCTCTGGGTGCCGGGATAGGCAGCCATCAGAATATTCAGGGCCCGCACCACAATGGCCTCGTTATCAGTGGGGGACACTTTCCGGGGGTTGGCGAGGGCATTGAGGAGGTCATGGTGGTCGATTAAACCAGAACCATTAAGCTTCAGCGTGACACTGTAGTCCTTGTGACTGTCATCCTTTTCCGGGATTTGGATGTTGATGATAGGCATGTCACCAAGGCTTCCCAAAGTCACCAGTTCAGTGGCATTGTCGCAGGCACCCCCAACTTCAACGATCTTTTGGTGTGAGAGAACTTTCTTCCAGATCTCACGCAGATGCCGCTTGGCCTTCGGCTCCGGATCGATCTTGGCGATGTAGGAGTGGAACTTGGCCGTTGGCTTGAGCTCCATCTCGAAGTAGTTCGCCCGCACGACAATGGACTTTCCCTTGGTACCATAGGCAGGACGCAAAGCCAGTTGGCCCTTTTCAGCACGTTTGCCCTTGTTCTCGGAAATCCATTTGTCCTCGAATTTGATGGTCTCATTCGGAACCTTCACCGGGTTCTCCCACACCACGCTGTATAACGATGTTAGTGTGTTTGTCAGAAAAAACCCAATGATTGTATAATACATACCTGGGATCAACAAGAGGTTCCTTAGGAGGTCGGCCACCTTGATAGCCACCGCGGCCACCACGAGAACCATCGTCCCCGCCAGGTCGGCCACCACGGTAATGCATTTCCTGAGATGAGCCACCACGACCAGAACCGTCGCGACTGTAGCCACCACGGCCCGAACCACCACGACCGGATCCAGACATTGTGTCTTGATTCACTGGTCTGATGCAGGTATGGATGGAATAGGGAGTATGTCGAGTGAGTTGGATGAAAATGTAAGGAGGAAATCGGAGGAGGAAGGTACGGAGATGAAAGGTGCTTTATAGATAGAGAAGGATCTGTCACAAGACTGGGCTCTGGATGACCCAGTGTGAGATCCTGAGGGAAAGAGTCGAAGGAAAGGAGATAGATATGAGTAGGATGAGGAGGTAGGGAGGAGGTAGGGAGGAGGGAGAAAAAGGAGAAGAGTCAAAGTCGAGGGTGAGTATTTGTATATCTGGAGCAATTGTTAGCAATTGAGGCCGGACTTTTCCGTGAAAGAACAAACGAAGCCGGTATCCAAATAGCAAATATTGTGATAGGCAGAGCGTGTTGTTTGGATTCAATGGTAGCAAATGTGGAGTCAGGAAGGTGTCCCCAGAAGGGAACAGATAGCAACGGAGACAATTGAGCAAATTCCGGATGATTGGCGAGGAAGGTGGAGTGGTGCAGTTAGGGATTAGGGAACATAGCCAGGAAAGCACGACTTGAGGCAGCAATTGCAGGATTTGGTCACAGATACAGGCTGAATTGACCGGAAATTGGGAATGGAAGGGGCGTAAGAAATGTCACATGTAATGCAGATAAACAAGAGATAGTGAAAATGGAGATAACAAGATAATGATCAAATGGAGGAGTTTGACAGTGTGATTTCAGCACCAACAAGTAGGGACATACCTTGATTAGGCCCAAGACAGGCCGCGCAGAGAAAGCTCGTGAGTGTGTGCAAGCTTTGTAGAGATGTGTGTGTGATGAGAGAGAGAAGAAAGGAAGAAAGCTCAAACCCGAGTTATAAATTAGCAAACGATTGATCTAAGATGGTAAAAAGTATCAGTATCTGGAAGAGCTACTCATCATTGGCATGCTGGCGACTCAAGCATCCTGAAATAAAGCATCCGGCCGTGTTTACTGCAAGTTTAGCACCAAAGAAATAATCATTAGCATATTCAACTTCAGATTTACCTCACAAAGTACGGAAAAGAGGGGGGCTTGAAGTTCAATATCTTTTGATGAATATGTCTAAACATTATGTAGGGTAAATCTAAAATTTTAGAGTATAACCCGAAGACCAAAGCTGAAAACGCAAAGAGAAAAAGACCAGACACCAGACCGACCCTGCAACAAATATTTCCAATGATATAAAAAGTCCCAAGAAAACAAAACACCGGCTGTGACGTACAGAGATATCAAGGCAATCAAAAAACACAATCAAGAAGAAAAAATGATATGCAGGTTAACACAAGACGGCTTCCAAGGCCTCAACGTCGCCGCCGGCATTGCGAACGGCACGAAGGGCAGCCTCACTCAATTTGCGGCGTCGATCCTTGGCCTCCTGCTCCCGACGGGCCTTTGTCTTGGAGCTGCCAGAGGGAGCGACACCAGTGAGGATTTTCTTGCTGTCATGGGCGGTGAAGTTGACAAACGACACACTGACAGACTTGTTTGAGCCACGTGGGCTAGTGGAGCTCTTTGTAGGCTTGGGTCCAGTCATGCTTTGGCCCGAGAGTTTGCGACTGTGTTTGCGGTTGTGGTTTCCCTTGACACCATTGCGTGTATCTTTTGGTGAAGAGCCAGCCGTAGGAGAGAGTGATGGAGAGCGGGAGATGTTGTGGGCTTGAGGAGCGGTGAATGGAGTCATGAACTTCTGGTTGCTCATGGGAAGCATGGACGATTCGCCGGACATGTCAAAGGAGGGATCCATTTGGATCATCAGCCCTCCTTGCATCATGTCATTTTGGGCGGCGACGCTCTGCAAAGAGCGCTGAGGGGCGGGTGATGTGACCATAGTTTGGTAGTTGGTCTGTTGTTGGGCGACTCGAGTAGGCATAGGAGACCACCACTGAGCGTCATGGCTCTGGAGATCGGGAGTGAAGGAGAGAGAGGTGGCGAGGGAGTCTGATTGCCATGAAGAGAGAGAGTGGGGATCTGAGGAGTGCGACGAAGAAAAGATCTCATCTGCAGAAGGAGGGCTCGAGTTGGTCAAAGCCGAGGAGCTAGGGTGGCTCATATATTGATGCTGATGACGGGCTAGGGCACCGACAGAGGGAGATGGCATAGAGACAGCAGGAGATTGGTGGAAGAGGCGCGCATCATACTGAGCAGCCATCTCGGCAGAGTTTCTGGGGTGGTTCATTGTGGTGGTGTCGCCGGAGATATTCTCATGTTGGATTAGAACATCGGAAGGTGGGGGAGACAAAGGAAGGCGATCATCCGAGCCAGTGAGGGTGAAGTTTTGAATCCTCTGGGCCCAGGCCTCGGGATAAGCCATTCTTCCTTTTTGGATAGAAGATCGCATCAAGCTGGGGGAGAAACTTTGCTTGCGCAGCAGCGCCCGACGCTCATTCGGATCACGATGACGGATGGACTTGGGAGTAACGAGAGCACTTTTGTTCGCCTTACGCTGAGGAGTAGCCGGGGGAGTAGAGGGAGAAGCAGTAGGGATCCGGGTAGGAACAGCAGGACGGGAAGAGGCTTCAAAGGTGTTCAAAGCCAGGTCGGAGATGGCAGAGGGATGAACAGTGTCTTGAAAGGCGAACTGATCGCCAGCAGAGCAATCGTCCTGCAGGGACCAGTCTTGAGTCCAAGGTTGCGGCGACTGACGATGGCGTTTCAGAGTGGAGACAGTGGGGGAGAGATCGCCACAATCACTCGATAGAGAGTCCAGCGGGAAGAGCTGGTCAAAGTGACTCGAGAGCGTGGGATCTTTGCAATCGGGGGCCGAAGTATCCATATTGACGTATTGGTTAAATAGATCATTGAAAGAGTGATCGAATGGTTGGGCGAACATCTTGCTTTGAGATTCCGTTTGCGGCCACAGCAGGTGAGCAGCAAAATCGACGATGATTGGCAACCACAAAAAGTCAACGAACCGCGGCTGAGCGGGAGGTTCGTGTTGATTTGCCTAGGGCTGGACTGAGCTGCGGGGATCGGCCGGGTAAGCCGAGAGTCGAGAGAAGCGTAGTAGATCTAGTAGGTCGAGTAGATCAAAAAGAGTCAAATAATGCAAAGTATGCAAAAGCTGAATTCAATGCAAAACAGTATGCAAAATGAACAAAAGACTGTTTGACTGTTTGGCAATTGATGAAAACACTGCTGAGTATGCAAAGAAAGCAAAGCAAACAAACAGCTTGAGGCGAGTATTTGAAGGCTGCGGACAGTCCCAGCCTCGGAGTTTCTGCATACATTCCAGAGAACTGGCCAAGAGGTGTCAAGAATGTACAGTGAAAGACCCGGTTGGCTCATTATCGGATCCACCGGCCTCCAAAGGAATGACAGAGGACTCCCTCAAGCAAGATAAACCAATCGTGAGGCCCGGAAGTCCTGACGAGCTACTGGAGCTTCCAAACGGTGTCCACCCCCAGAGTGGATGTCTGTTCGGATAGCCACCCGTGGGAATGCAACCCTCCCTCACTAAACCAGAAGCAGGTTTTTGAATAAGTCACAGTGGCGGGGAGTGGGGTTTTAGAGAGCGAGAGTATAGGCATATCAAATCAACACCCTCCATTAAGATCGTCAAAGCTCCTATGGTGGTATAGAGGAAGATTGGAGCATTGGATCGGGGGACTCGCCGAGCCGTCCAGGAGGAACCAGAGCCCATATAGTTGTCCAAGTGGGTCAGTCAGTCAGTCCCCAAGAATTCCTACCCTCTCTTCAGTGTATGCGTCATGACAGTGGTGATCTAATCGTCAATGGCTCCGCCCCGGCTGACTCGGAGTATTGATTGAATCTGCTGCCCTTGACTCGGACTTGTCCTCGTAGGCTCACATCTTCGTCCTTCTGTTCCATCATTAGTCAGTACAACCCTACCGTGGAGAGACCGCTGTAGCGTTGCCCAATGCCAGACAGCAGATAGGACTGGAATGTGGGCCGAGCATGTTTGAAGGCTGGGAGGAATGTCACGCCCGCTCCAACAATGCACCGAACAGTCTTTTGGCATTCGAGAAGGCTGTTTGACCGTTGGAAGCCCTGTACCAAATATAGTGTGCAAAAGAAAGCTCCGATCTGCAGGGGATCATCGTCCAGGACGCGCCTGTGGTTGGCTCTTCTCGAATTGAAGCTCGATTCTATAATTATCAACCCTCTCGGCACATCGTGGCTGAAGATCACTGAAGAAAATGATCGAAAGCATCAGGGTTTCTTGTTCAAGCCACGCTTGAAAGAAACCCTTTTTGATCTGTCGCAGGGTCGCGAAGTCAAAGCGCAGTCCAGGGCATCGCGACAGGGGGACCTGACAGTTCCTTGGGTATTCTTTGTTTTCTCAGGCCACTGTTAGCCAAATCCGGACAAGGGTAGCTGAACTATGACTGGAGGGTATTTTGGAGGTCGAATGTCGAAAACAGAGAGTTTCTTTGTTTGTGAGCCGGGGGGTTAGGCGCGCGATGACGTGTCGGCGCCAGCATACACCCGAGTAACTTGCGACAGGAGTTGGCATTGCTTTGATATCTCGTTGAAACGTGTCAATGTATACAAGGAACGTCGCTGAGTCTTTGTTTTTTCGTGTCCCCTTGGGCTTGGGCGCTCAAATAGTGCCAACTACAAGGCATAGTGTCTGAAGCCAGACTAGTCGCTAAACAGACCCCATGCAGGACATGGGCACCTCAGCCAACGCGTACCCTAAGGCTAGCATGAGGCATACTAATGGGGGCTGGTATGTCCAAACACTCGTTTGATGGACTTGGGTGATAGTACCAGCTCATAATAAACTCGACTTGGTAAACAGTCGGTCCGTCATTGGGCACAAAGCTCGTCTTTGGTGGTGGAAGTCCTAAAAGACTATGTAAGCTAGGCTTGTCTTCAACATGTCAGTATGTTAGTAAACATGCTGTCCCTGAACGAGTGATTTGTAAAAGAAGTCCACTGGCGAGGTCATCTTCCGATGTGATGATAATTGTAATCCCGCGAGCCGCCTTCTAGAAGATTGTCGAACCCGCATCGGATCACTCGTTGACGTCGCTTTTAAAGGCCGCGGTCTTCGAGTTATTCAGATATTTCACGAAAGGATCTTCCAAGAGCATTTAATTGACTGGCTCCTTGCACTTGCAAGACCCGTTCCCCTTGCTCTTTCGTAGGGCATCAAAGCTGTCCAAACTCGTCGGCAATTGAGCCGCGGATCGGAGCAATCGATTGATCGGAGCGCGGGCGGCTGACTCAGAATGACGAGAATCCCGTGAGGCGACCACCGACCAGAGAAACCTGGTCAGCTGAAAGAATTACATCTCTCGTTTCTTTTGATCCTCTTTGCTTCTTTTTACCAACCCCTCTCGACTACTATCTCGACTCAGTTCGCTCACCCGTATTACTGAGACTACCTTTTTCCCGCAACCTTCGCCTCTCCGACGGTTGCCGCTGACTTCCCCAACTGAGGATTTGCCGGTGACTCAACGACCCCTCTGACGAGGCACCCCGCGAAACGTGGGTTCTCACCTCGGTCATCTCGACTTCTCCTCACTGTCCCACCTTGTTCAACCGACTATCCACCTTCATCATCTTTCTCGAAATCCAACACACTTCTCGCAGGTCGCATCACGTTCCTCCACCAGCGTGAAGGCCCCGCCACACCCCTTGACATTCCGGTGCCGCTTGCATCGCGTCGCGAAAGTACCACCACCTCCTTCGCCTTCTCGCCCTCCTCACTACTCTCACAACACAATCGACTTCGAGAGGATTTTCCCTCCCTCCAGCCGTCCTACCTTTGACGGCATTCACTGCCCCATCTGCCTTGTGTGAACCTCTGAGCGACATACTCAGTGAGACTCGAATTGCAAGAGGAAAGACCTCGACGAAACCAACCTACTAAACCCGACACCCGCACATCATGTATTTTCAGATTACTCTTGCTGGGCGCTGCCCCGTCAAGTTCCCTTAAGCGATCGCACGATCACCGTGTGCCTCACCATGGATCTCTCTCCGTGCATTCGAGGCTTTCCTCGCCACTCCATTGTTTCGAATTTCAACTAAGTTATCAACATTCCTCTACCCATCGCGACGAACCTGGCCATAGCTAGGCTCGAAATTTGCCAGGATAATTCGTCGTACCACAACGATTCTTTCGCAAACATACCACCGCCTAAGATGGCCGCCACACACGCCACCCACAGACAGTCGTGGGATTCTCTTTCCTCCACCTTCGCCCACCTGGAAGTGTCCTTCTCACATGACAGTTGCTACGGTTCTGATGAAGTGTCTGTCTCTTCCAACAATCCCGCTCCCCTGCAGTCCAGTGTCGAGACCTTTATCGACAAACGCGCCACAACTATCCACCCGTTCTTGAAGTCGATCTTGAAGAACTCCACTTCCGACATCCATGACGAAGTCGATGACACTGAATCAGAGTCCGGCTACGGCTCGGACGATATTGAATTTGATTACGATGCCCTCTCGGAGGATGATGAAGATGAGGACGATGATGACGACATGTCCGATTTTTCTATCTGGGAGGAGACATCGGGGGATGTTCCTGAGACGCGGGAGGACCGCACTGACACTTTCGACGATGTTTTTATCGGATTTGAGGCTTCCGTGCGATTTGCTCCCCAAATCGAATACATCGAAAACCCTGCTTGTGCAGAGGACGACGAGACTCCTGAGACCGAGATGACATGTCATGAGATGATGATGCTCGCCCTTCAATCCGGATCGGCGAGCTCTTCATTCCATTCCGAGGACGAGAGTGACAACGAGGATGACAGCGCTCACCCCCACCGCGAGTTCATCCGCAGTGGTGCCAACCATCCCGAAGAATTCACTCGCGATGCGGTCGACGTAGATCGCCAGCTGTTTGTTGCGTACATGAACGGTATGCACGGGATTGCCGACGCCAAATACAAGTCATACATTCACACCCAGGCCGACAATATCAGATTGGGCCAAGAAACCGAGTCCATGCATCCGGACGACGCACCTTGCATGTACCTTGACTCGATCCAGACTCATGTCATCGGTGTCTTCCGCAACCTCCTCTCCGTGGCTGAGCTGGACGACCTCGTCGGTCTCCGCAAGCAAGATATCGCCGTCGAGCAGGCCGCTGCCGGCTCACTCGAGCCGCCCCAGAACCATCATCGAGTCCTTCTTAACAAAGTCGAGCACTTCCTCCTGGACCGTCTGACCAACGGTCGAGTCGATGTATGTCCGGACGAAATGAGCTTTCTGGCCGGCGGCATCGTCCAAGCGCTCGGCACGCAGGACCTTCCTGCCTCGATTTAGACCCCCATACAGCTCAGGGTCTCAAAAAATCAAACAGAGCTACGAGTTCACGATTATGAAAAATGGGTTATTTTGGTTTCGCTATTGGCGAAGGGTATTCAATGGTTCACAACAACCATGAAAAGGAAAAGTATTCGGGGTCAAAAACAGCAGTATGGGCCATGGTTCTGGATCATGTATTTTGCCTTGCTAGCATTTGAAATTTAAAGAATTCTTCAACTTCAATATGATCATGGTGGTACAGTAGTGTCGTAAGTAGGTTAAACTGATTGGATCCAATAAGTGGTGGACAATATCGACGGACATCTGCCCGTGTCAGTTTAGCAGCTAATGACTTCAATCCCTGTCGTCTTACTTCATTTATCAGGGTCTTACGCGCCATGTGTATGAACCGCATCTGACCCAAGCCTCGAATCAACTCCTGGCCTTATTCGCGGGCCGTCTATCCACCTGCGGCGTGTATAAATGGCCGAAGGCATTGATTCCACGCAATCATAGCATTCGAGGTATGAGTATGGGAAGGCAGGAAGTATAGCAGGGCAAAATTCCTCACAAGAGCAGTCTGGGAATGGACAACGATACAGTAGAATGGACAGCCTGTCCTTGTAAAAAATGCTAGCCAACGGAAGCAGCGTGAAGCAAAATTTCCATCTCCTCTGTCTATCTGGGGCCGGTATCATTTCTAGGAGGCCCTCATGAAGCCCATACTATAGACAACCAGCCCGCCTCACATGTGTGTATTCACAACCTCAGTAGTATCAACTCCCGTATACTACTATACACCTTCCTGAACGTCCACAACCCTCCAATCCCAAATACTCAGCATCCCCAGGAAAATAAAGACCCCTCCCTAGTCCACGGTCTAGAATCTCACCACACCAGCCAGCCAGCCAGCCATCCATCATCATCCCGTCCCTCTACCAAAATCAAGACGCACGACCACATGTTTCAAGTTTCAAGTTTCAGATCCAATCCCCAATCTCCGCTCCCCTACAGTAATTTCTAATCCCTCATTGCCAATGCCAACTTACCACCAACCCCACTTCCCTCCCGAATAACGGCACGGAAGCTAAACCAAACTCCCTCGAGGTCTCGACCCTCGACCCCCTTGACATTTGCAGGCTCACACTGACACTGACGCTGACGCTGACACTGACACTGAAACCTCCCTGCGAATAATAACATGATAACCCCTCCTTCCCAAAAGTCTTGCCCGTGCACTGCAAGTGATGATGAATGATATTCCGGTACGCGGATGCAAACCCCGGAAACCTGGTGGCCAGGATTGTGAAGACGTCGGAGAATTTCGAGTTTCCTTCCTTATGCGGTAAGGATGGGCTGATGTGGAAAGTGGGCTTGTGGTCTATGCTTTGTCTATGCTTTTTGGAGGTGTATCCAGAAATAGGTACTATTGACTATTGAATTGCGTGTGCAGTATTGTCTCGGCTTAATGGGAAATATGAGCGATGGTGTTCTGCAGCTCATATCGTAACGTAGAATGAGAAGGTGAGGTTAGCTGCGTGTGCATTGATCGAGGGATATATATTTTGTGCAAGTGAAAGAGCCTTAGGTGCCCGGAGGTGCGATTATCGGTAGGTGGAGTTCTGCAGGGGAAATCACCATTGCGAGAGATCACTTCTATCCCGACTATCACTGAGTGGCATCTTCTGCAGTACTTTCAGAAAGTGACTCCAAAAGTGATACTGACAATTGCTCGCAGTCGCTCGAATCCAGGATACATACCTTAACCACCCATGCAGACTTCTCGCGTGACAATTCTCTACTTATGACAGGTCAGGTAGGACAGCTGTTCAAGTGAGCTGTAAAGGTTGGAGGTATCCGGTTGCCGATTTGTGCCTGTGTCGATCACTTAAACGGCGAGAGGAGCACAGACAGACAGGAACGCAAAAATAGTCGGATGTATCCAGGCCTCCCTCGTTGCTTGAGCACACGATGCGGTGAAGATGGACTTGAACCTTACTAGTCATCTCTTGGTCATGATTCAGGTATACATGTTATTCGACCGGTATATATCTCCAATAACTCGATCTGGGTATGTCTAGGACGAATAATCGATAGGAGGCTACCAGACGATTACCTGTCACACATGCAAAGACAAATACCCCAACCGAGTCAACCATCACTAGTGACTAGTCAACCACACCTTACTAGTTACAATCTCCATCCACAATGCAATAGTCAGTTACCATTACATTCCCCTCCACGAACAAGGCACATCCCAGTCGTGGCCCTCGCACCGTGTGGAGCCCCGGGGAGTGATTGACATGAAGAAAATCCAATTCTGACAGCCTCCCCCGAGCGCAGAACAGGGAGCAGTGGGACCATGTCCACCCACTATTGCCATTCGTCGGAGTTTAGTAGTTTAAACCAGTGGATATTGGACAATCCTTATTTCCTCGAATGTTCAATGTTGCGGAACTGGCTGGCGGGAATTACCGGTCTTGGGGTTGCGTGGGCGATCAGTGGACACATTTTTCTCGGTTAGCACTTTCCTGTATGGACTTTGTGGCTAGAGGTGGAGTATAGGGTACGTATGGGTAGTGATGTTTCTTGTGGTATGCACCAGGGACTTTACAGTATCTATAGAACTATACGAGAAACAAAAGTTAGACCGTGGTGGTATTACGCCCGGCGGAGGACGAGATGTGATTAGATACGATAGTCAGATACGAGATGATCGCACGAGTAAGTCCATCATCAAAGTTCCCTCATCACCTCAAGATCAATGTGATAGCGAGCCATCCCCTGCGCCCTGCCCTGTAGGCCTCAGGCGTACAAGACACCAGCGCCTCAAAGTACAAGTTGACATTTTCTCGATGACCCAATAGCGGATGCAGCAGGGTAAGAGAGAATATGCACTGTGATGGGCGGGGGGAAGGTTGCTTATGATATATCAAGCCAGTCGCATCACTCTCCTGCACGGCTGTCGCAAAGCAGCAACACATTAATCGCCCTGCTCTGTGGGTTGATTTGAATTTGTAGCCTTGAACAATATTTACGAGGAAAAAGCAATGAAGGCTGAGAAAGAGGGGGAAGGAAGAAACATGACTCGAGGTATGTCATACCTACAGTTCGAGTATGGACATATATACATCTGGTGAGGAGGTACGAGATCGTGACAACTAATCCAGAGAATTGTAATGAAGATCATACCGCTCTTCTTTCCCCGCGTGGCTGTGCAAATACGCATACAAAGACGGAAGACCATCAACATCCGCCGATCTCATATCCCATAAACTCAAACCAGCCAGTCGAAATACTACAGAGAACGGAGGCCTCTCTTTAGCGTTAACTAGTGTCCTATAACCCCCCGGAGCGAAGCCCCAGAAGCGTGCTAGTAATGCGAATCACGAATCTCTCACATGTGCATGCCATAGTTCAGTGCCTTGAGGTATCCAGGTATTCGGGATTGGCTTTGTGCTCAGGGGGTGGGTTTGGGTGGTGATCTTTATTACTTTGTGCAGGAGTTGACCGCCTCTTGGATCGAGCCTCCGGGGAGGGAAGGGTCTACAATAGCATATGTTTTGGAGGGACGGAGCACTTTAGTTGATTGAGAACATAAAATATGGAAGGGCAAGGATGGACTGGGTTATTTCCATAGTGAACAGTCCCGTCATTCCCTCTTGTTGATTTGATCACGAAACCATTCCAGCCTCACCTACGTCAGTCTACCCTGCTCATTGAAACAGACCAAAATTGAGACTTGCTCGATTTTCTGGAATCAACGGTTGTTCCGAGTCATTCTGTCTGCCACATTCACCGTAGTTATCCTAGGTGGACGAGGCCGTGATTGGAGGATCCCCGCACAAGATAGTCGTTGTGATCGACAGAGTACGGAGTACAGTAATCGTTAGAATCCATAGTTACCCTAGCCTTGGATAAATTACTTCGTTGACTTGAGTACAGTATCTGCCGGAACCAAAGATATTATACTACTGGGTCGGGTCCATCTACCAGGTCCGTCAGGTACCACGGATGAATCCCAGGGGAAGAACCTGGGCACCGTCATTCGGGCAGAGTGGTTCAGGGAGGAGCGATAGGGCGTGCGATCGGGATCAAGTCGATATTGGGGGATGCGCAAAGGAGATCCGCCCGCGACGGGCCTGAGGGCATGGCTGGCGGAGTAGATTAAGAACGAGCTCAGATGTTAATTAACGTACGGAGTACTCCGTTCTTACTGTGTTCTTTTGTGTTAAACAGGACCGGCCCAGACCACGTTGACCTTGTGCCGACTCATTGAATCGTCGCACAAAAGTCATCTTACTATTATAATTGGAGACTTGAAGCCTCAGTGTAAGCCTAAGCCTCAGCCACACCATAATTCTCCTCGTGGGTATTGCCTTGTTGGGAGATTCCATGGAACGAAAGGCGAGACTTGAGGAACGTGTGTTTTCGTATTGAACGGCACCGACGGAGACCTGAAATCGTGCCAGGCCTATGAGACGATATTGGTGGTCTCCACATCGGGACATGAGAGGCTAAGAAGGTTTAGAAAGCTAATGGTGGCATTGGTGGCACTGGCAGAAAGACACTGGAAGGGGGTGTGTGTACTCCGTACTCCGTAGTTAACGTGGTATGGTTGCGCCCGGGGAGCAGTAGTGTGTGTGCCCGTGTGGGCTGAGAAGAAGGCATAGAACCACGATCGAACGATCGAAGACCCGGAGATATGGACAAAACAAGCCCGCTCAAATCAAATCAGACTGCAAAGGCGCCAGGGGTTATTCCCCTTAGCGCTCTTAGCCTCTTAGCCTCTGGGTCTTGAGCAGCATGTCGTAGAGACCGTTTCAGCGGGCGAGGAAGCCGAGTCGGGAAAAACCAGAATCCAATAGAGCGGACTCAATGGGCCAAGCGTGAAAGACTAACCATTGCCAGGCCCCAGATCGGACGCCCTGGGAGTCGGTCATTGGTAGCTGTATAACTATCGGTCTCCAGTTGACCCAGGACCGTCCAGGATAATCGTCTGCCTTGGTGGAGCCCACTAGTGCACTCTCGGGGCCCGTCGATCGGTTCACTCTTTTCGCGGACCCCCCTGTTTCTTCATTGCCATAGGCCATTCAGGACCGGACCGTGGTTGGGATGAGTTGAGGACTGGGTTACCAGATCGAAACATGGGTATCGAGTCAGGTACAGTACCTGAGCAAAGTCCGATAAGAAGGAAAAAGCAGAGACTAGTCACTGTGAATGTGATATCATGGTGGCCATCAGTGCAAGTATGGAGGAAGTGGAGAGAAAAAGAAAATATACGTGGAAGTAGTGTCGATCGTATCATCGTGCAGGAAGAAAAAAGTGGGAGTGGCCCAGTTGGTCACCACCTCGTGCGGGCTGCACGCCTCCCCGCCTCAGGGGGTAAACTAAGGAGAGACTAGAGTCATGTACTACTAATGATGATCTCGTTGACCTCGTGGGCTATACAAGATTACAGAGTTGATGTATGTACGGTATTCTGATCTTTCTGTAGAATGAAAAATAAGTCCTACGATTAAGTTCCAATAGAGGATGTTTTCTTTTTCATCTGATACACTTTGTACACAGCTCCATAAAATGATAAATAATTCTTCGGTAGTCAATGCCCGAAATCATCCCAGCGCGAGTCTCCACCTAAGAAAGTCATATTTATTGTAAACTCCATTATTTTCATTTTATTCTCCCACTAATTCCATTTGACGCCATTAACCTCCATTGGCTCCATTTCAATTTGGACTCCTGACCCCAGTCTCTCTCTCTCTGTCTCACTCTCACTCTTTGACTCTTCCCTTTACCCAAATCTTCCTCCCAGCAACTCTCGACTCATCCCTCCTTACCACCCCTACTATTCCTACGACATTTGTTTCAGGGATGTTCAAATCACGGACGGCATGATCACTCGCTTTTGCGCCGGTCCATATGGGTACGTGGGAAAATCCCCTTCCTTGCTTAACCCGGTCAGTCGGGGGCCAAAGACATTGCCCTGCCTGCATAGCGGCCCCAAAAAGAGAGCGTGGTACGAGCTAGAGGCAAAGGCAACAATGCCAACTATCAAAAGATCCCTAAAAATAAAGGGCAAAGGGGCCGCAATGGGCGCAAGGCCCCCAAAATGATCACTTTACCCCCCTCGTTCTGCAATGTCAGCTCTCACGACAGGAAGAATCTGTGTCAGGCTGACCATGCGCTGGAAGTACAGGATGGTTTAGAGATTTTGATTCGACCTAGTCCTGCTTCTGCGACTCCGTTCCCATACCCTTCAGATCGAGGGTCACGAAAACCCCGGAAGCTCCGAGGCCAAAGAAAAGATTAACAAAGAAACATTCTCAACCAACAGTCGAATGAGCAATAGTCCAGTTATCCAACAGAAACCCTCCCCAGGGACCAGGGTGTCCGATTCCCCCGCGATGCAATCTTACAGAGGATCCGATTTCCTGGAGGCCGGGACCTTGTCCCGCTCTCGTAGCTCTCGTAGCACCAGTCTCTCCAGTGACTCGCAACACCCCCGAGTCAACCTCATGTCGCCTCCCTTGGTTCGCCCGCCGCCTGCATTCATCTCGTCCTCCGCTGCCTCGGAGATCATCACCTCCGACCAAGAATTCAACGCCGCTGATTTTGCTCCCGAGGATGAGGAGACGGGGGCCAGTGCAAATGCGCTGGTTACGCCTGCCGCGCTCTCTCTGCTGAATGGGTTCCTCGACAACCTCCTCTTCAATATCCTGGCCGGATCCAAATCGACCCAACTCGCCGCCATTCGACCCGCTCTTGCCGATGTGCTGAAGCCGCGACTGGCCTCGGAAGTGGTGGCTACGGCCGACGAGGAGTTGAGCGAATACATGGGAGGAGCAGAGGACGAGCAGACCGAGTTTCGAGGCGGTCATGAACCGGGCGGCGATTTCGATCTCGTTCGCTCATGGAAGTTGACGCGTCTGCGTTGTATGGTATACACCCGGCTGGGTGATATGGAAGAGGAGGATGAGGACGAATTTATTGCGCAGGAGGGCCTCGGGGATACCGACGGAGCGCCTCGCAGGTTCACGAGCCATGTCGACAACATTACGCCCGCGGCGGCCATCTTCCTGACTTCGATTATTGAGCACATCGGCGAGCGAGCGCTCGTGATTGCCGGCGAGACGGCGCGATCCCGACTATCGGCGAAACTCAACGATGGACAGGACGACGAGACCGACGAGGATGAGGATCGCAAGCGAATCGATCGACTCGTTGTGGAGGATCTGGATATGGAGAAATTGGCTTTGAATGCGACTCTCGGGCGATTGTGGCGTACATGGAGGAAGCGCAGACGCAACACCACTCTTTCGCGGACACTATCGCGTGAATCCTTCCGCCGCCGTGGACAACAGAGCTTGGTGAACAGCCGGAAAAGCAGCGTTGTGACCATCGAGGAGCCCATGACTCCTCAGGAACCGCTGCCTGAGGAGCTTCCTGTCCCGATTGACCCTGCCGCCGTTCCTCTGCCCATTGGCGATTATGATGTTCAGGAGATTGAGGTTCCCGGTTTTTCTGCCGAGTTGGAGGGTGAGGTTCAGACCATGGAGGCCGTTGTGGCGCACAAGGTGCGACCGCGCAGTCTCATGGTCTTTTCATCCCCATCCCTAGCACCCAAATCCCCTGGGCCAACGGGCTCACCCGTAAGTGCTGGTGCCATTGACAATAAAAGTCTCCGCCATGCCCGCTCCAGGTCCTTGCCCAATGCGGCGGCTAGCCCACCGCGCCAGACCTCCAAGCAGGCTGAGCCGCCTACCCCAGCAGACCAGCCGTCTCCCCGATCGTCCGAGGAGAAGAAGCAGCTCGAGACCATGTATGAGGATGACGAATCGGCGGAGTTCGTGGACGCTGCAGAGACCGCCCCTGGCACCGCGATCACCACGTCACACGAGGAGGTCTTAGAGCAGTCTGCGGCAGAATCTGCAGAGAAAGACAGAATGTCCGTAGTACAGGAGGAAGAAGAGGAACAGCCAGCCCCGGCTGCTGTATTTGCTGCAGGCCCTCCTGTCAACGAGACTGTCGCGTCCTTGCGGTCCTGGGAGGACGAGGAGGCTGCGACCGATCACAGCGCTCGCGTTTCGGTCGCATCCCTAGATGATCGCCCTGCCAAGGAGCCGGAAGTGATTGAGGGACAAGGATTGTGCGAGAAGCCCAAATTGACGTCTACAATTCATCGACCAAGGCGGAAAACCAGCAAGGATCCTGCCATCCTTAATGCAAAGCCGATCATTGAAGAGACTAATGAGGCCAACTCACAATCCGTCGGCGTAAACCCGCCAGCCACGCAAGGGGCTGACACCACACCCACACCATCTGGCGCCACCATCGAGGCTATCAATTCTCCTCGCGATGCCAACAATGCCGAAGATCGCGATCAGCATATATCAGTCATGACTTCCACGCCTGCGACCGCCCCTGTTAGCGACGAATTGACGCCCGAGAAGCCTGCCGAGACGATTTTCGAAGAATCTCACGATCCTACCGAATCCACTGAGCCCACGCCTGAAGAACCTGCTGTTCAAGAGTCGTTTTATGTTCCCGAGTCTCCTCGCCCGGCATCTGCTACAGGTAGCGAACGATCGCAACGGTCCCGGCGCCACAAGCCCAGTCCACTCGTGGTCACACCAACCAATCGCACGTCCCCGCAACTTGAGCAACGAGCAGCTGTCCAGCGCATGCCTCGTCCCAACACCTCAATTTCATCTACGGTTCAGCCCAAACCTCGTCGCTCAGACAGTGTGAGCAGCGCTCGCGAAAAGCGTCCGCTCACCGCTGGCTCCACTACATCTCAAGTGTCCAGCAAGCTAAAGGGTCTCATGATTCGCCCTCCAGGCGAGTCCCCGTCGCTGCGTCTGCGTAGCTCGTCCGAAACAAGCCGAGCCTCTGGCAGTGCTGGCTCTGTGGAGAATGACGCTACCGACCTGGACAAGTTGATCAACAGCGACGAGACTATCCATTTCACTCTGACACCTCGGAGCGTGCGGGAGATGAATTTCCCAGATATTCCTCGACAAATTCCCCGATCAGACACTACGGACACGACCGATCTTGCCGACTTTATCAAGAATACTGGCCCGCCTGGAGAGGAACCTCGACGGATTTCTGTGTCTTCAAAACACACCCTTGATGCCAATGCTCTCGGACGCACCAAGTCGATCGAATCTCCGAAGCATATCCCGATCACTTCTCGTATGGTTTTACCGCCAAAGTCTCCTGCACGAGAAGTTGCCCGTACTGCGAGTACCCCGACTTCGATCCGCGATATGGCTACCGAGACCAAGAGATCCACCGGTTCTATCAGCTCGCCTGTCCAAGCTAGCTCCCCCGTTCGCCCTCCATCCAGCTTCTCCACCCACACCAACAACACCAGTCGGTCCAACCCGAACCGCCCCCGTCTCCAGGCCCGTCCTGCCGAGACTCGAGGCTCACAAACCTCGGAATTGATCGATTTCATTCGCGAGGGCCCACCACAGCCAGGCGCGCACCGTATTCCTCGTACGGTTGCACCGTTCCGCAACACCATTGACTCGGATGATATTCAATTTGACCCTACACACGAAAGGGACCATGGCAGCTCCTTCGCCAGTACCCGGGATGGCTCGACGCCCAACAAGTCCTTGACTTCCCTTGGCTCACGGACCGGCCTGCTGGAATCGAGCAACCGTACGAATGGCTATAGCAAGGCTGCCCCCACAAGCGCTGCGATGGAAGACGATGACCGCCCTATTCCTGTTCGCAGACAACGCCGCATCCCAGGCCAGGCACCGGACCCGTACGCCATTGACGACGACGACGATGACGATCTCCTGGAAGAGCTCATCAACGCCAAGCCGCCGAAGCGAGAGGAAGAAAGTCTGATCGACTTCCTACGCAGCGCACCTCCACCAGACTTTGAGCAAGCGCAACCCCAGCCGCTGAATGTCTCCATTCCCTCTACCAAAACCAATGGCATGGGCATGAAGTCCCGACTCATGCGTAGCTCGACCTCGGCCGACAAAGGTCCCTCCTCCAAGATGTCTATCAGCTCCCTCCGCTCGCAGAGCACTCTCAACTCTCAACACCAGCAGTCATCCAACTACTCTTACAAGGTTGGCATGGCGCGTAATCCGGGTATCATGCCCTCCACGACCAATCGACAAACGGAAACGTCCGCCCTTGCAGACTTCCTCCGTAACACCGGTCCTCCCGAGCCACCAGCCGGGCGTGATCTAGGTGCCAAGGGCAAGGAAGGCGGTCTCTCCCGCTTCTTCGTGCGTCGCAAGAAGCTCGAGGTTTAATCTCAAGACCTATGCTTCACTTCCAACTACATACTCCAACTCAACCTCACCTAATTCAAGTCATTCACTTGCCCACATTCGATGTCATGCTCTGAGCGTTTCAACTTATCTAACGATCCACATACTCTCATGTCCATCGTTTTGCCTGATCATTATCATTATTTTCATCCTTCCATCTCTCTTTATTCATATTCATCATCATCAACCTTACCGTCCACACCCTTGACGCTACCATTTCTTGTATAGAGCTTTACGTCCTGTGACATTTTCATTTTTCTTTTCTTACTCTATTTCTATTTCGTGGCTATGGCCAGGCGGCTCTTTCCTTTCGAAACTATTCTTATGGAAGTTACATCACATCTCCTTTTCGTCATAACTGAACTTGACCCTCGTCTCTCCATGTTTTCCTTTTTTTCTTATTTTTTTTCATTGGTTGGATGATATTCGATATCTTTCGCCGGACTGGACTGAACGACTAATACGGACAGCTTTTTCCTTTTATCTTATCTTTCTCTTGAGATCGGGTTATCTGACTTGAACGGATCTCTTTGGTTTCTATTTCTATCTTTTTCAGTTTTATTTTCTTTCTGTGATCCCTTGCGAGATACCATGTTTGGAGAACTTGTGTGTGCCTGTATCTAAAACTCTATTCTTGATGCTTCGGAAATCATTACTTTTTCTTCTGGATTGATCTTCTAGTAAATTGGTGTCTAGGTACTACTATCAGTGGATCTGAGTAGTTGTTGGACACTCCGTCTTCTTTCTGACACTGAGTGGAAAGTTCGATCTAAATGTTGTTGTAGGACTGCCTTGCCGAAGAATACACCCCGAGGTCGCGAGAAATCCACGTTTCAACAGGATTCAAGTCCATTGAGGCAGTATGTAAGAAAAGAACTCTTCAGTTCACAAAAGCCACTCTCTATCTTATTAACCGCAGCCAATTCCCTAAAGAGTAAAAGATAGATTGCATATTTGATCGTTGTCTAATCGTTAGTATACTTCGCGCGGATGTGCCTGGCCCGGAACATTGTTGATCCCGCCAAGTCCCCTTACCAGCTGGCATCAACAGCTCTCCTGTTTACCACCGACCATCCCGCCAACCATGGGTTCCTCTCCATTCACCATGAGGTCGTTCCTCGCTCTTTTCCTCCTCGTGGTGCAACTCGCCTCTGCCCTCAAGTTCGATCTCGCCGCCACCTCGGGCAAGACTGAGCGATGCATCCGCAACTTCGTCTCGAAGGACCAGCTGGTCGTGGTGACGGCCATTGTCAGCGGCCAGAAGGGTGATGGACAGCGGGTTAACATGCACGTACGTACTACACTTGTTGTGAAGTGATGAGGGTCATTTTCGTGATATGAGGAGGGGTTGGTGAAGTTGGTGACGTGCGGGACACGGTGGCTAACAGGCCCGGCGCGATACAGATCAAGGATGCGATGGGCAATGACCATGGTCGTCCCAGGGATATTGTCGGCGAGGTGCGCCAGGCTTTTACTTCGACTGCTGACACCGCTTTCGATGTGTGTCTCGACAACCAGCTCGTCGGTCGCAGTAAGTCTCTCCCTGCACGCGAGTTGCCATGTATACATACACCCGTCCTCGCCGCCACATAACTAATCCAATTGTCATATGTAGACGCTGTCGCCAATCCCTCTCGTGAAATCGACCTCGATGTCGAGATCGGCGCCGACGCCCGCGACTGGTCCTCCATCCAAGCGCAAGAGAAGCTCAAGCCCGTCGAGACCGACCTCCGCCGCATCGAGGAGATGGTCGCAGACATCGTCACAGAGATGGACTACCTCCGCGCGCGTGAGCAGCGTCTCCGTGATACCAACGAGAGCACCAACGAGCGAGTGAAGTGGTTCGCGTTCGGTACCATGGGCATGCTCGTTGGTCTGGGAGCTTGGCAGGTTGTCTACCTGCGGGCTTACTTCCGGTCCAAGCATCTCATCTAAAGCAAAAATTTTCGGAATACTGCTTTCTTCTTCTTTTTCTGCTATGTTAGCTTGCGTGAGGGGGCTGATGAGTTGCATACATGATTCGGATGGCTCCGCTTTTCTACTTGTTCGATCTTGGATTGGAGGTGCTGTTGCATGGGGGGTCTCGCTTTGCTGGCTGGTTTTGGCCTTTCCCTTGTCTTTAGGCATTTCTGTTCCAATAGTCATGACCTCAATGATATAAAATACATGCCCTGCTTCCGCGGAGGTTTAATCAATTATCTTTGTCTGGATCTGAGTAGATTGTTGTTAATGACAAAAAAGAATTCAGCGTCAATTTGACTCTAACTCGGGCGCACTATAATTGCATGGCCTATCTTTGCCATTGAACGACTCGATAGCCAATTCAATGCTCGTCCACTGGATATTTCCTCCGCAACAATGTTTATATATCCTTGGGTGGATCCGCTCTATCCATGTATTGCCCACGCATTCCAGCCGCTGTGTAATGGACAGCGATCTGGTGGAGCGGCGGACCAACAAACACTGCAAACATCGGGACATGCAGGCCTCGGGTATCTTTTTTCGGGTTCTCCAGATGATGTCAAGTCGGCATTGATAACTTTCAAGCTCATTGATACTTCACCTTGTCTTTGACTCGACTCAAATATAGCACCTAATCACAAGAGAACAAATTTAACACAATGTCTGCACCGCGCATCGTCAGCCGCTTCCTGCGGCCTGCCACGGGAGCATTCAACACGCGCTCGGCTTCGGCAATCACCCGTTCCTTCGGTACGACCGGCCTACGCTTCAAGGGCCCAGAGGACGCATACACTGGCAAGCTCGAGCACTTCACTGGTGGTCGTCAGGACCAGGGCCCTGCGAAACCCGAGTTAGAGGTGGGAGAGATGGAGGGCATTACGTTCAAGGTTGAGCCCTTGAAGCGCGCTGGCGAGGATACTACAACCATGCGAGCTCGCCTACTATGTTTGTCGCCCCCAATCCATCTATATCAATTCTTACAATTCATCCTTGTCATGAACCAAAGCTAACCATCCCACCAACCAGACCAAAGCCGCAAGCGCGGTATCCTTGAATCCGACCTTCTCCTCTCTACATTCGCCGACGTCTACCTGGGCACCATGACCCACGCCCAGCTGCAAGAATACGACCGCTTCCTGGACGAAAATGACTGGGACATCTACTACTGGGCCACCCAAGACCCGCCCTCCGAAGTCCCCGAGGCTGCACAGCCTCCTAAGGAGGACACCGTTACGGAGACGTGGAAGAACACCGGCGCTAAGAGCGGCGAGTGGGCACAGACTATTGGCGCGTTCAAGGCGGCATATCGGCCTGTGCCGTCGCGGTGGACGGACTCGGAGGTGTTGCGCTTGTTGAGGGAGCATGTGCGTGATAAGAGCGCGACGGGCTTTGAGTCTGCTAAGAATAAGAAGACTGGTGGTGGTGGTGGTTTGGGACGGATGCCTGATGTGCAGGTCTTCAACTAGGAGGGGTCTTGGGGGATGGAATGTTGATTGAGGTTTGTACGATATGATAGAGTTGTTAAGGGTGGAGTATATATGCCCGTGTATAGTTCTGTTGCATTGAACGGATTGTATTAACAAGAATGGCGATGTTTGCATTGATGGTCGTGATACGATCTTTCAACATAATTATTCTCCTATGAAATACAAAATCTTGAAGAATACTTCTGAAATTCAGACTCGAATTCTGGATCATTTTCATTAGATTGAATCAAGCTGTAATTCGGCTTGTGGTTGATAAACTGTCGTCAAATGAAAGATGATCGGCCAGATGACGGTATCTTGGAACATAGACTCGAAACTCAGAAGAGTTGCATGTCTTCTGAAAACAACAAGTATCATAATTATTGAAGTAATCAATAATGAAACCATTCAACTAGCATTAGTATTGATGCTCCGAAGTATACAAACAGCTGGACCAGTCATCCATCACATGACCTTCGCTTATGGTTAGGGCACGGCGGAACCACACAAGCTGGCAGCCAACCGGGTTTAGGGCTTGAGCGGGCACGCAGCCAACCTCCTCCCTCTGCGATTTTATCTCCCCAGCGTCAACGACCTACTCCGCCAATCCTCTCTCCTTCATCGTCTCACTCCCATCATGGCTGAGCAGTTGGTTCTTCGCGGCACCCTCGAGGGCCACAATGGCTGGGTTACCTCCCTCGCCACCTCTCTGGAGAAGTAAGAGCCAAATGCTCCAATTTTTCGCATCCAAGTTCGCACGTCTGACTTTTGATTTCGGCTTTTAGCCCCAACATGCTGCTGTCCGGTTCCCGCGACAAGACCCTGATCATCTGGAACCTTACCCGCGATGAGCAGGCTTACGGCTACCCCAAGCGCAGCCTGGAGGGCCACTCGCACATCGTTTCCGACTGTGTATGTCTTCGAATCTCACTCCCCCTGTTGATCTCGACAAGGATATTGGAAGCGTCCATTGGATGGTGGAAAGAAACGAAATCGTCGTGAAGGATCGAGAGAAATGTATGGGAGCGCTTTGGCTGACCGCGGGTCTATTATCGCATATAGGTGATCTCCTCCGACGGTGCCTACGCTCTGTCCGCCTCTTGGGACAAGTCTCTCCGCCTGTGGGAGCTCGCTACCGGCAACACCACCCGCACTTTCGTCGGCCACACCAACGACGTTCTGTCCGTCTCGTTCTCCGCCGACAACCGCCAGATCGTCTCCGGTTCCCGTGACCGCACCATCAAGCTGTGGAACACCCTCGGTGACTGCAAGTTCACCATCACCGACAAGGGCCACACCGAGTGGGTCTCCTGCGTTCGCTTCAGCCCCAACCCCCAGAACCCCGTCATCGTCTCCGCTGGCTGGGACAAGCTCGTCAAGGTACGCTACATCTCCAATTCGCCTTTCGATAGTCGAAATCCCCCCAGTTTTATCACTCCATTCCCACATGATGTTTGCATCTTTTACGTATTTGCTACTTCAGAGCCCTCGGCGGCTATGAGACAACCATTCACCCAATGCCTGATGGAATCCCAAATTCAATGCCTGTTTTTGGTCTTGAGTTTGAAGACGAGAGAAAAATTTTTCTTTGACCTGATATCACACATGAACTTGGACGAGTTTCAGTGATGCTGACAATTTTTCTCCACGATCTAGGTTTGGGAGCTCGCTTCCTGCCGCCTGCAGACCGATCACATCGGTCACACCGGCTACATCAACACCGTCACCATCTCTCCCGATGGATCCCTCTGCGCCTCCGGTGGCAAGGACGGTACCACCATGCTCTGGGACCTGAACGAGTCCAAGCACCTCTACTCCCTGCACGCCGGCGATGAGATCCACGCTCTCGTCTTCTCCCCCAACCGCTACTGGCTGTGCGCTGCCACCAGCAGCTCCATCACCATCTTCGACCTCGAGAAGAAGAGCAAGGTTGATGAGCTCAAGCCCGAGTACGTCGAGAAGGGCAAGAAGTCCCGCGACCCCGAGTGTATCTCCCTCGCCTGGTCCGCCGACGGCCAGACCCTGTTCGCCGGTTACACCGACAACAAGATCCGTGCCTGGGGTGTTATGTCTCGGGCGTAAATGGGTGTGCTGATTGGTAGTGAGCGAATGCGGAGAAAGGAGGAGGCCTCTTTTTGATCTATCGTCAGGAATCAAAAAAAAGTTCAAAACCAAAACAAGATGGGCATTGGTTTGGTTTGGGATGTATGAGCCACGAGCAATGAAGCACTCCTTGCGGTCGAGGGAAGTTTCTCGGCCTCAGGAGGTTTTCTGACATGTCTAGCTTGATTCACCGTTTAAATCGAATGTCTGGAATCTTGTGACGGTGTGTGATGTTCTAATACCACATAAGGCATCAAAATGTTTCCTATTTTTTCTTCACCCATGTTGCCATTGCGTAAATTGGGTGTGATGCACCCCGTAAAATGTTGTCGTATTGCTATGCCCTCATTGTAACGTTCATTTTGACTTCTTGGCCACGGACTCCTCCCTCGTCGTGTCCATGTACCTACGTGCCCGTGATAAAGCGGTTCCGACATGGATCTAAACTTGATCGCAAGGTTCCCCGTGGCATTGCCCCAGGCCTGTCTTAGAACCTGGCTAATTGGCGCGGACAGAGATGATCTACTGACAGGATGTCCCGCATATATATAGATTGAGGTAGGATTCTACATGATCATAATGTACACTATGCGCGGTCATGCCTAATTTTTGAGTCTCTTCAAGGCCTCGTCAGCCATAGAGACACCCTCCTCGTAACCCAAGCCCTGTGCTAGCGACTTGGCCTCCGCATAGCGCTGCTGAGCCACGTCAGGCTTATTCTGTAGTTCTGCAATTTCACCTAGATTATAAGTTGCAGCCACACAAGTCATATCACACTCCTCGTTGCGCACAGGCGGCTGGATTCGCGCAGCGACATCAATAGCTTTCTGAGCCCATTGCCGAGCAGCGTCGATAGTCTGCTCTCGCGAGGCAGTCTGCTTCTCTTGAGGACGGGGTTTTGCCGGAACCTGTGCTTGGCCCGCCATGGCGCTGGCAACACTGTTCAGCAGCACAACCTGTTTGCAAGAGGGCGAGTCGCCCTCTGTGACGCGGATCATTTCCAGTGCGCGTAGGTACAAGGGCAAGGCAAGCTCGCTGCGGTCCTTTGCGGTGTAAGTGTCCGCAAGCTCGGCCAGTGCTGTCGCAATCTCGGTGATGTTCAGCCATGCCTCGCTATCTCCTTCACCGGCTGCCCCTCCACCAACAGGCAGGCCCAACTTTTGCCGACGGTGCATTTCTTTCAGGCACAGCTCCACGGCAGCGACTTGGGCATCCTCGGCCTTCTTCTCGTCTTGGATATACTCGCTTGCGTATAACTCGGCGAGCTTCATCTCTATACCGACAACCTTCTTTAGGGCCCGGTCACGCTGCTTCGCTTCAAACTCTTGCATCTCCTTCAATTTCTTCTCTGCATCTTGCAGGTCGTCTGCATTGATCTGGGCAATCTCTGATGAGGTGTTCGTCTTCACAGGGACTTGTGCCGCCTTCGCCGCATCCCCGGGTGCAGATTCCGCCTTGCGACCTTCCTCGATCCATTTCAAGGCTTCCGTCTTCGTCCGCTCCAGCACCTCAACCGCAGGATTGACCAACCCAGACTTCTCCAGCATCATCGCGACCTGCAGCTTAATTCCCAGCACCTCATCCGAGAAAGGGTGCATACCCATCTCCGCAGCGATCCGGAGTGCCTCCTTATACGCCTTCAAAGCCTTGGGCGGGTTCAGATCGATCTCGGTATAGTACACAGCCGTGCGTAGCTGGTCGGTGACAGGCTGGGGGAACTTGTGATACTGAGGTTGGACACGAGTGACTTCCACGTAGGAGACGTATGCGAAGACGGCGATACCGCCGATCACAGAGAATATGGCTAATGGTAGCAAGACCGGGTTCTTGCGGAAAACGCCCTTGGAGGCTTCGCGGTATTTCAGGCGAATCTTCTGGCCGATGGTGAGGTGGCGGGTATGAGGGATGGTGAAGAGATTGGAATTGATATTGTTGCATCGTGGGCGCAGAGCTGGTCGGCCATTGTTGCTGTATATTGATCGTGTCCAGGGTTGGCGCTGTGCTTGTGCGAGCTTTTGAGCTTGGGCGCTGGCGCGCCGCGAGGCTGCGCGAAACATTGACTTCGTTGGTATCTATTCAATGGAAAAGGTAGGACACTTGATGATATCGAAAAGTAACAGGCGGGTCGATCGGTCGCGGGGAGGTTTATGAAGTGGTTGTTGGAGTTGGTGAAGATGGAATTGACCGCGCTCCGTTTTTCCGCTACGGCGGTCTTGGCCCAATGACGTCGCTAGGATCACTTTGTAACTCCCATCTGTTGCCTGTTCGTATTCCCCTGGAACGAAGCTCACAATTGCACATCAGTGACATTTATAGACCGAGAGGCAGTCATTCTCATCTATCCTGATTTCCTCTACCATGTGTGGACGCTACGCATTGGGCGTGGTGAGTCCTTCTGGCTGGCTTGTCCCATACCCAAAGGCGCGACTAACCGATGATCCACAGCGCTTGGCGTACATCCGACAACAGCTTCAAGAGCGAGGCATGCAAGTAGATGACGCTCCAGATGATGAAGAAGTCCGCGAAACATACAACTTTGCGCCGGGCAACTTTGGCGCAATCTACCGTGCCGACATCCCTGACCACAAGACTCGCACCGAGCAAGACACGGGGGCACGTCAAGAGCAGAATGAGAACGTCACAGAACCAGATGATCAAGATGATAAGAAAGCTGACGACACATCATCTGCTGCGCATCCCAAATACAAGCTTCAGAGTATGAAATGGGGCCTCATCCCATTCTGGACAAAGCGAAAGCCAGACTACGGTTCTATGATGCGAACAATCAATTGCCGCGATGACTCCTTAATTGAGAATTGTGGTATGTGGACGACTATGAAACAGCGCAAGCGATGTCTTGTCATTTGCCAGGGCTTCTACGAGTGGCTGAAGAAGGGGCCAGGGGGCAAAGAGAAAGTCCCCCACTTCGTTCGGCGTAAGGACGGTGATCTGATGTGTTTTGCTGGACTATGGGACTGCGTTAAATACGAAGGTAAATTTCAATCTGCTATTTTTCCTTCTTTTCTTTGGGCCTTTGGTTCAGATCTGGGATTGAGGCTAATTTGTGTTCCACAGACTCGGACGAGAAGCTGTACACGTACACCGTGATTACAACATCCTCAAACTCTTATCTGACATTCCTCCATGACAGGATGCCCGTGATCATGGACTATGGAAGTGAAGAGATGAGAACATGGCTCGATCCTAGCCGAAAGACCTGGTCGAAGGAACTGCAGTCCATTTTGAAACCTTATGAGGGCGAGCTCGAGTGCTACCCCGTCTCCAAGGAAGTTGGGAAAGTGGGCAACAATTCGCCGGATTTCATCATCCCAGTTAACAGCAAAGAAAACAAGAGCAACATTGCCAATTTCTTCGCTAATGCCAAGGCGAAAGAGACGTCTGCCAAGAAGGAACCCGGTATAAAGAATGAAAAGGATGAAGAGAAAGACGAATTCGCTGCACAAGGCACGAAGAGGGAGCATACGCCAGAAATGGCGAGTCCTGATAACGAAAGCAAAAAACAAAAGGTCCATCAACCCGGAGTCTCGCCCTCGCCGCAAAAGTCGAAAGCGCGCAGTGCTACTCATAACAAGCCGATGAGGAAGGCTGGAGGGTCCAAACCACCAGACGGATCACAGCGAATTACGAATTTTTTCAAAAAATAACTAGAAATTTCGAAGAATCAGGAGGTATCCATGGGTTGAATTGTGTTTCAAGGTTCTCTTGTAGAATAGAATAGGATGGATGTTACACCAGGCGGGTAGACCTCGGATATATATCTGAGGTGCCAAGGAGGGCTCTCCACCTCTAGACACCCCAATTAGACCCTGACTTGGAACCAAGTAACTTAAGATCCAAACCTAGTGAGCTATGGACAATATAGGAGACATTTCAAATTTATATATTCTCATAGCCTGTCGAGGCTACAATGTCATGATATTCATTGGGATGGAAGTCGGATGATACACTATTGTACAGGGAACTTCAATTGAAGCAGGTAGGTATGGAAGAGCAGCTTATTGGTTGTCCAATTCCCGAAGGCGCTGGACAAGCTTCTCTCTGAGGAAGGGGGTCAGTCCCAAACTATCTCACAAATTAGCAACCCCTAATATAATCACAGAGCCCTTAACATGTCCTGAGACAGACTTACATTCCATCTCGAGTGACCATTCTGTAGGTGCCTGCAATGGATACGGTCAGCTTGAAAGAACGTTGGGAGTTAACGCCAGGAGCTATTCGCAACATACCACTACTTTGGTATTTGCCGTCGCCGCCAACAAATTGACCATGCCCATCAACCTCGAGACTGCCAAAGATATCCTCGGGCCTGGACAAAGATTAGCTGATATCTTATCCTCGCTGACCACATCAGTGCCGTACCATGCAATTCGTCCAAACTCGGGGGTCGTCTGTTGTCTGAAATATGAATCCAACCGCCCTTGCCAGCACCACCAGCACCGCCCTGACCGCTAGCTCCACCGCTAGAGTCACCTGCTTCAGTGCGCCTTCTGTTTCGTTGGTTGGGCATCAGGACACCGCCAGTGTAGAGGTTCGCTCCTGCTGTTGAAACCATGACCTGCGCTTGAGACTGTGCGTCTGGATCTTCATGTGCATGTTTGGCAAAGACTTCTTGAAGAATGCCAAGGAACTTGGGGTTCTCTCTGAGTGAGTCTGGCGTAGGCGGTAATTGACTGGTGACTCCAATAGCAAGATCTGGATTGACGGGCTCGGAAGACAGAAGCGATAGTATATGAGAGTTATTTGATCCTTGGTTCGGGAACACATACTGTTTCTTGATTAGCATGTAATAAAGGTGTGTTGATACTTTTGGGGATTTACATACGATGTGAGGGTTGCCCTCAAGTGAAGACACAAAGCGAGCCTGTGTCCACCGGGGAATTCTCAAGGCCTGTCGGCCAATTGACCTAGTTGCAAACATTTTTCTATCTCTGAAAGGCCCTAGAGTCTTGCAGGAAATTCGGAATTCGAACAAGTGAGGTTCCTAGAGCTCCGAAGCTCCGTCATTCGGTCATCGTGCAGATCAAGGCGGCCTAGAAGGCGGTGAGTACGGACTTCTCCAAAAACCGTTCACGTGAGAGGCCTTGTTGTTGGATGTCAACTTCAAGGCGACTTGACGACCTTAAGGCAGCTTTGCGCCTGTCCATTGCAGTGTTAGTGACGGTTGGGGCTGAGTGAGGCGGCTGCTGGTCAATGCCAAAGTTCGATTCACAAGTCTTCCCGACCATCCTCACACGGTGTACTCCTGAAGCTAGCACTTGCGCATGATTGATTGGCTGTTTGCGCATCCAAGGATACCCAAGTCCAATTGCATACCCCACTCTGGGATTATTAGTATCCTCCAGATTTAGATACCTTCGTTCATTATCGACACACCCTGTCCCTGCTTTGCGACTCTGACCATGGCAACTCCATCAGCCAAACCCGGCGCAACGCCAACTCATCTCACCTCTTCTCCACATCCAACCTCCGCACCCCTGCGATCAATCGCTCATAAATCACCCTCAACACGAACCCCGTCGGCCTCGGGACCTGGCCATGCAACACACCTCAGCGTATCTTCACATCAGTATGCCACACCTCTTGCTGTGACAAGCGCCGTTGACGACACGGTCAATTTCAGCTCCCCATCAGCACTTCTCGCACTCGGCGGTTACACTGGTATCAGCCCCTCAGCTGTAGTTCACGACGGCCTTGTCGGACCCAGCATGAACGAGAACGATATCCAGACGTTGGGGATGCAGGGCGTCAAGCTTGGCGGGGTGGGGCGCGATAACGACGAGGAACAGAAGCACCGGATTCAGGAAGTGGTCCAGTGCCTTCGAGCGCGCGTCGCGGGCAGAGGTGTATCCCGGGAAGGAATTGAACGACTAAGTCGACTCGAGGGATTCGAGTCGATCTGGCAAGACAATGATATCAATATTGCCGGAAATTTTGTCGACTTGGAAATCGAATTCTACGCTAGTCACGATGTTGTCAAAAATGTTAGCTTGCGATATGCGACCCCGGAGTGTACAGAAGGCGAGCGTCGAGATGAAGCTTCTGCGGTTCTGAAGCGGAATCTTGCACAGCCGCTTGAGGACGTCGATCACGGGAGATGGAGATCCCTTCAAGGGTTCCATGAGAATCTACACTGGCTCGCAAAGCTCGACAAGCTCAGTCAAGAGGTCAACTGTTTCGAAGCTCTAGAAGGCCTGGAGGAGAATCTCAAGCGGGTTTGGTCAGAAGAAGGAAAGAGCGGGAAATACGGCGGCGACTACGAGCACCTCTGTGCAGGAGTCGTTGGACGCCCAAGCATGCACAAGGGAACCCGAATTGGTCTCGGTCTGGAATACTTTGTCGAACAGGCCAAGGTCTTGGACGCCAAGCAGAAGAAGATCTCACCCGATGCGATGGCAGTCGATCAATCCCAACACCAAAATGAGTCAGATGAACAGCAGAAGATATGGACCGTTATGATCGAATGTGAAGAGGGGTATCCATCCCTCCGCATTTCGAAAGAATGGCTAGGAACCGAAGTCTTGACCAGCAGCCAAAACGGCGACTCGGCACCCGGCCTCGGCCCTACAGAGACAGTGAACTGGCTCGACCCTCCTCAGACCATGCGATTATCTCATGGTAATCACCCTGACCCAATGGCTCTGGATTCTAGTATGCTGGAATCGACACCTCCAAACCGACGTTTCGTTGCGAAGCTTGACCCTCCTCTTGAGGTTCCCATTTTTGCAGCGTCCGAGATCTACCGCCATCTGGGAATGCAGCTACCACAAGAGTTTAAGATGGTAACGTATGACAATCTTCTGACCTCGGAAGCGTCACAATTAGATTCTACACCGCAGCCTGGCCGGAAGAAGCGCCGGATGTCGGTACAGACCTTTGATTCGACCGGCACAGCCTGCACGAATTATCACAACTACACTTTCCAAGCATTCGAGTCTGTTGCTGGCCGCACGATCCGTGAACTCCCATTCTCCCACCCTCGACAAATCGCCGATATTCTTCCAGTATGCATGCCTCCTCTTTTGAGCTTATTTACAGTACTAACGGAGTTCAGTTCTTCCGTCAATATGCTTTGTTGGCAAATTTGATACGAAAAATCACTGGTAGCTCTACTAAGAGTAAGGATGATAAGCGAGAACCTTCAAATAGGGCATCGGTCGCCCCCTCTGTTCCCCCCAGCCAAGAGCTATCCTTTTCGGGTCAAAGTGACATTATCATGCTCAGCAACGACGACCCCAATGAGGAGAAGTTGAGTGCCCTACTTGGTGATGGTTTCTCAACCGCCTTCGCAACTGTCGCTTCCAATGCTTCTCCATTCCACAGCGAGGATTATTCGGACGACGTCAGGGTGGACGTGACTCTACGAACACAAATTGGCCAAGCGCCGGCCCTGATGCTTCTTGTCACAGACTCCAGTAACAACGTGGAGAATGCTGAGCGTGAGCCAGTGCAAGTATCGATCTGTTTTGAGGTTGGCCTCAACGGGCGTATTTCGATCGTTGATATGGCCGAGCTGAAAGGGCAAGGTGGTGACGGCGTCGATACAGAGATGCAAGGGACAGACGCCGCTGGGCCGAAACTGCAGGATATGCATGAGAAGATCGCCAGGGTTCTGGAGATCTCGCAGGACCTGGGGATCCTGGTCGAGTGGGTCCTGCGTTGGCTGCGGCAGCGGGCCGGCAGCGGGTGAGGCTGACCAGCCGAGGATTCCGGGACAGGAGGGTGTCTTGAATCTAGGCCTAGATACCCTTGCTAGTTCTTTGACCATGTGTTACGTTCTCAGTCATTGCTGGGCTGGGCTGGACCTGCGAGCAGCCGCTGCTCAGACTTTCGGCATGGTGAGAAACATCCTGCCAGGACACTGGCGAAAGTTTAGCGACAATCGACTCGACTGCAAGGCCGAAACTATGACGAAGCGTACATGCCCGCATTGAATACCCCAAACAATCGTGGAATTCGCGAAATGCGTCTCATGCGGGTCTGCGACTAGCTTTCCGACCCCTGCAGGAAGGTTATCCCAACACCCAAAGCCATGCCGTGTCATATGCGAAATTTCGCGGTATGCAGTGAGATGCCTCTCAATTCGAGCAATATGCAGGGGTTTATGACGAGGATATTGATACTGTCTCGAGCAGTACAGTATACTTTCGAGCCATGAAATGATGAAATTCAAAATACCCCAGTCAATCCAGGTCCCAAACTCTACCCGTAGCCCGTAGATCATGCATGACGTAGGTATACAAGAGCAACACCACATCATTATTCTCCTCAACTGGGAAGAGGCAACGTGACGACTTTCCATCCATTGAGCCTAGGCTGAATAGCCTCCAGGCCATTCTTTTTGGGCTTGATCCCCGTAGATCTTACTACCCCAGGGTGGCGACGACATCATATGGCATCGTCATCATCATCATTATCGCTCGTAGAACCGTTCATCAGATAAGCGCCTGTTTTCTTCAGTATCATTACGTCGCCCCCTTGCAGCTGTATTAAAGATCACAGCGAAAGTGACGATCGCGGGGAGAGTTCATGAGAGACCAGAAACCGAACCCGACATCAAGTATACTTTTGTCTTATACGAGGTATATCCCACCGTACACCTCCCACAGTAATAACCCAGCCCGCCAGATGCGCGTGAAATAAAAAATCGCAAAGCAATCTGCTGACCAAATAGACCCTTCCAGCTTTTAGAACTACGAGGCATTATCAATATCTGAAGGTCTAGTCCCCCCACTACTTGAGGCTTTTGTGATAACCTAAGGTAGGAGGGGCCCAGCGTGCGTCGGATGACATCGTTAGCCTGTTCCTGTTATCAGTGGGACTCCGCCGTAAAGCGCGGTGCCTGGGAAACGCAGCCCCTCTTTCTTCCGCCAAAAGTTCGGTGAAGCATTGTGGAGGATGGAAAGTTATTACTTTTGCGAGTGTGATGTGCAAATGCCTCATATAACTCAGCTGAAAAGCAAAGTATAGCTCTGGCCCTGGTTGTTGTAGAGATGCGTCAAAGAGGTGGTAAGCATGCACTTCGGTGTGGTATACTCCGTCGCTGTAATAGAGTTAGACCTATGATGAATTAATTCCATACATACGGTATTGTACAGCGTACAGCGTGATGGTTCTCTTGGAGGGGGCAATCAGTTTCTAGTCAGCGCAGTGTGTCAAGAGTGTTCTCCACCAATCAGAGGGCGATGATAAGAAATTCGGGCTGCTGTCGATCGCAGCCGCGGACCTTTCGTGATTGAACCATTACCATTCCGTGTTTTCTGGTTTGACCACGGTTTTTTTTTTCTCTGGGTCTAATTTCAATATCCATGTCTGTTTGATAATACAGTTGAATTGTCGGACATTGGACCGATTGATTTGGTTCTCTTTTGACTGCCTTCATTAGGGCTGTATAACCATTAAAAGTTACATACATACTAGTAGTACATGCATATGCCGGATGAACGTAAGCCCCGTATGGAACCCGGGTCTCGACTCGGCTGAAACTCGCTGCGAACCTGCGATGACCAACGGGCCCCACCGTGAATCATGTTTCACTGGCCAGCTGCTATTCTTGTGTCGCGGCTCTCGCCTGTGAGTGTGTAGAAATAGTATCGGGCTGTGCTACTTCGGAGTCGCCTACCGAGAGACATAGTGTAGTAGGCTGGGGTATACTTGGTATCTTGTAGCACGGAGCTATGAATAGTATACATTATTATTCTAGTATTATAGTTCATCTTCGAACTATACAACGTAGGTATTCGACTGTACGAAACATTCGTCCTCGACAGGGCTGAAGATCGGAGAATCATGTCCCTTTTCCTCAGCCACCCAGTCGCAGCCCGATTCCTAAAACCCCCGACTTTTCTACATTTGCTCGAGAAAAGCCGGGGGAAGCAGATCTCGTCGCCACTTTTTCTGATGGCCAATTTTCTGGAGAATCCCTGTTCCCCAGAGTACGCCTAACCTTCTTGACGTTTGTGTGAATTTGACTTGAGATCTTCTATCCTATACATACCCATAACTACTCGTCTAAAAGTGTGAAAATAGCCTATACTATTACTCTATGCGCGATTTCCAATCTTACATAGCCGAGTAAAACAAAAACAACACCCACAGATAACAAATTAAAAAGATAACGCACAACATAATATTTCCCAAATGGAAAAACATTGAAAATTCCAACCCTTCACGCGACTAATCGTGACCGATCATACACCGTCGTACTGAAAAGCCCGACGCCAGCCCCAAACCTTTGGCCGGTGTCGGGGCGGTTCCAGCGGCTTGGCCAGAGCAGATTGGGTATGATTGGTGTGTCGGGGGGGGGGGGGCGGTTTCGAGAACGTTTTGCCACGCTCCACCTATTCATCGGCGAGTTTCGCGGGTCCGTCGTCTCGAGACGGTGGCTAGGGAGGAGTCTGAGGAGTCCTGTGTCTCCAGTTGGTCTCCAGAAGAGTCTCCAGTGGGCGGATCGTTAGTTTACGGTGTAAGTTACTGTTTCGCGGTTCCTATTGTGTGTGTGGGAATTACATGTATAGTGTATACTGTATTCCCCGATCTCTGTCACTACAGTATGTGTGTATAGTCATTGTATATGGAGATTAGATCAGATCTATATACTTAAAGTGTGGACCACCAGCATGTATCTATAGACAGATACTTGTCCATTGCTGCAGGTACACTAGGTCGAGTCCGCTTTTTCTTTCCTAGCGACATCTCAACGGCCACGGCACCACCGACTGATAGGCGGTCGAGACTGGATTGTTCACCTCCGAGGAAAGAGAGAGATCTTACCGGCCACGCATGCCACGCGGGCAAATAGCGCCGTGTCAAAGGGGAAGGAAGGGCTCTGATAACGGATCGCGCAAGGGCCATTAGCACTGCTGTCGGGTTCCCATCTCAGGTACATACCCGATGAGTAGTGCGGAGGAGTTCGATCATGTCGCACACATCTCCGACATGGGATCGTTTCTCCTTGTGTCTTGTTTAGGGTTGTCCGGTGAATGTCGAGAGGATGCGAATTACCTTTTCGACGATGTGATTACCTTCTACGAACTACAAGCTTTGCAAGGAAGAGATCGTTGCTTATTCGATTTCGGTGTAGCTGCAGTTCTAGAACAGAGCCCGTCGCATAGATCATAGTCAGGTGGTGTGTGCCAGGTCTTATGTAGACTTACTAGACACTACACTATCATCCCGGGCCTTGCAGCTGATATGCGCCAGGACTAAGGAGATCCTGGTGTCGGTTGGTAAGATGAATTAGCAACTTAATTTCCTACCCGCTATCTGTGCATGTCGACTCCGTATGTACAGGGGTACTATCCTTGAAGGTTCAAGGCGGGTGGTTTCTCCGTCGTCGCGAAAATGACATCTGATCGCCACGGGCGTGAACGGAGTGAGTCCCGGGGAGATCCCTCCCCCGGACTTTTCCCGCGTCTGGCGAGTGGACAGCGACCGGGGAAAGAGGGACAGTAGTGGACGAGGTACAAACGAGATTCGAGGAACACCAGATTCAAAGCCAGATCTAGGAGGTCGAAGCGTTACAGAGAAAGAAGTTGAACTAGGGTAGTGTAGTAGTTTATCCAATTGATATCGGTTGATTTGGAAGGTGTGGCAGGAGGCGTTTTCGCAGCTTATCGGCCCAACGAGAGATGAGAGGTTGATCATATTACTGGGCCTTATTACGGAGAATCTGTCAGCTGATTGGGCCGCGGAGAATGAGGGCGGTTATCACGACAAAATTTTTAAAACGGCAGGAGGAGAGAAGAAGCAAAGAAGGCGGATGGCTGAATTACTACATGTACTCCGTACAGTCAGTTATGTATGTGCTTTAGTTGTGGTGATGAGTTTTGGGTGGCGATCTAACGATGTTTTCTGTTGTATTGATATTACAGCTTTTCGCTATGCGATGTATACTGGATACATGTTGAACTGTAATATTATAGCCGAGTATGGAAGAATGCGGAGGTCGATCGGGCGACGATGTAATTTAGAATGTGACGAACATCAATGAAGCATGACTACCTAATACCGAGCACGGGTATGAATAATAGAATGAATCTAGAAGGCTAAAAGGCATGTGCCAGCCCTAATAGTATAATTTGTTAGGTAGATCAGTGACGAAGTTGGAAAGTTCTCGGTTACGACCGGTTTCGCAGTCGTTGTATGGTTTGTATGATGCGGCGATGATGACACGGAAGGGAAACTGGGTGGCGTTTGGAGATGAACATGGACATGAACATCGGTAGATGAGGGTTGAGTTTTTCCGGACCAGCGCTTGACTCGGGTGTATCGTTTTGAATGAGAATATAGAAAAGGAAAAGCAATCTGATTCACGAGGACACTTAGAAGAAAAAAAAGGATTGTTTGCGTGATTTTTTTGGTACTATTGTTGTAGAGGATGAAGTGTTTCCTCAATGACCCCGGTGTCGGGCATGAGAATGTTAGTAGATCTATGAGGCACTTTTTCGCATACACGAAATTCCAGAATACAGTATACAAGTGTTTAACTAGGGTTCGCTGGTAAGATATCAGGTGTAAATGTGTGTAATAACCATACCGCTAAACCTAAACAGGCGTGGCTGATCCACGGCTTCCTCATTTTTTCATTTTTCATTTTAATTCCTTTCCTAATCGTTCCTTTTTTCCCTTTCCTTAATGGAAGTGGACTCCACTTGGACTTTCCCCCCCTCCTCCTCCCAAAAAATCCAAAAAAGACTCCTGCTGTACGCGGGCGTGACTAAATTTAAATCTTTATCTGGCCCTCCTGGTTTCCCCCCACCATCTAAAAACTCACCCTCTTCCCCTCCCTTCTTGCGATTTCCCATCCATCGCGTCTTTCTTCACTCTCTTCCTTCGGGAATATCTTGTCCTTTCTTCCATCTGTTATTGTTGGTTCCTGCTTGCTTGCAAGCCCACACCTGGTTTTCAACCTCACACATACCCCATAGTCATTCATTATGGTACGTTCTTTCCCATTGCCGTGACTCGTTCCCGGCTTCGTTGCTGGGTGACTCACTTTTTCGCCGCTGGACTCCCAACAACACCAATTTGCAACGACAATGAGTTTTTACAGAGTGCTAACTGATTCGTTTCTTCTGGATTATAGGCTGCCGATTCAACTGTCGTCTCCAACACGGAGAATGTGCGTTTGATTCTCGATGCATTGGATTTCCACAATGGCCGTTGAGCCAGAGAGGAAATACATATACTGACTTCCCATGGGGTCGAACAGCTCTTGAAGTACATGTCCCTCGACCAGCGCGGTCGTGTGATGGCCGAGTACGTCTGGATTGATTCCTGCGGTGGCACTCGCTCTAAGACCAAGGTATGCCGGCATCATCTTTTCTTTGCTTGCCTTTTTCGGGAAACTCTTGCAACTCCTCTGGTTTCCCCGGAGAATGCCCTATCTCCTTCTTTGCTTTTGCTGTGATGGTGGGATGAGTTGCCCCGTGCGTATCAGCCATGGGCCGATAAGCCCTGTGCACGGAGTTTTTACTTCTTTCGATCACCACACGCGAGGACCCTGCAACCATCCGCATCACGTGAGAGAGAGAGAGAGAGAGAGAGAGAGAGAAAGGCATTGGGGAAGAAGGATTGCTTGAATTGTCAAGACATCATTGCTAACATCACCCGTCTCTTCCCCATCTAGACCCTCTCCAAGCCCGTTTCCTCCGTTGAGGAGCTCCCCGAGTGGAACTTCGACGGTTCCTCCACTGGCCAGGCCCCCGGTGACAACTCCGATGTCTACCTCCGCCCCGTCGCCATCTTCCCCGACCCCTTCCGCCAGGGTGACAACATCCTCGTTCTCTGCGAGACCTGGGATTCCGATGGAAGCCCCAACAAGTTCAACTACCGTCACGATGCCGCCCGCCTGATGGAGACCCACGCCAAGGAGGAGTTCTGGTTCGGCCTCGAGCAGGAGTACACTCTCCTCGGCACTGATGGCTGGCCCTACGGCTGGCCCCGTGGTGGTTTCCCCGGTGCTCAGGGTCCTTACTACTGTGGTGTCGGTACCGGCAAGGTCTACTGCCGTGACATCGTCGAGGCTCACTACCGCGCCTGCCTGTATGCCGGTATCAACATCTCCGGTATCAACGCTGAGGTCATGCCCTCCCAGTGGGAGTACCAGGTCGGCCCCTGCCCCGGCATTGACAGTAAGTTTTTCCCTTTTCTCTGAGATGAGAGTTTCTGCTGCAAAAAAATGTCTCTCCTTCTAACCTGGATCTGCTTTTAGTGGGTGACCACCTCTGGATGTCCCGCTTCATCCTCCACCGTGTCGCTGAGGAATTCGGTGTCCGCATCTCCTTCGAGCCCAAGCCCATCGAGGGTGACTGGAACGGTGCCGGTCTGCACTCCAACGTCTCTACCCTCGCTACTCGTGCCGAGGGTGGTATGAAGGCCATCGAGGCCGCCATGAAGAAGTTCGAGGCCCGCCACCAGGAGCACATTGCCGTCTACGGTGAGGGCAACGACAAGCGTCTGACTGGTCGCCACGAGACCGGTAACATCGACAAGTTCTCATATGGTGTTGCCGACCGCGGTGGCTCCATCCGTATTCCTCGCCAGGTCGCCAAGGACGGCAAGGGTTACTTCGAGGACCGCCGTCCTGCCTCCAACGCTGATCCTTACCAGATCACTGGCATTATCGTCGAGACCATGTGCGGTGGTCTCTAATTTCAATATTTGATCTTAGCGCCCCGATACCCTCCGGCATCAACTGGGAGTTCGGACCATGAGAGCGGCCTGACTGCGTGAGGGAGCCTTCCGTCCATAGAATCCTCTTTTTGACCTACTGCCTGTGTTTTGTTGCTTTTCTTTATTTCCCTTTCCTTTTCCTCTCTTATCATCCCCCGAGATGATCCCTACCTATCCTTTTTCCTGTCTCTCGGCGCGCAGGGTCCGCCTCTTGCGTTCTTTTGCCTCTCCGTCAGTTGCACTCGCCGAAATCTCTTGTTTTGTTTCTTTCTTGAAACCCCCCACTAAAGTGGGTTATGTGTGACGTACAATAGCATAGAATCATTACATGGATGGAAAATCAACCCATCGTTTGAGCATCACACTTTATTTTCTTGGTCTCCACTGTGGCTTTTGTAGAGATGAGATCCCTTCAATGTAACCCTATACCTTAAATTGACTTCAATCTATCGATGAACTTCCAAGGTACTGTAGACCCTTCGGCAATTTGAAAGCCACTGCCGTGTCTTCCTTACCCCACATGTAGTCGAATATGGGGATTGTATCTCCCCGCAAGTTCGGGAGTAGATCTCCGTGTCAATGTTGAACAGGCCTTGGGAAGGTCGATCAGTAGAGGTATGTTTATTATCATATTAAAATTAGACAAAGCCGCTCGTCATGGTGGGACGCTGTTACAGTTCCTGTCTCCAACCTCCCCTCTTCATCTAATTCTACCTCTTTTTTTGACGGCTCTCTATGTCTTCCAGGGAACGGATATACATACAGGTGTAGCAAGCTCCCAAGGATATTGGAGGCTAAGGATGGGAGGTTTTATATTTCTATTTCAAGTTGAGGATTTCACCGTACTTTTTTAGTTTACAAGAAAGATATGCAAGTTTAACTCAGCTAAGAATGACTCAAGATCTTTCATTGATACGAAATGGCCGATTAGGAGGCCGAACCTTCTTGCGTTTAGGAACTCTCGGCAATTGGGGTCGAGATCGACTCTGGTGATTTGACTCCGTTTCGCCCAGATTGCATCCAGGGCTCCAATTTATCAAGGGGTATAATCTGAGACTCAAGAAGTGGTTTGAGATCTCCGCTGATGGCATATCGGATGTGAAATGGAACCGAGAAGCATTCCAAAGCCTTGTCATTGAACGAAAGTCAAAAGAGTTGATTCAAGCTTTATTAGCCAGCCAGATTGATGCCGAGAAAGCAACCGATTTGATATCTAGCAAAGGCAACGGCCTGATACTACTGCTTCACGGAGGGCCTGGAACCGGAAAGACCCTTACTGCTGAGAGTGTGGCTGAAATCGCCGAGAAGCCCCTGTACCATGTTACCTGTGGCGATGTGGGCATGAAAGCAGAGCAGGTCGAAAAGTACTTGGAGTCTGTTTTGTATCTTGGGCGAATTTGGGGCTGTGTGGTGCTGTTAGATGAGGCCGATGTTTTCCTTGAGCAACGAAGCCTCGAGGATCTGGAACGCAACGCCCTTGTGTCGGTATTCCTGCGAGTCCTCGAGTACTACAAAGGGATCTTAATTCTGACCAGTAATCGAGTCGGCACATTTGATGAAGCATTCCGATCTCGGATCCAACTGGCACTTCATGATCCTAACCTGGGTCCCCAGCAACGGTTTCGTATTTGGGCGACCTTTATCGAAAGACTTGATAAATTGTCGACCGATGAGGAAATTGACATTGATGACTTGAGAGACCATCTAGATTATTTGAAAGATGAGAAGATGAACGGAAGACAAATCAGGAACGTGATTACGACCGCTCGGCAGTATGCGAAGTGGAAGAAGGAACCTCTCACGTATCAGTATCTCAAAGACGTGATCGAGATATCTGGACGATTTGATGGCTACCTTAATAAGCTCCATGGAGGGTTCTCGAACGATGAGATTGCACAGCACGACGGACTATGATGAGCATAGGAGTTGCAGCAATGTTTCCTTTCCCAAATTATATCGGATCTTCAGGTTCGCCAAGATCGTATTTTTGCCGCTACTAGAATGGGAATCCAGTAACCTTGTCTACACGCTCTTGCCATAGCACGGAGAGAACACCAGTCGCCAGCATTAACCGGGTTCATAATCCATCAGGCTAATGCAAAGGAACGAAATACATAAAAGCCTCGGTATATCAACTAATTGTAGAGACCGCTGGCATATAGGGTGACACCGCTTGTCCATGATCTCTCGCTGAATATAAACTAAGTTGTTTCTAGATCTCCTCCTGCTGCTGCAACAACCACATTGGGTAACTAGCAAGGTCCCACTTATATCCTATAATAGGAAGGCAAGGCCGCAGAACGGGGCCATTAATCCCCACATTTGTATGTGTTCCTGATAGCAACAATTCTAAACCATTCCCGCGCGGAGACGTGCGGAGAAACCTCGGGCTGGCAATGATATCTAAGCTGGAAAGTGATTCCACGGCGTGCACAGCCGTCGGCAGTGCTCGGCAATTTATCGCTGACACCAAGGCAATATTGGCGCTATCTAGAATGATACGGAGTACCTATTTAATGAATGGTTAACCAATATTGAGTTGGGGTCAATCTAGAAGCTTTCTCGTTTCCTATCACAATAATGGCTGCCACCGGGAAGCGTCCCGAGATCATTGAACTTTCCCGAGATCTGCGCGGTATCCCGCAATGTGAGAATTACGAGCGCATGATTTCAGGGATGATGTACGTATAACGCTTGGAAGGAACTGATCATTATCAAATCTCAATGCTTACACCATCAAGGTATAATCCCAACATGCCGCAGTTGCTTGAGGCACGTCACCACTGCCGTGGCTTGACTCGCGATTACAACGATCTGGATACGAAGACCATTCCATACGACCAAGTTTTTGAGAAGCGACTAGAATTACTTCGCAAATTGTGCGGTAAGGTCGAAGATGGCACCTTCGTGGAGCCACCGTTCATGCCAGATTCGGCTGCAATATGATTATCGGAAGAAATTGCTTTATTAACTGGAAGTAGGTGTTAATTCGTGCCGGGACGGATATTCGCTTGCTAATCTCATAATTAGTCTGACTGTCCTGGACACAAGCCTCGTGGTTATTGGTGGCAGAGTCCAAATCAGCACTGGCGTCAGCCTGTTGACTGCAGGATATGATACTAGTATTATTTACCGTCAGAAGTTCGTGGAGTTCGGATCTCCAATTTTCATCGAAGATGACTGCTGAATTGGTGCCAACGTGGTTATCTTGCCTGGTGTTCGGATTGGAAAAGGTAGCACAATTGGTGCCGGCTCAAACGTTACGAAAGACATTCCTCCATTCTCAGTTGCCCTTGGCACGCCTTGCCGCGTGAAGAGGACTATTCAATTAGCAGAGGAAGAGGAGCAAGACCCTGAAATCCCTACCGTCACCTATCGCGCGAGCATTGTATCCCAGAAAAAGGTAAATGAACATGCTTGAAAAAAGTCTTCAAAAAGAAAATACGCGTATTTTGAGTTCTCGAGCCTCGGCAAGATTAACTTAAGCCGTACATATTAGCTTCCGATATTGCCTTTTGGAGAAGCATGCAGGGAAGACGGGATAGTGGTACCTCTGGTGGAGAATTTTTGGGCTAGAAGAATTACCAAATGTGGAAACCGAGTTCTCAATACAAGGGCGGGGGTACATGGTATTTTTGGGGTGTTCATCTTAGCCCACTGTCCCTTGCTATATCACGATCCGAAATTCCACCGTATACCTCCTTCAGATTCTTTTCAAAGTTATCCCGAAAACTGAGCACATGCCTCAGATGTTCGAATATAAATCTATGCCCAGTGTATTGAACAAGATGTCGTGCCGTCGTGATCGCATTGCGAATCTCCCTCCCATTCATTTCCAGTTCCGCCAGCTCGTCAATGTGGTCGTCTAGGTCCTCGAAATCTACAGCCTGCTCACCCAGGTCCCTTAGATGCCTGAAGGATTTGCGCCAGACCTCGAGTCTCAGCGCATTGGTAAAGGGCTTGTAGTGAATTATCAGCTGGATTCGTGACTTGAAGGCCTCGTCGAAAGTGCCAATTCTGTTGGTGGTGAGAATAAGGACACCTGCATTGAGTATGAGTTGTGTACAAAAGAAGAATGGTAGATAGCAACACTTCCCTTCGAACTCCTCTAGCGCTCGCAGCAGAACTACACCATCGTTAGTTTCCCGCTGACTCGAAATAATCTTAGCACGTACCCGTAACGACCGAATTGACTCACTTAATCGACTCTGGGTGAAGTATTTCACTGCTTTTGCCAAAAAGCGATAAAAGAGGCTATATGCTCGTGTAACTCCGATGACAATGTTTGACGCGGGAATATAACAAGTCAGGTAGTCGATGAGTTTGAATTTCAACATAATTCGGTCTATATAGTCCTTGACGTTACGTTTGAGTTTCTTCGTTGTTGACCTGAACAACTAACAAGATTTTGATGGCTCCGTAGGCAAGTACAATATACTCCGGAGCTTGTCCCACCATAACATTAAGCATTTGGGTGTATTCGTACGCAACCTCGGCGGTTGCCTTCCAGCCATTTTTTACTCTGTCGGCGAGGCTAGGCGCAGTATCGGAGGACGCACTGGTGAGGTGCTTGGAATGTTCGCTTTTCGCAATTCAATAATATCTATCCCTCTTCGACGGCTATTGTCGAGGAGCTCACGCACATCATGGGTAGCCGCGGAGACGAAGTCGGATAAACGCTTGTCAAGTCTTGTCGTGGCGTCCCGAATAGAGTCTCTGATTGAAGCGTGTTAAGAAGTTGCCTTTCCTCCCTGGAAAGGATTGTTTTACATTTTCAGAATACTGTTCGCCCACATCTTCTCGTTCCAAGGCTGTTGCAATGGGTCCAGCGTTCATGAAGACACAGCCACAGGAGGCGGGAGGTTTGAATGCTCCGTGCCATGGTTGTCGTCAAAGAACTCTGGTTCCGCAGTTAAGGTTGTTTGCGCCATATCATAGATGCCTGGCTTACCTCTAGACATCGAATTGCGGGTCAGGAGATCACTGCATTATATATCCGACTCTGAGAGTTACAAGTTTTAATACCCACCAAGAACATTTATGTGTTGAGGCTGTGTTAGGCATACCTGCGTCTGCCATTCCAGGACGATTGGCGCCAACCCCGCCGTAAGCTGAACCCTCACTCAGGTGAATATTCCTTACCTCAGCAAGCTTATGCTCTGGCTATTGGTATTTAGTGGCTAGATTGGTGAAACTAAGTCTGTGCAAAATGCCTACAAAGCCGATAAGATTTTCATGTGTACCACTGCCGGTGGTATTATGCAAATTACATGCCTCGATGGTAACCTGATAAACGACCAACGGTGGCGGTGGTGGTCTGACTACGAAGAAGATCTCGGATGGATATTGGGATATTCATTACGAAGAGGCTTCCAGCTTTGAGATTGACTGTAAAGAGGGGAAAAGGAACAATTCGAGTGGCTCAAGTCTTTAAAATTTACGAGTGTCTGGGACATGTATAGATTTTAAATTGCATTTCACACACTACGTCTATCCATCTATTCATCATTAGTCCCAATAAGCAAGGTCGTATATCATCCAAAGAGCAGCCAATTAACCAAGCAATCATAGTGACCCGAAAACAACTTTATTAGTGTGCCGCGTCCCATAATATTCGTCAACACCTTTTACTTGCGGTCAACCTTGCCGCGTCCAAACCAGCGTCTGGCTCCCGAACCCAGTCCCTGCAGGCCACGCTGCTGCACCTCACGACGTGCCGCACCATCAACCGCGTCACCATCAGTTTCCTCCTCACTTTGGCGGGAACGACCATCCACAACTCGAAGCAAGATATCCATCAGCAGCGCGGCAAGGATACTGGCAATCAAAATCCCGACCATCACCAAATTACTCTTCCGGTACTTCTGACGTCCAGGTGCCTCATAATCACTTTTCCAGCCCGAGTACAGGGCATAGGTAGTCAGGATACTACCCAAATTACCCCATCCTGAGACCACGGCAGAGGCAGCTGCCACACCGACCTCTCCATGGCGTGGCTGGAATATCTCTGCAGTCCACGTCATGGTGATGGGCACTGTTGGACCAAGGCCGAAGCCGACAATCAGAAGACCGCCGTACCGTGGCCAGGGGTTCTCTTCAGTACCGGCATAGCTGGTCAGCAGTAAGCCCAGAATCTGCAGCAGAACTGGGATCGAGAAGAAAAGAGCACGATGACGGTGGAAACGATCCGAGAAGGGCGTGACAAGGAGAATAGCAATAAGATCCATCTGATAAATCACAGTTAGCCACTGAAAGGTGAAACTATTAACACTCAGAGAACTTACAATCCAGATAGGGGCTGTGAGCAAGCTCAAGTCAACTCCATTCAAAGAGGGGTTGATCGCCTTGATAATCACGTTCGCATACAGCTGAACACCAATACCAACACCAACGACACCAAAGTACATCACCAAAAGCGGCCAAAGTCTCCAGTCCATGAAAACATGCAGCAGATCCCGCAGATTCCACTTTGAGTTGTGATACACACGTTTCATGTCATGGTAGTGAATCACAGAATCCCGGCCAGTCAAAGCAGGACGGCTTTGGGGCAACCAGCGCAGCATTTGGTGACGCTCGGGAGCCGCTGCGCCAGGTGCAACAGGTCGGTCGGGCAGCCACCAAAGCTGAGCGAACCCCAAAGCAATAGTGATGACACCGTAGATCAGGAACATCCACTGGAATCCGACGTAACCTCGGGCGCCATCCATCTCTTGGAATCCGGCAGAGACGAGGCCAACCACCGCAGCGGAGACCTGCGCAGCAGTGAAGTACTGGCCAATGCGCTTTCCAATACGCGAGGGTGGGTAGAAGAGAGTGAGATAGTAGGTCATGCCGGGCCATAATCCGGCCTCGACGATACCAAGAAGCAGGCGAAGCAGACTATAGATTATTTAGTACAAATGTCCACTCTTGTCCCCAAAGGTCAGGTGGAAACATACTAGAAGCTCCAAGCAGCTTTCATCGCTGTCATGCAGGTACCAATCAGCCCAACGCTAATCACGATACGGCTCATCCACACATGGGGACTAAGGCGGGTCATGACCAGATTCGAAGGCAAATCAAACACAACGTAGCAAACGTAGAACAAGGCCAAACCAGTCGAGATCTGGTGGGGATTCAGATGCAAAACATGGGCAAGGTCATGACCAGAGCTCGTGTTCATCGTCTGCGCCAGGCCGACGTTGGAGCGGATGGCAGAGCACATGAAGTATAGAACCCAGAAGGCGGGAATAATGCGCCAATCCAATTTTCTGTTCCAGAAGGTCAGCTTTCGAGTAGATTCAGAGTCTTCCGGAATACAACTGACCTATAGATTCGTTCGATGTTCTCGACACTGAACTCGTCCGGCTCGAGGTCGTCCATGTCTGTCGATTCTGACAGAGCCTGTGGTGGCTCATAGACATCATCTGAAGGAAAATCCTTGTTTGTGCCGACGGCAGCCTGGGCCGACTCGACTGACATTTTTGCGATGAGTAGACCTGCTATTTCTTTTGCCAGCCTTGTTTATCGACAGAACTGCCACCAGCGCCAACTCAAGCTTTCAAGAGAAACAAGTCAAACTGTTATTCCCATGGACAACAATCCAGGACAGGTCTATTGAATGGGCCGAGTATATAAAGCTGTGTAGCGCTATCAGTGACTGATTTTCGCTAATGATTTTTTTCTTTTGCGCTAGTATCCCCGAGCAAGTCGGAGATTCATATAAGCGTAGCCGAGGTCTGATGACTCCTACTACGAAATGAGAGGACTAAAAGAAAAGAAAGCATCGCATCCACCTACCGGAAATAAGACTTGTGCTCGGTGGCCCCCGGTCCGCTCTGTCCGAGTGAAAAGAGTATCAAACTCGCGACAAGCTGACCGAGCGGAGAAAAAAAAGTGCGAGGCGGAGAAGGTCACCCGCTTGCAGATCTGATAATGGAGGGGTTCTTGGCAGGACAAGATAGTAATTTAAACTCGGTGCTTTTGTGTCTTGTTAGTTCCTCTAGCATCAATCTTGTATATAGAGTGTCAAATCAGTGAAATATGATACTGACTCACTATGTCTTCTAACACCTAGAAGCAAAATTCAAGGTAAGCTGTTGAGCTTGTTGGGGTTGAGTGGGAAATTTCCTTCCGACTCTCGGCGCTCCGCAACCGACGGGAAAAGCTCTCCCCAACCGGTAACTTCATCACTCACCGAGGATAACCTTAAATATTTCTGACTCATGGCTTTCGCGTGGAAACTTCTCGCATGGCATCGGCATCACATCGCAGATTCTAGGCGCTCGGAATCACTTTGATTTCTATCAGGCCATTGTCTTGCTATATTTTTCCCGGTGAGTTGCTAGCGCACCAATCAACAGCCAACAACACCCTTTTTCGGCAGCCTTCCCGACTAATCATTCTGGTTCCTAACTATCCCTTCACTGGAGTCTGCACTAGGCAAGCTGTTCCGTCACCTATGTGGATTTTCGATGTGCAATTTTATAGAATGTGTTATACACGTACCCCGTTATGGGAAACTTTTCTTAGTCGAGCACTGGGCTCGAAACATGGCTGTAATGAAGCTACCGACTATCTATAGGAGAGGTATGGTAACATTATAGAACTTTATGTATTGCTCGATCTGGACATATATCACTCACAACGTCCAATTATCCGTGTTTCTTAGGTTTAGAAATCGATGTCGCCGGTCTCGGTCCGATCACGTGAGGTGCGGTGGGCATTGTGCACGCTGAATATCAAGATTAGAACTGTTGTAGCAGTACAACAGTGTATATTTCGAGTAATGAATTTATTTGCCTCTTGAAGCATAAGGCCCCTCTATTGTCATCTATAGAGTTAGTTGCCCTCGAAGTTGTAATTTCACATCAGTCTAACAATGCAGCCGTGTGTCACAATCATGAATACATAGGTGGACTTGCCGGAGCCCGGACAATTACCTCCACCAAGGTGATTGAATATAAAAGTATTAAGCATATATAGCATGTCAATAAATAGAGCCAAAAATCCGCGTTGCGTCTAGAATAGTCGATCCTTCTTCCCCGCAACCGTCCTTGTTTCGCGCAGGCCTCTTTCCAGAATTTCTCGTTCGGGGTTTGACTTTTGGAGTGATATAGAAACAGAGAAGCTGTTCATGAGCACAGAAAGAGCAGACTGGAACCAAACGGTCACATTCTATGCGAGAATCTTTGCAGCATTTGCATGGATAAATGCTCTGTGCATGTGGTAGTGAATCTTCGGTAATGATGGATGAAGTTGTGTCCTTATCGACTGATTCGAACCAACTACTGATTCGAAGAAAAAGACCGGCCATTTTTTCCCCTAATGTATTGTCAGTTAGATGTTAAGGCGGGTATTAGTTTTTCATGCCGAAGTCCTACCAGGCCGTTGATTGAAGCTTTAAACTCTCAACATAGCGCAGTTAAACAATATCTTCCGAAGTAGCACACTTTGTACTTCTCTGTTATAGCTGTGCTTGTACTGGTATGAGATTATAATGCAACAACCTGGCCGGAGCACTTGATTTAAAGGAGGTTCTTGAATAACGAAGTCTAGGCACGCCTACATTTCCCAAATCCGGATTTAAGGATTTGGGAATGGGACCTTACAGACATGATTTCAAGGAAGGGGCCTTCCGCACAAAATAGGCGTAGCTGATTGGCCGGGACCTTCATCCGCATGCATCATGTCGGGTGGGGCCCCGGAGTGATCGGAATCCACCCCCCCCATCCCCAATCATACCGTATGCCTTTTTTGTAGGGCCTCCAGGTCTCGGCCTCTTTTACAAAAGTACGCCGAGTGCCCATCTCTACGAGCGGAGTGGCACACAAGCAGACTTATTCAAAGTCCCTTATGACCAGGGGTGTTGACCTTGTAGCAACCGCTGAGAAAATATGGTCAAACAAGTTCAATAGATTCATGGGACCATATGCGAAATTGAATGGCACTAATATGGACATCAGTCTGTCATTCCAAGGTGATTGGTAGGAATTCTCTCCTAATGCTTTCTGCATATGTACTGCAACTCAAGTCCTCGGCTATTCAACTTATGCACGTAAAAATGTAATAAGAGAAGGCAATCTGCTAAATCCGGACGTTCAGTCTTCAGAAACAGTGTTGACAAATTTCTCCCCAACCGCTGATCCTCTCTTTGAAATGAGTTTAATATATTGGCGACTACCGGTCGCTTCTGAAAGATTGTGAATTGTTGGTCCCTAATGACTCTGTTCTTGAGTTAAATCGGGAGCAGTTGAGGAAACGTGTCAATGAGTGAATTAGTACCTTGAGAGGAGTGTTCTTTGAGGTTCTTCCTTGAGTCGTAATCAGGTCGTCGTTGGGACTGATCGTGAGAGTCAAGCATGCTCCGATTCTTTCAATGTTAGCATCGGCTTTCAAGCTAAGACTACGAGAAGCAGTACCTTCGGACTAATTGAGCCTTCAGACGGTAACCTCTCGTACTTACTGAAGTGAGACTTCTCCTTCTCCGATAGTGGCTTAGGGTATCATTAGTCAACATTTTCGATGACAGCAGAGTCAAGTGGGAAAGCACACCTCAGGATGCGATGCGATACTTTCTGGCTGCATGGTGGAACAGATGATCTGCTCGATAAATGATTCTGCAATGTCCACACTTGGAGGCGTAGTCAACTCTTATTTTATATAACCTGTGAATTGTACGCCTCTGTCTATGACGAATTCCCCGCACTTGATGCTCTGCTTTGGTTGGATGGCATGATAGCCGTTGGGGGCTGTATAACTTGAATGACATCAGACCTTCGGCTCCTGCCGTGGGTGAACTCCAATTAGTGTTTGCGGGAAGACCCAGTCAGCGTCTATCAAATGCGAGGCGGTCGACAACCGCGTGCTTCATGCCCGTCCCTGGCCTCTTATCTTGCAGTTTGCCTTGTTGATTAACTTTCGGATAGACTTGATCCTTTACCAATAAAACTATCCCTGTCATGAAAGAAGGAAACTATCCCGTGAATAAAAGGCTTAAGAGTATTCATACCAGGAGCGGTATACCATTCTCCATTCTCGGTTCTCTTTTGTCACAACCGAGGTTAGTGGTTAGTTAAAATGATGGACCTAGACTCTAACTTTCTTCTGGCTTAGGACCACTTCTTTCTTTGAAAAAATCTACTCTTATCTATCCCGATTTTCTGTTGTACTCCGCTAGTGACTATTCAATAACATTCCCGCTTGATCCTATATGGTCACGATAATTCGACCGTTGACTTTGCATGGACTTGATCTCGGGGATGCTGCATCTGGAATATTTCCTTCAGATTTTCCCGGCTGATTAGAAGAAATGAAAGGAAACCCGAGCGGCGCCCAGGAAACTTCCGTTCGCATACCACGACCCCTTCGTGTTAGCTTAGGTGTCTCGAAATAATAGTCTCACAACGACAGCATAACCCTAAAGTTTCTCTCTACTCAAATTGATTAAACCAGAGAAGAATGAGAAGTTGAGGTATAGTCCATTTAAAAAAGTATTATAGTCCATCACACATGTACAACATTAAGAAATCTCATTATATCACAGCTCCCTGCGACACCTCGCGAAATCAAGTCTCAAGAGCTGCTTGGACATTGAATTAGGGTCACAGCCCCAGAGCCAGACCACCAACCAGAGCCGCCAAAATAGTACCCGTCAAGATAACCTTGATATCGGCGGCTACAACACTTGCAGCGTTGGCACCACCGGGACGGTTTCCTCCTTGGTTGGACGAAGTAGAGCCAGTTGGGGCAGATGCTCCGGTGTGAATCGGGACTGGGCTCGTCGAGCTCTTGAGGGAAGTAGCCGAGTAAGGAGGAGACGCAGTGAAGGCGCTGATGCTGCTCGAGAAGCTTGAGCTAGCATCAGCACGGTCGGTCACGTACACGGACAAAATAGTCGTGGTTGTAGTGAGAGTCGAGGTGACTGTCTGGACAGTGTAGGGGGCGAACGAGGTCCAGAAGTAGAAGTAGAAAGTCCTAGCCGTGAGTTAGTCCCGCAATCCAGCGCTTTCATGATAACAGATCAAGCTCACCAGTAATAAGTCGTAGAGTAGTACTCATAGTCCGCATAGGTACGGGTACGGGTAGAGGTGGTCCTCGAAGTCGTGGTAGCAGTCACAGTAGCACCGGCCGTGACGGTGCCTCCCAGACTCCCAGAATCAGATTCTCCGGCACAACCAGACGAGGCGCAGCAGACCTTCGCGCCGTTGTAGATGCGGCAATGCTTGCCAGCGCGGCAGTAGTATCCACCATTGCAGCACTCTCCGTCAACAGGCGAGCACGCATCGCCACAGCAGTTCCATCCGCTAGGACAGGTACCGCCGCCGTTACAGCAAGTGTCACCAGGGTCCGCACAGTAGCCAGTTCCGCAGCAGCTATTGCCGGTAGGGCAACAGCGCGAAGTGTCGTAAGCGCACTCCGAGTATCCAGCACGGCACGTATAAGCTCTAGCCTCCAGACCAAACAGATCGCGGGTACTCAGGATGCCCTCCTGCGGGACGTGCATGGAAGCATTGTACAGCTGCTGAGGTTCATCCGCGACTGCCTCCTCGGCAACAACAGCGGAGAAGAGGAGAAGGAGGGAAACTCCCAATTGTTTCGCGAACTTCACCATTTTGTCTAGCAGGGTGAATTTGAATCAGAAGGGCCTCGGTAATGCCGAATATGAGGTTTCTGCCACTTCAACTGCTCTGCGCTGCGAGGACGGAATCCCCGCGGAATTGAGGGATGGCCCATGACTTTAAATAGGACTCTTGCGGAGTTCGCCTGATTCAAGCCGGAGCAAAACTGCGCCCAGGCCAAGAATTAGGTTGATGCGCTAGCATTTGTACCGAGACTGGCGGGCAAGGGTGCTGGGGAATACGAGATGTGATGCCTGCCGTGCTCTCGAGCCGCTTTTTAGTCCTGCAGGGTCCTGGTGAGGCTGAAATCTGAGCCCTGGAAGTGTGGTTTGACCATGGACATTATCCCAGTCTGTTCAAGAAGATATCCATGTTGACTTTTTTGACGCGATATAGAGGGCAAACATCGTTTCTCACAGCACAGTACTTGAAAGAAACACCCCCTTTCCTCCACGAACCCGCTTAATCTTTGCGGGTGGGGCTTTTCCAGGGCTCAATTGGGCGAATCCTAAATACGAGCTTAGGCACAATCTTCCCTTATTTGAACACTGTCTCGACCAATCGCTGAATTGCTAGGCATGCATGCACCTCACCCGAGCAACGGATCTATCCCTAAAGAAGGATGTTGACCTTCCTAGTGCACCTCGACCTCAGAGAGTTTGGATCAGTTGCCGATACGAGGCTGACTTTCAATTCTTTTTTAGGATTGCTTTGGCGAGGTTCATATCCAGATCGAACATGACTTCGGTCATTTGACGATTAGCTCCGCTGATTCACGATTTAGGGGGTTAGAGGAAATGGAAATTTCCACTAGGCGTGGATAGCCATCCACTTGACCTATCCATTCACGTATTTTGGTGTCCACCCTCATAACCTTCTTTAGGCGCCTTTTTCGCCTTGTCCCACTCTCGATACATATTCAGTATGAATTCATTTTCATCGGAGCACCACTGGGATTGAGTTTAAATGTTAAATCCGGAGCTTTGACATGGAGACCGCCACAGCCACAACATCTCAAATCTAAAAACTCGATATATTTGCCATAAGTGGGTCAACTATCCGGTACCGAAAACAAATCAGGACCTGCATAAATACTGCTAAGTAGTCTCTATTGCAGCCCACTTATCCTGGCAGATCTGCCGACTCTGTCCAAATACTGTACATTGAAGAGCAGCTCTCGTCTTGACCTGCCTTTCACTGGACTCCTCCTCCAGTCGACTCTCGAGTAGCAGATCCTACGGAGTATCCAAACTTAGGGTCGAGCACCTTCTCCCTGTGAACAGTATTATTCTATTGCTTTGGCCATGACGCCTTCACTGATGCACCGGGGTATAACAGTAGCTGCAACAGAGTGGCCTCAAGCCTATACTTCGTCAACTTAAAGCTCGCAACAAATGAACTTCATAAAAGGCATGTCAGGCAGACAGAGGAGGAAAAAGTCTTTTCCTCGGCATCACCTCAAGATCAGGGCTCTTGACTACTGTCTGATATGCTACCATTATTCTCAACATGCGTACCCTTCCCAGTCTCCAGATCCGAGCCCGAGGAAAGCGTCTTGATCTGCTTCTCAGACACGTGGCTAGCGCGACGCATATGCTCCTCAGTGTCTTGGTAATTAATGAGGAGCTCGCCGTTCTTGCCGAAGCGGTGGGGCTCGTTGCGGGCGACGGAGACGACGTTGAAAATGCTGGTACTCTTTTGGAAAATAGTGTCCATCTCTTCGAGGGAGCGGTAGGCTGTTTCGGGGTAGAAGAAGTAGACCACCGGGAAGATGAAAGCGTTGCTATCGGGCTTTATTAGCGCAAATTACCAGCGTGGATATGTTGGGAAGATTTACATGACTGCGAAAATGATATATGTCTTGTAGCCGATAGAGTCGAAGGCGACCGGCGTGATCATGACGACCATGAAGTTGAAGATCCAGTTTCCAGATGTAGCTAAGGCGTTGGCTGGGGCACGAATACGAAGGGGCACCTAGTTAATATTAGCGAAAGGGTCTTCAAGGGCGCGTAATATAGCAAAACTTACGATCTCCGCTGGATACAACCAGGTCATACCAAGCCAACCCCATGCAAAGAATGTGTTGAAGACGAAGAGGAATACCGCAGCAGCAATACCAGGCTTGCTTTGACCGACAAAGCTGGTCGTGATAGCAAGGACGGCCATTGAAATGGACATGCCAGCAGCACCCACAAGCATCAGTGTGCGACGTCCAATCTTCTCAATGACGAAAATGGGAATCAAAGAGGCTAGGAAGTATTCCGTTCCGTTGCAAGCAGCAAGGATTCGAGACATCAAACCATCCATGCCGATCGACTTCTCGTATATAGTAGCGGCGTAATATGTAATCAAATTAATACCGGAGATCTGCTGGAACATCTGGTTGACGTAGGCCAGGACGACGCGGTGGAAGTGGCGGTTTTCATCCATTGTTAGCAAATCGCGGAAGCTGACATCTGAAGCAGCGAGTACTGCATCCTTGATAGCGGCGAACTCGGAATGCACGTATGGGTCGTGCTCGGGCATATCCAGGATAGCAGATAGTACCTCTAGGGCCTCCTCTTCCCGGCCCTTGAGAATCAACCAGCGAGGCGACTCGGGCAGAGGCAGAACAAAGATCATGATCACCAGGGCGAACACGTTCTGGAAAGCGATAGGAAACCGCCAGGCCACAGAGCTGGGGTCGAGGAAGGAGAATCCAAGGTCGATCCAATAGCTGATTGTGATTCCACCTGCGATCAAGGCACCCTCTAGCATGACGAGCCGGCCCCGATGATGCGACTTGCTGCACTCAGACTGCCAGGTGGCTGTAATAAGATGTCAGCCTATCTCATACTGGTGGTATTAGCCACGTTAAACCAAAGTGATATACTTACGGACGGTCGAAGTGTTCATGCCATTGCCAAGACCAGTCACAATACGGCCGACAATCAGATGAGGTAGCGAGTACGCGCACGATTGCAGCGTCGCCCCAATGACCATGATAATGGAGCCGACGAAGATTGTCTTGCGACGGCCGAGGTAATTTCCAATCCAGATACAGAAGATAGCGCCGAAGAAACAACCTAGGTTATACGAAGCTGTCGTAATACCCTGCACGGTCGAACGCTGGCTCTGCTCAGACCGGCTGAGGCCAATCAAGCCAGCCTTTGTGGTGTCGATATCCGGGAAAGTAGTAACAAATGAGTTTAGGGTCAATAGACCGCCCATAACACCCCTATTGTATTGTTAGAAATCATGACAAAGCAGTAGTTTGAATTGTTTTCCATGTCAACATACTGGTCATAACCGAAGAGCCTGGAAAATGAAATGAGTCAACCTAATCCCCAACATTTGAACAAACTGCACTGTCGACGTACAAGAAATCAAGACCTGCAATGATACTGATCATGATGTTGAGGGCAGTGCCCCTCAGACCGAAATAAGGCTTCATAACGGCGAGATGTACCACCATGATGGTATCCGTCAATTGATAATAAAAGGCGAAAATCAAGCTGTTTACACTGAAATCAACTTCGAGTGTAATCCAACAGCAAAGGACAGGACTGAATCCAAGTCTAATGGTACGCCTAACCCTGTCGATGGAATGGGACGTTAAAGAATGGTGGCTGAGGAGAAATAAATGACCCGGTTGGGTCTGGGGATGTGGACACTGGAGTTTTAAAAAAGCGCATTGAAATAAGGGCAGGCTGCAGGTGATGAAAACGCAACATAGTGAACTTGGACCAAGCAAGAATCACAATACAAGGTCGCATTGACAATGGCTATACATCTCCGGATCGGGTGATAGACAGGGACCCCCACTTCTCATTGTAAACCGGCCAGACTTTGACCGGCTGCGCAGCATATTGTAGATTGAACAAGAACTCCACATGAGGACGATAACTAGCAAATCATCGATCGGGACAAGTTCCTGGCTGGATGTTGTTCGGCATGGGTCCCACCGAGAAAACCGGCTCAAGAGAAAGGAGGAAGGAGATAGAGAGTCCGTATGGAGACATCCGTGGGAAGAAAAGGACTACAGTATCGGCCCGGTATTGTTGGTGTTACGGGCCGTATCATACCGACAATACCGACAATCTTGCTGCGGTCGGAACGGAACACACACTGCTTTCAGTAAATTAATGACCACATCGATGATGTATTCCCTCATGGCTCGCGTGGCCTGAATATCTGAGACAGTTCCTACGCCTACACTTGGTGGATGCACTTCGCATTCTACAGCCTTGATGTATGGTGCTAGTTGGGGGTATCTTTGGTCTGTGGACTGGACCCTCCCCAGATTCCTCTCCATCTTTTTCTCCACGAGTCTCTCCACAGTCATTTAATGATTGAATCCATAGAAGGATCTCATCAACAGTCGATGAATATGCGTGGATTTCGATCGAGCGCCTTGAACACCCATTTCAACTCATAGATCCCTGTTTGATACTACGCACGGCCAGCACGCCCCGTTGACGAACCGGAATGTCGGCTTCTCACGGGAAGGACTATCGGTGCCATGGTCGCTTCCGCGGCTCTGCCAGGGGTCCCATGCTCCCCCCCCCCGAGCTGTCGTATCACTATCTCGGCGTCGGGGGCTTTGTCCTATGCCGTCTCATTTGCTAATGGAAATACAAGTTTCTAATCTCGCTTGTCCTCTCAGCGAAAAACTGGGCACTGGATCGGTATCGAACCTGATGACATCACTTCCATGGCCCCGTTCACGCATGGAGTGGATATTTCCTTAGTCAATACAATGCTACAATAAGTTACCTCAGACAACCCGAATATCTTGGCTCTCGCCCCGACCTTTTGTTATTTGCAGCCGATCTAGAACGTTTAGCCGCCAGGCTACAATAATAACGAACAATATTCAACCCTCCCCACCAAGGGAAGACCCCAGCTCGGTTGCCCAGCTCGGTTGGGGCCGAATGCCGGGGTTTAGATATGTATGGATGTAAGTGAATTTTCCGCGAGTGGCGAGTATATGCTCCTTCATTAAACACACTTCCCATGCTAATAATTGTGCAGAAGTCTCATAGATCACATACGCTGATTCTTCCATTTGGAGAGCCATCTTGGCAAAAAGCTTGAGATAAGCATGGCTTATCATTCATTTCCAGAACGCAGTAACGCGTCAAGGCTTGCCTGATCGGGAGAACCCGTTTCGCACACACGGTGGGGCATGGTGTGACCTCGTCCTAAGTACTGTGCGGCGGAAATACCAGGAGGGACCAACAAACAGGCTGTCGATTCGCCCTTCTTCTATATCTACAGTAGCACTAGAGATAGCAATGCTACAGCATGTAGCATAGTATAGATCAAAATCAAGTCAGGTATAGTCGTAAGGTGGGCGGCGTCACACCCAATTTTCTCTTATAGGTCATGGCAGTGGCACCTTCACGAGTCATGTCAACGCCACCAAGCAGAATAGAAAGCTTGAATAGTGTCACACAATGCATTGACTGTGATATTTAGCCTAAGTCATTCCTTTCTAGAATGGTGGTGACTCGGCGAGTCAGAGAAGTCAAAGTATAAGTCGCACGAGAGTAATACATCTTCGAATAATGGATCAGGCTCACTCCACCATCGCAACTAATAACTTCTTTCGAGGGGATAGCCTAGGATGTCCCTCCTGCACATCTATCCCCCCACTCATTTACTTGAATGGGATTGCTGTTGGTTCTCGGAGCGGAAGCCCATATGCTCCGCATTCAGCGATGGTCCACAAAATACATACACCCCACAATAAGGTACTTATAACAGTGTATTACCGTGTCTGAGTACAGTATTCGAGGCAACTCCTGCGACACAAGCGTCAATGACTGATAGTCAATCCCACTATCACTCAGTACGAAACACTACTGTACTCACAGTCTCGGCTCGGGACGATGGACATCCATATCCTACTTGCGTGGAATGAGGTCATCGTGCATGAGTCCACTAGCAGGAATGGCGCCAATCATTACTGGGTGAGAATCGAATTCAGCATAGAATGGGAGGCAGATAGTATGGTCTCTTAAATTGAATCGTTATCTGCAGTATTCACTGCTAGACCGGCAGAGCCGAGATGGGCTGGCCTGCAATGCCGATATTAGGGATGGCGGTCGGCGGAATACACCGTTGATATCGGGATGGCGGTTACATGGTTCAACCAGTACAGTGTCATCATTAATGCCTGCTGTAGTATCTACTTCAGCCAACTACAGGTCTTCGCGAAATTCCATAAAATAGATATGAGACTCGATTGAGTGGAGATTGATTAGGGGAAAACAAATAGTGCTATCATGTTGAGTCTCCGTGTCATCTCAAACCGCAAAAACAGTTCCTGAAATCATACAACGCAAACGATATCCCGCGTGGGAAAGAAGACACCAGTCCAGCAATAAGGAGATACCGGGGTGTCGTTTCATGCACAACAAGCGCGCATCTTTCATGCGCGGGTTCCTTGAGAAGGTTTCCAGCCAAGATCATTATCTGATCAGCCTCCTGTCCGTGCTCGATCAATACCAATAAACGCAGTTTCTCCTCCAAGCCAGACCAAGGTCCATCCACCGAATCAGAGTTTCCCTTTTTGTGGTATCGTGCAAGCTTCTGAATTACCAGAAGGAGTTTTCCGCGATGGCAGATTCCTCGATGCCCTGGCGCACGGTCTCGACGTCGTCACCCTGGCCACCAGCATCAGCCTGTCCCCAGGATGCCTCCTCAGCATCGGCTCTACCGAATCCAGTATCTTCAGTCTCTTCAGGCTGGGGGCAGCGCTTCACGGTGTGACCCACTGTTTCATGGTGAGCAAAGGTGTTGAGTCATTTGGGGGATCAGGATATCAACTCACTTTCTCCGCAACGGTTGCACTTGACCTTCGACCAGTCCTTGGGCTCGGGGCAGCCGCGAGCAGCATGTCCAGCTGTGAGCGATTTTGTCAGAAGATTGTCTCAACCTTTGAAAAAGTCTTTTGCCAGGCAATGTGCCGTTACTTACTCTTCTCGCAGTTACGGCAAACCATGAGGTCGGGGTTGGGAGGCTGATCACATTCACGCGCAATGTGGTCCTCAGATCTACAAACAGCGTTAGCGAAATGAGATTCTTGTTGCGTTAGGCGTTCAATTCCTCTGCAGCACAGAGATACTTACCCGCAGTTCCGGCAGGTACGAGGGGGTCGCTCAGTCTGGTTGGGGCAATCCTTCGCAAAGTGGCCGACTGGATACACATCAGCATACCATCCTTCGATGGTCATGGCTTTGAGAGCTTGGGTGCTTACCTTCATTGCAGCGACGGCACTCAACATCGCCTGCAGAGCGTGGCTCGGGGCAGTCACGAGCATCGTGTCCCTCAGCTCTATGTACAATTAGAACTGCGGGCGTCGAAATCAGGGAAGAAGCAGAGCTTACCCGCAGTTGCGGCATCCGTACTTGCTCTGGCGCTTCTCGGTGCAGTCTCGAACACGATGACCGACAGTGCCGCAGTTGTTGCACTTGACCTCGGTTTTCTCAATCTCGACACGGTCCTCCTTGCAAGCGCGGGAACCATGACCCAGTTCTATATATCCGTGAGATTACGGTTGTAGATCCCGAGCATATCCTGGGTTAACTCACCTCCGCAGTTTCGGCACTTGATCACCTGACGATCATACGGCAGCCCAGCATTGGCCAACCGCTCGAGATTGTCCTCGGCATCACTAGGCCAACGCTCCTCATGGTTGGCACGCTGTGGCTTGTCGGAGAAGAAGTAACCGACAACGTATTCACGGTCGAGCTGACCCTGGAGGTCAATGAGGCTGATGATGTCCTCGCGATCCTTCGTCTATAGATGATAAAAATGTCATTCTACGTTTCCTCCCCGTCCACAAACCAGATGTTGAACGTACCAGAGCAATGAGGTGGGTTTTGAACTCCTCCGAGCGCATCTTCTTTTCGATGTCCACGTAGGTAGCCTCCGGGACGGCCTTGGTGTAGATTTGGATAGCCTGAAGAATCCAAATGTCAGCACGAATCCCGTCGAGGAGAGACACACAAGCCTTACCTCGCGGAAGTCATCCATATCTTTCTCGTCGCTCGCTTTCTTCATCATGGCCCAAGCCTCCTCCGGGAGGCGGTCGGCAATGTGACCCAGGTCAAACTTGCGGTTCTCCTTGCAATCCTTAGCGAGGTGGCCTATCAACGAATCAAGTCAGTCCCCTTCTTTTCCCACTTGGATGAGAGCTTGAAAACTCCTGACCTTCCTGGCGGCAATTCTTGCAGATGTCGGCTGGCTTCTCGGGGCAAGCAGAGGCTGGGTGGCCTTCCTGCGAGCAGATACGGCAGGCTCCCTTGAAGACACGCGGGTTGGGGCATTCGGCCTTGCTGTGTCTGTTATGTGTAAGCAGTCAAAAGATCCTTATGGTAGTTCGTATGATCCATCACTAACCCTTCTTCGCCGCAGTTGAAGCAAGCCCGGGGCTTCGCAGGGTTGGGGCATTCGGCCTTACTGTGTCTATGGTAATGTGTAAACAGTCAGAAAGATCCTTATGGCAGTTTTTGTGATCCACTGACCCTTCTCCGCCACAGTTGAAGCAAGCGCGGGGCTTCGGAGGGTTGGGGCAATCTGCCTTGCTATGTCTGTCCGCAATCAAGATTAGCACCGGCCGTGAGACATAATATCCAAGGCCAGACTTACCCTGGCTCATCACAGTTGAAGCACTTTTGGGCCTCGGCATTCGGGCACTGGCGAGCGAAATGGCCAGTCTCGCCACACCTGGTTTGTCTCTTGTTAGCGATCAAGTCGAGCTGACTGTATATGATAGAGACACGTACTTGCGGCACGCGAAGTCTCCACCCTCGCCTGGGGTGGGAGAAGGCTCATCCCCAAACTCGGTAGAGTGAGGATCCATGTTCTCGCGGTTGCTGTCACCTGAGAAATGATCAGTTTGTCGATATGGGAGAATGGTGGAGGAGAAGAGGTTGGACGAGGAAAAAGATGTTGGAGAAAGGAAAGGCGGAAGGAAGGTAATATGCTGGAGGCAAACATCTGCAAGGCTGAAAGAAAGACTGGGGAAAGGGGACATACCTTCCGGAGGGGTGCCCCAACCATCGTCGTCGCCTTTAGCTTGCAGAGGGGTGGTCCAACCATCGGCGTCGCCTTTCTGCAGGCTGTGGCTGTCGGGCTTATCCCACTCGTCATCCCCCGTGGAGGAACGTCTTTCCCAGACGTCAGACATCGCGAGGGCTGGGTATTTCTATCAATTTCAGTATCAGTATCATTCCCAAACACGTGATTTTGACGTTAAATCCATCAAGAGCTGTTTCCTTCGAGATGTCTCTCTTAAGATGGATGAAAACAAGCCAACAGACACGTGATAAGAGTATGGACAGGGCCAGTCACGCAAGAGTCGTGTCAGTCTATCACAAAGCCTTCCTGGAAACATCCCCACGCCGCCCAATCGCTCGAGTACAGCCACTTTCAAAGGACCAGCACTACTTACCACAGTGTTGAGGTTCAGTCCGGGGATGGGTTGAAGGAAACGTAGGATTGGGAGCGAAGAAGAAGAGGAAGATGGGCGAGGGAGGGAAAAGGAGAAGAAGAGGAGAAGACCAGCAAGATAATAAACAATCGACCCGCCGAGAATTGGCGCCTACCGAACGGGGAACTACATCAAACGAGGTAATGGGCAGACCTTGTGACTAGGACGACATAATCGAATTCAGATACATTCAGCTTATCAAGACAGTGTAAGTAGAAAGGGGAATGGATACATAGTGCGGATCCTGGAGCGCCACTGCAAGCCAGCTTATAATTTCGAAATGCAAATCAGAATGCCCAGCCACTTAATCTATCGGAAGAACCTGCCCAGCAGGCCACCTGCAAGATTATTCACAATTCCTCCGCCGAGAGCCCGATTGGCAAATGTGGATGCCTGACTGAACTTGTCGCACCGGGAGAAGGCGACGGTGTTGGTGATCGTCAGGATAAGGGCAATACCTGGGTAACATGGGTCAGTATAAATAACCTCCCTGTCTAGATCGGCATGATAATCGGATAGAATGGACACTCACCAACAAGACTCAGCCAAATAACACCAACCAACCGCACGATAGCCAGAATGGCCAGTCCCACCCAAAGAGCCGGGGTCAGATACAAGCTCAGCCAGAAAAAGCGCTTATCCGTGGCCGTGATCGTTCGGACATTAGGGTCGGAAGATTCAAAGACCCAATGCGAGTCGCCAGAGGCAGTGTTCACTTCATTCCACCACCGCAGACCAACAAGTCGACGTCCGGCAATGTTCTTGAGGTAATAAAAGTCGGCAGAAAGGAGGAGAAGGGTCAGGATGAAAACCAGGATGCTAGATAACTTTGTTAGCGGGGTGAAGCATTGCGGCCTAGCGGCAAGAAGACGGAAGGGAGCAAGGTGCGCATACAAGTTATCGATGAACAGGACACCGAAGAGGTACATCAGCAAAGCGCCTATTAATCGAAGGTGTTAGTTTACCATGTCACCAGCCAGGAATCGGGCAAGCAGCACGTACCGATGCGGATACTCAAGAAGACAAGTAGCGTGATCGGGTGCGCGCTGAGGCGCCAGTTCAGGTCGCCTTGATTTTGATCCATGATGAATAATTGGGAACCAATGGTCCTAGGGCTTCGTATAACAGCTGCTGACCAGTGAACTCACAACTTCCTTCGTTAGAGGAGAGCTTGTTATTGTTTGAAGATGCTCAGTGTCCACGTTAGCAATGAGGCACCTCGCCGGCGGTATGCCATGGCAGAATATGGGCCCCTTGAGTCTTATTGGCTGTTGATATGCTAGGATCTCCACCTTCAACCGCGCCTCGTCATCTGTAAAGCGCGCCCCATTTCTAGCTCATCGTGGCGTCAGGTTATCTCGAAGACGAACCTAGTTCATAGCTTGTATCAGCCACAAATACTTGGTCTAGCTACGATTGACGGTTGCAGTCAATCTACATGATACTTCAGGGCAGTTTACAGAAACATCCTTGTGTTAAGACGTATTTAGATGCAAGATAAACTACGAGGTAGGACACAAAAACGTCTTCCAGATATCTATTTCTTAAGCATAGAGGCTAGGTAATAGGAGAGCTTCATCATGCAAATGCGATGGGTATCGTGCCACATCATGTAATCCCAGATTACACTCAAAAGGTCATGAGTTTTTCGTTTCTAAATCCTCCCGTCTGAGCAACTGGATCTTGCCCATCGTGAGGGTGGGCTGGCTTCCATCGGCCGAGACATCATCACTCTCTGCCAGGGCCTTGGCGAGAGACTTGTCATAGCTGGATGGATCAATGCCAAGGATACCACCAACGTAACCACCCCGCTCACCAGGAACACTAAATTCACGGAATAGGTAGCGCCATTCATTGAGCCAGGCCTTGACAGCCTTGCCGATCTTGTCCTTGCCGTTTTTCGAGTGGTGGCCTGTACCGGTGATAGCGTATACCACCGGTATACCTTCTCGAGCGTGCTTGAGCAGAATCTTTTCGAGGTATTCGATCGCTTCTTCAGGGTGGAGACCGTGCAAATCAACGTAGAGCTCTTCCGAAGCTCCATCCAGGCCTGCCTGGAGCAGATGTTGATTGCGCTCTTCGTACAGCTGGCGTGCTGCTTCTCGGTGGCAGCGGCGCATGGCATCGTTCTCTGCTTGGCCACGGAGAGAAAGTGCCTTGGCAGCCCGTGCATCACTGCGGTTCCAAGCTTGAGCAGCACTAAAGAGGAAGTCAGTTACATGCATTCATTACAAAGAGGAAATGCAAATATCCTTCAATTTACTGACCTTTGCAAGAACTTGTTGCGCACAGTCCCGTGGCGAATAGCTTCTGTGCGATACTTGATGTATTGTTGGTTCGCCCGTGCACCCGTCTCAAGCCAGGGAATATTCTGCGGAGCAGGAATCGCCATGGCTGCAGCACTATTCTCACGGCCCTTGGTCTCCTTGGCATTCTTGGGGGCATTTTTCCCCTTAGTGGGGCCAGGTGAGGGTGACATGCGAACAACGTCTGCAAGCGAGGAGGGGATGATTTCTTTGGCCCCATTATGAGCTCCCCGTTTCCCGTGATGCTTCTTGCTTGCATTCTTTGCGCTGACAGCGGCCAAAGTGGGGAAAGCATCTGGATCGTCAACAGACAAAGCAGATGGGTTGAGCTCGGGTCGGTTCTGATGGCGACTGGTTGGACGAGAGTTTGGCCGTCCAAGATGGGTCATGCTGCCATTGCGTCTGCCCATGCCAGGGTGAAGTCCAGGGGGGATAACCTTTGCTTGAGAGCCGAGGGCAGGGTAGCGGCTACTGTATTGATTTGCCCACTGATCCTCCATGCCATTTGATGAGAGCGGAGGGAATGCATCTGAGTTGCTGTCCACCTGGAACAGAGAACTCGGTGCTGGTGAGACTGGGCGACTGTTGCTTGAGACGCTGAGGTTGGAGATTAGGGCCGAAGGGTCATGAGAGAACGGACAGCCATCTCCTGCTAAGCAATTACCCATCACCCAGTATCTAAACGAAAGATGATTAGTTTTACGTTCCAAGTTCGCCATGCAGGCTTAGACGGTACAAGAAAACAAGACGTACTTGCACACATGGCTGGTGAGGTCATGGCTGAATCGACAGTCAGCCCTCAGACACTGCCCAGTGGACAGCCAGTATTTGCAAACCACTGGACTGCGACCGTTGCCCGACGGCGTCACCGGACGGATTTGTTCCATGGCCATAGATTTACCAACCAGGACACGGGCATCTTCAGTTTGCTTCAACACGGTATCTGCCTCCGAGTCTTGTGAGAGGGCCGCGATGGTAGCACCGAGATCATAACTATTCGCTTCCAGAGCAGTCTCAATCTCCTCATTCGTTCTTTTGTCTCCCAGTACGGTGCGCAAGATATCATGTGGGCTCATATCGGGGACAAACTCCGCAGCAGTCGCACTCAAGGACCCGGGGACGCTCAGGCCACCTGTTGATGAGGTAGTACTGTTGGCATCATCTCCGACCAACCAATCCACATTGCTATCACTACCCAGATCATCATAAAAATTTGAAAGTTGACTTTGATCTGAAAATTCATACGCATTCAAGCTTGGCGAGTGTGGAATAGGTTGCGCCAGAGCAAGGCGGGGCGATGGTCGAGGAGAGGTAAACGGGGAGCCAGTTGAGGAACGCGGAGCTCGGGCGAATGCCCCGCGCGAGTTCTGCACCCACGAGGTACTCCCTGGGCTGGTTCCTAGTGTTGCTTGCTGGGGCGACAGCGGTGTTGAAGCGCGAGCCATCTGCCATGGTGCAGGCGATGACCGGCGAATAACTGTGTGACGGGCTGGAGGCGGGGAGGAGTCGGGCAGGGTGCGATTGCGATGCCGCCATAAGATGTCCAAGATGGCATTCTCCAGGGACGAACCCGACAAGGAGGAGTTGGCGCGCAAGAAATCTTCAATCTTTTCCACCTGCTCTTCTTCATCGAGAGCCTGATCCTGCAGGATCTCCAGCGACTTATCGAGGAGTTCTTCGGAAACCATGACGAAAGGTTGAAGCGAAAGTTGAACGCGCGGCGGGAAGGGGAGTAAGCTCGGCAGCTAGGCGAGAGAGGGCGAGAGAGGAGAGGTGGCCGCAGAGATCGCAGATCAGAGGATCGAAGGCTCTCCTTATCGATAGGAGAAATCAAAGAACTGTGTGTAGCCGAGATGAAGATGGGTCAAAGTTGAGACTCATCGATCTGGGTGTCAAAGGCCGCGATCCATGATCCCTGATCAGGTCGAATAGGCTGAATGAGGGTAATAAGGGGCAGGATTCCCCCAGAAACTCCAGGCAATGTGTCGCGGGGTAACTAGCAGTAGTTACATCGGATCGCCGACACTGAAGATATGACACAGGATAGTAATTTCAAAGATCGAACAATAAAATCAGCCGAGGAGAGTCAAGTTGTGGAGGAGATGATCCGATGCAAACAAAGGAGGGGGGGGGCAGAAGGCGGAGAAAGGAGATCAACATCCAAAGTACTGTCGACTTGTCCAGTGTTCATAGGCAACATCGTAACTAAGACTAGGACTAAGACTTTTAATTCCTTACAGTAGTTTCCAGATTATGTTCCGGTCGCATCCTTCACGGATTCATGCAGGATAAATGACAGGAGATTCTAAATTATCGTATGTGATAAGTAAATCTTGGCTATAGCGTAGCAATCTCATTTTTCTGGTTCTTCCAATATAGCTGAGGCGTCGATTGTATGCTTAACGAACTAGATGCCACATTTAATATCGCAAATGCTTGAACTTTAGAAATTCTCTAGCTTGTTGTACATGATTCCCTTTGTACGCCATATATCAACCACTTCTCTTCAAACCAAAACCCTAAGAGCAACTTTAACAAAGTTTCCCAGGGTCCGTCAATCTGGGGTCGGTCGATCCAAAATAAAGTACAGAGTAAATAATAATTTAACACCGAAAGCTCCGGCGGATCCGCTTTTTGAAGGAGGAGCTGATGGGAACTTCGCCGACCGAGGCGCGCCTTGGCTTCGACTCAGCCCCCCAATGTTCGAACCCTGATTTTCAGGGCTTATCGACGCCCTCTCCACCGCTGACACACCTTTTACATCGATCTGACTATCGGATGAATTGGCTACTTGGTCCTTTCTGAAGCTCTCTCAACTCTCTGGGGGTACAGAGTACTTCCTGGGTCAATCATTCCGTTCCCACCTTCCGTGTTGATCCCATTCAAGGAGCTTTCCCCCCAAATCTGATCCCCGTTCTCCTTCCATCGTAATCCTCCGCCCAAAATGCCTGCGGACTACGAGTCCACGGCACGGGCATTGGCGCTGTCGACTTCGCCACCAGAGCCGCTCGCAGATTCTCACGACGATGAGGAGCAACCCATATGGAGTCGGTCGGGGCGGCGCGACTCGTCGGCGCGCTGGTCGGGCGAACAGGCAACCAGTTTCCGCGACCGGATGATCGAGAAAGCCAAGAAGCTGTATCGGATGGCAAACGATCGGTATGAGCAGTTGTCATTATGGCAGAAGATTGGATTCTATGCTGCATCATTTGGGCTTGCAGCTTTGGGCATTGGCCTCATGGTCTTGACGGGCAAGCTGTTCATTTGGTTAGGGCCCGTTGCGGAGAAGTGGGAGAAGTCTTGGCTGGTCGCGTTTATACTATGGATATGCATCTTTTTCATCTCATTTCCACCATTGGTGGGCTGGTCGACTTTGGGAACGGTGGCAGGATTTATCTTTGGCTGGTGGAAAGGGTAAGTGGCTTCTTCGGAATTGCCCCCAGTCTGTTCAGGTGGCATTGGATGTTCAGAATGGATTATACTAACAGTTCTTGACACTAGATGGATTTTATACACCACTGCGACCGTTGTCGGATCTACCGCCTCGTTCTATGTTTCGCGCACCGTGCTCTCCGGATTTGTCAAACGCCTGATGGAACACGACAAGAGATTTGCAGCGCTGTCGCTCACGCTGAAATATGATGGGCTGAAGCTTCTCTGCATGATTCGCTTGTGCCCATTGCCATATTCGATTTGCAATGGTGCAGTATCTACATTTCCGACGGTGCAGCCCTTGATGTATGGACTGGCCACCGCAATCATCTGCCCAAAGTTGTTAGTCCCAGCATTCATTGGGAGTCGTCTACGGTTGCTCTCCGAGAAGGGCGAGGAGATGAGTGCAGGCTCCAAGGCTATCAACATAATCAGTATCATCGTGACGGTCAGTGTTGGAATTTTCACGGGCTATTACATTTACAACAGGTAAGTAGATTTCTGGCTTCTAAAATGTTGCATGCAGCAAACGAGACTTATCGAGTACCTGTTGCTAACGATGGATACTACCATTCAAACAGAACTTTGGCTCGTGCGAAAGAACTCGAGGCCAAGGAACGCGCCGAGATTCGGCAATCTCTCCAGGCCGATCATGCCGCTCATCGGTCTCACCGCAGGTTCTCTGACGATGATGATGTCAATGCGGCTGCCACCATGCTCGCTCGGGATGAAGAGGAGCGCATCGGCTTCGATGATTTGGATGATGACAACGTCGACTTGGATCTGGACGATGATAGCGACAATGATCCAGCGGGTCGATGGAAGAAGAAGGCGAATCGACGGTCGTATCATGATGAGTTTACAGATAATGACTCGGATGACTTCCCGAACGAAGGGCATGAGACCTTTGGGCTACACAGCCATGTCCAGCGCGAGACGTAAAGGGCTGTAAAGAGAGTGTGGGAGCCCGAACTGTGAGAGCTTGTAGCCGTCGTGCTTTATAGAGTGATGAATAGTAATGTTACTATGGCCGTCTCGCCTTCTGAACAATTTCCCTCTTGGTATAACTACAACTATGCATACGAGTATGAATACTGTGGTTGTGATAACTATGACTCCCTCGATTCTTCAGAAATCTTCATAGTTCGGCCATGTCGTAGTCGATCGCCAGGCGGACTGAGAAATACGCTCCACCCCGAGGAATCAAGGCACAACGGCCATTCTGCTCAACTTCGAATCCCGCTGCGCTCCCCTCCCTTCCACGCCGACTCGTCGCAATTGTTCCTCGATTGATGCCGGCCCATTTGCAAATTCATACGGGTTGGGTTCGTGGGGAGGTGGGTTACTTGAATGTATGTGGTGATCCCTAACCCCCGCCCTCGGTACTTCAGCCACATCTACTACATCTGCATGCAACGGAAAATTTCAAAACATAGAAACCACCTTATATGCATGGCATCTGACTGGAACACAGATTCATCCATCTCGTTTATCCTCCTAGTATCATCATAGCTTTCGTCCTTGACAACGATGCCATTCGCAGCCGAAGGAGATATGATTCGAACTCTGGCCGCTTGATCATCCTGGTGATCCTGTGATCTTGATACACCGAGTGGAGGACAATAGGGCTTCGTCTTAACGAAACAGCACTGCTGCCCACCTCTTCCTCCTCCTCCTCTTCTCCTTTCTATCTTCTTTTTTTCCTCTTTTCAGAAATCACTCATCATCTTGGATGCTTTGAAGGCTGTGGAACCGAAGTCAGAAGCACCAGTGTTCCTTCCATTTCAACATGCACGCCACCTCTTCTATCCTCATCCCGCCCCTCACGGGTATTCCTCCAAACCAACGTCCCTTCATCCATCAAGTTGGTCCAAATGGATTCTCAAATACTGCAGTACATGAAACTATGGACTCTTCACAATCGGAATCATCTGAACCGCCTGTGAAGAGGATTCGAACCGATAATGGTCATGCTGCCTCCTTTGCTTATCCTCCACCTTCTGTTCTCCTCGAATATCACCACAAACCTGCTGTATATCAAGCTCTCTCACAGAAAATGATGTCCAATGGCATTCATGAGACACAAAGCCCTTCGAGTTCTTACATCGGTGAAGAAACACAAATCCTCAACGCCTCAACTACGTCTACCTCGATCACATCCTCGATGGAGCCGAGAAAATCTTCCACTCCTCCATCTACTCCTGCACAGTCTTTACAGACAGCTTCAGCTGTTTCCGGCGTCAGTGTGCTGGATAGCAACAGGGTTGATTTATCCAAATGTCGACCTCGATCATCCATTCCATCCAAGCTGACCCCATCCGTGTATGGTCAGCAATGCGTGGCGGCTGCCTATGCATCTCGACTTGATCCATATGCTTTACACGAGAAGGAGCAGGAGATACTGCAAGACCATCTCTGCCACATGCACGTGACCACATATTTGAACATTCGCAATGGAATCCTACGTCTGTGGACCCGGAACCCGATGGTCGGCGTCACCAGAGAAGAGGCTTTGGGGTGTACCAAAGACTATCGTTGGATGAACCTGGCTTCTCTTGCGTATGACTGGCTGGCGCGTCATGGATACATCAACTTCGGCTGCGTCGAGGTTCCCATGCCTCTGGTGGCTCCTCGAAGAGGACGTCGAAAAGAAGGACCTGTCATTCTCGTTGTCGGAGCTGGCGTGGGAGGACTTGGCTGTGCCCGTCAACTGGAGGGCCTTTTCAAGCACTATCGTGATTCAGATACTGAGCCACGAGTCATTGTCATCGAAGGACGTCCAAGAATTGGTGGACGCGTTTATTCCCATCCCCTTCACAGTCTCCAGTCTGATATGTTGCCAGAAGGTCTTGTCCCCAAGGCTGAAATGGGTGCTCAAATCATCATCGGTTTCGATCATGGAAATCCACTTGACCAGATTGTCCGCGGCCAGCTGGCTCTTCACCACCATTTGCTTCACGACCTTTCCACGATTTACGATTTTGACGGCTCACCCGTGCCTAATACGCAGGACGAAATGGTCAACAAACTTTATGAGGATGTCTCGGAACGAGCATTCGCTTATCGCCACAAAAAGCTCGTTAGACAAACAGCCGAGGGTGATCGCGAGATGATTGACGATGGAAAAGAGACTACTGTAGACGATGGAATTACAGTACGACAATGGGAAGAAGCTCGAGCAGCCGGTACCACCGATTCCCTGGTTCCTACGAAGCGCGTACGTCGACGCCGAGGAGTAGGACACAAGACTGGAGACATCGCAGCAGCCAACGCCGCGGCACCAAAGCTCGAGGGCGAAACCGAAGACCACCCGGCAGCCTTGGCAGCCCAAGCTGCGGGATGGAAGTTGAATGCGGGCTACACAGCAAATGACACTCTGGAATTAGACCGCGTTGCCTACGCAGCGGAGGCACAGTCCCTCGGCGCAGTGATGGATGAGGGAGTCAAGCAATACCGAGATATGCTTCCTCTGACGTCCCGGGATATGCGACTTCTGAACTGGCACTTCGCAAATCTCGAGTATTCCTTCGCCGCGAATCCCAAAAAGCTCAGTCTAACTTTGGCGGATCAGGACTCTGGAAATGAGTTCGAAGGGCTCCACTCCATGGTCGTCGGGGGTTACAACCAGTTGCCTTATGGCTTGTACTCGGTGCCTAACAAACTCAACGTCCACACCAACAAGATAGTCACGAAGATTGCTTACGACACAAATGGAGGGGGCAATCGCAAGGCGGTCGTGTACTGCGAGAACGGCGAGAAGTTTGTCGGCGATCACGTCGTGTACACTGGCTCTCTTGGCACCCTTCAACACCGCACCGTCCAATTCGATCCTCCCCTTCCCGATTGGAAGCAAGGCGCAGTTGATCGATTAGGCTTTGGTCTCTTGAACAAGGTCGTTTTGGTCTTCGATGAGCCATTCTGGGATACCGAGCGCGATTTCTTCGGTCTTCTTCGCACACCTGACAACCCTGAGAGTATGGTCCAGGAGGAGTATGCGGCGAATCGTGGTCGGTACTACCTGTTCTGGAACTGTATCAGAACAACCGGTCTACCTGTGCTGGTCGGTCTTATGGCGGGAGATGCTGCGCACCAGGCCGAGCAAATGCCAGATGCCGAGATTGTCGAGGAAGTCACTACGCAGCTGCGAAACGTGTTCAAACATACGGTTATTCCCGATCCTCTGGAGACTATTGTCACTCGCTGGGCATCAGACCCATTCACTCGCGGCAGCTACTCCTTTGTCGCTGCGGGTGCCAAGCCTGAAGATTACGATCTTATGGCGCGAAAGGTTGGCAATCTCCATTTCGCGGGAGAAGCCACTTGCGGAACGCACCCGGCAACCGTTCATGGCGCCTACCTATCCGGTCTGCGCGCGGCGTCCGAAGTCATTGAGGCTACCATCGGCCCCATTGAGATCCCTATGCCCCTCGTTCCAGAGAAGCCTGCTGCCAGTGTGATCACACCGCCCACAGCAGGTATTATTGCGGGCACACCAAAACGCCCGGCCCCGGCAACAACCTCCCGAAGTCCCAATGTTGCCGATAAACAGCGCCGAGACACCTACGAGCAGGCCATGTGGACGGCCATCTACGCCGAACTGGGGCCAACGCCCACTGCGCCAGCAAAGGCGGGACGCAACCCGTTCCTCTTGTACCAGAAAGATTTCTGGGCCAAGTGTAAGGAACAGTGCGATGAGGCTCGGCGGGTTGCGGCCAACAACCCGAATGCCAAAGCCTCCCGAGATGACATCCGGGCGGCCCTTGGTCTGATGTGGCGCAATGCTCCTCCTGAGGAGAAGCAGCCGTACATCGACCAAGTTGAGGCCAATCGAATTGCGAATGACGAGGCATTCGAGAAGTTCAAGGCGGTGGGTGCGGAGTGGAATCGGCGTTCGTTCGAGGTCAGGGATAAGTGGTGTGCTGAGAATCCTTTCGAGGATTGGCAGGTTCCGGCGGGCTCGACTGTGGCCAATTAGGTTGCTTTTACCCTGTTTCAATAGTTTCCATATTCTTATCTTAAGCAATCTGACCACTGAGTCCGAGAGATTCATCGCTTACTTTCGGTTCGTTTACAGTGAGATGAAGTATCAGAACATCATGAAGTTTCAGTCAGATTCGTTCATCTTAGATAATCGGAGACACCCGACCCGCGTAGCAGCACGGTTTCTATTTTGTCTATGTATTTGTTACTTAGCCTACGAGTAAGTCGAGATATAGGAGTGCTGTTAAGACTTCATCTTCCTATCAAGATGTATAATTAAGGAATGGGGCCGTCTCATCCAACATTCCCATAGTCATAGAAACACGATCAAACCATGTCTCAAAATCAGCTTGTTGCTGAGGTCCCGGCGCTTGTCTAGCACGTCTCCCTGTAGCGATGGCCCCTGATATTGACGAGTAGTCAAGGGCTTTCCATGCAGTTTTCCCCGGTTGATACTCTTGTTGCCGAGGCGTCACCTTTGGAACTTCTCGTCGGGTCCGATCAGCTCTCAGAACCGTCAAAAGCTGTTTTAATATCGCAATCGCGGCGTTTACGCCTTGCATCGAATAATCCCACAATGGTCCGACGAGATCAGCGGAGATCACCCCAGCAAAGTCTGTTTCTTGTGACTTTCGACTCGCGGTGACTCCGGCGGTCAACTCGGTCTGATATCCATATAATGTATTTTGGCACTCCGTGATAGCCTTGACCAAGGATCCTCGTTCATCATCAGTAGGATCGGTATTTGCAACGAGAGATCTTGTGCGTTTCACAAATCCCGGACATCGCGCAATCTCATGTCCAGCATAATCAATCAAAGCCCCCAACCGACTAACCTTGCCCCGCCGTGTTTCGTCCTCAATCATCTGCGGAATAATCTGCTTCCACTCCTCATCTTCAAGGAAACAACTTTCACCATTTAGCAGAGCCTCGTAAACAAGAAACCCCTTAAAAGACAACAACAGCGTCCTCCCCATCCCATCAGCATGAGCCTGCGCCCCACGAAGCTGATAAAGATGCGAAATACCACGCGAATGAAGCATCCACGCCTTTTCCCCAGTGACATTAGCCATTTCATACCCGCCCAGCAGAATCGCCGCGGCGAGAGTCGTGTCTGCCGTGACCAGGGCGGGATTATTCAATGTCCGAGCCATGTGGTACAAGGCACGCCCGTACATCTCACGACTAGCATGGACGAGTCGGTAATCTTGTAGCGCACGCCCCATCTGCAAGGCGCCTACACTGCGGAGACCCCAGTTAAACGCCTCGGCGGCGGAATATTGATTGTTGCGAGCCATATCGAACCATGTCACGCCCAGACGACAGCTGTGTCCGTAGTACTGGTAACGATATTTTGTGTCGAGGAATGTACAGAAACCCTCGCGGCATTGGAGATCTATATTTTTCGCGGCGAGACTTGGCGCGACGACCTGGTCCATCGATGATGACGATGGGATGATAGCATCTTTTGGTGGAGATTGCGAGGGGCGAATAATAGGAATAATAGTAGCAGAATTTGTGGCTCCTTCACCCTGGTCGATTGTGGCTTTTTTCGAATAGACGTAGAACTTGCGGTCTTTCACGTACCCCGGGCATTGAAGCCCTCTCCTCTGACAACGGAGGCATTCGGGGTGTGTTTCGTCGCACTAGGATTAATTAGATTGGGGTAACCGGGACGTGCGTGGCATTAGTTGGGAAGCTTACCTTGACTCGTCGCTGTATACACGTCTGGCAGCCGGTACTTCGAGGGACACCCACCATCGTCTGTTGGTGTACATACTCTGTGGAGGTAGTCGCACATACAGTAGAGAGGCCGGGGGGTAGGGTACTCTGCCGGTGGGGAGGGAGGGTCAGAGGAAGAATAAATCCGGTTGTAAAGGGCGAATACGAGGGGGGCCGATGGGGTCTGGAGTCGATTAGGCCACCCGATTTAGACCGATTGGCGATTGGCGATCCACGTTTGAATCGATAATTGATCACATCAGCCCCAATGAGGATCTTGGCGGGATGGTGCGTTGGCACGACTGAATGGTCACTGCTGGTATGGTAGGTATCATTATTCTTCCCTTTATATTCAGCCAAAGGGGAAAATCGTCTCAGGACACGTCTCTTTGATTGCGGTTCTTGAGTCTGTTAGAGTTTTCGCCAAGGCCATATAGCAACTAAGCTTTCAAGATGTTACAAATGCGGATAACGATGGTCCGCGCTTTTCATCCTGCCATAAGCTTAAAGTCTAACTAATCAGTTACTATAAGGTGTGATCGTGAATATAGACAGCTTTGTAGAAGGCAGAAATATGCCTTTGAAAACGGACAGCCCGTGTTGGACCACCTTTTGTAGCTGAGGCGGCTCTTCAACATAGCAGCCGCATTGAGCATTGAGCCCGGGAAGCCGAATGAAATACGAGGTACCCTTGTAGGGCATCTGAATGCAAGTTCAAGATGATGTTTTCTCATTATGTCGGACAGTAAAGAAGTTACAACAACTCGGGTATTTCTTATCATCTCAGAGTGTCGAAGAAGCCCAGCCGTAAACGCTGACACCAAATCCAACATCTGATATTCCTGGTTCTGGTGGACATAACCTCCATGGAGAATTTCATACCCAGTATTCAAATTCATCTTCACAATGTCACTGCCTACGCGGCTGCTCTTGCCTGTGTTTCCATCGGCAAGCCGAGCCAAGCGCCCGCCAGCACAACCCAAAGGGCCCCAACGAACCAAACAGGGGCCCCGCCAGATACGGTAGTACTCTCAAACGTAGTAACAACATGCGCAATCAGCCCAGATAAACCCCAAAAGAAGCTCGTGACGCCGAGGCTGAAGCCTCGCGTTGGAGTTGGAACAATCTCCACAGTATAGAGTGTAAGTGTCGCAAGACCAGTATATTGTAAGAAGCTCAATATGCACTCAAAAGCCAGGGCGGAACCATGCGATCCAGAAGTTGTAGAGACCAGCATGAACAGTCCTGTCAAAACGGCAATTCCAGCGCCTGTACGTTTCCGGCCAACACCCTTCACCTCGACCAGGAATGAGGCCACGATTGGACCCGGAATCGCGCAGAGAGCGGAGTATAAATAGCGACTGTATAGGTAGCTTCTCGTCACGGTAATTGCATTGACTTTGCTAACGCCATGCACAGCCCGATAATTACTGATGTAGGTTTGATATAGGATAAAGGTGAGACCCATAGCAATCCAGAGAAGGACAAGACTGACGATCCCAATATTTCCCGAAGAGGCGAACAGGGACTGAAGTCGGGACTTGGAGTCCAATTGCTCTTCTTGTGCATCAATCGTGGAATCAATTCGCGCAAAGGAAGCTTCGGTCAACCAGGTCTGTCGCTTGTTGTAGAGGGCGATGTCCTTAACCAGCTGTGTCGCTTCCGCATCGCGACGACGGGCAAGGAGAAACTTGGGAGTCTCGTAAAATTGTCCACTATTCATAAACTCCTGGACCACCTAATGCAAGGACAAAACAGTGTGGCATAGAATCGTGGTTGACTTCTGGGCTTGGAGTGGAAAGCTTATTCCCTGGCTCTTATCACAACTTCCTACATTGCATCCTCTTCATGGGACATCTTATTATCCAGTATAAATCCGAACCTATCATGCAAAACTCGGACGATCTGTCTAGATTGGGATTAGCTTAGTAGAAACTAGTATGAGCGGACATGACTTCAGCTCGCCCGCCCTCTGGATTGACTAAAAGGCCACGCGGCACACTAACTAATTCACAAGCGAGTAGTTGACTCTCTCGGCCAAAGGCATCTGAATATAAACGACCAGATCAAATATCGCCTGCACCGTCCGCGGACATTCTATTGCTATCTCTCGGTCCAACTCGACCTCCATCTCCGTGGAGGATGTTACTCCCGAAATGGAGCAGAAGTAATCATGTGCAAGCGTGCATTCAACGAAGGTATCAAATCTGGGGAGTATAAGGAAGAGAAATAGCTAGTGAGATAATGTTTGTGATATTCCCAAACAAGAAATGCTTTCCCTTATCAACCCGATTCAACCCATTTCGAACCTTTCATCCAATCCTCAACTAATCCAGCCGTATGCCCGAGGAAAGATAGTGCGGATCTGTCAATGCAATCAGCTTGTAGGATGCTATAGACGTGGAAAGCTGTATGTCGTACCAATTGCTCATGGGAGAAAGGCGACGGCCCTGGGGATTTCTCCTAAAAATCAGATGTTTGTAATTTGCTCTCATGGTAGGATACTAAGGACTTGAGAAGATAGATGACCCTTTTTATAGATGAACAGGCATGGCCCTATTACCGTCACCATTCGTGCTGTTTACTACTACTACTAGCGCCTCTGCATCTTCGGGTCAGATCTATTTTCTACACAACAATCACAAAGCACTCGAAGTATACGGGGATATCATCTATTTCTATCTCTATCGGTAACGATCAATCCCAAGCAAACAAGCCCGAACCCAATCTACCGAACAGAAGAACGATGGACCAAGAAATCCCGGACCAAAAAGTAAAAACAAAAAGAAACAAGTAGATATAAAAAATGGGAAAGAAATCCGTCAACCATGAGAGGAAAAAGGAAAAAAGGAGGTATGCATTGGGGAATTCGAGAACATTTCAGATCGCAGAACACAGACAAGTCTAGAAATGTGCATGCACGCAAGCAATTCTAAACGCTATGCGCCATAAATGATCGGGATCATGAGAGGAGGGAAGAGAGGGGGGAGGAGTGGCGTGGGCGTGTATATATTTTGGGGTGAATGGGATGTTTAGAGGACGGGGGCGGCCTTGGCACCGTTGACCTTCTGGGTGGAGGGCTCGACCTCGGAGAGGAACTTCTCGGCCTCGAGGGCAGCGACACAGCCGGAGCCTGTATGATATGAATTAGGTGGATTGTCCTTGAATTACAATGGGAGAATGAATTAAACTTACCAGCACTGGTGATAGCCTGGCGGTAGCGCTTGTCCTGGACGTCACCGCAAGCGAAGACACCCTCGACACTGGTGAAGCTGGTGCCGGGCTGGGTAACAATGTAGCCATCCTCATCGAGCTTGAGCTGGCCCTTGACCAGGGCGTTGGCAGGGTCGTGGCCAACAGCGTAGAAGAGACCGTTAGCCTCAACGATCTCCTCCTGGTCGTTGGTGGTGCTCTTCACGCGGAGGTGGGTCATCAGGCCGTTAGGCTTGCTGTCACCAATGACCTCGGTGGCGACAGTGTTGAAGCGAACAGTGCACTTGGGGTGGTTGAGCAGACGATCAGCCATAACCTTGGAGGCACGCAGCTTGTCACGGCGGACCAGCACGGTGACGTGGCTACCGTACTTGGCCAGGAACATGGCCTCCTCGGCGGCAGAGTCACCACCACCAATGACGTACAGGGGCTTGTTGCGGAAGATGGGCACAGCACCGTCGCAGACAGCGCAGGCACTGATACCGTTTTGCCAGAACTTCTCCTCGCCGGGCAGGTTCAGGCGACGGGCATTGGCACCGGTAGCGATGATAACGGCGTCTGCGGTATGAGCAGGCTCGTTGTCGGGACCATCGTTCCACTCGGTCCACATCTTGAAGGGCCGCTGTGACAGATCCAACTTGGAGATGGTCTCGGTGATGATCTTGGTACCGAAGCGCTCGGACTGAGCGCGCATCTTGTCCATCAGCTCGGCACCGCCGACACCGTCGGGAAAGCCGGGGAAGTTCTCGACATCAGTAGTGGTGGTGAGCTGGCCACCGGCGGCGGTGCCATTAGCGAGCATACCCTCGTACAGGACGGGCTCAAGTTCAGCGCGCGAAAGATAAATAGCGGCAGTATGGGCGCCAGGGCCCGAACCGATAACTGTGAAGAGAAAAAAAATGCCCCGATTAGCACAACCATACTTCTTTGTCCGTTCCGATCAATTTCCGCTACAACACTTACTGACTACTTTGGAGTGCACCATTCTGGCGGGATTGAGAGAATTGACGCGCGCGGGCGTCGATAACGGCTGCTTGAGGACGGAGGCCGGAGGGGGAGATTGTTGGTGGAGAGTAGTTGAGGCCGCGGCGGCAGTGAACCCAAGAGACCGGAGGGCGGAAGGAAAACGGCGGAGCGTGGAGGAAAACAGCTTGAAGGTTGTTGTCGGGAGAAGAGGAGAGGGGGTTAAAATGTCGGAGACCGTAATTTTTAATCGGGTCTGGTGGGGTCTTGATGATGAGATCAGAACGATCAGAACAGTTCTGCGTCCTTCCGCCAAAATGGTCCAAATTAATCATTTGCCCGCGTCGAGGCCCCTCGCTTTCTAAGCATACTGGCACGTGACAAGGTCTCGACCGGGTGGCAACGACAGTATCAAAGAGGATCAAAGGGGTATCAGATCACACAATTCCTCATGATTCCGTCCTCCCGAGGTACCCGAATGTTTAGAGCTTAGCTAGAACTGATCCGATTGATAAGAAAACATCCAGCACCACTAGGTCTAGCCCATCATCCATGAACTTCTTGTACATCTCGTCCCTAAGCAGAGATTATCTAAGCAGACTGTTATCGTCTTATCTTATCGTCGGGATTGACTCGGCCAGAATCACGCCATTTTCCCGTTTCCCGAAAGGCGGTCAAGCCAGAGTACATCCAGAGTGTGGTGGTGATAGTACAAAACAGGCTCATGTCAGATGCTCATTAGATTAACCGCAAGAGGAGGAAAATGTGTGAAAAATGTCCAGATTGAATTATCCATATCAAAACATCATGAACCCCCACAGGGAAAAACAAGCAAATACCCCCATTGAAACATTAGCGTAAATCGTCATAATATACATCAAATCAAATCAAATCACCGCAAACCAAACCACTTCTTCTTCGGTGGACTAGGCTCCTCCTCTTCATCCTCGTCATCATCCTCAGAAGACTCATCAGCCGGCTCGGGATGCACTCGTCGAGGAACGGCTCCATTTTCCTCCCCCTCCTCATCGCTTCCAGGGTATTTGTCATAGTGCGGGTGTGTAGCAGCGGCATTCGCGCGGGTATTATTGATAGTGTCATGGTCTTCGTAATCATCAACGTCCTCTTCATCTTCATATTCAGCGCCGTGAGGATCCTCAGCGTTCTTCTTGCGGCGCGGCATGCGCAGCCATTTGCGCCATCCTTTAACCACGGGCGTGGGCTCGGGGTCGTATTCTGTGCCATTGTAGCGGAGTGCCGGCACGAGGAGCTTGTAGGGTACGGTGATGCCGGCGGGGTCGTGGGGGCTGATCTCCAGGTTCAAGGTGATGGCTAGGCCTCCTTCAAGATCGACGAGAGCTCCGGCTCCGTCGTCACCTTGTTTGGCGGCTTTCTTGGCAGCCTTGAGGCTGAGGTTGGTTGGCCGGCGGTGGAATTGGCCTGGTCGAGGTTCTTGTGGGTTGCTTGGGAAGTAGCTGTCTGCGCTTTCGTTGGGTCGTGAGAGAGGTGCGTCAACGCTGGCTCGGCGAGCAGATACTCCTGCCTCGCGGCCGATGCTCATGGTTCGGGTGGGTGGTCCGCCTCGTGTAGACAGTCGACGTAAAAGGCCGCCAGGCTTGCTGCCGGGACCTTTGTCACCACGTCCCAGCGATAGGGTGCGCTGAAGTTTGCCGGGGCGAGGCTCGGGGGTTGGTGTCATCTCGGACTCGGGTGTACCAGGGGGCGTAGAGCCGGGACGGTATTCCCGGATAGAGCACCAGTTGCGCCTGGGGAGGAGACGCTTATTGTTTCGGGGCTTGCCATCAACATCTTGTGTGAAGATGGGGATGACATCTTCGTCGGTGTTTGAGTCCATGTGGTGGACTGTGTTGCGCTTGTTAAGCATGTCCGAGATTATTTCGGTCTCGGGCACGTTGGCAATAGCAGAGGAGATCACATTAGGCATGTATCGGTAATCTCGATCTTTGGCTATATCCAACTTGGGATTGGAATAGAATTGTCCAATGGCAGCCAAATGAACATCACCACTAAAAACCTGATTAGTATATAGTTCCAACCAGCAATGAACATGTTTAGTTGCTCACCTGAGAATCGTGACTCGGACAGATTTCTCCGCCGCGAGATCTTGCAAGTCCTCGACGAGCCAGGTCCGTTCAGCCTTGAGGTGTTTTCCGGACCAGTGATCATCAAAAACCTCGACATTACCACCAGAGCGGTTAACAAGACCACCAATCATCCCAGCTTTTCCAATGGACTTGCGGCTGTTCATATAGTTCTTGAGCATGGCCTTTGGGGGGTTCTGGGTTAGCTTTGGATAGGGAGATGAGTCCAGCGGGCTACGTACCACGCGAGGGTAGGCAATGGGTACGCTCGAAAGAACGATCAAATGCTTGGTTTTTCCTTTGACGATTTCACGATGGCATCTATCCCAAATCAATTCACCGGTTTCTGGGCTAATGACCTCGTTGGTCTGTATGAAAGAATTAGCAGGTTAATTGTGGGGCGTCAAGATCAGCCGGAAATCTTACCTGTCGTTCAGTTCGGCAGTCCAGGCCCAAGAAGACCACATCGCTACCTAGTGACATGAACAAATTGCGACTCCGCTGGTCAATGTATGGGCCTGGTCTGGCACCAAGGATCCAGCTAGGTTCGTCCATCTCTGTTTCGTCCGGCACGCTGTGGTGCTGGAACAGGAGATAATACTTGAACGCGATCTTGCCCAGGCCGGAGATAACAGCACTTCGCATGAACTCTTCAGGGTAGGAACCGAACCCTTCAAAGATTTCATGGTCATTCCAGATGTTCACCATTGGAATTTGGGAGTTAGCCAGGGAAAACAGTCCCTGGGAGAACCATGAAGCGTAGCGTTCAAGGTAAAACTTCTCGAGTTGCGCGCGGAACTCGGGAGTGAGTGGGCAACCATAGCGATCTCCCGCATTCTTGATCTTGATCCAATCCTGAAACAAAGCAAGATCTGTGATCACGCCGTCATTGAAAATCTGATCACCTCCTCCGATCATCACATGGAAAGGCTGAGTCTGATGTTCATTAAGAATATCTCTCCAGAGTGGATCGGGTCCGCACATAGGGTTGGGGTCAACGTTGGGGCCGAATCCATTACCACTGTGGAACATGATGTTCATAGGCTTGCCCATAGCTGGGACCCAGAAGCCCAAGGCGGGTCCTTGGTTGATGCGGTATGCAATTCGCTGCTGCGTTGCACTGAGTTCGATTTCGATACTGAATCTCCAGAATGTGACATCTCTGGCAGCATCCGCGTAGAGACGCACGCCGGGGATATCCCGGTGCAGTTCCGCAGTCTCACCGTCGACAGGGTGGATTCTGTTGGAAGGGATCGGTTGCTTGGATCCCTCTGAGCTGTATTCAATCATGCTGGGAGATAACTCATAGATCCCATCATCATTTTCCACACCGGACAGGTCAACCTCTTCTTCGAGGTGGTCCACTGGCTTGACATACAAAGGACGCCCATCTCGGCCAACCTTCATAAGACCTGCAGTAGGGTCCACATATTCAGGTGCCAGGGCTCCGTTCTCACCACTAACTTCTGCGGGTGGTGGGGGTAGGAGATCCATCGGTTGTGAGAAGAGTCTCAGGATTGGCGGAACCTCGTAAGAAGAGCGAGAATCCTTCGTGACTATCATGATAGACCCTCTCCAGAACTCTTTCTCAATAGGCCCACTGGCTCCATCAATACTCTCTTTTCTCATACCAGTGTATCGAAGGAGAGGTCCGCATCTCAGGAACAACTTGGGCTGGAAATTCTTGTTGCCAGTGACTCCTATACAAAGTTAGATCTCTATCCTGGCCTGACTTCGCCCTTTCTCAATGGATGTTTGGTACCACTTACCTGTCACTTTCTGTGCGGCGGTCTGATAATTCTTGGGGAGAGCCCTACTCTTCCTTCGATCGCCCGAGGCGCCTCCTTCCCACCACGCCTTGCTTCGATCGATATCCAAATGTTGAAAGTCAAAGTCAGCAGCTCCAAGGTGAGCAACAGGAGCATTCCTCCACTCAAAAATGGGTGGAGGCGTGGGTGGTGGCACATCGAATGATACCGTTTGACGTGGTTTTGACCTTGGCAGCGATGCACCAGATAGGGACTTCAGTGCAGGAGGGGTGTCTAGTCTTTCTGCGCTAGTGACCGCAGCAACAGATTGTACCGGTCTCGTCGGTCCTTGCTGGGATAATGAGCGAGTGTGCATAAGTTTCTCGCCTGGTCCTTCCTTTGCTCCATGTTCGCGCACTGTGACTGATCTCCGAGGGACACTGCCCATCTTTACCGGCGGGGCTCTGACATTTTCAGCACCGGCAAATTCTGCTTCTTCGGGTTGTCGGATGGCTGGGTACTGGGGGTTCATCGAGACAGCTCTGTTGTGACGCACAGCGGTGCCTACGGGTGGCCGGGCTGCTGCTCGAGCGGTTTCCACCACAATTTCATTCTGCTTCACTGCCCTGGTGGAGGCAGGAGTCCCACGATCTGCCGAGTGTGCAGCTGAGTGTGCACTCTGCTTTGAATTCGGTCGAGGAGCGCTGGCAGTGCCTGCTGCTGCTGCTGCTGCTGCCGCCGCAGCTTCGGCCTGCTCCTTTTCGATCTTCTGTCGAGCAAGACGTTCCCGCAGTCGCATTTCTGCTTCTTGTACTCGGGCTCGCTTCTCTTCCTTGCTGATCCCATTGAGGGTGACCTCGAGTTTCTGTAATGGCGAACGATCCGAGGCCCAGTCTCGTTTAGTACTCGCGCCGCTTGTCGAGCGCATAGTGTTCGATCGACTGGGTTGAGATGATACACTCGGAGCAGCAGGAGCCTCGGGAGGATGCCGCGCAACTTCATTTCCCGCCAAGGCGGCACCCGGGCCATGAAGATAGCCTGCAGGCGGAAGGCCGCGAGGAGTGGTGGATTCTTCGTCCAACCCTGGAGGAGCCACTGGCGCTGGTTTGCGTGTGGTATAGTTCAGATTGGCTGCGGCTCTGGCCGAGAATGAGCGGCTCGGCGGCCCTGACGCCCTGGAGCCTGAAGAGGCTTTAGGCGCAGGCTGTGAATAGGAACCCTCTCCCGCCGAGGGCGCATAGCCTGGTTCTTCCTCATAGCTGGCGACACTTGGAACAGTTGTGCTATGTCTGCGAGTCTCCGTAGCTCTGCGTGCTCCCTTCACAATCTGTGGGTCAGAGCTACCATTCGCCAGATCGGGCGATCCGCGCATTGCGGTAGTCGCCATCGTCAGCCGTTCTGCGCTGATTTACGTGGAAGAACAGCGCAAATGAAAGGACTCTCGTCTTATTGAATTGAATTGAAGAGATACCCGTCGTCTGGCCCTGAGCTGAAGTGATTCTAAGTCAATGATTGCTCATGAGGACATTTTTGAGACCTAGCTCAATTAAATGCCGAGCGGATGGGGGCTCAACGTACCAGGCTTCGTTTATCTTCTCGAAATCACAGTCCGTTTGTGTCTGATGCCTGACGCGGGCTCACCACATCCTCGCCTGAATTGAATCAGGTTGCGCCAGGCTGTTAGGTACTTGTTTGGGCGGGCTGACGGCGGTGACAGGGTAGAGCGTGGCACGAAGTTTGCTGGAGGTATTCGATCGAAATGCTCAAGAATGTTGGCAGTTCGCAAATCTGAGATCAGAGAACAAGAGGGGAGGTAGGAATGGAATGGAAGAGGAGAAAATTCGGTGGAGGCAGCAGGGCAGGATGAGCTTGCGCCGCCCTGGTCTATACTTCGCCATTATCCTGGTGGCTGGTATTTTCCCACCCCAGCCTTCGCGCGGGGCGGGGGGATTCATTGGCCAATAATTCCCCCCTCGTGGGTGACAGATACTTGATTAGAATTACCTACAGTCTTCCTTGATTCCAATCTATTTAGCAGGATTTTCAATTTTTTTTGTAGTTTAGAGGTGCTTGTTACTGCATGATTGACTAGGTACTCCGTACAAGTACGGAGTATAGAGTGGGGTTCAACCCCGTGCTTCGTTTATGGTTAAATGTGTGACCGGTTCACTGGCTCAGTAACTCTCTCCTACATACATGTTAGAAAACAATAGCACTGTCTCTTGTGTTGAATTGTTGAACACTATTGCTGTTAGGTATTGGTAGTGTAATCGTTCTTGCTAGTAGATCCATGCACGCATGAGGTTAAATGCCTGATTCAGTCGGTCGACTTCGGACAGATATACAAGCATCGTCAGGCGATCACCTACAGCTATTCACATTGAGCTAGAATGAACATGCGCTCGTATAACCCTTGAAGTTAACTAATCTAGGAAAGGGTAAGTATATTCTAGATTAATCAAATTGATCCTCGCTAGCCGACCCGTCTCTCTTTCATATGCAAGGAATCTAAGGAACTACAAGACAGGTATAGGGTACCTGGTGCAGTGTCGGACTCAATTCCATTTCTTTGTCCAGTTTCTGGCGTGCAAATAATTCAGTGGAGAAATAGGATAAGAATGAATACGTTTACTCTGCATTTTTGAGATGTTTTCTTTGATGAAAGTAGTAAAATTATAAAATATGGTGGTGCCTAGTCCTCCATACAGATAGAATGTCTCCATAGTAGAGGTACATCCAAAACGGCCCGTCTTTAGCATGTACGTAAGCCTCAGCCATTGAACCAACACCCGTAGTCCTTAGATTGCAGAAGAAACCGTGGTCTTTCATGAAAGAAAATAGTATCAGTAGGGGCCAAAAAGGAGCACTGCCTGTACAGCCCATACTTGATTGACAGCCCAGACCCATTCACCTCCGCCACAAACCCCCAAACTGGAGTGGGTTTACCAGCTGAATTCGGTACTCAATAAGGTCCCGTGTTATTCTGGCTCCCCCCGACGATCCTCCTATTCTACAATCTCTCTTTCTCTCGCCACCTTTCCTTTCCCCATTATTACCCTCGACCCGGAAATTTAACCCTTTCGGCTCCTCCTTGTTGCTACGAAATCAAGGTCTGGCACCTTTCATGGCAGCAGCGCCCTTTACCATCCGTTTCCTACCCTAGAGCAAGCGCGCTATCTTGCCTCGAACCGCCGACCGACGACCCTATCCACCATGCGTGTCGCCGGCGGCATTGCTGTCGCCCTCAGCTTGGTAGGTGCAGCCTCCGCAGCCCTCCACCCTCGCTCCCAAGAATCTCGCGACTACTTCGCCCTTCACCTCGACGATTCGACTCCTCCGGCCGACGTTGCACGAACGCTAGGTGCCCGACATGAAGGTCAGATCGGAGAGCTCGCAGGCCATCACACCTTTTCGCTGCCCCGAGACCAGAGCTCAGATTTCAATGCTGTGTTGGATACCTTGAAATCGAAGCGAAAGCTCCGTCGCCGGTCGGGCGAGGGCGTCGCATCTCGGAGTGGAGATCCGCTGGAGGGAATTCTTTGGTCACAGAAGCTGGAGCCACCTAGGCAAAGGTTGCAGAAGCGGGCGCCCCCCGTTTCTTCAAAGCATTTGACTGAGAGGTTTCACCCGAAGACGGATCGAAGGGCGCAGGAGGAACAGAGCCAGCTGATGTCAACTTTGGGAATCACCGATCCGATCTTCAAAGACCAATGGCATCTATATAACGCCTTGCAGCCGGGTCACGATCTCAATGTGACCGGTGTCTGGCTGGAGGGAATCACTGGTCATGGCGTGGCGACGGCTGTGGTTGACGATGGATTGGATATGTACAGCAACGACTTGAAACCGAATTACTTCGCCGCGGGCTCTTGGGATTTCAACGAACATGGACCCGAGCCTCGACCTCTCTTGTACGATGATAAGCACGGTACTCGGTGCTCGGGCGAAATTGCAGCGGCCAAGAATGATGTGTGTGGTGTGGGTGTTGCTTATGACAGCAAGGTGTCAGGTATTCGAATTCTGTCCAAGGCGATTGACGACGTCGACGAAGCAGCTGCGATCAACTTTGCGTTCCAAGACAATGATATCTACTCCTGCTCGTGGGGTCCTCCTGATGATGGTGCGACCATGGATGCACCGGGCTTGTTGATCAAGCGGGCGATGGTCAACGGTGTGCAGCAGGGACGAGGTGGAAAGGGCTCGATCTTCGTGTTTGCCGCAGGCAACGGCGCTCTATTTGGAGACAACTGCAACTTTGACGGGTATACCAACAGTATTTACAGTGTCACCGTCGGGGCTATTGACCGACAGGGAAACCACCCGACTTACTCAGAGTCCTGCTCCGCACAGTTGGTTGTCGCATACAGCAGTGGTTCTGGGGATGCAATCCACACGACTGACGTGGGCACGAACAACTGCTATACCCAGCACGGTGGCACCTCGGCGGCCGGTCCGCTCGCCGCCGGTTCGATTGCTCTTGCGCTTAGCACTCGGCCCGAACTCACCTGGCGCGACATTCAATATTTGATGATTGAAACGGCGGTGCCGGTCAATGAGAACGATGGGAGCTGGATGGATCTTCCCTCTGGCAAGAAGTTCAGCCACGACTGGGGTTACGGCAAGGTAGATACGTATGCGTTGGTTCACAAGGCTCAGAGTTGGGATCTGGTGAAGCCTCAGGCCTGGTTCCATTCACCCTGGTTGCGAGTGCACAACAACATTCCCCAGGGCGCTCAGGGTCTTTTGAGCCGGTATGTGGTGAAGGATGACCAGATGCAGGGTGCCAATTTCGCCAAGCTAGAGCATGTTACGGTCACGATGAATATCAACCACACCCGCCGTGGCGATCTCAGTGTGGAGTTGCGTAGTCCGAAGGGCATTGTCAGCCATTTGAGTGTTGCTCGCGAGAGCGACGACGAAAAAGCTGGCTATGTTGATTGGACTTTTATGTCCGTCGCTCACTGGTAAGTGTCTTAAACCTGCTTTAAACTGCATCATGTTGGGACTTTCTGTAGCTGACCTCCCACTAGGGGCGAATCTCCCGTTGGAGAGTGGACTGTGATTGTCAAGGACACTGAGGTGAACGAATTCACCGGCGAGTTCATTGACTGGAGACTTAACCTCTGGGGTGAATCAATTGATGGAACCAAGCAACCCCTCCACCCACTTCCCGAGGAGAACGATGATGATCACCCCTATGAGGAAGCGCATGTAGCCACAACCACCGTTGAGGCTGTGCCGACAAAGACCGCCACCCCTACCAACCCTGACGACCACCACGACCGACCAGTTAACCAGAAGCCCGGTGACTCGTCCGCCACCGGATTGCCCACTGAAGAATTGGAATCCACTGTCACCAGTGCTCCCTCCAGCGCCGCTTCTCCTTCGTCCACCTCCGCTTCGGACCACCTGTCCAGCTACCTCCCCTCATTCGGGGCTTCGAAACGCACTCAAGTCTGGATCTATGCCTCTTTGGCGATGATCATCGTCTTCTTCATCGGTCTGGGTGTCTACTTCCAGCTCCAGCGACTGAAGCGCCGCCGCACCAACCCCAATGACGATTATGAGTTCGAGATGATCGAGGATGAAGATGAGATGCACCCCATGACTGGTGCAACTGGTCGAACTCAGCGTCGTGGCGGCGAATTGTACAATGCATTTGCTGGGGAAAGTGACGAGGAGATCTTCAGTGACGATGAAGGGCCGTATCGGGATCGCCTGGGCAACATTCCTGAGAAGGATGGTGAGGCTGACTCCCCGAATGATCGCCTTTTGTCTGAAAAGAGGTGATTCATGTTATAACAATTTTGTGTGCTTTTCTCTTCTTGCATTGGGTGCGGTTGTTATCATATGTGCTACTATACTGGGGTTCCATCAGTATGATGAGACCCCGACAAATGTTCAAAATCATCTTTGCATTCATGAGTTGAACGATAGACTAAAAAATGATACCTAAGCTATCAAGGAAGGAGATTTAAAGGGCCTTTATAAAAACCTTTCAAAGAACAGGAAGTGGAAGCATATCTGTTGTGCGCTTTCTCTGTTTTCTAGACTCTGTACCTGTTTTGGGCCAGGATTTGCATTTGCGCATAAGAAGGGCCAGGCCGCCAAAAGTTCTTGTAAATAATCTATTACCTCTTTTGATGAGAGATGTCAAGTCATTCCGAGCATCCATAATTCCATTACATTTCCCAAGAAATAATTGCATTCCCCGAGACAGAGGCTATGCTCCTCTCTCTAACCATGAGATCAATAGGAAAGCGGCCTCCGCCCACGGGCGATAAAAAGCGATGACGACGGTGCCGCCTTCTGGGGGGAACTCCGCCTTTGGGGAAAGGACGATCATCTGAATCCCACTGGCCCAGCTCCTCTCAGCTTCTCAACTTCCTCCCGCCTCAGCCTCCCCCATTTTAGCCATTCTCACCATTTTTCATCTTCCATATTTGTCGCACAAGAATCCTTGGTATTCGAGTATCGCTCGGGCCCCCACGACTGTGTTAACAACGAGCTCCGATTCCGCCGGGAGACCACGGTTGAGACCGACCACCCCTCCCCGCCATGGATGAACACGACGACTTCGATAGCGTCTCCTGGAGGAATGACCCAGAGAGTGATGCTTCTCGACCGACCACCTCGGGCACAGATGCTGAGGAGGCCCATAAATATGATCACGATACCAATGGCAAGCGGAGGATGAGCTCCGCGCATGAGGAACCTCAGGCCGGCCCGTTAGCCGATGCTGTAGACTTGGCTGGTATCGGTGACGGTGTTCTAGAATGCCGTGTCGATTCACCCCTCAAGGAGAATGACGGCACAAAAGACGCATATATCTCCTACCTGGTTACCACGAATGTGAGCGGCCCCGGTTATCTTTGGAGCTTCCCGGGTGAAGCTTATGGCTGCCTGCTGTGGCCACGGGAGCTTTCAGCATCTACTGCCATGTCAAAGACCATATCGCTGACACACAGATTATCTAGACCGACTTCAAATCGTTCCAGAAACCCGAATTCAGCGTGCGACGACGATTCACCGACTTCTATTTCCTGTACAAGACGCTCTACCGCGAATACCCAGCATGCGCGGTACCGCCCCTTCCCGAAAAGCACAAGATGGAGTACGTACGAGGAGACCGATTCGGACCAGAGTTTACCACCCGGCGATCATGGTCGCTGCATCGGTTTTTGAAGCGGCTGACGCTTCATCCGGTTCTCCGCCGTGCACCGCTCCTGATCATCTTCTTGGAATCGCCGGACTGGAATGCACATGTGCGGTTACACTCGAATCGAGGAGCGACAACTACCTCATCTGAGAATGCGGGAACTGGAATCTTTGATAATTTCACAGATACCTTTGTCAACGCCTTCACCAAAGTACACAAGCCTGACCGTCGGTTTATCGAGGTGAAAGAGAAGGCGGATAAACTGGACGAGGATTTATCGCATGTCGAGAAGACCGTAGCGCGGGTCGCGCGACGGGAGGCGGATCTGGAGGCGGATTATACAGACTTGGCTACACAGTTCCGCAAGCTTGTTCCCCTGGAGCCGGCGGTCGAGATGCCATTGCAGGTGTTCGCAGCCTCCGTGGAGGAAACTGCACGCGGGATGCATGATTTGAAAGACCATACGGACCAGAACTACCTCGGCTCACTGCGCGACATGGAGGCATACATCCTTTCCGTAAAGGCGCTGTTGAAGACCCGAGAACAGAAACAACTCGACTTTGAGGCTTTGGTCGATTACCGGAACAAGGCTGTCGCTGAGCGCGACTCGCTCGCTGCCAACCCAGCCGCATATTATGCCTCCAACCCGCTTACCTCCTCTCCAGCCTCCTTCATCCGCTCCAAGATGGAGGATATGCGCGGCGTTGACCACGAACAGTCCCGTCGTGAGCGCGTCCGCAAGCTTGAGCTACGGATCGATGAACTCACCCGCGAGGTCGACTCCGCCAAAACTACCTCGGAGATGTTCGACGAGGAGGTCGTCCGCGAAGTAGCAGACTTTGAACGCATCAAGGCGGTCGAGTTCCGTGATTCTCTTGGCGCCCTTGCCGAGTCCCACATCGACTTCTACCAGGGCGTCCTGTCGACCTGGGAGCGATTCATTGCAGAAATGGAGGGTGATGCTGAGGGTGGCCTTGAGGCTGACTCTCACGCTGCTGAGTCGCGGTAGACTAGAGGTACCATGCACTCTGGGTGGAGGAGAGATATGGGAGGAATTGTCTATGGGTCTGGTATAGCTGTTCATGAGCCGATTTTTCTTGCCTAGCTTGTTTCTACCTTTTCATACCCGTAATACCATCACGTTTTGTCTCTGCTATAGTGTCACTCTCTCTGTAATACCTGATATGGGTCAATAGACAAGTTTCAACCAAGAAGGGAGCTGTCATGCCATCCTGAGGGATGACCAAGGGAAATAATTTCTTAGATCTGGCTGGGAGGCAATCAGAGGGTATGACCATGTTTTAGGTCAAGCAATCAACTCTTCCCCCCCCCCCTCCGATGGCCTAGTTGGTATCCACCATAAATTGGTGAGCCATTGGTGTGCCCTGGAGGAGTGGGCAGTGGGCAAACAAAGAAGAAAAAAAGTACTGGGCCAGTGTTGACGCTTCGAGCTCCACTGACGGCCGGGCACACCACTAGGCGGGGGAGTTCTTATTTTTGGAGATTTTTTAGTAATAATATTTTTCAGATGATAATACTAATCTGAAACTATTCTACTATATTAATTTTAAATCTTTATTAGCATTTTCAACGGTGTTCGAGGGTGTAAAGGGCTGTATCAGGTGGCACTGGGGACTGGCGATGTTCTTCGGTGTCCGTGGATGGCGACGCACTAACAGGGCGAAGTATATAGGGAACTGCAAGGTTGGGGGTTCGATTCATTGAAGTAGCGTTTTTCCTTTTTGTTCAAAATCTTTAGAGAGGTTTTGCTTGTAGCATGATAGTGATCGAGAACAGAGCTTTCATGGATATGGCATGCCTATGGTAGGTGAATCGGCCCTCTCTTTAAGAGGGAATTGAATATCCTTGGAGAGCTACTCTTCTTTCTTTACTACTCCTCACCTTGCCGGGTTTGGTAGGATGTTTGAATATCGGGCTATATTTGTCTTTGAGCGGCCTTTCAACTCGTCCCAGGGAGTCGGTTGGAACTCTGATGCTAGTTGCTGATGCGTCACCCCGGATTCTTGGGACGAGGTACGGTGCTTGCCATCCTGATTCTGATGCGTCGGATCCAAAGAGAGTATCAATCGATCGAGATCAGTAGACAGACACTCTCTAAGACGTAGTAAAGCAACAGCGCTCTCGGTTGGAGGTAACAGCGTAAACCACGCCATCGGTGCATCCGTCTCCTCTCGAAATTTCTGAAGCTGGGAAGCGTGTATCATAAACTCCATGAACTTTTCTGGGTTCTCTGCGAATTCTTTATCGCCTTGTTTCGCCAGCCACCCTCTGAGATCTAATGGTGTCGTGTCGAACTTGGACCAATGTTCAAACCATCGCTGCTTTTGACTTGTAGAGAGTGTTATACGGTACGGATCGATGAATAAAGACTCCCCGAGACGGATGAGCGTCATGGCTCTCTCTGCGTGAGAAATCACTCTGAACCACGATAATATTGCTTTCGCCTCGTCTCGGAATTCTTCGCATTCGATGGCTCTGATCATATCTGCCATGTGCCCGTCGCTGGCATCTTCTTCTGGTTGACTCGCAGAGCTCTCTAGTAAGCCCCCATTGTATTCCTCTAATGCGGTATATTGTTCAAATTCTGGATACTTCCGTTAGTCGTTGGCAGTATGTTTAGAACATCGGGAGATATACGTCGCTCCAAACGGAGTAATGAACAATCTCTTTCCTCGAGAGATAGCGCTGTGAACCATCTCACAACAGCAACCATTTCTTCATGAAATTCTTCATCTGTGGAAGCTTTGGTTGTATCTGCCACGCGACTAGATCTGTTTTCACTCCCTTGTTGACTGGGATTTTGAATTGTCGTGGTCACTGAATTCCACTCTTCCTCTGATTCATCATCATAGGGTAATTTTTCAGGTTCATCTTGGATTTTTTGGCCACGAGCTGTCGCTTCCTTTGCTCTCCGTTTTGCTCGCAAACGAAATGTGGAAAGCTCATACTTTGATTCGGTGACAGTCATATCCTCCAAGCTGGTGATGACAGAGTTCAAACTCAGAGTATCGGAATCCTCGTCATTCTCGCTCATGAATCCCTTAATGGCCCGCTGATCTTGAAGCTCATTACCAGCGACGCTGACTTGCGTGATAGTCTCCGCCTTTGAAGTAGCAGCATCCGATAATTCTGGGTAATCGACTCCACACACTTCCGAGAGCCATTCCAAAGCTCTAGTGTCGTCGATCCTTCGAATACCCGAGGTCATGATTTCTTGCTGATGCTGAATGGTATGAGCGTGTAGATTCTTGGTGATCTCTTGCAAGCTATCAATATAAGCCTTTGCGTCGAATATACGCGTTTCAAACTTCTTCCGATCACGAATAACCCAGTGCGTCTTCTTTCGAAGCGAAGATTTCGCACGATCGCCCGGCATCGACTTGACCGAGAAATTGTTAAGAGACGCGCTCAACTGCTGAATAACGCTTTTAGACCCATCGAGCCCAAGCTGAGATGAGATGCATTGACCCCGGCACAGCCATATCGACCTTGCATTTTCTCAGAGTCATCAAAGATGGCTAGGATCAGAGTCATGGTTTCGTATACTAGATCAGAATAAGCGCAGAGGTCGATTGGTCTTTGTTTCGTCGTTGTATCAGCTGCCAAGGATTTGTCCCCAGGTGTAAAGACGACAATTTTTCGATTCTGAGCTTCAATGATAGTTTTTGGAGATCTGTGCCTTGGGTCTGGAGGGTGTGGATCACGTCAAATGACTCGATACACAGCTTGAATAGACCCGCGAGTGTGAGCGCGCTTGCTATGGTTCCCACTATTTCTGCCATGGCAGATGCCTCGAGCTCCTTTAGTTCTTTTATGGAGACATATACTGTGCAAGTATATTACCCAATTCTCTCGACTGGAAATCAGTTTATATCCCCGTCTTAAGCGCCCCAACCCCGCCTTTCAGCCTCAAAGCCATCTGACCTATCATGCTGACGCCCCGCCGGTCCAATAGCATGAACCAGCGAAGCAAAGCTGCTCAATGACATGCTGTTTTTCTTCAAAGCGCAAGATGCAGCGAAATTGGTCAAGGAGCCCATAGACCTTGAAATTTCTTGACCTTGATATTAATTGGCAGGATGCATGTTTCCTTTCACCGCACCTCAGACCTCATGTTGAACTTCCCAGTGGACTATGTAAACAATAGTTTGAATCCGAGAATGCCATTGAGAATCGAACAAAAAGCCTGGTACCTAAGGCCCTAATATAGGCCCTTGTTTCTTATCTATAAGGACAGCGGGAAAATAGAGCGGGAGAGAGCAAACAAGACAAATAGGGGGAACAGGGGGAAGAGCGCTCGGCTGGTTCAGCGGGATGTTAGCGTGCAGTGGGTTCTTCATGTCTCTTATCCCCCCAAATGCAATGTATTCATGATAAGAGTGCAAAGTTGATCTTCAGCCTTGATTCTTGTTCTGCTCCTGGAGGCACTGGAGGTAATATTTCATCTTGTCTCCCCTCCTTCATTATTATTAAAGTTCTGTCACCCCACTCTCCCCCGGCGCCAACCAGAAACAATCAAAGTTTCCTGGAACACCACTTCATACACTCCGACAACTGTCACCATGTCTTCATATAGCATTCTCATCGACAAGGGGAACTTTTTGGTCGATCCCGGCCACATGGGACGGATTGAGGGGCCGACCCTGCGGAAAATGTTCTTGCCAAGGATCACGCGCGAAGGGCAGAAGGCAATATCACAAAACAGCCACTTCGTGCGTTGTCAATTGAAGCACTACGGAGTGGAATTTGAAGAGAAAGAATTCTCCGGCAATGGGACTGCATTGCTGAAGAAAGCTCTTCAAGCTGGAAAATGCGACCAGGTCCCTGACCCGATCCGCCAATTGGAGAGGCAGATGTACACGAAGTTCATCAACGAACGTACTCATGATGAGCTAGTCGACTATCCTGATTGGGCCATGAATAAATACTTCCTGTCTTTCGGGTATCCCGACCACACGAAAACCACCACTGTTGTGGGTCTAGTCGTGGGTCAAACGGATACCTTCTTTTCCGCGAGCGAACATACAAGCGATATACGGCTTTGGAAAATTAGCGACGCTGCCAGCAAAATCCCGAAACTGCACTACGAAAAGGCCATGGGAGCCGAGACCCGGGCGATCTACCTGGGATGGGATGCAGCAGCTGTGGAGAAGGCAGCATCGGAACATGTAGCCAGTCAGTGGAAAGCTCCACTGGATGATTTCGACGAGAGCGACGAAGACGACAAGCGCGAGCGAGCTCGAAAGAAGCTACACACAGACTACCTCAACGCTATTGCCCAATCCAAGAGCCAAAACAAGGCCGTGAGGGGCCCCTCTCCTATTGGTAGCTATATCGTTGACAGCCAATATTACAAGAAGCAATGGAGGAGTGGTGCAGACGACCTTCGCCTCGACATCCACAAAACCGACACGCCTGGTGTTTTCCAAGCAAATTTCGAATTCGGGGTCCACGAGGGCATCATGATGATCGGTGTGCAGAAAGACGTCCTTGAGGAGCATTGTCTCGAAGCTGACCGTCAGACTGTATTCTCGGACGATGAAGAAGAATACGACTCTGAATCGGAGGGGAGAACTCTCGCATCAGGCTCCAAAAGAAAAGCCTCAGGAACCCCAGGGACCAAAAAAGCCAAGAAACAGCAGTCAGAATCAACCAATTCGCTTAAATACCAGCTGAAGATGCGATGTCGGGAGACAGGGGAGGGTGAGATCCAAGCCGCTACCACAGACGGCAGTCTCGAATTTGATAATGAAACTTTAGTCCGTTTTGTTGGAGAAGCAACTATACCTTTGTGGAGCAACGAGAAATTCTCATTTACTGCATGCAAAATTTCCAATAGGCCTTCTCCAGCCGAGAAAGATTGGGGTCACTACTCGGAGAGACGACACGATTATGAATGGGCTAGAAGATGGTACTAGAATGACTCTCCACAAAAGATTGTATGAGTTTGAGAATATGTTAGCTAAAATTGAGAACAGAGTATTCCATTGAAGTGTAAAATCGACTTCATCGTTAGCCCAGTCCAAAGTTAGCCCTCGTAGCCTCATGCTCAAGCAGTGGACTTCATATACCCTCCAAATGGTAATATTGACAAACTGAAGAAGCAATTGAAGACCCGGAGAATGGTCTAATATGGGTCACCCTACTGTCGACAATTTCCACGTAAGGTTCATTTCATCATCCATACGAAGGTTTCCTTCCCCCTCTATTTCGTCCACCCACCATCCTTCCGTCCTCCAAAATACAACTTCATGAACTATCAACAACCCGCAATTTTTGGGCGCATTAAGCCCCATGAATACAAGTTTGTCTCCAGCCATGGGCGCTTCATGGTTGAGCCCGGTCACTTAGAGCGAATCGAAGAATCCGACCTTGAAAGGATGTTCCTGCCAACGCTCACACGTGAAGGGAAGAAAAGCATTAAACAACCGCCATTTCATTCGTTGTCAACTGGTGCAATATGGCATAAAATTTGACGAAAAGGAGTTCACTGGCAATGGAACTCTGCTTCTGAAGAAAGCTATCCAAGATGGGTCCCTACGCGTATCCTTGAACTGCAGGAGCGGTCACATGCAGAATTTCTCAACGAATTCCCTCTTCATGAGCTCTCTTACAATCCAGAATGGGCTATGGAAAAGTACTTCTTGACCTCTGGTCGCCCTGACCGCACGAAGACTACTACTGTCGGCGGTATACCCTTGCCTCTGGACAGTCGATATCGCTCGCAGAACCTGATTAAAGCTGCCAGCAAGGTTCCGGGGCTGCACCATCAGAAGGCTGTTGGGCCTCAGACTCAGATGATCTTTATGGGATGGGATGATAAAGCTGTGGACGAGGCAGCTAAGGGGCATCCGGCTAAGGATGCAAAGCCAATTCAGGAGAAGGCCATGGAGCGCGAGCGAGCACGAGAGAAACGGCAGGAAGACCGAGACAAAATGCATACAGAATATCTCAAGACGTTCGCTCGACGAACGTACAAAACCAGATCGATGATCAATGCCTCCCCCGCCGGTAACTATATCGTTGATAGCATTACCTTTGAGGACCACGTCAGAGATGGGAAACCGTATGATCTTACTCTCGACATCCACCCGACCGACACACCCGGGATCTTCCAGGTCGACTTTGATTTCGAGCACCTGGAGGGTATTATGTTGATCTGCGCGGACGAGGAAGCCCTCAGAGAATATTGCTTCGACAGAGCGGAGTGGAGTGACTCTCAAGACGAAGACGAAGATGATATCGAGCCTAGCGATTCGGATGAGGAAGCGTCCAAGCGTGTATCTAAGAGAAAGTTATCTGGATCCAAATTCTCGACGATGTTAAAGAAACGCAAGGGAGAGGAACCCCCATCTCGCGAGTATTTCCTGAAACTGAGGTGTCTGGAACAGGAGGGTCAGATTTACTGGGAGCCTGAAGACGGCTTAATTGAATTTGACGACACAAATTTGGCGAGCTTCGAGGGAGAGGCTGACTTCCCCTGTTTTGGCAATGGTGTATTGTTTTATGCACGCGAGATTTCCGATAAGCCATGTCCATCAGGGGAGGAATGGGCTAATTACTCGGAGAGACAATCTGGGTATGCACGGGTTAGAAGATGGCGTGAGAACTGTGATGTACCAGCTTGACAAGATTATAACTTTCTGTGCTGCTTAAGGAGAAATTCTTTTGAATCAGCCTTGTAGCATCAAAATGCAAGAAGTTAGATCCACACCTTGTCTACGGCATGATAAGATCATAAGATCCTGCCTAAAACGGAAGGAGGGCTGTTTGTCTTGTTTGCACCATACATCTTCGGTGCAGAGCGGTTCGTGATCATTCGACTTTAAGCGCAAATCCAATCGTTTAAAACACAATGCGTCCGATTTCGCGAGCCGCTTTGCGATCATACGTCTGTCCGTCATGCCGACATGGCATTGGCGCTGGTCGACGACGGTTCGGTACCAAGATCGACCAGACTCCCGACATCTACGATGTGGTCTGCGTCGGAGGTGGCCCAGCGGGCCTAGGTCTTCTGGCTGCCCTTCGTGAGTTATAGCATCAAGCATCACCAAAACTGGAACTATAGAATGTGTACTAATGTTTTACCATTACAGGAGCTTCTCCCGTCACATCGAAGCTTAAGGTCGCCCTCATCGAAAGCCAGGATCTCAACAAGGCGCGGGCCTGGAATATGGACTCGACGCAGTTCTCCAACCGGGTCAGCAGCTTGACGCCCTCATCTAAGGAGTTCTTGCAGAAAATTGGTGCATGGGAGCACTTGGATACGGAACGTGTGCAGGATTACCAGGAGATGCAGGTGTGGGATGGCGAGAGTGGATCCCGAATATCGTTCGACTGGTCAATGGATACGCCTGCATTCGAGGATATGCGCACTGTGGCGACGATGACAGAGAATGCAAACCTGGTGCGCGGACTTTTGGGGAGAATCGCCGCATCTGGGGATGAGAATCTGAAGCTCTTCTCGAATACCACTGTTGCTGGTATTGAGAATGGAACGGATCTTCAAACCGAGGGTCCGGACTTGTCCGCTTGGCCTGTTCTCTCCATCAAGCCAACAGGAGCCACCGCAGAGACCCAGCCGTCCTCTCGAATCGCCGCGAGACTTTTGGTCGGCGCGGATGGTATCAACAGCCCTGTCCGCTCTTTTGCGGACATCACCACTCACGGCTGGGACTACAACCGACACGGCATCGTGGCTACTCTCTCCCTCGCTGACCCCATTACTCCTCCATTCCCTGCCTACATGCGCACAGCTTACCAGCGCTTCCTCCCCGCGCTTGGCGGTCCAATTGCTCTACTCCCTCTACCCAACAACCACGCCACACTTGTCTGGTCCACGACCCCCGAGAACGCCGCACACCTCAAATCCCTCCCCCACACCGGCCTTCCTGGCTATGGTCAACGCGGCATTCCGCCTGTCCATGACCGATCTCACTTACATGATGGGCATGACCGAATCATCATCAGAATCTACCTCCCACGAGGACGAGCTCTCCTGGCGCATTCAACACACCCCCCTCCCCGCACAAATCCCACCCATGGCGACAGGCGTGCAAACAGGAACCGTTGCATCGTTCCCGCTCCGCTTCCGCCACGCAGCGCAGTATATCTCTCCGCGCGTCGCCCTCGTCGGCGACGCCGCGCACGTCATACACCCGCTTGCTGGCCAAGGCCTAAACTTGGGTCTTGCAGACGTTGCTGCGCTCTCACGGACGATCGAGTACGCGGTATCCCACGGTATGGATATCGGCGATCTGTTGACACTAGAGCGGTACTCGTCGGAGCGGTACCTGCCCAATGCTAAGATCGGGGGTGCTTGCGATCTGCTGCATAAGATGTATAATATCCCCGGCCAGGGTCCCGTCACCTGGGCACGCAGCCTGGGTCTGGATGTGATTGATAAGTTGCCGTTTGTCAAGTCGTTTTTGATGAAGAATGCAGAGGGGTATTAGCTGTGAGCAAAGACGATGTCGGTCTTTTTGTATGTCTATCTGTATATCTAGTTTCCTTTCTACAATATTGGGACAGTGTTGGTCTCCCACTTTCTATTTGGAGTGTAATATTGGTTTCAGTACTGTATATTTGCGTGCCCTGGGTAGTCTCTCAATAGGGTATGAAGGCACCATCAGAGTGTATTAACGATCACTGCAGGAGCACAATGTATAGGGTATCGGTCATGCCCAAGCTATGTTATAGTGATGCAATCCCCAAGTCTTTTCAAGGTGCAGGAAGAGCAGAAATCTTGATAGAGCGGGCACATGCAAAGACGAATAGGTAGAATCTATACTTTCAAGGGAAAAAGGTAGGGATGAGGTGATGCTAAGCGGTTGAACCATGGCCGAGGCGGGTAACAAAGGAGATAACAAAGGAAGAAAAAAATCAAACGCCCCGATCATTCACTTTTTGTGTAATGGAATGCAAGAGAATCAGACCTGCACACCCTGCAGCTGCTGTGCCAAGCTAACAACAGAGCCGCCCTGCTTCTTTGCAAGACGGGCCTGAATCTCGGGGATGAGCGAGGCCAATTCAACCTCGACACCTTCCTTCTCGGGGTGGTCCTTGTCCAAACCCATCTCCTTGATCTTGACCTTGCCGGCGGCAAGCTCGTCCTCGCCGATGATGATACCGAATGGAATGCCGCCGTCCTCGGCAGCCTTGAATTGCTGCTGGGGCTTGGGCTTGGACTTGTATGAGAACTCGGCCTGGAGAGGGGTGTTAGTATGTAAACCGGGAAAGGAAGAGTGGATGTTGTGTGATTTACCTTGATGCCGGCGCTCCACAGCTTCTGGCAAATGTCCATACGCTCCTTGAGCATACCGGTGAAGCCCTTGCCGCCAAAGGCCATGACAAGAACGTCAACCTCGCTGTTACGCAGGGACTTGGCGTTCTGCTCACGCTCGAGACGTGCCTTGGTGATAGAGAAGATACGGTCGACACCGAATGAGATACCAACACAGGGGATCTGGGCCTTGGGCAGGAACATGCCCACCAGGTTATCGTAGCGTCCACCAGCGGCAACACTGCCGACACCCAGGGTAGGGTCATCGGACCGGTCCTCATCCTCAGGGTTCTTGGACTTGCCCTTCTTGCTGGCCTTCTTCAGCTGCTCAGCCTCGGGGGCGTCAGACTGCACAGCAGGGGCGGAGCCCTCGGTGACAACCTCATAGATGACACCAGTGTAGTAATCCAAGCCACGGGCCAGAGACATATCGAACGAGATCTTATCCAAGACATTGAACGCCTCCAGGTAGTCCATCATCAGAGCCATGTCGTCCAGACCAGCCTTGGCGGAGGCGTTGGCAGTGAGCCTCTCATCTTGAAGCAGCTTATTCAACAGCTCGCGTCCACCCTTGTTCATAACGTAGGTCTCGATGAGATCCGCAACGGCACCATCAAGGCCCTTTTCAACCATCTCCTTGCGCACGTCCGCCCAGGACATCTTATCCAACTTATCAACGGCACTAGAGATGGGCCGAATCTTGTCCTCCGGGACACCGCAGACCTGGAACACACCGTCCAGAATCTTACGGTGGTTGATCTTGATTGTATACCGGCCGTTCCAGCCCAGCTCCTCGAACACCTCGCTAACGATACGCATAACCTCGGCATCGGGAATCATAGCGTCGAAGGTACCGGCGATATCGAAGTCACACTGGTAGAACTCGCGCATGCGGCCCTTGCTCACGGCGGGCTGATCTCGACGGTACACCTTCGCAATGTGATAACGCTTGATGTTGCGAACATCCGGGTTCATGGCCAGCCAGCGGGCAAAGGGGACGGTCAAGTCATAACGCAGCGAGCAGATCTCACCACCCTGGTCCTGCAAGTCATAGATGAGCTTGGAGTCCTCACCATACTTGCCGGCCAGGATCTCGCGCAGCTCAAAGACGGGGGTATCGAGGGCGGTACCGCCGTGGCGCTTGAAAACGTCGGCGATGGTGGTGAAGATACGGTCACGGAGGATAGCGTCGGACCCGCACCAGTCCTTGGTGCCCTTAGGGGTCTTGAGGTTAAATGAGGGACCCTTATCCTTGCCCATTGTGTCGATCTTCGCGGCGAGACGAGGGATTGAAGAAAAAGAACGAGTGCGGCGGGGGAGAGTTGAGTGGTGGGGGATGGTGGGGGCTCGGAGACAAATTTGATTCGAGGCGGCGGCGCGCTGCCGTTGCGCTGGCAGATGAGTCACGCGAATGAGGGAGGCCGCAGGTGAAGACTCGACAATTGCTCGTCGTGTAGAGCGTAGTGAGGCAGAAAGGCACGTCATAAAAGGCGTCGCGAATCTCGGGCGATTAATTTTGGGTTGCCAAATTTGGTTCTATCGGGCCTTCTTCCTGCTTCGGGGGAGTTTTTCCGCGAGTTTTTCCGAGTCATACGAAGGAAGTATACAGCATCATCTAGCTGTGATTCCAACCTGAAACCCCAAGATTTCACATTGTTCACGTGAGATGGATCAAATTCAATCTCAGAAATCTCCTTGTATGGTGGTTCTAGTCTGAGAATATGCCATCTACTCATATGTACACATAAAAGCTTTATTCTGTCAGACCATCGAGGCGGTTGTAGTAGAACAGCGTGCCAGAGAGTCTTTTACTTTCTTTCCTTTCCAGGAGCATCGGATAACCTTATCTCCAAGCTATCTAGAATGAATAATCAGCAGGATAGGTACCTAAGGGATCTTGAATGCCCAGGATCTACCTAAGGCTGCTCTGTACAATGTACTACATTGCCCAGTGCTCTCCGGCCATACAGGAACCTTTTGTATAGAACCGTTGATTTTACTTCTCTCACAATGTTCGTCCATGTTCTCCTAGTATTCTTAGACCTAAGCACCTACTCTCAGCTATCCAACCCACCAATGACCAATCACACGGATGAATTACTGAGTAGATCCATCCGCAACGCAAGCAGATTGGTTAAAGACTGAGTCTGGAGCTAACTCAATGAAGAAGGCAGACTCGTGCAATGCTTCTATGATTTTGAATCAGGTATGAAACTTTAGTACGTAGCTAATGATTAGCGGGAAGAATCTTTGTGGCAACTCAACACCATCTTGCGCGATATTTAGGCTTTGTATCTATACTAGGTCAGACTATGTCTGAGGTTGCTCGAGCAGGTTCGTAATAGATACTTCCCTGAACTACTAAGTAAACTTGTGATAAGTGGCCATAGTTAATGTCTTAAGGGCACAAGTATAGATTAATGGTAGCCCATTCCACGAATCAGATTGCGTACCCATTGAATGGTCATTAAATAACGACTAAAGTAAAAGCAAAAGTAGGCTTTTAAAACCAATCAGACTGACCAGAATCCAGTTTAGGTCGACCTATGTTGGAATCCGAGTTAATATATGTAGTGAGGACGAGCGAAAAGCGGCTTCGTGTTTAATCGAGGACCATTTGCAAGTCACTTCGCTGACTTCTGTCATCCTTCAAGCCTTCACCTCGTGAACGCCCAGAAAATTAATTAGTCGGTTAACTTTTTCGGGCCTGCCAAGAAGACCACCATGGCGGAAAGGCACGGTCTTGGTTCCTATTCCTGCATCAGTCCAGCCTCGCGTGCCCAATGCCAATGTAATGGGAGATATTTCCATGGTGGTTACGGTTGAATCATCCAACCTGCTCTGTGTAGCTGGCAGAGTTTCTGCCCCCACTATAATACTGCAATGATGTATGTACATACTGTACGGAGTACTACTACTGTACATGCGCCCGGGCAACAAGGACGCTTGACTTCACCTGTGGTAGCGAGTGAGAGTTTGTATCAGCCAGCCCTCAGCCCTTGGCCCGCCGCCTTGTTTATCCCGCAGCTGTGTGTGTAGCTCTCAAAAAAGTACAGGATTTTTCCGATTAGTAATGTATGAGATCCTTCGGCCCCTCGGCCGAAGGAAAAGTTGTTGTGTTTCCCATCGTAGACTGCTTCCAGATAGATGTACATGCCTGGATCAGCGTCATAGAAATGGGGCAATGTGAACGGTGACATGGGGGTCCGCGGTAGGGGAACACAACCAGGTGCTTAGAGCACGCTCTGGGCCCCGCAAGGGAGCCAGCTATTGAATCGATGAATCGATGAGCTGATGCCAGTGGGCGCACATATCCTGCTCCTTACAGCTCCATGCTGTAGCTATACTTTTTGTGGGGAAGGACAGCAGTGCTTGCTCGGAGAATCGCCGCTCATCTCCAAGTGGGAGGGCAGGCTTGAGTAGAGAAAGGTGCCCGGGCCGCGCGGCGGCAGGGATTGGAGGGGATTATTCTCGTGTTGGTATGTCCAGTAGGAGGGACGCCGTGACTATGTATAGCCCTCCTTGTAACCTCCTTGCATCTGGGGCAATATCTGATGATGTGAATGTTGGATTTTGGCCCCCGCGCGTGTGTATGTCTTCCATAGAAGGACAGTACATACAGTAGCAGTAGTGGCCATGACCGGGCGCAGTCCAGTCAGGACAGGCATTCATGTTGGACTCGAAGAGGACCCCCGCCACTTTCCCCACGGTCGTGACGATCATTGGCCGTTATGGGACGCCATGCGAGGGGCGGACACATGGCCCGTGAGCCAACAGCCGACACAAGCCAATCAGGTAGATCAGTTTAAGAGGGGGGTTCCAGAGTTCATCGACCAGGCAGCGCGAAAAGAGGAGGTTTCTATGGTCGTGGGGGGGTCCGCTGGGGAAAAAGGTGGGTGGACACTGGACATTGGACCGGCTGGAGCGAGACGGACGAAATCCTTGAAGGAGAAGAGGAGAATCAAGAGACCCATGACATAACTGCACTTGGTTTCTAATCTGCCCTCCACTTTGTTGGTCCACTCTACCCAACAATGCCCACATTGTCTGTCCGGTATATCCGACGTAGACGCGAGAGATGGACGACTCACGTCGTGCAGCACCAAAGGGAAAAAAAATCGGCGATTGGCTCAGTACCTGCCTTAGAACTCCACGTGGCTCGAGCCTGTCGCGGCACTTAGCAAAGTTAGGATCACTTAGGAATGGTTGATAGGACAAATTAGGATGGTCTTGCTCTGATCGCAGCGTGCAACTAAGCGAAACTAGGCAAGAAAGGAGTTTAGCCTAAGACTTATCTCGTTGCTCCTCCGCTGGACACGGCAAAGTTAGTCGAGTGACAGCCCGCCCGAAAGCATCTGCGGAAAGGCTTTTTGGGACATGGACAGTGAGTGTCTGACTGCGCGAAATACGATGGCCACCAGTCATCAATGTACATACATTATGAGAGAGAAATACGGAGTACACACAATCAAGATGCCTAGAGGGTATCGAATGACGTCGAAAGTACAATACTTATGCTTATAGTAACTACACTAGTCACCGTAGACATGGTCTCTATAGAAGACAGTCACTAATAATCTCGACTTCGAATTTAACTCGTAGAGGGATAACAATTCCTAGTTAATTATCAATTCAGTTGGTGTTATTCTCGACTACATGGACCTGGACTTGACTACTAAGTACTGCTATCCGACCTGACTACTACTATTATCCGACTCTTCCTCCACCTTCTCTCCTGCCTGTCCGTTCTAAACTCCGCTCCGCCGTCATCTTCGTCCTTGCCCTTCTCTCTGTTCGGCTCTTCCTTCTCCTCCCCTTCTTCTTCTCCTCACGAACGGCGCCACCAGCCTACCGACTCTTCTTACTCTGATTTCCCACTCTTTCTTCACCACCTCATTACTCATTCCCCCGCTCCCCGCCTCGTCGTTGTTCCTGCGTGTTCACTTTCGGCTTCTGGACGCTTCCGCCGTGGCTTCCCCGGACCGCCCTCTCCAGACTCCGCGACTCAACGTTCCTGATCTCGTTCCCCGACTTACCCCAACCTGAACCCTTGACGACCCTTCCTTCCTCTTCATATTCCTCCTCTTTCACTCTGCCGTCTTCTCTCATCCCCGCCTCTCTCCCTCTGCCCATGTCCCTTCCTGACTGCGACCGGTAATTTCCGTTCTCGCCTCTTCATGCAGCTGGGCGCGACCTACAAGACAACACATCAACCATGAAGGGGCTCTTCTCCCCTCGCCGGAGCAATGGGGTAAGCAACCCGATCTCAACCAGCATCATCCCTTCTCGGCGGTCGTACAGCAGCCGAAAGGCCGGCCGCCCGTTACTGCTCGTGAGGTCATCTCGTTTGCACCTGGTACTGACGGTTCCCTCGCACAGGCTCCCACCAACCCTTCGCCCGCGCCGCCGCCCAAGAAAGACCTCCAAATGCCGCAGCCATCCCCCCTCGAAAAGAGACTGAAGGACATGGGGCCGATCCGCGGCGATGGTAGCGACAAGTTTTTTGGAATGGAAAACGTGAGGCTTCCCCCACACTCGGATTTCTGCCGATCGATTGAGACTATAATGCTGACCTAGTGATCCATGCGCCTGTAGTACGGCAACACCTGTTACTGCAATTCGATCCTCCAATGTCTTTACTACTCCGTTCCTTTCCGTGAGGCCGTTATCAACTATCCGCAGCGCACGCCCGTCGAGAGCCTCGAGGCTGCCCTCGCCCAGAATCTTCGATACCAGAACCCCAATGCGCATTTGGAGGCCGAGGCGCAGGCGGCCAAGCAAAAGGCCGCTGCCCCAGCGCCGTCAGCGCGACAAGCAGGCGTGCCGCCCAATCAACCACAGAAGCCAGAAGATAAGGACTCGCCTGAGTATAAGAAGAAGGTTGCACTGCAGACGCTGCCATTGTTAGAGACCAAGAACAATGCCAACAGTTACGGCATGTCGGAGTCTCTCTTCACATCATTGAAGGATATTTTTGAGTCCCTGGTAGGCAGCCAGTCTCGGATCGGAGTGATCCGACCACAGCATTTCTTGGACGTGTTGCGGCGGGAGCATGAGATGTTCCGGACGGCAATGCACCAGGATGCTCATGAATTCCTGAATCTATTGCTGAATGAGGTGGTGTCGAATGTCGAAGCGGAAGCGACGAAGCAGTCATTCACGGAGAAGTCTCTCCCTCCGCCACCGTCTGATAGTGCAGAATCCTTGGGGATGGTGACTAACAGCACAGGCTCGAAGTCTCCAAATACGACCAGATGGGTGCACGAGCTTTTCGAAGGAATCCTGACCTCAGAGACCAGGTGCTTGACCTGTGAGAAGGTCTCGCAGCGTGATGAGGTGTTTTTGGATCTTTCGGTCGACTTGGAACAGCATTCCTCCGTAACCGCTTGTCTTCGAAAGTTTTCAGCCGAGGAGATGCTTTGCGAGCGGAACAAATTCCACTGTGACAATTGCGGTGGTCTCCAGGAGGCTGAGAAGCGTATGAAGATCAAGCGCCTGCCCAGAGTGTTGGCTCTCCACCTCAAACGTTTTAAGTACACGGAGGATCTGCAGCGGCTACAGAAGCTCTTCCATCGGGTTGTCTACCCATACCATCTCCGCCTGTTCAACACGACGGACGACGCTGAGGACCCAGATCGACTCTACGAGTTGTACGCCGTTGTTGTGCATATTGGAGGTGGGCCTTATCACGGTCATTATGTTGCGATCATCAAAACCGAAGATCGCGGCTGGCTACTGTTTGACGACGAGCTGGTGGAGCCGGTCGACAAGAATTACGTTCGGAATTTCTTCGGTGATCGACCTGGCTTGGCCTGTGCATACGTTCTGTTCTACCAGGAGACCACGCTCGAGGCTGTTATGCGAGAGCAGGCTGAGGAGGACGCGGCATCCACCGCAGCCGCAGCCGAGGCCGGCGACCTTGGGAAAACTAATGGATTCTCGACATCGCCAAACAACCTGGTCCAAGTCCACAGTGCCGGCTACGTTCCTTCAGAAGAGCCACATCGATTCACTCCAATTAGCAAGATGACGACGGCTCCTCAGTTGGAGCCTCACTATGAACACCCGGAGTCCGATTCGTCCTCACAACAACAGCCCATCCCACCCGCCCAGCCTCAACCTCCGCTGCCACCTATCCCCGATGAGCAGCCCCCGATCTTGAACGCGAGGAAGAGCGACGTCCAATCCAAGAAGGAAAAGGCTCGGGAGGAGAAGGAGCGTCGTGCAGCGGAGAAAGAACAGGAAAAGAACGAGAAAGCTCGACGCAGAGAGCTCGAGCTGCAACGCCAGGCGGACGTCAGGCGTGAGGCCGAGGAACTTCGACAGGCCATTGAGGCCAGTAAAGCTGATGCCGTTGATCTTGGCCCTGAAAATGGATCTCCCAGAAAGTCTTCCAGCTTCAGCTTCCTTCGCCGTGGTAGCCGCAGCCTCAGCCACCGCCTCAGCAAGGACAAGGAGCCTCGAGTGTCAACTTCGGACCTGGTGCCCACGCCAGTTCCCGAGGCTCCAGTCAAGGAAGCGCTAGAGGCAGATCAGCACTCTGTGTCACCAAAGGATCCCTCCCCCATCTCCAACCCAAAGATGGCCTCGAGAGTGCCGGTGCCTCCGCCGATACCCAAGGACACTAAAGAATTCAAGAACGAAAAGACTGGCCACACTCACCGGTGGAGGTCTCTCAGCTTTAAAAAGGCAGCATGATGAGTGTCCAGCCCGAGCACATTTCAGAAAGCGTTTCGAATTTCTTGCATCTGCCACCTTCTAGTTCAGCTTCGGAGATACCCTCATACTTACCCTTCTAACACCATCCACACCCATCACCATGCACATAACAGCGCGATTTGCTTCTTGCACATAGCTTTCCGTGGATGTACTATCACTATTTTCTCACGACATGCCCCTTTTTTCGTTCTTCAATCCCATTCTCCTGTTGGGTAGCACCCGATGGCACGCCTTCGACAGAGGTGTCCCTCTTCTCGGCCCTTCCAACAGATGTGTCTTTCTAGACCCCTTATGGTATTTCCGATCATGGCTATTCCTTCTTCTCTTGCTGCTACTGCGTTGCTCATTTCTGTAACATGTACGACGGCATGATACCTGGGCTGACGGGATCCGTTTATCCCGATGCTGGCGTGAAAAGGGGCGTTTTCCATCTTTTACCATGATATTTTGGGATTTCAAATGCTGGTCAGCATCGGATTTGTTTAATTCTCAATCGGCGTTTACTTTTATCCTCTTATCTTCCTTGTGTTCTCTTTGCGAGCAGCGAGTGTGTCCTTTTCAGTCTTATTTGCATGTCTGTATCTACTTGTCATGCCTAGTGTTCTCGAGTCTCCATTTTCTTGCAAATGTGGTCAAATAGCTTATGATTTTTCTAATGATGCGATCTCCATTTTGTATAACGGTACAACAAGGAATTCATTAATTTGAGCCGAGGTATCAACCGAGGATGAGCTCATAGACGATAATAATCGTATTGATCACGATGAGGGGTACTGTGATGGATAATTACGTGTTAGCTGGTGTCCGCGATCACTGTGCTGCCTGCCCTGTTCTGTCTGCTGTCCTCGACATCAGGAGTAGCGTGCGATGCATACTCCCGCGCGAGGAACAGCGAACCAAGAACCGTATTGTAGATTGGGGATTGGGGATTTCCAAGTGGGAGGGACCACTTACTCCGCATAACCGTCCGTACACTGGCAATCAAGTTGACTGACTTTGCCTTCACGCTGGTGCTATCGTAGGATGCGCCGAAGCCAGGCTCAGCTTGTGTGCGGCCCCATCCAACTGCAGTATTCCACCTTCATTAGCTGTATATTCACTTAGAATGACCGTGACCATCACCGGGTATTTGCGATCGGCGGTGGTAGGAAGGGGGGAGGAACGAACTGCGAGCGAGGAAGCGATCCTCGGAGAGCACGGCGATGGCGTTGATGATGAGGACGATAACTAGAAAACACGCGATGTTAGTTCGAGCTTCAAAACCTTCAAACAGAGGGAGAGGGGTGGTTGGACTTACCGTAAACAAGCTTCCCCAGACCAAAGAGGAACATGGTGCGCGTCGGGGATGCGGGTGGGTAGTGACGGAGGTGAAGATGTCCCCGGTTGATATGGGTGACAACTCCAAGTGCGGGCGGCAAGTCCAAATGTCCACACCCAATAACAGGTAGTTTTCCAGGCGGGCGTGGTTTTAAATGCTGTGTTGTCCACTTTTTCTGGACACGGCCAACTCTGCGGGTCGACGTGGTTAGAAGTTGGATGGATTGGTTGTCTTTTTGTTAGTATTTCAATGTAATTGTGCTTTTGATCTTTGTGGGTGGTTCTTACTGGATATGCTGCTGAGTATCTAACAAGGTGACTATCTCTATCCATTTCTAGCACGTCTTTCTACAGGTCTTTCGACACCTCTTTCGACACCTCTTTCGACACCTCTTTCGACACCTCTTTCGACACCTCTTTCGACACCTCTTTCGACACCTCTTTCGACACCTCTTTCGACACCTCTTTCGACACCTCTTTCGACACCTCTTTCGACACCTCTTTCCAAAAATCTTTTAAAGAACTCTTTCAAACGGTTCCTTTCTGAATTTCACTAAGCAAATTTCAATTGATCGCATGATTATTTTAGGTCTCCCTCTTTGATTCAACTCCACTCCTTCTCAAACATAGACAGTGGTAAATAGACATAAACTTTGTAAAGTCGTACAGTGGACACGATCTACCGGAAGAGCGGTATGCAGAGTGTGGAGGACAGTGGGTATATTAGCCACTTTGGCCCGTTGAGTTTCGTACGGAACGACGACCGCAATGTCATCGGCCGCAGTCTTCCTTTTATATATGCTAAGTAGCACTTAAGGAGGTACCGGATGAGTGCGACTGCAACTTCCGGGTGAGCTAGGTTAGAATGAGAGTTTGTTCCAGGTCAAATCACAAAGGCGTTGCTCTTATACCTCAAGAATCGTTGTTCCACTTCCCCGAATGAATCGAGCACGAACAGTATCATGGGCAGTTCGGTGGCGAGCCATATGGTTCTCCTCGAAGGCGAAAGGCGATTCTAGTGCGATATCCGGATGGCACCGGTATTGTTGGGAGAATTCACTGATGGGTACGCCATTTGCGACAAGGCGATTTTGATGCGAGGTTCTCATTTGGAGGCGCCATCGGTTGCTTGCTGAGTGGTGCAAAGAAGCCGGAATCTTGACTTTTAGGTAGGTTGAATGAAAAAGCCTCTATATATACTGAGGAAATTGCGGCCACAATCAGCTAGCAACTCTTTGCGCACAGGATTTAGAGGAATTAATGAGGACAGGATGATAAGGAAGATAAATCCGGCGTTCTTTCTTTCTTGGGGAAGGAAGAGGAAAAAGAAAAACACAATCTAGTTGGAGAACAGAAGGCCTTATATCTAGCTAGGAGAGCAAGGAAAATAAGGTAACATCCTCTTTGCAGGAATATACCGGTCAGAGACCTGTAAGAAAGATCTTTGTTACAGTGGGCATGTAAGTATAGGCTTTCTGCCCCTGCTGTAACGCTGTATATAGTCTATTCTTTTGAAATCAATTGTTCTGTTTCGCTGTGGATACATATGATAATGACTCGTCATTGATTGATAGGTAATTACGAGCGACTAAGAAATTGAATCGAAGAGCGTAGATATAAAAGAGTTATGTGGCTAAGCAGTATTTGAAATTGGGTAGAAAGATATATAAAAGACATGTAAAAAGACATAAAAAATAGTCGTACTGTGTGATTGTTACAAGAATAACTATAGATACTAGTGCATAGGAAGAATTTATAAATATTAAAGATTATTTGCATAACAACAATGTACTAAGGATAAGAAATGTGTACATTTTCTGACCACGTTGGCTTTGGAGAGCTGAGCGTGGCCAAAAACATTGGGAAAAGTAATTTTGTGGCCACGCCCAACTTATTTATGACGCGCCCAGCGACATGGCCCCCAAGACCCTCTAGCAATCGCCCTTGCCAATGCAGCCACCATGAGACACAGTCAGTCTGCGCCATTAATTTCTGAATGACCATAATAAGAGTCAGATAGCTAACGTTGTTACAGCATGGGTTGGACTTGTGTTTTTGCTGGCGGGTTTAATCTTGCTGCACCTCTTCGTCGCTCCGTATACCAAGGTCGAGGAGTCGTTCCATGTCCAAGCTACCCATGACATCCTCGCACACGGATTTCCGTATGGCGATGACATCGATCGCAGTAATTACGATCATTTCGAGTTTCCTGGCGCCGTCCCTAGGACTGCCGTTGGGGCAACTTTTCTTGCTGGCTTGTCGCCGTCAGTGACTGCCGCGTGGGCGGGAGTTAACCGGCAAATTCTGGGTATGGAGCTATGCTACTGCTATAACGTTTTAAATTTTATTTTATTTTTGGTTTGATGAACTAAGCTGACCTCTATTATTTGTAGCTCGAGCTATCCTGGGCTTGTACAATGCCGCAGCATTGGGTATTTTCGCCCAGGGCTTGAGGAATAGCTTTGGCCAGACTGTAGCCGTGTGGTACCTTCTGCTCCAGGGCAGTCAATTCCACCTGATCTACTATGCATCAAGGCTGCTATCAAACATGTTTGCCTTTGGAATGACTACAATCGCTATGCGATATCTCTTGCCGGACCAGACGTCGCGACCGGGTCTCCGTGTTGGCGTGAAGTTGCCCTTGTGCCTACTCACAATAGCGGGTGTCATCTTCCGCGCAGAGCTGGCAATTCTGGTCGCTTTTACAGGGGTATTCCTCCTTGCGAATCACGGCATGCGTATCTTCGCAGATATCGTCGTAGCAGGTGTCGTGGGGCTTCTCACTGGGCTCATTGCCACTTTCGGCATTGATAGTATGTTCTGGAAGGAACCTGTTTGGCCGGAGTTGAACGCATTCCTCTTCAATGTTATTGAGGGCCAGTCTTCGGCTTGGGGAACGGAGCCTTTCTCATTCTATTTTGTGAATGCGCTTCCTCGACTTCTGCTGAACCCGCTGGCCTATCTCATCGCTATTCCTGTTGCTCTACGCAACCCCGCCCTTCGCCGACCGATCCTCCCGCTGCTCGTGCCGTCCATCTGTTTTGTGACGCTGTACAGCCTTCAGCCTCATAAAGAATGGCGCTTTATCATCTACATCGTTCCTGTTCTCACAGCCACGGCTGCCTTGGGAGCGGGATACCTCTGGAATCGGCGAGACCGATCGGTCTTTGCACGTATCGCGTCGCGTCTGCTGATTCTCTCCACCGCCGTGTCGTTCCTTTTGTCGAACCTTGTGCTTTTGCCTGCGTCTGCGGCCAACTACCCAGGTGCCCAGGCCTTGAATGCACTTCACAAGTATCACGATCAGCAGTCATTGTCCAGCGACGGGGCATCCGTCTATCTTGGGAACCTCGCCTGCCAGACGGGAGTAACAAGATTCCTACAGCAACCCTTTGAACAGGGCTGGCGCTATGACAAAACGGAAGACGAAGACCTGAAGTCTACAGGGGAGTTCTGGGATCAATTCGACTACGTTGTCGTCGAGGCTTCTACAGACCCTGAAGTCAAGGATGCTGATGAGACTCAATTGCTCCATGCACTGCCCTCTTCGCATTGGAAAACAGCTGAAGTCATTGATGGCTTTGCTGGTATCTCTATCCTGAGACCGGGGACGCCTGCGGCGGGTCTTGCCGAGCGACGCATTCTGTCAATGGTGGCTGGCGAGTCTCTATATAATCTCTACGCCGAGGTTAGAGATTCCGTGAGGAAGCTTGTCCTGCGTGGATGGTGGGTGGAGCTGAAGATGAGACCAAAGATCAAGGTTCTCAAGCGCATAAGAGAAGATTAGTTACGGTTAACGGCTTCCATTACCATAACGCCGCGTACCGAAGGCAAGCTTACTCTGTGAAACCAATTTCATGGCCGTCTACCAATCCCAAAAGCTGTATAATGCGATTCAAGAAACCTCTTGCCAGATCTGGCGCTAAATATTTAAGTTAAACTCAACGCCAACGGTAGAATTCTTAGGGATTAGACGACCCTGAACACAGAGCTGCTGTGAGCTGTGGAACCTTGTCAGGGGTGAGAAAATCGAGATACTGCGGCCACCAGCGCTGCGTAACCTTTGGATACACCTTGAGGCGGGTCCCAAAGACCCCATATCCGGCACATCCCGCTTGAAACAATCGCCGTAGACTGACCCGCGCATTCCGTCTTGCCATATCGTCTCTAGCCATGACACAAATGTGCGGGGACATCTCCAGCGGTTCGGACTGGTTCGCGTCCAGACTAATTGTGTGGAACAAGGGGAATGAGAACCTGGGGCCTAGGTCATGGCCATCGCTATCAACAAAATCCTCTCGCCGGATCAGAACTCTGTGGAAAGCGGCATAACACACGCCATCAGTCAACGCCTCTAATTGCATACCCACATTCACGATCAGCGCTCCAGGAACCGGAGGAACCGGAATCCAATCATTGGTCTGGCTCAGTGCCTCCAAGCCACCGTGTGAAGTGCCAGGAAGAAGGAAAGTCAAGAAGCTAGCATCCTTATGCTTCCCTTTACCCTGTATCTCCTGGTCTTCATCGGGCAGGGGATATTTAGCCAGCATCAGTCTGTCAAATGGCGTGCCATCGAATAAATGAGCCAATGCTGTGGGTTTCATATCCAGTGCCTCGGCGACCAAAACGTTGAAGTCATCTGCCAATCTCTTCATCTCGATCATATATGTTTCCGTGGTAGACCTGAATCCAGGCAAGGCTGAACTGTCGGGCCACTGAGTAGACATGTGGTCAATTAAACTATGGAAATTTCCCGAACCAGAGGATCCAAGCAGTACGTACAGGATTGGGGCCGCGCAGGTTGCGGTAAACGGGTTCATCGGGATGAGGTGCAGGGGATTCATACCCAAGCTACTGCAATGGTGAGCGAGGAACGACATGTAAACAAGCCTGAGGTGGGCGTACCGTATACGACTCTCGGTGATCTTTCTTCGTCAACGTTAGGCCATCATCTAGACCAACGTAACCGACGAAATGTTTACTCCTGGTCATACCAATCTCCCGTTTCTTTTCCGGCGAGAGCTGGAACAGTTCGCGCGCCTGAGCCAAGAGATCCTTCTGTTGAAATTTCGAAATCGGATGGTTTTTGAGGTAGAAGAAGCCTACTTTGACGAGCGCATCGCGAAGCTGTGAGAGGAATTGGGGCCTGGTCACCGGCGAGGTAGACAGAGAATAGTCGACAGTAGGGATTGAGCTTGCCGCCATGACGCACTGAGATGCCAAATACGAAGGAACTGCTTGGGGACAGCACTCAATGCTATGCCAAAGTAAGCATATATCGATCACAACAGGCCACAGAGAGTTGATTAGAGACTTGGCTAGTGTCAAAAAAGTGTCCTCGTCGATCCGTGGAGTGGGCTGTCCAATATTCATGGCCGTACGGAGTATGTGGATCCAGATTATTCACCTCGTATAGAACTGCATGCATATGCATGGCAGTCACTTACTATCGTTTTTTAGTTTACGATGCATGACGGTGGGGGTGGTGATGCGGTGTAACAACGCCAGGGGCTGACTGAGCTGTTGATCGTCAATGTTGATCCAAAGGTGAAGCCGATTGAATACAGCAAGATCTTGCATATCCCAACCAAGTACACCTATTAATCCATATTCCTCGTTCAGCCACTGGGACTGCCTAGACAATCAATCTTGACGAATTCAGGCTATTGCACTCTCGACTATCAGCCATGGCTATCGAGGAATCTACCCAACCCTCTGAAAGACCGCTTGAAGAAGTCTTTCCAAACGACAAATTCTTCAGTAGCCTTCTCTCTTGTACAGAGCGGTTTCCAGGGAATGCAATTGCAGTGAATGATCCGACAAATGGCGTGTCTGCCACATACAATCAATTGATCGGGGATATTGTCGCCACGCGCAAGGCGATATACGATGCTTGGCCTCGTGAGATCTTCGACAATCAAGGAATTTTGAAGGGCTCACCATGGATAGGTCTGTTGGTGCCTACTTCGTACGAGTTTGTCGTTGGTTGTCTTGTGATTCTCTCGGTTGGAGGAGCTATTATGCCGATGCGTAAGTTGCCCAATGGAGTTATAAATGTTCTATCTGACACATTCCTTCGGTATAGCAAAGGCAATTCTATCGGATGAGGCCGATCATTTCTTCGAGCAGTGCGAATCTCGCCTGTTGATCGTAGGATCGGGTCAGCGGGAAGTTGCGCTCAAAATTAAGGCATATCGATATACAGTCTCGCATGAACCTATACTCAGTCTACCTGTGACATTCAGGAGCCGATACAAAAACTCCATCAATGCCATGCATCTGGATGACAATATCAACCTCCCACCAAATCGCCCTGGGCTAGTCGTCTTCACATCCGGAACTACTGGACCCCCTAAGGGTGCCGTGCTACCTCGATGCTCCTTATACCCTCGCCAACCATGCTCCCCAGAGAACCGCCTGATCAAGCTATGCGACCGACCAGCACATTGGATCGGTGGATATGTCGGTTTGTTTCCGCTACTTCTCAGCGGGCACGGCATTGAAATTCTACCGCCAGGCTCTCCTCCTGCAGACTACTGGGAACTTCTGCGTCAACAGCGCGTTACTCGGGTTACATGGGGCCCAATGATGTTCTCGCAACTGAAGCAATACTATGAAGACCACCTTCGGCTGCTATCAGATGCTGAACTTGAGCCATACTTGCAAGGTGTCAGGGTGATTCGAGGATTGAGGGCCGGATCGGCAATGCCAGCGCCTGTTTTGCTGGAATTTTGGCATAACTTGCTTGGACAACCGCTTCAAATGGGGTATTCTGCCACCGAAGCAGGTGGATTGATGAGTGCATTACTCAACGTTGCCACCGCAAAGGTATTTTATCGAAACACGACCAATTGACACTGAATCTAACATGTGACTTATGGCTTGACAGCCGTCATCGATAGGCAAACCGATTCCCGGTGTCGAAATGAAACTTTCCGAAGGTGACAAGGGAGAAATTTTGGTCAAAAGTCCTCGGATCATGTTATGGTAGGTTTACCCCCTATGAGGCCTTTGGTTTGTTACATAGTCAACCAACCGTTCTACCGCAGTTATTTGAACAATCCCGAAGCGACTCGGGCCGCATTCACCGATGATGGGTTCTACCGGACCGGAGACGTGGCACATATGGATGGTGACGAGTTCATTTTTGACGGACGTGTCTCAACAGACTGTAAGTGGCATCATTGTGATCATTTTGACGCAATTTTATTGACTTGGCAACAGTTGTACAGGTGTATGCATATCGGGTTCCAATTTTGGATGTCGAGAACGCAGTAACAGCGCTGCCTGATGTTGTGGAGGCTGCGGTTGTTGCAGTTCCCGACCGGGCTTGCGCGAACCAAATCGGCGCCGTCATCAGGCTGCGGCAGGGAATGGCCAAGATGTCTTTGGATAAGCTGCGCAGTGACCTTTCCCAGTCACTGCCTGCATACACCCTGCCGACCAAACTGCGGGTACTGGACGATGACGAGGTGCTGCCGAGAACTGTGTCGTACAAGATCCAGCGGAAACAGACCGCCACCAAGTTCTTTGGGGACAGCGCAGCAGTGGATCGCGTACAGGTATGTTCGAAACTTCAGGCTGGTAAGGATCGCCCTGTGAAGGCGTGGGATTGGGCAGGGTTGCAGTGAGATCGCAGTGGGGACTTCGTGTTCGGCAGCTGGGAAATAAATAGTGAGGCTAAGATCGTCGATGGCGATTTTAAGGTTGGAATGGATGCACATTCAATTGCTCGAGCCAAGACATCTCAACATCCAACAAGAAAAAAAAGAAGAAGAACCCATTACGTGCTACATTGGCGGTGTATCTCTCTCCATGAGTAGTTCAATATGATAGATCGATCATAACTCGTCAATCTTCTACGTAGGACAAGCCTATCCTAGCTGAACAGATCGAGGGTCCGCGGACCGAGCCGTACCCACCAATAAGTGTCGATTTCCGCACGGTGTGCTGCCCCTTACATCAAGTCGATTTTCGCCGATCGTGTTGCTTATGGTGGCTGAGAGTACTGTGGCGCCTAGCGGTGGCCGTCTGTACTGCATGTAAATAGTAGGCTCCACACAAAGTACTGCGTGGACAGAAATGTTATGCTTTCTTTTTCTATTTTTCAATGTACTGTAATGGCGAAACAAAACATTGAGAAACAAGGTGTTAGGAAAATAAAATTTAATTCAAATTGAGAATTGACGCGAATAATCCCGCTACTTACTTCAGAGACGAGGCCTTGTACTTGGAAAGATTTTATGGTTGGAACGTTCATTGAGGACATCCTTCTGTATCGTGACGACCATGGCGCTTGTCGAGCTGCATCGAAGCCAGGAACCCCTTTCACCGGGCCTTCCATATTCTCGCTGCAATGAAGATGCTCGCGAGTTTTCAACGGCTGTTCAGATCGCTTGGGGTATTGTGATCAATGCCTTCGAGCCAACTGATCGTGTGCGATTTGGACTTGTCTACCTTGATACGTCAAACCATAGTTCCAAGAACAAACTGAATACCTGTACTTTGACGATAGACCAGAATTTGCCAGTATCCCAATGCCAACGGGAAATATCAATTTGTCAAGAATCCGGACTTGAACAAATGGATACAGTCATTGTACAGAGTGCGGAGCCTGGAATACCCTCGCTCCTGGACCTGAAAGCTCTGTCGCAGAAAGAGGATGCTACGAAGGTACAGTCATCAACTCCTGATACACACTTGTGATTCAACTGACCGTGTCAGAATTTTCAAATGCTGGTCCAGGTAGAGGCTGGGGGGTTATCAACCTCAATCTTGGCTGACACGACGAGGAGACTATTCTCGGAATGGAACCAGACCGAAAGCATGGCGAGAACGCTCCGCCATATCCTACCACAGGTGATCAAAAGACCCCACGCATACCTAGGTGAACTGGACTTGATTACGGAGAGCGAAAAGGCCTGTCTTCATCGCTGGAACCTAGCCATTCCTCCCTCGCCCAGAACTTGCGTTCACGATGCTATTGTTGAAAATTGCGTGAACTACCCAGATCGCCTTGCTGTCAGCGCCTGGGATGGGGACTTAACCTACCAAGTCTTGTATGGGCTTTCTACCAGTCTGGCAGTACATTTACGGGCACTGGATCTGCCTCCGGGGACGATTATACCTTTATGTTTTGAAAAGTCCAAGTGGGCTATCGTGGCGGTATTGGGAACTCTTCGCAGTGGTGCAGCATACGTCTTTGTTGACCCGGATTCTCCTCATGCTCGCAAAGCATCCATCTGCGAGGATGTCAATGCACAAGTGATGCTTTGCTCTCCTGCACAGCTCTCCAAAGCCACGGAGCTAGCCCCGCAAGCTATAGTGGTCGAGACGGTGGTTCAAGATATGCCCACAAAGACGGACATTACACTCCCAGCAGTCAAAGTCGAAGACCCAGTGTATGCTGTATTCACGTCGGGCTCAACAGGGAGACCAAAAGGAGTCGTCATCGAACATGGCGGGTTTTTTCAGCGGGCAATGGCTAATGGGCCTGAACTCTCACTATCATGCGAAACGCGAATACTGCAATTTGCAAGTTTTGTCTTCGATGTTGCCAATCGTGATATCTTATATACCTTGCTCTTTGGGGGTTGCATTTGCATTCCGTCAGAGTCGCAGCGCTCGAATGACCTCGCCGCTTTCATCAATCAAAAGGAGGTGAACTGGGTCAGCATCACACCTTCGGTGGCTAAACTGCTGGAGCCATCAGCTATTCCTTCTCTCCGACATATGGTCTCCTGTGGAGAGCCCATGACCTCCAGTATGATTGTTGAATGGGCCGGCAGTCTCCAGCTGATCAATGCCTACGGACCCTCTGAGGCGACAACCATCAGTTCCCTACAGACCAACTGCACAATAAAGACCTGCCCTGCAAATATCGGTAAGGGCTCTGGCAGTGTGCTATGGATCGTTGATCCCGCAGATCACAACCGCCTAGCTCCCATTGGAGCAGTTGGTGAGCTAGTGATTGAGAGTCCTAGCGTGGGAAAGGGCTATATCAATCGTCCCACAGAGACGAAGTCTTCGTTTCTGTCTACAACCAGCTGGCTTCCGCTATTTCGCAGTGGACAATCAGATTTGCGTCTTTACAAAACCGGGGACCTGGTACAATATGATAGCGACGGCAGCATTCTATTTCGAGGTCGCAAAGATGCGCAGGTCAAGATTCGGGGCCAGAGAGTGGACCTTGGCGAAATCGAGCACTGGATTCAGAAGTGCCTACCCCCTGACAATGAGGTCAAGACAGTCGTGGAATTCCTCAAACCCCTCGGACGTGAAACCGGCTTGTTAGTGGGGTTTCTTGCACCGAGTGGTGCCCCGAGCGGGAGTCTGCAGGCAAATATACCGTTCTTGGCCTCTGAATTGAACAAGGGGTTGTCTCAGAATCTTCCTGAGTATATGATTCCAAGAGTCTATTACCCTGTCGAAGAAATCCCAATGACGGCAACGGGGAAAACACATCGAGAAAAATTGCGGCAGATTGGCGGATCTTTGACAATCGAAGAACTTATGTCTCCACTTCAAAGCTCTACTACATCTGGACCTCTTTCGGAAAGACTGAAGGAACCAGTCGGTCACATTCTATTAGGACTATGGGCATCGGCACTTGGGATTAAAAGTTCTTCTATCAGGTGCAACGACAGCTTCCTCGGCCTTGGAGGAGACTCGATTATGGCTATTCGAGTGGCCACCCAAGCTCGTTCAGAGGGCATTGATCTGTCAGTTGCAGACATGATGGAGTTTACGAAGCTGGGTGATTTACTGGACATCATCACGAAAAGACCGAAAATATGCCACACGGCCATGAGTACCAAACCATTCTCCCTTGTTGATGTAGAGACATCATCACAAGTTGTGGCGAGTAACTATGGCGAGATCATCGACATTCTTCCAACGACAGAGGCACAGAACTTCTTCCTGACCCAGTGGACTGTCAGTTGCTACACTTGCATATTGCAGGGTGAGATTGATGTCGGTCGACTGCAGGCTGCCTGTAGGGCAGTAGTCTCAAGACATGACATTCTCCGTACTGTCTTTATCAAAAATGGCTCTCGCTTCTTGCAGCTGGTGACAAAGTCCTTTGATCCGCCATTTGATCGGTATATGGCTGACACTCATTTGGAAACTGCCTGTCCGCTCGCAGTCGAGAGGATCATTGCTGAGACGGGTCCCATTTCAAGGCGACCGATTGTTAGCTTCACGCTAATCTCCGAGAGCTCTCAAAGGCATGCTCTACTCGTACGGGTGTCTCATGCTCAATATGATGGCAACACATCTCCCATTCTCTTCCGGGATGTCTCTACGGCGTACGACAGTGTCGAAAGTGAACCATTCCTTCAGACAGCGACGCCATTCAGTCGTTATCTTTACGCTCGCTCTATGGGACCATCTCACAAGGCCTTTGAATTCTGGCGAGAGAATTTCCGAGGCGCCTCTATGACTTTTCTCGACCCGTCCACGCTCAATGGAGGCGAGTCGTCTTTTGAAGCCAGGATTATTGCGCCAGCCTCGGGCCCCCTTCCACTTTCGCTGCGTGATCTCACCGTACCCACATTGATCAACGCGACAATCAGTCTTCTTCTTTCAGAGCTAGTCCAGAAAGAAGATGTTATCTTTGGGACAGTCATGGATACGCGCACACTTGGCTTCCCAGGAATAGAGACAACATTGGGACCATGCATCAATATCAACCCGCTGCGTGCCCACGTCCAGCCACAGACCATGACCTTCAGAGAACTCTGTCACTCCCTCCAGTCTCAATATGCCAATATTACAAGACACGCCTACTGCGATCTGTCAGATATAGTTGCCAACTGCACTGATTGGCATCCGGAAACCAAGTTGGGCTGTATGGTGAACCATCTTCGCCCTGACGAGGGTCCTCCACCCCTCTCGCTGGACGGTCTACGCTGTACAACCTTCAAAAAGACCGCTTACATCACCTTGTCTCACCAAGTTCTATTCCGTTGTATTACGGGCAAGGAGAGGTTGGATATCCAGGTGCTTACATCTACTACGATGATGAACAGCGCTATGGCTCAATCACTTGCTGAAAGACTGGTCACTGGTGTCTGTAAACTTGCCAGCTCCCCTGATGTCTCACTTGGAAGCCTTTCCATCTGAGCTGATAGAAAACTTGTGTCAAGTGGCAGTTCAAAATATGTTTTAGATCGTTCTTCTTAGTGGCTCGAAAATTATAAATTTCTCTATATCGTTTCAAGATGGTTCAAAACTTTGTCAGGTGTTCAAACCTATGCGGCGCCTAAGAATTTGAGCGTTTTAGGTTGGCAGAGCTCCCTTTCCTGGGCTATCGAATTTTTGATCCACGCTCTACATAGCCAGATTTTCTGGCCTGTTTCCATGAAATACACTGTATTGTAAGCAATGGTATAAAAATGGACAGATGACACGTAGAATGATGGCGAGTGGTCGCCTTAGTGTAAAACGTCTCAAGAGGCTGCATTGATCAGCGCTAACGATACTTGTAAAGGCGAGGTTTTGTTGAGCTGAAATTTCCTAGACGCCAAATCTCAACAACTGCAGATCTGGCGTCTGAAGTGTAAACGTGGGTCAGAATCTGCAATATCAACCCTTGCTTTTTCTGACCCGCTGTCTTGGTATGCTGCACGATGTCGGATATCCTCGGTAACAACGAAACATGCCTTTTAAAAGATCTGACAGCTCATACCTTGCTTGGGAACTCACCGCCACTTGAATTGCTTTTGTGGGATGCAGATCGGACCCTGATCGCGTCAAGAGCCATCACGTTTAATTGATTTCTTGCATAGCTAGCGGAACTATTGAGACACTGTTTGCATGCACCTTTACTGTATGTACATTAAGCACCCAGAATATCTGCCAGATGTCCGCTCTTGACAGCGTGTTCGCTAACCTGGTATATTCTGATAGTTCGTGATTCTGTTGATCCAGATCCAGGACAGTCCTATAATTTTCAGCCATGACTAGAACACAATATACAGAGCACGCCGAGTTTGAGACTACCCGCAGGCTGTTGGCATGCCTGATCAATGAGGGCCTGGTTGATCTTGCCCTCCAGAGAGTCGAATCCTCAAAGCAAAGGACCCTTTGCCTACGATCTTTAGCAAACGATGGTAAATCGTCATCCATTTCCGAGCTTCTAGTTGGCGTCAGCTCGGATACTCTGGTCGATGAAGCTGGAAGGATTTGCTGTCCAATTGCGCCAGAACAGCTTGAGCTGCCTGTGAAATTGGAAAGCAACAAGGGAAATACATTGCTCGAGGCAAATCCGTCAAATATCCTCCAAGCGATTCATGAATGGATTCCCGAATCCATACCAAATATTCCACTTCTGGAGTCTACAAAACAGATGCTACAAAATTCCGCTGAAAACCAGGGTGAGAATATCCAATGCTATATACGTTCAATTCCAAGTTTACTAAGATTGCTTATCCAGAAAAATGGCTTCAATTTCACCATCAGCAAATCCCCTGTGACCTCAACAGTGCTGCAATTGAGTGGGAAAGAACTGTCATTTTTGGACATCCTGAACATCCCGTAAGTTTCTCCTCTTTCTTGTGGCTTTGAGAGATCAGGATACTGATATTATTAGCTTCATCGATGCCTGTACCCGGAGTCATCGCTATTAGCAGCGAGTGCAGGCGACTTGATCACACCAGATATATCCTTCATCTCTGTTCCAGATGCACAACTTGAGACCACGGGTCCCTTTACACCAACATTGCAGCCTCTACTGGAAAAACTAGGTCTTCCCCCGCCAATCGAAGGAGAAACGATAATTCCCTGCTTTACAGCCAATCTCCCACTCGTCCTTTCTCGCTTGCCAGAAGCCACTTTGATCCAGTCTTTCCAAGGCATCGCCGATGGCCAGGCCTCAGCACGCTCTGTCTCCATCAAACCGCACTTCGGTTCTGATCACCACCTGAAAATGTCCCTGCCATTCCAGATTACCGGAGCCATTCGAAACGTCAAGCCTTGGCAAGCGTATCAAGCTACATACATGACTGAGCTAATCGAGCGTCTTGCCCACCCGAATCTCTGGGTTAATCGAGAGACTGCGACGATCACGGGTGTCAATATGGACGTGCAAGCGGCGCGAACGGTGTGCTGCATTCTCCGCGAGGATTTGGAGCCGCGTGCTTTGAAGGAGGGTCAATCGTTGATAATTGCAGCGGCACTTTATCATCGTCCTGCTGGGGAAACTAGGACGTATGCGGAGAGGCTTTTTGATTTGGATGGTTTGGAGGATAAATGCTCCTGGCTTCGGAGGTTTGTGAATGGTCCCCGAAATATATCAACATGGAACGGCTCAAGCTGACACACCCTTCTCGCTCTCATAGGTATATAGGCCTCCTATTCCAGCTAGTCATCCCCCTCCTAGGCCGTGGCGTCGTCCTCGAAACCCACAGCCAAAATGTCCTAGTCCGAGTTGACAAACGCGCTAATTCCGTCGTTGGTTTCGCCATCCGAGACATGAACGGAGTCAAGATACACGTTCAAACCCTCCAAGACCAAGGAATTGCCGTGGACAAACGACTAGCCCAAATATCCGAAACAAGAGCCGCCAGTCTCGAAGCTCTGTGGAAACGAGCTCATCGAACTCTCATCCAAAATCATGCCGGGTTTCTCATGCGCAGTCTTGGCTTGGATAACAGCCAAGGGTGGTCAGTTGTTCGGGACGAATTGGAGAAAGTGCTTTTTAGTCCAGAGTGCCCGATGGGTCAAGAGCTGCATCGGTTCTTTTGGGCGGAAAGTATGGGGTATCCATGTTTCTTGGGTGCTATTTTGCGGGGGAAGCCGCTAGAGGTAAGTCTTAAATGCGAACTACAAACGAAAAAGGAGAAAATACTGACTGGTTCCTCCTATAGCTTGAGATAAAGCAGCATCCAAACATCTTGCTGAGGTAATATAGGGCAGCCACTTGCTCCAAGTCGAGCCTGGAAGGTATTACCTAGTACCTATACTTTCTTGTGCATCAGCAAGAAAGCCCAAGTAATGGAGGCGACCTTCCTGCTCGTTGAACGCTACATATCTTTAAAGTTCTGGGTTTACCTTCCACAATCAAGGTTCCTTGCTATTATGTTCAAACTTCATTCAACACTCAGTGGTAAATAGACTATGTAGCCACTATTTTAATGGGAATTATCAACAGTCAAGCCTATCTCGACTCCAAACAAGGCACCAGGCGCTTAGAGCCAAAGAAAACAAATGCAACAGGGTATTATGCATCACGATAGATCTCTACCCTTACCAGGAGCAGACAAATAAACAAAACCAGACCTCATGACCACCTCACAGGCCGCCAGGAGGGCCTCCCAGACGGGCCATCCGAGACTCCAGATCTCGCACCCAGGGCTCAACGGTCTCAACATTCGAGCGTAGGGCTGCCTCGCCTTGTTTCATTTTCTCCTCGACAGCTGTGAGACCCTCACGCCATTGCTCGATTTCAGAGGCCATTTCAGCGTGCCGTTTCTCAAGCTCGTTGAGGGATTCAGCGGCGTGAGCGGCACCGGCGTGACAAGCGCGTAGTGAGCGAAGGCGTTCCAATACACTCGGTAGCAGAGGATGTAGGGACTGAATGGTTGGGAGGGTGGCGTAGAGGGCTTGGATTTTGGCGATCTGTTCATCGTCCATAAAAGAGCCTTCGGCCGAGGGCACGTCCGCATCAGAGCCTGTAGCAATTCTTGCAGCCTGAGCAGCCTTGGCGGCGTCAGCTGCACGCTTGCGGGCAGAGGCGAGCGCCTCGGCATCGGTGGTCAACTTGCGGACTCGCGTGGATAACGATTCTAAATGTAGAGTGGTTAGTCCAGGGGTAGCACTGGAACCGCCGGAGGCAGGGTTTGCGCCCGCGAGTAGACCGTTAAGCGTTGAGAGGCGGGAGGCCATCAGTTCCAGCGCAGGAAGCACTGGCTGCAACGCAGGTTCACTGATGCCATCGCCAACGAATGGGTTTGAAGAGCTCGAGATGCCCATCGAAGCTTCGAGGAGAGCTAGGCGTCCTTCAAACGCAGCTGCATGAGAAAGGAGCCCCGCAGATGGGGCAGCAGTCTGAGCTGGTACGGGTGTAACGGCGGTTGATGCTGACTCTCCAGCCGGGGCCTGTTGCTTTTGGGAGTCTGTGCCAGGCACCGAGAAACTCTGGGACCCGGTGTTGATCTTGTGTGTGAGTGCCGTCGCTGCTGAATATGATGCAGCTTGACCGCCACGCGACGAGCCATGCAAATTGTCCAACGCCCGGCTTAACTCTGCAACGCCATCCCCTAGCGTGTTATCCCCCGACTTGTCAGCTGCAGACGCGGCCTCGCACACGCCGGCCTCTGGCGCTTGGTTTTGTCCAGAGCTAGACCGAGTTTCCATTTCCAGTTTTAAATCCTCAACCTCGCGCCGGAGGCGTGCCAGCCGCCGCTCGACCGACTCGTCCTCGCTATCACTCAGGTCGCCCACCTCCTCAGTGCCGTCCTCACGTCTCCGTCGCCTTCTGTTGCTCTTGTCTTTGCTGCGGTATGCTTGGCGCTTCGAGGAAATGCTATCGGAGAAATTGGCATCGCGCGCGTCGACCGCAGCGCCCATGAAATGCAGACGCGCCTGGTCGGCATTGACGCCCTCGCGGTCAATGTCGGAGTTGAAACCGGCGTCATCGTGATCGGAGTCTGTGCGAAGAGTTGTAGCCTGGAAGAGTAGATACAATTGTAAGTCTGGGCCCATGCGGCGATCCTAGCAGGGAATGCTGGGACTCACGGGGACGGTGGAGGCTTCGTCGGTCAGGTCAGGGGTTTCGTAAATGTCCGGGGCCAGGTCCTGAAAGGCAGGTCAGTAGTGATTGCGAACAGAGATTGAATTACAGACTTACTAGGTCAGGTAGACCGGCGTACTTCTTGTTGAATGCCATGGTGATTTGGAAGTGGGGGGAAGTGAGAGACTGTCAACAATGAGCTTCACCTTTCGGGGAACTATACCCGCTCGGGGTTGGACAGTCTTGGCACAGGACAGTCTAAGGCACTCAGGCATCCAGGCCCCAGAAACCAGAAACCAAGACCCGCCCGACATCATCGTTCCTTCCCAAAGTTCCCAAAGTGGGTTCCGCTGATTCAGCTCGCAAGCCTCCCGGCACGTGTCAGCCTCGGAAGGAACACATGCGACGCCAGCCACCAACTTCTAGCGAAGCGTATCTAATAGGGGACTTGTTCAGCTGTCACCTATATAGTCTCTGACATTCTCCCTTGTGGTCTCCAACAGTTTCAATTTTTCCTCGCACTCCGATCCTCAGTTCGCAGCGTTGTGATCAACCCGATATCATCTACACCGTCTTATCCCCCACCTCCCCGCATTCTTAGTTCTACCACATCAAAATGGCTGCTCCCGCCGATACCACGATCAAGAACCTCAATGGTTCATGGGTGATGGTATGTCTCCGTTTGAAAGAGAAAACATCACCTACAAGCGAAATTGAACCCCGCGAACTAACAATCGACCCGTGTAACAGGACTCTACCCTTTCCGACCCTGCTGATCCCCTCCTGGCTCTGGTATGAACCTAACATATCCCTCCCCCTTCCCTTACATGTGTCCGTGGTCGTACAAGCACCAGGGTCGCATTTTCTAACAGCCACAACCCAATTAAACCATTGAAAACACTCGCTAACCTCATCCACAGCAAGGCATGAGCTGGTTCCTCCGCAAGGCCCTCCCCTATGCCACCGTCACCCTGCATGTGAGCGAGTACGCAGACTCCACAAACCCGCAAGTCTACCACATCGACGTCGACCAGGTCATCACCGGCGGCATCACAGGCAGCAAGGAGGCTCGCCAGCTTGACTGGCAAGAGCGCGAGCACGTCGACAACATCTTCGGCACCCTGCGAGGCAAGTCTCGCTTCCTCCGCGGCTCCAAGGCCGATGACGGCAAGGTCCGGCCCGCGGTCGACTTCCAGACCAAGGTTGGCGATGCCGAGAAAGATGCCAAGGTTCAGCGCTTCCTGCGTGGTGAGGTCCTTCTCGACGGCGCTGCTACTGAGGGTTTCGTCGTTGATGAGGAGGGTGCCGAGTTTGGTGAGGGTGAGGGTCTCTGGATGCAGAGCTTTGTTGTGAATGAGCAGAAGGGTTGGACTGCTGAGCAGGTACGTTTATCAACACTCTTCGGAGGGGCTCTAATTCCCCTGATTCCGTCATGCTGTTTACATGTGATGACTTTGCATGTGATATTGCGGGTAACGAGTATGCTAATCCCCACTTTTTTACTTTTTCAGATCTGGGGCTTCGAGGTTGTTGACGGTCAGCGCCGCCACACCCGCCGTGTTGCCGTGACCAAGGGTAGCCAGGTCGAGTTGTCTCGTCTGGTCTACAAGTTTGAGGGACCCAAGCCCGAGTAAAGAGTTGGAAGTAAAGGGTTGGAATGAATTGAGATGATATCATTATTGCACGGGCTTCGTGAGACCCAATTGTTGCTGCATAGTTTCGCATAGGTAGAACAACACAGTTGCTGTTCCTGTATAATTTTGTGAAAGTAACATCCATCACAAAATGTAATACATAGCATGAACGTGATTAGTTAGGCTTTTCAATGCCTTACATTGGTCAAAGTGTGTGCTAAGACTTTGACAGGGGTGAGAGGGTTCCCGGATCTCGGCACCAAGGAGATTGGTTGATAGGGACAAACCCCCAAGAGCCTCCTATAGCCTACTCCTGATGATGCTAATGGGCCATCCTTGGTGGGTCTTTATTGCTCGGAAGTTAGAAAACAGGTTTAAAGACAAACACCCCGGTATGGGGTGAGAGTAACTTTCATTGCTGGCAAAGCCAAAGCCCATAGGCCAATCTTCAATCCTTTAAAGAGCCCAAATGATGCGTTAAGGGTACATGATCATGAAGTAATAAATCGAAAACTCAAAAGAAAAAAACGAAAGCAATTTTATGATATAATATAACCAACGCCTACGAGTGCGTAGGCATCACAACACTCGCCTTAGTGCTGACAGCATCCTCAGCTTTCCAGTAGCTGGTCACAGTCTTCTGCTGGGTATAGAATTGCAGACCGGGCTTGCCGTAGAAGGTGTTGGCACCGCCGCCGGCGATACTCTTCTTGTTACCGGTGAAGGAGAACATGGGCAGTGGGACGGGGATGGGGACGTTGATACCCAGCTGGCCGGCCTCGATGTCCTTCTGGAAGCGGGAGGCGGTGGAGCCAGAGCGGGTGAAGATGGCGGCACCGTTGCCGTATTCGTTGGCGTTGATCATGTTGATGGCGTCGTCGAGGGTTTCGACGTTTAGGCAGACGAGGACGGGTCCGAAGATTTCTTCCTTGTAGCACTTCATATCAGGGGATACGTTGGTGATAATGGTGGGGCCGACCTAATTCAACGTAGTATTAGTATTAGGAATTATTGCTTGAGGAAGGGAAAGGGAGGGTGGTCTTACAAAGTTGCCGTTGGGATACTTGGCAGGCTTGTAGTTACGGCCATCAAGGAGGATAGTCGCACCCTCAGCCTCAGCACTGGCAATGAGATCCTCGATGCGCTTCTTGCTCTCGGGGCTGATGACAGGGCCGAGATCGGCACCCTCCTCGAATCCACCGTCCACCTTGAGAGCCTTAGCACGCTCAGCGATCTCAGGGAGCCACTCCTTGGTCTCGCCAACCATGACAGCAGTGCTCAGAGCCATGCAGCGCTGGCCGGCAGCACCGAAGGCGGCACCGACAATAGCGTTAATAGTGTGGTTCTTGTTGCAGTCGGGCAGGACGGCGGCGTGGTTCTTAGCCCCCAGGTTGGCCTGGACACGCTTGCCGTTGGCGGAGCCACGGGTGAAGATGTACTCGCCAGCACGATTGCTACCAACGAAGCTGATAGCCTTGATGGCGGGCTCATCGAGGATGAAGTCGACAGTACGGGCAGCACCGTGAACGATGTTGATGACACCGGGAGGGAAACCGGCTTCCCGGGCTAGCTCGGCCAGGATCATAGCAGCACCGGGGTCACGCTCGGAAGGCTTCATCACCAAGCAGTTACCAGTAACGGTGGCGATAGGGATGCACCACAAGGGAATCATAGCGGGGAAGTCTTATCAATAGTTAGTGGGTCTGATAGGAAAACAGTGATAACGAGACTCGGAATACTTACTGAAGGGGCAGATAGCAGCGACAACACCCAGAGGCTCACGATAGCTGCGGGTCTCCATATCCTTGGCCACCTCGAGTACCTCACCAGTCATCTGGGTAGTGATACCGCAGGCGGTCTCGGCAACTTGCAGACCACGGAGAACATCACCCCTGGCATCGGCAAAGGTCTTGCCCTGCTCCAGAGTGATGGAAGCGGCCAGTCGGTCCCAGTTCTCACGGATCAAGTTGGTGAACTTGAAGAGAATCTGCTGCTTGGCCATGATGCTGGTTGCCTTCCAGGCAGGGAACGCCTTCTCGGCGGACCGGACGGCGGCCTTGAGCTCCTCATCGGTGCTCTGGGGCACACGGGTCACGAGGTTGTTAGTGGCAGGGTCATGGAGGTCAATCCAAGTTGTGGCCTGGGATGTAACGAATTCGTTGTCAATGAAGTTGGCTGTGTCGATGGGGTTGGCAATCGGCTGGTGGTCCGTCGGGTACTCAGTAGCGGTGCTGGCAGCCGAGGTGGTTGCGGGGGTGAACTGCTTCGCAGTGGCGTGCAATCGACGAGCAGCAGACATGGCTCCGGGAGTAGAAACGGAATGTTGAGAAGATAGACGGGCAATTGGTGTGGAAATGGTGGTCAGAGACCGGGCACTGGAGGCAGCCCTGGCGACGAGAGGCGTGCGGGGAGCGGAGCGGAGAGCGGGGATGGTTCGGGTCAAAGACCGACGGGCGGCCATGATGAATTGAAGAGACGAAAAGGAAAGGAGAAGGGGGGACTTTAAAGGAAAAGGGGAGGTGAAAGAAGACGTAGGTCAAGGATGCAGTGTTACGTGGCGAAAGGGAAGTATAAGAAGGGTGGCTACTTTATTAATGAATCCCAGAGCTGGTTACCCCAGGCCCGAGGTCAACCGCAAGTCGCCCTACCGCCTTTTAATCGGATGCTTCCCCGTACAAGCGGAGTCGAGCCGGGGAGAGATAAGCTATACTCGGCGAAATGAACCAATCATGTCCCACAGTGATAGTCTCCCATCGCCGAGGCTGCCCGCCCCTCACATCTCCTCTTCAGGCAGGGTGTTCCGAGGAAAAGGCCGCCCATTTCATCCAAAATATCATCCACCTACCCGATCTAAGCACAACGTGGGGTCTACCCTCCGTAAACAGTTTAGAATTGTGTATACAATGGTGTTTGTAGATCTAAAAGTATGACCCGCCAAGACCAATTAGCTGACGTGGCGATGAGGAATAAATTAGCCTACCCAATATCTACCAAGCAACGATTCAGGTCATTGGAAGGTTTCGTGTTCGAGAAAAAGAAAAGAAAGAAAGAAGGTGGAAGTATACTGAAGTCTGGATTTTTGGAGTGGATCTCACACTACCTAAGAAGTACTAGTACTACACATGCCAATAGCACACAGGTTGATAATTTGGGGGAATAAGGAAAACAACGCAGAGAAACAAGATAAAGACGACGATGCGAGCAATTGTGTGAGTTTATCGGATAATGCTTTCTTTCGACCTTTGGTCTTCTCGCCATTTACTCCGCAGAGGAGCGAGTGGCGCGCTTGGTGGCACCGCTCTTGCCAGTGTCGGCAGAGGAGCTGGTGGCCTCGCCAGTCTTCTCCTTGGAGCCAGCGGCGGGGGCCTTGCCCTTCTTCTGGGCAGGGGCAGGTGTGCTGGAGCCAATGGCGCCAACGATGATCAGGATAGAGGTCAACAGAAGGGCAACGAGACCGCCAGCAACTTCGGGAACGGTCTTGACGGCGTTGACGGGGTCCTCCTTGGCGAGGCCAACGAAGTAGTCGACCTTCTGGCGGACGAAAGTGACGGGGTCCTCCTTGAAGGTGACAGTGGTACCAGGGGCAGAAGGAGTCTCGGGCTTGGGCTTGCTGGCCTCCTCCTCGGCCTCCTCAATGGGGAGCTTGACATCGAACGTCTCCTTGCGGAGCGCCTCAGCCTCCTCGATGGAGTGACCGATATAGATGTTGTCGAACAGGATGTCGTTCTGCATGGTCCAGATCTCGAAACCAATCTGCGGAAATCATTAGCATCAGGTGCTGTCACAGCAAATGCTGGAGGTAACGGGGAAAACTTACAGCGCCCATAGGCTCAAGGTTAGAGGGGGTCTTGTCCTCGTAGTAGCCGGGGTTGGCAATCTTGCGCGGGGCCCAGGGACCCTTGTAGGCAGGGTTGTCGATCATAGGAGCGGACCACTTGCCCTTGTACTCGGGGTTCTTGATCATGGGGCGAGTCCACTCGCCGCAGCCAGAGACCTCGGCGCACTTAGGGTTGGGAACGGTGGGAGCGAGCCAATCACCATCCTCCTCATCATCCCAGTCCTCGGGCTTCTCGGCCTCGGGGTCAGGAACGCTAGTGGGCTCGTCATCCAGCCAGTCGGCAGGCTTCTCAGCCTCCTCATCAGCGATCTCGAAGGGAGCCTCCTCATCCCAGTCGGCAGGCTTGGTGGCCTCGGGGTCGGGAATCTGGACCTCGTCAACCCAGTCGGCGGGCTTCTTGTCCTTGGGGTCGTCAATCTCCTTCTCGGGGTTGACAGGGGGGGTGAAGTCCTCCAGGAGGCTGCCGGCCTTGGCAGACTCGCCGTTGATGAGGATCTCGAAGGTCTGATCGGGCTTGACGATCAGAGTGTAGAGGGAGGTGACCTTGGAGGTACGGGCGACGGGGGGAGTCTTGAGGTGCTTCTCCTCGTACTCGCCGGTCTTGGGGTTCTTGTGACGGAAGATGAAGTGAACCTGAACAGTGAAAAAACGCTGGTCAGCCCTGACGTTCAATTGGATGTTTCGGAAGGTTGACACATACCTTGTTGGTGGCACCGCACTTGTCGGGACCAAACATGATCACGTAAGGAGTCGCGTTGGAGAACTCCTCCTGGTGGAGCTTCTTGTTCTCCTGAAGGAGCTTGAGGTAGGCACCACCGCAGACCAGGGAGTTCTGGGGCTTAACCTCATACTGGACAACCAAGGTCTTACCCTTGTTGTCAATCTTCTTGGGGAACTTGGCCGAGATGGCGTGGTGGGCGGCGGCGTTCTTCACAACCAGACCCTTGTCGCCCTCAATTCCCTTGAAGACGGAGGGCTCCTCAACAGCCCACTCGCCAACGAAGGCCCAGTCCTCGTCGGACTTGGGGTCGTCCTTCTTCGCGTGCGAGAGCTTCCACCGGGACTCCCAGTCGTCGGTGAACTGCTCCAGGAAGGGAGCCTTGAGAGAAGTAGGCTAGATAGAGGAGTTAGAACGGTCAAAGAAGGTTCAATTGCAAAGTGGGTCTTGAACATACAGTGAAGGTGGGCTTCTCAATGGCAGAGGTGGCATCAGGCACAGCTTCCACTTCCTCGGCATGAGCATAGCCCATAAGAGTGGCCGAGGTGGCCAGAGCCGTGACGGCGGTATTGAAGCGCATGATGAAGAACAGAGGACGAAAGGAGGGAAGCGCACAGCACCTGAGGGGAGAAAGACAGGGGAGTGGGGGGAAAAAGAACAGCCTTAAGAAGAGGAAAGAAGCGGAGGTTATATACAAGCGACGCGGACTGGCGAAGGTCCAGGTGGCCTCTTCATGGCAGCTGCCCTAATCGGGACTAGCGTGGCCGTGAGGTACCGCGACCCCTTCGATCTCCTTCGATGTGAGGGAAAACGCTAACTGGATGAGGAACCATACTATACACTCCAAGTTCAACTCCCTTGCTAAGTATTGCTATTCAACCAGATCCTGCATCATTGTATTTATTCCAGGGATAATTTTAATGGAATTGAGCAGATACTACATCAATAACCAACATCTTTCTCAACCAATTCAATTCGGTCAGCTTTACAGTTGCGCAGCATTCGTGTTGCCGTAGCGCAATTAGGTGATTTGATGGGGTGGACTCCGAACGGCGCGGAGCTGCAGATTCCACCCCGCTCGGAAAGATTTATTGGCTTCATCGGATCGCGATTGTTACACCAGCACTATTTCCTACTGACAACCACTAGACAGACGCTTCTACGGTCCCAAAGTAAGTGAGAATCGGTCGCAAAATCTCGGTGAACCCAATGATTACCTCATTCCTCGCCCGCTGGCCCTAACTACATACTCTCCATTATAAAGCGCCGACTGAAGTCCTCACCAGCCCACCATGGCCTCCACCGAAGAACAGGCCGTCGCGGTCACCACCAACAACGACCACCTGGTACAGTCCGAGGACCCCGAGCACCCGGCGAACCTCATTCCGGAGCTTTGCCGCAAATTCTACAACTGGGGGTGGGTCACTGGCACTGGTGGAGGTGTAAGTCTCTCCTTTGCGCAGGTGCGGGGCAGCGCAAAGTGCTATGTCCGCTGACGAGAAGTAGACCTCCATTCGCCATGGTGATCACATCTTCATTGCTCCTTCTGGCGTCCAGAAGGAACTGATCAAGTCCGAGAACATCTTCGTCCTTCAATGGCCCACCAAGAAGTACCCCGCCGAAGAGCGCAGCTATATTCGCCGCCCCCTCAAGCTGAACCCGTCAGCCTGCACGCCGCTGTTCCTGACAGCCTTCGAGAACGGTGCTGGCTGCTGTATCCATACCCACTCCCAATGGGCCGTCCTGGTGACCCTGTTGGTGGAGCGTGAGAAGGGTCCCGATGCTTGCTTTGAGATCAGCACCATCGAGCAGATCAAGGGCATTCCCCGTGGAAAGGGCAAGGGCATGTTGGGATACTATGACACTCTCAGCATCCCAATCATTGAGAACACTGCCTTTGAGGAGAACTTGACCAGCGGTCTGGAGGCGGCCATGAAGAAGTACCCGGACACCTACGCGGTGCTTGTTCGGCGACACGGAATGTAAGGACGACTCTGCAATTGTTACATTGCTGTTTGTGATGAGTTGAACCCGCTGACTGTTCTCATAGCTATGTCTGGGGCGACAATGTTGCCAAGGCAAAGACTCAGTGCGAGAGTCTGGACTATCTGTTCCAACTGGCCGTCGAGATGCACAAGCTGGGCCTCCCCTGGGTCAAATAGATGACAGATAGTTCCCCTGAGTATGCCACACAATATCGCAGGGCTGCTATTGATTCCATAATTCCTATAGATTAGCCGATGATGAAGAGAACAGTAGGGTTCTATAAATTTGAAACCGAGACAGACTTCAGAATCCACGAGTTCAATGATAAAAAATGTTGCTTGGATAATGAAAAAAAGACAGTTCCCAAATTAGTGGAAATTCAAAAATCCCCATCGAAAAATAGGATGGCAAAGTCTCTCTGAACGGACTGTTTGGCTAGACCTCAGACCTTTGAGCTCCAGTACACTGTATCCCAATTGAGACGATGTGACGTACATGCAAGTGTCAAAGCCATAATGGTCTGTCGCAAGTGATCAGATTATGACACATATTCATCATGGGATGGATCGAGAAATATCGCAGTTAGCAGAAGGGTTTAATAACCCCAGGGTCAAATAATGCGACAGTTGTGTGTAGAGGGACAAGTGTCAGCAATCGTGTCAGCAATCTTGGACCTTGGGGTTTGTTGGAGATCCCGTGAGTGACTAAGAGGCGCGGATCATCCTCCACTCCACCTCCACTGCCAGCTTCCAGCTTCCAACCCCCCATCTCCTCTTGTCCTCGGAGCCACGATTGAACCAGTATCGGCGCATAATATTCGGTTCAATTCCATAATCCTTTTTTGACGGCCCTCGATCATACTTGCTCGACCACAATGGATCTCGACGCTGGAGATTCCCCGTGGGGCGGTAGGCAGTCATGATACCACAGCTCATTGGATTGCGATCTAATTAGGATACAGATGAGCCCTCGCGTTCGGTGACTACCAGCGCCGCACCGGAGCAGGATTCCCAGGATAACGGTGTGTTATGCCCTTGGAAGACCTCCATTGCCATCAACCCCTCACTAATCGCAGCACGGTCTCTCCTTGCAGCTCCCGCCCATCCCGCACCATCAGCCGGGAGCGCCGAAGTCCGGACACCTGGAAGACGAGTACCACGAGGAACGCGGAAGATCAGCGCACATGCGACACGATTGGAAGCCGTCGACAACACCGTTGATCCTCTCGGTCCTCTCGGAGAATCCACCCCTGATATAGTTGCGACTCCCACCGAGGAAGCCCCGGCTCCCCCACAGAAAGAATCGCTTGCTGCTCGAGGCCCTCAACCGGCCTCAACTTTTGCCCAGATCCCCGGCGCGACTGGCCTTGCTGACTCGGTGCACCTTGAAGAAGATGGCGCCGGTTTCCGAGGGCCGCCGCCTGTACAGCCTCCTGCTGATGTTGACGGGCCTAAGCGGCAGACGCATCCAAGCATGAGCATTGAGCAAGCTGCGAAGCCCACATTTGATATCAGCGTTGGAGATCCACACAAAGTGGGAGACCTGACGAGCAGTCACATTGTCTACCAAGTTCGGACAAAGGTATTGATCCCTCTCGGGCGCGGGAGGTGACTATTTGTGGCGAGTAAAAGGCTAATCTGATCGCACATGAACATCCAGACCACATCAAAGGGATACCGTCAACCAGAGTTCGCGGTCAGCCGCCGGTACCGTGACTTCCTTTGGCTATACAACTCTCTGCACAACAGCAATCCGGGTGTGGTTGTTGCTCCTCCGCCCGAAAAACAAGCTGTAGGCCGCTTTGATACAAATTTTGTCGAGTCACGAAGAGCAGCACTTGAACGTATGTTGAACAAGATCGCAGCTCACCCGATTCTCCAGCATGACGGTGACTTGAAGATCTTCCTTGAAAGTGAAGCCTTTAATGTGGATATTAAGAATAAGGAGAACCGGGAGCCTGATCTTGGTCAAAGCAAGGGTATGTTTAGTGGCTTTGGTATCTCGGTTGGTGGAGGCGGCAAGTTTGTAGAGCATGACGACGTAAGTGAGCTTCATTGACACAGCGGAAAAAGTTTACTCACTTACACCTTGCACAGTGGTTCCATGACCGCAAGGTCTATTTGGACGCGCTGGAGAACCAGCTCAAGGCACTCTTGAAATCTATGGACACGGTGGTTGCGCAACGCAAGGGTCTCTCCGAGGCCGCAGGCGATTTCTCAAGCTCCCTGCACGCCTTGGCTGCTGTTGAGCTTTCCCCCGCATTGGCATCTCCACTGGACGGTCTATCCGAACTCCAATTCCGCATTAAAGAACTCTACGAACGTCAAGCTCAGCAGGACGTGTTGACTCTGGGCATTACAATTGATGAGTACATTCGTTTGATTGGTAGTGTGAAGAATGCATTCTCCCAGCGACAAAAGGCCTTCCATAGCTGGCACGCCGCAGAGTCGGATCTACAGAAACGCAAAAACACCCAGGAAAAGCTCCTCCGCCAGGGCAAGTCTCAGCAAGATCGATTGAACCAGGCCAACGCCGATGTTGCCGATGCGGAGCGCAAGGTACACCAAACTCGTCTTTTGTTCGAAGATATGGGCCGCTTGATGCGGAATGAATTGCAAAGATTTGAGAAGGAGAAGGTGGAGGACTTCAAGTCTGGCGTGGAGACTTTTTTGGAGAGTGCCGTTGAGGCTCAAAAGGAGGTAAGATGATTACAAGTCCCTACTGAGATAGATTCGTTGCTGACCCTTTCTTTCTAGTTGATTGAGCTCTGGGAAACTTTCCTCCTCCGTCTCGACGCCGGGGAGGACGGTCTACCTTATTATGTGCCCGAGTCGGAGGCCGGCCAGGCACCCGTGTCCGAGTCAACGACATCAGCCGCGGAACCTACAGCCGCCACCGAGGATGAAGATGAAGCCTGATAAACCTGGTTCTTCACTCGCAGCCGCTCTAATATCACATCAACCTGACACGCTGGAACATACACTATCCAGTATCAGTCTTGAATTCACTCAGGAATCTCTTCCTTCGCCCCATCCTCTTTGCCTATCCAAGGTACAACTCAATGATTGTCTTCAGCCAGCTTATCTTCTTATCCCCTCTTTGTCTTGTTGATTCAGAAAGTTCGTTCAAATACCACTATTCACGTATTATAACCGATACCACAAGTGTGATTCTACCTGATAATGAAGAACTCAACATTGTCCAGGCCTCCGAATCAAGATAGTATTTACCTAGATACTTGTTATCAAAACGGTATTTTAGACACGACATATTCTCCAGAGCCTGGTCAGTTGCCTTTCGAGGCTCTTGGTTTAGAGATAGCAATATCCTGGTTTCCATGGGGGCTGGCTTTGCGGATATTCTTCCTGTCGTTCTTTATCTTGGGAATTAATTACGACCATGGTATGGAATAAGGATGGATGGTACAGGAAACTCAAACTGGCCGGCTTGATTAGATCTTAAGTTACAAACTGGGACATGATACAACGCACCAATACATACATCAACAGCGTGAGAATTAACGCAGGTCTAGCAACATTTCAGTTGCTTTGCTTGGTCGGAATAGATTCTCCCTTAAAAGTCGTAGTAAACCCCACAAGGCGGTGGTGAAAGGTCGAGATCAACGAGCCATTGTGGTTGTATTGGACGATCACTGCTTCCCTTGATAGCCGCATTAATAAGAAGCGTCTGCGCACCACGTTTCAGTCGTTTCATCGGTTGTGGATTCGTAGAGCTATGATTCGTCGCAGCAAGTGCCGGCCAAGACATTCTCCCTTTCAGAGTGGAAAGCCTTTCTATCAAATGGGACTTCTCATTATGAATATCTCGGTTTGGTAGAAATTTCCAGTGCCACAGGGCAAAGCAAGAACGACCACAATGGCATGCGCAAATGGAGATTCCACTCATGACCATTGTACGTTTAGTTTGTAATTGCTATGGATGAAGAATCCTATTTGGACATCAAACTGAGCTCAAGATGCATGTTCTGAACCGCATGTCTCCTGTACGATCATTCCAAAGCTATCCTATAGACACGTCTTTCACAGTACTTGCTGTCACTGTAGATAAGTAACTAGTCACGAGCTGTGATGGCAGAAAGCTCGCGGGTTCGCAATTTCAGACTGTTAATCAACCGTGTCCTGTCTGATTAGCCGTTCGAAGAACCATTGGTTCCTATCCCCTGATCCCGACGTGCGCTTTAATTACAATCTATGAGAGACTATAAACACCGAAAAAGAGCTTGGTGGAGGGCTAAGGTTTCCCCTAAAATAGACCAATGGTATTGAAATTCACTTCATCCAATGAGAGAACTCGATCCAGCCTTTCGGTCTCTAGCAGGCAAAAGTCCTCATTCAAGCACACATTCCTTCTTTGAGTAAGACACAATAACATGCCATACACTATTCTCATAATTCATATCTATCACGATAATTTGCTGGTACAATGGTCCAATCAATTCACTTGAACCCAAGGCTAGTATGACGCGATCCTCCTACAGTACACGTTATTCGGCTTTCTTCCGAGCAAGGGTACGTCTCGGTACATTTGAAGTTTTTCTTAGCTCCAATACATCCGTGTGCTTTACGTCTATTCTCCTGTCACCAGCGGGGGCCGAGATTCGTGCTTTTCAATGGCAATGGCAGCATGTTGTCGAGCGGGGTTATTGAAATATGAGACAGATAAATTTAAACCCTCTACGAGTGAATGCCCGGCCACGATTCATAAACGAGTATTTTTAATTTCATTCCAATCTCATAATATATTATATTCATTGCTTGAATCATATCAATTAGCATGGCTACCGACAGTCCAACCCCGAAAAGACGAATCTATCTCAATGGCTTCGATATGTTCACAGTCGGCCATCTATCATTCGGCCAGTGGAAAAACCCTGCAGATCGATCAGCCACAAAGCGGCGAGATCTTTCATACTGGACAGACCTCGCCAAGATCCTGGAGAAGGGTGACTTCAATGCATTGTTCTTAGCCGACACTTTCGGTCTCTATGACACTTACAAGGGTAGTGCCGAGCCGGCTATTCGCAACGGGGCTCAATATCCGATGGGAGATCCTGCAATTGTATGTTAAGAGAAGTGACACGACATGATAGGAATTTCTGATTGAGGAGCATGCTAACGTACAGTCCCAGCCAATCTCGGCCATGGCGTCGGTGACCAAGAACCTTGGTTTTGCTATTACTACGTCTACATCCTATGAAGCTCCATATGTCGTTGCAAAGAGATTCTCAACACTGGATCACCTTACGAACGGTCGGTTTGGATGGAACATTGTGACTTCATGGAAGGCTTCTGCCTCTAAAGCTGTGAGTTCTTCAATATCTCAGCGAGATGCTCATTTACTGAAAACCCTAGGTTGGATTGCCTCTCATCGACCACGACAGACGGTATGAGATTGCCGATGAGTATCTGACCGTGTTATACAAGTACGCTTAAATGTGCATTTTTGATTCAAGTCTTGCTGATTCCTTTGCCTAGGCTCTGGGAAGGAAGTTGGGCAAATGACGCCCTCAAAGAAGATATCAAGACCGGCATCTACACAGATCCCAGTCTCATCAAATATGTCCATCATCACGGTGAAAACTTCCACGTCGATGGTCCACACATTCTAGATCCATCACCTCAACGCACTCCATTCCTCTTCCAAGCCGGAACTTCTCCAGCCGGCGTAGCATTCGGAGCAAAACACGCCGAAGGTGTTTTTGTGTCGGCCCCTTCTCCACACATCCTGGCTCCTCGCATCCAAGCTATCCGTGAGGAAGCAGCAAAGAATGGTCGTGATCCGAGATCTATAAAGGTCTTTGCCATTCTGACTCCGATAATTGGCCGAACGGAGGAAGAAGCCCAAGCAAAGTATCGCGAGGCCCTTGAGAACGCCAGTGAAGAGGCTGGTCTGGCGTTTTTCTCCGGTGGAAGTGGTATTGATCTCAGTCTTTTTGATCTGGATACGCCTATCAAGCCATCTGATGTTCATGTTGATGCTCGAGTCCATTCAACCATTAACACGCTCTCATATCAGAGCCCAGATGTTCCGGAATGGACGCCCCGGAATATTGGGAAGCATATCTCCATCGGCGGTGCCGGTCCTGTTCCGGTTGGAACTGCGAGCACCGTTGCAGACTTTCTTGAAGAATGGGTTCGAATTGCTGATCTGGATGGCTTCAATATCGGGTATGTGCAAACTCCGGGGACATTTGAGGACGTTGTTGAGCTCTTGGTGCCGGAATTGCGTCGAAGAGGTATCTATACTCCCGAGGGAGAGAGCGGAACTATGCGTGAGAGGATCTATGGGCCTGGGCAGAAGCTGCTGAGAGACGACCATGTCGGAATTAAGTACCGCTATGAGGTTTATGATGGTAAATAGTCAAAAATAGCCATCCATGCACAGTAAGAAGGAAACATATGTGTATTGTACAGGATAAATAAGACAAAATAAGAAAACCCAACTCCCAATTTAAGTACAACGAAGGCACCTGTAAAAGCCCCTCGCTTGTGACAATTCAATCACCTCCAAGCTCATATGCAGGGCGTTCATTTCTTCTTCTTTCCAGAAATTTGAGGCTCCTCCTGGCCGAACGAGCTGATCAAATCCAACAAATTATCCTCCTCCTCCTGATCTGCCTTGGCCTGGGCCTGAGCAGCCTCTTGCTCAGCCTTCTGAGTCGCGGCGTCCTTCTTCAAATCACCGGTGGGCGCAGACTCAGCAACCGGAGCATTGGCATCCCAGCTACGACCGAAGCGCGCACGGAAAGCAGCCAGACGACCAGCCTCATCCTCCTCAACATTCATCAGCTTGCTGCTGGACGGGTTCCAGAGTAGAGAGTTGCGAGTGTCGCGTGTGGAGCGGTAGACGGGGGCGGGCGAGGTGGTGCGGTGGGTGAAGGCGCTGCCGTCGGAGAGGGTGACGAGCTGTGTGAAAGTGTAGGGCCGCTTAGGACGGCGGAGAAGTGTAGCATGACGGCATTGCGAGCAGACGAAGGTTGTGGTCTTGATTTGAGAAGCTGGCAGGCGAGTAGGGAGGATGGTTGATGTTGAGCTGGATATCGTGGCCGCGGAGCGACGCAGAGAGGTGTGCATTGACATTGTGCGAGGGGAAGCGCGGAGCGCAATGAATGTCACTGAGAGATTGGAGAGACTGAAGCCCTTGAATCAATGTCAGATGGGCTGCGAGCGGGAGGTTGCGGAGCGCAGGGTTGAGTTGATGCTATACAAACTCCCGACGCAGAGAAACTTTTGGCAATTATCGCGGGTTATGTAAGCGGCCGGGGATTTTCTCGGGCGGCGCTCCTTCATAAGTGAAACTCATACTTGGTTCGCGCAGACTTGTGTTTCTAGTCTAAATCACGAGGAATACTCTTTGTCTTGTCCAGATCAACTCGTTTGCGCCATTTCTCGAGCCCTAGCGACTGCTCCGGCCCGTCGAGACCGGCAGCATGAAGTTATCACTTCCGCGACTTGCGGCCCGGCAAGGCCTCGGAGGTGAGTCTTTTGAGCTCTTTACGTTATACTTTGCCTTGCAATACTAATTAATATTCTTTAGAGCCATTGTCGCACACATTTTCTCCTATCAAATCTTCTCGTCTCTCCAACCGATCCTCATACACGCTATACTTCCCGCAGCCCTACCTCCGGCACTCACAGCGACATATCAGCAATGCCGCAGCTTCCCTCAAACAAGACAGCGCACAGAGAAGCGAACACCCACCCTCCCACAAAGCTCACCCTCCCTCGACCTCTAAAAAACCAAGCCAATCCTTCCCGACGTCATCAATATCAGAACAAGTCCGCCTCCTTATGCGCCGAGTCCCCTACCCCGTCGCCATCATCACATCCACCGATCCAACCGGTCCCGCAGATACCACTTCCTTCCGCGGAATGACTGTCTCCTCTTTCAACACAGTAACACTCACACCGGAGCCGGTAATATCATTCAACGTACGCCGGCCCTCTGAGACACTCAACGCACTACTCGCCTCAGGCCGATTCCTAGTACATCTCCTCGCGCCGAGTTCCGCAACCGCAACTCTAGCTAGAGACTTCTCCAAGGGGAATACTACCCTCGCAACGATGTTGAGTGGACATGGAGAGTTTGAGTTCGAACCTTTGCGCTCTGGCAGCGAAGCCGAGAGGCCTCTTCCTATTTTGAGGCGGCGAGGGTCAGACTCGCATAGTCGTCTGGACTTCCCATTCGTCTTCGAGTGCAGGCTTCATCCGCAGAAGATTGATGTGCAGGATCACTCAATCGTGCTGGGAACAGTTCTGCGAGCTATCGAAGGCTCAGGAGATCTGCTCTCTGGCCAAAGCTGTGCGGGAGAATCTCCAGATGAGCATTCGCCGGAACACTTGTGTCTCACTTATGCCAATACCAAATTCTGGAAGATGGGCGGTGAAATATAAAATAAATTCCATCTGAAGAAGGCATGGCGAAGCCAATGGCTTTGGGCTACGTCGCACTGTACATATACTATACATGGGGTTGGCGTTTACAGTACATATATTTAGATTTGTCCATAGATATTCAAGTCATTGAAGGCCATCTTGGCCGGGACTCAGCCCAGCGTGGTTACAAATTTGCTTAGCATATTTACAGATAATTAGCCTTATTTCTAACCGCGCTAGGCTCTTGAACCTAACGATATCGCTTCAGGGCTGCTTCCAGTGGACAACCCTTCTCCATTACGTCTTACATGGTCACCGACGGATTGATCAGTATCCACCGGGGTTGAATAAGCAGCTCGCACTCATATTTCGATATGCATTTGCACATTCGCAACCTCGCCGCTCTGGACTTGAGCCACGCGACGGCCAAGGCTGGGTGAATCGCGTGGAATCTCTGTTGGCATCGGGCGTCGACCCCAACGCACTTTTCCGTGGTGAGGAACCCGCTATCTCTGCTCAGGCAGACGACGCAACTCTGGATGAGAACGCTACGCAGCCACCGCAGGTTTACTCCGAGCCCACAGAAATGCCGGCTCTTCGGCAGGCTATTCGAGACTTGGGGTTGGACATCCCCAGGAGGGCTGATTTATTAAAAACGGCGCGACTAATGACAACTTTGCTCAAACATGGCGCTCTTGTAACCACGCCAAACAAAAGTGTAACCTAATGCCCCGACTAATGTCTACATAGATCTACAATGATTTACAAATGATAACTATAAGAAAAAACATACGGCAACCGAGATAGTGTAGAACAAGCTTTTTGGTCTCTAAGAACAGAACTGCGATTCGTCTCACATCAACCCGGCCTTTACAACCTCGTGGAACCCACCGCGAGGGACTAATCGATTCGCAACGGCCAGAGAATATAGATTCCAAGACCGCCCCGATCCGACCCGGTAAGGATAATGGTTGAATTGTAAAGAACGGACAGAGTTTCCGGGGCTAACGAACGATGATCGAACCGAACACAAGGCAAAGTTCAAGCACAAACAGCTCAGGCGAACCACTTGAGAGGGCGTGCGGGCTCAGACATCGACCGACGAGGAGAAGATCAGGCAGAGATCCTGCAAAACCATCTCTTGTATGACATGAGGTTGAAGGCCTCGAGATACCTACTCACGAGTCGATCTGGGACTGCCACTTCCACTGCCGCTACCTCCGCTGCCACTACCGGCTCCGCTGACACGGCTTGCAGCACGCTGGAAAGGGCTCAGTATAGGACGACCCCCGTGCTGCAGAAAACCATTCCCATCTGGCCCGAAGCGTTGCTGCTTCTCGGAGAGAATGTCGGACAGTTCAACCTGAAGTGCCGGGAGGCGATGCGACTCAAAGAAATCTGAGCCATATTGACTACTGCGAGTGGAGCGGTTGGAGAAGGAACGATCCCGACTGTTGATGTCAGTGACGAAGTAGGAGCCAGTGTTGCCGAACGGTGATGCCGGAAATTGAGGCATGAAAGTATCATGCACCGGGCTGGTTGGATGCGATGACGAAGCATGGACAGGCGACGAGGAAGTCTGGAGTGGACTAGACTTGAGAGGAGGAGGGAAGCTGAGGCCCAACAACGCTCGTCCGGTAGGGGCAGAGGTCGTTGTAGTTTCAATAATTGGGTTCGTGCCGGGCAGATTGCCTTCGGGAGTCAGAGGACCAGAATCCAGAAGCATCTGCTGTTGTTGCTGCTGGATTGACTGTTCAATTGCCGAAGCTTGCTGCCAGAGTTGACTCGTGCGCAGCTGGAAGTCTTGCACAGACTGGCTAATGCTTGCAAACTGTTCGTGGAAGTTGGCCTCCATTTTGGCATGATCTTGCTCCCGAGCAAATTGTTCGGCCGCGCGGCGCTCTCGCTCGTTCAATCCTTGGGCATTGGCTGATATGATGCGCTCATACTGTTCGTTGACACGAAGACGGCGGCTCTGAAGACGCTCACGCTTCTGCACAGTCACGCTCAATTCTTGCTCCAAGGCAGACACTTGTTGGGCAGAGGCAAGGCGAGCTTCCGAAACCTCTTCCTTGGTCTTGTTGAAGAGCTCCAATTCCCGATCGAATTCAGCCTTTTGAGCAGTCCATTCTTCCATCTCCTCTTCTGGCACGTTCTCCATGTTGTCTAGTTGCACTTCCAATACCGCTGTTGCCTCCTCGGTTTGTTTAATATTTCGCTCGAGCTGGAGCGAACGCTGCTTTTGCCTGTTTTCGTCCGTTCCACTTTGAAGTCGGTGATTATAATTGTCCAATTCCCTCCGAATTTTCGAGATGAGAAGTTTGTGGTCGTTCTTGGCTTTCTTCAACCGAGAGCGCTTTTCGTTCAGCTTAGCCTCGGCGTTGATGACGGAGTTCTTCAGCGTAGTCGTAGGGGACGAGGGCCGATAAGTTGGCTGCGGGGGTGTCGGGACCGAGGAAACAGCTGCTGAATCGATGAGTTTCATGAACGCAAGAGCCAATTGTTAGTATGAATGAAATCTTACCTTGTTCCATGTCGGTCGTCGCGGGTGTTTTGACACTCATGGCACAGATTTCCTCATCGGTATCGCTGCGTACGAAAGAGCAGGTATAAGCACAGTTAGGAGCGAGACCAGAGATCTCACCCTTCCAGTGGACTATACTAGATCCCTTAGAGGCATCTGGAACCCTGCTGATTGTCGCTGTAGCCCACAATGCCCCATTGACACAAACATAGAATGGTTCAGCCTCCGAATCTGTACGATCGACATCACCCGAGCTTGGCGTCACGGAATCATCGGCAAGGTCACCGGCGGCAAACTTGATAGTAGAACTATCCACATCTGTAATCCATACCAGTCCTTCATCGAGAGAGACACTTTGCAAGTCGTCTTCAGTCAAGCCACGTGCCGTTTTCGATAAGACCCGAGAGTGTTCATATTCCCGCATGACCGTAACCTTTGTACTGGCGAGAGCGGCCCAGAATGGTTGGCGACTTCGAACTTGGTTGGCTTGCCTCCTGCGTTTCTTAGCCGAGGTAAGACGATCCTTGCCGTCCTTGACCAATTGACCGTCCGGCCCCACGAAAGACGAAGAAAGACTAGCGGCAGACTCCAGAGCAGAATCAGCTTGACCTTGTGAGCCTGCCGACGCTTCTGTATCGCCACGCTTGCCAGTCCGCGAGGGTGCCGGTGATCGATTCTTGGCCATGGACCGTCTCGCCATTGCTGTTCCGGCTTGTGCTAGTATATGAACGGCAAGTAGACTCCGTAACCAACTCGGCGAGGAATGCGACTCGGTTCGGCGGAGTTCGGCGGGTAGAATATTCGAGTACTGCGAGAGAAGATCAGGGCTTATGAGTTTGGCAGAGACAAGATGCCCTGTCACAAATTCTTGTATGCCTTTGCTGCGAACGATATGAAGAAGCAGAACAGTCCCCACGCATAGAGCGTTGACCCCGCCGTTTTTCCCGGCGCCTCCGCCGCCCAAAGTAATAGCGACTTGGACGTGAGCAAGATCAATGGCAAAATTTTGTGCCCATGTCCACATGAAAAGGCCCCAGAAAAGAAGGCAGAACCCGTCCATGGCGATCATAGTGCCCATCGAAGGCGTGCCAGCCGGACCCTGAAAGATGTCAAAGTTCGACGATAGGGAGCCGGCAGCACCGCCACTCGGAGGCATGAACGTCAAAGACGCGAACAGGAATTGAACACAAGTCAGAACCATCGGTGGGAGTTGTAGCAGAAAGATCAAAATGGCGATCGTGTCGTACATGGGACACGACTTGAGGATCGTGGACGCGAGTTGAAGCGGATTGATTGAGGAGTTTGAACCCGATCGTTTCGCGGAGCCATTGCGTGAAGTCGAGCTAGCCACGCCGCCATTATGCGGCGTGGCGCCGTTAACTTCGCCGCACGCCATGTCCACACCTCGATGTCCATTCACCGGCCCACGTCCATTGCTATCAACCTTAGTTCCATCCACACCCTTACACGCGACAGTAGACGAGTTGACGGCGGAGTCACTAGTGGAACGAGACGAGGAAAGGTCGAAAGGTGCGGATGCGCCCGAGCTGGTAGCGTTGCCGTTGCCGGGCGAGCCGTTGAGATGGCCGCTGGACTTCTGCTTGGTTACTTTCTTGCCGGGACCGACGAGGCCATTCTCGTGACGATTGCTCTGATTCTTCCTGCCCGCAGCGGATGAGCGTGGCATGGACGAGGGAGCCGAAACCCAGGTCCGAGTCAGCTTGGCGGGATGAGGCCAAGGACTGGGACCAGGCTAGAAGGGGCGAGGAAGGATGGTGAAGGAGGGAGAGAGGGAGAGAAGATTGGAAGATTGGATATGACCCCTAAGATTCGTCCAAAAGGAATGTATATGAGAAGGACGGGAGGTGGTGAGGGGGGTGGGCGTGATAAAGTAGGAGGGGGGGGGAAGGAAGGGAAAAAAGCGAATGGACGAAGGTGGTAATACGAGAAGGGGAAGAAGGAAAAGTCACCAGTAACGGGAGAGACCAAGAGAGAGAAGAGAGTCTTCAGCCTGGGCCGAAGAAGAAACTGAATAGTCGTATCGTATGGTAACGCCGCCGTCGATCATACCAGGGTTCCCTCTCTAGGCAGGCGGTACTGCCCGCTTTTAGTGTACGGAACCGTATGGATTGGCTGCAGTACTAAGTAAAGTACCAACTGTGCGTATATTTGCTGTATGGCCTCTTCTGATCTCAAGTCTGGACTGTAGGGAAGACTTGAGATGAAACGCCTCACTATCGGATGATTATCATCTCAATATTGACATCCTAAGCTATTGTGATGCGTCGAAATATCGAACCGAAAACATTAACCTAACAACAGAGTACGCCAAAGTCCCCTCGTCGATCTCTGCCATGGAGTTTCCCCATTCGTCTTCAAGTCACCTGGTTGCTGCACTCTTTCGGATACCGACAACATCTCGCCCAATCCTCAACGAGAAACGGGAAACAGCCTAAAAGGCTCACAGGCTCATCTCAAAGCACTCCCAGGCCGTTGAAAATACAATGACATCTTCGAACTTCATCCCGTTGCTACACTGGAATGCGAATATACGCAGATAAGCTACGCACCTGGGCCTGCCTGACTCGACAGTGAACCCTATCTACCATAACATCTACGATCGCCAGTTGCTATCAAGCCGAATCACCGACGATCAAACCGTTCTTTCGGCCGTCTCCTGCGGGGTCATCCTAGCCCCATCCTTTGGAGCATGCATGGCGACACGAGTCCCTTTGATCGTAGTATCCAATTGGGGGGAGAATATCTCGCTGATGAGCAAAGCTGCAGAAACCACGCAAACACACCGACCCGACGGGCGGCCCTAGCCTAACTACAGTACAAACTACGGAGTACTGTACTGTATGTGGAATCGCTCGATCATGCCATGCTTCGTGGAGATTTAGCGGCCAGTTTCTTCACATGCTCGGCTATCTCGTACCCTGGAGAGAGGCTCCGCTAAGCAATGGCCAACCTACGATCCGCTTCCCCCCTGTACAACCCTGGTTATGGAGAGCACCGCGGTTCTCCAAGTAATGGACAGGCGCAGGACAGATACTTCGACAGCCTTCCCAACTGCGGAGAGATGCATCTTACCATAATTCCAGACAGGTATCTGCTAGCCGATTGACCCAGCAACCCCTCCCTCACAGGCTGACCCAAGTCAACAAATGCTAAGACGACTTGGCATCGCAAGGTTTCCTCGCAGATCAGCCACCAAATTAGTAAGGATCGTCACCCGCGGCCAGCCCAATTGTTGGCTTTGGGATCTCTTCCCTCCTTTTGCATGCGGTAGCAGAAGACCCTGCCTTTTATCTACGGTGATCAGCTAGATCAATCTTTGAAACGACCGAAGTTCTACAATTCTAATAACCTATTCCATAGTCAGGCTATCATTCGTGCTTGTTACGAAATTTTCTCCTATTGTAGTTTTGCTGGTACACTTGTATCGATCGCACCCAATCCCGACTGAAGAGGCCGGAATCTTCCTTGGGTCCGATAAACGGTTCGACAAGGTTATGGCGCCGATCTCCTCGCTCTTCGACTCGTTCCGGTCCCTTTTGATCCTCATCCGCCCTGTTCGGTAAGGTCTCCGATAGTACAGCAACCCTTAATCATTGATCCTCATGTATCTTTGGAATGTACGGAATACAGACACGGAGTATTGTATAGACGGATCAAACCCGGTATCAACGAAAAACTTCAATTAAACAACTTTTCTGTGGCGTAATTTCCTAGCCACATTCCAATCGCGACATATACGCCGCTGTTACACACAGGTCGAACTAACGTGGCGGTGAGTTGTCCGAGTACGCTATTGATTACTCCTCACATCAGGTTAGGCATTCCCAGATCATGTCATGCTCTAATTATTGATCTGGAGTTGAAAATAATAGTAATGTTACAGCGGGACCGATAAATTTCGTGGTGGCAAAGGACCCAGTTGAAGATTTGGTTCAATATACAAAAACTGGTACGGTGGGTCGGGGGCTTTCATGCTAAAAATACACTCCAATTTAGTATAACCTGATCGAGGAACACCATGAAATACACAATCACCGATATCTAGACTCGCAGTATACAAAAGTCTTGAGTGCAGACAGGATATCACAAAGCTAGGTGTTGATAGCTTCGTAGCGTTGTATAGATCTCAGAAACTCCGATCACAAAATCAGCGGATGACCTGGGATATTGGACCCCTGCCCCAAAAAGCACCTGTGCCCGTTTCAGAGATCTTGTAAAATTAGAATTGTAGTTGCAGTGGTAATTATCAAATCAGGAAATATTGAGTCTATTTTCACCAACACGGCCAAGTCCTAGAAGAAACATATAGCTTGACGGAGAGCAGATGCTGAAAGCTCGCTCCCCGAGTAGCCACAGTACTATTTTACCCAGCACTGTCATGATACCCAGAAGTGAGATAAGCATTTACTAACAGCGAATGGGATCCCAGACATGTCTGCAGCAGTGGCTTGTAATTCTCGTTCATTTGAGTTTCGTTTCAAGCCACATCCGCCTTGTTAGGTATTCGTCATTCCTGTCACCCCTTTTGACCACCATTTCGAAATAATTATTGGAGTCTATGTACTTTTGGGATCTCTCCTTTATTCAGCTTAATGGGCCTGTTTTAGCTATTTGATTCTGGCTTTAAAAGTATTTACGATCTGATGTGCGATAGAAGAGCATAATATACAAGCTCACTGTATAGGTTTCTTCCTGGTGCGTAGCCTGAGTCAAGAACTACAATATTGGCAACCATCAATATGACGGGGCCAGGGTCAGGGAAATCAGACTCTACCAGCCATGTCATCAAAGTTGGGCAAAGTGTTTGTAGGCGCACCCAGCAAAAGATGGATGTACTGGGGAAGAATTCGAAGGACAGCAAGAGAGCCTCATATAGGTATGATTTGGCAGAAGCTGACTTGTAATATCTACATATATTGTCTCTTTATATTCAGAGATTCTAAAATCGTTTCAACAATATGGCAGTAATTCAATAGGCAGCGCCAGAACCTGAAATCAGAAAACGAAGCCATTCATATTCTTCTCTTTTTCCAAATTCCATGCTCTTTCAATCAGCTGGTTGACCTTGCCAGTGTCTGTGAACCCACTGTAAGCAGCAAGAGTATGCGCTTTTCTCTCGATTTCGTCCCTTTTCAATATCAGCCCGAGACCAATCAACTATGAATCACCGATACACATACCTTGTCAATGGGAGTTCCGGATCTCCTTTCGCAAACTCAACCGACTCAGTGAACGTCTTCCCAGCCTTTGTTGTCACAATAACAGTTCCCTGCCACTTCTCAGGGAAAACTCGATCAATATCCGGATCTAACTCCATCCTCACACGCTCCTGGAACTCCCTTAGCTCAGAATCCTCCAAATCATCTTCCGTAAAATCAGTAATCATAGCCTGGCCCTTTTTAGCGATAACGGCGAGAACAAATCCCATTGAGAATTTGCTTTGATGAACTGTTTCCCCTCTTCCGGTCATACCGAGTACATTGATGGCGGCCTGGTAAGTACGGGAGATTACAGACTCAATATCCGCAAAAGTAACATCGTTCTTCTTCATGAGTTTCAATAGTGCATCGGCGCTGGGATGGGTATGCCGACACGATGCGTGCCATTTGAAGCTAGATCGGAGAATTTCATAGTCGGTACCGAGATTTTGATCAATTGCCTCGGGTTTTGTGGTGCCTGGAACTAATGCAACGCCCATTGCGCGCGGTCCCTCGAGGATGTCCTTGGTGCCGAGGAGTCCATCACGAGCAGTATATGCAGCGAAGATTCCATCGAAGCAGGCTTTGCCGGTATGCACTTGTTTTGAGTGTGTTGCGTCCATTAAGAATTGCCATAGACCAGCTGCCTGAGTACCAGCCGTGCCAATGGCAGACAAAGTTTGAGCGGCGTCAAGTTTCAAGAGACGTGCTGTCGAAGCTGCCACTCCGATGACTCCGCCAGTTGCAGTAGAATGGAAGCGCTGCATAAAGTTTAGTCAAGTATTACAAGATATTTTCTGCCGATAATCATACCTCATAGTGACTTTTGCCTAGGAACTCTCCTACACGACAACCCACTTCATAGCCGACGACACAAGCTGCAATAAATTCTTCACCAGTGGCACCTACATCTTGCGCTACAGCCAGGGCGGCTGGATATATTACGGTTGCCTATATATTAATTAGCTTCGTCACAGCTGTACGGGAGGCAGGAGATCGATCAGCTAGATCAGACTTACAGGATGCATGATACTCCGGTTATGAAGATCATCCTGCTCCACGACATGAGATGATGCACCGTTTAACAAACTAGCAAAAGCGGGACTCGTAGTGAACTTCAACGAGCCATCAACCAATTCACTCTTCCCACTGGAAGGACCCATATGCGACGCAAATTTTGCGATGGCCGTAACGGCTGGGTGATGACGGCCTGCGATAGTACACCCCAGCCAGTCCACGAAGAAGTCTTTGGTTTTCTGGATCACATCTTCTGGGAGATCAGTGAATCTGAGATTGGCGGCCCAGGTTGCCAAGTGCTCGGTTCTTGTTCCACCGACCAGGTTTGAGGTGGTTGGTTGAGCCATTCTGGCAATGAAGGTGTGGTAAATCAGCTGTTGGTTTGGAGGCACCGAGGACTGGAGATATATATCGAGCTAGGGACGCTTCAAGGACTCCGAGGGTGTTCAGTTACACAATCGAAGATATCCCAGCCCACCACCCGACCGAGGTAAATGCCGAGTAGGCGACTCTAGTGGGGCAAGGGTGGTCACTTTCAATCAGGAGTCCTCAACTTTGGAAAGCTAAGCCTGGAAGCCATGCCATATAGCCGACCCAATGTGGGGTAAGCATGTGGGGTAGAATCAGAATCAAAGAGGATGCACGTTATAGATTGAGCGCCTTCTTACTGTATACATGTAGATTCTAGATATGTGCAAAATATTGTATCAACGTCAAAGCATCCTTCTCCTCATGCTGATCCTGTATCCTCAACTGCATCTGCACGATCCCAGCTCCCAACCTCGAGGGTCCGGACTCGGTTTTCAATCTCCAAAATCCGCTCTTGCCAATCTTTCTTTGCCTTTTCCTGCAATTCCCAGATAGTTTTGAACTGCTCAAAGATAAAAGGTGGCAGCTCGGAGGTCTTCCGATTCTTCTTATAGTCATAGGTGACAATGTCCTCGTGACATCGAGCTGCGGGACGCTGGCGGGCTTCTGACAGAATCATCACTTGGAGTTGGAATGCGGATTGAGAGGAATGAGCTGATGAGGGATCATGGACCAGTTTCTGGTACACGGTGATCTTGTCTGGCCATGTCATGGGCTGTGGGGGTCAGTAACAGTAGGGTGTTAAGGGGGTTGATCATGGTTACTCACGAATTTGTAGTCAATTTTAATGCTTCGCAGAATCAGGCCAATACCCGTTGAGTTAAGCAAATTTGTCCATTTATCCTTATTCGTAGGGTCGATGTGCAGGCCAATATTGCGTGTCCAATTGACTCGAGCGGATTCGGCGTATCGAACGTAGGTCACATTGTTGACGTGACCCATTACATCCTGAACAGGCGAGTATCAGCCCTCAAATCTCGACCTCCATCCAAAAACATCCTCCTGGCGGTAATGTGTTCCTACCATCTCTCCCCACACCACGTTATGCCGATACAAGGCCCGCCTCTTCTCATCAGTCAAGAATCCCTCACTCCCAGCAATCAATTCGCGCCAATCCCGCGCCAATTGCTGGAGAATCTTGCCCGCATCGTCAATCTGGGCTGGCTTGAGGCCGAACATCATGCACCGCCCGATTCGTCGCTTCATCATTGTGAGCCATCGCGGATCGATTCCATGGGGTCGTGTCGGGGGGTTCGCTGGGGCCGAGGTAGGAGTGTTCTGGACGGGGACCGTCGTGGAGAGGGTGCGAAAGGGTGATACACGATTGTAGCTAATTGGTCCAGCCAATGGCCTTCGTAGAGCAGCTGATCGGGGTATCATGGTGGGTAGTGTGGAAGTGAAAGTTGGGCCAGAACATTGTAAGCCAAGCGCATTCCCGAAGCTTGGGCCAAAGGGCTCGGCGTGAACCCCGCGAGTAGCAGTGACGTGATCAGAGTCGCTAGATTGGTCGTATGCTCTCTCGCTATGATGAGAGATATATATCTTATATCGATTCTATTTGAGCTACAACCACGTTACAAATTCTATTTAATCCAACTTTTTGGTTGTATTCCTCTATATTCGTGCTGCTCTTTACAACCGATAAACAACGGGCCGAGATCTCCGCACTGCCCGACGTCACCGATAACCGCCGAAACGTGCTCCAACTTCTTCCAACCTTCTGTACACAAAATCTACATCCAAAAGACATCCCAGCCCACGGGGAGTAGTCCAGATCAACAATTGACACCTACCACTGACAACGGATGCACCGACCATGGTCAACATCGAGCTGCGTCGGCAGGTCATCAACGTTTACAAAGGTACCGCACACAGGAATAGCCAGCACCGGTAGGATCATTCCACAAAACTAACAAATGACAGAATTGCTGTGGTTAGGGCGCGAGTATCCCTTGGGCTATCAGTACTTCCGAGATAGGCTCCATCGTGCGTTTGCGGGCCAAGCACATCTTACGGATGAGGATCAGATTAGACAGGGGATTGCTCGAGCTGAGTTTGTGAAAAAAGGTAAGGTGTCGAGAATATGTGTATCAATCTAGAATGATTTACTAACTTTCATCTTAGAAGTTGAAGCGCTGTAAGAAAAACCCCCCTTAAGTCTCTTGAGCATTACCCTCAAGACATTACACCTCCATCTGCGCTATTACGAAAGACCCTACGTTTGAGGCAATGATCATTCGTCGAGGGTCATATGTCATTTATGGTTTCTATATATGCCCCATGGGCAGTACTGAGCTAGCCGCACTTCCCCGATCCACACATATTGTCATACATCATAGCATCATGCGAACACACCTTTCCCTCCCTCGACACACACACCGTTTTGGACATGAACACTAACGAAGAAACCAAAACTCCAGGTACTACTTGAAGCGGTACCGTGCGCTTAAGAAGCGGTATGAGAGTAGCTAAAGCCCAAGCTGCCAATGGGCCTTGAGTACAAGCTCTCTGCACATGAAATTTTCCAGTCCATATCCGTATTAGAGAAGAAAAAGAATCGGGAAGAAAGTCTCCCAAAAGAAGTCGAAAAATTATGACAAAAAAAAACGACGAAAGAAATCCACAGATTCGGGGGTATCACCAATATATGAAGCGCACTCAATGATCACTGTTTCTTATGCGCCCACCAAAAACACCGGAATTGACTCATGGACCTGGCTAGAAAGGGGGTCTTTTATCTCTTTTGACCCCACCAGGCACTTACTTCGAGACACTCGCCGCTGGAGAGACCACCTTTTTGGAAAAAGTCGGTGGTCATCGCTGCCCACCATCGGTCCCACTCGTCGCGACCCTTCCCACTGGCCTCCATAAGCATGGGTTCCATGCCTTCAATCATTTGGACCACGGTGAGAAGGGCTGTTCGCCGGATGGCTATTTGTTCCGGGGTCAATGCTTTGCGGGGCCGGCCTTTGGAGTCTTTGCCTTGGCCTTCTCGCTCCCAGCGCAGATCCCCCAGGGGGATTGCGACGCGGCGGCTTTCGACATTCTCCAAAAGATCCACCTCGGAGTTGAAGGCCAGGCCAATGGTAGCGCACGGTAAGGCTGTGAGCTTGCGCCGGTCGAATGACTTCTCAACCCAGGAGTTGTAATCAACCAGATATTTGTTCTGTGCTTGGGTGAATGGCGTGGGGGGGGAGAATGTATAGGTGGCCGTCGCATCAGCAGTCTCTTGAGCATGCACTGAAGCTTTTCGAGCCGGGGCCGGATTAGGGAGCAATGAGCGGAATACCCAGTCTGAGTCCCAGACTTCTAATATACCACCCGATTTCAGAACTCGAAGCGGTTCTTCCAAGCCCGAGGCTTGCTGTGCTGGACTGGACGGGCACATGCCCGCGTCCTTGATAAAGACTAGATCGAAGTAGTCATCAGGAAAAGGTAGACGGGGTCTTCGCAAATCGTGTCGTTTGAACTGCCAGTTCATGCCCTGCTTGCGCATGTCCGGAGCCAGCGAGACAAAGTCAATGCCGACAAAGGAAACGTTGGGTTGTCCCCGACGGACAAAGTACTCGTGACACAAGCCGGACCACAGTCCCGACCCGCATGCGATCTCTAGGACGCGTTTCGGCGGGTGATTGGCCAGGTGGGGGTTGCAAAACGGGCCGCCGAACACGCGCAGCAGCATCGTCGTGCGCAAGCTTTGACGGTGGATCTCGGGCAAGTCGCATGGCAGTGGATAGAGGTTCTCGGGGTCGCGGAGGTAGGTACGGTCGCCATGTCGTGCGAGCGGGTAATTGTTGTAGTCCGTGAGGGATCCCAAAGACGAGGAGGAGGTTGCAGCAAAGGTCGAGCTAAGATTGGAGTGAATGTCCGAGCCGGACGCCGTAGCGGCCACGAATGAAGCCGTCCCTGCCGACATCATGTCCATTGATTCAGGCGCATCGATCCCGGGCTGTTGTTCTTAATGAGGTTTGCGGGTCGGTCGCATTCTCGGCGCGCACTTGTCGATCATGAGCTGGAAGACATGCTTGAGTCTGGTCTGGCTGTGGATAGGTTCGAGATTGAGAGCTTCGAGGTATAGATATATTCAAGCTTCGGCGTGAATATCTTATAGGGTAGTAATTTCAAAAGTAGGAAAAGAAATTGACTCAAAAAAGACAGAGAGAGCAGGGAAGTAGAAAAGCCGGAGGGACCCCCAATAATCTTAGTGGCTCGGAAAATATTCGTTTTTAGTGTATGTCGGGCGCAGCGTTGAAGAATTTTCGATGACGACTGATTTAGACCATATCCCCGGAAGCAATTGAAGTCATTCACGGGATCGTTCAATGCGCAACTAACCTCCAAATTCCACTGGAGGTTTCAAAATATGAAAATCGCAATCGAAGGTGGGAGGAGGAGGGGGAAAGGTCAAGGGAAAAGGGCATGGGAAAGAGAAGGCCGCGGCCTGGTCCCGACCCCTGGATCGAAGTGGCATTGAACCACTTCGAGGGCTCCACTCGAGTCCAGAAGGGGGAGCTAGTTCACGTAACGATTAACCGCAGTATTATTGATTGGATACGGAGTACGGAGTACAGCTTGAATAATACCAATAAATGGATAACACGAGTTACATAGTGTCCGCTGTTACGGAGTTAAGTTATGAACTGGAAGAGTTGGAACAGACTAACGTTCACTATTGTCTTGTGCGAGCTGCATTTGGGGGTAATTTGGGGTCAGAAGAGGGATCTCCCGCCAATAATAAGCATTGCTCATGTTTCGGCTATTTAGTTCGCGACTTGTGTCTGAAGAATTCAAGCGGGAAGAAGTAAACCTATTCATGTCATCGTCAATGTCCTAACTATACTCGAGTAAAACGTAGCAGAAAATCCTTCTAGCAGGGGGCACGCGACGCTGGCTCGTCTGCTTCCCCGTTTCTCACAAGTGACGGACCAATTGTACAGAACAAAGCAGAATGGAGACCCGAACGGGGCTAGCTAACCGGCTGGGGCAGGTGCTGTGTATTTACCGGCAAGTCCTGGAAGGAATCAAGGTGGATTCCTTTAGAGGCGACGGAATAATTTTTTGTTTATCAAGTCATCATACATAGTAATGTAACAGCTATACTGATAATGCAGAACAATATCTCAAGTTCTGGAGATAATCACTAGCTATAATAACAGTTATGGAAAGCTGAAGTTGAATGCTTTATTGTAATTACTCATAGTTGTTGACATCATGAGTCGCTTCGGTACCACGGGCCGCAGAACCACTCGAACTATTTGTTCCAACTATATCACGATTGATTATCATGATTATTATTATTCCCAGGATTTCTCATGAATCGATCGCCGGATCAGGCAAATGCCCAGTCGCCCTCACAAACAACGGTGCTAGTATAACCTCTAGTTAGTAGCTACGTAGCTACTAGTCTACGTGGAGTCAGCAATGCTAGACGCTTTGGAGAAAAAAGTCCATATATCTCCATATATAAACTCACACATTGTACTCCATCCAGATCTGACGAGTAAATGGACGGTCGAGAAGAGACCTGTCTCTCATTTCTTTTTCTTCACCACTGCCCCTCCCGTACGGGCCACCCTGTGATCCCAGACACTGGACATTTGACACTTGACATCCTCTAAAAATCTTTCAACCAGGGGGGTCTCCAACTGGCGCGTGCGTATCACACGTGCAGATGGGCTTGACCAGGGGGCAGCAAAGGGCGCAATATTGCGAGGTTCTATATATGTACGTACTTACATACCTGTATCAGTGTGTGCGCCATTCGCTTGACACAGGATCACCTTTTTGCCCCCGCTAAGAAGCTAAGAACGGGGAGGAGGAACATGATTCCTAGCGCCCGGACGCCTTTCGCGCCTTTCGGCGTCCTTCGGAGTATCCGGATTCCTCGAGGATTCTAGCAGGACTTGCGATGCATCCACCGGGCAAAAGTACTATCCCTTGACGTTGATTCCGATGGGACGTTTACATCTTGCAGGAGTCATGTCGACTGTACATACACGGAGTACTATACAAATTTATGTATATATGTCTATTCTGTAATCCGTACAGCCAAGACGACAGACCTGACGGTATTTCCTCACGGCGGGTACAGTACAGCCTCAGTATGCACTCCGTACTCTGTACTCCATACTCCATACTTCCGTCGTACAGGACAGCCGGAGATCCCTGCCCGCCATGTCCACCGTCCCAAGCGTCAGGTACTCGGGGCCTGACTAGCGACGGCTGAGACTTTAGTCCCCGCCTTGCCGTTCTAACTTTCTATCTGATACCGGCTTGCCCCGTGCCCCCTTCCTTTTTCCCCCTAACGAAGACTTTCCCCGCTGTGTTTATCCCTGGCGCTCTGACGCGGGCGCACGGCATTCTCGTGGTGGCTCAGGCCCAACTCAATAATGGTTATTCCAAGGAATTCCACGGGGGTCCCTGTCCTAGTGTCCTCTGTCCGACATGACAACTTGGTACCTGCAGCACTGATTGGCGACACCGTGATCGACATCATAGCGTCCTGCTGGGTACTTTGGTATCGAGGGTTTTCCAGCAGAATGGTTACCCTGAACTTATGTATTTACTTTATAGTTGCTCGAGACTCATCAGATTCTTAAGAGTCCTTTGGAGCTCACAGGCCTCGACTCAGACCAAATACGAGAGCCATTGGTGATGTCTCTGCTGGCATGCAGCAGCTGACCATTGCTACTTGAGGGGGGCGAGGCGAGTCTCCAGGATTGGATTCATGGTTTCTGTTACAGTGGCCACCAAAGTATGTGGAGGCGATTATGCCAGGTGTCACAAGGATAGTTTCTCTTCAACTACGGAGTACGGAGTACTGTATGCAACTCTGCACCGATAAACCCAAGCGGGGCGCGCTCGTTTACGATCGACGTGGTCGCTCATCGCCGAGGCAGGACTGGGATACCTAAATTTGAGTTTGGGGGGGTTAAAGTCAATAGAGTCGATTATTTATTAGTAGCTTGCGTTTATGCTTCAGCGGAGCGTTGTTAGTGTGAGCGCGTGATCTTGGGATTGGGTGAGCTGATTGGGGCTTGCTCGGCTTTCCAACTCTTCGCCACCCCTCAATAGTACGACTACGGATGTCTCCGATGCCGTTTGATAGGATAATTGCTGGCTCCTCAATTCCCCCACTTAAGCCGAAAATCAGAGACACAATTCGGTAGTAAAAGCTGAACGAAGATACTCTGGACTCCATATTCTTCGATGGGAATATATTGACGAGCAATTGTGAGGAGCTCGGCAGGGGGATTTCTTGGCAAAAGTATACCAACATACTAGGTTATCTCGTAGCTCTAGATGCCCTTGCCTTGGAGGTTGTATTATGATGATAGCATATAGGACAATTCAATGTATTCGGAACGTTTGATGAGGCTCTGCGTACTTTTTAGGCTAACGGAATGGACTGCACAGCATGGTGTCTTCGTTCTGAATATCTCTTTAATGTCTGTCCTCCATTTGAGGCTTTATACTGTATGCCCACTCAACCTTACACAAGGTATTACTCAAGCATTCAAATGGAGTCATGTCGACTGTACATAAACGGAGTACTATACAAATTTATGTATATATGTCTATTCTGTACTCCGTACAGAATGGTAGTCTCTATTTTTCGGTGCCTGCCTATTGTGGTATTGATGTTGATATCTTCAGAGCACGACGGGAATTTACCATCTATGGCTACCTTTTTCTCACATTTGCCTCACTTCTCGCCGAATTTTTATCAGTGATAGAACAGCCTCATTTCTAACACTTTATCTATCCTTCCATTCTAGGAAGGACCGAGGCTTTATCTGACTACTTTCACCACTTTCACCACCTTCACGACCGCGAAGGAGCGTACCTACCCTACCACCTTCCGAATGCGATTGATTGACACATACAGCAGAAGAGCTACACGAACTCCCAGAGGTGACAGAATATCTATTTTTGTCATCTGATTGATAGCGGTGGGCAGTTGATACAATACTAAGTTTGTTGACAGGAAATCCACGCGAAATATATTTGGCTCATCGCTACGGGGTACCGGCCCCAAAGGACCGGCAACAACAATTATGACCACCCAGTGACACAGGACAGAATTTGCCTTACAAAATGGCTTGATACCCTCTATAACTTGCATCCCTTCAAAGACTTGGTCCACCCAAAAACCCGAGGCCACGCCTGCACAGTTATTGCCCTCGACTCATCAAAGCTGGAGGAACCTCGAAAGGGTTTGGGGGTCTTGGCGTGAATCATGTCCGGGTGGGTGATATCACGTGACCAGAACTCCCGCCTTCGATGCAAACCACCCATCAAGAATGTCATCTCAACCCCAGCCGCTCTCTATCAATCTTTGAACTGGACAACTGTGCGATCTACCCTGGCAGTTTCTTGACATCATGGACTCCTCTCTAATTTGATCTTCTGCGACTAGCTAGATCGCGATCTGGAGTGCTCGTGACTCTTCCGCCCCGGCCTCCGCCCTTAGGTATCGCTCGAACCCAACCAGTCCACGGAGAGTGCCACCTCAACCTCCCCACCCCACCACCGAATATCACTCGTCGCACGAGGTCTTCTGTGGCCAATCCAAATCACCACACTCGCTCATCTTGAAGGGGTGGTTTCGCTGTAGGGCTTCATGTGGAAGAAGAGAAGAGACCGTGCTCGATCCTTAACTCCTCTCCTCATCACTACCCTCTCCACCTCCCTCTCCGCCCAGAATCGCCAGCTGCTCGCCTGCCCCTCGGTATTCTGCCAGGGAAATAAGCCACGGTCTCGTCTGCCACGTTAAATGGCCGATGGTACCTACAGGTTCCAGCAGCCTGGGGCCGGGCAGTTCTACTTCCAAACACAACCGCAGCAACAGCACTCACACCAGCGAACCCCCATTCAAAACGGGACTAATTCGCCAGGTCGACTGAAATTCACCAACAACGCTCCCTCTCCTTCTCGATCGCCCCCAGTTAACCAATCCGCCTCGCTCAATCCTTTCACCATGTATGGCCAAAGCCATCAAGGACAGCATGTCATGATGAATGGCGGTCAAACCCATCAGCGGTTTGCGATGCAGATGCCGAAGTTTCAGACGCAAAATCACCACCCTCACCATGCTCCGCAACCCACTCACCATCACACTCACCAACCTCATAACCAACATGGCTTGACACACCAACAACACTTCCCCACCGGCGCCCTTGCTACCAACACTCCGCATTTCACCTCAAACCACCTTCAGAATGGGGCTTCGGCTGCCGGTGAGGATGACATTGATGAATCAATGAACGAACACTGGCAGGAGCAACTTCAGCTTGCCGCCGAGTCGAGACAGGCAACCTCCCCCCACCACTACGCCCGCATCATGGCACAGCAGTCCAAGGGAATCCAGATCATGCCCAGCCAAACCGAGACACCAGACCAGAAGGCAGATGGCCGGAATGGGCTTGTTGCGAGCAAACTGGCCTCTCGACAAGGTTGGAATGCGTTGGACTTTGGCGGACAGGGCCTTCGGGTCATGGCTCCCTCCTTGTTCAACTACAACTTCCTCGAGAAGTTGTACCTCAATCACAACAAGCTCAAAGTGCTTCCTTCAGCAATTGGCCAGCTGCGGAAACTGACTCACCTCGATCTTTCCGGCAACGATTTGAACGAGCTTCCTGAAGAGATCGGTATGCTCACGAATCTCAAGAAGCTCTACCTCTTCGACAACAACATCCGCACCCTCCCTTACGAATTGGGCTATCTCTACCGCCTGGAAACCTTGGGTGTTGAGGGCTGCCCGCTCAATGAAGTTCTCAAGTCTCAGATCATGAAGGAAGGCACCAAAGCTCTGATCAAGTACTTGAAGGAAGAGATGCCAGGTGAGTCATGCCCATTTCTTTGAAAGACCCAATGGCTCCCTTTAGTATACATATGGCTAACCCTTCTTTTCTACCACACAGTTCACCTGCCTCCCCCAGACAGAGATTGGGTTATCCTCGATGAGACCGCGAGCTCCGGCACCAGCCCTGCCGAGAAGATCACCGTTCTTTCCTACAACACTCTGTGCGAGTCTTCCGCCACCCAATCACACTACGGCTACGCCCCCTCCCGTGTTCTCTCCTGGGAGTTCCGCCGCGAACTTATCCTTAACGAATTACGATCCCATAGCTCAGACATTGTCTGTCTCCAGGAAGTTGATCAGGGAAGCTACAACAACTTCTATCGCGAACAACTTGCCTACAATGATTACAAGGGTGTTTATTGGCCTCGAGGCCGAGCCATGGGCATGCAGGAAGAGGACGCCAAGTCCGTTGATGGTTGCGCTATCTTCTTCAAAGGCAGCAAGTACATTCTGCTCGACAAGCAGCTCATCAACTTTGGACAAACGGCCGTTCGCCGCCCCGACGCCAAGGGTCAAGACGACATCTACAATCGCCTATGGCAGAAAGATCATATCGCAGTTGTGGTCTTCCTGGAGAACCGTCAGACCGGAGCGCGGTTCATGGTCGTGAACGCCCATCTCTACTGGGACCCGGCGTTTAAGGATGTCAAGCTGATTCAAACCGCCATTTTGATGGAGGAAATCACCAAGCTTTCGGATGGCTATGCCAAGTGGCCCGCTTGCACAGACAAGACCGCCTTCCGCTTCTCCGAGGCCGAAAGCGGTTCCGAGAACGCCCCCGTGGTCGAACCCGCTCCATCCATGGAGTACGCCAAGGGTGACCAGATCCCGCTCCTCATGTGCGGTGATTTTAATTCCAATCCCGGGTCTGCGGCTTACAACCTCATTGCCAACGGTCATTTGCCCGAAGCACACCCCGATCTGGAGAAGCGTTTGTATGGTAACCTCAGTCGTGTTGGAATGACTCATCCGTTCAAGCTCAAGTCTGCTTATGGCTCCATTGGCGAATTGAGCTTCACCAACTACACGCCAGACTTTATCGACATCCTGGATTACGTGTGGTACTCATCCAACACATTGCATGTTTCCGCACTTCTTGGCGAGGTTGATAAGGAGTACCTTCGACGGGTCCCTGGATTCCCAAATTTCCATTTCCCTAGTGATCATATTGCATTGTTCGCGGAGTTTACCGTTAAGGGGAAAAAGGGTAAGGTTGTGGAGGCGGACTTTGGGCCGCAACGGCACTGACGAATCGGAACTGGAGCATTTTGAATACTTGGAGATGGGTGTTTGTGCAGTTGGGATTCTGCTTTTTATTGATGTTTTCCTTTCTCTTTTGTCTGTTATCTCGGAATCTTCGGGGTGGTAGGTGACTTAACTAGCCTGCTGTCTTTTTTTGTCCCTTTTTGTCTCTTCTCATAGTATTTCTGTGGTTTTGTTTCCTCTGGACTTGGCTTTTGGCCGTGATTATGAACTTGTCTTTCCGTTTTTTCTCTCTATTTCTCTTGTCCATCCGTCTTGCTTTGTTTTCTTCCATCCTCCTAACTCTCGCTACTCCCACCACGCCTCATTGTCTAGTTGACTTGGATTTTCGCTTCGGCGGTGTCCTTGGAAAGTAGTTCATGGCGTGGCAGGTTCGCTTTCTCTCCTGTCTACTGTCCTCTGTTCGCGACTCCTCCTCTCTCCCCCCCCGCTTCACCGTCTCTTTCTGCTTTTGTCTCCTTGCACTTCATGTTGGGGGTGTCCTGATATCTCGGTTTCCACATCTCACCTAAATCTCGAAACGTCAATTGGGGACGGCTTCACGATGCTTAGGGCGGGTTGGTGTTCAGGTGGATCAGGTGGCCGAAGGGCTTTCGTCTGAGCTTGCTTCTTTATGCTTTTTTTGTGCCTGGCGAAGGGAGTTTTCTTTTTGAGCAATGTACTTGTTCTGCCATGTCTCCAGATTCATTTGAGAATAGAGCATGGCTATTTGAATTTGTTGTTCCACTTGTAGATTGTAGATTGTAGATTGTAGATTGTAGATTGTAGATTGTAGATTGTAGTAGATCGTAGATCGTGCCGATTTAGGGCCGGTCCCGCCTCAAGTTCCCCCCAATCAAAAATGGGGTTTGGTCTTTGATGTGGTGTTTTATAAAAACATCAAAAGAAGTACCTTAAAACCACATTCACTGTAAAATCGAGCTGATTCCAGTATCATCGTGAGAGTCCTGAGATAAGCTGGGAGTAGTGCAAACACATACAAAACGCCCCCTGGGCCGAGACGCGCAAACTCTCTCGGCTGCGGCGCAGCAATCACATGCTTCTTACCCCAGGGCCCCAGCTACAAGTCCCTCACCTTTTCAACTCTGTAGCTTGTACATGCGTAATATTTGCAATCTGTACAAATATCATCATTCATCATGAGCGTTGAAGAAGGTACCCATACTCTCCCTGATGGGACGGAGCTGTACACCAAGACATGGAAGGTTAGTCTATGGTCCTGCATCGAACCGTAATAGGGGGTCCGGTCCGCTAACAACAATATACAGCCAGAGGGTACACCGAGGGCTGTCTTGGCCTTTGTTCATGGATTCAGTGATCACTGTGAGCTTCCCAATGAATAACAAGAGTTGAAAAATCACTTATAGGGGGCTTGCTAACCATGCTGCTACCAGGCAATGCTTACTACGAGTTCTTTCCAAATCTCGCGTCCTCGGGTATCGAGGTTCGAGCTTTTGACCAACGGTAAGCAAGATCCCGGCATATAGCTTTCTTCTCCGTCCGCCACAGCGAGATTTCCCCTTGTCTATCACAAGAAATCAAACACTAACACGTCAACAGAGGATGGGGTCGCACCTTCAAAACCCCTAAAGACCGCGGCAACAGCGGCGGCACCGCCCTAGTCCTCTCAGACATCCACTCATTCCTCCTCAGTCTAACCAGCCAACCCAACGTGCCCCTCTTCCTAATGGGCCACAGCATGGGCGGCGGCGAAGTCCTAAACTACGTCCTGCACCCAGACTCCCCCTACACCAAATCCGCAACGCGCCCGCAACTCGCCGGCGTAATGACCTACTCACCCCTCATCGCCCTGGACCCAGCAACCCGCCCCATGGCCCTAACCGTCATCCTGGGCCGACTAGTCGCCCGCATCTTGCCGAAGTGGCAGCGCCATTCCCCGCTGGACCCGAAACTGGTGTGTCGGGATGAGACGGTCGTTGCGGACTATGCTGCTGACGAGTTGTGCCATGATATCGGGACGTTGGAGCAGTTGGCGGGTATGTTGGATCGGGGATTGTGGTTGGAGAAGGTTGAGGTGGAGGATTTGGGGGATGGGAAGAAGCTTCTGCCTATGTGGTTTGGACATGGTGATGCGGATCGGATTACTAGTTGGGATGCGACGAAGAAGTTGGCGGGTGTTTTGGGGGTGAAAGGGGAGGATGTTACGTTCCAGTCGTATGAGGGTGCTTATCATCGGGCTCATATGGATCCGGGGGAGATTAGGGAGCGGTTTGTGAAGGATGTGGCGGATTGGGTGTTGAAGAGAGCTCCGGCTTCTGAGGCTGTTGCCGAATGAGATGTCGAATGTGAGGGAGAGTGTGGAGGGGGAATTGGAGAGAATGATGTACAGTTGGATTCACTGGTCACTGTTGAGATGATGCTTGTAATATCGGTTCTGTAAGTGTGAGATAGTAGATGGATTTAGTTTTGCCTAATACCTACGCTGTGTTATAACCATCACGCCCTTCGTCCCCAACCGCAGATCCTGTCACTTCTCGACGAATAGCACCTGAGATCACCGAGAGCTAATAAAAGCACGATACATGGTCTATTGGAATCAACACGAAGTCCTAGTAAGCATATCAGTGCTTTTATGTCCCAAATTCACTGATCAGCAACCGGAAAACCGGACCTTATAATGCCGGATGATTGGAATGCTTGACGTTAATGATCCCAGTCGAGATTGAAAAGAAAAATAAATGCTACCAGTCCCGTTTATGTCTGAAATGAAAGGTCGAGTTACTCGATCTCGATGCCGCTCATAGTTAGGGTGTTTGATTGTTGACGAAGTATAAGTAAGTTCCAAGTTCCTGTAAGTACCTACCACTTCCTGGTGGTTTTAATGCCGAAGGTCAATAATTCAAACCCTATTAGTACATATTACAACATGACAGTCACTTGCTTCCCAAGAGCCTCTCTCTCTCGCGGTATGGTAGCCACGCGGCCATTATCAACTCATGGATTGTTACGGAACCAGAGATCTAACTGGTAAGTGGTCAGAACACCTTCACAGAAGCAATAGACAAGTCTATTTAAGGAGAGAGTATTCCCCCCAGCTCTCACCAGCCATCTCTCTCAACTTCTCTCCCTCGGCATTTAAACACTTCTACACTTACATCTCGAAATTGTAAGTGAGTTTCTCGGCTCCAAGACCTCAACACACCTAACACTTTATCTCTACATAGACAACATGCGTTTCTCTGTTGCGCTTCCCTTCGTGGCGTATCTATCTTTCTCTGGATCCGCTGCAGCCTTCCACTGTCCAGAGGAAGATATCATAAACACTCAATGCCTGGGTCCCAAAGATTGTCTGTACCCAAATCCCGATAACTGTGGCACTTTCATCCAATGCACGGTCAACCCTGATGGGATCACCGGGACTCCCGTGGTCATGCCTTGCCCGGCTGGCCTTAAGTGATGACAATGAGAAAATATGTGATTGGCCGCAGAATTCGACTTGCAATGACGATGAGTGAGAGTTTAGGTCTGGATACAGCTAAGGGAGCTTCGCCTTCCTCGGATGGGTCTTTGGATGGACACTTCGTTCAGAATGGGCTGATGAGGTGTCTTTTAAGTGCTACAGGGATCTCATGGAGGGGGATTCGAATGTACCTATGCTATTCCTAAGGCAATGGTTTCTTAAGTCTACTGCACCAGAGTGTTCTTTGAGGTTCTCACAATACTACTTTATTTTTGGCGTCGATTTCACAAGTCCCTATATTCTCGTTGTAAATTGAGTTCTATGATACACGTTCAAGATATCTTTTGTCAGTGGTTAGGTATTGTACAAGTGGATGCAAATATGATGTATAGTACAGAGGAACGAGATCATCGTGTCCAAGAATTAAGATCACCGTTTAGAGGGATCTTCAATGCGCCGCCAGATGCCAACAAAGCCACCTCCCACGGTCCGGATGCCCACCTTCGGCCGACAGATCATGACGGGCTCCTCATCTTTGACAGGCTCCTCGGGGACGGGAATCTCGTCCGCACTGGGCGCTGTCTCCTCCGCATCAGCAGCAGGGACCACCTCTTCGCCATCAGCCTCGGTAGATGGAGCCCAAGACGAAGGATCAGCTCCAGACTTCTTAAATGCAAGTCGAACATCCCAATAACGACCGCTGGTCATTCCAAGTCCCAGCTCAACCACTCTTTCCTGCACAAAGGGCAACCGTTGATTACGGATGATCTGTACACACTCGCCAATCTGGGTGATACTCGGCATAAAGACCACTAGATAACCATCCCGTCTCAAAATCGGCGCAACATGTGGAATTCGCAAGTGTGCCGAGGGCATATCCAGAATGGCATGAGACAAGAACGGTTCCACTGCGGTGGGCCCGGTCAATGAAGACAATATCCCAGTCTTCGTTCGTCGCTTCGTCTGCTCCGCGATCCATTTCTCGACGGGGCCGACGTAGAAATCAACATCGCCCGCGTATATTCCCCGGCGAAATCCCTTGACGTTTCGCTCAGCCAGGGCAGAGAACTTATGTGAGACATCCACGGTGTGGATCACAGCATTGCGCTCCTTTCGCCATGTATCCCATTCAAGCTGGGTCGTGTCGTCGTTCTGCGCAGTCGGTTCTCCACCTGTGTTCTTTGTATCCTCCTCCCCTGGCTTCAAAGCTCGATTCTCCACGTATTGAATTTGGGATCGCGACGGGCGAGGTGGTGGAGTGGTGTTAGCGGCATGAATGGCGCGAGCGAGGTGGAGGGTCAAGGAGCCGTGACCGGTGCCAGATTCTAGGATTTCCAACGGAGGTTGTGTCTCGCTCGCGGCGGGGGAGTTGACATGAATGTCGAGGAGGGATACTATCAAATTTCCGTCATGCGAGTAAATCTGATCATCAGGTGTAAGCAATTGCGGCCGAGGGCGTGTTCCAAGATTAGCTTGGCTATGCGCATACCGGGGTGACGAGACGAGGGGTCAATGCGACGTATTCTTCGAGAGTAGGAAGGCTCAATCGTACATCTGGGCCTGCGAGGAAGTTTGAGGATTAGTTATAAGGCTAGCAGGATGTTGTTGATTGTGTCTTACCTTTATGTGCCTGCACCGCGTCCCAGGGTCGACTGCCAATGATGTTATCATGCGCGACATGTCCTCGGCGCAAATGTGTCTTATCACCCTTCTTCAATGGCTTCGTCAATTGTGGTTGCTTCTGGTGTAGCACGGCCCGATCGCCCTCTGCGTGTCCTGTCAGCCCTACCATTCACGTTGGAATCCCCTTGTAGACAGGATCGCGCACCTCGAAAGACGGAGAAGTCGGTGTCAATGGATCGAGCCCGTAGACTACCAGCAGAAGTACGCGTTGTTGGAGATGCTGACAGCCCTAAGACTCGCTGCAAGGAATGCAGCAGACGAGCCATGGCCGTTGAAATCTATAAAGGAGCTCTTCAACTGAAAAGGAAAATAATTTGCTCCATCAACTTGGCGCCCAAAAACCCACTTTCAGACTGGGACCCACTTGGTTCCATCGCCTCCCCGGGTTCCCCTCGCCGTTCACCGGAGAAGACCCCTCCATGCCAATTTTAAGATTCTTTTTTAATGACTCTCTTCCAGCTTTCTCCCTCCACATTATTGTTCTATACTCCTGTTCATATTTGGACATACAGACATACGGGCATACTACTCGACATCCCTCTTTTCAAACCCACCCACAGTCTCTTCCACCATCAATTCCTGTCAAGATGGGGTCCACCGTTCTGCCCTACATGGAGACCAAGCCGAAGATGATCTTCTTCACTGATTTTGATGGCACTATCACCGTCGATGACAGTAAGTTCTCAGTCATTCATTAACTGGCCTGGTTCAATACTAACAAGGAGAATAGGCAATGACTTCATGGTCCGCATCATTCCAATCCTATCGCCGTTCGCAATTCCCTCTCTGACTGACCGTCGCAGATTGACAACCTTGGCTTCGGTCGCGAGGAGCGCCGCAAGTTGAACGATGAGGTTCTGGAGGAGCGCATGGGCTTCCGGTAAGATTCCCGTGTGTCCAATGCTTTATGGAAACAGTGTCTGACCATGCGATCCCCAATCAGTGACGCCTTCCGCCTCATGCTCGAGAGCATCAAGACCCCTTACAACGAGTGCATCGACATCCTGGAGAAGAACATGAAGTTGGACCCGTACTTTGAGAAATTCTACTACTGGGCTGAGGAGAACAACGTGCCCATCGTCATTCTGTCCTCTGGCATGCGCCCGATCATTAGTGCGCTGCTCGAGAAGTTCCTTGGCCATGAGCCCAAGAGCCACCTCACCATTGTCTGCAATGAGGTGATCCCCCGGGACGGCAAGGATATCAACAGCGAGGGTGGATGGCAGATCAAGTATCACGATGAGAGGTGAGTGCTCCCAATAGCTCTGTGGGCTGCTTTCTCGTCTCGAACGAGTGTTAACACGGCTCTTCTTTCTAGCCACTTCGGCCACGACAAGTCCCTCGAGATCAAGCCCTATGCTGCTCTGCCCGACGGCGAGCGCCCAATTCTCCTGTATGCCGGTGATGGTGTCTCTGATCTGTCGGCTGCTGCTGAGACCAACCTCCTGTTTGCTAAGGAGGGCAAAGGTAAATACTGAATCGCCGGATCTGCTCGACCAGACATTGGGCCCTGTTCAATTCGAGACTAACAATATTCCCTAGATCTGGTGACTTTCTGCCAGCGCCGAGGCATGCCCTACACCACTTTCCAAGACTGGTCCACCATTCTCTCCACCTCCCAAGATATCCTCGCCGGCAAGAAGTCGCCGAGCGAGTGTGCCATCCCCGCGAAGAGCGCTTAGATCGGATAAACATATAGATTGGAGACTCGTTTTTGTTGTCTTTGGGAGGCGGCTGAATGTTTGCGACCGTCATTTATGATTTTTTTTTTTTTTTTGAATTATTAGATCCCCCGGTTATTTGTAATTTGCAAGCACAAATAGAAATGAACATATTCCTGCATACATGATACACCTTAATGATCCAAGTGGGCTTCGGTCTTCAGGAGTCGAGGCTTGTGACCGCCTTCCGTCAGGGTCCAAGCGTCCGTCTCGAGTCTCTCCCCAAACACATCCATCTTTTGCCCCCCGTCGATTTTCCTTATGGCTTTATGGCCTTGTGAGTGGACCTGAGTCTTTTGGTCTTCTCCTGGCTTGTCGTTCTCTCCATTTCCCTTCTGTCATAGGTGGCATCATGCGCCTGTGCGCCACCTTGCTATTCTCCAAGACCTTGCCAGGGTGATATCAACTTCATCATGGCTCGCCGGCTCGTATGTGTTCACATTCTTCGGCTTCAAGGCGCATGGCAATCATTCAGCTAATATGATTCTATCTTTACAGGTCCGAACGGGCGTTCAGCTCGGCGTTCTAGTAACGTTTGCGCTCCTTTTAGTCGTCTTCCTCGACAGCAAGTTCCGTGTCCTACCAGCGTCGATCCATGGCCACCTCCCCATGCACTATTCCGGCTATGTGATCACTGATGTGACCATCACCCAGTGTTCCTCACTCAATCCCTTCTCGAGTTGCAAATTGGACCCCGATGCCTGGTACCGCATCGAAAAGGATCTCTATCTCCGCACCGGCTGGACCTCAACGGCGTATATCCAGTTCCAGCGAAAGAAGGAGGAAGAGTTGGGTCCGGATGACAAGGTGGTCATTGACCTGAAGATTAGTCGCCTGACCCCGCCGACCGAGTATACTCCCAAGGGAGAGGATGAGGCGTGGGAGGCTCGGCCGGGAGGCATCTGGTTGAGGCGGACGGCCTCGCGCCATGCCAGTGATTCTGAGAAGGCGGTCACATATGTTGATGTGCTCTTCGGCGCGGACGCTGTCGACCCCCGTCCTAATTGGGAGGTCAAAGACACTCCCTTGTTGTTGGATGGATGGACAGAGAAACTGGAGACTCGTCTCAGCATTCGACGTGGCAACCCCCTGAAGAACAAGAAGCCTACCCCTCGGATCAACGATAATGGGAGGTTCAAAGTCATGCAGCTGGCGGATATGCATCTAAGCACGGGTCTTGGTTCTTGCCGTGACCCTGTTCCTGCCGAATTGGTGCCAGGACAAAAGTGTGAAGCTGATCCCCGAACCTTGGAATTTGTGGAGCGACTTCTTGACGAAGAGAAGCCGGACATGGTTATCCTGAGTGGAGATCAGGTGAACGGAGAAACCGCTCCTGATGCCCAGAGTGCCGTGTTCAAGGGCGTGAAGCTCCTGGTCGACCGCAAGATACCTTACGCTGTCATCTTTGGCAATCATGACGACGAAGGTGACCTTAACCGAGCACAGCTCATGTCTATCTACGAAGACCTGCCGTACTCTCTTTCAACCGCCGGCCCGGAAGATATCGACGGAGTCGGTAACTATATTGTCGAGGTTCTCGACCGCGGCGGTGGCACGCATTCAGCCCTCACTTTCTATCTCCTTGACACCCACGCCTATTCGCCCGATGAGCGGCAATTCCGAGGCTACGACTGGATCAAACCGAGCCAAATTCGCTGGTTCAAAAACACCGCCCAGAGCTTGAAGAGGAAACACCAGGAGTACTCTCACAGTCACATGAATATGGCTTTCATTCATATTCCCCTTCCCGAATACCGAAACAACGGCAAGTTCGTCAAGGGTGAGTGGCAGGAACCGCCTACCGCGCCTGGATTCAATTCTGGCTTCAAAGACGCCCTAGAAGAAGAGGGCGTCTTGTTTGTCAGCTGTGGACAGTAAGTTGTCAAATGACCTTGATTGCACATACAGATGCTTATTTTATTTCTAGCGATCATGCCAACGACTACTGCATGCTTGAGCAGGATTCCGACGAGAAACCCTCATTATGGATGTGCTACGGTGGCGGAGTCGGTCTGGGCGGGTACGGTGGATATAACGACTACGTTCGCCGAGTCCGCTTCTTCGATTTCGATATGGGCCCCGGCCAAGTGAGGACGTACAAACGTCTTGAATGGGGACAAACAGAAGCCAAGCTCGACGAGATGACCATTGTCGATGGCGGTGCTGTCAAAGGCCCCAGCGAATAGTCCTAACGGGAATTGACTTTCCCTATCTCTATCATCTCATCTTCCTCTTTTTATATTTTTCCCATTGTGAGCGCGTATATGCGTCTGCTCGTGTTTCACTGTCGTTTCTGTTATTGGCGACCCCCGTCCGTTTTCTTTCTCTAGGTCCTACACTTCTGTACATATATTTGTTTCTTCACAGGTCCCTTACCTGCAAAAGGTCGGCGTCCGTAGGGTGTCTATCTCTCATTGAATATCTCATCGTTTTTTTCTCCTTTTCTTCTATTCCCCGGTGATAAGCAAACATTACTATAACTTTTGGGCTTCGAGCGTTGCAATGACATATTTGATTACCACCATTTCTCAAAAAAGACTCGTTCCTCCCCACCCTCTCCAAGAATACCCTTCAACAACTCGACCATTTCATCTGTCATCTGCGGTGGTCCACAGACATAAGCTACACTTTCTTGCGGGTCTAGTTTCCCATCTCCGCCGACAACAGCGGATAAGATATCAGACTTTTCAATTCTCTTTGAATGAATTGTCAGGTCAGCCGGGGAGCTAGAAGGGGTGAGACGAGAAGAGTTCGAATCTGTGAGGAATAGATCGAGGGAGATTCGGAGACGGTGGGATTGTTGTTGGGAACGAATTATTTGACGGATTCGTGGGAGGAAGAGAATCTGGTTCAGTGATTCATCTGGTGAGGCTGTTTCGTGACCTTGGGGTAGTCGACTCGAGTATAAGAAATGGATATTCAAGGGCTGTGTGCTCTCAGTTTGATTATTTAGGTGTGAGAGGATGGAGATGAGCGGGCTATGACGGTGTTAGCTCCAGTTTTCTAGGACTGACGCCCAGTGTAGGGATGAATAAATGTCTTGTCGACATACTTAATTCCCACCCCTCCAGCAACGAAAACAACATTTTTGACTTGTTTTCTTTCAACCCCGGAAGGCGGCCAGACAAAGCTCCCCCCAACACGAATATTCACTTCTTTCCCAATAATCCGCTCCTTGGGTTTCCACAGCCACGCAGCGGGTGGATTAGAAGGGGAGTCTTGCACGGCTAGTTCCACGTAAGGTTCTCGTCCTTGACAGGGGATTGAGGACCCGGCTTCTTCGCCAAGGAGTGGTTCCCCTGGTGGCTCGGGTGATGGCAGTGCCTGGGCATCTGCGGGGGTTGAAGTTATGGTGAACCCGCCGGCTGTTGGGATGGTTGGGATGTGAACATCTAGCCATTGGCCTGGGAGGAAAGTGAATGGTTGTTGGTTGTTGTCATCCTGTGGGAGGAGTCATCAGCTGGAGGAGTTCATGGTTGTTGCGTTACTTTGCTGGTCTATTGGTATTTTGGAGGATGAGCTGAACATCAACCCATTCGCCCATAACATGTACAAAACATATCATGCGTAGTTGCCGATCGAGAATAATAAGAAATACCACACAAATACAAAGGGGCATCAAATCCAGACAAGAGCTGGGATGTGACATACATTACTCGCTCGTGATGGAATAGCAAACTGTAGCAAGCGGATAGAGGGGTTGACCTGCTCCACATGCGACAGACGCACTGGGTAAAGCCTGTTCTGTCGCGGTTCCGCTGCAGTGCGTAGCTCATGCGGAATGGAGTCTTCGCGCTGGGAACTCATCACGCCACGCAAGGTTCCTGGTGTGATGGTGATGGTGATGGGCTGTATACTTGACAGGGGCCGCTGCAAGCTTCGGGTTGGAAGCGCGAGTCGTGGGATTGGCTGGGATAACGGTCGGAATCCCCTCATTAGATGACGGAGCCAATGGCGTGGATCCAGCGGGGCAGGAAATCTAGGTTAAATCCTTTGGAGAGGGAAATTGAATGCTTTGTATGGTAGGATATTTTGTTCCAATAGAATAAATGGAGGTATTGAGGTCGAAGAGTGGGAATTGGCTGACCACATGACTTGGACTAGGTTACTGGGATTCCATGGATGATTCGTTTACTTCAACAATTACAACTACAGTTACTTCGTCCTTCACGACCCATCTTCGACGGTTACATCTGTCATGCTCTGCAAAAAGAACAAAGTGCTTAGCGATTGACTCGATTGACTCGTTCGACGCTAAAATCCATAATGCTTGTCTTTCGAGTGTGATAACGAGATGGATGTGGATGTGTGGTGCAGAGTATACCACAAATCCTCGACCAATTCTGCAAACAGTATCACCAACAACGACAGGGGATGGCCAACCTCTCCCCACCACAGCGATTCGCTACCCATTTCCCACCGATTCTGATAGGCCTAAGGCTAAGTCTTCGTGCCCACTGCTGAGAGCTCGCCGTGATGCGGAGCGCTCGCTCGTGCAGATCCGCTCTTCCATCACATTCGCTAGCGTGTGACGACCCGACAGGCCAACCCCGGTCTACGACATGTCATTGGTGCGACAGCCCTGGACTGGTGCTTTCTCTGGCGCTTTGCCGCCCACAAGTATTGGCCAGATGGATTTTTCGGAAACAGTTCAGGGTGTGCTGCACTCAAAGGTCTCTGCTGATTCGTGCCCCCTCTCTGCAGCTTGGTGATGGGCAACTTGGAATGTCGGCGGCCCGGGGGGTTTGCAAGCTCATATCTAACGCCCTCCCTCCGGATCGCCCACACTGGATGCCTTTCTGAATTCTCTTACTTAACTCCTTGAAGTTTCGGTCTCTGGCTTTTACATGCGAAGCACTGGATGTCGCAGCCAGCCGGCCTGGCCGAATCGCATTGTGTTCCATTAATATTGCTGTCGCATTTGGCTTCAGCTAAGCGGCGATCTTGGGGTGCGGAAACAAGAGGACTCAGCTTCGTCTGATTTGTGCTGAAACTACGGTCACGATGCCGTTCTTCTTCCCAAGGCGGCACCGTCACTATAAGCTCACTCTGTGGTTGATGGTAGTCGAGCTTCCGATTACAGTCGTTATCCTGACTCTGACGGGTATTGCTTCACACAATACTTATCGGACATTGTTGTGGCAAGATGGGGCCGATAATGGCTTCAACAGCGCGCCCAATGCGGCGCTGTACGCTGCAGCTAACTACCGACCATACACGGCTCCTTTGGTTTGGTCTTCATTGTATGTGTTTCTCGGGTCTCATCAAGGATCTAATGTAATGAGACTGACTTGACTATCACAGTATGACCAACTATAACCTCGTCATCGGAGTCCTCAGCGTCTTCTTATTGATCGTCAAATTCCCCGTTCACTGCATGCACCTGTTCTTCCCTCCACTCGGAGCTTTCACCCACGGTGCCATCCTGGTGCTATACATTGTTTCGGCTCGTTATCAGGCTGGCAGCGATATGTCAGATCCGAAGCATCCCCAACCGGGTCCACCTTGGTATATTACGAAGAGCTGCAGCGTCGCAGCGCACAAGTCAAATATCGGATACTGCGAACAAGCAAAGGCGCTATTTGCCGTCTCCGTGGTTCTGATGTATGGTCAAATCCCACTGACTTTTCTATATAAGCCATGCTAACGGTTAATTCTACAGTGTTCTCTACTTCGTGGAATTCGTTGTCGTCGTCCACTCCTGCTTCATCACCAAGGAAGAGCGCGATGAAGTCGTGGAGCAAAGAGAAGAGAAGCGCATCGAGAAAGAATTCGAAGAAGAGATCATGAAGTCACCCAGCATGATTCCCATGACACCTGGCTTCGTCGGTCAGGATCATGCCCTGATGATCCCCCGAACTCCCGGCTACCCACCCATGGCCGCCACAAGTCCAGTCACACATGGAGGAATTCTTCATGCACCGTTTACTCCAAGAACTCCTGGACGCACACCAGGCTTCAATAGACTCGGTGGTGGTGGTGGAAGTCCGAGTACGACTTCTGACCTTCCTCTGCGGGATCACTCCGCCATGCCCTCGCCCCAGATACAATCTCTGCCGGCGCAGACGACAGAGCCCCAGACAGGGCCTGGATCGGCAATGTACTTCCCACCTCCCCCGAAGAAGGCATCGAAGAAATAAAGTTGAGATCAGACTTGATTCGTTGCTTGTGTTCTTCAGCCGTTTTTTATGATACCATCTCCTTGTTTGTGAAGCTACTTTCATTTGATCAAGGCTTTTTGGATGGCTTTCCCCCCATTATTCTCTCCCTTTCCCAGCTCCATCCAAGTTTCCATAACAAACTGGCGAATCCTCAAAATACACTGTCCCCCAGTACATACCACACCATCATCCACGGCGTTCGAATATGGAACTCTGTTCCCAGCCACTACATTGGCGATTGTCATCTAATATTGAAAGAAATGCAAAAAAACTTAAAAAGAATAAAACGCATAACCAATTCATTAAACCGATCCGTATGCTGATCCATAGACTCGCAAAGGAATACATCCACATCCATAAATCAAGAGCGGAGACCCGAGAAATGACCAAATATGTACAGTTGAATCCTAGATCACAAAGGGCCTGGACAAGTGGTCATGAAATCATAAAGCATGCTCAATGTTGAAGCATATACCAAGAGATCGCCTCATTATCCAGAAAAGGGAAATACGCCTTTCGCAGTACCTGAAGAATCGAATCGAGGAGGGGAGTGTGACAAGTCGTCCTCCAATTGGAAAAAGTAGGCCGACGGGGTATATTCGCTGAGCCGAAGAAGAGAAGACGAAGAAGAGGAAGAAGTCAAAAAAGGAAAGTTTCTCGTTCGTTTGAAAAAGACCACCAGTTCATTTAGAGAATTCAGGTAGACTCCTGACGCTTCTTCTCCTTCTTGGACCAGCGCACTAAATGGATCATGAGCGTGAGTTTGAGGTCAACCCCCTGAGACAGCAGAAGGTGGGATCGAAACTTACAGCCACAGGCATTACACAACGTCTTAGGACCACTGGGGCCCTTCCTCCACTCTGGTGAGTCGGCCGTTCCACAGTCAGCGCAGACGTGCTGTCCCTTCAGCCTCTTGCGCCTATCACCTTCTTGCACATTCCGGGCTTGATCGGCTGCGGTGGTGATATCAATGTCACAGTGAATCAGTCGGCCTCGGCGCAGACCAGTACTAATTCCTTGGGATCTCTCGCCCTCGCCATAGTATAGGCCGGTCATCACCTCGATACCGTCAATATGTGACAGACCATCGCCGCGAGGGGCATTCTCGGAGAAATAATCCCCTGCGGCACCGTCAGACTCGTCAGAGTTGGGTGCAACGGTCTCAGTCGACTCTTGATCGCTGCCACTTCCCTGAGCGGTAGCTTGGGCCTCGAGGATTTTCTCTTCAATCTTTGTGTAAGATAGCCGAGATAGGTTTGCTTCCTCATCCTCTTCCTGTTTCAGCTTGGCGATCTGCTGTACCAAGCGTGCATTCTCAATCTTGTGCTCCAAGAATGAGTCGAGAAGCAGGGAGTTCTTCGTGGGGTAAGGTCGACACATAATGAAGAAGCCTGTACAGCGCTCTTGGATCGCCCTCCCCCGTGTCCCGTTTTCGTTCGCGATGTGTGGATGGCCGTAGGTTTCGACCAAGGAGTAATTGCTGTTCGACTTTTGCAATCGTATATGCGTTCGGAATGATTTGTTCGTCGCCACCGCGTCATCCATGTCTCTCAAGAAGATAGGTTTATCGTCCTCATGAATATACTGCGTGAAGAGGCTGCCCTCGAGTTGTTTCGCTGCACGACCGGTGACCGATTTCGATGACGGCGACGCGTACGTGATCCGACCCTGGGCGTTTAGCAAGAGAAGCAAGTCCTTCATCTCTTCCAAGACTCGCTGCGTCCAGCCTGGGTCATTCTGCACATTTTGATAAACCCCCTGTTGCTGCCCCTGCATGGCATAGTGTCCATAAGCTCCCGTTATATTCTGTTGCTGTGACTGTTCAGCCAGGGCAGCCTGACTCCCCTCGATCGCACCAGATCGCGACTGTGACGACAGATGCATTGTATTGTAGGTCATTTGAGTCATGGCCATGTCCAGAAGACCCTCCGTCCCTGCATCACCAGCGAAGACAGAATAGGATCAAGCGCCTGGAGGGGTCGTACTTTGGCTGTCAATGCGTCTACGGGGATCAAGGGTCCAGACTGGTCGGTGAGCGCATTCCCCAGAGTACGGATCCCAGTAATACACTCGGTATAGTTTGAGTTGGTCGGGCAAAGATCATATCGGGGCCTGGTGTCAGGCACGAAGTTTGTTCGGTGGAAACAAGCCAAGTGGGAGAGAGCCCGTTCTTGCGCTTTCTCACACATTCGCCCAGAATTCCATTCAGACAAGGGTTGGTGTTCAGGGAGCAACAACCGGCTTCGCTCTGGAGGACGACGCAATCGCCGATCCTCGTCAGGTGGGGCGCCAAGCTTATGTCAGCATACGGTCATTTAAGCCACGTGACTTCGTGTCGCACCCGCGCGAAAGTGGAGAAAGTCGATGCATCACAAGCAACGAGCGATCTGAGCACTCACTACGATCACTACCGCACTGGTGCAAAGGCTCGGACAGCGTTGAATTCCTTGGGGGTGCTTCAAATTTTGGAAGAGAATCCAAGACTTTCCTTTGACAAGACCTCGAAAGAGGAAGAACGGCTCTTACAGGCCGCTGTCGCAAGAATGTAAGTGCCATGGACACTCCGCCTCGGGACCTGATTATGCTGACGATTTGACAGGTGTAAGTTTTCGCGCCTCACTAGTTTTTCCGGACATATTTAACGGTTACACTCCTCGTGTTAGCGAAGATCGATAAGCTCTCAATCTTGGGGTAAGTACACCTGGGTTTACGCGACTTTCGCAGATGTGCTGTTTCCCCGCGCTTTGCTGACCATGGCGTCATCTCAGAGTTCGCTCCTTCGATAACACGCGTAGCGAGACAATACAATTTCACACTCCTCTCACATTGATCGTCGGCTACAACGGATCTGGGAAAACGGTATGCGCTTAGCTACTTGGAGCTGCTAGTAAGAGGCATGCGATAGGAGCTGACACATTCTAGACGATCATCGAGTGTCTCAAGTATGCAACAACCGGCGACCTCCCCCGAACAGCAAAGGCGGTGCTTTCATCCACGATCCCAAGCTATGTGGCGAGAAAGAGGTGCTCGCCCAAGTGAAGCTCTCCTTCAATGGAACATCCGGTGCGAAGATGGTTGCTACACGCAGCCTGCAGCTTACGGTCAAGAAAACGACAAGACAACAGAAAACACTAGAAGGACAGCTGGTCATGGTCAAGAACGGCGAGCGCGCGTCCATCTCTTCACGAGTGGCAGAGTTGGACCAGATCATGCCACAGTATTTAGGTGTCTCGAAAGCCGTGTTGGACTCCGTCATTTTCTGCCACCAAGATGAAAGCCTATGGCCCATGAGCGAACCCTCGGTGCTCAAAAAGAGATTTGACGAAATCTTCGAAGCGATGAAGTACACGAAAGCTATCGACAACATCAAAGCGTTGCGGAAAAAGCAGAATGAAGAGCTTGGCAAATTCAAGATCATGGAACAACATGCTAAGGAAGACAAGGACAAGGCTGACCGTGCAGAGAAGCGGTCTATTAAACTGCAAGACGAGATTGAGGAGTTGCGAGATGAAACCCAGAAAATGTCCAAGGAGCTGCGACGTGTCGCCGAATTAGCCGACAAAGCCTGGAAGGAATCCGAGAGCTATGCTCAAGTGCTTGGTGCACTCGAGGGAAAGCGCATCGAAGCCAAAAGCATCGAGAACACCATTGAAAACCTGAAGAGGCATCTCGTTGAGCTGGACGATTCGGATGAGTGGCTGCAGTCGAACCTCGAGCAATTCGAGACGAAGCAAATCGAGTATCAACAGCAGGAAGAGTCTCAGAAGGAGAACTATGTGGAACTCAAAGAGAGAATTGAGACAGCTCGACACAGATTGGGTCTAAAGCAAGCGGAGAATGGCAAGTATGAGAATGACAAAGCCAATTTCGAACGCCAGATTCAAAGACGCCAAACCATGATCACCGAGGCTGCTCGGAATAACAATATCCGTGGGGTCGATGACAACATGGACCAGGCGGAAATCGACGACTTCATGCAGAAAATACGGCGCTTTTTGCGGGAGCAGAATCAGTCTTTAGATCGCGTCAAACGCGAGGCCCAGCGCGAGCTTCGTGAGGTGCAGGACACTCTCAATGAGATCGGTCAGCGAAAGTCCGCTCTGCAGGAAACCAAAAATGCGGCAAAGAGGCAAATCGCGGCGAATGAGAAGGAGGCCGCAGCCTACCAAGGGAAGCTAAATGAGATTGACGTCGACGAGGGCGTGCAAGCTGCTTTGGAGGCTAAGATTGAAGACATCACTTCAAGTCTTGACCAAGCGAAGGAGCGAGCCAACACTACCTCATGGGATCGAGAGATCCAAAACATCAACTCGCAGATACAGCATCTTGAGGATGAGACCTCGAAACTCAATGCCGAGCTTATCGAGTCCACAAAGAAAGCGGGCGATCTGGCTCGCTTGGACCATCTCAAGAAAGAGCTCAAGGATAGGGAACGCAGTCTGCAGACCATGAAGAGCGCTCATGGGGATCGTCTTGTGAAAGTTGTCGGCTCCGATTGGCAGCCCGAAAACCTGGAAAAGGATTTCCAACGAGCAGTTGATACTGAGTCAAAGCAGGTCGCTGATGCCGAGCGAGTCCGGGATTGTGTCCACCGAGAACTCGAGCAAGTCGAATTCAAGCTGAAGAATGCAAAGAAAATCTTGAAGCAGCGGCGCAACGAACTCAATGACTGCAAGGAGGAGATTCGTCAAGCGATCGACGCCGAGCCAGCTGATTACCCTGAAGTTCTCAAGGATCGTCAAGCCCAGTACGATTTGGCTCGCAAAGATGCTGATCAATTTGCTGGCTTTGGAGGGTACCTCGCCAAGTGTCTTGATGCAGCAAAACAAACCAAAATGTGCCGCACTTGCGCCCGATCTTTCAGGAACGAAACAGAGCTCCAGAACTTTACCAGGAAGCTTGAGGCTCTGGTAAAGAAGGCTGGCTTGGATGCCGAAGACGAGGGCTTGGGAGTTCTGGAAAAGGATCTCGCGACCGCTCGCGCAGCCAACGGATTCTACGATCAGTGGATTCGTCTTTCCGAGACTGATATACCCGAGCTGGAGAAGGAAGAGCAAGAATGCGAATCTCAGCGGGACGAGCTTTTGGACAAGCTTGAGAGTCACGATCGGGTAGTCAGCGAGAAGCAAGAAAGCAAGAGAGATGTTGAAACGCTGGCAAAGACAGTGACTACTATCTCGAGATATGATGCCGAAATCAAGAACATCATGTCTCAAATACAGGAGCTTTCCGCCAAGCAGCAGGACACTTCCCTGGCCCGCACTTTGGAGGATATCCAAGAAGAGATCTCGGCCTCCAACGAAAAGTCTCGGGATCTGAAAAAGACCCTTACAAAGCTTACCAATGAGAAAGAGCAGACACGAAGCGAGATGAACAAGCTAGAGCTTCAGCTCAGAGACGTACGGGACAGCCTCAACAATGCCAAGTTCCAGCTGGAGAAAAAAGCCGACCTGCTTGTCCGGATGGAGGAGTACAAGAAGCTCAATGCCCAACAGAGGGAGGCAATCCAAAAAGCAGACCAGGATATCGAGAATTTGACGCCTGAATTGCTCCAGGCCCAGAGCAAATACGACGATATCAGCCAGAAGGCTGAAACTCGCGAACGGGACTTGCAGCACGAAATCAACCGGTTGTCAGACAGCATCCACCAACTTGACCTTGCCAACGAGGACATCAATTCGTACATCGAACGAGGAGGTCCGAATCAACTAGAGCGGAGCAAGAAAGAGATTGCTGGCATCGAGAGCGAGATTACCCAATTCGAAACCGAGCAAGGAGAGACAACAAGAGAGATCAACAGGATCTCTGCGCAGCTCAAGGATAGTGAAAATACGAAGCGGCAGTACTCTGACAATCTGACGTATCGTCAAGCCACACGGTCCTTGGACAAAGTTCTTCAGGAAGTTGAGGAACTGGAATCACAAAACGCCGAAGTTGACCGCGGCCGTTTCAAGCAGGAGTCGGAGCGCTGGACTCGTGAGCACAATGCCCTGGCTGCTAAACAGGCCAGCAAGATGGGTGAAATGAAGTCCAAGGATGACCAATTGATGCAACTGCTGGCCGACTGGAATACGGACTACAAGGATGCAGCCTCCAAGTACAAGGAAGCGCACATCAAGGTGGAGACCACAAAAGCCGCAGTGGAGGATCTCGCTCGCTACGGCGGTGCTTTGGACAAAGCGATCATGCGATACCACGGATTGAAGATGGAGGAAATCAACGCCATCATCGGCGAACTCTGGCAAAAGACGTACCGCGGAACAGACGTCGACACGATCCTCATTCGTTCCGACAACGAAAATGCCAAGGGTAATCGATCCTACAACTACCGTGTGTGCATGGTCAAGTCAGGCGCAGAGATGGACATGCGTGGCCGCTGCAGTGCTGGCCAGAAAGTCCTGGCCAGTATCATCATTCGCCTTGCTCTGGCAGAGTGTTTCGGCGTGAATTGTGGTCTCATCGCGCTCGACGAACCGACGACGAATCTGGATCGCGATAATATTCGCTCGCTGGCAGAATCGTTGCACGATATCATTCGGGCTCGTCAGCAACAGGCGAATTTCCAGTTGATTGTCATCACCCACGACGAGGAGTTCCTGCGCCATATGCAGTGCGGTGACTTTAGCGATTATTATTATCGTGTCTCGCGGAATGAGAGACAGAAGTCGATCATTGAGAGGCAGTCAATTGCTGAGGTATGTTTCCGCTAGGAAAAGAGTATGTCGACCAGTGCTAACGTTCTTATAGGTCATGTAATCTCACATGGAACCGTGGCAATTTCAACTCCTGAACAACAAAAGCTTCCCCGTTGTATTCTTAGCATTTGATTTAAGGCGTTCAGGAATAGCTTCATCTTTACTGATACCTCCAATACATGTCACAATCTTATTCAATGGATATAAAACAATGTAAATTGTTATTCTAGTATAAATACGAACCAAGGAACCTTGACTATTCTTCGTCATCGACAACATCCATTTCAGCATCCTCTTCATCAAGAAGTGGTACAAATCGGAAATCCACAAAACATCTTGGACCTGCCAGTGCCTTCACACCAGCGCCAACAGATCTTCCAGTCGGTGCATTGTCATCAAGATCAACCATGAATTGGAAGCTCAATACGCCCTGCCGATCACCACGAATACTAACTTTGTTGGCGATAGCCATGGCCCGGGCAGCTTTTCTCACGAGAGCGAACCTATAGATCTGTCGAATTCGCTCGCCCATAGACGATGGCGGTGATACTTGGAATGTCTCCGTGACAGTGGGCGCTGCTTTGGCTCTGGTGGCTCGTGGCCGTGATGTTCCATCGTCCGTTAGGACCTTGTGGGCTTGTGATGCTTGGTCACCTTGGGTAGCACCGCCGGTGATCTCATTGTGCTGATCGACGGAGAACTCGACCGTGGACTCGCTGAAGGGACCGCCAGCACCTGTCAAAGCGAAATATGGCTCTCGGTTGGCACAGGCTGACAGTTTGAGAATGGTAGGAGTAGAAGAATCAAGCTCAGCAATGGCATTGTGTAGCCAGGCAGAGCGCATGATGATTTTCATGATGATGGCATCGCGCTGGAGCGGAATATCGGTTTCAACCGCTTCTGGCTCATACGTCACCAGCTCGCAAGTCGTTTTAACACCTGCTTCCGTGATGGCGATGCTGAGAGGAGCTCCATGTTGCGTGTATTGGAGAGTGCATGAGCGGTCCATAAGTAAGGCTGGCGCACTGAATGCACCTGAAGCTGGATTGGCCTGAGGGAGGTTGGTGTCTCGGGAGCCATTGGGTTCGGCCAAGTCATTGATACCGAAAATCTTCAATGTCTCAAGGAGGGCGGAGAGCGAGACGACAAAATGGGGGAACTCCACTTCGTCAGAAGAGTCATTTTGACTGTGGTTGTTGGGCTCGGTGGATGGCTTGAAGGTGTAGCTGGTAAAGAGAGATTTATCGAGGAAGGCTAAGCCTTGGATGACGCGGCCTTCCTCCGCTGAGAAACGTAGACCATCTGGGGTGATCTGGACCGTTGCTTTTGAAGCAAAGCCAATGCAGGAGAGCAGAGTGTAGAGGTGTCGCGCATTATTCGAGACAGCAGTGAATAGCGGCTCCATTGTTGAGGAGTGGCTGCTAAACCCAGCCTTTTTTTAGGGGGGGGGGCAATAAATGGTTCGATCAGGTAGGAGGTAAGGATTTGACGTGTGAGTGATGATTTAGGAGCTTCTAGCAGTACAGGCCCCTTTGAATTCCCCACTTATGGACATAGAGGGGACAGAGTGTGGGTATCGCCTTAAACATAGACTCCGACCGCGCAGATTGTGAACACGGCTCCGAAACTGATCACAAAGATTCCATCAGCAAAATTATTCTCGTATGTCGGCGCAACAATGCTCTCACTCACCCGAATAGTAATGACGCTGGGAGGCCGAGGGATGCGAGGCTCAGGAATGACCGGTCTGGTGGCAGATGTTAGCTGGAAATTGTTGAGAGTTGGATTGGCAAGAACTTACTCAGGCCAAAGAGACCCGTGAAGATGATAGCTATGTCATAGGCTGTCAGTGGTGCACAAGTTGAAGCTGTCCCAGTAAGCTATCCTCACCAATAAGGAGCAGGTTGAAGCCGACGGCGAATTGATTGTCTTTAGAGACAAGGGGGTGGAAAGGGGTTGCAGAGGCTGCCTCCCAAACTTCGTTCAGAGACATGAGTGAAAGATCTGTACGTGATCAAGAGATTGGGTTGAAGTAATTAGCCTGGAGTCAACAGGAGAGTTGCGGGACTCTGGAAGTATACAACAAATGCGCGACTGGTCGATCTGGCCGATACGGTGAAATGTTTTTCCGGGCCCGATTCCCGGGGTGCGTTATCTCATCTCGAGACCGCGCGGGTTTCAACTACCACAAGCTTCAACCAACCCACCATGGCTGTCGAGACACCTCAAAGTGAGTACTCGATATGCTAATAGCTACTACAGTTACAACTGAACAAGCGCTGACGCTCTTTAGGTACCAAAAGGAAAGCTTCAGAGGAGGCAGCTTCCCCGGATTCTCAGCAGCAGGTCATCAAGAAAGCGCGAACCGATTCCCCGGAGAAGGAGGTGCGTCTTGCCCAACCGACTGCACACCAGTATGCGTATTGACACAATACAGGAGGATGGCCCGCTGCGAAAGCCCCCACTGCGCATTGTTCCGTTCCCCGAGAAGGTGAGATTCCACCCAACCTGTCTTGCCCCTCTCTTTGCTAGACTCGCAAGGAAAGACTGACATAGCTCCGTACAGCCCGCCGTTTTAGAGGAGCGCCGAGGTGATATCGAGTTTCGCGTTGTGAACAATGACGGATCCCACGACAGCTTTATCGTCCTGACGGGCCTCAAGTGCATCTTCCAGAAACAGCTTCCTAAAATGCCCAAGGACTATATTGCGCGACTGGTTTACGATCGATCGCATTTGTCTATTGCTATTGTGAAACACCCTCTGGAGGTCGTCGGGTCAGTACAGCAAACTTGGAGAGACTTTCTCAGCGATTACTAACGAACTACAAACAGAGGCATCACCTATCGACCATTCAACAGCCGCAAATTCGCAGAAATTGTGTTTTGTGCCATTTCATCTGATCAGCAAGTCAAGGGATATGGTGCGCATTTGATGTCCCATCTCAAGGTAAGGCAACTTACTTCCAACTCAAAGTCTATCCGACTTAACGCAGTTTACAACAGGACTATGTGAAGGCCACCTCCCCCATCATGCATTTCCTCACCTACGCCGATAATTATGCCATTGGATACTTCAAGAAGCAAGGGTTTACAAAAGAAATCACCCTCGATAAATCGATCTGGATGGGCTACATTAAGGATTACGAAGGTGGCACCATTATGCAGTGTACTATGCTACCCAAGATTCGGTACCTCGAAATGGGCCGGATGCTCCTGAAGCAGAAAGAGGCGGTTCAGGCCAAGATTCGCGCATTCAGTCGGTCTCATATCATTCATCCTCCTCCCAAAGACTGGAAGAACGGTGTCATCAAAATCGATCCTCTCACCATTCCCGCGGTCAAGGAATCTGGATGGTCCCCCGATATGGATGAGCTAGCTCGCCAACCTCGCCATGGCCCCAACTACAACCAATTGCTGCATCTGCTGAATGATATGCAAAACCACAGTGCCGCCTGGCCATTCACCCAGCCCGTGAACCGTGATGAAGTGCCAGACTACTACGAGGTGATCATGGAACCGATGGATTTGTCGACAATGGAAGAAAAGCACGAGAAGGATATGTATCCGACTCCACAGGATTTCATCAAGGATGCGATGTTGATTTTTGACAATTGCCGACGATACAACAACGAGAGCACTCCATACGCCAAAAGTGCAAATAAGTTGGAGAAGTTCATGTTCCAACAAATTCGGAATATTCCCGAGTGGTCGGTAAGTTTGATCGTGAACGATAGGATGGTCTTCTTTTTGGGCATTGACTAACTCGTCATTAGCATCTTGCGGATGGACATTAAGCGTGCTTTTTCCTGCGAGGGTGTTTACATGGAACGGCGTTATGGAGGTGGCTGGATTTACCAATACCCTGTGGATAATTAGTTTTTAGCGGAATAAGGACCTCCTTAACATGAGAATATGAGTTGATGGCATTGAGAGATTTGATTCTATTAAAACAACATCAGCCCAGGATTCCACTCTTTCGAGTGATCCTAGACGCGAGATAACTTTAAACAGGGATATGATGCAATGGCGATTTTTGGGTTTTTGGGGAAATGACAAAGTGGGTCTGGGCTCCCGGATAAATGTTGTTGCGATGTTGTTTCAGGCCGCCTTCCAGAATGCAGAGGCTGGTCCTCTCCCCTACATGCATGCTTCAACCCTTACCTTCACGCCTATCCTCGTTCGTTTAAATCCTTCGCTGTCTCTCTATTCTGTGCCCCTCTCGTTATCACAGTTGCTGCGGTGCAGCTGTTTGCGGATTTGTTGACCCGTTGCCGTGGTCGCCAGGGGGCTATCCTATCCTAGCAACCATTGCCTGTCTCTCGACAGTTTTTTTCAATTCGCTTCACATAATACTCTTTTCGGTACCTCGATAGGTGCTGTTCACTCTTTCAAAATTCAATTGTGATCGGTCTCCTTGGTCGTGAGGTCCTTGAGTCGATTCTGCTCAGGACGACGCGAACGGTCGCGCTATCTACCCCTTTTATCACCCCTCCATTTCGACCTCAACTTTTCGGTGCTGGAAAACCCACCGGTTGAAACTCACACATCAATCCGACAAAATGGCGTCCCCTGATTCTTTCCTGGATGTGGAGCAGCGAAATCGCCTTCCGACACTCTTCGAGGTCCTGAGCCGTCGCACCCTGGCTCCGGTTGATCTCTTCTCATTCTACATTTACATGCGCGACCAGCAACGCTCTGTGGACTACCTGGATTTCTGGTAAGTGACTTGGCTCGACAGCGAGTAGTCGTACCTTGACTGTGATCTAACGTACCTTTTTTCTGATCAGGCTCGATGTCTCCCAACACATGTCACTTTGCCGTCACTATGTTCGAGAGCTTCGCCGTTCCGTCCTGGTAGCGACACCGGACATGGAGAGAGCTGACAGCAAGCGCTCATCGGCAATGCTAGACAACCTGGAGAATTTAGGCGACATCCCACTAGTGGAGGCTGGTCCTTCCCGTCTGCACCATAATGAAAAGGACCGAGATGCCGACCACCGCTTGTCTGCTTTTCTGCGCTCCGAAGGCCACACTTCCTCGCACTCTCCCCAGAACAGTATCGGTTCTCAACAGTCTGCTCAGCGCACCCCATCAAATGACCGCCGCCCCAGCACTGGCAATGGAAATGGCGGCGATTCCAACTCCCCTGGACACACCGTTGGCCGTCACGATATTCGCGCCAGTGCCGAGAAGATTCTTTACACATACCTGCTTCCCGGCTCCGAGCGTGAGATCATTCTGCCAGAGATGATGGTCTCAACATGTATCAACTTGATTGAAGATGACGGCCGTGATGACCCCGAGGTGTTCGACCCTGCCAAAGACTACGTGTTCCAGGCCATGGAGCGTGATGCCTTCCCCGGATTCTTGCAGGCCAAGGCTCTGGGTAACCTCGTGCCTCTGAGTATCCTTGCCCGTCTCGCCTTTGCTTTGATCAGCTTTGGTGGAGGTTTCTGGGGTGCATTCTACGTGGTTCTGCGCAACAAGCCTCGTCACATCCGCTGCTGGGTCATCCTCCCATTCGCTGTCGCGGCGTACTTTATCGTCTCCTACCAGTACCGGATTGACCCCGTCATGGCATTCCTCGGCTACAGCGAGTACACATTTATGAACTGGGGCCTGATTCGCGAGCCATACGTTCGCAAGCTCTTGAACAAGCGCGCCATGGTCACTGCTTTTGTCGCATTCCTGACCGCTGCCGCTCTGAGTATCCTATTCATCTTCGTTCCCGGCACCATGCTGTGAATGTGTTTCTCGACGACATGTCCTGCGGGTCAAAAACACAAATCCCGCACCAATATCCTCGCAATACCTGCAATCTTCGCATGCCCTGTCTGACTTATTTTCAACCTGGCGTGTGGCTCTATCTGTTCTCTCCTGCTTCTGCGAAGCATAATTGCTGGAAAGCTTTCGCAGCCCATAATCCTTGACGGGCTCGGTCTGCTTTCTTCTAATTCTTCTTCTTTTCCACCTTCTCCACCTGTCCCACTGGCAATCCTGCCTCTCTTTCCTCTCCTTGTCGTGTCCATATTTTGCCCTGTTGACCTCTTTCCATCTTCGCGCGATTTCTTCTTCTCTTCTACTACCAATACCCCCGTTTGATTCTGGTCACTTGTATTGTACTTATGTTCTCCATGAGTGTTGCCATTAGGGCTTTACGAATGCAACCTGGTTAGGTGCTATTATTCTCGCGTGTAAAACTGTGCAGCTACTTGATGCCTAAAGTATCTGATATAGGATCATAAGGTGTAAAGTCGCTTCGTGCAACTATCTAAGCAACATGATAAGATCGTGACATTCATAAGCACCCACTTGCGCCTAGGCCTTCCGTCCCACGACTCTCTTCGTCTGCCTGCTCCCTCCACGGCCAACACCGGCCCCTTCATCAATATCCATACGCGACGCAGCCTCCCCATTATCTCCTGAATCGAACCCGTCGTCCTCATCAAAATCATCAGCTTCCCGTTTATTGCGCCCCAACCCAAAAGCCACCCGGTCAAACCCCCGTCCAAACCCAGACTTACCAGCTCGTTTATCGGCCGCATTCCCCCCCTCACGCCCAGTCTCAGGCTGACGCCGCTGAACCGCTTCTTCAAGACGATCCTGGTAAGCCTGTTCCTTGGCAAACCGTTTCTGGGCATTGGCCTTGACCCGGGCGATTTCGGTTTCCAGATCCGTGACCACCTCGCCGCAGCGGGACTCCCATTCTGTGAGGAGGGTGACCATTTGCGGGAGGGATTGGGGCTGGACATCTCGCAGGGGTGCGACGGAGGTGACGTTGATGGTGGGTGGGGTTGAGGCTGGGGAGAGGCGGGCGGAGATTAGGTTTGCGTAGATGGCGGTTGTGACGAGGCTTTCGAGGTCGGCCGTTGTGGGGAGGGAGAGGGAGTTCATGAGAGTTTGGTAGGTGAGGGGTTTGGTGGTTGTGGCCAGGGTGAGGAGGGAGAGGAGGCGGAGTTTGAGGGTTTGTTCCGCGCTCAATTTGGGGAGGTTCGGGGTTGCTGGTGTTTTTGTTAGAGATGTTTTCTTTGGTCATGGACTGATATGAGGTGGCTTGAAGCTGTAGTTGTTGCTTACCTTGGTATTCTTGCCATGTGCCCCATGCAAAGATTTCCAGGAGCTTTAGGTAGCCCTTATACTCGGCGGGGGTATTGGGGGCAGCTAGGGCCTGGATGGTTGGGGTCTCCAGCAGCTCGGCGAAGACGTATGTTTGTGGCGCGGAGGTGGCATTTGTCACGATGTTGGCCACGAAGCGAGGTGAAGTTGCGCTGTTGGAAGTAGCTAGGGCGACGAAGGGCTGTAGAGCCTCCAGGGCCCGGGCGTGTGTTTGGTCCATGAGGTGGATGGGTTCAATGAGGAGAGGAGCGGGGTGATGGAGGTCTTTTGGTCGAGGGGTCAAGTAGGTGAAGGAGGAGTTGAGAGACCAGGATTGGTTCGAGCAATTTCAAAGTTGCCCAATGTAGATGAAGGGAGAGAAGCTAGGAAAGGTTGTCGCGAAGTAACGGTAATAATGCCAATGATGTTCCAGGTTAACCAACGATAGACGGTGGATCCACACCCACGGATGTTTACTGGTTGACTCATCTGGCGCCCCACACAAACGCTTGGAGTCAGTTATGATTCTACAGTACAATCTAAGACCACAGCGAGTCCAGTGATGAACAACTTGGGTTCTTTGAATGAAATTTGTGAGCTATTTTGAAAGGAAATCCACTTCTCCTTCGTGATAATGGTTAAGCACCTGAACTACTGTAGTATAGCAGGGGACGAGGATCCATGATTGACTATTTGCGTGCTGCAAAACTTGGGAACCTCGACTCCATCTGTGGGCAATTTAAGCAGTGCTCTTGAGGTAGACAAAAGTTACCAAAATGGAGCCCAAAACCAATTATCATGTGCAGTCTCTCTTGGTTCTTCTGGAACACTTTTAGCTCTCTGCCCTGCTACGAGAAAACTATGAAAACTCGTAATCTTCGTGAATTTCGTTCACCAGTACCTTTTATAGGTAATATTCTTCTTTGCAGCCCTATCCGCATCCCAACGCCTGATGGCAGCATGGCAGTCGCCAAAGCCAGTCTCAAGCTCGAGCACCACTCTGCATCATTTATAGTGGATGCCAGCCTTTTCTTCCACGCTTGTAAACCTCTCTGGAAGTTGCCCAACATGATTTCAATTGCATTGACCTCACAACTGCTCTCACCTCAAGAGAGCCCAGTTAGGATTGATAAAATGCTCCAGACAGCGGTATCAGTGGCCGTGAAAATGCCAAATCTTGAGTCAATGGAAATCTAGATTGGACGAGAGGGATTAGCAATGCTCTTCGGGTACCAGCTAGCTGAGGAAGATCAGCCTGCTGTGTTAACCTGTAAAGGAACATGGGAACTCACTCTGCGACCTCCTGTTATCCAAGCTTGGAGGCCGTTGCACTGGAGCGTTATGGTCACGGATCTATTATTGTTGAGGAGTTGTTGGATGCTGGCGTTGTCAAGTGTAATAGTGATGCAATCTTTCATTTGGATATCATGTGATTCGGCCCGTTTCGCTACAACAGATGAGGATGGAGCAAAGAATGAGTGAGGGGGTATACAAGTGGTAGCTAATTTCTGTGATCAAGTAACAAAATCAATTGCTGGCCTGTCGCTTCCTGAGGCATGCAACTCTAGTAGACGGAGGGAAACCTTTTCAGCCTTCTGTCCTCGACAGACTTACAAGCGGGTAGTAAGCCTCCTGGCTAATGGAAGTAGGTTTAATAGTTTATAAACTAACGAAGTAAATATTTCGTGCTACGAGGTACCCAAGACAACATTTTGATCACCTAATCTCATGGCCAAATGGAACCACTGTATGAAAGAGCGGGTGGTTTGCAGATAATGCAAACATGCAAATATGGAAGCACCGTTTGATCTCAACGATGATAAAAAGGCGGTGAATCAGTCGGTGAGACTCTACCCAGACAAGGGCACTTTAAAAAGTCTTGGCAGGACTGGAGTTAATCAGTTTGCGACATGAGAAGTATAGAGAGTATGGAGAATATACTTGGATACCTTGAGTGACTGAGCAACTGATTGACAGTATATAACTAGACCCTTATATAGTAGTTCAATCATGGATTATCCCCGCATCAACTCGTGATCATGTAGAAGCCCTGGTCTTCAATCCTGGTTTGTTGGCACAAGTACAGGCCCCATCCCAGCCATTATTGTCGGCCCTGACCCAGCATCGCGACCTGAAACGATGACCACTCTTGACAGCCTTCTGACACTTCATTCGGCGTTTCAGACTCGTCTATATACTCCGCTTTTAAAAATCGAGTTCTGACGGGCGCCTAATAGGGCGTGTGATTGTTGGAAAATTGCCTGCATTATCACCAGAGCCAGGCAGGATACACAGGCGGGGAATAGTCGCGGTCCTGGTCGCATTCCTCAGCGTGGCTCGCTCCACTCCCTGGCGTAATCTCCCCCCCCCCCAACCACTTCCCGCCCTGTGCTAAAATCTATTTGCATTCCTCCATCACGGTTTTAGATGAGCTCTCCCCTCGACGTGGCCTTTCGGGCTCATCGGTCTTCTTTACCTGCCTCCTCTGGCCTTCTTTGCTTCTTTTTAACTCTTGTTCGCCTTAATCAGGGAATGATCTGACCTTCCTGTGTCGATCCGAGGGCATCCGTCTCATCACGCTATTCTCTCTGCGATTGCGCGTAAGCTGCGCACATCCCCGATACATCCCCGAAGGCATTCCCGAATACATCCCCGTCCTCCATGCAATAGTCACGCTTTTTCCCACCGTCTGGGTTTATCGCCATGTCTGGAGAACCTCGTGGTGCGGACCCTGCGTTGCCCCCCGCCTATCGACTGCCCGCCATGGCCACAACAACGATCAAAGTGGATGGAATGACCTGCGGTGCCTGTACCTCTGCGGTCGAAGGTGCCTTTAAGGGGGTTGAGGGCGCGGGCGATGTGTCTGTTAGTCTGATCATGGGCCGCGCTGCTGTTCAGCATGATCCGTCTATACTTTCGCCCGCCAAGGTTGCGGAGATGATTGAAGATTGTGGATTTGATGCCGCGGTCCTGTCCACGGAGGAACATGTCAAATCAGGAGACAAAGATACGGCGGATGGTCCGGTAGCGCGATTCTCGACGACCACGCTCGCGATCGAAGGTATGACATGCGGCGCATGCACGTCTGCGGTGGAAAGTGGACTCAAGGATGTCGCCGGAGTGAACTCGGTCACTGTATCGCTACTCTCGGAGCGTGCGGTGGTGGAACACGATGGGGCGACCATCACACCGGAGCAAATCGCAGAGCTGATCGAGGACCGTGGATTTGGTGCTCGAGTGGTAGATACAAAAGCATCGTCCGCCGGGCAAGAAGACTTGTCCAAGCTCGCCAACCGAACAGAAAACAAATCAGGACATATGGTAACGACAATTGCCATCGGTGGTATGACCTGTGGAGCTTGTACAGCCAGTGTCCAAAATGCTGTCGCCAATGCGGACGGCGTGATTCAGTTCAACATCAGTCTGCTAGCTGAGCGTGCTGTGATTGTACATGACCCATCAATACTCCCAGCTCAGAATATTGTCATGATGGTGGAGGATGCAGGGTTTGATGCGTCTATTGTCTCATCCGAGCCTCAGGAGCCGCTTTCGAGGAAGGCTCAGCAGCTCAAGCTAAGCATTCACGGTCTAAGGGATGCAACATCTGCTTCAGCACTTGAGGAGGAGCTGCTTAGCCGATCTGGAATTCAGTCTGCGTCCGTCAAACTAGCAACTTCCCACCTACTTGTTACATTCGACACATCTGTCATCGGCATTCGATCTGTATTTGAGATCATCCAGGCTGCTGGCTACGATGCACTGATCGCTGATACCGATGACACAAATGCACAGTTGGAGTCCTTGTCCAAAACAAAAGAGATCCAAGAATGGCGACGCGCATTCATAACCTCAGTCTCCTTCGCCGTTCCAGTGTTTCTCATGAACATGATCTTCCCAATGTATCTCCGCGGCATCGACTTTGGCAGATTCCAGCTGCTCCCAGGCCTTTATCTGGGTGACTTGATCTGCTTCGGTCTTACGATACCTGTACAATTTGGCATTGGCCGACGGTTTTACGTCACCAGCTACAAATCACTCAAGCATAAATCCCCAACCATGGACGTTCTCGTCATGCTGGGTACATCTGCAGCTTTCTTTTATAGTTGCTTCACCATGGTCATGGCTATCTTTAGCGATCAACACCGCCGACCAAGCACCGTTTTCGATACCAGCACCATGCTCATCACCTTCATCACCCTGGGAAGATGGTTAGAAAATCGGGCAAAGGGACAGACCTCCGCCGCCCTTTCCCGTCTCATGTCCTTGGCGCCATCTATGACCACCATCTACGAAGACCCTATTGCGGCCGAAAAATTGGCCGATGGATGGACCTCCCAAAGTACATCGAACGAGTCTCACCCCACATTGTCGGACGACACCTCGGTGAATCAAAAGAGTATTCCCACTGAATTGATCCAAGTCGGCGACATTGTTATCCTCCGTCCCGGTGATAAGGTCTCCGCGGACGGTATTGTCATTCGTGGTGAAAGTTATGTCGACGAGAGTATGATCACTGGAGAAGCTCTGCCAATCCACAAGAAGAAGGGCAGTCATGTAGTCGCTGGTACCGTGAACGGAACGGGCTCAGTTGACTTCAAGGTGATCCGGGCTGGCAAAGATACCCAGCTGAGCCAGATCGTCAAGCTTGTCCAGGACGCACAGACAAGTCGTGCTCCGATTCAGCGCATGGCTGACATCGTGGCTGGTTATTTCGTCCCAGCTATTATCGGTCTCGGCTTGTTTACTTTCTTCGGTTGGATGTTCCTCAGTCATATCTTGTCCAACCCGCCCCAAATCTTCCAGTCAGACGATAGCGGTGGCCGAGTGATGGTTTGCCTCAAGCTCTGTATCTCTGTCATCGTCTTCGCCTGCCCATGCGCCCTGGGTCTCAGCACCCCAACTGCCGTCATGGTGGGAACTGGTGTTGGCGCTGAGCATGGCATTCTCGTCAAGGGCGGCGCTGTCCTCGAAGCAGCCACCAAGATCAACCACGTTGTCTTCGACAAGACAGGTACTCTGACTACGGGTCGGATGAGCGTAGACCAAGTCCGAATTGAGCCACACTGGACGGCCAATGACTGGCGCCGACAGCTGTGGTGGCTCATAGTTGGTCTCGCAGAGATGGGCAGTGAACACCCAATCGGTCGAGCCATTCTTTCCGAAGCCAAGTCCGAATCTGGCCATCCAGGAGAAGACGGGCTACCCGGAAGTGTCGGCGATTTCGATGCATGTGTCGGCCAAGGTATTTCCGCTGTTGTCGAGCCCATGTCCAGCATGGAGCGTGTTCGCTACCAGGTTCTTCTGGGCAATGCAGACTTCCTACGTTCAAGGGACGTCACCGTGCCCGCAGCGGCTGACCCTGACACTTCGCAATCTGAAGAGGAGACGGGACAGGTAGCTCCCAAACCTGCAGGTGCTGCGTCCGGAATCACACGTATTCACGTTGCCATCGACAGTCGCTACGCCGGAACTATTTCTCTCCGCGATAGCGTCAAGGATACAGCGGTCGCCGCAATTGCAGCCCTTCATCGCATGGGAATCTTCACATCCATGGTCACAGGTGATACATTATCCACGGCGCTGTCAATTGCCTCCGCCGTCGGCATCCCGGCCACCGCAGTTCACGCATCTGCTTCTCCATCCGAGAAACGTGCTATCATTTCAGCCCTCCAGCTCAACGGCGAGCGCGTCGCCATGGTCGGTGACGGTATAAACGATTCCCCAGCGCTGGCAACTGCGTCCGTTGGCATCGCACTAGCCTCCGGCACTGACGTCGCCATGGAAGCAGCGGACATTGTCCTCATGCGTCCCGACGACCTGCTCTCCGTACCAGCCAGTCTATCCCTCTCCCGCTCAGTCTTCAACCGCATCAAGCTCAACCTCGTCTGGGCATGCCTCTACAACGTCATCGGCCTCCCCTTCGCCATGGGCTTGTTCCTCCCCTTCACGGGCTTCATGCTCCCTCCCATGGCCGCTGGTGCCGCAATGGCAGCGTCCAGTGTCTCGGTCGTGGTTAGCAGCCTGCTCCTGAAACTCTGGCGTCGTCCTTCCTGGATGAAGGTCGAGCGGTTGGAGAAGGAACTTGGTTCGGGGGCTATTCCTGCTGATGGCGTTTCGCGGAGGTCTGGCTGGTGGGCTCCTGCTACTATCCTTTCGGATCATCCGAGGTCGATCCGCCGCTGGGTTGGGGATAGTGTGGCATCGCTCTGGTCCTCGGCTACTGGGAGGCGGACTGTTATTCGCGAGGACGAAGGCTATGTTCCGCTGCAGACTGTTGAGTCTCCTGTTTAACGTGGAATGTCGGCTTGGATTGTCGTTCACGGGATTGATATATTATATGTCTGGGTTTGGAAATGGGATATGAATATGGTTATATTGGTCTTTTCATTACTGGCGGCTTATTTTGAGCCGGACTCATTGTGGCGTTGCAAATTTCGGCTATGTTGTTTTCACATTTTAGATGCTTGATACCTCTCTTGTACAGATGCATTCATATGAATTGATTCGGGATATTTTGTCATACGCCCATAATATAAAAGTAAAATTCACATGTACTCCAGTCGGAGGTTGACAACTTGATTAGCTGAATAACAGGCAACATCTTCAAAGTTACATCCCAAAGTCCTGGCTTGCATGGTAATCACACGCCTCGAGTAACTTCATTCGGGTTCCGGGTTCCTATACAATGTCAATCCTAGATCTCATTTAGGTATCCTTGTATCTCTTTTCATACCTGGGGAGTGTGCCCAGCACCAGGAATCCAAATCAGCCGCGACTTGGGCAAGCCTTTGTGCAGTTCCCACGCCGTCCGCGGGGGACAGACCATATCGTACCGTCCCTGGATGATGGTGGCTAAAAACACCAAAGTCAACCTAGATCGCCATGGTTACGAGTGTAGAGACATACCCGGAATATGCCGTATCTTAGCCAAATTCTCCTCTTTCAGAATCTGACCATCTTCCAACCAGAAATCATTCATTCCATAGTGCGCTTCCAGAACAGCATGAGGCACTGACCACGCCTCATCATCCAGCGGTCTGAAAGTTTCTTCATTAGTCGTCAGAGAACCGATACTCAAGTCCCATCGATTCCACTCCCTCGCTGCCGCAACGCGAGTCGCATGGTCATCTGATGTTAATCTTTTGTAATAGTTCCCCGTGAGATCACCGCGTTCTTCTGGTGGGAGATGATTTACAAAGGTTTCAAATGCTTCAGGGAAGATAGTAGTTGCTCCAATGGGTCCTCGGAACCAGTCCATTTCCAACTTGCGGGTCGTGAATATTCCCAAAACGAGGAGGGATACGACAACATCGGGGTAGGCTTGTGCGTATAGTAGTGCCAGGGTAGACCCCCAAGAGCCGCCGTAGACTAAGTGCCACTTGGGAATGTTCAAGTGTACCCGTAGCGCCTCGATGTCGGCAACCAGATTTGGAGTGGTATTCTCTCGGATCTCTGGTGCGGGTTGGGATTTGCCTGTACCGCGCTGGTCGAAGAGGACTACGCGGTAGATGTCGGGGTTGAAGTAGGCTGTATTACTTTTCTGGGTGTGTCCTCCAGGACCACCGTGAAGATAAACGACTAGTATAGCGTAGGTTTTGAGTCAATGACAGATGGTACTTAACTTGATAGAGATGGCTCACCAGGCTTTCCGTCCGGATTTCCATATTGTTCATAGTGAAGTCGATGGATGGAGCTGACGGGGAGCATACCCTCATCGAAGGGGTCTGAGTGCTCGTAGCCATTCATACTGAGGACTGGACGAAGAAGCTTGGTTTCTGAGATGTATGAGCTGGCAATAGCTGTCAGTTCCAGGTCAGAGGGATATGGGAAGGGAGGTTTCTCAGCCTGATCTGAGTCATGCAGAAGATGTAACCCACCCACTACTTAGTTATGCGATGGCCCCCACGTATCTTAGACAAGGGTGAACCTATGAGTAATCAAACACCATCCACTATTGTGACTCGCCGTCTATAGATAAAGAGCATCTCTGTGCAAGTGGTCATTTTACTCGAGTTTCCATTTTCTCCTATATCTTGTATCTTATTGTCCTATTTTTCATCTCCCTGCTGCAGAACAAGTTGGTCCATGTAACGTTGACTCTCAAATGATTCTACAACCTCTTTGACTGGGATCCCTAGTCTTGATCAAGTACCCGCCACCAGCGCCGCTTTATGAACAGTCCCCCCTTTTTGTACCCCGCGTAACGAATCTTCCAAATGGCCCACCAGCCAAACAGAATCCGTGGCATCTCCTTGCTTCAAATTTACGCTGGTCAGATGGAAATCCAGTGAATATGACTGCGAATTCCCCAACCTACACCCTTGCGGAAAAGAAAAACAAGGTGTGCATTGACCCAGTTTGCTGAAGCTTTTGCCAAGGCTATCAATATCAACCAGGCTGCAGAAAGCGAGAGGGCCAAATATTCTACATCATTCGAGGCCCCAGACCCCAATGATGTGCTTATTGATGATGAAATACTCAAAAAGATCGAACCATATGTGATTCAGTGGACGGAAAACCCTCATGCTGTCGACACGGGAATAGATGAGAACCCTCCTATCCCACAAGGATGAGACTAGCGTCTGCATTCTTCCATTCACAGCAGGAAAATGACTGCGATAGATTTACAGAAGACAATGGCAAGGGCTTTTTCAACCTTGAAATTCTCAAGCTCTTGATCATCCATGGCTACATGGAACCCGTAGCTTCGGGTATGCACCAATCCAGAAGTGGGAATCAATTCCTGGGAGCTAGCGGCTCAGTGTCACTGCATGGTAAATTCAAATAAATCTTCTGCTTCAAGTCTGTCCAGTTTCCAATACTAATTGCTGTATAGTCCATGGACTATGATGCTGGATGGAATATGCTGTACACGCTCCCATTATCTGCATATCTTTGTCTGAACATAGCTTACTGCTTCCCTGAGTCGTGGGACCCAGCTGTAGGCAGAACAGATGTGAAAGACTACCGTCATACGAAGTCATACCAAATCATGCTCAGAGACTGCACCGCCCCTGGAACAGCCTCGGAGATCGTGAGCTATCCCCATCGGGAATTCTTCGGCATAGCCCACGACCAATTCAACCAAGTGCAACCAAAACTTGCCGATAAAAAGCGATAGACCAATAAGCTAGATGTTGATCCTAAGTGGGGAACTATCAAACAGAGCCACTACGGAGTCCTGCCCATTGATGACTTCCTCACTCTGGAGAATAAATCGCTTGAATACATGCCCCATGCATCCGATGTCGATGCCGTACAGAGCATACTATTACGGCATTTACCGCCTGAGCTTGCCCTGCCCATAATGGATTTGGCGGGGTATAAGCCTAAAAGAGCTCTCACCATACCTGACGACCCGCTTCATCCATCGAATCGAAAGGAGCTCGACGAATATTCTCGAGCACTGCTGGCAGATCATGGTCCGCTGTCAAATGATGTCCAAGGAGATCGAAGTGGATGTTGGAGAAGGAGATGGGTGGAAGAGTCTTGTTTCTTGGCGGATCTGTGTACTCTGGGAGGCCAAGAATTGCGAGTGCTACTTTATGGCACTTTGACGATGATCGAGGAGTACAAGAATTCATAGGGGCTTGGTCTCAGACAGGTGCTGAGATTCAGCAAGAAGAAAACGTTACTTGATTGACATAATCAACGCATAGATGCATGAATGAAGGGAAGCGAAAGATTCGGAGGAAGCCAGTCAGGTATATAATGACAGGGCATTGAATGATATCTAGTGGATTTAGATGTCAATATCCGAGATGACTACGTGTAAGATCAAGTTTGAAAACAATGATATCAATTCGGATCATTACTCTCTGATCAGCGTTTCAAGAAATATTGCAGGTCATAACTCATGATGCCATTCATTGGCAGACGACGGTCCAAGATGGGCAGTGACACACGCCACTGTATTCCTTTACTCTGCCTTCTCAGTCTGTGCAGCTGGCGCAGAGTCACCCGCTGCCTTAGCAGTCTCATCGCCTGTCTGAGGCGCTGCAGCTGTCGTATTCTCTGCCTTGATTTCCTCCTTGGGGGTAGTATCATCAAGTACGATATCACCATCTTTATCGGCAGGCCCTGCTCCCCCCTCTGTGGGGTCGGACTCTGCAGTAGGTAGATCTGACGTGCCATCTGATCCAACTCGCTCACCTAGAGTCATCTCCACGCCCTTTCCATCTTGTAGTCCCAAATCCTCTACACCAACGATCGGGGGACCCCGGGCATGAGGAACTTCCTCTAAAGTGTCTGCTGGGGAAGGTTCGGAAGCAACCTTGGGCTCTTCTTCGCCTTCAGCTGTCACTGTAGTCGCGAGTTCGAGCTCTTGTGGCTGGGTGGCAGTAGTTTCTTCTGGGGTCGGTTAGTCCCAGGCTCAACACAAGACTTTCGTGAGTTGTGAAGTCACTACTTACGTTCTTCCAATATACCACCATCACCGCCATCAAAAGAAACATTGGTCAACCAAGGGATGGGCGTAAGAAGAGCTCCTCCTAGTGACTCATCACTTCCCAGACCAGAAGTGTAGTCCGGTGCCAGATAGGCTCCGGCGCTATTGGTTTGGTGGACGAGCCCGTTGGGCTGAGTGCTGATGCTAGGTGCAACACTGAAAGGGAAGACATCGGCGCCACTGGTCACGGAAACGACACGGTCCACAGCTCGTAGATACGCAGGTAGTGTGTTGTAATGGGCTCTGGGCCGCAAAATAAGCTCTGCAAGTCTCTGGATCGTGTGCGGCGGCTTGGCCACGAAGAATGACTGAATGGACGAGCGTATAGACCTTAGGAGAAGCGCGAGCGGCGGTGGTAGCACGTCATTTGGCTGTGGAGAGGGAGGCTGGGGCTGGGAATCTGGCATACGCTCGCTCGATGGTGGCGAACCAGATGTCGCCTGTGGCTGGTGAGATGCTAGGGTGTCTTCCGGAGCAGTGTTCTCCTTATTGCTGCTCTCTGGTATTGCGTTGGGTTCTGAGGGTGGGGGGAACGGCTGCGGGTTGTAGGAGCTTGGTGGCACCTTCGGCATAGGGAAAACATTATAGACATTCTGGGATGAGGTCAGAGACAGGCAGATACAGGTCGCATAGATGGGCCTTACGTATTCCAGCCTTTCCAGAAGTGGTGCGACTATTCCTGCCCACTTCTCTCTAAATCGGAGTATCAATCAGCCTCGCGTGATCCAGGGTGGCCTTGCTATCATAGAATCACACGTACAGGTCGACCGAGCCGCCATTGGCGACTGCCTCAAGGGCTTCTTCATCTGCAATCATAGTCAGCAAGACACGCCCTTTGAACCGTGTAGGGGAACTCATACCCAGCGACATTGTCGAGGCGTTGCAAGCTGCATAAAACGGCGATTAAGTTACGAGCTTCGGCGGTGATGGCACGTGCTCGCTGATTGGGCGATGATGGAGCTTATCGATAGGGTCATGTGACTCTCCGCGAATTTTCGGCGGGGCAGCGAATGACTCTTTCCATAACTTTTTACAGTTCACAGTTCACAATCGCAATTTTATTTGCCGATCACGATGTGGAACTCGCGCAAGGTTGGAATCCTCGGTGGCGGCCAGCTGGGCCGTATGCTGGTCGAATCTTGCAACCGCTTGAACATCCAGGCCAACGTACTCGACGCCGAGAACTCCCCAGCCAAGCAGATCAGCTTCCACGATGGACACGTTACGGGCTCTTTTAAGGAGCGCGAGGCTGTACGCCAATTGGCTAAGTCCTGCGATGTTATGACCGCTGAGATCGAGCACGTCGACACTTATGCCCTTGAAGAAGTCGCCTCTCAGGTTCAGGTTGAGCCAAGCTGGCAGGCCATCCGCACCATTCAGAATAAGTTCAACCAGAAGGAGCACCTGCGCAAATACGGAATCCCCATGGCCGATCACCGCGAATTAGTCAAGAACACACCGGAGGAATTGGCGGAAGCTGGAGAGCAATTGGGTTACCCCATGATGTTGAAGTCCAAGACTATGGCATACGATGGGCGGGGTGAGTGCTCCGCATTAAGTAGCCGCGGGGCTTGGATAGTTTGCTGATATAATTCTCGCAGGCAACTTCCGTGTGAACTCGAAAGAAGATATCCCTGACGCTCTCGAGGCTCTCAAGGACCGGCCATTGTATGTGGAGAAGTGGGCCTACTTCAAGATGGTTCGTGATACCCCAGAATACAGGAATTTCCCTTAGAAGGAACATGAAGTCTAACGTCTCGTTCCTATAGGAGCTGGCTGTTATGGTCATCAAGACCAAGGACGAGGTTCTCTCATACCCCACTGTGGAGACTGTGCAGGAGGACTCAATATGCAAGCTGGTCTACGCGCCAGCCCGGAATGTGTCCGATAAGATCAACGAAGAAGCTCAGGCCCTCGCCCGCAAGGCCGTTGCTGCGTTTGAAGGCAAGGGTGCTTTCGGTGTTGAGATGTTCCTGCTGGAAGACAACAGCCTCATGCTGTGCGAGATTGCCAGCCGCATCCACAACTCTGGTCACTATACCATCGAGGGTTGCGGTCTGTCCCAGTTTGACAGCCACATCCGCGCCATCATGGACCTCCCAATCCCCGCCAAGAGCCTCGAGATCCGCCAGCCTTCCATTATGCTTAACATCATTGGTGGCTCTGCCCCCGACACCCATCTCAAGGCTGCCGAGGCCGCTCTTTCGATCCCGAATGCGGCTATCCACCTGTACAGCAAGGGTGCTGCCAAGCCCGGCCGCAAGATGGGTCACATCACCGTGACTGCTGCGACTATGCATGAGGCGGAAACTATCATTCAGCCCTTGATCGACGTTGTCGATAACATCCGTGCTCAGCGCACCGATATCAAGACCAAGGCCCAGCCGTCTGGGCCCTCTAAGCCTGCACCCCAGGTGGCCGTGGTTATGGGCTCTGACAGCGATCTGAAGACTTTGGTGCCCGGCCTCAAGCTGCTGGAAAACTACTTTGGCATTGAGCCTGCCGTCGAGATTACTTCTGCCCACCGTACCCCCGACTACATGGCTGAGTATGCCGCCGAGGCTGCTTCTCGCGGTATCAAGGTGATTATCGCCGCTGCCGGTGGTGCCGCTCACCTGCCCGGTATGGCCGCTGCCCACACTGCTCTGCCTGTCATCGGCGTACCTGTCAAGGGCAGCTCCCTTGACGGTGTCGACAGTCTGTACAGCATTGTGCAGATGCCTCGCGGTAAGTTTGTTACATTAAATGTTCCTCGATAATACTCAGACTGACTCTTCTATTAGGCGTCCCCGTCGCAACCGTCGGAATTAACAACAGCATCAACGCTGCTCTCCTGGCTGCCCGCATCCTGGGATCCTTCGACCCTGCCATCCAGCGCAAGGTCGAGGCCTACGCCGAGGAAGCCCGTGCTGAGAACATGGAGAAGAAGGGCACCAAGATGCGCGAGCTCGGCTGGGAGAAGTACTTTCAGCAGATGTAAATTGCTCGCTATGTCTCGGTGAAATGAGCCTGACGAAACAAAAATATTTTGATTCTTTCTGAGTGGGATAGATAGCATTGTCTGTCCTACTCTTGTATACAGCGGGAGGCGTTTTATATCAGATCTTAGACGACAATGAATGACAATTTTACCAAACCTACGCAGCTATCAAGCAATCTTCAACAACAAGATCATTGATCCTTCATGTTTCAAAGCTACACTCCGACAAGATCCGATTTGACTCGGATGTTCTGCTAATGACGAACATTGACTCAAGCAAATCATACTATGTCTGAGGTAGCCCTCTTCTTTTGTTCATTCACTCGGAGTTGATCCAAACCTAGAGCAGAAGGAAGGAGTGGAGCGCTATGCTGTATCTTTTTTGGAATCCGACGCAAAGGGCATAGTAGTGGGTTGACGGGAACGCAAATATATATAGGATAAGACCTGTGAGTGTTTCTTCGCTCTCTCTTTACGTCTAGTTTTGAGAATGAGCCAAGAATGCACTTTGCAGCGGGCCCTAAGTGAAGACGAGCATCGGACATGCGAAGAAGATCATTCTCCAGGATCCCAGGTGAGTAAACATGCAGTAACTGAGGTTTTATAGCGTGAAGAACAACGAAATACTAAAACGAGAAACAGGGGGAGAGGCCCTGGGATGTCAGGAAATGGAGAGATATTTCATGAGTCAGACATGGGTCAAGCGAGAAGACGACAAGAAGAAATGACAGAGGTTTTGTCAATAAGCATTAGGAACATTCTTGAGAAAGCTACATCGTAGCGACCAGCTCGGCAAGACCGTCCCTCAGACGGATCAAATCCAACAGCATGGGCTCCTCATCACTGGTATTGCCCTCGTCAGTGAGCGCAGACAGGTGGGTCCGCGCCTCTTCCTACTCGCTGGCGACGGTTCTTTTCAGTGAGCTTGATGAGATCACCACTGCCGATTTTTCAGGTCCAAACGGGTGCCATGACTGAGGACGAGGAAGACCACGGCTCACGACAGCACTCGATGCCTCATTCTGATCTGGAGGCAAACTAATGACTTCCTCTCGCCTAACAGCTTTGGCTAGGAAAGCAAACCATGCGCCAGTGGCCCATGATGGCTGTATTTGATATGTTCGTGGAAGTGATCTTCACTGGAGAAACTCTTCATGCTACTCCACTTGCCGAACTTGTGCACTCTCCTCAAGTGTTCAAAGCGCATATCCCAGCATGGCTCGGGAAATTGGGGAACTTTTGGCCACAATATCCACACCAATCGTGTTCGGGGTCGGTCTTACTTTGGTCGGAGGGAATTGCGAAGCATGAAATGCGGCCGTGAAGTCAGAGATGTTACTACATGACCATTAAACACGCTAGGAATACAATCTTCTTCGTCGTCCTCGTGTACTCCTGGTTGGACGCTGTGCGAGAACTTCACGTAGAATAGGATCGTCTTTACTTTTATCAACGTGGTGGACGCGGACATGTCTATCCAGGCCGCAAAATTAGTCTATCGCTCTTCAAGCGTGACACTGTCTAGAGATAGGGAGACGGCTCAACTCACCGTTGAAGATTGTCTGGCCGAGGATATTTATGCTGCTGATCAGGACAGAAGGGACATAGATAGCCCGGAGAGTTATGCACCAGGCCATGCCGCATCATTTCATTCTTGCGCTTGAATCCTTTCCCGCCTGATGCTCGTGGACACCCATCCACGGGACAGAAATGAGGCCGGTCTTGCGAGTGTATATTTGCATGAGAGCTAGTAATTATGGACTTAAAGTTAGGGCGGCTGTATACTAGGAGTCGTGATAGGGTATGCATAGTTATCGGCTTCTACTTACTTAAGTATATACTGAGTCTGGAATGGTGCTGCTGTACAGCCGGGATGCGTGCATTTATAGCTGCCCGTCGCTTCGGCCCGCGTAGTCGAACTTAACGGGGTTCGGTTGATGGATCCCAGTATAGGAGAAACCGGCTCTGTCGGTGTGGGATAACTTGGGGGAGGCCCTGTGGCAGTCATAGGGGACATGTAAGAAGACAGTACGGACATCTTGCGTGGGACATCTTTTGGGTAGGGTGGCGTACTGGCGTATTCCGTGCGAGTCGAATCGAACATGAATGGATTGTTATAAGTAATAACCGAGCCGTAAGAATGTGAGCGAATCCCCGATTTCGAAGACGGTGATTCGAGCGGACCGGAACCGTCATCCCATTTGTCGATAGAACTCAAAAGTTCATCACTGGAGACGTCGGTTAAGATGGTCGAGCGTCGTCGCTTGCGCGATCCAGGCGGATGAGAGACTCCAGACACATGGCTACCGGCCGAGGAGGCGGGAGAAACTGCACGTTTAGAAGTGGGCTGGGTGTGCTGTGGTCAGACTCTGGTGGAAGTAGAGATCTAGATCGTGCTCACTGTGTTGGAGAAAGAGAGAGGGGTGCGGAGGTCCAAGGAAGGAAGGGAAATCGCAGGAAAGAAGGGGAGGGAGTTCGACCTGTGGAGTTGACTGGTCATTTGGAGTACCGAGACGATCCAAAGTCAAGATACTCGAAGATACGATTCAAAATGAAGAGCCCCAAGAGGTGATCGGGAGGAAAAAGGTCGAGACAGTGCTATCGGTGAGATTCACGCATTGCGCTTCGGGCACCTGATGAGCTTGACCTCCCGCCGCCACAGAACTACAAGTACATGTGCCCCTCAATAGCTTGGATGCTCAGCCTCTCCCACCTGCGCCAGCGCAATGTGCCGCTTTCCCCCTTTCTGTGCTTGGATTTGATATCTTCCGCAGATGCACTTTGAGTGACTGATTTGTGAGAGACAAATACAGCATCAGCAACATCCCTCTTGAGCCGCATGGCAAAGGAGCCGCCGCTAAGCGCTCTTCAGTTGGTGAGGCGAAATGGCACAATCACCACAACTGCACGAATGTACAATCGTGTGGCTGTGTCCTCTTGAAGTCGAGCTTCGAGCGGCTATTGCCATGCTCGATCGAGTCTCTGATCATGTTCCTCACCGCGCGCGAGGCCAGCACGTCGTGTATACAGTGGGAGAAATTGGCCCCCACAAGATCGCCGTGGTCGGCTATTACCAAGAGCAGGGTCTGGCAGCATCTGGCAGTATGGCCGCAGAAGTCAGGAGAGACCTACCCCGTCTCCAATTTGGACTGTTGGTCGGAATCGCTGGCGGAATCCCTTCATCAGCCAATGATATGCAATTGGGAGATGTAGCAGTTGCAGTTCCAGAGGGTGATCGCCCAGGGATTGTTGGATATGATCTGGGGAAGGCCGGAGAAGATGATTGTTTTGAACTAAAGCACTGGCAGAACTCAACAGATCCGATGCTTCGTTCGGTGATTAATGTGATTCGAGCCCGAGAGGATTCGCGGTTCTGGCGGCACCTTCGTGTCGTGGAGAATCGTCCAGAGTTTCGAAGGCCAGAGAATACGTCTGAGACGAATCGTATATATCCCAAGGTGCATTATGGGACTATCTTGTCCGGCAATACTGTGATCAAGTCCCAGTCGAAGAGGGACCAGCTAAGGGAACTATACGGGGGGATTGCAGTGGAGATGGAAGCTGCCGGCATTATGACCAGGCTACCGGTGGCTGTCATCCGAGGAATCAGCGATTTTGCAGATTCGTCCAAGAACAGCACATGGCAACCGTACGCTGCCATTGCAGCAGCGGCATATGCGAAAGAAGTCCTCCTATCTTACCCTGCGAAGCTCAAACGCTTGAAACAGGGTCTTCAGGTACGTTAGACCACGAAGTAACGATATCTTGGCCCAAATAATTCATTTGAAATAGATGAATGCGGAGGACAGCCTCAGAATACAAATTCGACACCTTTTGCGGACAAACGGATGCGCTTGGCAAAGGCGTTGCCCGAAAGATGGGCATTCGTGGGGAGAGAAGAGGAGTTGGCCTTTCTCCATTCAGAACTAGGCTTTCCATCTCAGTCATCCATTCAGAAACATGCCGTTGGCCTTTGGGGCCTGACTGGAGTTGGGAAATCTCAGCTGGCCGCGAGATTCGTGCATCAGCAACTATCAAGCTACCCTGAGCGGGAGATCTTCTGGATCAGTGGGGAGAGTCGGGATAGCTTCGAAGAAAGCGTTATCAACATGCTTAAATCTAGACAGGAAAGCAGCAGCACGGCTACGTCTCATTCTGCGCTATTACCTGTCATACCCGAGGGAGAACGACGTGCTCTCGTGAATCTCTTCTTTGCTGAGCTCAACCGTCTGAATGACGGGAGATGGCTGCTGATCATTGATGGAGTCAACCAAGCTAACTCTACCGCTACGCAAGAAGCCCACTCCTATGATATTCATAGTTATGCGCGCGGACTAACACGAGGATCGATTCTGCTCACCTCTCAAAGACGTGATGTAGTCGAAAGGTATCACCCGATTCGGGAAGTGAAAGGCCTCAAGGACGGGGATGCAATGAGTCTACTCAAATCTCAGATTCACTCTCATTCAATGCAAGGTAGTATACACATTGTCAATTATTGTACAAAACTAACTCTCCTTTATCTACAGGAGCCCAGGACTTGATATCTCTCCTGAAAGGACTTCCTTTAGCACTACGTCTTGCCATCTCCGTTATATGTCGCTTTCGCGTTGAGGTCCAGGAATATCTGGAGATGTGGAAAAGTCACGGCGATGTTAGCGAGATACTGGGCACAGATGAAACTTTATACCGCTCCATGGAGCTGAGCTTGGAAGATCTCGAAAGCTCCTATCCCGTTGCTGCCAATCTTCTAGCTCTATTCAGTTTCCTGGATCATCGTGATTTCTGGTACGAGCTATGCCTGAACGCCGCTGATGATACGTTCCCCCAATGGCTGCAGAATCTAGCAGGGAACAAGACACCATTCAGGCATTACTACCCACTCTTAGCCGATCTCTCATTCATCGAGCTGAAAATCTCCGCGAATGGCAGCCGCACATGGGAAACGCACCCAGCCATCCAGGCAGTGGTCAGACGGAGATTCCAGGAAAAGGAACGTGAATATATTCGGTCCGCGATATCACTCGTAGCAGACCAAGTTCCCCGGTCATCGATGGCAAATTCCTGGCCTACCATACGACGACTCTTGCCTCATGCCCAGATATGCTGGAGTTACGTCAAAGCAGGCAAATGGGGATCCAGCACTAACCTTACCGAACTGGAAAGTCTCGCCCGTGTTTTCCGACAAACCGGGCATTACGAAGAAGCTTCGATAATCTACCGAATGATCGCACGCGGCCTTGATAACCACTCTCATACCCCGGAGAGCCTTGAATTTTTCGCCGACGTACTCGCAAACCTGGGCCTAGTTTATACGCATCAACACAAATCTGAAGCTGCTCTCGGGTCCTTTGATAGGTCATCCAGTATCATGAGTGAGCTTGGGACTCTAACGCCTCACGCATCGATGTCGATCATGTATAATAAGGCAGTGGTATTCATGATGACCGATCGCCTGGATGAAGCAGAGACATACCTGCGAGATGCGGCAGAATATTTCGCTTATGATACATCCGAAAACACACTAATTGAGGACGAGCGGAGGTCCTTGTATTTTCGAATCTTAAACGATCTGGGCGAAGTCATGCTACGAAAGGGCTCTATTCCGGAAGCATTACGAGTTTTTCAACATGTGTACTACGGTCTGGGGGACTTCAGTCGGCAGGGTGATCCCCAGCCTGCCCAGATTTCACTCAAATTGAACATGGGTAGAGCTCTTACCAGACTTGGAGATTTCTCAAAGGCTCGAGAACTTCTCGAAGAAGTTATTTCGATTTATACCGAGTGGTGGGGAAGGCGACACCCGGAAACAATGCGAGTGATTGACGAGTTGGCCTGGACTTTAATGAACGAGTGCAAAGATAAGCAGGCCAAGGGGGATGATATCGATTCAGAGGTGCAGCATTCAGGAGAGCTTTGGAACGAAGCTTTGGACTTTTATCGGCGCATTGGGGGGGATGCGTCTGATACGGTGGCTAGAATTGAAGCTAATCTGAGCCAGCTGTTTTCCAATATAGGGAACTCTTTACCTCTCTATCTACCATCGCCGAATTCAACTAGCTAGCCTAGGTACTTAGCTAACATGTATACAATTTAATGAGAGATGAAAACAAAATAGAGATAAATTGAAAATGAAGCGAGCTGGCCGAAAAATATCTGGTTGTTTAGAATGTGGCCGTATACTTCTGTGTGTTAAAGGCTGATATTGGGATGAATTCCACGTAAACTAATTCGAATTAGGCGCAAATACAGTGGACCTGAGTACATACTGTAATTAGGTACGATCGGCTAATGTTTACGCGTTGTACATAGCTGTGGGGTAATGTATGAGCGCCAAAAACCACGCTCAAAATGGCAACTGGATGGATGAGAGGGTACATAACAACAGTAAAAAATCATATAATCATTTACTATCTCAAGATACTATTTGGATAGTTCCAATAAATATGGACTCCACTATTTGCTAAGTCATCAACGCGTGCTTTTCTTGGGTAACTACATAAGTCCTCGCGTGACCCCTTTGCTACCTACGACATCAATTAACCTACCATCTACCTACAATCTACCTACAATCTACCTTGCAGTCAACCAATCAATCCCAATCAATTGACCTATTAATATCCTAACAATCGAATGAGCAATTTGCATGTACATAAAGCACCCTACACGGTGTATGGATAATTACTTCACCTCGGTTGCCCTTTTCAAAGAGCTACGAGGTGAAGTAGTTATCTATGTTGACTGTATGGGGTGCTTCATGCATATCGGGCATACGATTGGTAGGTAGTTTGGTAGGTTGATTGATTGGCCGATTGATTGGTTGATTAGTACGAATAGGTCGATTGGCATGGCAGATTGGAAGGCAGATAGGATAGGGTGGTACACGTGTCGAAAAGCACGCGTTGATGACTTAGCAGACAGTGAAGACCATAGTTAACTAACTAGCTTAGGTATATCGATGACAGTCAGAAAGATGAAACGTCGGGTATCTTATACTATTACGGGCTACTCTTGGAATATACGACTGAGAAGAAAACAGTGATTAGCAAGAATTATGGTCTCGATTGAGAGACACCGATGTAATCTTTAATAAATCATACACAAGATCGCTAATTTACATAGAGACCCAACCATCCACGCCAAGCAAAGAGATAAAAAAAAAGAGTGTGGAAGAGGGAGAGACGCCTAAATGACAGCGCTGAGATGATGAGCCAGAGAACTCCTCCAAGCAAAGCAAAAATAAGAAAGAAAGGATTCAAAAGCGAATGGAAATATGCAAAATGACATCAAGGAAAGCGGGTGTAACTAGCGAATGCTCTGTCTCCACCGATCAATAAATTCCTGCTGCACCGGGTCAACAGGTTGTCGCGTCATGTTCGGTCCACAGCCAGCAGGCATAGCATATGCCATACCGCCCGGCACGCCCATCATCATGCTGTTATAAGCTTGCGCAGCTGGGTACCCCATGTTTCCATATCCGTAGGGTTGAGCGGCCATCTGGTTGGCTATGGGAACTTGATAGCCCGGGTTGATGGGGAGGGATTGCATGGACATGCGATGGGCGTATTGCCCGGGCATCATGTTTCCGTATGGAAGGACATCGTGTGATGACTGGCGGGCGATGTGCTGTGCGGGGTGAGTCTGCGGGAGCGCCGCCATGCTGCGCCGCATATGCAGATTCTTTGCATTGCCGCGCGGCGGGCCGTTCTCCTTCTGCAGGCGACTGCGTCTTTGAGCAAGAGTCTCATTTTCGAGGGCGTCAGAGGCTGGGGTACGCTCCGTTTCTTTGGGCGCGACTCCAGTGCGAGTGTCGATTTCGGCAAGTAGTTCACTAGCGAACTCGCTGTCTGCTGGATTCTGTCCACGGAGTCGTCTCATACGCTCGGCGAGTGTCTCGCCTTCGTCGCCGCTGTCGGCTTCTGGTTGGGCGGTCTCGGTTTGAGGAATTTCAGTCTCGTATACCGTGACAGGGCGCTTCTCCAGGACGGGTTCGCCGCGTAGCCTGGCCCGACGGGTGCTCAATGGTTCGTTCTCCTCTAGCTGGCGCATTTCCATCAGACCAACTGGTCGATCTTCGTCATCATTGTGAACTTGATCAGGGTATAGCATTGCTAGTGGAACATCGTCGTCATCTGCGGTATCACGATTGTTCCATGCCAGAGTGACAGGTCGTCGCCGTCTCTTATCACTCTGTTTCTGTGCCATTGCATCCAGCTCCAATAGAGTAGAATGCATTCCTTGGGCCTGTGAGCTGGTAGGAAGGAAAGTCCGTTGTCGCTGCTTCAATTCCTGCTTTCGCAAGTCCAATTCAGCCAGTAGCGTGTTTGGTGGTCCCACGTAATCGACATATCCGTCCTCTTCCTCTTCGTCCTCGCCGCTCTCTGGCGAATGCTCATCGCCTTCCGTGTCGCTACCACTGGATCGATCGGAGTCACTCTCATCCTGAGACCGATCTCGGCGTCCGTCACGCGAACTAACCGACCCTTCTTCATCATCCTTATGATGAGTACTGTGGCGTTGGCCCATCGGAATGTGCGAGTTACGCTCTGCCTTTGGTCTTGTAGGGGGTTTGACCGTCTGGCGCTTTGATTGCTGGAAAACGTACGAGCCAACCTGGCCAGCGTAGGGGTGATCGGTAAAGGCTGATACTGGTGCGTGTGCCGAGGCGTCAAGGATACTATCAAGCGTTGCAACTGCCGAATCCTGCTTCACGTCCACCTCGAGGGTCGTACTCGGTTTATCAAAGAACAAACTCGCTCGAAGCTGAGGTGGTATCTTGGACTGGCGTCTGTCCCTCTCGCTGTCACCCAGCCGGTTCTGCTCAGATCCGGCTAACCAGAGCCCGGATTTCCTATCTTCGGCCACGATATTGGTCAAGAGCTCAGTCCGGCGTTTTTCGCGATCGGAGATTGGCTTGCGAGACAGTTTGGGCGGGAGGTTCAACATGCGGGGGACTGGGGCAGGGTAGTACACCATATTCTCGCCCGTCTGCGGCTCCTTGTACGATTCCGGCTTGCTTGCAAGGGGCGGTTGGCTCAGGGACAGCTGGCGCCCGGGGCGCCCGGAATTCGCGCGCTCCAAGGGCGTGAAATGGACGCCATCGAAATCGGTGAAGAGTGCTCGCGCTTGCTGGAAGGTATCGCCTGAGGCGGCCGATGCTGGTCGTTCAATTTCCTCCTGAACCACGCCATGTCCATCGTATTGATTATAGTAAGGGTCGTGCGGCGGTTGAGTATAGGCCTGGGGTGCCGGGGGAATGGCCGACGGGGCGGGCATGCGACCCAAAAAGTGGCCGTCTTCGTCGTGGTCGGGTTCGGGGAGTTGGGCGAGTCGGGATGCGCCCGAGACGGAGCGCTGTCGCGTGGAGAAGGTCGATCCGTGGGAAGCAATGGTCGCCGGCGAGAATGCTCCATTCCGGAGATTGACGGAATTGGATGCAGAACTGCACGAGCGTCGTTTCTGTTCCTGATCCATTTTGCGAATTTCACTGGCAATGTCCGCTGAACTAGAGCTGAGTTGCTCAGCGCTTTGCTCCAGACGTGCTACATTGCCCACATAGGCCCCCTGAGATGATTGTAGATCGGGAGTTGGGTGAGTGATGGGGAGGTCGCTGGAAGCACTGCGCAAAGGGGGCTCGGGGGAAGAAGAATGTCGCGCGACAGCCGTATTAAGCGGAGGAATGCGGCGTAGACTACTGCTTGATCTGTTGTTCGATGGCTCGGCGGGGGAAGGATCGGCGTCGTAGTCATCGGCCTCGACAATATCGTAGCTAGCGGTAGTCATGGAGCGGATCATGGAGCCGAGGTGCCCGAGGCCTTGGTGGTGGTGGTCGTCGCTTTTGGCGGCTTCTAGCTGAGTTCCTTCGAGGTGGTCAGCATCGTGCAGAGGCTGAAAGACCTGGTGAACAGGTGAAGCGTTGCGCGAGATGTCCGAGTTGGAGTCGGAACTGGAGGCGACCTCGTCGACCTGAGCGACGGCGTTGTACGCCATGATCTGCGGTAATTTAACCGTCGCAGGACCGACTCGGTCGGGTTGAAAAGCGATCAGTCGAGACAGCAGAAGGGTGGGATGTATTTCATATGGAAGTCAGAGAGTAAAAGTAGGACCGATTCAAAGGGATGTCAACTTGTGGGCCAGGAACCAGAGGAAAGAGAGAAAATGAGCCAGGAACCCGATGGTGGAACTTTGGATGTGGACGAGGTTTCAATTGTGTCACAATCCATTTTTCCCTGAGCCATGGGGGGTGGCGCTGCTAAATTTGGGTTGTCCTACGATAAGTTAAGACAAGGGCTAAGACACTCAGACCAGCTCAGTAGTTCTTAATTTAATTTTTTTTACACTTATTCCTTTGCTTTTGGCTTCAGCCTTAGCTCTCTGAAAAGATCAGTAGCGAGTCGTGACTCTGGAATAAGGAATGCGCGATCCGAAAGCCTGTTCATCGACGATTCCACAGGGTATAAAACAGGCTCATCGACAAAAAAAGAGACACAGAAAAACAAGAAATCAAGGCACTCGAAAAAGGCCAAGCCCCGTCGAACTCTTTTAGTGCAACCGACTCCATGTCTTGGACCAGTCGAGACGCTCGCCTCCGGGTCAAAGTGGAGAGTGGGGGAAGATGAAGAGGAAGAAGCGCAGGGTCTGGCCATTGACAGTGGGCCACTGGTTCGCAGTCACAGAGCTCCTGTTTGTCTTGACTTGGAAGTATAGAGTAGTTAACTAGTCAAGTTTACACTTTTCGTGTTCGAAAAATTGGTTTCTTTTTCCATCGTGCTGGTGCAGGTGCAGGTGCATTAACAAACAGGGAACTGTACATACTAGCTCCAAAGATTCACGATCCTGCGACGAGCGGAAGACAGAATTACACGAGAGACATACCAGATCAGATCGATCCCTAGATAGGATCTTATCTAGGCTATTATCTGAGTACTTAGTTATCTGTAGAAGCCACTAAGACACAGGGTTAGTATGTTTGTATGTATAGTGGCTGGAAACCCTGTCATGAAGCGTTTACAAACATAATCATATCCCGCCTAAAGTCTACTTAGATTAAAATCCTGGAAATCGTGGCTTCTGGGCTACTGCAGCTTGTCAGCAACGGCACATCACTGCTCCATGCATCAATAGCGGCGATATACACCGCGTTTCTTCCAATCGCGTGCCCCTCGAAGATAAGTAAAGGCTTGGCAAGGCAAAATGTGGTCCAAAGATGGTTAAGCTTCGATCAAAGCGTATCTATTCAACAATCAACCATACGGCTAACACGAGAACACGAGAATATATGAAATTGTAAAATGATGGTACACAGTGAGGATAATCAACAGTAGTTTATCACAAAGAAAAGGTGTGAATGAACGGACTCGAAAAAAACATAGTCGAGTGAAATCAAAAGAGGTAGAACACTGGGCATTCAGGCCCCAAATAATTAGTTAGAGGGCTTGACAAAGGTCAAGAAGTCGAGAGACAGGTCACTGAAGAAACTGGCTCCAGCCACAGTTTTGGGGTGTCCAGCTGCAGTCACGTTGCAGTAGTCGTTCCAGTTGCCAGCGGCCTTGCTCTTCTCCTTGATGAGAGCCAGGTAGTCCGACAACAGACAGCTCTTGCCAGGTCCCTTGTGGCAGTTAGCAACCGGGTACACGGCATCGTTGAACAGGATCCGAATATAGGTCTCGTTGGTCGCCTTCTTTCCAGAGCCAACCTGGCAGTTCAGAGTCTCAAAGGCAACAGTACCGCGCATGGTAATGAAACGGCCGACGTTGTACAGGCGGTTCGACTTGACATGAGTAGTGGACAAAGGGTCTTCATTATCGAAAATGCCCATGGCCGAGGTCATCTCGGCAATCTGGTTGTCGTTCAAGAAGGCCATGATCAGACTGGGGATATTGAATTTGCCCCCGTTGACAGTAGTGCCAGTCTGGCCGGGACCCTTGCTCAAAAGAGTCAAGAGGCTCTCAAGGAAAGGCAGGAACAGCTTGCTCGCGGGACCGTCTGATCCCGGTCCAACGCTGTAGTAGTAACTCAGGTCCTGAGAGTACGCATAGTTGCGCAGCTCGTCCTCGGTGAACACGCTACACCAGTCACTCAAACGACCGGTGATCTGACTCTCATATCCGCACATGTAGGGGAAGAACAGAATGTCCGACTGAGTGAAGGTCAGGTTGCCGCTGACCAGATTGTTGATACGCTTGAGGGCCTTAGGGGCCCAGGTGGCATCGACTTGAATGGAGTTAGCTTATACTGTTCAATGCAGCTGAGGTCGTTGCGACTCACAATCAGTGACGTTGTTGCCTCCGCTCGAGGTGGCACCGAATTTCGGGCACGAGTCAGAGGGACCGAGCGAGTTGCCGATGGCGTTGACAGAGCCAGTGGAGTTCACACTGACCACCGTGCCGTATGTGTCCGCAAACTCGTACAGGTAACCGTGAACAAAGGCACGGGCGGTTTGAACGACGCGGGATTCGTTGATTGGGCTCTTGTACTGATTGGCCCAGACGTAGAATGGGTTACCATCCTCGTAGAAATCGGGATCTACCAATGGTGATTAGTATTGAGATAGTGATGGGAATATCAAAGATGATGGCTCTGCTTACAGCGAGCACGGAGTTGGTAGCCAAGGTCGCTGGCCTGGTTGTCATCAGTAGTGATTGCACAAAGGTTGGAAACATGTCAATGGAAGACATACCTCCTTCCAACCAGTCATGGACTCCTGCGCAATTTGCAGGGTTGGGTTAGTCAACACGGGGCTCCAATCCTTGATGAAGGACAACGAGCCACAGGCATCGAAGCCCTTGCCATTGACGGCGGTTTGGATCTATAGAATGTTATTTTCTCGTTCCGTAGCCACAAAGTTCAGTAACTTAGTTCGGCATATAGAACAAAGACCTACCTTATCTTTGATGGCAACCCACGAGTTGTAAGATCCAGTATCGGGGAATCTAAAACCAAAATCAATGATCTGTCAATAATCATGCCATTTAATCTATCTCTTACCGGCTACCGTGTCTCACAACATAAGCAGCTTGCTGAACAGTGCACTTGTCAGGCACATCATTCACCACACCATTGACATTGGGTCCAGCAAGGTACGGGGTGTTTGCTCCAGAATACTGCAACGGATTCTGGACTCCCTTAACAGATGGGAACTCGATATCGTTGGCAGGAGCCAGCACCGCCGCCTGGCCAGTAGCAGCCGCCAACAACAAAGAGGTAACGACAGTCTTGAAGGAGCTTGCCATGGCTGATATCGACTTTCCAAAAGAAACAAAGATTCTGATATTAGTTGAATTCGGCCATTCTCACGGCGATCCGCGCCTCCTATATACTCTTGCATAACACCGATGCTCCGGAACCTGCGCTAGTCACCAGTTAGCCGCATTTAGTGTTAGCGGGGGCGCCGTAAAGTTTTCGGGCCTATTGCCGGCCCACGTGTTAATCGGCGACATTTAACCGAGATGAAGTCGAGCATGGCACGGAGAATTGGACTATCTAGAAGTTCTCTTGCGCTACTAGGTCCATGGCATTTGGCACTAGTCTGGCCCTACTGCGTTTAAGGGTAATCTACCCGCCAATTGCTAGTTTTGCCCAAGAGAACGTGGTGGATAAAGTCTTGGAAAAATTGTCGCTTATATCGTGTGTTGGCTGCCAGCTGAATTCCTAGTTCCTAGATCTATACATACTGTCTAATATTTAGAGAATTTCTCCGACGGCTTACGCGACGGTGGAGTTCACCGTAGTGTTCAGGAAACTCTGGCCTAGCTTTGAAGATGCGGACGACTTGAATGCTGACACGCTCTCTTCAAAGTTGGCAAATATGGCACCAATAACGGATTCACCGCACGCTCTTTCTGCCTTCACGGTGCTACTGTCAGAACGCTTCTTCTTTTTGAAATTAATACCCGGCGAGATCGTCACACAATTGTACTGTGACTCGGCTGCTCGAAGTTGACAAATTTCGTCCGTTTTGCAGTCGCCCGTGCAAGCCGAAACATCCCATCCTCGGCTCTTCCGAGCAATATAGTCCTGGAAGACCGAATCGTCACTCTCAAATAGTGCGGTGACATTATGCCAGAATGCAGGCGTGAGCTCTGCGGCACTATCGGTGACAGCGGGACTGAGGAGAGAACCATAGGTCTCCTTCGCAGAGTAGTACTTCTCCCATGTTGGCTTGGTCTGATACGTAGAGCTCGACATGTTGGTGATGTAGACAGTAAAATCCAGCACACCGAACGTCACTGGGTCAATTGAGTAAACACGGAAAGTCGGATTGCCCGAGGTTGGGGTCAAGGCTGGCGCAATGTAGGACATCATGGTGGCAGTGCTTGCAGATTGAGCGGAATAGTTGGAGTAGGCAATTTCAAACTCGTCCTTGTGAGTATGACCATAGAAGACAGCTGCGATAGTCGCATCGTAGCGTTGGATGATCTGATTGAAGTAGTTGGACCCATCGTGGAATGCATCACCGGCTCCCATGGGCATGTGTCCGAGAAGCCACACGCGCTCGCCCGCGGTCTCCGCAGCCTGAAGCTCAGTGACGAGCCAAGCTAGCTGGCCGTTTGGATCCGACTGCATGGTCTTCTCGTACAACCAGAAGTTCTCCTTGTAGTAGAAGTTGGTGTTGAACGAAATGATGCGCAGGTTACCATTCGGGTACTTGACAGAGTAAGAGCCATAATCATCAGCACCGTTTGTAGCTGTCGATCCAATCCATTGAGTCCAATCCGAGGAAAGGGTATCGTAAGCCCATTGGCTGGAGATGGTGGTATCGATATCGGAAGGAGGGAATGAGTTGACAGGCGCAACATCATGATTGCCAATGACACCGTAAACCAAATCAAGGTAAGAAGGCATCCGGGTTTTGTATGCATCATTCAGATCGTTGGTGACTTCGGTCTCGTTGACAAGCCAAACGGCGCCTTCGACGACATCACCCGTGAAAATGGTAAAAGATGCGTCGGGTACAAGGCTCGCAATTGCTTCGTACATGCTCTCCTCAAGTGTAAGGGGCGAATCGCACTGGTGATTGCCGTACTCACCAGCCGGGTAGCTGGTATTTCCGGGCGCATCAGCGGATGTGTACGGGCGACAGCAAATGTTCTTAGTACAGTTGTAACTATCGTCTGTTAGTATATAGTTGCGAGTCACCACAATGGGGAGACCTTACTTGGCGCCCGTCTCATACGAAAGGTCAACGTGGATATCGCTGATGTGGACAACCTGGATAGGGATTTTTCCACTGGGAGCTGGACGCGATGCATTGGCTGGCTTAGCATATGGAAAGTCTACTGTGTATTCCGCGACATCGGGGTAATCGCATAGCCCGAATACGGTAGAGCAAAACAGTGTCTCAGTTGTGGAAGGAATGTCCATATTGCGAAGATCATGGGCGAGGATGGGTCCTTCACGGGAGATGGCACCGTCGCAAACATCGCTATCCTCAACCTATATCAATGATTAGAGCAAGCTGCTGTCGAATTCCAGGAGTCAACTTACCCCTGCCAAAATACAGACTTCGGTGATTACATCGACAAAATCGTCATTTCCCAAATGGGCCAATGCCTGGAGGACAACGAGAAGTGCCTACGTGTCGGGATTATTAGTTGCTGTGTCACGAGCGCTGGTATGTAACTTATGGCAAGCAATTTTGTACTTACCTCGCATGCTGTACAGGTGACGGCATCTTCAATATCAGTCAGAATTTCGCTGACGGTGCTTCTTTTAGCAATCGATTGGCTTGGAGAGGCAAGGGCTCCTCCAAGAAGGCCTGCAAGGTAAACCCATTGCAGAACGAACATGATGGCGATCACTTATGCGGCAAGTATGCTCTATAACATCCGTTCAAGTTTGAGCACCGATCGGCGGGCTTTTATGTCAGTATCCTGATGGATCCTGGGATGATCTGTACTCGACACTCCATGGAAGCAAGCGAGATAATTTCTCCGTCACCTAACGTCAAGGCCAGGACCACAGGGAACGAAAATATCTCGCTTCCTGGCACGTTCCTCTCTTTTAAGCAGTGATTGACTCCTTCGAACCGAAGCGGAGTTCACGGCTTCATAACGTCACTTTCTCCCGCACGCGTGTCGAAAATATTGAAGTGTTGATTGGATCGTCAGGGGTTAGTGGTAGGGCAGAATGTCTTATTTTCTCTCTAAATTTCCCGGATACACCGGTCATTTTGCCGGGCGTTGCATTAGTTGGGCGCTAGAGGACTATCTATTCCTTGAAGAATTCGAACGGATCATGTACCCACGGGGCATTTTCCCTTTTTGATGGACGCGTATCTCCCAGGACTCTCCAGGCCGTTTGAAATCCCCGCTTAGTGTTCAATACAGGTCGCATTGGCATAGTGATAAGCTTTTTCTAAATGTCTTAATTTATTAACTCATTTTGGTGGCCGGTTTTCTATCTGGGCGAGTTGTTTGTCTTTCTCATGCGGGTGATTAGGGCGATATATTTCTGTAATCAAAGCTCCACTAAGTTCATAAGTAGCGTCCACTTTCACACCCCAATTGACAATGCTTGGGATGAAACAACCTCTCAAGGAAGAGGCATATTTCTATTGTTGACGATAACAGGCGAAGACCATACGGACCGCTCCAGTAATCTGTCGAATTTTATGATGATCAAATAAATCAAGCTTCAAGCCCAATGACAGGCTTATAGTTATTCTCTAAAACAGGGGGCGGTTTACAATCACTACACCAGCGAGAACAGTTCTAATCACCCAGCCAACTAGATTCTAGCTATTGGCACCGTGCCAGCCCCTCGCCGCGCTATCTGCCTAGAGCCTATTGGCATCCTGTGTACTTGAGGAGAATGAGTTCCGTTTAGTTCGCTTAATCAAACCATTTTCTTCATTTTCTCGCTACGCTTCAATGCTTCATCGAGATGTCATCATCGCCGTATAGTAAGCCAGGCGCTGACTGATCGCGATCAGAGGCCTTTTCAGATAGGGACCGAGATACGGACGGCTTTAGCTCGTATTTCCTGACGTAGGCAGCCTGCTGGTTAGGCGGAGATCTAGACGGCGTTCGATTATAGGTCGAAGGATGTACAGACGGAGGAGGAGAAGGTTGTATAAATTTCGATTCGAGGGTGTCTCCCCGAAGAGGCATACACACCGTACGCAAAGGTTCATAGCGGATTGACTGTTGATAGGCTCGACCGAAGCCGTCGACCATCTTAAGCTTGTCTTGCAGCTCTTGCGAGACATCATGGGCCTCGCAAAGGCTGCAATCAGGCGACATGAAAATACCCACCTCGGCAAACAAATCTTCACCCCAATGATATGCGCGGACTGTGTCGACCTTCAATATCAAATCGGAATGCCGAAGGGTAAGAACACGATTTCCTGAACCAAGCTTGGCGAGGCTCCTAATTCGCAAAGCTCCAGAAACTCCGAACGTACAGTGCCAATCCAGGTGACGATAATGGCAGAGGCGATAAGCATAGCACCAGCAAGATCAACCCACTATTTCAACTTAGCACCAGCCGCAGCAGTGAAGATGGCGAATCCATACTCGAAGCAGTCATTGCGGTTATCCTCCCAAATCATTTGCACTTGACTACTATGTCTCCGAAAGATGAAGCAATAGACGGCTAAGAAAAGTTTGATGCCAAATCCGCATGCAGCAGCGACAATGGCGGCCACTTCGAATTTCCCAAGCTCGTGTGAGCTGCTGGCCAGAGCGTGGATCGACTCGACGACCAGAACTAGTGAAACAGCCATCAAGGCAAAGGCAAAGCAGATGTTGCTAGCATTGCAGAGTCTCCCTGCGCCAACCGGTTACCGGGTTGAATCGCTGAGTTTCTTGGATTTCCGGTGAAGGTAATCGAGGCCGATGTTGCTCAGAGCATCGCAGCAACTCTCTGCCGTGGTAACAAAGAGTGATAATGAGCGTGTCGTAACGGCTGCATATATCTGCAGAGCTGCGACGACAATGGTGCCATAGATGGAGAGGTAAATGGCGGCTTTAATGTGAGAAGGCGACGAATCCGCTCGATCGTCTAGTAGACGCGTTGAAGTCGGGTCCTCTACTACCCGGATAAGACGATTGATGTGCGAATTTTGTGTCGTGTGATAGATATGTGCCCAGAGCGTTCTCCGCTGAGTAAATCTTCTCAACCGAATGTCTCTGGCGCGCTTACAAGGGACTCTTGCGGCCGCTCGAACTCGATATCGCTCACCATCGGGAGTGCTCGTGTTGACTGTCAGATAGATCGACTACACAAGGATGCTGCAATTATCCAAGAGTGGATGCTGGATGAATCTGCGCTAGGAAACGATGGGAATCAGTTGCCTTTAATTCGTGGCATACGTTCGGCTTATAAGAAAAATCGCGTACCTGCCAAGACGGTTGGAATTTCCTTTCTCCATACATACGCGCCTTGAGATTAGTCAGGGTGGGCTATTTCTTATCTAGTTGGAAGTGGAAACGACAATTGACAATAACTCATTACACACTAGTCAAACTAAGGGTTGAGAAAGAAAGTATGAGTCGGGTATCTATGGGATTTCCGAGTTCTGCTGTATTGTTGTTGAGCTGGCTTCAGATAATGTCGTGAGATGCCTAGATATGCGTCCCTAATTATATTGAATTGATGAAATTCAACCATAACCCGGCTGTAGTCCGGGAAATCTTGCAAGAGCGCCCCTTGAGCTATCTACCACAAGAAGTAGGTATCTATTCTTAAGCAGCGATGACATACCACGTGACACACAATTAAGATCCCCAATGTGGAAGGCGCGACCCGGGGCACTCCACGTGACCACGCGCCGACAAACGCGTTCCAGCACCAGCATCCAACCACCACTGGATTACATCGGCCAGCGCGGGGATCGCGATTCAGCCAATGTGCCAATATGTCCTACTATGACATTGACTCCATCTTGACCGATGCCCAGGTGAATTAAACCTCCCGGATTTGAGGGCTCGTTGTCCAGGTTAATTCGTGACTTGCTAACATGGTCGGCTCTAGAAACTTCCCTGCACCTTTGAGTTGGAAGTTCCCGGACTGGGAATCCTAGAGGGTAATCCAGGCGAAGACGTAAGTCCTCTAATCCTGAAAGGGTTCATCTGTGTTTGATTTCTAACACAGACCAGATCAAAGCGGGGACCCGCCTCGACCTGCCACTATGGCTGGGTGAAATGCTTTCAATCGGGTGAGATCTCGATCCTAGGATTCTTCGACAAGACGGTCTTTCAAGCTCTATTTTCTGACAGTTGAGGTATCACTCAGTGCCCGACTAGGGACGTCCCGTCTAGTCACGCTGGATATGCCGGACGCACTGGCAGAGCGGGTAATGAACGCGCTCAAGGCTGATCCTCGGACTGTTGATTTGCGAGCACTGGCGCCGCATTTCTACACTTTGAGCGAGCGCATTCTGGAGATCTTTGAGGAAGAGGAGATGGTTGATGTGTTGATTGATGTATCTTTTATTCCCAGATCCGATTCGAGAATCGTCTGTCTTACTAACCATCAAATCTAGACCTTTAAGAAGCGGGCAGCGGAAATTTCCGACCACGCTCATAATCCACGAGGGGCGGTCGGCGAAGGAGTGGACTTCTTGCGTGGACTTGATGAAAGTGAACGGCAGTGTAAGTGGCTTGAGGATGTCCTGTGATTGATGGCTATGATGACTGACCATTCCTAGTATTCCGCGCGGCCCATGATCGGGCGAAGCAGGTGCGGATTTGGGCGGGAGAAGCGAAGAAGAAATGATCATGGAGTCCAACTTACGGAGTACTTGCCATGTGTCAATGAATGGGACTGGTCAACTCGGACTGAGCTGTGCTCGTCGATTTGAGTTGAGATTGACCCGTTGCCTACTAATGAGATCTATCGTGCGGGGATCAGGATAGAGAATCAATAACATAACCTAACCTAAATTATTGTTTCTATACTCTACTAAAGAATAGTTGCGATACAATAGATCAGCAGTACGAGGTTGCTTTATTATAACACCCAGTGACATTGCTATCTACAGTAATAGACGGTGAAGTGGGCAGTTTAGATCTCAATGCCAAGCCGTTATTCCAGCCTCGCGTGTCGCAGATCGTGATGTGGAAAATGGCGGGCAGCCCTGGCAGCCGCCTTACGTTAACTAGGTCATGATCAATCTGCTTAACTAATACGACGTCGGAGAGTGGAGAGCGTACCAATGGCTTGCAGTCCCTTGTGGTTATAGTGGACGAACATACTTCGCCTCCACAGCTCAACATATCCGCAAAGGATCCCTAAGCTTCTACGCGCTATACAGTACTATGTCACCCCATACACGGATCTTATAATAATGAAGTTTTCTTGAGCTTTATATTACTCAAAATCCGCGACATTTATACCTAATCTGTTTCCTCTTCAACCACAACGTTTGCACGCCGGAAATGACCTTCCGCACTTTCTCTTTTCGCCCCGACGATATCTAGGCTCCATTCAAGAAATTCTTTGAAATCTTGACCTGTATAATGTTGCCAATTCCGCCTTACGAATGCTTTGAGTTCCGCGAAGAATTCCTCAATCTGGTTTAAGTCAGGCGAGTACGGTGGCAAGTACAACAGCTTAACACCAGCATTTAAACATAGTTCTGCTATTTGTTCAGTACAGTGAAAAGACGCGTTGTCCATAATAAGAACGGAATTTGGCTCCGGCTATCTACCACAATAATAGAGAAGCTGTTCAATAAAGTCCTCAAATATACTCGCGTCTGTCGACCCTTAGAAAATTCGCGACATCAAGATGCTATCTTGAAAATATGCCCGGAGAATTTAATACCGCTAGCCGCGCTGGAAACAGGAGAACTAGACAGGTATCACCCCGCGTAGGGACTAGCCGGTCCTTCTGAAGCCAGCCCGTTTTGTCACAGCGTAATGAAGACCAGGTGATATAAGCGAAAATCGAGAGCTGATGCAGATAATAATCTCTCAAATCCGCATTTCGTTCTTGTGCTATTCGTCGAGCCACCTTTTAGTCCAACCCTGCGATCGAATGGCTCGACTGATAGTGTATGTGGATACAAGCAGTTCAAATTCGTCATGTAAGAAATCTGCCATTTCGTCCAGGTATAAATCCGGTTTCTCTAACAAAAATTCGCACAGTGCTTCGAGCACAAACGGTGTGATCATACGAGGACGACCACCAAGGATTAAGGGTGCTCGAACATCGCCGAACATTCGGAGGTTGCTACTGATGGTTATGATCGAACGTTTGCTGCAGCTAGCCGCTTCTGCCATCTCTTAGGTAGTTAGCGATCTGCTGTCAATCATATCACGGATCATCACCAGCTGGGAGGTGGCAAGCCGAGGCGCCATGATGGTCTTTGTCGCGCTGTTACATCGCGCTGTTACTCGAAGAAGTTGGTGAGGCTGGCAAGGGAGGAAGGCAACAACCTGGGTCTTCTGGGTCGGTTCGGGCCGACTGTCCAGCCGAAGGCCCACCCAGCCATTGCACCAATAGAAATGAGCCTTTCAAAATAGCCGCAACTCTGTTGGCGGCTGCCCCTCTTTCTCAAGCTTCAAGCTGAAGAATTCCCTGGTTCCGCTTAATCTCATCGTTTCCACCTAATCTCATCATCCTCCCGTATATCTTGAGACATTCAGAGCCCGCAAGTTTGGTTAGACAACTCAAGTGCCTTGCCTCTGTACTGATATAATGAACCGACCTCAGCCAGGAGACCCCGATTCAACGGACTCCTACACGGTAGCATGGATCTGTGCCCTAGAAGAAGAATATTTCTGTGCATGCCGTATGCTTGACGAAGAGTTCACCGGGCCGGAGATCAGTGAAGATCATGATGATAACACGTACGTCTACGGTCGTATTGAGAAGCATTACGTGGTGATTGGTTGTCTTCCAGCCGGTCGGTATGGCACCAATTCAGCTGCCCGTGTTGCCCGAGATATGGTTCGAACGTTTCCACATCTACGGTTCGCACTGATGGTAGGGATCGGAGGCGGCGCTCCGACCGCCCGAAATGACATCCGATTAGGGGATGTTGTCGTGAGTCAACCAACAGATGAATTCGGCGGAGTGATACAATATGATCTGGGCAAGCTCAAAGATGGTCGGTTCCAGAGGACAGGTCAACTCAACGCGCCGCCCGAGAAACTTCTGGGAGTTATTCCGCAGATGCGTCGACTATTCAGTGATAAAAAGAAGCCGGACAGACTCGCAGAACATCTTCAGCGCCTTGATGATATGGAAGATTATCAACGCCCAGCCATTGACCAACTTTATGCCATCGAATCCACGCTGGTGGATGGAAAAGCTTGCGATGAAGGTGCTTCACACTCGGTAGTGGTCCGCCCAGACCGCCGCAACCACCGTGTATTCCATGTTCACTACGGAAATATTGCGTCAGGAAATACTGTGCTAAAGGACGCTGTCGTGCGAGACAAATATGCAAACGATCCAGAGCTGAATATCTTGTGCTTTGAAATGGAAGCTGCAGGCCTGATGAATACAGTCCCATGTCTGGTAATACGCGGAATCTGCGATTACTGTGACTCTCACAAAAATGATGCCTGGCATAAATATGCTGCGCTCACTGCTGCTGCGTATGCACGAGACCTACTCTTGGTTTTACGACCGCAACGTGTGGATGCTATGGCTCCTTGGGCCGAGAGAGTAGCTCAAGAACTTCAGTAAGGTTGGGACCCAAAATTCTGATTTTCTATCTCCGTATGGTTTGCCGTGACTCCATATTATATAAAATGGATATTACAGTCTATCTTTCAGGCCATCCTACGCTTCACTCGAGTAAGTGTACTAACAATATCTAGTTACTCAGGCATGCAGTAATCTCAATAACACCCAATAGTAGTATACAGTTGGGTTGGTCACCGTGAAGTCCATATCACTGACGTTGAATAGAACCGTTCTGATGAGGGTTGAATGTTTGGACCAGAAGATTGATTGGGGCAAGTTGTCGGCGCTTCAAGCGGCAGCATTTGACTCGTCTGCCAATCAACATGAGAATAAATGTCTTCAAGGCACCAGAAACGAACTTCTTTTCCAGATCGCAGAATGGGCAAAATCGCCCCGGGCGAAAGCTATTTTTTGGCTGAATGGTAGGGCTGGAACAGGAAAATCAACAATCGCCCGAACAGTGGCAAGAACCTTCCAACAGGCAAAGGTTCTAGGTGCTAGCTTCTTTTTTAAAAGGGGCGAAGAGGACCGAGGAAACGCCATGAAGCTTTTCCCAACAATTGCTAGGCAGCTGGTGACTTCTATCCCTCAGCTGATCCCAGCTATCCAAGAAGCCATCAACGATGAACCCGACATTACGGGAAAATCACTAAAATCACAGTTTGATAAACTAATTCTCCATCCATTACTGAGTTTAAAATTAACAAGTCGTCCGGCTCCAACTATAGTGATAGTTATCGACGCATTGGACGAGGGCGAACGGGATGAGGAGATGCGAATAATTGTCCAATTATTACCCCTGCTACGCAAATCAAAAGCTGTGTGTCTGCGAGTATTTCTCACGAGTAGGCCTGAATGGCCCATCCTTCAAGAATTCGCAAACATCACAACCCGTGAGCATGAAGATCTGATTCTCCATGAGGTTCCTGAGCCAGTTGTACGGCATGACATATCCTTGTTCTTGGAGTCTCGACTGTCCGAGATTCGAAAAACTCGTTCTCTGCCTAATAGTTGGCCTGGAGATATGTATTTCCGCCGTCTTGTGAGTTTATCAGTTCCGTTATTTATTTTCGCCGCTACTGCCTGCCGTGTATTTGAGGACCCTCACTGGGACCCAGATAAGAGTCTGAAAGAGATCCTTGCACATACGAACGATGGATCTGAGTTCAAGGCAACATATTTCCCTGTGATCAATCGGCTTCTTAAAGGACAAACGAAGAGGAAGGAGGGGATACTAGTGCACGAGTTCCAGGAAATTGTTGGCACCATCGTGATGCTTGAGAGTCCACTCTCAGTCATTTCTCTTTCACAGTTTATTGGACTGCCTAAGGAACACATTGATCGGAGACTGGACATGCTACACTCAGTGCTTGACATATCAAAAGATCCCACTCAACCGGTGAGACTGTTCCATCTATCCTTCCGAGACTATCTCCTTGATCACGAAACCCGCGAGAAAACTCCCTTCGGGCTGGACCCAAAAGAGATGCACTATAGGTTGACAGTGAAATGCCTTTCTCTGTGTGAGAGTCTGCGAAAAAATATATGTGCACTGTCAAGTGATGCAGCATATCGTACAGAGCTTGATCGTCGGAAAGTCGATGATTACCTTCCTGCTGCATTACAGTACGCCTGCAAATATTGGGCTCATCATCTTGTTCAATGCCAAAATTTGAATAATGTGATGCATGATGCATTTTTATTTCTTCAGACGCACTTTTTGCACTGGGTAGAAGCCATGAGCCTACTAGGTCTCACGTCGGCAATACTTGGTATTCTTGATACCATCCAAAAAGGAATATCGGTAAGTTCAGAAGATAGTCATACTGTACATGACTTGAACTGATGGATTTAGGGCGAAGAGTCAACCTCGGTTCTGAAATTCCTTCACGACGCAACGCGCTTTGTTCTGAAAAATCACCAGATAGTCGATAAAGCACCGCTTCAAACTTATTGCGCAGGATTGATATTTGCACCTCGAACGTCAATAATTCGTACAGAGTTCAAGGTAGACCTTCCTAGTTGGGTAGGCCAATTGCCACACGTTCGCGAAAGGTGGAGTGCAGAATTACAGTCTCTCGAGGGCCATTCGGGCTGGGTTCAGTCAGTAGCTTTCTCGCCCGACGGCCGGCTGCTTGCGTCCGGCTCTGTAGACAAGACCGTGCGGCTCTGGGACCCGGCCACGGGCGCCCTGCAAGAGACTCTCGAGGGCCATTCGGGCTCAGTTTTGTCAGTAGTCTTCTCGCCCGACGGCCGGCTGCTAGCGTCCGGCTCTCGTGATAAGACCGTGCGGCTCTGGGACCTAGCGACGGGCGCCCTCCAAGAGACTCTCGAGAGCCATTCGGACGAGGTTGAGTCGGTAGCATTCTCGCCCGATGGCCGGTTGCTGGCGTCCGGCTCTCACGACTACACTGTGCGGCTCTGGGACCTAACGACGGGTACCTTGCAAAAGACTCTCGAGGGCCATTCGGGCTGGGTTCGGTCAGTAGCTTTCTCGCCCGACGGCCGGCTGCTAGCGTCCGGCTCTCACGATTACACTATACGGATCTGGGACCCAGCGACGGGCGCCCTACTAGAGACTCTCGAGGGCCATTCAGGCTGGGTTCAATCAGTAGCCTTCTCGCCCGGCGGCCGCCTGTTAGCGTCCGGCTCTCACGATTACACCGTGCGGCTCTGGGACCTAGCGACGGGCGCCCTGCAAGAGATTCACGAGGGCCATTGGGGTTCGATTGAGTCGGTGGCCTTCTCGCCAGACGGCCGGCTGCTGGCGTCCGGCTCTGTAGACAAGACCGTGCGGCTCTGGGACCTAGCGACGGGCGCGCTGCAAGAGACTCACGAGGACCATTCGGGCTGGGTTTTGTCAGTAGCCTTTTCGCCCGACGGCCGCCTGCTAGCGTCCGGCTCTCACGATAACACCGTACGGCTCTGGGACCTAGCGACGGGCGCCCTGCAAGAGATTCACGAGGGACATTCGGGCGAGGTTTTGTCAGTAGCCTTTTCGCCCGACGGCCGCCTGCTAGCGTCCGGCTCTCACGATTACACTGTGCGGCTCTGGGACCCAGCGACGGGTGCCCTGCAAAAGACTCTCGTGGGCCATTCGGGCTCGGTTTTGTCAGTCGCCTTCTCGCCCGACGGCCGGCTGCTGGCGTCCGGCTCTCACGATTACACCGTGCGGCTCTGGGACCCAGCAACGGGCGCCCTGCAAAAGACTCTCGAGGGCCACTGGGGTTCGGTTTTGTCAGTCGCCTTCTCGCCCGACGGCCGGCTGCTGGCGTCTCATAACACCGTGCGAGTCACCGAATTCCTATTTTTTCAAGATGGTTCACTTCTAAACACCAACTTAGGCACCTTTGATGTTCAGTCGGGGCGCGAACGTCATGCTTCTAATTCAATCCGTAGGAATCTGGCCATTTCTATTAAGCACCGACGGTGGATAACCCTGAACGGTGAAAAGGTACTATGGCTTCCTCCGGACTCTCGGCCTAGTTGTTCCACGATTAATGGTGATAAAGTCGCCTTGGGACACAAATCAGGGCGGATTTCCTTCCTAGAATTTCGTCTATAGCAGGCGTCAATGATTTCCAAGTTCTTTCCTTCCCCCATTTTCTACTCTCATTTGTAAAAGAAAGGCTTAGCAGAAAAACAGCATTTATTTGGCCTTGTCGTGCGAATATGTGCGATAAAAATCCAAGAGGTTCTAGATCCTATACAGTCCATCGCGTTGTGGCTTGCGACCATTAGATAGCAGGTTAATGACAAGAGCTGGAAGGTTCTACACAGCGGAAAGAAATAGTACATACTAATACCCGACTAAACTGCACCCCTTTTCAGACTAGAGTCTTAAAAGTGGGGCCCAGAATCAAGTCAAGTATGTAGAACGGTGAAGCTGGTTTTGCAGTCAGCTATACGGAGTAGTTAGCTTTGAATAGTTATCTCTAGTCTTTTAAATACATGATTGGTGATAAGTTGTCAAAAACCTGTGGCCATCATACTGAGAGTCTGTAGCCAAGCGACGCACTGCCCGATCGTTGCTTTTTCCCTGCGTACCGCCGATGAACGGTTTGCGGCATCCATGGGTCGCACTGGCGTGGGAAGACGGGAATGGTGGGGACATACTCCGTACAGGGTAGAGTTTTATCGAGAGAGCGATAGTTCGATTGCTAAAGACAAAAGAAAAGAAGTACGTACATAACAGGGGTAGAGGGTGATAGTTGAAACCAAGTTGATGGATAGGAAAGGGATTCCTGGTGGCGGGTGATGTGTAGATTCTGCTTACTTTGTAGAAGCAAGTGGTTACTTATTCTTGCGATAGTATTGTATATTGTAGTATGACAGGACTAACAGTGGTGATGAATACAATTCTGAATTCTGGTTACTTTCCACCAAGTCTAATAAAGTTTGTGAGGAATGGAAAGAGTGTTTCATTTATCCCAACTTTGAGGTCTTCCCCCCTTTAAGAGTCCAATGGCAAGGATGGATCCTGTTCGGCAATTCCCAAAAGTAAGGGAAACTGAGACGGTCTTGCCCCGCGGGGGGTCATCCGATTGGTTATATTTGATGCCAGGAACAGCCACTAAACCGACCAGAAGAAGTAATTTAGTTAGGGGGTGATCTAGCCTGCGTCTCGCCGAACAGAAGGCTGGCTAGAGTCTCGGTTTTTTTATCATCATTTCATCATCGTTCAGTTTCTTGTCTAGTGATTCGATCAAGTACTGTACAGTGTATGTACCAAGCGTTCGGTATACCGTATGTACTTACTTTTGACAGTCTAACGGTTTCTTCTTTCCTCCCTCATTATTCCATTTTCTCTCATTCCAGTCCCTCTGGACTCTTTAGCCCATAGCAACAACAATTCTCTGGTGGCTTAAGCAGCAGTCCTAATTCCCCTCCGTACCTTCCTTTTGATTTCCTTCAACCATCTCCATGGCTGTATGGCTGTTCAGGGCAATACAATACCTCCGATAGTAGTTTCTTGACTCGTCACATTGTCCACCGTCGACGATCCCCTCACCTCGGCCATCCCTATCCATCACTTTTCGGTTCCTCCTCCATAACCACAATTCACTGCCAGACTTTCCCAACTGCATCCGATCATCTGCAAGTGGCAGTCCCTGACTGGTCTCGCCCGTGTGGATTAAAAGAGGGACTCATCTCATTTGGATTTTCTTTTCACTCCTTGGGTACACTAGTGGCCCTAAACCTTCAATTGGCTCCACTCCAGGTTCGCCGCCGCTATCGACCTTGACGTGATTGCTGCCCTTTCCCTTTCGATTGTGCATCCCTCGCTTCGCGCAGTCAACCGTCGACGCCGTGGTGACGGGGCAACCCTCCACAGCCCTCCGATCATCCAATACATTGTCTGACGCCCATCCAATACATTGTCTGACGCCCATCCAATTGCGGCTTCCGGGTGTGCGACTCCGTCAATTAATCTTCCGATGCTGGTGGGGGAACTGCTGCAATCTGCTGCTGTTGCGCTGCCCTGATTTGTCCCGGACGCAAGTGGTGTAGGTCCCACGGCCCAACTGGGTGATTATCGCTGCGTCAAGTATGCGCATTAGTCGGATATGGATGCAGCTATGAAGGATGCGAAAACTCAAAGGCGCAGCTCAGCCGCCCCGGCGGCCGCTGCTCAATCGACACGCTCGCGAGACCTGGTATATCATACCGAGACCGCTCCCACCACCCGCAGGGCCTCTTCGAAATGTCATTCAAGCCGTATGTTGGCTATCCCATCTTGTCTAGACCTCATTGACCTACACCTCGACCCATTGAACTGACCGTATACTCTTCCTTGATACAGACAACCCTGAGAATACCTCCGAACGTCCACAACACCCATCGCTTTCCCGTGTCAAGGGCAGAAGCAATATGTACACTCCACCGCGGCTTACAAGCGAGGTCTCATGGCTGAGGGATTCATCTCCAGTCCATTCTGGGACCAGGACGCCTCCTCAGCAGTGCAGTATGTCTCCTTGGACGGTCTTGGATGACCCTGATGAGATGTCAATGGGGCTAATGCATGACCACCTCTCAGAAACCCCGGATATTGGAACCCCGACCTTAGTCAACCCGGCATCTACACTCCTACAAGACCTCCTTAAGGAGCAGCGAGCACATCGCAGCTCCCGAGGAACTCTCCCCGAAGATTGGGAGGATCTTGGTTCTCGAACACCGGATGGTTCACGGGTGCAAGATGACTCGGTATCGGAGAAGGCACGGAAAGTGAGCGAAGCTATCGCAACCGGGCAGCGCCAACCGAAGGAGATGGGCATGCGAGAGATGGATCAGGTGGGTCTCCCTCGTTGAACCAAGATCTGGGCACAAAACTGACCTCCCGTCTCAGTACGTTTCAAAAATGAACAAATTGAATTTCGACCTGAAGCTCGAGATTCACCACCGCTCAGAGCAGATGAGGCAGATGCGGGAAAAGGTCCAGCGCATGGAGGCGATGGAGGCTGAGCTCCAGCGCATGCACAAGTTGGAGGAGGAGGTTGTAGAGCTACGAAATGTGGGGAAAAAGAACCAGCGCCTGCGTGAGGAGAATGAGCTACTGAGTCAAGAGCTTGAGAAACGGAACGTGGCTGTCACCGAGGCGGTTCAACTTATTTGCCAGCTCGAGGCTAAGATCGATGAGCTCGAGTCGGGTGGACGGACGTCGCAAATGTCCATGAGCCGGCTGGTGCTTGATGGTCCCAGTGCCTCGACACCCAGAGGGCAGATTGCGTTTGAGATTCCCGAAAGAACTTCATCGAAGCGGAATTCAGCTGCCCTGACACGATCCCTTCAATCGCGGTCTGCCGAACTGCACCAGCTTACGAAAGCTCCGTCTTTCCTACGAACCGAGAACCAGAGCACGGCGACTCTGCGCAGCCTCTATGCTCCCGAGAATAATATTTCTCAATCGGCTATGAGCGCTTTGACCAAGTCCGAGAGCTTCAATACTTTGAATGGCTCGCCCGAGTCACCTCGACTCAGTGTGCTAAGTGAATGCAGTGAGCTGAACCCTATGGGTTCCGCCTCGGAATGGGATGAATGCGATCAGCTTGATATTCCAGTCCGTCGAGCTTCGTCCACGATCAGCAGCGTGGATAGTTATGTCCCCCATACCGAGCGCGAGGAGAGCAAGGATTACCAAATTGATCGCTGGATGGGCTCGCAGCCAGATGCATGCGATACAATCATCAGACGACGACAGAATCGGGCCATGGCTGTCGCTTCGCACAGTGTAGGCCCGACATTTGGCGGAGAATTGTACTCGAAGAAGTCCACACGCGGACGTCCTCCACTGGATGCCCTTTTCGGAGGGGCAAGACTGCCCCCGACTCCTGACACAATGAGCACAGCTGGTCCACCTGTCAACAACGGTTCTAATGGAAGCATTGCAGCGCAGAGAAGCCCTAGCCGTGGACAAGGCCAGTGGTTTGCAGGACGACCTGTCGAGCGTCATCGTTCCGCTGGCGAACTTACATCCAGGCGGAGCTTCAACGAAGGCGAAAGTGTACAGACGAATTGCAGTGACACGCCTCGCCTTGGTACAACCAACCCTTGTTCTCCAACTTTCCTACCATACATCAACGTTGCCAACAAAGCAAGTGAACTTCTCGGGCCTGGCAGCCCTAACCATCCATCTTCCCAGTACTTAGGCGATCCGTTCCACCAGATCAGCAATGAAGATGAGATGCCTTCGACAACGATACACCACGAAACTCCCACCAAACCTCGCCCAAAGTCTGTCAGTCCTGACTTTGAAAGGTCCGACAGGTGGGAGTCACCCTCTCCTCCTCTCACGCCCACCGACTGGGTTGCGGCGGCGAAGCAGGGCCCTCGCTCACGTAAAGACCCCAATCCACCTCGAACAATCAGCCAAGCAGCCTTCCATGACGACCAGAGCGTCTCCTCCTTCCCAACTGAACCCGATACCCCAAGAATTCCAACCCTTGACATGAACACGCTTGATATTCTCGAGCATGATTTTGCGAAAATGCCAATGACAGAAGGCGCAAAGCTCGAGTCCGAGCCTGAGCCTGCGCCGGATACTCGACGTCGCATCAGCTTCAGACCTCGCCTTTTCCACCGTAATAACAATACCAAACATACTCAATCTTCCCCAATCGCCAATGCTATCGACGATGACGACGAAGAAGGCGCCCCATCACCTATTATTCCGAAGACCAGGACAGTGGGCAATGCGCGCCGCCGACCTGTATCGCAAATAATCACCAACTCTGCAGACACATATTCCTCCAGCCTACCAAACTCACATAGCCTTGGTACTCCATTCGAAGGAAAATCCTTGCACCAGTCGCTCATGGAATCTCGGAGCACCGCCATCTCCATGAATGGCGCAGCCACCATCTCAGACCGCCCGACCACGTCGCACAGCACGGACACTCACAAGCGCCGCAGCTCACTGAGCATCTTTGGGTGGGTGAAGGGTATGGCCGGGAAACGCTCTGAGCCTGCCACACCCGTGAAGGCGGAGAAGGGCAAAGCCAAGGAAAACGACCCGTCTGCCTGGTCTGTGCAAGACGAACTTGCACGCTCCGAGACCTCAGACTCATTCGATGCACCCGTTGTGCGCCCACGCTCGGAGATGACCATGCACTCAGATGATCAGGGACGTCGGCCTCGATATGTCAGTCGACACTCGCGACGAGTTTGAAGTGCTCAATTGCTGGCCTACGTTGCCGCCGCCATTTTCTCCGTGACATGAAGAATCCTACGATGTACTTATAGATACCCATACCCCCTTCACACATGTATACCACACCACACACCCACCGGGACAGGTTCCCTTGTTTCTGGGTGCTGATTCGATATTCCCAACTATTTGTCGCTCCTTACTCATCACCAAGCGTCAGCAGTCATGCTTTCATACGCCCCTTTCATTTGTTACGTTGACACGTGGATGGACTTGTGATTTTGAATTGCGATTGCGAAGTGCCTGTCCTGCTGGTTCGGGATTGGTGCTCTATGTTTTTATGGAGTATTTTGAAACCAAAATGGGAATGCGAGTATCTAATGAGTGTCTATGAAGTTGACAATTGAATTACTGTTTCATTCTTCACAGTGCATCATTTAGCGTTTGTTCGAGTAAGATTCTTTTCGTTTTAAATAGAAAACAATATACCACCAATTCCATCTAATTTGCGCCTGGGCTGTCCATCTGATTCATGCCTGCATGTTTTCGAGATTCACCAGTTTTTCTCACCTTCAAGAGCCCTATCACTACGAATCACCATTTCAATCTGGGATCGACCAACCAAACGCCGTACCACACCAAAAATAACACCAAACCATGAGTTGAGACCATACAAAGCTCCTACAACAAGAACCAACCAAAACCAACAAATCAATACCAACCATGCCCACTTTCACCCAATTTCTTTTTCTTCGGATTCATCGAAATAACCCGCTGTCCAGGCAGAGTATCCGCCGTAAACGCCGCCTCAAAGATACTCGCAATGCCCCGCTTCGCATAATGCTTATGCGCAAAGGAATCATAATCATCACGCAACCCATTAACAGCGCCCCACTCCAGTCCAGCCGGGGTAGTTCCATCGCCCAGATCTGACCAGCGTGTCACGACGATAGCCTGCCTGAACACCATTCCGCGCGGGTCACTCTTATCCTCGGACAGTTTTACCTCGATCAGATATTCGGATGGACACTGTGGACAGCGACGCATGGGTCGACAGAATCCACATAGCGATGTTAGTGCATTCGGATCGTAGCGGCCTCCCTGCCATCGGTCTTTGACTTTGTGTTCTAGGCCTTGGAGACCGGCTGTTTCGCGGGGTCGGGGGATGTGCTCGAGGGCGCATTTGCAGACGGGCATGAGCTCGCCGTCGCGCCAATGTGCGCACGCGGAGAAGTAGGGCCAGTAGTCTTCGCGTGAGTAGAGGAGGAGACGCTGGGCGGAGGGGGTGAGTGCCGGCGCGGCGAAGGTTTGGCTAATGACGCGCATGAGTAGTCGGCCTTCGTGGATGTAAAAGCGTGATGTAAATGACCACCCGTCGCGGGTCCAGCGGCGGCCGAGGTCTTCGGGCTGAATACCGTATTGAGGGCCGAAGCGGAATGCGCGCATGGTGAGTTGTACGAATGTGAAGGGTATTGTGCGGCCGTGGGTGATGCGGCTTTTCGGTTGCGGGTTCAGCGCGTTTCGGACGTTGGGACAATCGAAGAGCGGGTTGATGACGTGGGCTGGTTTGATGCGTTCTTGGCCTTCTTGTGTGCGACGGTGGTATCGTGCGCATGGGAAGCAGAGTAGGTGATGGGGTAGGGACTTGTCAAGCCCAATGAGGAAATTAAGACGGTGGTCGGCGTTCTCTGGCCTTTCCAATGCCACGAACGATCTTGTCCCCAGCCGGCGGAATAGCGTGATACTTGCAAACGCCAGACTCGCTGCATCGGCCGGGTTCAAGAAACTGGCAATGTATTTCCACACCCCCGGAGATAATTTTGCAATATCACCCTCCCCAGGCTGCCGACGCTCATTCTCAACCTGCGCAGGCCCATAGCTATCATCCGGCTCCAACAGTCCCAGCGAGTGTAACATGGTGGTATAGTCACGACGCTCCCCCAATTGCGAGTCCAGCTGCACATGTGCCTGCGCATACTTCAGCCGGTGGGCCTGGAGAGGCGCCAAGTCGGGCATTGGCGGCGGGGGTTCATCGGCGCTAGATCGTGCGGCCAGCCGCAGGTCGGTCATGGAACGGCTCAGGCTGTTCTTGCGGAGGGTTTGGCGGGATTTCTTGGATCGTAGGGCATTGGAGAAGAATGACCGGATACCCGGCTTGTGACCGGGGCTTTCGGCGGACATGGTGGAGGACGACGGGGGGTGAAGGACTAGAGAAGAGGTGTCGAGGACTCGAGGTCGAGGTTCACTTTGCGGCTCTCCCGAAGGACCCGTTCCCGAATTTCCAGCGGGACGATTTCGGTGACGCGCTTTCATACGCTAAACACGGCCCGCGGTGGGTCTGATACGCCACAGGGTGTGGCTGGAGCTTGTTCTATAAGATATCAAGAAGCCGTGGTGAAGAAGCAGCAGCAGCATAGCAGGATTAAATCGAATACAATTAACAACCAAAAAAATGAACAAAGATAAAAGAAGGAGACCGAACCCGGGCCGCCCAGCCTGGTTTCCGAGGCCGCTAACTCCGCCCCACTGGCCGTCCGGTACTGGTTAACAAGACGATCATGGGGAGAGCGTTGCCGATTATGCGAGTGATCGACCCCACCCGGTTTCGAACCCCTCCCACCCGCTGGAGGAGTGCGATGACCTAGCTGTTTTACCAACTAGGCCACCTCAGTGGTCTTCTTGAAGGTTGGGGGGTTGAATCCCTACTTAGCCTGTCATGGCAAACAAACTGCGTTAGTGAAACCCCCACCGACTCCACCCGCTCCACCTTGGCATATCATCATATCGCTATTTCTGTACACATGGAGTGACCGGCTTGATATTTCAAGGTTGGGACTGATCCCTTTGAGGCCACCATGTTGGACTTTATATGGGACTTCATGACATACAAGGTCGAGCCCGGTAATGCGAAAGATTCAACTACCGAGTGGCTACATAACACGTAGGTCCCTTCTGCCAGGAATCTTCGAGCAGAGAATTTTCGAGCGTATAATTAGCAAGATCTCTCTCTGAAGATACCCATTCGACGCAGTTCACGAAGGGAGATTGCCCATACTCAGACATATCGCTGACTTGATCCTCTGACTCGAAGGATGGAGATCCAGATTTCAACTCATTCCTCACAGACGCTGGAAGAAAGGGATCCGCAGTGCATGAATTCATTGGGTTCCAATAATCCCAAGCATAGCCACGGTAATGGAGGCATGACTCAAAGCCCCTGTGTCCGAAGCTCCCTAGAGTCTTCTGGCACCAGTCAAATTTCTTGCATGTCCCGAGATTGATATAAGCTTTACAAGCTGCTGCAACCCAAAACATTACCATGTGAGGGCCCAGTAGTTTGTTCTTGTCCTGAGCAAAGAAAGGAACAGCTCGGATGACCTCGTCTGCATAGACTGCCACTAGGAGGTGATCTGGATCGGACACATAGTCACTACGGAACTTGCTACCGTGCTCCAGGGATCTCACAAAAGTTTGGGCTCGATAAATCATAGGTGAGACAATGACCATCGCTATCCAGTAAAAGACATGGAGGGTGGCGTTATCAAGCGAGACGAAGCTGTACGGCCTGCCGAAAATGACGTCCACCGGATCTATATCTGTGCAGCAAAATTCGTCGATCGAAATCAGGGGGCCACCACCAATGCTCTTTATCCGCTGAGCGTACCATTTTAGAAGGCTGTTTCTCTGGGCAAGGCACGCATCAAGAAGCTTTTGACAAGCTTCATGATTGGACTGATCAACCGAGTCAATGCCAGCACTGAGAGTGGTGAACTCCGCGAAGATATTGATCAATTCAACCAAGGGCCTGCCTTCACTTGGCTCACGACAGTATTCGTGTTCTTCATGACTTAAATCTCTGCCCATTGTCAAACAGATCTGAAGGTGAGAACAATTAGTATTGTCGTTCAGTAAACCAAGTGATATTGCAGAGTGCTAGCGAAACTTACTATTCGAAACTTCTGCCACTGATCATAGATAGAATTGACAATCGGATTCGTTGATCTCATATCCTGATAATGCTTCATGATTGCGTTCGTCCCTGCTATGTGTGCTAGCCACGTTTGAAAACCCTGCGGACAGTGGCAGTTCTGCCGCATGACCCAGAAGCACAGAATCAGCCAATAATTCTTGGTAAACAGTTATTTTTGGGTAGATGCCTTTATTACCTCTATTTCCTGAAAGATGACCGTAGTGTAGATAATATCATCGGTATAGATGTTTCGACATATCATGCTCGACATGCCCCGGATTGCTCGATTGTATAATTGAAGACCGTACCGTAAAAACTGGCTGTCGCTCTTTGATTTGCCGAGATAGACACAAGAAATAGCAGTGATGGCTGTCTCCAACATGTGAGTCTTTTGTGGGAGGTTGAAGAAGCTCGTTATAAGATAATGCCAAAGATCGACTCCGTATGGCGATCCAGAATAATCGATCGGAAAGTAATGGTCAATAAACACAAAGAAGATCTGCTCTCGGTTGACTGACGCAGCGTCAATAGCTGCGACTGGTGAAGAGCGAGGGAATATCAATGAATCGAGTTCCAGGTTATCCTGGCGGACCAACTCATGTGGTGACATCTTTTTCCCTTGCCGAAATGTCTCCTGGTGAACGTTGAAAATGTGGGTCTTTTGATATCCAGGGCATTCAATTCCGCGTTTAATGCATTTCCCACATTCTGGTTGTTGTCCATCACACTGTTTTTCCTTGCGATTAATTCCAATGATAAAGTGAAAGACGATAATATCATGTCCACATACCTTAATTTTGCGCCGTCTGCAGGCGCGGCAGCCTTTGGATTGCCATGGTATTCCACCCATTGTATTTTCGATTAGCATAAGCACAAACTCTATGATTGTATAGAGAAGTGGTGTTAAAGTTATGTCTTCGGAGGGAAAATATTACGCGACGAGCAGAGCCCAAGGGTACATAAATACTGGAGGCTAAACATCGGAAGTAGCGAAATAAGCGGGATCTACATGGGGGTTGGCCTTTGTGCTACTATGTACCTGATGATTCAACTTGGAAGAAATTGTTTCTGCGTTCCTTGTACTATTTGGGCTTAGTGTTCGCCCCCACCTCAAGACTAGTTCGACGTGGTTCTCGCTTCGGGATGCTTCTAGAGTTCTTAGCGTTGGCTCTTGCTCGTCTGGCGTCGCCATGCTAGCGCATAGCTTCCATGGAATAGCTGAGCGATGCTCAATTTCGGATCTCGGTGGTGTTTACAGAGCTCCTACATGGAATACTTCTCGATTTCAGCTCACAACAACGTTGGAACCTTCACACTAGAATAAAAGTGGTAATTTCGTTGCTAACATTCTATAGACCTTGCCATTCGTGGTGTTCCTTGTTAGCTGCATAGATTGACGCTTAAGCTTCGGATGCCCAACACGAAATGCATCCAAACCTTTATCTGGTGCGGATCTCAAAAGACGTTAGTGCAGTGTCGATACTTACCTAATTGGGTAATCGAGATGCTGCCCCCACAAGGCAGAGCGCCGAATGGCTGAGAGGCCCCACTTGAAGCAAAGGGCTTCATACATAATTGATACTGTACTTATGTAGTACTGTAGCCACAGGCTGTTTGATCATGTCGGCCCGCCTTCAGCCCCGTAATTTGATACCTTACTTTCTCGGTTTAGTCAATCAAAACGTGTTTCAAATGTGGAAAAGCTGTCGCTATAAGTGGTACGCTACTGGTGGGCTTGGGTTGGGGCTGTGACAATCTAGTGTGACAAGCACCCTCTCTCTTGTAAAGAGCTCGGAACCGGGGACGACTCGCTTTTTGAGGAATTTTATTGGCTCGAACCCTACAGAACACGTATTGCATGCTGTACATAGTTAGGGGCTACTCTCAACCTCTGCAGTAGGGCTGACAAGATGCAACGTACTACTTGAAGCCTGGTCATCGAGATCCGACACTGCCGATCTACAAGATTTGTTGGTGACTTGAGGCAGAGGAGAAATCAACTGCCGTTTTAGAGCTCGTAAGGCTTGCGTTGGTAAATGAGAGCACACAACGACAGACTAGCAGCTTGAACACAAAGGTTTCATTTGTTACTGGGATTTTTTTCCCTTTCTATGCCGTGATTAGCAGCCCATCAACCATTGTTTATTTCCTATCGATTCAGAGAGGCATGTTTATCGTTTCCCCATATTTCAATTGAGTAGACATCACTTGTCCTCTTCTAGGGACTTCTCCAGGTCTCTTGCCTTCTTGCGTCCAATGCCCAACTTCTTCCGCAGATTCACAGATCTAACGCGCAACGCCCTCTTGCGTCGTCGTCGAGGATAATTCACTGGGCTCTCACCCCCGTGAAGATAAGAGCATCATATACTAAGGCGCCAAACAATGCACCGCTAATATCTGCACACCATGGGCCCCAAACCCACCAGGCGTGGGTTTCCCGGAAGAGTTGGCCACCCCATCCAGCCATGAGAGCGACGAGTCGGGGTCCGAAATCTCGTGCGCAATTGAAACATCTGAAATAGAAATATGTGAGCTCATGTATTCCTCTTGTAATGGACGATACGTACCCTCCAGTATTGTAACCAAGCGCGAGAATCACAATCGAGATCAACACTCCCACGATGAAGGCGTTCATTCCCGCTCCAGGGGGTGCATTATTGTCATCTCCCAGTGCAATTATGACTCCGACTAGGATGGCACTACCAATGAATTCGGTAAAGAAGGCCGTCGCTGGATGGACAAACTGCTTTGGAGCAGTGATGAGGGCTTCGGCAGCAACACTTTTGCTTTGGGGCACTTTCGCTGTAGCCGAAACCTCAAGAATGGCATCGTGGTATATCGCGTATGCAATTCCTCCAGCAGTAATAGCGCCAAGGAGTTGTGCAGCAATGTATACTAGGGTTCGGCGGGCAGGGAGTCCTCGGAATACCGATAACGTTATAGAAATCGCAGGATTGAGATGGCCACCGGATATACCACCGGTGGTATAGATAGCGACCATGAATCCGAATCCCCAGGCGGCGCTTTGTGCAGGGTAAGATCCAGCTTGACTAGATGAAGTAAAGTTGGACAAATTAGCGCAGAGACCGATGGTCATTGCAAGGGTTGTCTGTGGTCGCGTGTATTAGAACAATTTTCTTTTTTGTACACAGTCAATTCGTGTACTTACGCCAAGCCATTCAGCTAATGGCTCTCGAAGATAATGCCGGATCTTTGACCAACTGTTGAAGAATCCATCATCTTTTTCATTTGTGGGCCGGTCCTGCCTCTCCCCAGGACCGTGATCAATCCCAGCCTGCGTGTCCTCATTGCGATCCTCTGGTAATGCACCATGACGCATGCCTGGTCTTACGGTATGAGGAAGTGGCTGAGCTAAACTCCAGACTGGGGTATCCTGCTCTTGGCCATACTGAGGATTGTAGGCTCGATAATCGTTGCTGACATAGGCGTTGCTGTTTGGATTTTGAGCATTAGAGCCTGCAATATTGAAATCTGAGTTGTTGCCAACGGCGTCGTTCTTGCTGGCGGCTTCTTGAGTGCCCTCGGGCGGCTCATATTCACTAGGTTCCACGGTATCTGCAGAGTAGTAGTCAGCATTTCTATAGATTCTTCACCTAGGATGCGAGGCATTAAAATTGAGAGTATACCTCTGACTCCGTTGTCCTGGCCAACACCCCTCGTAGAAGACATTGCCGTGGTAGCAAAATCAAGTGAGATTCTGACAGGTTGATCGAGAGCAATACTAGAAATCAGTCCATTGTTAAAGAACTCAAATTTTATATCAAATTCTAGAGCTGTAAATCTTTGGTTCGCAATCCTGGAAGCATGCCCCACTCTTTCGTCACTGTCGATCTTGAACCTTAGATAGCCAAGGATCACTTGAAAGAATTCTCATGGTATCCACTGGCGAGCTCGGCTTGACGTAGGATCGAGTGATATTGAAATTTATGATTGGCCTTGGACTGTCGTGGATATTAAGTCGATCAATATCAAGTACCATTGAGTGGTGGAATGAAGACCGTGACGGCTAACTAATTCGGGTCCAGCCGCCGCTTCTAGACTACTCTAACTGACGTCTCGGGTACTGTACTTCTCGTCATTTCTCAGGGGAGTTGTGCCCCACTCTGATCACCGGAAGCGTGCTACTATATATGCAAGAAAAGGGTGTTCTGACTGGGTCGGCATACACAGATCACTTACGAGATTAGATAGGAAGATCCAAAATCGCAACTGGAGCAGACTACTGCTGCCGGAGTATTTGGATTCATTGATTTCGTTGTTATCAAAGCCCTCAAAAGGTGTAGGGATCATCTTAGTAAAGAGTCGGGAACAGCACCTCCTATGGTGTGCTTGGTAAGAGAGTTACCAAGTCGCTTCGTGCATAGTTACGTTCCGGTGCTGGATTAGTTTTCATGTCCTCTCCAGATCTCGAGATCTTATGACTCGGCTAGGACTGTGAAGTAGGGCAAATTGATACGTAGAAAATGTCGGGGTTAAGATTGACAGACGCATGGTACAATACAGGGGTACTTTGAAGAGGTGATTTTGTGGTACGTCACTATACAAGACGCCACTTAAAAGCGCTTCTCAACAGCCTTCCAGTTGATGACCTCCCAGATGGCCTTGAAGTACTCGGCCTTGCGGTTCTGGTATTGGAGGCTAAAAGCGAGTCAGCACGAATTCAAGCTAACAATATACTCAATGCACTTACTAGTAGGCGTGCTCCCAGGCGTCAACGCCAAGAAGGGGCTGGTACTGGCCAACAACGGGGTCCTGGTTGGCATAGGTGCGGATACCGATCTGGCCGGTCTGCTTGTCCTTGACGAGCCAGGCCCAACCGCTGCCCTGAATACCAGCCAACGCGGTGTTGAACTTGTTCTTGAACTCATCGAGGCTACCGTAGGTGCTGTCGATGGCCTGGCCGAGGGAGCCGGAGGGGGGGCTCACCTCCACCGGCGCTCTTGGGGGCCAGGTTCTCCCAGAAGAGGGAGTGGTTCAGGTGACCACCGCCGTTGAAGTTGATCGCGGGCTTCAAAGCAATCTGGGCGGAAATGTCACCCTGGGCCTGGGCCTCCTGGAGCTGCTCAATGGCGTTGTTGTAGTTGGTGACATAGGTGTTGTGGTGGTTCTTGTGGTGGATCTCCATGATCTTGCCGGAGATGGAGGGCTCAAGGGCACCATAGTCGTCTATAATTTAGGTCAGTGGACTGCTGCTTGCTGTGCAATTCTGACCGGTGTAAATCCGAATACACCGAAGCACCGTAGCTTACAGGACAGGTCAGGCAGAGTAGCCTTGCCGCGGGCAAATGTCAAGCCCGCAGCTCCGGTCTTGAAGGAAGCCGAAGCTCCCGAGCGCAGGGCAACGCGGGCAGAGGTGGAGAGGAGAGCGGCCATTGTGTGTATGTGATTTCTATTTCGAAGAAATATCGAAGAAGAAGTGATATCAATTAAGTCTAGCCAGAGGAAACGAAGGGAGAGAGAAAACGGAAACCCCGAGCTAAGATATGAAGTAACCGAGCTTAACGTCATCTTGTTTTCGTCCGCCCGGAATGGGTTGTTCCGCGCCGATCTCCCCACGTGAATTTCGCTGAGCTTTGCCTATCGCAAGTTAAAGCTTACAAGCTACGAAAGGGAGCTTTCTGGACAGGGACTCGAGGTCGTGGTGACATTGTGAACACCATGGATTCTCCCTCGTCTTATGCCGGCCAAAAGCGCAAGGTCGACGATATGAGTTCTTCAGACGAAGAAGATGCGCGACCAACCACCGATTTCCGTGGCTTCGCCAGAGCCCGCGAGCGCTCCGAATCGCCTCCTTCGATGGGTGGCTTGGGCAGCGCTGCCCGCAACCCCTGGAACAACATGGCCAACGCCGCGACAGCGGTGCCACCTCGAGGTGGTGCTGCCCCCGTGGAGGAAAAGGCGCCGCTGGAAATTCGTTCGCCGCGCGCATGATGGCAAAGATGGGCTACGTGGAGGGACAAGGTCTGGGTTCTAGCGGTCAGGGTATTGTCAGCCCGATTGAAGCACAGGCACGACCACAGGGTGCTGGTCTAGGTGCTGTTCGGGAGAAGACCAAGCAGGCACGCGATGAAGAGAAACGAGAGGCCGCGCGCCGCGGCGAATCGATCGAAGACAGCTCCGATGAAGAGAAACGGCGAAGACGCAAGAAGAAGCAAGAGCGCAAGACAGAAAGCCGCAGTGGTACTGGAACGCCGGTGCCCCGACCCAAGCCCAAATTCCGAACCGCGCGAGAAATTGAAGATGCCATGGAAGGCCTCCAGGTGCCGAATGTCCTCAAGTCGCTCATCGATGCTACCGGCAAGGAGCAGCGCGTCTTGACTTCGACAGCTGGCTTGATGGCTTCACAAGGGTTTGTCAGTCAGGGCGAAGGGGAGGCAATGAAGATTGCGCGACGTGCGCGGACCGACCTCGAGGCCTTTGCGGATGAATGGAAAGGGCTGACCGAGCAGAAAAAGTTCATTGAGCTCGAAGAGGCCCAGGTTGTCGACGAGTTGGATGCATATCAAGCCCGACTCAACCATCTCACCGGACTGATTGCTGCTGTGGAAGAGCTGGATATCTTCGAGCACGAGGAAAGCATTGCATCCAAATTCAATGAGATGACTGAAAAGGTCGAAGCCATGGAGTCCAAGTATCGGGACGTTGGGGATGAATATCGACTAGCAGAAACAGTAGTCGCTGCCATACATCCGCTCTTCCGGCAGGCCATGGAAGAGTGGGACCCTCTTCAAGATCCCAACTTCCTCGTATCCAACCTCGCTCGCCTCCAACCGATTCTTTCTCGCCGGACCGAGAACGGAGTTCAACAACGATCATCCACATCTCCCTACGAAACAATGATCTACACCCTCTGGCTACCACGAGTGCGCTCCGCACTTCTCAATGACTGGGACGTTTATGATCCGAATGTTGCAACGTCGCTAGTAGTTGCGTGGAAGCCTATCGTTCCAGATTTCGTGTATGCAAACCTCATTGACCAAGTGGTTGTTCCAAAGCTCAGCGGAGCCCTGAAAAAGTGGAAACCCAGGAGCAGCCGACGACACCCATCTCAGCAGGATGGAAAGTTTCCCTGGTGGTTGTTCACATGGCTACAGCATTTGGGTGAACGACATACCAACCCCAAACAGCCTACAGGTCTCATGTCCGATACCAAGAGGAAATTCCGCGTGGTATTAGACTCGTGGAGCTTGCGCCGAGGTCTCATCGATGGCATTCAGCTCTGGCGGGACGCCCTTGGCAGCGAATTTGACGTATGCCTACGCAATCACTTGTTACCACGCCTGGCGCGTCACCTTCGTGAAGACTTTACCGTGAACCCTCAGGAACAAGACCTGACAGCACTGGAAGATGTGCTGCGTTGGAAAGATTTCTTCCGGCCCAACGTGATGGGTCTGCTACTTGTCTCCGACTTTTTCCCGAAGTGGCATGAAATTTTGTACATCTGGCTCACCAATGATCCGAACTATGAAGAGGTCGCCGCTTGGTTCACTTGGTGGCAAGCTCAGATCCCGAAGGAGGTCAATGAACTGGCTATTGTCGAGGATGAATGGAACAAGGGTCTACAGACCATGAACCTCGCTGCCGACCTTGGAGACCGCGCTGCTGCCGAACTTCCGCGCCCAGCTGCAAATGGTGGAACTGCGCTTCCCACTCGACAAGATGCCGTGGCGGAGGCTGCAGCGGCGGCCGCTGCAGCGAGCAAAGCAGCTCCTGTGCCTCAAGCCAAGCCTGCAATCGTGGAAGAAATTGCATTCAAGGACATCGTCGAGAACTGGTGTCTGGAACAGGGCCTTATCATCCTACCCTTGCGCGAGGCCCACCCCAAAACCGGGCTTCCTCTCTTCCGCATCACGGCCAGTGCGACGGGCAAGGGCGGCGTGGTGGCATACCTACATGGTGAAGTTATATGGGTGCAGAACAAGAAGGCCAAGGATGTCTGGGAGCCAATGGGTCTAGAGGACTCTCTAGTAGAGCGTGCAGAGGGACGTTAGTCTGTCTCAAGCTGAGTACCAATAGCGTTTTTTGCCACAGATACACTCGACCTGGCAATTTTAGAAAGAAATATACCCATTTGAATTCTTGATCAACTATCTTGGATGAGTAGTGCAATGAAGCTTGTCAAACATGTATGTAACAAGGGCTTACCCCCGCTGGTGTTTCGCCACGAAATTTACCGACGGCACAGCATCTCATCAGGGAAAACTAATGAAGGGACTACATGCAGGTTTCATTTGGGGAAACCCTGATGAATCAATCAATGTGGAACATCACCGGGCGGGCTAGAACATCACTCTTGGGATACAATGATTTTTCTCTCTCTTGATTATCATCCACAATAAGCTTCTCAGAAATTGACTATTGCGCGCTGCTTTATCCAGAGTTGAGCCGCGATGAGCTGTAAGGTTGTGTATACCCCGCCGGTGTATTTCCCCCTCAGTCGATCTCTCACAATGATCTTCGTGCTGTGGACAAGATATATACTGACTGTTTAGCCGCCAAAGCCATTCTGCCGGGATAGCAGTGAACCCATTCAAACGAGGGAGGATCATTTCCCAAAACATGCACTTCACTAACACTTCAATATGGCGATGCCCCATCGTCGGCTTTCTCTCCATATTTTACCCCTCTCTCGGAGAGAAACTTTTAATTCAGGAAAACGGCGTGGTTAGAATGGAGCACCATCTATTGTTTTCGAAAACAGTTCTTCTAAAAAGCCTGAGGAGCGCTCTATCTTGAAACAAACATTCCAAGCCATTGCATTTTACTCTTCTGCTACCTGCTGCTTTCCTCTCCAGGTAAGAAGGCCGCGCAAAATGATCATCAAATTGTCTGCTATTTTGCCTCTGTCTTTCATGGCAATATGTGGCTCTATGGCAAGCATGTCATTTCAAAATCCCGTCATTTTCAATGATCTGGCGGATATCGACATCTTCCGTGTAAACGAGACTTTCTACTATTCTGCATCAAGCATGCATTTCTCTCCTGGTGCTCCAATCTTGGAGTCTCAGGATCTCGTCAATTGGAAATACCTCGGCCATTCGGTGCCTTCACTAGACTTCAATAGCCCAGCATACAATCTGGAGGATGGCATGCGAGCTTATGCGCGGGGAGTTTGGGCTTCAACGATGCGCTTCCGGCAAAGTAATAAGTTATGGTACTGGATTGGTTGTGTCGATTTCAATGCGACATACATCTATACCAGTTCCGCGGCAACCGGTCCATGGGAGAAAAAATCCGTACTTGACGGTACTTGTCTCTACGACTGCGGCCTGTTGATTGATGATGACGACGCTATGTATGTCACGCATGGCTCGACAGTCCTTAGCCTTACTCAACTTACTTCTGATGGCCTTGACTTGGAAAAAACGCAAATCATCTACAATTCCACCGTTGGTTATGTCGAGGGCTCCCGCATGTACAAGCGCAACAGCTCTTATTATGTTATCACAGTTCAACCGGTTAACGGGCAGTTCGTCCTGAAATCGGATAATGGACCTTGGGGCCCTTATGATTTCGGTGTTATTCTCAACAATACCTCCCCACCGACAGCATTGAAAGGTGCTGACACGCCTCATCAGGGTGCTTTGGTTGATACCCCAGATGGCCATTGGCATTACATGGCTTTTGTGGATGTAAATGGGGACAGTACTGGTCGTGTTCCTGTGCTGTCTTCATTGAACTGGGATGACAATGGATGGCCGGTTTTGACCCTGGATGAAGGCAACACCTGGCCCCAGAGTCTCCCATACCCGGTTCACTCAGGCGCAAAGACTGTCAATTCAGACTCTTCTCTTCAGGGAAAAGATACTTTTGCTACTGCAAAGCTCGGCAGCCAATGGGAATGGAATCATAATCCCGATCTGAAACGCGTTACCGTGACTCCGGGTGAAGTCCGTCTTTCTACGGCGACAGTGTCAAAGTTGGACGACATTTACCAAGCACGCAATACATTGACCCGTCGGGTCTTGGGACCAGCTTCCCAAGCCACCATTCTACTAGACTACGCGAAGATGGCTGACGGTGACCGAGCTGGTCTAGCATTGTTCCGAGACAGCTCAGCATGGATCGGGATCCGAAAGGATGGAAAGACTTCCACAATTGTGATGCGCAGCAATATGACTATGAATTCAACAGATAGTTGGTCAACCGTCGGGTATGGCACTGACGTGGCTAGCACTCAGCTACATCAGGCTGGCAACAATCGGAAGATATTCCTAAGGATTGCGGGAGATTTTAGTTCATCGGGAACGAGGCAGGCACAGTTCTCATACAGTACAGATGGCACACATTTTACCGTTCTGGGACAGAACTTTACCATGGCCAATGACTGGCAGTTCTTCCAGGCCTACCGGTTCGCTATTTTCAATTATGCCACTAAGGCTCTTGGAGGAAGTGTGGGATTGAAAGAGTTTGATCTATCCTCTGTCTCTGTGTGATTCTTGAGCTCTTCCTGAATACCATGACATGAAGAATTCTTCCCACGGCCATGGTCATCTAGATGATACCACTCCCATGTTAGCTTAACCTTACATTTGTACTCGAAGCTAAACTGTCCTATTGTAGAGATTTCTTGAATTATCGATATTTTAGCCCCAAAATCGAGACTAGAAAATATGGATTAGTCTAGGTCTCCACTGCACAGCTTTTATTTTGTGGTTCGCACCAGGCTAGAACCGTTAATTTCGACCGAGATCTGCTGTGTAACAAATCTCCTTCCATTGGCTGCTGATTTTACACTGAGAATACCAGAGCTGCTTCCTACAGAGCTACAAGCCTCGCCCATCGTAGATAGTGTAATTAAAATAAAAGTGTCAGAAGTAATCATTCAGCAGAATGGACAGTTCACATAGAGAATGAATAATGCCAAGAGCTCGGGAATAACGAGGTCGTGGTGAGGGCCTATTCTAGCCAAACTCCGAGAGCCTTACAGCTTCGGAGTCCGCTTTTTCTCTTTCAACTCATCTCCACAGTGACACAGTCGACTCAGTTCTCCCAATGACATCAACTCAAATTCAATCTGGAATGCACCGAGGTGGACCCCACCCGCGTCGATCTCCAGTCCAGCCAATCATCACCGATTCAATGGTCAGCATCAGCATTGCCACCAATCACTGTCGCTGGATTTGTCCTGACGGACAGCATCTCGACGCGCCTTCTTTGCAAGCAGAACCTTCGTTTGGCCCCATTATTCGGTCAAAGATCTGGCGCTGACCTTTGAAATGTCCCTGATTGGATAGGACCCCCTTAGGAATCGGGCATCTCCATAAATTTCTTTGGCCATGGCTGTTTTTGCCTGCACTAGGTGGATGGGGAACGCGATGGTACTCGTGGAATTGCGGTGACCGGTAAGCTGATGGTAGGAAGTTAAAAGGAGGAGGGAGCCTGTGGTGGGGGAAACGTGTCTTAATTTTTGACTTAAAGCTTCAATTGAATCTCTTGTGACAATCCTTTAGCCCTGTCGGTTTCACGACGCCATTGTTGATCTACGCCTCTTTCTGGAAACAAGGGGCCCTCACTCTCACCTTTCCGTTCTAAGCTCTCAGACGGGTGGTCTTTTGCTTCTCAATAAGAGCGCTGATTTCCCCGGACTTGCTTTTTCGTTCTCTCTTTCCTCTGCATCGTGACTTTTTCTCGTGTTGACGTGCATCGCCCTGGCGTCAGCCTCACCTTGCCACTGCTCGTAACATCGGAGATATTCCAACACGTAGCGTGGCGGTGCCCTCTTCTCCGACTCCGGACTATTCAAATCAACTCTATCTCCGGAGACAAATTTTGGGAAGGTCCATATAAGGCTCCCGCATTGCAAAAAACACCGGGACCAGTTACACAAGGAGCCAACCAAACACCAACAACCATGGCTCTCCTCTTCCTCAAGCAGAAGCTGTTCCCTGGACAGGAGACCAAGATGCACAGTAAGAACCCCGATCACCTCAAGTCTAACATTCCCCGAAGCTTTGGTGATCATGTTTACTAACATACTTTGTTTAGGCAAGCCCCTCCTAGCTCGCATCGACGACGAAGAGACCATTCGCGGAGACTCGGACCAAGACATCGAGTCGCAACGCTCCTATGATACCTTTGGCCGCTGCGTGAGCAATGACGGATCTACGAGCAGCAGCACAACCCGCTCTCGCATCAACCCGCGCATCATTTCCGACGCCATTCTTGGCCTGTCAGATGGACTGACTGTGCCCTTCGCCTTGTCCGCGGGCTTGTCCGCCCTGGGTAATACCAAAGTGGTCGTTCTGGGTGGCCTGGCCGAGCTTGCCGCAGGTGCCATCTCTATGGGCCTGGGCGGATACGTTGGAGCGAAGAGTGAAGCGTAAGAGACCCTGCGCTCACCCTCGTTGCTAGATGAATTAATAGCTAACACATATATCAGTGAATCATATGAAGCTACTGTCCGCGAAACCCGGGAGCTGATTGAGAGCGACCCATCCGAAACCCACAACATTGTCCGCGACACCTTTGCACCCTATGGGCTCTCACCTTCCGCAATCAATGATATCACTCGGGACTTGCATGCTTCGCACGAGCGGTTGCTGGAATTTCTACTTGCGTTTCACCACCGTGAGACCGCACCAGACTGCAATCAGGCATGGATCAGCGCCCTCACCCTCGCCATTGGATACTTTGTGGGCGGATTCATCCCACTGATCCCGTACTTCATCGTGTCGCAAGTCATGACTGCGCTCTACTGGAGCATCGGCGTCATGGGTGTGACACTACTTGTTTTTGGATACGTGAAAACCTGCGTTGTCCGGGGTTGGACTGGGCATGACAATGTGGTTGCAGGCATTTGGGGTGGTGTGCAGATGGTCTGTGTGGGTGGCGTTGCAGCTGGCGCGGCCATTGCGCTGGTGCGCTTGATTGACACTGGCAGTGCATGATGGCAATTGGGAAGTGAATGACTTATGCCGGCGCAACAAAAAGCATGGATGGAGTTTGAGGGTTTTCTTTACTCTGATCTCTGCAGAGTACTTTTCATGATCTAACGGACACTCCTCTATCGTCAGGAGGCATCAGCGGGCGTTTCTTTTTAGATATCCAATAAGAGCATTTATCTCCCTTCTTTATGACAACAATATCACTCACAAGACTTGATCATAATCTCCTTGTCCCTGCCTGTCTGGTGTAGAAAAAATACTGTGATAGACAATGTTTTCTTTCTTTTCACTGTTTCAAGCTTATGACCATGTTTTAGGTCAAGCAATCAACTCCCCCCCCCTCTCCGATGGCCTAGTTGGTATCCACCATAAATTGGTGGACCATTGGTGTGCCCTGGAGGAAAGGGCAAACAAAAGAAGAAAGTACTGGGCCAGTGTTGACGCTTCGAGCTTCACGGACGGCCGGGCACACCCCTAGGCGGGGGGAGTTCTTTTTTTGGAGATTTTTTTCGATAACACTATTATTCTAATAGAGAGATTTATTCTAGAATATTATATTATATGGAGTTCAATTTTTGGTAGCCCTTTTGATAGTGCTGGAGGGTGTAAAGGGCTATATCAGGTGGCACTAGGGACTGGCGATGCACTAACAGGGCGAAGTATATAGGAATGACAAGGTTAATGGATCAATTCATGGGTGAGGAGAATATTTTATCTCGATCGACGCAAGTGCCAAATGGAAATGTCCAAATTTCTGGAGAGTATTCGACCAGGAAAGAATGCCAAATTTTACTTAGATTACTTAAGATATTTGCTATGGTATATATTCACCCAGCCAACGCCTTCGTAACCAACTCCTTCCCCTTCTCACTCATCTGAATCTTCAACGCCTCCCCCCTCCCAGTCTCACTCATCTTCCCCCAACTCTTCCTCAAAATATCCACCATCTTCTCCTCATCCGCCAACTGACTCTCAAACTTATCAAACTGATCATCCAAAAACACCAAACAAGCCACATCCTCCAGCGTCTGCGTATCCGCATCCCCCTTCTTCAAATCCGCCTTGCGTACCATGGCGCCCACCCTTGCCGCCTCCTCAGCGGTATACCCGCTCTCCACGCAGATCTGCTCTGCCAGCGCGGCCTGACGCCGCTGGAGCTCCGCACGCCATGAGTGGTAGCCGATTTTGGTTGCTGGGTACGAGGCGCGGGGGATTTCCCAGCGACGGAGGTGTTGGGCGCGGATGGCGAGGCGGAGGAGGTCGGAGGCGGAGGGGTTGAGACGCTCTAGGTAGGTGGTCATCTTTTGGGCGTAGTGGAGCTCGTAGGGGATTGTGGTGTCGTTGATGGTGATTGTGTTGGGGTCATCGCTGTGTGCGGCGTCGATGCGCTGGAGGGCCAGCTCGTATTTGGACATTGTGGGTGGAGGGAGGGAGCAAGATGAAATGGAATGAAGTAGTTAGGTACTCGAATTTTGTCTCGTATATTGTCCAATGTGTTCTTAGTGCAGAATACAATGAGTGTATAATGAGGGGTTGGGCAAGAAAAGAAGGTTGATGCAGCGCTGATAAGCTCGGTGGGGTTTCCTCCATAACTGGTAACTGCTCGCTGCTGATTGGTGCCCGGTAAGGAGCTCCCTGGTCTACTATATCCGCTATACTTACTTTTCGTGTGTTTATGTTCATCTCAGGGGTTTGGACTATTTGATTCTAGTTATAGTATATAAGGCTTATGCGAGATCTACACTTTCGTCTTATTAGTGCCGGCTCATTATCATCGTCATGGGTATATACCACTGACCGAGGCAAGTACTCCTTACATAAACACAGTCCTCCCTAGCTACTTTACACTTCCCAATCTTGACATAGACCGATTATGAATAGAAATCAGAGGGCCAAATCACTGTGTAGTATGCCGAAATTCATTCTCTAGGTCGTACTAGCAATAGGCATCAGCTAAGAGCTTCTCAATCATTGTACGATTTACCGCTAGGTGCCATTTGATACGTGATGGGGCTGAAAATGCGGTCTTCTAGGCTCTAAGATCATTTCAATTGTATAAACAACAGCCTCAGCAGAGTCAATCTAATTACTTTTGGGCACCAGCTAGTCTCCCCGGGCCCTGGTCTTATACAACTGGCAAGAAAGTTGATCTGCTGGTGCTATCTAACTAGTTACTTCGTTAATCGACATTGACTAAATCGGAATTGTGGTGACAGAATTGTTCATCCGAAGCTTTTTGCAAGAAAGATAAGCTCTATATACCTTCTTGTATGCATAATTTCTAACTGAAAAGAATTCCCGCCTTGCCAAGAAGTTGGGATGTGCTCCGCCTTCCTTGGCGGGACTGAGGAGATTTAGTCATGATTAATGAGCAAGGAACGTGACGAGCCAGCCATACTAGTTTTTCAGAATCTGAAAGATTAGTGGGGGAATCTTATCTGCCGAGACTTGGCTCGAGGTTGGGGAGCCAGACACTGGATATATGCCTCATCTGCCAAGGGCGGGTCGTCATTGCCGAGAAGGGCGCAGCAGGCAGTCATTTTCATCTGATAATCTGATAAAGACGGGCTACCATCTTTGATCGCGAGAATGATTCCTGTGAAGATAGTTCCATCTCATTCTATCTCATCTTTAAGTCGTCATGGATATCTCTTCAACACTAGAGAATGGATCTCAAGCCAGCTACGCGTCAGCTGCGGACCCATTCAATCTCTCTAGCAAGCTGAAACCAACAACCGAAGGCCAACAAGCAGAAGCCAATACATCGCGCAAGCGTGCCCTTCGCTATAACCCCTTCAGCAAAAAGGACTCACAACTCCGAGGCGTCACGGAATTCTACAATTCACAAAACGAAAAAATCAAGAGCTTTCTCAAGCCTGTCGATGAACATGTCCGCGAACATGCCGAGACCACAGAGTCCAACAAGCTACAATATCGAATCGCCGTATACTCCTCTTTTATATGCAACATCTTCCTGTCCGGACTTCAACTATATGGAGCCATTACCTCCGGCTCTCTCTCCCTCTTCACAACAATGGCCGACTCGATATTCGACCCGCTATCAAATGTCACCTTAATTATTTGCAACCGCCAAGCAAAAAAGGCCAGTTCACACAATTTCCCAGTGGGGACTTCTCGCATCGAAACCGTAGGCAACATCTTCTTCTCATTCATCATGATGGCCGTCTCCCTTATCCTGGTTGCTTTCTCCTGTCAAGAGCTCGCCGAGGGCGGCTCCTCGGCCTTCCACTTGCCCTCCGTCATCGCAGTCTCGGTAGCCTTTGCCGTAAAACTGTGTCTATTCCTTTACTCCTTCGCACTACGCAATAAGTACTCCCAAGTCCGAATTCTATGGGAAGACCACCGCAACGATCTCTTCATCAACGGCTTCGGTATTCTCACGTCTATGGGCGGGTCCAAGCTCAAATGGTGGATTGACCCGATGGGCGCCATCATCTTGTCCCTGCTCATTCTGGGATTGTGGCTGCACACTTCTGTTGGAGAGTTCAAGTTACTCATCGGTGTGACTGCGGACGCGGATACTCTGAATCTCATTACCTATGTTGCCATGACGCATAGCGAACATGTACAGGCAATTGATACAGTGCGAGCATACCACTCTGGCCCGAGGCTGATCATCGAGGTGGACGTTGTCATGCACCCGCAGCAGACATTGCAGGAGTGTCATGATGTTGCCGAGGATCTGCAGGTTAAGCTGGAGAGTTTGCCGAATGTGGAGAGGGCGTTTGTGCATGTTGATTATGAGACGACACATCGGCCGGAACATTCCAAGAAGGATATTTGATGGAGAAAACAAAGAGATGCTGGGGCAGTAGGCTTACTGGGCCTTTGAGGTCGGATTTCTCTGCTTAATAGCAGCGTCTCAAAACATGTCGTGTCCTTACTCGTTAGAGCACAAGGGCTACACCTCTATCGGCGGAAGAAAAAGGACAACAAGCAACCTTTCATTAATGTATACTAACTACCATGAACTACCATTTTACTAATCGTGAACTCTCCTCTGATCGAAACTTCGTGCCTGTGACACTCTTCTCATTATGTCATCATTAAGATATCCATTGTCATGAATGTAACCAAGCCACAAAAAACCAAGTTCACTACCCTAGGCTTTGGCCCCAATGATCAAGAAACCAGCCCAGATGCCATCACTGCACATCACTTTGGCCTTCCTCTAGTGGAGTCGTGGATGGATCAGCCTTAGCTCCAGGAGAAGGCGACTTTTCGAGCCCTTGCTTAGAGGTAAAAGCCTGATTCAAAGTATAGTCCTTGGTGAAAATCGCTGTAACCATACCCAGTCCCGCAACCCCGCACATCACAGCCCAGACGATGGTCAGAGACTTTGCATATAACATTTCAATCAATTCCCGCTCCGCGCCATCCCTTGGCAGGGTCTTGATATACTGCACCAGGCTAGATGCATCTTGTGCGTACGTAGCTGCCGAACGGCCAAGCTCTGGGTAGTGCCCAAACTCAAGTTTAATGCGGTTCTGGAATACCACGCCTCCGACTGCGACACCAACTGCTTGCCCAAGAACTCGGAAGAAAGGTGTCATGGTAACAGAAATGGTCAGGTATTCTGGATCTGCGGCGGCTTGGACGGCGAGCATAACAGTAGGATAGAGGATACCCAGCCCAATGCCAACCACCAAATTGATGAATACCCACTGGGGAATGCTAGACTTCGCATCCAAATAACACATTAGGCCAATGCCCAGGGCTGTAATTGGCCATCCAGACCATATGGCCCACCTGTAGCTTCCGACCTTGGCGGCGATGATACCGATAATCACCGAGATGGGCGCTACTGTTAGAGACTCGGGGAATAGAGCCAACCCGGAGATAACAGGACTGTAACCGAGGGCTCCTTCATAGTACAGTGGCAGGTAGTAGACAATGGCCCAAAGGATCATGCCGTGAAGGAATGTGCCCGCGTAGGTGACGGACTGGGTGATGTTGTTGAATATAACGAGCGGTACTAGAGGCTGAGCAGCGCCGAATTTCTCATGGACAGCGAAGCCAACTAGGCCAGCCACGCCGAGTGGCAGAGGAACGAGAGTATGCCACGAGTTCCAAGGGTACATGATGCCGCCCCAAGTAAGTGGGATCAAGATTGAAGCCAAGGAGGCTACAAACAAGACGATCCCAATGTAATCGACTTTGGCAAGATTCTCTCGTAGCGGAATTGGGGCTCTTTGCAGTTTCAGGAAGATAGGAACCAAGACTAGCCCGAGTCCGCAGAAGGGCAGGTTGATCCAAAAGATCCATCTCCAAGACGCAGCCGACTGTGTGAAGGCGCCGCCGATCAAGGGACCAGTAACTGTCCCCAAGGCCCATGTTCCAGATCGAATACTGAACCATTTACCTCTCTCCCTTAAAGGAACCAGATCCGCGATGAGTACCTCCGTGAGTGCCATTATACCTCCTCCGCCGACACCCTGGATCGAGCGGCCAACGAGTAGCAGGGTGAAGGCATGTGCAACGGCGGCGAGAATTGAGCCGACTGTGAATGCAACCACAGCAAGAAACAGAATATATTTGCGGCCGAAGATCTCAGATGCGAGACAGAAGACGGGTTGGAATACACATGATGTGACTAGAAAGGATGTTCCAGCCCAGAAGGCTTGGGTTGCTGTGCCGCCAAGGTCATGGGAGATAGTCTAGTCAAGAAAACGAGAGACAGATGTAAGCTTCTAACGAGAGATTAAAGAGGGACAATATGGATGGTAGTATACCGGCAGAGAGACTGAGACAGACGTCGCATCAAGAGCAGCGACAAAGTTTAATAAACCGACGACGGCGAATATACACTTGAGCTGCCAGCTAGGTTTCCACACTACTGGCAGCTCATCTTCCTTTGTTCCAGCAGACATTGATTTTTGTCTTGTGTTAGCATGTAGTCTATCACCGCGACTAGGAAAAGACAGTATGGGATTGCACCAATTCAGCCTCAAGGGGGAAATTACCAGCTTAAATATTCACAAGACACCGCTCCTTGTCAACCATAACACTTGTTATGTATAGAACATCAAGATAGGCATGGATAATGCTCCGTATACCAGTTTCCTAAAGGTGGCGTCTCCAGGAGAACAGCCCATTCATAGTAGCCGAGCAAAGCGATGAAATGGCATCATAGGGTGCAGCATCTCACCCCAATCAGCATGAATAGGTCAAGACGTGCATATCCTGTCAGATATTTTCTGGCGAAGAATACTAATTTAAACGCCCCTACAAATATTCCGCAAATCAAATTGTGAGCCTAAAAGGAATTCTCACTTTCAGCTCCACCCATGGCCAAATGACAACCATCCCCAACCACTCTCAATCGGGTATCGAGCGCTAGTGAGGGTTCGGGGAATCCGATCCTGCAGATTGCTAGCGGGACACAGCCATCAAGCAAAAGTAATTAATCGACCCGAGAATAACACAGAATCGAGGGTTTTGGCTTAGTCTCCTGGGCCTTGATTTCGTGGCTGTTAGGGATGCATATGGTCTTGAAATATATGGTGCGGGGTTTAGTTACGTGGGCATTTGTGTGACGCGAGTCAGTCTTGAGTCGCATTTGACTGGGTAATGTGGAATTGCTGGTGCTGATTGAGGGTCGTCACAAAATTGGGGTGTTCTGGCGTGTCAGTATCCCGATTCTCTACAGGCATGCTGTTTGTCAGAAGGAGAGACATTGGTGGGTTCCGTAAGTTGAAGCCTCCCGTATTTACTTTTAAAATCATCTTATCAGACCGTCCACGGGCACTGTTTGTGTACTCTCTGTAAATTTAGGCTTTTGAACCGTGACTGTATATTTTTGCTAAAAGCTTCCCTGCGTTCCAAACTGCCAAGAGTAACCTACTCAGCCCTATATGGTAAATGGTCCCTGAGCTCGATCCATGATAGGTGGTCAGCATAGGGTGAGCACAGACATTAGGGTCATTGCGACCATCACTCTCAGCGTGGTTATAGCTCACACTATCTTGAACCCTGCATCATGCTCGTATTGCGGGACATAGCCCTATATGGGAAGCACTTCCGTACGTAGTGCTGACATCTCGCTACGAAAATAAGTTGTACAGCGCAGAGTTCTATTTGAACATTTATATTCATCCCTCATGCACCTCTCTAGCAAGTACGGCCCCGATAAGGCCGAATCGCTGGAGACCTCAGCGCTAATGAATTGACTTTTAAAACTAAATTCGTAGAGCGAATCGGTATCCATTTGCTTTCTTGAATGACGAATCTTGTCGGAGCCACAATAAACATGAGATTAAACGCTGTGTTAAGGCTATGCACAATGCTCTCAAGACGCAAAATTTAGGTGGCCACCATGATTGCCTTGAGGTGACAAAATGACCGTAATAAATACATAATTTTAATCGCTCAGCGACTTCTATGGAGACATTGGAATGGCTCGGCCGCATATTCGAGATACCATGTCGAGGTTAACTCGGACACTCTCTGCCATCTGCATGTGTGAATTTCCGAAATAGAAAACCCCCACAGGTGATGACACGAAAATAGAAATAGTGTAATAAATCAGTGTACTTATTGTAGCTATAGATATTCATGGTATGAACATAACTCTACACTTCATAATTTCACCAAATGATCATTTCAGTTTCACCAACCCAAGCCGAAGCCCTCATCGGCAATAAAGGTGCCACTTAGCTCCTCCGGGCTCTCCTCAGTAGCGGCGCGCACGATGACACTAGCGCCATCCCTAGCCTCCTTCTTGCCCTGTCCACCAGTGAAGTTGGTACGGCAGAAGCCGGGGGCGGCTGCGATCACGGCTATTTTCTCGTCGGCAAGCTTTAATGAAAATGCAGCCGTGATCATGTTCAGGGCCGCCTTGCTACTGCGGTAGTCAGGTGCGAACCAGGCTCGGGCGTTAAAGGCGTAGTCCTTCTTACCCGCCATACTGATCTGGCCTAGTCCAGAGGTCACGTTGACGATGCGACGGTCGGTATACTCAGAGGCTTGTAGCAGCGGCAAGAGGGCGTTTATGACGACGGCAACACCAAAGACATTGACGTCGAAGATCTGGCGATACTGCTCGCGTACAGGTGCATCGGGTACCTGACCAATGCCGGCGTTGTTGATGAGGATATCCAGGTGTCCGAACTGTTCAGATACGGCTTGAGCGGCGGCGGCAATAGAGGCGTCGTCTGTCACATCGATGGTGATGGGGGTGAGGGCTGACTTGTCAACCGCGTCTGATTGTAGTTGTTGAACGGCGGCCTCGGCCTTGGACGCTGTGCGCGCACCGACAAGGACATGAAACTTGTCTGAGCTAGCGAGCTGTCGCGCTGTGGCGAAGCCAATACCCTGATTGGCGCCTGTGATGAGAACGAGCGCTTTGGAGTATGTCATCTTATGGGTGAAAAGAAAATATAGTATCTGGAGAGGGACCTGCGGGCCTTAGGGTGAACATGTATCAACATATGTTGGTTTGCTCTTTGCAGATTCTCGGACTTAAGTCGACGTATTGCCGGGTTCATGGTTTGCGTTGGGGATCAAACTACGTGACGAAGAGACTCCCTAATGGCATCCTTCGTCAATGGCGTTTGATCAGTGACGATTGTCATTCATAGTAGTGATAGTGTTCATGCGCATACCACTGGCTATGATCAAGCCTATTCTGGTTATTTTTATGATTCTCGTTAATGATAATCATAACCAAATCAACCGTCCACACCAAACCTCTCGCCTACGGTACCTTAAATACTGAACTCAACCACTGGCCCTACTCCGATCCTCCATCTCTCGGCCGTTCTAAACCCTTTCCTAACAAGTGTCACCTAGCGTACTGCGGCCATCAACTTGACTGCGCCCAGATCTTGTAAACTCCGTTTATCACCGTTGTTTCCATTGCAGACTGCCCCAAAATCCCAACTTGTCAACAAAACAGAGCAAATCAATGCCTTGAGCCATAATCCTTTTCTAGTCGGTCAATTGCTTAATATCTCCTTCGACAGAGCTCTCACATGATATGCTAGGCTGAGTTTGGATGGCTCATGAGCCACTGAATATATGTGTCTATGATGTTGACGAGGGAACTATGAGGGCATGGCATACTCCGTACTTTGTGCACATATTGAGGGGGACGAATCAGTCATGAATTAACCTAATTATGTCCAGCATATCATGCGAGGTGACTTTTATTTTTGTCTTGCAAGTGACAAGACTACACTGCTCTTGATTGCAGTCAGAATCGGTTATTATTCTCAGCAACTTTCGGGCGTGGAGCCCGAACTACAGTAGACTGGTCATTCAAATCGGAATTCCAGAAGTTCGTCGGGTTCTTTGCCTAAGGTTGTTACCGGGTGATTGTCTTGCTTACTCTTAATTAGAGCCTATAACAAGAACGAAAAGATTAAGTTCATGGCCTAGCTGAACCTGAACGCCTCCAAAGCGTGGCACCCAAGCCACCGAAATCGGCGTTGCCGAGATTCGCTTTCTGTAAGCCACGAACGGCCTTACAAGCCGAGGAATTCCAACGTAGGGCTGAGATGAAATGGAGAATCAAATGTGCTACAGCTAAGTAAGCATCAGATAACTACACAGTAGTCGCCAAGAAACACACGGACGTGATGTATATGAGCCGCTTGACATTAGCCTATTTTATTTGGCGGCGTTGTTGCTGCTGATCTCTCGTCATCTAAGCCCATTTACTTGACCTTTCGCTTGAATCTATCAAGAGCGATGTAGTATGCAAGGGTCTTGCTTTGCCGGACCCAAAGCAACACAGAAGGATGTGATCCAAGACTCTTACGATCCCACTGCAGGCTGCAAATAAGCGTGTAGAGCGGCATTTTGGACCAACACTGCCCCGACTATACCAAGCGTAGCTTCCCTAGGAGACAACTTCTACCATCATTAATTGGCCTAGCCTACACTACATGGATGCTGTACGCTGCCTACTTACCCACTCAAAGGAGAAAGACTAAACCTACAAAGAACCAGACCAGTTTGCACATTTTCATCTATTTGATCATCTCATACTCAAAGGCAGCTTCGATAATATCCATCAAAGCCGAGCGTCCACGAAACATAGAACGGAAAAAAAAAGCGAACTATCAACCAAGGGCTCATTCATCGAGCCAACCACCCATGAAGACAATCAGTAAAGGAGGCAGAAAAAAGAAAGAGAACATACACAATCTCCGACCAAGAACTAAATTCAGCGGGGATGTGTTTAAAAAAAGCAGCATGAGAACACCCTTTGCAGGAAGAAGAAAAAAAAGAAGAAAAGGAACACGAAAGCCAGCCATTACAGCAGTGGAAATCTCGAGAAAAAAAAATCAAAGTTGAAGTTCCAAGCGTACGAAGTCAAAAAGGAACAAAAAACCACAAAACTTGGCGAGTAATAAGAGGGAAACAGCGCAAATCAATTCGTATCCGCGTCGAGATACTTATTTCCCACCCCCGCCCTGAACGCCGTCCGATAGATGAAAGCCGGGTATATCCAGCACCGTGATGCAACATGTACTGAGAAAAAATAGAGAACAAATGTCAAGGGGAAAAGACAGAGTATACCATTGGTACCCTCTGACTTGACCTGTCTGTGAACAGGTCCCCCTCATGGCCTGAAAAGACAATTAAACAAAAAGACAGAAAAGACTGCTTTTTGACCCATGAGGTCGGTCTTATCTGGCACCGATGCCAAACATGCCAACCCCATAGCTGCTGCCTCGCTCGGACATCGGAGTCGAGACTTTGGAAACATGATCCTAATGAGGGCAACGTTAGTTAACCAGGTTCACGTGCTACGGAGAATGGACTCTGAGACTAACCTTCTTGCGTTTCTTTTTACCGGTTCCCTCTCCATTGGAGTAGAAACCGGTGTCATCATCGTCATCCGCGTAGCCTTCGCCGTACCCGACGAAGCTGTTATCATCATAATGTCTCTTGCGACCGCGACTAGGGCGAGCCCTGTCACCAAAGTCTTGAGCTCCCGCACCGCCAGTCATACCCGCTTGAGTACCAAGGCGGCCACTTGGAGCTGGCACAGCCTTCTTGCCAGCATCGCTGGGGCCTGGGGCCTTTGCTGGCTTCTCCAGGCCCAGAACATCCTCCCAGAAGTCATTGTTAGGTGCCATCCCAGGCTGCAGCTGCATGGCATTGTTCTGCAGACTGAGCAGCGCAGAGTCCATATCCGCAGTCTTGATCTGCTTGCCAAAGACCTTTTGGTTTTGCCATTCCTCTTCCGGCCACAATGTAAGATACCTCAAACTGCCTTCCTTGCTTGAGTCCTGCTTGATCGGCTTGTTCTTGCCCGCCAGACCCAAGGGCTTCAGTTTGCCTTCGTAAGATTTTCGCAGCCGATTGATCTTTTCGCCAGTAACGGGGTGAATTCGTGCAACCGATTGCGCAACCGAGCCAAGCCCGTAGAGGGATATGAGATCCCACGAGGGATCTGGACCAGTCGCAATAGGCGCTGTGAAGCAGTCAAGAAGCACTGTGTTAACAGGATTCATTTCCCAAAGAAAAAAAAAAGAAAGCAAGTGTAATCACACCACTGCCTGGCAGCAATCACGATCAAACTCGGGGAATTCTTACAGCTCTTGCAAAGGTGGAAGGCCGAAGTAAACTCCTTCTGAAGGGAGTCTAAGCCGAGATTTCGAGGGAGGCCGCGCGGCGCAGGCTCGTTATCCAGGTCCATAGCGTCGGGGTCGGAACTAAGCCCCGTGGCAAAGTCGTGTACTCCAGCTACTGCCGAAGCAGTTTTCAAAGGATGCCGGTCGTGGTCGGTCCGTCTGTGTTCTGTCGTTTGGTAATCTGATCCGTCGCCCATATTTCTTGTAGTCTCCTGTGTTCCCCCGTGCAAAGCTTTATGATCTGTGTCTTCCGCCGACGTCATATGTGCTAGATGGCCACTCACGCTGCTAGCAGGAGTAGGAAAAGAGTTTGTCGTACTCACAGTCGGCTGTTGAGAAGCCTGGGTTGACATGGGCGTGGAAGAGGGAGGAGAGGAGGTGTGCGGAGGGTGGTGGTGGATCGTCGCCTGATTCGGTGATGCTTGGGAGGATGTAAAGTTGGAGACATTGTTTTGATCGCTGACCGACATCAACGGAGGAGATGTCGGAGTCTGGGGAATATGGTCCGAGGAGACGGGGAGCTGGCGGCTCTCTTTAAGAGCAGACCCGGCAGCGGGTGACGAGGGTGAAAGAGGTCCGGCTGGGAAGATTGTGGAAGGGGTGCGATCAGACATGAGATGGTCCCACGCAGCAATCAAACCGATTCACGGTATTATGCAGCACCACGAGAACGCAGTTTGACTGGTTCGCTTGGGGTCCCGAATCGGAAGTTCTTCAACACAGGCGCTGGGCGTGTGGAGAGGGGAATCCCGATTCGAATGGTCGACGGTCGCTCTCGAGCGGGCGAGCAGGTCGTTCCACGGCCGGCCTAATTCCTTCGCATTCCAGTCGGACCGAAACAGTATCCTTGCGGTATGTCGGGATGGCGTAGGTAATGAGGTTAGCGGGGGGAGGGGTCGGGTGGTTTGGGGAAGATGCTGGTCGATGATGGCGCTGAGATGGAGAGGCGAAATGAGCCCGGTCACATGACCCGGGACTCGGCCTCAGCTGTTTCGGCGATGCAACTAGCTGCAGAAGATAGCGGGATTGGCCGGTTCCGCCATGAAGCAAGCCCCTGGGACTATAGGAGGTTCAGAAGTCGCTGAAACAGAATCGAATTATTTCTAAGGTCCGAATGACTGATTCTCTTACTGGTCATCCTCAGCAGAACAGATAATCATGCCGAGTGAGCACGGGACATGGCGATTGCTCTTTAATCAAGACAAAGAAAAATAAATCCTACTCAAAGGAAAGTGACAATGATGAAATTTCTTATTTGATCTACCAGTAGATCCTTTTTCTTATATATGACAAAGGCTAGATTAGTTCAGTCACTGCAAGATGAGCATTCAAAGAGGTATATGTCAAAGGAGACCTGAGGATCCAAGGTTTCAAGTCAAGACAGTAAAGAACCCCAAACGCAGTCAAGAATGAAAAACAAAAGATCTTTTACCAAACTCCTTACGCACACAGGCAACCCCCATTTCGCCAATGCTCCAAACTGCCAAGGTGCTTTGGGAAGGTTGTGGAAGTGGCCAAGTCGGTCAAGTAACGGCATCTGCCGGGTACTCTTACGACTGGTAGAATGCATTAGATTCGCGGACCAATTGCGCGGATACGTCGGGTATGTTGTGCTCCAGCGACGCCATAAGCTCGATCTGTTCTTGTTGGCTGAGGGTACGTTCGCGCCAGGGAGGTATGGGGAAGGGCTCGTTGAAGTAATTCGAGTATTGATCTCCGATAGAGGATGTCCATTGCATCGGATCCACGGTCGCATCGATGTAGGCCAGATGGCTGGCAGTAGTAGAAGCAAGTGAGAAATTGGGGTCCCAGCCTTGGAGCCCGGGAACTACCGAGGGCATCGTGTTGTAGGGGGTATTAGGGTCAATCAAAACATCCGAGAAGAGCCCGGATGGGGCACAGTAGGCGGGCGATGAATACTGCGGTCCGGTGCTGGAAGGTGTCGCGGTGGGCTGCATGCTATATACCGGGGTCACAGGGGAAACGCCAATCGTTTTTGGCGGATCCGGAGCATATGCTGGAGGCGTAGAATCTTGCGTGACGTGGGAAAAGGGGCCTGGGGGGTCGGCGGAGGGGCCTCTGGAGAAAGTACCAGATGAAGCACTATCGCCAATTGATAGATTGCCACCGCGATGGTTATGTGAGTAATAAGATGCAGTCGTACTTGTTGATGGGCTCGACATGGCAGGAGGAGTGGTGACGCCCTGCGAAGAGGTTGGAGTAGGATGGTTGGATGGCGATTGCACCACAAACGATTCCTCGGTGCTGTACGCCTTCAAACAAGCCGCGACAAGACGCTTGTAAAGGATCAATGCAGATTGCACACCAGGCCATCGTTCAGCGGCATAGACTATGATTTCCAACGCCATGTCCAAGTAACTTTGGACTTCCTCAATGGGGTGCTCTTTTCGGATCTCGGGGTACGAAAGTGTCCAGAGAACAGTGTTAAACACCATGAAGAGGGACTGGGTAAAAATCCAAGTGAGATCCACAGATCCGGTGATAGTCTGCTCCTGGTGCATGGCGATGTTGAAGGTCGCCGCGTCGTAGCATATCTTGGCCGCCTGGACCGAGGGTTCGGGAATTTGAGGCGATGGGCGATACATTAGAATGACAATCGTGTTTCGTCTACCTTGAAACCTGGGACATATGACAAGTCAGTAACTTGAAAATTACATCATATTAACAATGAATCGAGGAAAAGGACTCACCACTTCACGTTAAGACCACTGCCATCGTCATTCTTGGGACAAGTGTCAACCCAGTGGTCAATCTTAGACAACATCTGAGAGAACCAAGGATCTTGATCATGTGCTGGGGTCTCGCATCGGTTCAAGTAGAGTGCACGGCGCACCTCCAATTGGAGCAGTCGCATCTTGAGAAAGTGGATCGCAATACACTTGGCAAGGACTGGTTTCGCGTGGGGATTGATGCCTTCCGCCGTGATATACCGATCATCCACCAACTCGAAGAACTTGACATTGAGGTTGTCGTGAGTCACGCTGAGGGCGCTAGCACGTCCTAGACTATGGGATAAACCAAACTCCATAGATGCAACAATCCAGAAGAGCCGTCTGCGCATGTCGAGCTCCAATGGATTGAGAGGCTTGCCGTTGGACGATTGAGCGATGGTGGCTTCTTCACAGAAGCCCAACTCCTGGCACATTCTTACTGCTGTACCGACCACCCAGAATGACGCTGTCCTTGTTGGCGTCAACATTGAATATTGCGCAATCATGACCAGGCATTGCAAAGCGCGCAAGTCCATGTGTTTCAGGGTTGGCTCTAAGAATGGTAAGGCAGCTAGGTAATAGCTGTCGGCCAGGCCTGCATAGTCTGGGCTCAGTTTTTGCATGCTGATTGCAATGACCATTCGCAGTTGAAAGTTATGACAGGGGTCGGTAGAGCCATTGAAGACCTCTTCGGCTTCTTGTCGGAAGCTTGGAACGTGTAAAGTTGGGAGCAATGCCTGGGCTGTGACAAGTATAACGAGTTAGCCAAAAGACACCGCGCGACAGAATTATCCGGGCCAATGAAATAGTAACTTCCATGTATACCTTTTGCGACAAAGAGATCGATCAATTTGTATGTCAGACTCCTGGGAGGTAAGCTATCCTGCGGGATCGAGCTGATCATAGGATAAACCTTGGACGTGGGTTTCGTGTCCTCCTGGGCAAAGGCCGCCTTGATTTCTTGGGCGGTCAACTCGGGGACAACATCTTTGATGCTTTTCGAATCGGTGTTTTGCTTGGCAATTTCCATGACCAGACGAGTCATGGCAATGCCACTCGAGGCGCCTAGATACCGGGGCTCGTCATTATCTGAGAAGCGGATACGTCCAGCGCCCCGCACCATCAACTCCGCATCGGCCGTGTGCTGAATTTCCTGTTCGGCCTTGGCCAGCTCTTTCTCGAGTGCACGAGCTTTCTCCCGTAACGATACGATATAGGTTCGAGGGATGGTGGCATCGCGGGCCGAGTCGTAGTACACGCATTTAGCATTGCTTCGTTCGCAGGGCGCACATCGAGGGATTCCGGGGTCACATCTAGATTTCCGCTATAACGCGATCTGGCCGTCAGTTCCGCCATTTCCTTGTCGCGACGGGAGGTCCTCTCTCCTTCTCCCGGCGTCACCCCGGGAGGGCTGACTAGGGAAAGCGAAAAGGTAAGAGGGAATGAGGGTTGTAAATGATTGCATCATACCTGTCGACACCTCGTGCAGGCTGTCAATGTGTGCGCGATGCGACCGTCGGGGGGTTCGAATGAGAAGGATTCCGGGGATGGCTGCCCTGGATAGGGTTGGGCGCTCTCGGTCATGGCTCGTTGGGAGACCCCCAAGCCCGGAGCGAGATGTCAAAAGAAAGGAGAAGTCACATGCGTGGGTGTTGGACGAGGATGCCATCCAAAGCACGTTTGATCGGTCCACCAGATGCCCTTGGCGCTATCGACATGGTCCCGTCATGCGGCTCTCGGAGAGTTGCGGGAGGGTGGGCGACGGTGAAGGAGGAAGGATGAGTGAGTGACACGAGAGATTCACCGGGTCGGCAAGGGTAGAGATTCCAGCGAGGAAAAACCAACTAGGCAAGGGGCCGAAGAGGGACGAGAAAATGAAGACTTCGTATCAAAATGCAGTCGGGCTGATACCGCGTAGGTTACGGCCGGGACTGAAAGTGGTTGTGGCAGTGGCCGTGGATGGTGGGGACTAGTGCGAGTTTGGTCGCACGGTCGGTGGTGGTGGTGGTGGTGGTGGGAGGAGGAAAGGTACCTTGGGCCACCAGGTACTACAACTCAGTTGTAGTACTTTAGTAGTGTACTATACTCCGTAGTAGTCACTACTATCGTAGTACTTTGACTAGTGGTCTGAACTGAAGAGTGTTGAGTACTTGATAGTCGCGCGCATTCCTCGGTCCAGATCTGGATCGACGGGGGGGAATTGGAGCTTGGGTTTTGGGAAGCGACGGATGGTCTTCCGCTAAAGTGGGGGGAAAGGGAGAAAAGGGAAGAGAAAGCTGGACTGCCCGGGGGGCGGGATGAGAATTGGCGCGATGGTTGATTGATTGGTTGATTGACTGATTGGCTGGTGGAAGGAGGAGGGAGGAGGGGGAGAAATAATACTGGAGATGAAGAATTATCACAAGCACGAGATACGATACTATAGTGATCAGCAATGGTAACATTGCGTTAAGCTATCTCCTAGTATGTGGTTCTAATAATTCTTTTCTTCGCTTCGATCAAATTAACTAAGATTGCTATTATTTACTGAGGTTGTAGAGTTGACTACTATGATACCTACTACATGCATCGTTGATTCGTGGATTGGGCGAGAATAACGAGGCTTAGGCTGCCAACAGAACCCCGTTTTGCGAAAAAATTACTTTGAAGAGACCAAAACTCAAGATTGCTGAGACCGCCGTTAGTGCTATGTACATCATTTTATCTCCTGCCTGATAGAGTCTATACTAACTACTTGGCAACTAACTTACATTCTACTACTGTAAGTCACTAAGCACTAGGTCCTCTCCACCATGAGACCATCTGACGACTAAGCGGGTCAACTTTCTACTGGAGTATCTTATTCAAGAAATACAAGATGCGTTAATTTTATGTACTTTCTCTCCAATCCCTCTCTCGAGTGTGCTTGCGGTTTCACGAGCACTGGGAGCAGATCAGTGGCTAGTCCCATTTGCCATTTAAACCTCGTCCTATTAGTTAGTTGTTATCTACCCAGTCTGTCAATCAACCATCTGTGTATCCAGTCCCACCAATCCTCTCCAACCAAAGTCATTCTCGCCTTTTCGGGGATAAATTACCCGGTCTGTTTTTTTGGCTCCTGGTAATAAAATATGCTCTCGCTTCTCCTCGGGTAAGGCTGAGTACTCCGGAGTCGGATGTGGATGGGCGCCTAATAATGATAATCACGACCGTGAGATCGATAATTAAAAATTAATCCTTCGGCTCATGCATGTTCTTCGTTTTTCAGAGACTAACGCGCTAGTTTCAACGTCTCCCACAGAGCAGTGTCTGGTAGATTATTGTTACAGAAGTTACTACTGTACATAAGTTGGTCGGTTAGTCGGTGGTCGATGCACGACGATCCGGTGGGGAGGGTCCCTCACTTCTTTTTGTATCCAATAGTGAGCGAGTATGACGATACTGGCTGCCACATCTTACAACCAGTGGGCGTTTGGGCTCGGCGCAAGGGTCAGCATCCCTCATTCGCAATTGAGCTTTCATCATTCTAGCCTGACACACCACTGCATACCACCTTGATCAGACTCAAAAGGCATACACTCGAGACACGCGCTGACAAGTCGATCCTCGGTCTGGCCCACCTCCCGCTTTTTCTTTCTTTCTTACCCCTCCCTCTTAGGTCCCTAGGGGTGGTCCACATGAACTGCCAGGATGCCCGCGATGGCCACCACCTTCCTGGACAATCCGCTGCTAAAAGTCAGTCGGCCCGTTGCCGCCTGCTCGCGCTGTCGCACCGCCAAAATTAAATGCGACGGCAAACTGCCCGCCTGTTCGGCCTGTGAGAAGGTGGGCAAGGCCAGTTCCTGCTCTGGCGCTAGCGATGAATTTGCCAAGGGCAAGGAGCGAAGCTATGTCGCCTCGCTCGAGGGCTACTGTGAGAAACTCGAAAAGAAAATCTCCCTATTGCGGAATCGTCAGAACTCGTTGCCTGCCGAAGGCAATGGCGTGGTGCGGGAGATGTCCATTACCTCGACCTCCTCCGATGGGCCGGTCGGTCTAGCTCATCGTCGTGAGGTCTCCGATATCGATGATCTTGTCGGTGACTTTGGGTTCCTGTCGGTGAACGCGACATCACGCGACTTTCAAGGCATCACCTCCAAAACCACCTTTGCGAACCTGCTCCTGTCGGTCGCCACGGTGGGATACCCACCACCCCGCACTCCCAATTCACTACCCGCGCGACACGAGGCCACCCCTCTCTTGCAGTACTACTTTGACAACGTGTTTGTTCAATTACCTTTCTTTATGGAAACCAGCTTCTGGACCTCGGTAGATGCGGTCTATCAATCTGGGGGTCGATTCGCCAAACCCTTTGACCACTGGACCGTCCGTATGGTCCTCGCCATTGCTTCAGCTTCGATTTCATATCAAAATAATGATAAGAGCCATCAACGAGCCTTGGCATTGGTATCAGAGGCGTTGATATATGCTGAAGAGGTCTTCCGCCCGGGGTCTATCACGTGCATACAAGCAATTCTGCTTCTGGCCCAGTATGCGCTGGCAGATCCAGGACGGTTCCGAAGCTGGTACCTAGTAGGCATGGCAGTGAGAGTCGCGATAGATCTGGGCCTGCATCAAGATCCTCCTGTAGAGATGCTGTTAAATCCAGACCGCCTCGATATTCGACGACGAGTATTCCACTGCCTATACTGTCTAGATCGGTAGGTTCTTCTCCAGTCATGCTCAAATTACGAACGCGAAATATATGCTAATGACTATCTACAGAGGAATGAGTACTGCACTGCATCATACATTTTCATTCTCGGATGCATCCGTGAATGTCGCCCTACCAGCGACCAATACGTCGACCACGGCCATCGAGCAAACATCCGTCTTCTTGCGAAGCCCTGCCCCAGCCCTACACATCGTCAAGATCCGAAAGATCTTATCAGCAGGGTACCAGGAGATGTATTATAGTTCCCGTGATCCATCCCCCCAACCACTCATTCAAATATGGAACCTCTGCTCCCGAGCACGCGAATGGTTCCAGGAATGTCCCAAAAACGCCCCCAACCACTTCTCCCTCCTCTACCGCCTCGAACTCCTCTACACAAACATCATCCTCCTCTCCCCCTCCAACAGATACCCCGTTCTCTGCGATTATAACAAAGCCCTCCTCTTCGACCGCTGCATGGACTTTATCAGCCAAATCCACCAAGTGCTTGAAAACCCCAGCATCCTCCCCTTCCTCACCTACCTGGACGTCACCCGCGTCCAACAAGTCGGCCACCTCTTCGTCCAAGTTCTCCTCGATCACTTCGACTTCCTCCTCAGCCCCGTTGTACCCAACCCCCCTCACGTACCAGCAGGAACACCCGACCCGCCCATCCTGGGTGAAGAAGATAGGATTAACTGTCGGCCCCGTGCACTCCGGTGTCTCACGTACGTGCGAGATTTGCTGCAGTATTCGGCGCGGAAGTGGGATCTTCGTCAGCCGTTAGATGAATTCGAACGGGAGTCGGCGCCGTTGGGGAAGATGCTGAGAGAGGGTCCGGCGAGTTATGTAATTAATCAGGGGTCGTCATACTCCCAGGCACCGCTGGCGGGCAATGGGTACCCAGCATACCATTTGGGATAAATTTGTAATCATGAATTGAATTGGACTGGGAAGGGATTTTTTGATTCAATAGTCTCAATATTTCGTGTTTATCCCAGCCTTGTACTAATCAGAACCTCTTTGGTTCCAATCAGCGCTGATACGGCACACAGAGAGAGAGAGAGAGGCGGACGGAACAGCTAGGTTGGAGCTTCAATCAAGGGTCCCTTCAACAGATTGCAGCTCAAAACCCTTATAAGAGCGTAACTCTAAACCATACCTTGTATACAATAATGGAACCAAGGCAGATATAGTGGCGGTTTGAAGGTCCGAAGTCCGAATAATTTTTATGGTTCCCCTTTTTTGAATGGTCTTTTGAATGGTCTTTTGAATGGTCTTTTGAATGGTCTTTTGAATGGTCTTTTGAACCGCTTTCTTCTAGAACCAGTGGACTCTTATTCTTTGCTTTCTATTCAATTCATCGACTGACAAGATCATTCAGTAGTTTCACGGGGGTTTCAAACTCAGGGGGCCTCGCTGTACTGTACCAAAGCCTTCTGGCAACAGTATCAGTAGCACAGTGAAGCCTAAATTCGAATATCTCAAGATATTCAGCCTTGCAGAATTGAAATAGTTTGCTATTGTCTTGGTACTCGGCTAAGTTGAACGACCTTTTCTTCTCCAGGCATTCGGCGGTAGTTTGAGCCTGGTTGGTTTCTTTGTCTTTGCGTCACGAGTGCCTCCAATGTGAGATGAGATCGGCTTGTGCATAGAAGGGAGACGAGGCCACCAGGCCTGACATTAAAGTGATCAGACTTGAATGATAGCGAGAACTGCCTTGTTTTGAACATTGTAGGTTAAGGGAATGGTGGACGGCCACGGGATGAGTGTTCAAGTTTGGGACCAGTTACTCAGCAGGAAAAGGAAATCAAAACTGGTAAATAGGACGATATTTTCAATCTAGAGCCTGTAGCATATACATCGTACGAAATTGGAGATTTAGGAAAGCTTGAGGTAGAGAGCAATTGATATTGAACATTAGAAGATATAATGTCATTGACTAAAAAAGAAAAATATAGTATAAGTGGTATGGAAGACAATTCCTTTTGTTGTCTTCAGAAGTTTCGTACAAATCACCCTTCCAAAAGTGTGTAAAATATGCACAAGAATATTCCGCGGGGGTATTCACAAGGCTACCAAAACGCTGTCCATTGCTGCGTAAAACAAGACCCTCCCTGTTCAAAGAAAAGAAAAAAGCTTCAAAAGATAGAACAGAAAGCTTTAATCAATCCTTTACAGGTTCCTGCCGAGGGTGGCAACGACGGTGCCGACGGGGATACCGACGGTGGGGAGACCAAGGCCGGAGACGAGAGCGGCAACCTCGGGGGAAAGCTGGATGAGGAGCTTCTGGCCATCATCGCTGGTGACGGTGAGGAGGCCCTTGACGGGGCCGGAGAGGTCAGAGACGAGGTCACCGATGTTGCCGGCGGTCTTGATGACAGAGCCGACGGAGCCACCGATGGAGGTCAGGCCGAGACCGTCAACGAGAGCGGCAACCTCGGGGGAGAGCTTGATCAGGAGCTGCTTAGCGTTGGGGCCGGTGACGGTCAGGATCTGGCCGACGGTGGGGACGAGGTCCTGGACGATCTCGCCGGGGGCGGCGTCACGCTTGAGGGAGGTACCGAGAGTAGCGACGACAGTGCCGACGGGGATACCGACGGTGGGGAGACCAAGGCCGGAGACGAGGCCAGCGACCTCGGGGGAGAGAGAGATCAGGAGGGCACCGACATCAGCGCCAACAACGGTGACGAGACCGTCAACGGTAGGGCCGAGGCCAGTGACGAGCTCACCCAGGGAGCTGGCGGAGGCAACGATGGAGCCGAGAGGGACACCAAGGCCGGGAAGGCCGAGACCAGAGACGAGGGCAGTGACCTCGGGGCTCAGCTCGATGAGCAGAGTCTGGACGTTGGGACCAGTGATGGTCAGAACGTTGTTGAGCTCAGGAGCCAGATCCTGGAGGATGTGGCCGTTCTGGGCAATGGGGGCGTTGCCGTTGGAGGAACCAACGTTGCCCAGGTGGAGGAGGGAGGTCAGGTCACCGAGCTTGGAGACAACGGGGAGGTTGTTCAGGCTCAGCTGCTTGGTGATGTCACCGAGGCTGAGGTCCTTGGTGATACCCTCAAGACCAGCCAGGTTGGTGATGGAGGAAGTCAGGCCAGTGAGACCAGCGAGGGAAGTGGTGCCAGCGGGAGCGGCGGCGGCAGCAGCGGCCAGAGTGAGGAGAGTAGCAAAGGAGACCTTCATTGTGATGGTTTTAAAGGATGTGGATTATCAAAAGAATGACTGTGGTGGGAATGAATCCAAGTGAGTGACTGATGAGAGAAGAGAAGTGAAAGTTTAACGCGAGGTGCAGCCGTCTTTATACTGGACCTGAAGGATCTCATCTTACCTTTTCTCCTTTTCTTCAATGACCCAGTTATCAAATTTTTACCAGCGCTAACCAACTGCTTCATTAATACAGCGGGTCAGCTCCATATCGCAAGCCTCATGATGGATCCCACTAATTGGACGCTCAGCTTTGTATCGTAGGTGGGACTGCTAGTGCTCGTCGAACCTAACCCACCGGGTTGGAAGGCTCCCCAACTGATCCAGAAGATGGTCTCCAGTGGATTCTGAGGGGCGTTGCTGAGAGTCCATACGAGATATGGGTCCTATAGTGTGTATAGTTCATGTTGCTTGTCCATAATTCCTTAATGTTTTGTATCTGCCGTCTGAAAGATACCCGGAATTGACCAAACCAGCCCTATCAACACGATCAACACGATTTCCAGTGGATAGTGATATTCCAATGGAACGATCCAAAGCTAATCGCCGTATCAAAACAGGTAATTGATAGCTAGCCATCGGCGTCATCATGATCGAGCCGGAGATGACCGGATTTGCGCTGGACGATGCATTGGAAAGATATCACCAAATTGTGATCTGCAGGCATGGCCTCGTTGTAGAGCCCCCCACTGGGTAGGGTTCGAGGATATGGAGTAACAACAATAATGGCTCTTCGATCGTGGACTGTGGCTGGCTAGCGCAAGCTTATATGGGCCTGGTAGTACCGAATATCTCCGCCGCCGCAGTCAATAACCCTGTCGATCTTGAGCTTGGGCCAGAACCTGCGGGGACTGGGGAGCAGTCAGCAGTGGGATGTCCGCTGTGGTCCGCTCCAGTGGCAAAGGGCAGGTACTACTGTAGGTACTGCACGGAGTAGAAAGGATTAATATTGTACGGAGTTGATAGACACAAATTTGAGTCAGGGATGGCATGATCTGCTGGTCAGTGGAGACTGTCATGATTATCGAGCACATGGCGGTTGCTGTGTCGGGCATCCACCCATGTCAGGGTCAGTAGTCAAGTGAACAGGATCCCACATGGTCTGTCTTTGAGAAATATTTTCCGAGACTCAACATTTGCCAGGTACGACCGGAATCCGCAGCATGAATAAAGTGATCGCCTGGTAATATCGCCCCTCCAGGCCAAGTGCCGACAGGAATCACGATTAAAGTTGATGCTAAAGAGGGCGATGGCAGAGGAAAAGTGCTCAGGGGCCAATTGTGGCCCCGTAGCTCCACTCCAAGCCGACCACGCTACGAATAGTCAACAATAATACAGGGACTTCAGGGTCTGAGGATACTAACTCCGTTATTAAGCAAGCAACTATTTGGCTCACAGGGTCCTAGCTCCTCCGCTATCTGGTCGAACGTGGTGGACTACACTCAGGGACCCGGAATGTCTGTTTGCTTATTGGCCTGGTAGGCGGCTGATACGAACAGGTCCAACTTCAGAGGAGAACGTAACCTGAGGGGCGGATTGGCCCGCCCAGGGCCCCAGAGCTCTAGTGGTTCCTGATTCTTCTCCATTTTGGGGGCTTCAGCCCAATAAGCCGCCCCTGTCGGCACTTCGCAGATCGATTTCCTGGCGGGAGCCACCTGCATCATCGATTCGATGCCAGCAAATAGAGTTTTCGTTTGTTGACATTATCATTACATTATTATTCAATAGTCTGCCTTTGCCCACGGAAGATTATTTGACACACGCATGGAGCTATATGCATGCACTATGATTATAGTTACACAATAACGTCGTCCCTGGTGGCCCCGAGAAACCGTTACAAAAGTCACCCCTAAAGTCTCTCTATTGAACGTGCATGGAACATTCTAATTGTTTTCCTTCTCATAGATAGACTGGCACGAGAATCAATAATCCTAGTCTCTGAATGCGACCCCAGTCATCTTCCGGAAATTCCCCGTCCACGCTAAATCGACATCGTGGGTAACCCGCCCGACAATCCCAATCTCAGCCGCCCCCGCTCGAAAGGCTCCATTGGCATTAAGCCACTACAATTGAACCCACACTCTCCCATCCACCTTGGCCACACTCGACTGGCGGATAAGTTCGGACGATCGATTGAGTTTAACTAATGCTCTTCAGCGGGATTACTATTTGCTCCCATTGAGAACGAGCTGTCTGCTCACGCTGGATCGAGATGACTCCACATATCCACGAATTATTTCCGCGGGTTTGGGATCCGAGAGAAAGGATTTTCTGGGTCAGGAACGAACCATTATTGCCATTGCCTACGACGCACATACTGCCAAGTGATTTTTTCGTATCTTAATGTATTTTCCGTTGTAGATAAGGTTATTGCGCCTAGTATACGCAAACATCAGGTCAAACTACAAATCCAAGGAGATGTCAGATACATGCCATGGGCGTGGAATCAAGGCAAAATTATCGCGATTCCCTTTGATTTTACCATTTGGTAGAGTCCATACGATGCGTGCTACAGTCTGAATTCTAACGATGCCTCTGTTTTCCATCCGTCTCGGTGGCGTTCTTGGACGATCAATAGAACATGGGATCGTCCAAATCTACCACAGGTCTAGGAAGGTAGCAGTATCCATCACTGCTAGCCTATAGCGCTCGTCCCGCGCGCCGATCCAAAAGTATCAGAACCTTCTGGACGGGATGATACAGACTCCATCAGGCCCTCTGACCGAGAGAAAGGCCTTCTCCCGACTCATCCGATCTCACACTCTGGCTGATCACGGCGTGCCGAATCGCACATTGTGCCCATGCTTCTCGGGAGAAGAAGCTTGTAGATACTGTAGTCCCATCTTCACATGTGAGATGGAAGAACACGAATGAATACTGTGTACTGCCTGATGGGGGTCCTCTTTTGATGAGAATCTACCGGCAATCGACGGTATGGATCCCATCGTGGGAGATTCCACATCGACCCAGATAGCTGGGTCGGGCCTCCTTTTGTTCGGCAAGATGGCGAATGACTTTAGCCGTAAGAGGTGTTTTCAGGGATTGGTAGTGCGAGATCTCGAGTGAGCCTCTAGTCCGAGCACCCATTGTCTGTTCTTGTCTGAATCATGCACCGAAATCAACTATTTCCGGTCTATCCTGCTTCTGTTATGGCGGTACCAAAGAGGCCACAATCCGTGTGCCTGGGCGTTTGACGATGTCAAAAATTATTCCTCTGATTTCCAAGTTTACCATCTAGCTCCCAAAGTTGTTCCAAACAACGTCTCATCGCCCGGGGTTTTTATCACCCGTCGAAATGCGAGCTACTGGAACAAGAGGCTTAGTGATCGGGTTTTAGCTGCCAACCGCGGGGCATTTATCACCCTCGTCTCCCTCTTTCCCATGAGATCGAGTAAGGAATGACATGGATTGAGAGATTTCATTCTATTTCACCTTCAATCTCCCTCTTTCTATCTTGCGGGCATGGGTTTATTCTCAAAATCTACATTACTTATTGAACATTATCTTCCTCAGGGACCTCGCTATCCAATTCTCATACTCAACCACTCTCCCACCACCCTTGCTAGTCAGAAAGCCGGTCAACATTGATGCTACACAGGGATGAGGCTTGACGAATGCGAATCGCAATTACGAGTGGCAACAAGCAGACCGTCAGAGAATGTGAGTGAATTTGCCTGGAGTATAGCTATGAGGAGGCACTCTTCTATCGCAGGGAACAATCCACAGTTGACGGCAAGATTCTTGTCAGTTAATAACCAATATTGTGCCCCTGCCTCCATGAGGCCTCCCCGCCACACATTACCACCGTCGGAGCAGGGCTTGCTGGAATCGTCGCCGCCCGACTGGCCTGTGAAATGATACTAGACTGGACAAGATTCAAATTCTCCACATACTTGATTCGATCGATCAAGGAGTTGAATCGTTCTCTACTAATTCAAGAATAGTACAGAAAATACCAACTCAATCTCAGGAGAGTATGGCATTGCCTAGACAAATCTAGGCAGGACTCAAAGCAGTTATCTCTTACCAACAGCGACGGATAACCCCACTCTTCGGCATACCTAGTCTTTGACATCGGATTCATTGGGTGGTCCATCTCTGCAGTTGCTGATTTTGACACTGGAGAGGCGGGCACGGTCATTATTGGCAAGGGTGGCTGGCTGGTCGAACGGATGATGTTTCACAGAAATACTCGATATATCCATGCCTGCAGATGTTTTGTTACACTCTTGAGGCAGATAACAGATGGGTGCGGTACTTGGATTGTCTTGTGACCACCTACAGAAATCCTTAGTATATATGTTGGCAGAATGGCAGGGGAAAGAAGACTACCATTTTCAGAAGAAATTTCACAAACAAAATACCCTGGTTGTCTTCTGTGAGTTGTGAAGAACAGGTAACTCTGTTAGGCGGATGAGTTGGTCACTACCCGGTGCGACCAGTACCTATCAACATCAAAATTCTTTTGGGTCAAAGCGACCAGATTCTACCAGCATGCACGACCAACATGAACCCTTCAGCAGGTATAGTTGTGGCAGGTTCGTGACAACTCCGCGGACCTGGGGATCATCTGATATGCTCGGCAACCATTGCCATCCCATGACGTAGTAGACTTCCACGGACATGTTTCTACAGTCATTATAAGATTTAATTGAAAACGGTTTGGCTTAATCTATCTAATCTAATTTATCTCAAACCTCAATCCGACACATTTATTTTTATTTGGTGCGTTGACGACGAATGGCGAAGTCGAAGATATATTTTCGGTTAGCCACGACGGCTAGAGCATGCGCCAGATATCCCACTGGATTCCTCCCACCGCCATCAAGAAATTTTCACCGGCCGAGCCTTTTACCAAAGAAGATATGTGCAAGATGGCAATCGACACAGAGCCAGGCGAGGACTCATGCGCGGAACCAAAGAGTCGGACTCGCTCGGGGTATTGCATTTTCGGCGCCTGTCATCGTGTCGACCATCGTGTATGCGCAACTTCAAAAACCACTCTATATGGACTCCAAACAAGGAGGGAGTGATTCAGATCAAAATCAGAAAAATTACATTTCAAAAAAAAATGAACGGTCGTCTCCGAAGATGGATGAAATTGTCGAAGCCAACAAGCTTACCAAGGAAGAAGCAATACTCACAACTGCACCCGACGTCCCACCACTAATAAAGAGAGACTACCCGGTTCTACTTCAAGTGAATCTAGTCGCATCCACAAAGATGGAAAAATTGACTAGCCAATACAAGTACGAAAAATGGAACTTCAACGGCTCAGTTCCTGGACCATTTATTCGCGCCAGAGTGGGAGATGTCGTGGAGCTATCACTGACAAACCGCGACGAGTCCGGCAACCCCCATAATATTGACTGCCATGCCTTCGTCGGCCCCGGAGGAGGAGCTGCGTTGACTACAGCCGAAGAAGGGCAGACAAAGACTGGGAGGTTCCGATTACAATTTCCCGGACTCTACATATATCACTGCGCCGCGGCTCCCGTGCCTGTACACATTGCCAACGGGATGTACGGTCTTATGTACGTGCAACCAACCGAAGGCGACCTTCCCCCGGTGGACCACGAGTACTACGTGATTCAAAGCGAATTCTACCACGAGCCACCAGAAGTAGAGGAAAACGGAAGACCCTCATCCCAGGTGGAATTCTCGTACCCGAATGCGCTCCGCGAAGAGCCAAGTGTGGTTGTCTTCAATGGACATGAGAGTGCATTGACGACGGAGAAGCCGCTGAAGGCTGGGGTTGGAGAATCTGTTCGCATCTTTTTCGGCAATGCTGGACCTAATTTGACAAGCTCTTTCCATGTTATTGGGAGTACATTTAAGACGGTGTATCGGGATAGTGATGTGCTAAGCCCGCCGGGTCAATTTGTGCAGACTGTTGGTGTCCCACCGGGGGACACTACTATTGTCGATATGGAAATGTTTGTCCCGGGAACATATACACTCGTTGACCATGCAATATTTCGTCTGGAAAAGGGTGCTGTTGGGTACTTGAACGTTTCAGGGGCCCCGCGGCCGGACATTTATGAGGGTACTGAACCACCAGCCCCTTGTGTTGGCTGCAAACTGCACCCCTAAATCTGTATCAATTCAAGCTCAGGATACTTCCAAGCCTTGGGAATGGCAAATTGGAAAGGGGGGTGCCTGATTTAGTTGCATTCAGGCGGGTTTGCCAATCCTCTTAATTGAGTTTCAGTTCCTGGAGCCAAGTCTTCTCCTTGGCATATTGACAAGGGTTCATTGTGATGACAACTGAGTTTTCAAATCACCGGTCGCATGTAAATAGGCCGTTATCTACATTCTCCTACTTGTGGTTGCGTAGATGCAAATCAGGATTGAGCTATAATTCAGTGCATGTTGGGACAGCCATGGTTTCAGCTGTATACCACTGAGGCAGTACAGTTTCTGACAGTGATTAGAGGTCCCTTAAAGCCGGTAAGACAGAAAGAAGGACTTCTAGACACGTATTCGTCAAGTAGATTGGCGTCCTCGGTAGTTTTCTCTGCGTATTGTAAACGAACGAGGCTGATTTCGCCGGGCATACATAACTTCGACGGGCGCATCTGAGAGAATTGTAGAATCAGCCGTGGCGCCTTACGCCTCATCACGTTCGAGAAAAAGTAAAGATTTGTTCTAGAAGAGAGGCGTTTTTCGAACCCCAGGAAAGAGCCACGCCTCCAGGGTTGAACAGGGTTGAAAAGATTAAAACGTGACCACCACTGTTCGAGGTAGACGGGTTGAGAAAGTCTAACCTCGAAGTTTATACGTTTTAGTCAAGTTGAAGCGGGGAGGTCCGGGATGTGGTTGGTCGGGTTGTTCGGCAAACTTTCATTAGTAAATTATGCGAATAATCCCCGACTCCCCGGAGCTTATCACTGCGCCCCGTTCAGCCGCCGTCACATTCAGCATCGAGTGCAGGAAAATGGCGTTCGCTGGGCACCAACTGGCTTACATTGTGATAAGAGAGAATATCAGAAAAGAGTCAATGAGCTCATGAGCACATGGCTACTAATCTGAAGAACCACCTTACAATTCCATCCACCAGACATTATTGGTAATCCCCAAAAGAAGAGCGCTTATCTCTCCTCCTCCCATGGAAAGGCCGTTATCGGGCCCAACTTTTAGGATGAATTTCTTGGGTGAGCCAGCCAGAGTGCGCAAATGGGCTTGCGTCTCTCGGATCTTTGCCCATGTCGTGTCTCCACAATATACCCTGGATAGGCCAATGGTACTCGATTTATTGTCGTCGATGGGGCCTTCCCTATCTCGTGTTCTCCGCCACCTCCTGTACCTTTTTTTCGCCTCATATCTCTTTCTCCGCACGCTCCGTCGGGATGACTTTTGACTTCTTCTCCTCGTATACATACACCTAGGGGTTCTATCACTGCCTGTATATGCATATAGAACCCTTTTCTCAATTTATACTCTGCATTTGCACTACTTCATACCTTTTTATTTCCGCCATTCGCTTGCTCACCAGCGTTTTCTTCATGTGCGCCTTGTAAAAAACCCTCACACGACCACCTCCGACCCTCTCCTTCGCCGCAGAGACTATGCCCTTATGTCCAGCTTCGGTCTCTCTGGCAGCAGCTCCGGCCTCGCCGAGCGGTCGGTCAATCAGTTTGCGGAGAATACCACTTTGGCTTGCCTTATCGCTATAGCCTGGTATAATGCCCTCGAGCTGATCGTCCTCTGCTTCACTACCTTCAAACGCTATGGCGGATGCTACTTCTGGTGTCTGCTCATCGCTTCGTTCAGCATCATCCCTTTTGGTCTGGGATACCTTCTCATCATCTATGACATCTATACAAACCAATTCCCCGTTGCCATGGAACTCATCGCCTGGGTAGGCATGGTGACGGGCCAATCCCTCGTCCTCTGGTCCCGACTTCATCTCGTCGTACACAGTCCCCGAGTCCTCCGTGCTTGTCTTGCCATGATCATCATCGATGCCATCCTCTTCCATATCCCGGCTTCCGTTCTCGAGTTCGGTAGTCACTCCAACAAGTCGGAGCTCTTCACGCACGCTTTTAATATCTTCGAGCGCATTCAACTTGTCGCCTTCTCATTACAAGAGGCCATCCTCTCTGCAATATACTCGTGGGAAGCAGTACGATTATTGAACCTCCGCCCCCGCGGCCACTATCGAGGCACCCTGGTACAACTGTTGATCGTCAATTTGGCCATGATCCTTATGGACGCCGCCATCATTGGCGTACAGTACTCGGGACTCTTCGATATCCACGTCACCCTCAAAGCCCTCGCATATAGCATCAAGCTCAAGTTGGAATACGCCATTCTAGGCAAACTCGTCCACTTCACGGAGATGAGCCACAGCACCAACTCGGCGCCTACCGACTTGTCAGATTTCGTGGATCTCTCCTTCCACCAGAACAACCAACGACCGGCAGATAGCGAAAGCCAAGCGCGTTTCCTCACTACACCGGAGAATTTTGATGAGCGAGGAGCAGCCCCGTCCAAACAATCCTCTAATGAACCTAGGATATCTGATATATCGGCCACGGGCAGTTCGAGTAACGAAATACCGTGATGATGATGGAATGACTGTAAATACATAATACATTCTTGTTTGCAGGCAAAGAATACTCGAATACACCTTTGCATATACTTCACATAATGCATGATATCTCTGATAAATATCTCGAAGCTAGTGTCTCACAGTCTCGGGAGAAAAGTCTTGGCTCCCCCGCTTGTCTAAGTTGTCTTATCGTCGGACTCCGCCGTGGAGCTGTAAACGGGGCAGCATATCTTGACCACATATCCACCTAATGTGGAGCGAATCTCAGAGTAAAAACAAAGCATACCCCCTCAATTTCATCTCCAAACCTACCACCAATATATACAATCCCAAACTACCTCACCATGGCCCTATCCCCACTGACACCGGCACAACTCAACGCCGCAGCCGCAAAATGCCTCGCCCTCCAAACCACCGCCCAAGACATCCACAACAAAAGACCATTCGTAGCACTCCTCCTCGCCCCCGACAACGAAACCCAGTTAATGTCCTCGCTCTCCCTCTCACACGTCCGCCACGCCGAGTGCGAACTCGCCCGCAACGCAGCGGATAATTACTCCTGGGACTATCTCGGCGGATGTACCATGGTCTCGACCTGGGAGCCATGTGCGATGTGTGCGGGGGCTCTGTACTGGGCACATATCGGGCGATTGGTGTACCTGGCGTCTGAGAAGACGTTGCAGAAGTTAACTGGAGATGGGAATACGGAGAATCTTACGCTTGATTTGCCTTGTCATCGTGTTTTTGAGGCGGGGCAGACGAGGGTTGAGGTTTTGGGTCCGTTGGAGGGGTGGGAGGGGAAGGTTGTTGAGGATGCGGAGCGATATTGGTCTATGCATCGGTAGGGATGAGTGTTCGAGATGGAATTTGAATGACACCTAGTCTACTACGGCGTATAAGGAGTGCGAAGTATAGAGTATAGAACATTGAATTTCACGTGCTCTGGGGGTTCACCCCGCCGCTACAGCAGTCTAGCAAGGCCCTCTATACATGAAGTATAGAATGTAGACCCACACAATATGCAGTCCTTATTTGGAATCGAAGCCCAAGGTATCATTTCATTATTGAGATCTCGGGCCATGGCCCATTATAAGATTGCTGCCTAAAACACTGCGAGGAGAATCAACCCAGTCGTAGGAAGCTACTAGATGATCCCAAACGATCCAGGAGGATCAGCAGAAAGGGAAGCCACCACTGACTAGAATAGCTAATGCTCTTTTCAAATACACAATTGAAAGTTCGGTTGAATCTAAGTAGTCTCCATACGGTGCACTCCACTATGGATAGAAAGCGAGTGTTCCTGCTACTGCACAAACCTGACCACATGTAACCTGGGATAAACTCGCCCTGAAATTGTCAATCAAGTGGTTATTTCCTCTAGTAGTTGGCCTGCTCGTCATGTGATGGGACCAATGTGAGCTCCAACAAGCGGAGAAGACCGCTGATATAGTATTGCACAGCCCCAACAGCCACAGGTAATGGGGACGAGAGGGATTCTTCACCCTATATTGAGCTCCTTAAGAGGTCTCCACTCGGTATCGTCGGTGGCTGTGTCTACGAGCTACTGAATATCTGCATCCTCCATAAGTAGAAAGCAATTCGCGTGGTGCTGCTGATCGCTCGGTGAAGTTCCAGGTCCAGCTTTGGGAGGAAAGTTACTACGCAAGAAGTTTGGCTTAGAGTAACAGAAAACAAGTTGCGTGGTTTCCTGCCGGTCGGAATTCGAGTTCAATTTACGCCAGTTTGCCGTGCCATTGCATCTGCGGCGCAAGAGTATTTTGCCTTTGAATGATTGTCATACTCGGGGAGTGGTGCCATGTCATCGACGAAGCTCGTATGATTGACGTCAGGTTGATGCGAAGACGATCATCCTGATTTCTTCGTGCTCTCAGGCGAAAACGGAGCTTCTTGCTTTTTGCGCGAGCGGGTCCCAGTTTGCGGGCGTGGACCATGGAGAAGGCGCGCGTGTGCCAAGACTTTGAACAGACCCAGCAAGTTTTTGCAGATCAGGGTGCTCGATGCAGTTTAACGCGGAGGGGCGCCGAATTAGCGTGGTGGGCGTGCAACTCTCGATCTGCAGGTTCCATGAGCCTGGGAAAACCTAGCAGCCTTATGGATTGAGCTTCATGTTTTGATACAGTAGCTGTTCCCACCTCATAATAGTAATACTCTTTAAATTGCAGTCATTGAACATCATGTGCCTGGACAACGCGGTGGCAAGGATGGCAAACGCAGGAGTTTCAATTCCCGCCGGAGATTGGCAAGTTGGACGAGGCAAACAACTGGGGGAAAAGCAGTTCCGCGACACATCAACATGACGTCAGGGGAGGTGGTTGCGTCAACTGGAGGGAATCCAAAGGTTGTTGCCCTGGTTATCGAGTTATGAAACGCCCTGACTCCTAGTACGGTAGTCATAGTTCGTACTAGTAGTCCGAGTTCAAACAGGAGTAACCAACTGAGGTACCTACGTACCTCGTTCCAAGCTAAAGAGTAAAGAGTCATCATTATGTACCTTCGATCGAAAAGTAACGGTACACCATAGTGGAAAGATGAGCAAGAGGCGCTAGCCCAGAATTGAGGTGGTACTTGATGGACAAGGAGGAGCTGCACTTCTCCTTCCTCTTTCTAGTAGATGGCTGGATGATCTGACGCTTCAATGGCTTAATAGTCGTCATCCCTTCTTCCTACTTTTTCTGCCCTTCTTCCTGCTTTTTCCTCCTCTTTCTTCCTCCTCCCTTGAATCCCTCTTCCACATATTTTGCACTTATTCCTCTCCTACCTTCCTTCATTCCAGTGATACCCCCCTTGATTCCCCAAGCAACATCCCGCGAAATAATTGCTATTGTTAATACCCGATTATCGAAATCTACCCTCCCCTGTACCCGTTCGTATCACCATTCCATCTCCCTGTTTGTCGCGATTGCAAACCCCCAGTCTGGCCATATACACGCTAACCTGGATCCACCAGTTAATATTCCTCTGTCTACTTCTTCCGGGGTCCAGTCCTTGACACGACTGTCACGGTCTTCATCATGTCTTCCAAAGCTGTGAACGTGCCCACCGACTTGAAGCAGAAGGAGAAGGTACGCGGAACTGCTCTCCGAGCCTGAGGATGAGACCCCTCGTGGAGAGAGCGCAATACTAACCAGATTTGTGCCGGTCTAGGATATCAATTCAAAGCTCCAGCTCTTCGGAATTTACCATGGTTAGTCAATGCTGTTGTCTCCCTATCTCGCCAATCGAGAAACCATGTCGCTAACTTGTCTGCTATAGCCTTTAAGAACAACAAGCTTCCCTCGGTCAGTACTCTACAAGACCTTGCTCCGTCGCGCATTGTTGTCATATCCCCATACTGAACCTGGTTCTCATTCATTCCACAGAACAAGCAATGTGATGTCGCCCTGAACAGCGCCCTTTCCTCTAAGGCCCTCTCCTCGCCATCAAATGAGCTTTCCAGCGAGGGTAAGGTCCTGATCCAGGATCTGCGCAACGTCATCGAACAGGCTAAGCTGCTGCTTCTCACCAAGAACGAGGGCGAGCTGTTGCAAGACTTCATCTGGCAAGCTCAGCAGATCAACACCGGTGATGTGCAGGCCCCTAATGTGCCCATCTCCAAGGAGACGGGCCAGCAGGATGCGAACAAGGCCTTGGAGGGTCTCAAGACTCTCGGCACACTGCTGATCACCAACGGAGAGTTCCGCAAGATCCGTGAGTATCATGTCGATGCGAGCTGAAAATCAATTCTAACCCCTGTCTGCAGTGAGTGATGCTATGGTTCTGATCCGCGATATGGCGGCCGATGCCTCCCAGAAGGCGGCCAATGTGGTTCGCCCTCCTGAGGAACACTTGTCACAGATTGACGAGCCTGCAGAGGAGAACACCTGGCACGAGAAGCCCAGTGTCTCCAAGGAAGATATCAAGCAGCGCCTCAAGAGGAAGGGTGTAAGTCAAGCAAAGTCTCCATCTAGGAGAAAAAGACCTTAAGCTCACATATGCATCAGGACAAGGACGGCGTTGCCGCGCCCTCGATTCCTGAGACTGAGTATACTGATGAGGACGGTGCCTCTGTGACTCCTTCGGAGCAGAGCCGCCGTAAGAAGTATGGCCAGCAGGCAAAGGAGTACCTATCCGAAAAGGTTCCCAAGGAGCGTCGCGAGCAGGCCATCTGGCGTCTGAAGAAGATGGTCATTGAGATTCAGGGCCACGCCGACTGTAAGCTCCCCCTTATAGCCCAAGACGAATGATTGCTAACCCTCCATACAGACCAGCAAGCCATTGAGACTTTGCTGAGCATGGCTGAGAAGTATGCTGGCCACACCAAGAGTGCCACCACTCAAAGTGGCGGTGCTGTTCGCGACATTCGATCCACCAGCAGGGTCCATACTGTTGAGCACAACCTGCGCACCCTCATTGAGCGATTTGCCAACAACACTTCCTTGTCCGACTTCTTCGAGTCGCTGAACAACATCTACCGTGACGCTGACAAGGACCCCGAGCTGCGTGGATGGTTCTCAAACGTCGACACCTACATCCGCAAGTGTCTGCGTGAGCAGGGCTTCATCATGCAGGACGAGTCTACTCGCCAGTGGAACGAGCTCTACGACAGGGGCCGTTACCTTCTCCGCGAGCGCTACCGCACCCACACTGACCGCATCGTGGATGAGACCAAATTCCTGGCGGATCAATTCGACAAGGACCCTCGCAACAAGGCCTTCGCAGACTCTATTCAGAAGTTGTTCCTTGATCTGGGTCGCGATGCCGGCGGCAAGGTTGTCTTCAAGAAGCATCTGCTTAAAGATATCCGCGATGTTATCCTGCCCGGCATCATCGAGAACGTCCGCTACATCCCTATCCCTCGTATTGAGGTTTCGGACCCCACCGTCGACGTGGTTGTTGAGAACCTGACCGTTGAGAGCGATAACCTGATGCCCAATGTCGTCGAGTTTGGTAGCGACAACTACTTCCGCTGGGGGCGCAAGAAGATCAGCAACAAGCGTGACAACAAGATCATGATTGCTGCATCCGGCATCCAGGCTGATCTCCGCGATGTCAGCTACTACATCAAGAAGAAGCAGGGCTTCCCCTCCATCACTGACATCGGTGTCATGGACATCATCCTCGGTGGTGAGGGCTTCGGCTTCAAGATCGCCGCCTCTACCGCGAACAAGGAAGACAAGCAGCACTTCGTCAAGCTGGACAAGGTCTCAGTGAACATCAAGAACATGGACATCAAACTCAAGAAGTCCAAGCACAAGCTTCTCTTCGCCACCTTCAAGCCCTTGCTCTTCAAGGTTGTTCGTCCCGCCCTGGAGAAGGTCATTGAGGCCCAGATCCGACAGGCCTTCACTGATGGTGATGCCTACGCCCACGAGATCCACAAGGAGGCTCTGCGTGCCCAGGAGGCTGCTCGTGAGGACCCCGAGAATGCTCCCAGCATCTTATCCCGCTACGCAGACGCCATGCGCGCCCGCGCCCAGGCCAAGGCCAAGAAGGCCGAGGCGATCGTCAGCCGCACCAAGGTCCAGACCGTCATGACCCTGCATGACTCTATCTTCCCTGATATCAAGCTGCCCGGCGGTATCTCCAGCAAGGCCACCGAGTACGCTGAATTGGCCGCCAAGGGCGAGAAGTGGGAGTCGCCCATCTTCAGCATTGGCGATGCCTCCGAGTCGAAGAACATCCCCAGCGCTGGTGATGTCACCCGTAAGCCTCACACCACTGCCACAGATCGCGCTGGCCCTGCTGGTGCTGCTGGTGCTGCTGGTGCCGCTGCTGCGGGCGGTATTGCTACCACTGGTGTTGCTACTACTACTGGCGGCGCCACCACTCTTCCTGGAACCAACGGCGCTACCAAGGTGGATGGTTACCCTTCGCGTGGCTTTTCCGATGAACTCGACGAGGCCTTTGTCGGTGATAAGACTAACGCCCTGGGCGCGGGTGTCAAGCCCGCTACCAACGGTACTAACGGCACCACCCGCAATGGTACCACCCACGTCACCAACGGCTCCGCCGCGGTGGTTTAAATTGGAGGTTAAGTGCTTTGGATGGGATAGCTTTGATGACATTCGCGTAAATGATGTCTCCGCTAGCGAGTCGACCTAGCCAGGATGTTTGGTAAACGAGGTTGTCTGGTGTTTTCAAGTCTTTCGCTCTATGATCTTTTTTTTGTGATTTTGTTATGATTTCCCCCTTTTGCCAAATGTTTGGATCTTTTTGTTGCGTGTACGAGTATGGCTTTCTTTTTTGTATTCAGTTGGTAGCCTAATCAATACATAATGCCACCGCTGATTCTGCAAGATATATCGACAACCCTGGCGCTGGCTACTCGACGTCTGAGATCCCATAGTTCGTCAGACTCTAGATGAATAGCTATCATCAGGGGGTACTTTGTCAAACTCTGCAGTAGACATAGATAGACCATGAAAATATTTCCACAATCTATGAGGTACCAACTTACCAAGTACCTGGCTGCGGGATGGCACCGTCTCACGGGGGCTGTCCGTGGTACTGCGATTAACCCTGTTGGCTAGCTGGTTACCCCCCAGCGGGACTGCATCTGATTACGTCTCCTATCTCCCGCTTTTATTTTTAGCTTGAGAATCACCATCAGCTCAATCTCTGACTCTCCCGTTCATAACTTCATATGGGCACCAACAAATACCCAAGCGACCATTGATTCGGCTTCGGGAAACTACTTGCGGCTCTTGAAACCTCCAATCAAACTACACAGCCCGTCTGGTATGTGAGACTGGACCATCAACCCGAGCGGCCTCCAATACCAAGCCCGCCACTTTTTCAGATCAATCGCCATGGAGTCTCGCGTCCCTTAACCGTTCACTGCCGTATATTCGATCGCCACCTGGGTTCCAACCCAACGGTCACAATGCCCCCTTCCACCGTCTTCTCATATTGGCGCAGAGACCGAGACCATCGCCGCTCGACCGCGCCACCAGTCTCCCTGCCCGCACCGACGTCAGGAAACAAAAGCACGACGGACAGCCCGATCAGCCCTCCCCAGCTTCCCCAGATCCCTGATACTCCGACCCTTACCTCCCCATTCGGCGACAAGCAAACACTCGATGCCCCTCCGTGGAGCGATTCACCTGTGGAGAATGACGCGTCCAAGCTGAACCTCGACAGCTCTGCAGCTCCATTGTCCTCCTCCGCTAGCCTCGCTGTTCCATCCCCGTTGGCCGAAAGAGAGAACCGCCCATATTCGAGTCCGGGAGAGCGCGAGCCAGAGACAGGTCTTACATCACAGCCGAATACCTCGCAACTCTCAGTCCCTGGCTTACGGCCTGAACAAGATGATGGCGAGTCGAATTCAAAGCCGAATTCGCCATTTCGGTTGTCATTTGGCAAGGGATTGCGAAACTTTCAGGCGCCACCAGCGGAACCCCAGAGACGGTCACCCAGCGCAGGGCCAGGACCGAGTCAGTTTCGATTGAAGACCTCGCCCGACGATTCACCAGCCGAGAGGTCATTCATACCCCAGAGAGAGTTCAGTAAAATGGAAGTTTCTACAGCTCGGCGACCGGTTGATCGTGATGTATCGACTGAGAATTCTCACAAGTCTGGCAAGGCGATGCTTCATCTCTTGAACCCAATGTCACTTCTCGCTCGCAGGCGATCCTCACAGATTGGCAGTTCACGTGTGGACGAAGCGAAGATCAGTGCTCCAAATTCAATACCCGCGATTCCTGATGACTACGACCCAAGAATTCGCGGAAATATTGTGCATGACTTTTCGGCTCCGCGACCGCGTCGCAATGTATCCTTCAACAACACAGCTGTTCCACCTGATGACGGGAGCAGCAGCTCAAATACGCAGGAGCATAGATGGAATGATAAGCCCAAAAGGCATAGCGAATATTCCCCAGTGTTCAAGGAGCACTTCGAGGATGACCGGAAGGTATTACAGGTGGAAAATAAGGGCTATCTACAGTCAAGCCTTTTGACTAATCCTATGCAACATGGTTATGAGAAGTCAATACCGGTTTTTGCACGGAACTTGCCTTCATATTTACCGGATCAATCTCCTGAGAACGCTGAGCAGAGCATATCTCCACCAGCGGAGCCGCCTGTTGAGCTCCCAGCGGAAGTGCCCACAGATGTTCCTTCTCATATATCGGAAGACGCTCCGCCAACTCATCAGCAGGACCACGACACAATTCCCCATGTACCCCATCCGAGCGCTGCCTTGCCTCGACATCTCAAAAGTAATGCTTCTCGCTTCAGCTTCGACATGGGCGGCGTCGAATCTTCTACCCAGGAGAAGCTGCTTGAAGAGAAACACAAGGCAAAGGAAGCCCAGCGCAAGTTGGAAGACGGGTACTTTGATGACTTTGATGACGAGTTTGACCATGACATCATGGATGACTTTGATGGGCTCGAGGAAAAGATTCCAGGTGTCAATGCCGACGCCGACGAAGAAGATTACTTGGCCCCGTCAATTGTCAAGTCTTGGGCTGTACCCGGGCTGTCGCCTGTTGTTGCGAGTCCAATCACACCTGCCCCGCCTGAGATTCCCGAAGGTTTTATGGGCACCGTTCCTACTGCCTTAGATGAACAGGTCGATCCATTGTATCAAGATGAGATACTTCAAAAGGAGACAGATTATTCTCCTGATGAACCGGAAGAGGTGCAACAGCCTCTTCCTTTGAGCGTTCACAGGCCTGGAGACAATCCCAATACACTACCAGCCATGAACGCAGGTCCTCCAGTACTGGATGACGATGGCGACGATTTGTATTTTGATGATGGAGAATTCGGGGATCTGACCATGGAAGACCAGGATGCCGGCTTTGACGAGTCTGTCTTTGATGATGAGACTAGTCACCTCTATGAACGGAAGCCGGTCAACCCACCACCGGCACGTCAGACCTCTCAGAGCACCATCCGCAGTGGTGATGCTCTAGAAAAAGAGTTTCTCCTCGATGAGGCCGCTAGCCAGGGACTCAAGCATATGCCTAGCGTTGCAAGTGAATACGGAGTTGGCCCGGTCAAGCGTGGCCCGCTTGGTGAGCCTATACCCAACATGGGGCCTGCTCGGGCTCATGGGGGAGTGCTTACTGAGCGAAACCTGGAGGTGCTGCATAATGCGCTGGCCTTTGCCGCAAACGAAGCTGCTACGCACGGCCGGTTTGAACGTACTTTCAGCACGAGCGATCGATCAATAGCACAGGAGAGTATCTCCCAGGCGTCGCACACGGCCGAATCACAGCCTGGACTCGTATCGGATGACAGTCGCCTTAGCCAAGGGGCCGATATGGTCGGCTTCGACGATTACCTCGAAGATCAGATGATCTACGACGACGATCCATATTACGATGACCCCATTGTTGCTGCTGCCAATGCCGAAGCGCTTGAGAACGACGATGAAGGCTTCTACGGACAGGAGTTTGGCTTCTACGCCCAAGCTCACGGCACTTGTAGCAGTGAAATGACCAACGGCGGGTACTTCGGCCCGCGCGGCGTCGAGGGCATTACTCGCCATCACAGCAGTCGAGGCAAGTTTCAAGAACCTAGCCTGACTCCGATCACCGAGCGCAGTGAATGGAGCACTCGGAATTCCGTAATCTCGTTGAAGGCACATGGTGCCGCCCTTTCCAACCCTTCTCTAGCCAGCCCTGGCTTGGCACAGCTCGTCGACCTAGGCAACTTGGACGACGAGATGTCACTGAGCGCCCTGCTGAAGCTACGCCGTGGCGCCTGGGGTGGCAGCAATGGTAGCTTGCGCAGCAGTGCAGGTAGTCCGCCGCCCCATACCCTTTCGTCGTCCAACCGGGGTAGCTTCATTGCTGCGTCGGAGGCGAGCCCGTCTGAGGCACGACCCTCTGCGGATGAAGGCCTGGCAAGCATTGGCTATCATCATGACGATGGCCATGTATATGCGACCTCACCGCTTCGAGACAGTCTTCGCGGATATCGCGGCGAGCTTCCGCCGAGCGGAACGGATGGTCCGATAAGCAGCGCCGACTCCCAGCATGAAGTGCCGATGCTCGGCACTCATCAACATCAACAACAACAATCACAACCAACACTACAATACGCCAATGTTTTGTAAATAGCCACTTGCGACCTTCTTGTTCTTCTGTTGACTCTTCCTTGATTGGATATAATTATTCTGATTTGGGGTCTTTTTCATCTTTGCATATGGTTGTTGAAAGGGACCCTTATATAACGATCTAATGAATCTCCGAGCGTGTGTTTTGATGTGTCAAGTATGGTGGTTCTCTGTTTGTTTGCTACTGTTCTATCTTATTTTAATCTGTCACTCTTTCTTGCGCTTTGACTGTCTTGGAAATTGCGCTCATGACCTGCTGCATGATGGTTAAAACATTGGAAATGGGCAGCCATTGGGCGTGCTATGGGCTAGGATGGGGTGTATATAGATGCCGTAAGAGCAATCGATGGGCGTCCGATTGGGCCGAAATCACCCGCAAAACACCGAAATTCTTAGCCGGCGGCGATTCCGTCGGGGTCACGCTGACTTCCCAACTACGTAAAACGGACAAAACTGGAACTTGGGGTCGGCTATCCCTCGGGATGACTCAGCAAAGCGGGAGCATTCCAGCCCTGCCTATTGGCTGGACTCCTGCACCAAGTACATAATACCCAAAGTATGTACTGTGGTGGCCTTGATGCCTCACTGCCTGGGCTCCGTCACTGCCGCGCAGGCTCAGCTTTCCAGAATCTGGTTCTTCTCTTGCTTCTTCGCTCTCCACTCTTCTTCACCCTTCCCATATCCTGTCAATTTTGTGATCAGCAGAGTTTCTGCTCTCTGATGAGTTCCGTTTCTATACAGGTGCTACGGCAATTCTAGTCGACACCTGTTTTCTGCGCGAGTTTTTTTCTCTTAAAAAAACACATCTGTTCGTGCTGACCCTTCCTTTTCTCCGTGTCTCGGTACCCTCGGCAGGAGAAATAACAACCTGGCAACTTGAACTAACCGGCGCATGAATTGTGAATTCGCTTCTAGATCGCTGATTCGTGACGCTTTCAAAGCTGAAAAGCTTTCGCATACCTAATTTCCCCCTTTTTATTCGATCGTGAACGACTTCGGATTGTTCCCTTGAATTCGTCGGAAAAATCCCGCAATGTTTAGGAACACCGCCTTGAAGGCCACCCACAGCAACATGCTGCGTGGTGTTGCCAGCTCGACCTCTCGCCGGGCTTTCCACCTCACCTCTACTGCTCGCAGTGCCTCTAAGACCTCCACCTTCGGTCTGACTTCTCGCCGTCCCCTCGCTGTCGTCGACCGTGCCTTCAATGGCGCTCGCCTCTATGCTTCGTCTGCGGAGGGTAACGCTCCTGGAGTGGTAAGCAACAAATCAGCCTCGAGATTGCTTTTGCAATCTAATGATCGTCATGCGCGAGATCATGAAGATTATCCATAAAACGGCCATTCGACTAACGCGACGGCGCGAACTTTTTCTCCCTGTGAATAGGACCCCAACGATTCTTTCCTGCAGGGCAGCACTGCCAACTATATTGACGAGATGTACCTCGCCTGGAAGCGGGATCCTTCCAGCGTCCACATCTCGTGGCAGACATACTTCAAGAACATGGAGGATGGCAACATGCCCATCTCCCAGGCTTTCACTCCTCCCCCGACTCTCGTCCCCACCCCTACCGGTGGTGTGCCTCAGGACATGCCCGGCCATGGACTCTCTGCTGGTGCCGATGTGACAAATCACTTGAAGGTGCAGCTGTTGTGCCGTGCCTATCAGGCCCGTGGTCACCACAAGGCTAAGATCGACCCTCTGGGCATCCGCGGCGACGCCGAGGCCTTCGGCTACAGCAAGCCAAAGGAGCTCGAGCTCGACCACTACGGCTTTACTGAGCGTGATCTGGACCAGGAGTTCGCTCTCGGCCCCGGCATTCTGCCCCGTTTCCTCACCGAGACCCGCAAGAAGATGACTCTGCGCGAGATCATTGCCGCCTGTGAGAAGATCTACTGTGGCTCCTACGGTGTTGAGTACATTCACATTCCGGACCGCAAGCCTTGCGAGTGGATCCGTGACCGCTTCGAGATCCCCGAGCCCTACAACTACTCGGTTGACGACAAGCGTCGCATCCTCGACCGTCTCATCTGGTCTTCGAGCTTCGAGTCCTTCCTGGCCACCAAGTTCCCTAACGATAAGCGTTTCGGTCTGGAGGGCTGCGAGACCCTTGTGCCTGGTATGAAGGCTCTGATTGACCGCAGTGTCGACTACGGTATCAAGGATATCGTTATTGGTATGCCTCACCGTGGTCGTCTTAACGTCCTGTCCAACGTCGTCCGCAAGCCCAACGAGTCCATCTTCAGCGAGTTCGCCGGTTCCACCGAGCCTTCCGATGAGGGCTCTGGTGATGTCAAGTACCACTTGGGTATGAACTTCGAGCGCCCTACCCCCTCCGGCAAGCGTGTCCAGCTGTCTCTGGTCGCCAACCCCTCTCACTTGGAGGCCGAGGACCCCGTCGTGCTGGGCAAGACCCGCGCTATTCAGCACTATAACAATGATGAGACCAAGTTTGACAGCGCCATGGGTGTTCTGCTCCACGGTGACGCTGCTTTCGCTGCTCAGGGTGTTGTCTACGAGACCATGGGCTTCCACTCTCTGCCCGCCTACTCCACCGGTGGTACCATCCACATCGTCGTGAACAACCAGATCGGTTTCACTACCGACCCCCGCTTTGCCCGTTCTACCCCCTACTGCTCGGACATTGCCAAGTCTATTGACGCCCCCGTCTTCCACGTCAACGCTGACGACGTCGAGGCCGTTAACTACGTTTGCCAGGTTGCTGCTGACTGGCGTGCCGAGTTCAAGTCTGACGTTGTTGTTGACATCGTCTGCTACCGTAAGCAGGGTCACAACGAGACTGACCAGCCTTCCTTCACCCAACCTCTGATGTACAAGCGTATTGCCTCCCAGAAGGCCCAGCTCGACAAGTACATCGAGAAGCTGATCAACGAGGGTACCTTCACCAAGGAGGATATTGATGAGCACAAGAAGTGGGTCTGGGGCATGCTGAACGACAGCTTCGACCGCAGCAAGGACTACCAGCCCACCGGCAAGGAGTGGCTGACCTCCGCCTGGAACAACTTCAAGACCCCCAAGGAGCTGGCCACCGAGGTTCTTCCCCATCTTGAGACCGCTGTTGAGACCAAGTCTCTCCAGCACATCGCCGACAAGGTCAGCGGCAGCAGTGTGCCTGAGGGCTTCACTCTCCACCGCAACCTGAAGCGTATTCTTGCCAACCGCAAGAAGAGCGTCGACGAGGGCAAGAACATCGACTGGGCTACCGCTGAGGCTCTCGCTTTCGGTTCGCTCGTTGACGAGGGCTACCACGTCCGTATTTCCGGACAGGATGTTGAGCGTGGTACCTTCTCTCAGCGTCACGCCGTTCTGCACGACCAGGAGACCGAGGCTACCTACACTCCCCTCCAGAACATCACTGACAAGCAGGGCAGCTTCGTCATCTCCAACTCTTCCTTGAGCGAGTTCGGCACGTAAGTTAATTCTCTATGCAAGAAACAGGACATCGTTTGGTCGAATTCACGTTGCTAATATGTTTCCATTACAGTCTCGGTTTCGAGTACGGTTACTCTCTGACCTCCCCCGAGGCTCTCGTCATGTGGGAGGCTCAGTTCGGTGACTTCGCCAACAACGCTCAGTGCATCATTGATCAGTTCATTGCTGCTGGTGAATCCAAGTGGCTGCAGCGTTCCGGTCTGGTTGTCTCTCTGCCCCACGGTTACGACGGCCAGGGTCCTGAGCACTCTTCCGGTCGTATGGAGCGCTGGCTGCAGCTTTGCAACGAGGAGCCCCGCGTGTTCCCCTCTGCTGACAAGCTGGACCGCCAGCACCAGGACTGCAACATGCAGATTGTCTACATGACTGAGCCTTCCAACATCTTCCACGTCCTCCGTCGCCAGATGCACCGCCAGTTCCGCAAGCGTATGTTTCATCCCAATTGAGTCGCTCTCGAAGAAACTAATATACTGACCTCTTCTTCCTACCAGCCCTTGTCATCTTCTTCTCCAAGGCGCTCCTGCGTCACCCCATTGCCCGCTCTGACCTGGAGGCCTTCACCGGTGACTCTCACTTCCAATGGATCATCCGTGACCCCGCCCACAAGACCGAGGCCATCGAGGCTCCCGAGAAGATTGAGCGTGTCATCATGTGCTCTGGCCAGGTCTACGCCGCTCTTGTCAAGCACCGTGAGGCCAACGGTATCCGCAACACTGCCATCACTCGTGTCGAGCAGCTGCACCCTTCCCCTGGGACCAGCTGAAGGAGAACCTGGACAGCTACCCCAACGCCAAGGACATCGTCTGGTGCCAGGAGGAGCCCCTGAACGCCGGTGCCTGGTCGTACGTCCAGCCCCGTATTGAAACCATGCTCAACTCCACTGAGCACCACAACCGCCGCCACGTCCTGTACGCTGGTCGTGCTCCTAGCGCTTCCGTGGCCACCGGTCTCAAGGCTGTTCACTTGAAGGAGGAGCAGGAGTTCCTGGAGGATGCTTTCTCCGTTCACCAGGACCGCCTGAAGGGCGAGTAAATGTGTCAAGTCATTCCCTTAGATCGGGATGAACATGATCCGCATTTGACTGTTTGATTGGGTTGCTTTCCTATGTTCATGGGTCCTGCTGGGAGCTAGCGTCCGATTTTTTCGATTTCCCTTTGTACTACCTCTTTTTTTATTTGCATGAGTTCTCTATTGTTCTCGGCTTGGTGTATACGACCTGTCTGTGCTCTTGCTAGACTTGGAACCGTTTATACCTAGAATCTATGCTTTTGTAAAATACAAATTTCATTTATTTGTTGCATAAGAACTCTTCCAAAATAAAGGCTGTAAATTGTAGATCGTTAATTATTAGATAGTTGCTATACATACCTCTCGGAGCTGGTTGTAGCTGTTCCTGGCATGACATCATCGAAATACCAGTGACTAATCACATTGATGCCTGGCACCACAGGCCGGCACTCACCTGATCCGATTGCTCTTCTCCGCACGCAAACTTCCCGAAGACTGTTGCTTCTTCAGCCGCTCACCATCTACCCCCAAAGCTCTCGCTGAACTCGCTTCTTAGCAGACTGTCTTCATTTATCAACTGGCACTTATAGTCCTTCGTTTGCCCCACTGATTCGGGCCCGGTGCACCCAGAAACCCCTCTTTTCACGGTGCATCTCCCCAGGCTGATTTCGTCCACACCATGTCCGCCGTTTCGTCTTCGACCCTCAACCCCCAGGGTCAGGGGATACGTCAATCAGCCCGGAACACACGAACCAATCCCTCCCGAACCTCCAAGACCATCAACCGCTCTTCGTTTGGCGTCAGCCGTGGCTCGATAGCCGAAATTCCGGCAACGCCCCCTGTTCCTCATGGCTTTTACCCTGCGCTTACGCATTTTACGGACGCGATCACTGCGCTGCCGCGTGAATTTCGCAGACACAATTCGTTGTTGAAGGAGGTTGATGCGAAGGCGTGGGCGCTCGAGGAAAATCTGCTTCAGCTCTTGCAGATTTCCTCCGAGTCGCAACCTGTGCCGCACCCGCCTCATCCGGCACCTATTGTGGGCGGCGTGGTGCGAGAGGATGTTTTGCCTAAGGTAGGTAATTGGATGTTGAAATTGGCTGTTCTTGGGAAAACTGGACTGACAGATTACCCCTCTTTCTAGGAACTCTCCCAATCCCCGGAGTCGCCCGAGAGCAAAAACCGTCGTCTTCTCTTCGATCGTGTACGACAGAGCCTTACAGACCTGATGATGACGGCCGATGAAAAGAACCATGTGATTTCCAACGCCAACGAGGAATTGGACCGCCAGATCGTTCGGCTGGATACTGTGTTCCCGTACATTGCGGGCGAGATCAGCGACGAGGCTCGTTTGGGCAGTCTTACACACTGGGCATACTCTAACAAGAGTGCTGCCAAGACTGCGACAAACGAGCGACCGCGCCGTGAGGCTGTGGCTCAGCGACAGGACCTCTCCCATGTGCTCCAGGAGGCTGAAGCTGCCAGCCGGAGTGAGGCACGGCGCGAAGCTGTTCGGGCTCGAGCTCGGCGACCAAATCCAGACGCAGACTATGAGGAAGGTCGCGCTCCTCGTAAGACAAATTCTGGAAAGTCTCGCGGCGATAATGCGACGGGTGAAAATGCGGCGCCCAAGCGTCGCAAGGTGGAACGACCCGCCACGATAGACGCTGGAGCGCCGATGGAGCGCTCTGCTAGCGGCACTGGTGGTCAGCGCGGTGCCAACAAGGATGGCGCAGAGAAGAAGCGATCCCGCGCTCCTAATCCGAACGCAGTCGCAGCTCGCAAGAAGTATGTTCTATCATTTCCCGATGTCCGCGCTTGCAATTGACAATCTCATCTCTAGGACCACCGCCGCTTCGAATGCTGGATCGCCCGTTCTGGCACCATCCCCTCTTATCGGCACCTTTAACAATACCCCACGTGGAGCTGCGAGCCCAGGCCCACACACAGCACGCCCTCAATCCTCTCGAGCCCAACAGAATGCCGGACAGACCAGTAACTCCCGACAACGACCCTCTTCCTCGGCATCCAACCGCATTGGTCAAGCAAACTCCAGTATGTCTATGCCCTCAACTGCATTGTTTTCTCCTCTGACTGAATTTTGTTCCAGCCAAACCAGCGGAATCCAGATCTGCTCCGCGCGAGCCCGTCAAAGCCGAAACTGCCATCGCAGAAACCCGCGATATCGAAGGCGAGTCTGGCAATCGACCTGCGCCAGCAGGGACGAAGCGCGAAGAAGATCGGCCAGCAGACGCAGTCGAGCCCGAACCAACCAGCAAAGGCCGCAACTCCAAAACATCCACTCCCCTCCTCTCTACACTCGCCGAGCCCACCCAATCTCGCTCGCGACCAACACGAGGCAGTGACCCCGCGCCTAAGCGGACAGCCAAGAAACCTCCCGTGCAGCCCGCAATCCCCTCAGACGAGGAATCTATCCACGAGGGTGATGACGAGGACGAGGACCAAGAGCCGAGATACTGTTACTGCAATGAGGTCAGCTTTGGTGAGATGGTGGCATGCGATAATGATGCTTGTCCGCGCGAGTGGTTCCATCTGTCGTGTGTTGGGATGACGAAGCCACCTGGAAAGAATGGTAAGTCTTCATCTTCCTTGAAAGTAAGTTTCGTTTTTTGGATTTGTATGCTGACTCTGGGACAGTTAAATGGTACTGTAACGAGTGCAAGGAAAACATGCGGCGCGGTCGCAATGGCCGGTAAATGGGAGAGATTGGTTTGTGAGATTTAAGGATTTAAATAGACATGATGGGCGTTTATGCGTGGTCTATGGATATGGACATCTTGGCTTTGGCTACGGTCTGATTCTTCATGTTGATTTTGATATCGATACATGCATGCCACCTGCAAAGATGATATACTAGGAATTACCCTACTGAATGAATCCTCGCTAGGAAGTTCATGGTATATCTGTGTTCATTAGGCCCAGGACAGTATTTATGCCATGTGATCCTCATACGGAGGTCCACGAGAATCCCTTCTATAATAAATAGCATGATCCATGAGATGCATACCCCCGAGCTTTCAAAATACCTTCAAATCCAAGCACCAAATCACCAAGCCCCCCTAAACCTCTCCATAATCCCACTCCCCGCACCCCTCCTCCTCTGCCCACCCCCATTCTCCATCCCAGACGCCGAAGCAGCAACCTCCCCCTCCAACCTCCTCCTCAAATCCTCAAACCGCTCTCTCTCCGCCGCACTCGCACCTCCACCCCCACCAGCAGCAGAACTAGCGGGACCACTCCTCCGCTCCCTCTCGCCCACCATCCACGCCGGAACGCGGAAGCCATGACTGGCCGGTGATAAACCTGGCAACAGTTCCGCGCGCCAGGCCATGCCGACGATCCAGCCGACTGCGGAGGGGAGGAGCATTGCTGGAAATTGGGAGAGTGCGAGTTGGGCGGCGACGAGGTAGGTTGTTGTTTTGTCGGAGAGGAGGAGGGTTAGACTTGGTGGGGATGGTTTGGGGGTGCTTGTGCTGGAGGGTTGGTTTGTGGCCGTTGTATCGTCATTAGCGGTGGCAGGAGTGGTGGTGGTGGTGGTGGATGATGACGAGGAGGGGGATGATGTGGTGCCGATGCGGAAACGGAATGTATGCGGGATCATGGCGTAGTATTGTGCCAACAGGGCGAATATCATGGCTGTCGGACCGGAGGGGAGATAGTTTAATGTATTGAGGGAGAGTGGGCGGACAATCAGAGCTAGGAGGAGTGGTGGGAGGAGTGTTGTATATGGTAGTGTTGTGAGCAGGAATGTCTGTATTCGGTCAATCAGTACCTAGTCCAGTCCTCAAACATAACATTTCTCCCTAGATCATGAAGAAGGGAGGGTTAGACGTACGACCATCTTCCTCTTCCCCCAAGCGCGCTCAACAACCCGCAAATGATACACTAGCATAGCGGCGAACAAGGCTTCTGTGGAGTTTGTAAATCCCGCGACGTGCCAGACGAGGGCGCGCCAGAATTGCGCGTATGGCCAGAAGTGCGGGGAGACATAGATTTGGGCGAGGTGTTTGATGTCGAGGATTGAGAGGGCGATTGAGGAGGCGATTGTGTAGATTAGGAGGGTTTTGGTGAGCGGGGTGTTGGTTAGCCCCGATGTGAGCATTTTGGGGATTGGGCTTTGTTTGGATATGTATTAGAGAGGGTTTATAAACGGGTGGACCATTCGACCGGCTTAAAGGGTTGGGGTGTTTGTTGTTTTGTTGGAAGGAGTGGTGGTTGAAGGTGAGGTGTGGGGGAAGGTTGAAGGGAGCTTGACGGAGGAGGCCAGATTGGCAGAGATTCGGAGAAAACGGAGTCCGGGGTACCTCGGCATGCCGAGTCAAGTATACTTTAGTGTACACTGTATACCCAGGTAACGGCAAAATACGCAAAAGAGTTTGGTGTGCCGATTCAGATTTAGCGCCCCCCTGCGCGTTACTCCCGCCATGCATGTTTCTATAAAATCCCCTTCATCGCCGCTTCAACTTCTTATTGTTACATTATTCAATACCGATTAGATTTAGTCTCTTGTACCGGCCCCAGACAATATAGCCTTTTATACAGTACACGACATATTTAGTAAGAGATCGTCTACAAGCATAATTAATTCCACTAATATAATATGCCGAAGCTTCAATAGCGACTTAGCCATATGAATAGCCTGAAGTGGTCGTACGCGACTCCATCGTTGCCCCGGAGTTAGGCATTCAGGCCAATCCTATAGTGATCGGAGATAATCTTGCTCCGTTGGGCTCGACTTCCAATCCAGGATGACGAGGGTTAGTGCCGCGATGAGCCAGACAACTTTGTTCCGTTGCCGACACCGAGATCATGGCTACACGGGAATTTTGGGGGACGTTGACCGGTGCAAACGTCGCCGTTCCGGTGAAGGATGATGCAGCTATCGAATCCTCTGTGTGTGCCAATCAGATCGCTAGTCTGTGAAGATCCAAAAAGCCTTCAGCAATTCGAGCAGTCAACATCCAACGGGTTTCAGTCGAACCACAAAGCACTGAAAGTCACTGGGAATTGAGTCGACGCGTCGCGAGAATGCCCCAACTTTGGGGCTGTAGGGAGGGAGAGCGTTGCGAGCGGCCACGGAGGTACTGTACGCTTAGCTGGCGACGATTTGAGACCATTATGCTAACTCTTGCTAGGGACCGAGAAAAGCACGGAGCACGACAAAGCTTCTAAGGCCGAGGAACACAAGGAGGATAGCAGTGTGTTTGATATCTCTTTGATGACACGCAAGGCTGTTCCACAAGAAATATCAATTCAAATCGATACTTGCTTTGGGAGTCGAAACTGTAAAGTCGGCCGAGGCTGCGCGAAGAAAGGGTAACTTAGAATATGTGATCTCTAATATCGGGACCTGTGAATTACTAGATGCGGTTACAGTAGTTTTGCCGTTTCTGGCTTGGCGCCCCAATACACCGTCACGTAACCTCTCCCTCAATCGCCCGAGGACGCAAATCGGCTCACCTATGCGGAGCTTTGAGCCGACTTGTAAACTCATGCCTATGGTACGGAGTACTTGGAGTTACGACAGCCGAAATGCCAAGGATACCAAATTACTACATATACAAAACACAAAGAAAGTGGGTCACTCCGTATAACCCTAGTCCAGGCGGTACAGCACTTAAAAAAGACGCGATGAATCCAAAATCCAACCTCCAACCTCTCAATGAGACACGATTTCATCCAAAAACAGGGAGAAAACCATGAACCTGCTCGATCTCCCTAGCGAACTTATCGTTTCCATTGCAAATTGTCTAAAGCAGGATACATCACTCTCCCGCTTCGCCCGCACAAATCGACATGTTTACAGCCTCGTGATGCCACTCCTTCACCAACACAACATCAAATACGGCGGATGCTCGGGCCTCCAAGCGCAACTGATTCCTCTAGGAACAAAAGATTCCACGTCACAGTTCTTCACTGAGATAAATGAGGATCTAGAAGAATATAAGAACCCTTCTGATCTCACCACACCAGAGGGTCTCCCAATCCCGGTGACGGACGAGATACGGGTCCGCGATATCGTGATCGGTCAATTTGTGAAGCAGGGCGTCAACCTGAATACCGTCCACCAGGCCGAATACGAACAAGAAAAATCTCTCCTGCATTACTATGCTGCGGTGCGAAACACCCCGGCGGTGTTCCTCTTGGCGAAGCACGGCGCGGACGTACACGCGCCCAGTGGTTATGAAGAGCGCACGGCACTGCATTGGGCCGCGCTCGGGGGTTGCGCGAAGATCGTTCGCTTCCTGATCAAAAAGGGATTGGATGTGAACGCGCGGGACTGGGAGGAGAAGACACCGATCCACTTCGCAGCGGCAGAGGGTCACGTCGCCGCCATTCGACTGCTATTTGAAAATGGGGCGGATATCAACGCACAAGACGAATTTGGATACACTCCGCTCCATCTCATGATGATGAATGGCAAACCAGCCCCGGATTCATGGTGTATCCCAGCACTGAAGGCAATGCTCGAGCTCGGCCCTAATACCGAACTTGGAATGTTCGAGGATAACAAGACACCGCTCCATGTCGCAATCCTAAACCAACGAGACATCGACTTCTTGGAAACTCTACTGGAATCGGGGATAGATCTCAATTCCCGGACTGTAGAAGGACGGACACCGCTATCATGTTGCGTGGAGAGAGGAGACATGCGTTTGTTTATGTTGTTGCTCAAAGCGGGTGCGGATATCCATTCGCGGGACGAGGACGGACGGTCCCTTCTCCAGATTGCACTAGAAGATGAAGACCGCGCGTATGGTTGCTTGCCAACACTTCTGGAAACTGGCGTGTCTGCCTTGGATTCCGATGCTGGGGGTGGAACGATATTGGTGCAGTTCTTGAAAGAGCGGGGCTGGTTGTACACGATTAAAAATCGAGTGGATTGTATACCGGAGATAGACGAACTTGAATCAGATTAAAAATAAAAAAGAATACATTCTTGACATATCTCGCTTCAAATAAAAGAACACCAAATGGCGCCTAACCAAAATGAGGCATAGACTCTTACTGACGACAACTTGTGTTTTGGAATATTCTCATCTTTACCTCTATAGTATTCTCTTTCACAAGCCACTGCGCAATATAGTTCATTGAAGGCCAGAATCAGGGCTTGAAAATGACAGCATGCATGCGTTTGAGTGCGTCAAATAGATAGAGCTATACAACCTGGACAGCCACACCGTGAAGACATAGGCACATGAGATATGTGCTCTGGGTATTTTGCAAAGATTCAGAGGCAGCCTTGAGTATAAAATATGAGTAATTGGCTCTCCTATCTCTTCACTGCATTTTAATCAAGTGATAATAATCTTGAGTTTCTCTTGTGTGACACAGATGTATGCTTTGCTGTAGTCTCCTTCTGTCACGCGCTACTCTATTTTGTTCTTATTGTTGGACGAGTCTATGCGAAAGTAAGACATCTATACTGCGTTGCGGATCTCCGAAAAATGTAGAATGAAACAACCGCCTTTCTTAGGCTTATTGTAGCAATCTGAATATATGCGTGTATAGGTAGTGTATAATAATGGACTAGTCAAAGCACGTACCGTCACAATTTGAGTGTGCAGGTTAGTTTTCATAAGTAAGGATTATTAAGCCTAATAAAACAAGAAATAACCCTATTTAACTAATAGAAGCTGCCTATAAGGCTCGTTAGTGCCTAGCAGTTATAAGGTCCGGACTTCGCTAAAAAAATTTGAAAGTACCTGTTTGCATAATGTCGGACTAAAATAGTGGATCGAAGGACAGAACAGTCACATGATATATCTAGGGTGAGGTTAATGGCACTACATGAACGTTACTCGCACTACAAACTAGGCCCTTTTCGGTTAACGTCCGCCCCACCACCAAAAGGTACATTTAAGACCTACAGAAATATCGCTTTCTTTATGTGTAGTCATATTCCTCTGGTTCTTATGATAAATAGCCATAATAATTACCGAATAATAGGTAAACATATAGTGACGTGCTCGAAGTAAATACTGACCCTAAGAGCGACCGCAAAAAAGGGCTTATTATTCATAGAAATATCTAGACGGAAGCCTTGGTAGACCGTAGTTGGTTTTTTAGGTGTCGGATGTACCTTTTTGGTGGTGAAAAGTTGCCAAGGCGGGTACGGACCCAAAAAGGTTTAGTATGTAGTGCGAGTAACGTTCATGTAGTGCCATTAACCTGACCCTATATCTAATAGGCCAAAAATGCACTATAGGTGGCAGATCCATCTTTCTTAGATATATATGTCCGCGTTGTTCAGGGTCCGATGTATTTCTCATTCTTATATATTGACAGGCTGTTCATCAGGATTGGTGTATTTCCACACACCATTCGATAGTGCATAGTCTTGCACAGCAGTGTACCAAGGAATCCAGTGCGCGTGGCACTTCAAAGGGTAGCTGAGCTAGGTGGCTCGAATATTAGTCGAATCTATCACTTATAAAGCGAAAGTGATAGAGAGGTGAGGCGAAAGTAAGAGATAGATCAGATAGTTATAAGCCCGATCGCTGCAGCCTGTTGCTAAAGCTTTCGGATTCACTCTTCTCTGATCTATCTCTTACTTTCGCCTCACCTCTCTATCACTTTCGCTTTATAAGTGATAGATTCGACTAATATTCGAGCCACCTAGCTCAGCTACCCTTTGAAGTGCCACGCGCACTGGATTCCTTGGTACACTGCTGTGCAAGACTATGCACTATCGAATGGTGTGGGGAAATACACCAATCCTGATGAACAGCCTGCTACGCCTCTGCAGGAGCCGATAAAGCCACAGATATCTGACGTGGTTAAACGACCATCGAATACGTTCACATCTGATAAACCCTCACCTACACGCTTGATTGATCTCATATCTGATCAGCTATTGTCAACATGAGTGGGTGCATAAGCCCCCAAGAGAGCGGGTGCATAAGCCCATGCTATCGAATTTAACAGAATGCAACGGAACGCGCACGTGACGACGATCTTCAACGATTGACATCAACAATTGCACACATGACGAAAGAGCTTCAACACTCTATATTTCTCCTGATTTCTAGGAGATTCTATTTTGGCGTACTGCCTTGATTTCATGAAGTTATAAATATTGCCTGTTTTCCATAGCTAAATTGTATCAAGTTTAATGATTGTGATGAAGTTGGAGCATTCTTCTATCATAAGTTAACTTCCGATTCTAAGCCGAATCGTATGACGACCTGACCTATACGATTCTTCGCCAATCGTATACTGATTTGACCAACCGTGCACACTTGCTTGCTTGTGCACGCTGAAGGATTTATGCCGACCACGTAAATCCGACACATAAGCTATAGCCTTAAGCAAATAACCCAGGCTCGAATAATTTGGGCACGAACGAAGCTAAGACTAAGGTCTTCATTTTTCTAAGGGTAAACCTGCTTCCGCTAGTACCGTTCCTTTAGGGCGATTCCTACTAGCGTTCTTAGCTTAAAGGTTAGAGGGAGCCATCCAAGACTACGGAAATATTATAGTCTAGCTCGATTTCCTCGTAAAGTATAGGATTAGTCTAGTATTAATGCTTATAAAGTTAAGCTAGAGGTACGGACATAGGCGCTGTAAGAAAATTTCGGATACAAAGGCTAAGGTTTAGATTTTGTGATAGGAGACTTAGGAATCAAGTATGTAATATTACAGCCAAAAGGAAGTCGAAAGAATCCTGTGCATTCCACGAAGGTATCAAGTCTAAGGAAGGAAGAGAGTAGAAGAGAACTACGGTAGCGCGCTGGGCCTTTTGTAGGCGACTGGCCTCGGGCACCTTCCTGGTAAAATTCCCAATTCATCAATTGCCCTCCAGGACTTAATCGTAACATTTAAGGTCGATCGAGGCAGTGGAGTTAAGATAGGGAGGGAAGGGGGGCGTTGAAAGACCCCTAGAAGAGAGGGCGGAGGAAGTATCTTATAGGCGCTTGACTAGGCTGCGCGAAAAGGAGAGGCGCCTAGGTTTAGATACAGAAGGGAGCCATTTTCGGCGTCGTTTTAGTCGCCAGTGGCCGGGGTGGGGGGACATCGTTGAAGTTAGGCGTCAACAACACGACGAGAGGAGGATAACTAACAGCGCTAGTTGGGTGCCAAAGTGCGGGCGGTACGGGGGTCAAGCGGCGGCTCGTCGTCCAAAGTTACGGGTGGAAAGGCGGCCGTTTCTCCCGCCAGAGGCTGTCATTCTCGGCGTCGATTTCACAGGTCCCTGTATTCTAGTCGTAATAATTTGACCACCAAGTCTGAACGCTTGGTTGCACCAGTCACCTGGACGGTCATCTCTTTCCTAACACCGTCAGATGGGACACTAACGGTTAAGTCAACCTGTTACTCAAAGCTGCAACGTCGCCGCTTCCTGAGAATTTAGGATTTGAAGATAGAATTGGACTAGAAGAGTGAGTCGGGACAGCTCCAGAGCGTTCGTTGGTCTCAAGCAGTGAATGGTTCGCATCACACGCATATCCGAGAGATTATGTGTAGCATTCCCCGCATTTTAACACTATAGGATTACAAGTTAAATACCTAGTTAAACGTATAACTCAACGTAAAATAGTATAAATCAACGTTATCTGGTTTACTTGGCGGGCTTTGGGTTCGGGCTGGCTTGGCGATCTGATTTTTGGCGAGGTCCGGAATCTATAGCAGTGAGTCCAGAGTCGTTCTTTAGATGTGGCGTATACAAACAATAATGACGTAGATGAAGTTATCAGATGTCGTGAAAAAATCTCATGTGAATACAATGCTGATGTGAATTTGCATACACTTTAGCAGTTTAAATAACTTAAGGTTAATTCATACCGCCATATGACGTGAAAGAGTATCAAGACCAGAATTCCTCCAAGGGACATGTAGGTCTTGCGCGAAGCCATTAGAGCAGTGAGGCCTAGATGAACAGCGCACTCGGTTGTTCTTAGCTGTGAAAGAAGCCCTGATAGGGCTCATATAACACAATGACTCTCAGGCTTGAAAAGAACTTTATGTTTTTTGTGTAATAATTTGGATCCCTTGGCATTGCGATGTTCGTCCCGTAAATCTTAGCCAAGGATGGAGTATTTCAACCTGGCTAATTTCTTCAATCCGCACACTTCATCCAAGGATTGTTCCGATTGAGCGTACTTTTGGTTTCTCTTTATTTAGATACTTTTTTTTCCTTTTCGTATTTTCTATCATCTCTATTCGCACTTGTCCCGGTCTTATCATGGTCCTATTCAGCCCGCAGCTGCTGGCTAAAAGTACGACGGAGACAATTTATACGATCTGCGTTTCCAGGTTTCCAGATATCTTGACATCAGTAAGGACCAAAATAAAGCAGGAGCCCATTCGCATCATCAAGACATAGGAACTCATTCGACGGCCTTTTGAGCCTGTCGTAATTTCTTGGCATTTTTGATGAGAACCAAGAAATAGGAGAAATTGCCAAGAAGTTCTAGCTCGTGATGCAAACGGATAACAACATGCGCTATATCGTCTGCTGATCCGTGACTTCATGAGTGGCTCATCCTAAATAGGAAGGTATGGTTCGGGGCTGGCCGAGACTCGGGAACACAATCACGTAAGTTGACAGCCGCACATACATGTATAGAGCTATTTGCCTAGAGCGCCACGCTATCATTTGGGTTGGAACATTTGACCATTTGAATGGGTGATTTGTGTCATATATTCGGTAGCCGAGCGGTTCGTAGAACTTCTAGACTATCGACTCCTCACTCCCGACATGGCTAGACTAGCTCAAATCTAATATGCGATTTAATCCTTGGTATTATCTCAAATAGTATCTATGGAAGTGTAAGAACAGTCAAAAGCTTCCCATATGTCCAAACCCAAGGTTTGAGTATTGCATCACCACTAGTGAAGATTAGAGACGCATTTTCAAACATTGTCATCGATTATTGCATAAATTCCACATGGAGTCATCGACGAAGGTCATTAACGATTTACTCCAACGTACATTAATCCAATACGTGGACACTTCAATTTTCACAGCATTTCAATTCGAGGGACGGACCTTTCAACATGAACGGAACGAAGAATCTTGGCATTCGCTCTGATGGTGCGGACACCTACCTATATGGCGAATGCAGATTCAATGAGGACCCGTGGGCCTACAGAAGAAGCGAAATACGTCTGGATGATTTCCTTGGAGACGATCATGTAGGTGTTTTGTATATGCCCACGTATAAGTACAGATACTAATTAGTATAACACCAGGGCTTTTTCAAATGGGGTGGGCATGATTTCACTGAGAAAGCAGCGGGTGTAAGATTTGGTATTGAAGGCCAGCAAAATGTGCCTGTGCTACGCGCTCAGCTCCGTGGAGATTTCGGGAATGATTATGCTGAGAGAGATGTGAATCTGGCCGAGCATATCTATAACTATGGGGGCAATCTACAGTATCGGTGAGTGCCTTTTGTAATAGACTCCCTCTTAATTGGGTAACTAACAATACACAGCCCCTGATCTCTATGTTTACAGACAGAAGCGTGCGAGAGGACGATCAGTTGGGTTCCAATTTGATTTTACAGTGTGTTGAAAAGTTTTGGATTTTGCTTTCTTTGCTTTCATGTTCAATTATGAAAATTGACTAAATGATATAGCGCCCAGAAAACAAGTGCAATGACAATGTGAAGCAGTATCAATTCGATGTCTAAGCGAATCATAGGTTACACTGAAACTTTTAGGTGCATTTCTCTCCGTATTAGTAGCTCAATAGAGCAATATGAAAAAAATCTTACTGGGAAATGCGGCACAGTTCACTGCAGATGGCTTTTAATGAGAAGAATACGCGGGTGTACAGTCCAGGAATGGCTTTTTTGACCAGCTTCACTATTCAGGCAATAGGTACAACTTCAGGCTCTACCAATAGAGGGCCTGTACATGTAAGTTGTTGCCTATGTAGTTCGGGCAAATTTAGAACAATAAATAGGGAGAGAGCGGTTCCAACTCGAGATATCCCAAGGTATAACTGAACCTTAACAGATGTTTTCAATACCACCGAGAAGAAACACCTTGGAAACGATGGATGGAAAAGGACTCGTCAAATACTTATAAATCATTACAGAGGTCTCTTGTTCTCCAGACCAAAACTTGACCCCCTAACAGATGCCATGTCTGAGTCTCATCAGCCTTCACCACAAACCTCCCACGAAGAGCAGCATGTCTACCAAGCATATATGGCCGCGACATCCGATTTACGAAGAAAGCTGATCCAGAAAAAAAGCATCTGAAACTGCAATATGGGGTTAGCGGCTTTGCTTTCAATTTGCTCACAATGGTGCAAGTAATCATTGGCGCAGTCATTACAGCACTGGGACCCTCAGCTGCCGACCACATGGTGGCAATAACAGTCCTTGGAGCTATCAATACATCGTGCGCTGGACTTTTGGCCCTTTTAAAGGGAAGAGGGCTACCACAGCGACTTAGGGGAAGCATGATTGAAATTTCCAAGGTTCTGGACTTCATTCAACATACCTCAGTCTTGTTGAAATATGATAAAAGCTGCGTCCCCGAGAACGGAATTGGTCCTCTACTGGAGGAGGCCTTTCAGAGATATGCTTCAGCCGAGCAACTGATTGAGAGCAACCAACCGGATACGTTTGCTTCTGGGATCAAACTTCCAGTCAATAGTAGCGCGACGGATGCGGAAGATGGTCAAGGCCAAGGACCAGCCACTTACAAGGCGAATGGAAAGGGGCCTCAAATGGATGAAGAAATGGGATTTTTGGGCAGGAGTTGAGATTCGTGATGTACTTTGAAAAAGTTGCCATGTATTGCGATTGCAGGTTGCTACATATCAAGTGTTGAAAGTCATTTTGCTTTAATCTCTACACATGTTCGTAATATGGAGCCTGCCATTTATTATTCTTTATAATTATGCCATCTCTCCATAGCGCACCCATAAAAGTCAATCGCTTAATCCGTAAAAATGTTTTACTAATTACCGAGACGAAAGGGATTCTGACTTTTGAGTTGAGTCACGAAAGACGTTTCGCACCCATGGAGTGAATAAACTCACAATAAAGCCCCTCCAGCCCGCGGTCAAACCGACTTCCAACTTCCAACTTCCAACTTCCAACTTGTTTCCAGATTTTAGTTTCTCTTTTATCCTTACCTGACAATTGAATTCATTGGGATAAATCCAGGGTATCCAGTGGAATTTTGAATAATGCACAGTGGAATAATTGCAAAGAGGGACTTAATTAGTATCAATATTGGAACTAAATCTTCGAATTACAAAATCCAAGATCGAAAATTCGGACAGGAGATGAGTTGGTCATATGAAAGAAAAGTCAAAGCAGCCGGTCACAGTTCATCTCTGCCTTCACCGAATGGATATCCAACCTGCTTCCAAGCCTCTCTGATTTTATCCTCATGGTCACCAGCATTCAGAATCGTAAGCTCAGCAAATTCTTTAAACGAGGCGTTTTGTCTGAGCTTGCCACAAGTTAGAGCCTTGTACCAAATGGGCCCGGCAGTTTGCCAAGAGTAACCACCAATCAATGTCGAAGCCAGGTAGAACGCATGATTAGGGATGCCGGAATTGATATGAACACCGCCCTTATCTTCTGACAACGGAAGCTTCTGGAAGTTCTTCCAGTGACCCGGTTGGCGGTCTGATCCAACTCTTCTATCGTTGTAAGCAGTTCCCGGTGCTTTCATATCACGTAAAGCTCTGCCGTTGACACCTTTCCCCCAGATACCCTCTCCAATGAGCCAGTCTGATTGCTCTGCAGTCTGTGGGTTGGCTGGGTCATTTCCCCATTGCTTGATCATTATCCCAAAGACATCAGCAAGCGATTCATTTAGCGCACCACTCTGGAATGAGTAATCCAGCGGGCTCGTGTACTCAACCACTCCATGGGTCAGCTCATGACCGATGACGTCTAACTCATCGGTGAAGCCGTTGAAGAGGACCCCATCACCGTCGCCGAAAATCATCTGTCTGCCGTCCCAGAAGGCATTTTGGTAGCCTTTACTGTAGTGCACAAAGCCGTCAAGACCGATACCCCGGCCGTCGATTGAGTCCCGGTTGAAGAAATTCAAGTAGAAATCGTAGGTTTTTTGAAACCCGATATAGCATTCATTGGCATCGTAACTTGGGTCTTGCTCCTTGGGAATAAGAGCGCCCCCTTCTTCAATCATAATTTTATTGCGTGGTGGATCTCGCATCGACGTATGCTGCGCATCATAAACAGTGCGGTTTAAGTGGCGCACCGCTTCTGTGACTGCGTGCTGGTCAGTATCGTGCGCCAGCATATGGGGGGATCAATTACGTTGCTCTTCTTTTGCTGCCCTTCGGACAATGGTTTCAAAGATGTAAGATGGAATTATACCTTCAAAGGTTGGGCGCTCCTGCTCCGCCAGGAGACTCTGCTTGTGCTCAATACGAGTATTGTGCAATTCTTTTGTTTGGTCAATAGTAGACTGGCATGCATCCAGAACATGCTGTGGTGCCTGCCCCACCTCAATAATATTTTGCAGAACATGTTCTGGTATAATGCAACATATTGGGGCCATTCTGGTGACTTGTTTTGGTGCTTTGAGCATTTGATAACAGCGGAGGGATAGAAACTTTCGCATTGTCCGCGGGTTACCTCCAAACAATTTTCTTTTGAGAAACACAAGCCCTGCTTTCTTAAAGTAGTTTGCGGTACATTGTAATGAGGGCAGTGGATATCAGGTATCTCTCCTTGTCGTCATGACCAGCACCGAATCCTTTGGTTTCCACGAAGGGACTCTTCAAAAATGCGAATGTATGTTGGCTTCCATGGCCTACATTACCTACCTTTTAGCAACATGTGATTGCACTAATACTCGAAATTATAAAACCAGTCACCTGTGAGGGATAGACCATGTTCTGGAACTGCCTTCCGCTGCAAACGTACTTTATACGCCTCAACGCTCTTCAAATGCCGCAGATCGTAATGCCAAGAGCTCGGGTTCCTCCTAACAGACAATTCCCAAATAACAGGGCAGCTCTCTTATAGAACGGGCTAGATGAAGCGATATGAATTTTTGACCATGAAGACAGAAATGCCAAATGGGCGGAGTCCGGAGCCGAACCTGCTGTTAAGGCTCAAGTGCTCCACTGGTGGATGTGGCGTTGACCGGCCGTGGACCGAAATTCGTACCCAAATTGCTCAACGTTTCCGAACTACCGTTCACGGTCTGAAGGATGAATATGGCTTTTGAGATCCATGGTCCAGCATGAGAACTGTAGAAAGACCTGGATATCCTTGAAAGGCTACCATTTCCGCGGATGATTATCGATTCGCAAAGGACAGTCTATCATTGGTATCATGCATCACTAAATCACTTATGCTTGTGTCGAAACAAACTCAAATTTTTAAATTTATTCTTTCGGTAACATTTTGGTCTTGTCCAAAAGTTGCGACAGGTCTTGCGAACTGGTAAGATCGCTCGCCCGCCTTGCGCCCCCTCTCCCCCTCTCCTTCTCCCCTCTTTCGCCCATAACCAAGCCTTCTTCTTCGCCCGGCTGTCATATTACGGACGGCTGTGTTGATGCCGTATGGGGTAAGCTAGGAAGTCAAAGACGCTCCTCTATTTCTATGAAGGCGACTGTCTTTTCATGAAATTAATTTGTTATACTAGTAGGTCCCGTCTGACCCAACTCTCGTATGGCCTCACCTACCGGGTTAATTCGATCCACGTCTCCCTATACGGATAACGGCGAACAACTCACTAGCTGTATATAGGACTGTCTCGACTAACCCCCTTTTTACCGAAGGCCCCTCCTCTATGGTTAATTCAGGCTATACTGGGCCTTTGGACTCCTACCTAGCGGGTACTTCTGCCGCTCCTATAGCTATCAACTACTTAACTAGATATATTCCGGAAGTGGTAGTTAACAAGCATACAATTCCGAAGGAGCAGACTGCCTTTAAGGCTTAGAAGGTGAAGATAAGCGAGCGAGCTACTATATATTCCTATAATTCTTTTCTAACCTTATCTAACGTTCTACGTATTTGATCGATTTGTCTCTATTAGGTCATTTAGCCTAGATGGGCTCTATAGCTTAGATAGATCCCTTCGCCTCCAGACAACTAAACCTTATCATCGTCTCTCTTCTCTCCTTCATCCGCTAGACCCCAACACTACGAAGGTATCATTCTAGCTCGAGCCGACCAGGAAACTTTTAAGTGTAAATCGGAAGGCTAATTATATACTGGTACCTTCTGGGTCAAAAGCCACCTTGCCCCGAGCTCGCTCAAATTCCCCGCGCCGAGATAAAACAAGGCTTTTAGACGCAAAGACAAATACAACGCGCAAATTCGCCTTGTTCATTGGGACATGGCAGACATGCTTGATAATCCTGGCCATTCGCCTTGTGCTGAATGATTATCGTGGATGTTCTTCCTTCCACTTCCCTCTTTTCACGATTCTTCATTACATTGCTTGTCTCTTTCCCTCTTTATCTTTTTCTGATTTAGTAAGGAATCTATTGTCGGCACTCTACTATAATTAATCTTTCCAGCTTTTATGCTCTTCATCTTCTATATCACTTAGATTCGAATTCTAGATCTTTTCGTGACAGTGCCTAGGCAGCTCCTTAAGTCTTGCACACTGCCAGGCGTTCTAGGGGACGAACTCAAGAATTTTATGAGCTTTCGATAATCCAAAACAAGAACCATATCTATAAACAGCTTAATGAATAGGCTACTTGATTTCCTTATTATTATATCCGCAAAACATACATGGACGTGAAGGGACTAGGTATAGCTGTCAAACTAGATTCGAAAACTACTGTAGACCACGACAAATAGGGAGGATAAATCCTTAGCCTCTAGATCCAATCCGCGACTCCCCCCACTCATCCGGAGCTGCCTACCGTATGACGTCACTATTTAGGAGAAAATCTTTATCTCGCCTACCTATTCCACAATTGTGGCTAGAGCTCTGTCATCCTAAGGATAAGGGCTCAAGAATATCCTGAATAACATAAAGGCCTAGTTATTGTTCCGTTCTGTGTAGGTGCTTGGTTTTATCAGGACGGTGCGTAACTTATGAGATTGTGGTTCTTAAGGTACGCCGTTATTCCTTTTGCCTTTATTAAGCCTATGTGTGACTTTTTACGAGGAGGACCTGGCATGTCGGATTTATCGGGATCTTTCACTATATACACTTGAATATCCTTCCATTTTAAGGAATGATTACTCTTTATATAGCCCGAAGACCCAACCAGTGTTCTCTTAATTAGCCTTAGTAGCGAAAGGTAGGCATGCAATATCATACATAGGTGAAAAGACAACGATTCTCCCTCTAAAAGCCACGCACAATCGTGGCTTTTCCATCGTCACACTTAATTACTCCGTACATTTACACTAAAGGTAAAAAGAGAGATTAAGCAGATGCGTTATTGGATATTATACAGTTCAAATCACCCCATGCCCAAGTCTCCAAATAACGCTAGAAAGTCTTGCCTCCTTTTATCTTGTTTGGCTGCACATCACCATCGCATCATCTCTTCTCTACACAGCCAGCGAGGCCGCTTCTCTAGCCGCCTCGGCCTTCTCCGCTTCTAGTGTAGTCTTATACCTGGCCAACGCTAGCTGCAACGCATGCAATGTCGGCCCCAGAAGCTGATTGACCACTTTCTGGCCACCTTCAATATCATCCAGATTCAGCCGGGGCTTGCGCTTAGTTCTTTCAAAGTATTCGCGTGCCGCGTTCTTTCGCCGGTCGACCTCGACTTGTCGTTCGACTTCTGCATCGTTGGCAACGGCCTTGATGCGTTCTATCGCGCGAGTCAGGGATTCCGAAAGGGACTGTGCTTCGATAGCCCGCTCAGGATTGCCTGAGAGGAAGGCTTGCCAGAATTGATTGAGGAACTCGGTTGATGTTGCGTGTGTTAGGGTCAACCGGTCGTAAAGTCCCGTGGAAAGTCCGTACGTATCGGACGCAGATCCCTCGTTCATCTGGTCGCGCTGCTCGCGGACCGCGCCCAGAATCTGTGCAAATGCATCGTGTAGGGCTGCCGATGATCCGACGGGACGCTTACTGGCTGGTGCGTCTTCCACCTCCTCATCCTCGTCGTCGCCCGGGTCGACAAGTTTTTGGAGCGGCGCAGTCCCGCCAAGTGGCAGACTATGCGCAATCTCGGACCGCAGAGCCTTCAAAATCTGGTCCGGGTCTTGCTGGGCAAATGCCCGGGTCTGCTCGTCCTCCTGAGTCTGCGAGAAGAAGCGGTTTTGATCGCGGATGTTCAGCGTGACACGAGCCTGCTCCTCATCACCGTGGAGATCTCGTAATTGCATCTCCTGCCAAGTCTCCTCGTCCATTCCAATGGGAGCAGTCACATCTCCATCCGCCGGAGCAACGTTGGCCATAATCTTCTCACTGAGACTATTGAGTGTCCGAATAATGGGCACCTTGTCTACACCAGATGGCCGCATGTCCAGATCCGGCCTGTTTCCACGGCGCTGGCTGTGATGAACTTCATTTCCCGCCAAGTCCATAAAATGGGGGACGAATGCCTCTCGATTGGCGTCGGGGTGCTCTTCTCGGAGGTATTTGTCCAAAATAGCGTCCGTAGCATCCGAGTCGGAGATACGTTCTCCACGCAGCTTCTTGAACAGTCGACTTTGGAAGAACCGCGACCAGAACTGCTGCTCGCTCAACTTGGGGACATTCTCATCATACACCCGCTTGACCAGTGGATGCTGCGAGAAGATCAGCGAGATCTGCTCCTTGCTGATGTTCAGCCGAGTCACATTTTCTTCCACGCGCGGCTTCAGTGATGACAGCACGTTATACGAGCCACGAGTCTGCGCCCGCTCGATCGCATGGGCTCGCAGAAGATGCAACCGGGTCGACCAGAACTGGGACATGAACTGGGCCGATGTCAGGCTATCGGGTTTCGTGTGTATTGATTCCATGAACATCCGTTGCAGGGTGGGGTCGGCTTTCAGCAGCGACTGTTGCAGTTCCACATCGCCCTTGAGCTTATTATCGTCGTCCCACGGATTCTTCGACGTCCCTGCCGACGAGACGGCATTGGCGATCGCCATCGCCGCGGACAAACCCCCTCCAGCAGCGGCACCCGGGGTGGGCGTTTGCGTGGGCGTTCCCGCCTTCCCTGCGTTCATTCGGGCGCTGAGGGCATTTTTGATGGCGTCGGCCTGCGGGCGAGCAGCGTCTGGCCCTGCCGTAAATAAGAAAACATATTGGTCTGGCGTGGTATTCGGCGGGGCGTTCGGGGCGAGGGCAAAGACCTTGAGCATCACCTTGGGGTTCGTTGCGGGGGTCTGTTGTAGGTCTGGAGGCCGAGTTAGCTAATCGGTTCTCGATGCCGTCAAGCGGCAAAAGTAGAAGCTATTCAGCACATACTGGTGATGGTAGAAACGGCGATATTCAAGCCCGCAGGTCCAGCCACAGCTGGGCTCCAGGTGAGAGTCTGCTCATCCTTGGACAGAGTCAGAGTGCCGTCCTTCTTCTTGTATGAGGCCGCTCCGCTCGGAGGCGCCATCATCGCGTGTCTCGACAGCTTCCACTGTCCTGGGCAGCGACAACGAAACCACCCATCTGGATGAGTAGATCCCCAGGAGTAAAGCTTCGGTGACGCAGAGAAAGTTTGAAGCCTTTGAGAGCGCACAGATAGGAAGATGAGGTGAAAGCAACAGCTCAGAGCCGCAACTGTTTGATCTAATCATCACGTGATGACATCACCTGGAACGCCATACCCTAACGCTGGAGATCATCCATTATACTCGAAGCTAGAGAAAGTGGGCATCCAATAGCTTAGGAATAAGTGTATAACCCTTAGTTGGTTATTTTCCATCTACTGAAATTTCTATAAAAGATATTTTTTGAAGAGGTATCAACATTGTATGAGTAGAGTGATGCGAGTACGCCAGATGATAATCACATGCGCCGTAATAGCATAAGCAAGCATGGAAAGCAAAATGGAACAGCGCTGAAGAGATCCTGAATGCTATGCAAAACCTGAGAACAGACGCAAATCGAGAGCACGAACCCGAAGCCAGGAGCCAGAATGCCGAAATTCGTAAGCCATGTTGCGCGCCACCATGCGTAGACTGGATATCGTCATTCGTAATCGTCAAAAACACGAGAAAGACAAGAGTCCCGCCGAAAAAGATAGAAACCAGAAGTGTGCAATGAGAAAGGAGACAACCAAAAAAAAAAAAAAATGGGACCGAAAATCAACAAGGGTATTGGTACCAACAACAGAGAAGAAAAAAATAAGTGAGGAGCAGCCAGCATGCTTTTGTTCGAGCAAGGCATGAAAAAAGAAGAGAGAACGCTCCGAAATCATTTCTTGAACATGTAGTGGCCGTAGATGCCACCCACATCGCCCACGGCCATAGGGATCTTGCGCATGCCCCACCAACGAGCGCCCATCTTCCAGGAGCGAGAGCCGTCATCGACGGGTTCGTTGGGCATGGATGCAGGATCCCGGACGTACCAACCTCGGCGGCCGAGGTCGCGAACAGTCCAGCCTACCGAGACACGCTGGGTCTTAGCACGCTCACGAAGTGGTGTGATGATCTTATCGCTGAACTCGATCACCTGCAATGGGTAGCTGTGGTCCGACAGCAGCGTGCATGTGCTCGTGTTAAAGATCGCGCCAATGGTCATCTGTGGCACCTTGGCAAGGTCGAGGTAGCACAAAGTGCTGGGAGCCGCATTTGCCTCCGCACCGTTCTCGCGGGACTGAGTGAAGAAGGAGTTCACATCCTTGACCGACAGATCGGCCGAGCTCAGCCCCAGCTCCTCCAGGTGCTTGGTCAGGGGAATCAACAGCGGAACATGCTCAGATGTAACCTTGGCACCGCCCAAGTTCAACGAGCGAAGGGTATCGGGCAGCTTGGGCAAAAGTGCGGTCACATCGTCCTCTTCCAAGAGGCGGAAGCGGGTAGGGTCGGTCAAGAGATTCAAGTACACCAAGGACTCGCGGACGGCTGGGTGCGTGGTCAGGAACTCCACCAAAGCGGAACTGGGTAGACGGGTGCACCGTGACAGACTCAGGTGGGTGATGCGAGCCGTTTCGGGAATTGCCAAAAGAGCCGAGTCGTTCACTTGGGTGTGGGTGAGATCCAGGTGTGTCAAATTGGTGAGCCGGGAGAGCAGGAGGTCGAAAATCGGAGCCTGAATAGTGCTGCACTCGTGAAGCGACAGTCGCTTCATGTTCGGCAAGCTCATGGGCATGGCAGGCCCCGCGGTCAAAGCTTCTGTGAAGACTTGGGAGAAGGACTGAGTGGAACAGCCACAGAAATCTACCGCACGGAGGTTGGGCAGACCCATGAAAAGCTTCCGCACCACATCCACGCTCAAATCACCCTCGAGATGTTCCTGCAGCAAGCATTCCTTTAGGTTGGGCAACAGATCCAGGCACTTGAGCAACGTGCGCGAAGTCAGGTTCTGAATCTCGGCGTTCATCTGCTTGGTACGACCCAGGCCAACAGAGGTAAAGTGCGAGAAGTCCAGACGGCGGACCAATGTACCCAGGGCCGGATAGGACGACATATGATTGAGAGCCTTGGAGAAGATAATCGAATGCGGGAAGGTCATGTTCCTGTACAACACGCTGAGAGTAGCGGCGTGCAACGTGCGCGAGGCGAGGAGGCACGAAACAAGGTCGACATTGCGCGGGGTGTATCCATTGGGTGGCAGATCAATGGCAAGGTAGGAGATGATTTGATCTAGTGAAGGTGTTAGTATACTGTGAGATACTCGGCGTTTTTTCTCTCTCTCTTACCCAAGACCTCTGGAGGAAGCTTCTCGAGAGGAGAACTGCCCGGCGGCGGCTGTGCCTGTTCAACTACAACTGGCGCCTTAGGTGGCACCAGCTCTCGTGCCGATTCTGTAGCCTCCCAGGCCCAACCCTTCGCCTGCATGTTACCCAGGTTGCGAAGATCGCCATAGCTGCGGCTCAGGCTCTTTCCACCCAGACGAATCTGCTTCCACCCCAGAAATCCACCGCATGGGCAGCAGAAATCTGGAGTCTGTTGCATCTCCGGAATTTGCGGCTTCTGAGTCTCCTTGGGTGAGGGTGAGGCAACGTGGTGAGTGTCCACGAAAGATTGCGCAATGCCTGCAGAGGGGAAATCACGTCAGCGAGTCTGTCCATGGATTACTTTACAATCACTTGCCGGTGCCAGTGAAGCCATCTTTCACATACCGTCGACGTCTTCTTTGATAGAGCCGAAAGACGGGCGCCGGCGGCTGCTGGACCTGGATCCGTCGGGAGTGTCACAGCAGGACGAGGGAGACGAGTCGCGCGAGTGTTGGTCGACGCAAGCGGAGGTCGAGAGTTGAGGGATGGTCGGCTTGATGTGTGTAGGGGCAGCCGGAAGAGTCGAGAGAGAGGCCATGGTGAAAGAGAAAAGTGAGCGGGCCCTCTATAAAAGAGGCCCCAGTATGCACACGCGCGGACTGGTCGGGATGTACCTTAGGAGTCGGAGTGGGAACACAGAACAAAAAAAATTGTCAAAAATAGGGTGTGCAAATTAAACGAGTAACAGCTTCCCCGGATTTCAAGCGAAAAAGAGTTTCCGGTCAAGCGACAAAGGTGAGATGAGTAGTAGGGGGATGGGAAAGACAACGGGGGGATTGAAGGGCGGTTTAGGGCTATAGTTTGTTGAAGTAAATGGGAGGGGCGGCGGGGAAAAAAAGAAAAAAATGGCCAAACTGTTAGTCACAGAAAAGGCCGAACCGGCGTTGCACACGCCCAGTTAGGGTGGTCGTCGCAGTAGATGTGGACCAGGGAAATTGAGAAGACAAATAGTTTCGGTCCACTGATCGGATTCGGCTGGTCACTGGTGTAGAAGTAGGCAGGTACTAGGGAGATGAATGGGAGAGAACTAGGAAAGTAGTAGTATGGAAAGTATAGAAAGTATGGAAGGCATGGCAATGAGATGTATAAGAGCAGGTGGCACAGGGAAGAATTAAGTTTCTACGGTTTGCCGGGGGCGATGACTCCTCATGGATGGCAAAAAAAATAATGAAAATCAAAAAAGAAAAAAAAAATATTAAGGTGGCGGAGATCGGCTTTTCAGCCTACGAGCGTGGGCTTTAGAAAGGAACAAGAAGACCTCGAAGAACAGTCAAGAACGAATGAGCTACCTTGGATGGCTTAGTCCGATCCTAATCCTACCCCTGCAGACTCCGATTTGCTTCCCTTTTTTTTTTTTTTTTTTTTTTTTGTCAAGGAAATAAAGATCGGATGCATTTTTATTTTTACTTTTGAGTTATGCAAGCGGAAAATCCATGGCGTCACTGGGGTGCGACCATCGCTTTGTTCCAGACAGGGGTAAATTCAGGTTCATAATTCTCGAGTGTTGATAGAAGGTGTAGATTAGATATAAACTACTATTAAGTACAAGTTGACGAATTTTCAATTCGAACAATCCAGTCGTCCAGATTCTGTCGATGATCCAGAGAAAGTTCTCTCCAACCGGCTAACGCCGAATTACCTTTTCCCGCTCATTCTATGACATAACTAAAATAGCCGCCGAGCGGGACCCCAACGAAGCAATTTCTCGACCGAGTGCATATTTACTACTGTAGGTTACTACAGGAAGTAGTAGCTAGTCGTACATTTATTAGTATATAGAAGAGTAATTACTGGCCAAGTTCCAATATGTCAATATTTCGTACTATAATAATAGTCATAGTAATTAGAACTAGTAACTAGTGAACCCGCTAACGACTCCGTCGCTAGCCACCTGCTGCCCACTTCGGACTAGCCTACCATCTGGCGTCCCTCATTCATTCATATTGCCAGCTCACCCTGGTCCATTTCCGACGTCCTGGTTCCAGGAGAGCCGCGGATGGGAGCGAAGAGGAGCCTGTCATATTAAAATGTATGAACAACGAATGATCACCAAGCAGCCAAGGACATCTGACAACCTGAGAGTCTGGGACAACAACTGAACCATGCGCTGGTCACCTGGAGCACGCCAGACAAGCCTCAGATTGCAAGCACCAACCCTACCAAGAGGTAAGTGCTGACGAATCTCGTCTTTTCTACCCTCGAGCAGGGAATCCGTCTTATATTCCGTACCTTTTACTAGCATGTTCTCGCGATTCAAAGCACCAAAGGTCAATACCCCAGACCGGGTTCGGATTGTTGTTAGGTAACCGCTACGACCATCCCTGCACGCGCCATTCGCTAAAGCGGCCGATCATGCGGGGAGAAGGCGATCCATTACCTAAGAAGAATCACCTGACCCCCTGTCCCATGACCATCAAGTTGGCCAACTCTCTTTCTCAAGGTCCTCCGACAATAGCCACGCTTGCATTATGATTGTTTGGGCCTCTGCTGGAATTAACTCTGTGGTTCTTTGGTTCAGCCTCTGCCCAGCACAGGATTATTACTATGCACAGTAATACTCCTCGGGCTGCGGATACTTCCCCGCCAACTCCGCACGGCCACTACCCTGATTCTCAACTCGTGCGGAGTACGCCGTACACTCTCCCCCCATCCTATGATTGATGCACACCCTCCTTCTGGCCCAACCGCAGCCAAGTCTTCCCCCTAACAACCCAGAACTGACACTGTAATCTCTTGGCATCTGCCCAGCCGCCCTGCATTCTTCTACCAAATGCTCTTCGTCTGGCTCCGGAG